TTGTCTAGACTGAACCCATCAGCACACTCTTCACATACGTCATCCATCGTGCAGCTCTTGCAGTTAGCATCAGGGCACGCCACACACCCGGTGCCGCTCTTGCCGGGCTTCTTGCCGTCCTCGCAGGCCGTGCACGTGGCAACCGCCATGCCGCCATCAGCTCGAGCGTCGGGGGCCGTGCACTGGGAGCACCCCTCCACTCCGACGTAGGCATTACCGCCTGCAATTGTGCCCAATGGGTTGCCACAAGCCAGCACAGATTGTTCGGCACTTATTGCCTTTGGGACAACGAAGAATCTATTGTTGGCATTGGGTGTATCACAGACACCTGCTGTTGTTGATTTGGAGCACATATAGCTTCCTGGTACTGTATCAATCTTGTAGCAGCCACCCATGTACAGGAAGAACCCGGCAGCACAGTAGCTGCAAGTATGATCAGTACACCCAGCATTTGTTCCCTTGTTATCAGTACATAGTCCATCAATGGGGAACTTATTGGTCTCTCCACAGTATGAACAGTAATAATGCTCCTTTCCATTAGCATCGATCACTATGGCATCGCAGGCTCCAGACGTCCCCCCACACACAGTAGGGTCCTCGCAGGTCTTCACACATGTATAGTCATCGCCTGCATCTCCATTAGACTGCTTCCTGTAGTTCGCTTTACAATCTGTGCACTTAAATCCACCGTTGCTAGAACATAGACTACAGCCTTCACGACCACCTTTGGCTGTGTCATCACACGGGACGCACTCTTTTGTTCCACCCTCGGCTTTTAGGAAGTACCCGGGAAGGCACCCTGTACAAGTCGATATATCATTGGCTGCGGTACACACTGCACAGTTGTTTCCACAAGACTCACAAATGGCGTCAGCACCAGACCCCTTCAGAACATACCCTTCGAGGCATGTCTTGCATTCAGGCTTGTTAGCTCCATTCTTAGTACATGTCTTGCACTGCGCTACCCCTTTATTTGGGTCTGACCCGCTGGTATCACTGCATAGCACACACATAGTGTTACCGTCATCTTTAAAGTGATTCTCATCCACACATTCGGATGCAACCGTCACGCACGTTGTGGCGCCGTCGATGGCTGTCTTCACCTTCTTACTGTTACCACAGGCTGTGCACTTTGGGCCCCCAGTTGCCGGGTTGTACTCACACGTGGTGCAATCAGTTATTGCAGAATCCTTGCATGTCCTTGTCACTGGATCAGCATAAGTGTTTCCATTACAACTACCAGCATCTACGCAAGTGTTAGTATCGGTCTTCAGGTACTTTCCAGCCTTACAAGATGTGCACTGATTATTTGCTGCGCCACTGCAAGTAGCACAATCGTCATGACACTTTGTGCATGGACCGGACCCATAAAAGCCAGCCTTGCAGGCAGTGCACGCGGCTGCTCCTGTATTGCCACCTGGCGCCGTGCACTTGAGACAATTCTCCACTCCCATGACCCCGTTTCTATCTGTAGCATCGGAGCACAGGATGCACTCGTTACCAGGAGTCACTGTTGCAGCCGGGTTCTTGAACAGGCCGTTCTTTGTATTACAAGTAGTACATACTCCATTACTGGCTGCTGTGCAGACTTCAGACCACAGGCTCGTCTTGTAGCACCCGCCCATGAAGAGGAAGTACCCGTCGCCGCACTTCTCGCAGGTTGCTGTCATCTTGTCGAGAGCAGCCCCGTCTGCTTTGGTGCACCCGGCCGCCGCGGCCTGGATGGAGCCGAAGGGTCGGCAGAAGCCGTCGACCGGGACGCCTCCGACCTTGCACTCGGTACAAATCTCGGCTGACCCGACCGTCTCGCACTTATTGACCTGACAGGTCACTATGTGGTCTCCGTCTTGCTGACAAGGTGCTGCAAAAGAACTCACCACAATATAAAAGGCTGTTAATAACATTGAGGCCCATCGAGGCACTGCTAGCGTAAGCAGACATTTCACCAGTGACTCTATTCTCTAAGTAGCCATTCAGTAACGCACTTGTTAGATATCGCGTCAAAGATGCCAAAGACCCAAAGAGCTGATCCGGTGCCAACCTTCCCGTTACGACAAAACATAGATTTAGCTATCCTCTCAGATAGCACGTAGCCCGCCCTCTGGCCAGCTAGTTGAGGACTAGCCTTGCTAGGAGAGTTTCGCGCACAAGAGCATTTCATTGATGGCAGTATCAGTGGCCGCCCTGCGTATCGGCTGGATGATCACCCTCGGCCACGACTCGAGGAACCGGGCACCCGACCAGAGGCATAGCAACGGTTTGGTTTGTCTACGGCCCTACTACCCCTCGCCAGCAGGGAGCGGGCAGCCCGAATAGCATCAAGCCTCCCCAGTGTTGCCTCTTCTCTAGTGCGCGGAGGTACCCCTCGTGTCTGGGAGACGCTGTGGTGCGGCTGGCTAGAGCCGGTCAAGTGGGGAACCACCATTTTAGGGGTGCTGGGACATCATTGCGTGCCCGAAGGCTGTCCACCGTAGCGGAACCATCCCAGATAGGAACAGGTGAGGCACCAGTTCCTTTAGAGGGGCCTGCGACCGGCGAAGGACGGTCTCTAAAGTGGTCAGTAGGGCCCTTCAGTGCGTGGGAGTCGACAGGGGGCGGGTTCACCAATAGTCTGTGGTGCAAGCGGGTTGGGTCGTATGACAGACGGCGTCCCTGAGCAGGGGGACAGTCACAGTGCGTCGCGATAGAACGTAGCCATCCTCCACGGGGCATCGCTCCTGCCGGGCTTCAACAGTGGAATCTCGGGGGGACAGTGTTCGAGGCATGCACTGGTGACCCGTGGCTCGGGGCTGCTGGACATTGCACGGCTGGCTCCATCGGGTCGCTGGTCAGGCATTCAGGAGAATCTAGGAGTCCCTTGGCAGACCTTGTGACTGGCACAGCAGGAGAGCTGGTCGCCAGGAAACCCTCACATCACAGCGAAGAGCGAAACATGACCGCCGTGTAGCCGTTACTATGGTATGCCTTGCAACACAAGGGAGGAAGCTTACATCGATCGGTCCGTTTCACAGCCGGCCAGTCACACGAAGGTGGAATCAGCACGGCCCCACCTCTCAACGCAGGCCCACATGAAGGGTAATCTCTGTCAGTGTGTCATACAGCATAGGCAAGCGTCATGAAAGGGTATAAGCGCGGTAAGTGGAGCTGCCATAACCTTGCGTGACAGGGCTGCGCGGGCCGCAATGTTCTATGCATTTTTGCTGACCGGTCTCGCACTCGAGCTAGTACGGGCAGCGCAAGCCGGAGACGAATGCGAAGAGGTAGCTAGCAGTGAGCCCAACACTTGCAAGGCCTGTAGCGCCGTCGTCAACGGCAAGAAATACTGCTCGCAGTGCAACGGCGGTGGGTCTCAATCTGCCCCAACGGACGGAGTGTGCTCAGCAGACAATAACGAGTGTACCCGGAAGCAAGATGGGAAGTGCACACAGTGCGCTAATAAGTCCTTCATGTACAAGGGCGGATGCTACAAGGATAGCCAGGCACCTGGCAACACGATGTGTGAAACAGCAAATGCTGGAGTGTGCACACAGGCTAAGGAAGGATACTTCCTGCCGCCGGGCACTGATAACGCACACGACTCGGTTGTTTCGTGCGGGGATACAACGGGCGTGACGCTTACTGGCGATAAGAAGTACACGGGCGTGGCCGAGTGCGTCACCTGTACTCAGCCAGGGCAACTATCAATTGGTGGCACTAAGGCCGCCATATGCACCAAATGTGCCGCAGACCTCTACTTGAAAATAGATAGAGGCGTTATGGAGTGCGTCGCGGAATCAGGATGCGGCGAGGGCTTCTTCCCGACAATCGTCGACGGTGTTAAGAAGTGTGCTGGCTGTAGTGAAGCTGGAAGCGGTGGCATAGAAGACTGCGAACTATGCATACCTAGAGCACCTGCTCCTGAAGCAGGAGTCAAGGTCACCTGCTCTAAGTGTCATGCTAGTAAGAAGGTCAGCCCCCTCAAGGACGAGTGCATGGACAACTGCCCCGCCGGGACATACGACAAGCAAAACGTCTGCACCCCCTGCCACTCGTCGTGTGCCAGCTGCCAGACCGACGACAAGGAGACCTCCTGCACGGCCTGCTACCCTGGACACTCCCTTCTGTATGAGGCCAACGGAGCGACTGGGAGGTGCGTCAAGGAATGCACTGGTGCGTTCATTACCAACTGTGCAGACGGGCAGTGCACGGCTGACGTGGGGGGCGCGAAGTACTGTGCCCAGTGCAAGGAGGGATATGCCCCAATCGACGGAGTGTGCACAGCAGTAAAAATTGGGAGAGACGCGAGTGTATGCACAGCTGCAAGCGGGAAGTGCACGGCGTGCACAGGAGCATACGCCCTCATTTCTGGTGGATGCTATGGTGTGGCGAAGCTTCCTGGAAAGGCTGTCTGCACGGCAGCTAACAATGGAGAGTGCACTACTTGCGCGAACGGACAACAGCCCAGTGGAAAGGTCTGTCCGACATGTCCAGCTGGCTGCTCAAAATGTACAGGAAGTGCTCCTTCACAGCAGTGTTCGGAGTGCTTCCCGGGATACTATAAGTCCGGAACAAAGTGCGTAGCATGCGACAAGGATGATGGAAGCATTAAAGGCGTACCAAACTGTCTGAGCTGCAAGGAGCCAGCCAGTTCTTCCGGGGCTGTTACTTGCTATGTCAAGACAGACGGCACTAACAATGGCGGAAGCATGAACAAGAGCGGCCTTTCTACCGGCGCCATCGCGGGCATCTCCGTCGCTGTCATCGCTGTCGTGGGGGGTCTCGTGGGCTTCCTCTGCTGGTGGTTCATATGTAGAGGGAAGGCATAGGTACTTAGGTAGTGAATACTATGAGTGATGATAGTGGGGTGATAGTGTGATGATAGTGTGATATGCACAAAGGCTAGTGATGGAGTATGCACTACTTGTAAGACAGATAACGGCCTGTTCAAGAACCCGGCTGCACCTCAGAAGCCTGGTAATGAGTGCATCCTCTGTCATGATGCCACGGGAGCAGATGGATATATGGGAGTCGAGGGCTGCGCTACATGCACCAAGTCAGACAGTAATAAGGGGGCAGCCACGTGTACTGCCTGTCAAGCAGGGTACTACAAGGACTCTCAGGCATGTAGCAAGTGTGATGGTACTTGTCTGACCTGCGATGGAAGTGGTCAGAATCAGTGTACATCGTGCCCAGAGGGGAAGTACTTGAAGGGTGATAAGACTTGCGTAACTAGTGATCAATGCACGAGCACCGTTTATCCAGACCCAGAGTCTGGAACGTGCAAGGAATGCAGTACGATAGATCAAGCATGTACTACCTGTAAGTACAATGCGACTGTCAGTAAGCCCCAGTGCACTGCCTGTAATAACAATAAGAAGGTGAAGACGGCCATCGATGGCATCACAACATGCGTCGATATAAGCTCTGGCTGCGAGGATGCTGATCACTTCAAGGCAGATGGTGATGCTGCGTGTGTCTTGTGCAGCGATACCAGCGGATCAGACCCAAAGAACAAAGGCATTGCTGGCTGTAAGGCTTGCACGAAGACAGCAAGTGCCAATCCAACCTGCTCGGAGTGCCTGGAGGGATACAAAAGTACCGGAGTTGGTTCAGTAACATGCACCCCCTGTCACGCCAACTGTGCCACATGCTCAGCTGAAACTGCCGAGGATAAGTGTCTGACCTGCAAGACTGGGTTCTTCCTCGTTGAAGTTACACAACCGGCAGGAAAGTGTGTCTCATGTAGTGACACAAACAATGGGGGCATCGATGGATGTGTGGATACCTTACAGCATCACACCCGTCCAACTCAGCCATGCACAGGAGTCCCATTCTTCCCCCAGGATCTGGTCCAGTGCTCAGCTGGTTCGGATGCCCTACCGCACCTTGTTGGAGACTGCATTGAAGCTACTGATCCGGCGGTGCTCTGGACTCACTACCTACCATCAGATTGTCTTTGTTTTCGCATATTTACATAGTTGATGGCCATGGTCTTTCTCCGTTGTCCATTGAGGAATGAGACAATCAAATGATACTTGATATGAACCTTAAAGTGTTTCATGTGAATTTCTGAATGGTTGTCTTGTTCTGCTATTAGCGAGTATATCATCTAATGCCCTTCAAAGAGCTCTTCGCATACAACAGCTGATAGGAAGTGTATACCAAAATACAAAGTTTACATGTCTGAACGCTACACCTCTTTGGCTCCAGCATATGCTGTGTATTACGAGAACTATTACCCATATGAAGAAATTGTTGAGTGGCTCACGTACCATGGAAGCGTCCTCACTCAAAGGCGTGAATGGTCTTATGAAATAATCACAGCCACCGATGAGACCTTTGTCACCAGATTTCGCGAGATCTCAGATGCAGAACAGCTCAGATCTATACTTCGCTTTTCCTCGAAGACATTAGAGGACTTTAAGCTCAAGCTTGACATCGGACCCGTTTATACGAGTGATATGAGTCAACGCAAAACGCAACCGGAGTTTGCACCATGTGAGCGAGAGCTTGTGTTCGATATTGACGCAGGTGACTATGATAGAATTCGTACCTGTTGTGCCGGACCAGCCATGTGTGACAAGTGCTGGCGCTTCATGGAACTGGCAGTCCCTCTCCTTATCCTCTTTTGTCGTGTTCACGGTTTCAACGACTACTTCTTTGTCTTTTCTGGACGGCGGGGATTGCATTGCTGGATATGCGATGCTCGTGCACGGAAGCTTTCTAAGGACTCTCGCAAAAGCATGGTCGACGCATTCAATATCATTAGCATAGATACAGGAAGTGTTCTTCGGGAGTCATACGATCACTCCAATTGGCTTTGTCGCTTAATTCACGATCACATTTGTATACGTTTCTTTTCCCAAATGCTTGAAGAACAGAATTGGCTTGGTGGAGGTGTTGAAGAGCACTTAGCTAAGTACTCTAAGGAAAGCCTTCTGACAGAGCTACGACGGGCTGATTCTGCGCTGTTTTCGTCAGCGCCGATCTTTTTCTTTCTTCATATTACCTTATGCATTTACTCTTGCTTAGTTGCAGGAGGGTATCCTGTTACAACTGGTTCTGCCAAAAATTCAGACGGGCGATTTGCATCTCTTCTTACTACATTCATCGGAAAACTGACTATGATAACATCATCTGCCGCTCGCTGGACTGAGCTTGAGCTACTAATTAAGGATTATGATCCAATTCTTGCTGCCATCAGGGTGTACTACACATATCCCCGATTTGATGTAGAGGTCACTCGCGGGATGAACCATCTTCTAAAGATTCCATTCTCGGTTCACTCCAAGTCTCGTAAAATATCAGTCCCCTTTCCACCCGCACCAATCCTCAAAACCTATTCCATTGATACAGGAGTTCTTCAACTGGGACCCTTAGACACCGATGACTCCTTGCCAAGGTTTCTGCCATCTGATGCACCCACTGTGGACGATCTTTTGAGCGGACACACAGAGCACTACTTCAAGTACCGCACATATTTCTCCCGAATTGTTCATCAGGTGACAGCGCCATATGATGGAACTTAAAGGAAGACACACTGGTATATTCCAGCTCTTTTGATTCACAGGAAATCTATTTTCATAAGGTAGCTAACAATAACATTGCCAGTCGAGCACTCTGTTAAATATGTAACTAATATCAAGTAATAACTTCTACAAACCGCCATGAAAAAAGAGTTGTAAATAGAACGTCTCAAAACAATTATACTAGACTCCTGCAGCACTACAAAACATACTCATACAACTAATCGTACGGCTCAAGGTTGACAACGAAGTATTCGCAGTAGTGTGCAAATATGATAGCATATAGTTTATTTGGCCGATGAACCCTGAGTGAGCGCTTACTTCTTCTTTCCGTTCTTAGCTTTGCCTTGAGCTGGTGCAGTGCCTTGCTTTTTCGAGCTCTGTTTTGGAAACAGGGGCGGCAATTTCTCACCCAGCGTCAATCCTGGCGCAATGTAGCCAATGGTCAAGACTTCCCTTTTAATAACTCGGTCTTCACTCGAAACTCCAAGTTGGTCTAAGATGAGCGGGGCCTTCTGTGGTATAAACGGAAGCAAGAGGGTTGCACAGACACGTAAAAGTTCATTAGCGCAGTACATGACGAATTCATGGCCATTCTTGGTTTCCGCCTTCTTGATCAGGACCCACGGCATCGTCAGTTGAATATAATTATTAATCCCAACTAAAATCTCAAATATCTTGGAAAGAGCTCCTGGAATGTCGATATTGTCCATAAGGTTGGTCACTTCCTCACAAATCGCAAGTCCTTTATCCAGAAGATCAGAGATATCGTTGATTTTTATTATAGAAGAAATATTTTCACGCTCACCCGCGTCAGCTGGCAATAGTTCTGCTATAGAGCTCCTTCTACTTTTCATCCAAAGAGACCGGATCTGTGCAAAGCTTACGCCTTCAAATAGCTTCGACGGATCTGTCCAGGCTCTGTCCGGTAGTAACGAATCTGCGGTGCAACGCATGGTCAGGTTGCCTAGAACATTCGCTAAGTCTGATTCTGTACGCATCGAGATAAGTTCCTCCGTAATACCGGGGTCATTTGCTGGAGAACCTTCACGCAACATGAAGTATTTAACGCCGTCCAAGCCATATGCCTCCACCAGGGACATTGGATCGAGGGCATTACCGAGACTTTTCCCGATTTTCTGGTGATTTATTGTCCACCACCCATGGATGAAAAAGCGTCGAGGACACGGTATGCTTGCGCCCATTAGAAACGCAAGCCAATAGACACAGTGGAATCTGGCAATATCTTTCCCCAAAAACTGGACATCGGCAGGCCACAACCTACTGCTAAATGTTCCATCTGGATTGATTGTAGAATCAGCAGCGGTTAGGTATATAGCTAGTGCGTCAATCCAGACGTACATAACGTGGTCACTGTCCCCTGGCACAGGGATCCCCCATGAGATCTTGTCTTTGGAACGGGAAATGGAGATATCGTGAAGCCCCGAGTGAATGAAGGAGACTATTTCGGCCTGTCGAAAGGCGGGTATGATGATCTCAGGATTGTCCTGGTAAAATTTGAGCAAGGGCTCCTGAAATGACGAGAGTCTGAACTTATAGTTTTCCTCGCTCAAAAACACACAAGGTTGGCCAGACTCTGCAGACACTTTGCATGGCTTCCCTTGAGCATCAACACCATCCTTGAGATTTGTCTCTGTTACAAAAGCTTCGTCGGCAACACAATACCAACCTTCATACTTATCTTTATAGATCAGTCCAGCAGTACGCAGCTTCTCCCAAAGTTTGGTAGCCATCTCAACATGCTTAGGCATCGTCGTGCGCATAAAGACATCCGGGCACAGACCAAAGTTCTCCAGAAAGTACGTTTCAAATGTCTTAGCCATGTTATCACACCATTGCTGCGGTTGCAGTCCCATTTTCTCGGCAGACTGCTGGACTTTCTGGCCGTGCTCATCGGTTCCAGTCATGAGGTAAGTCTCAAAACCTTGGAGTTTTCTAAAGCGCTTCAAAGTGTCTGCAAGCAGCGTTGTGAAGACATGACCGATGTGAGGCTTTCCATTAACATAGTAAATAGGCGTGGTAAGATATACCTTTCTTGCCTCCATTTTATTTAAATCATTAAATTCACCATGTCACCTTATCAGCAAACAGACTCTCTGCAAGACGTGATTAGGCGCTATATAGCCGACATGCAAGCACGGGGGCATCCTCCAAAAGATATTCTGAGTCAGGTCCTCCATCTTACTTTGGATGTTATCTTTCCAAGTGGGCCATGCTCTACAAGCTCATCAACTGTAGCAGCCCCACAGGCACCTCCACCCACTGCAGAAGAGGCAAAAAAGGCTTCAGGTCAAGAGGAAGGAACCTCGTCTTCTTTTTATTCTTCCTTTTCTTCTTCTTCGTCTCATCAGCCTACTCCTAGGCCACAGTCTCCCTCGTCTTCCTCCTCTTCTTCGTCTTCTTCATCCTCCTCATCTTCATCTTCATCTTCATCTTCATCCTCATCTTCCTCGTCCTCGTCCTCATCATCTTCTTCCTCTTCCTCTTCTTCGTCGAGTTCTCGCTCTAGCTCTCACTCCAGCTCTAGCCACTCTACTACTGATTCTGAAGAGTCTTCTGGGTCTCTAAGTGTGCCATCTCCGGAAACATCATCGTCTTCGTCCTCATCGAAGTCCTCACCCAATGAGGTTATAGAGCCATCCATAAAAAGGCAAGAGAGACCGTACTCACACAGTGAGAAGACTAGTTCGACAGAGCCTCGTCGCGTAACAGAGATGTATCGTGACATGCACAATTCCACTGGTAATAGTTATCGCCAAGCAAAGGCCAAAAGAAAGAGCGGATCTTTTTCAGGGGGTTCAGTGATAGATCCCAGTGTGCGCTATAGCAAGAGCTTAAGTTGATACAAGCAGCTATGTAAATTTACCTTTGTTGTGCAAGACTTCAGCTTTGGTCTCTTCCTGGATCAATGCGCGCACGGTACCCCTTATCTCATCAACTTGCTTGAGCGTCACTGTTAGATCTTTGAGTGCTAACTTAAGAGATCTGACCTCTCGTTCCTTCTTATCTAGCATGTCTTCTGCGATACGACAGTTTTCTCTAACCTTCAAAAGCATGTCCTCTTGCCTTCTGTAGGCCTGCTCCTTATCTTCCAACTGAGCCATCAAAAGCTTCATACTTGGTGCCATTAACCCCTGCTCTGTTACTTTCTGTGTTAAGCTCTCCAATCGTACAATTCTGTCTTGCAGAATTCTTCGCTCATCTTTCAAACTGCTGTTCTCCCGTTTGGTAGTATCCAACTCCCTGGCCAGTGAGGCAATTCTTCCGAGCAATAGATCGTTATCCTCACGTCGCAACGGGACGCCAGGTTCCGCATACTGCATGTTGCCGGTGTATACCTGGAGAAGAGTATCGACCACAGCGTCGTAGCCTGGATCTGTTGCACCGTCATGGCCCCTAGTTAAGGCCATTATAGAAGACGCCCCTGTCATTGCCTTTCTGATCTTTAAAACCTCCTCTTCATGAAGAGACTTTTGGCGTGCTTGCTTTGTCTCTAGCTCGATGATACGCTCGCGGCTCTGCGCATTCATCCGTTGCATGTTTAAATACTCTTCCCGAGCTGCGTCAAGCCTCTTGACCAGCTCTCCTTTCTCGCTGCGTATATCCATTAGCTCTGACCGCATATCGTGAACTAGAGCAGAGAGCTGTTCAACACGTAGCTGAGATGCAGCAAGAGCGCTCTGGGCATGCAACTCTCGTGCAGACATCTCCTTCAACTCCTGCTCACGATTGAGCTGCATCTGCTGCACAAGAGTTCGCTCGTGGGCTAGCTCAGCCCGTAGGCGCGCTAAATCTTGAGCTAGGGACGCTTCTTTCGCTTGTTGAAGACCGTGGACTATCTCCCATTCTTGAGGGTTCATTTTATTGACACGCTACAGTCCTAACAGACATTATTGAACGGAAAGCCAATCCATTGGCCGGCAGATTGAGGTAGGGCAGGCTTTAATCACAAGTGAATCAAAAAAATCATGATTATCTCTCCCATTCCGCGAGGATTGACGGAGCAGTTAAAGGTAATACCACTGTCTGTAATATTCTTAGGTAGTAAGGAGTATGCGAATGGAGTTAATTTGAGGGCATCTCTGCTATTTGTGTACAGTGCAACGGCCTATCTCTTGGTTTCATCAAATTTGAATATAAATGCTCTTCCCTTTTTCCTTCGTGCCTTGGTTGTCTCCACACTTTCTCTTTTCCCTGCAGCGGTCGTCTGCACGCTCTGGGTTGTTCGCTATCACGTAGAACTGGACTTTCTGCATAGCATCTCTCAGATTGTCATTCTTTCTACTGCTTTGTTGCTGCTGCCCCCATTCCCTGGCACCACCAATGTAGTCGACTCTATAATGGTGATTCAGTATATAATTTTTATTTATAGTGTATTGATACTATTAGATAACATACTGCTTTCTAGATTGCTCGGAGCAATCGGCTGGAATCGCTCCTTACAAGCAAGCGCACCTTACTACTGGGCTGCCCTCTCTTCTGCGCGATGCTGTCTCCAGTCTGTTTACTTGTCCCTGTGCTCTCTATATTTTATTAAATTTCGAAATGCATCTACCAAGGGCCAAAACGTGCGGTTAAGACGCTTTTTAGCCCATAAGAAAGCGCAGACCTTGCCAGCGGAGCGTTTAACTATTCTATCAACCCGTATAGACATCGACAGACAGACGAGGTCGTTCGATTTATTATATATCGTTCTGATACTGGTTATTTATGGCCATATATGGTATACTAGTGTCTGGAAGGGAAATGCCATAGCCAAGTACCTGCCACAGTACTATGGAGTAGGAGACCTTATCCCTTTATATTTCGACCGAACGTCATCATATAAGATTGCAGGTTGTGATAATTTAACACAGTATATGTTATACTTAGTCCTATTCTTTATTATAGGCTGGCTCTACTACCATCTTTGTCAGACAAAATTGCACCGCTTGAAGCTACAACATGCCTCCAGAGACCTTACCCAGGCATTCTGTCGTAAGGGTTTCCATCTCCTCTACATAATAGTGCTTCTATCTCTATTCTCTGATCCAATCGCCTTCTTCGTTCTTTCTTCAATAGCCGTGGGTTGCTTCTGTATATTGGAGGCCGTGCGTGGTCAGGTGCAGACCCCCTTTCACACGTATACACAGTGCTTTGTTGTAGATAAGCGCAGAAACGTGGAGCTATCCCATATCTTTCTATTACTTAATGGGAGTGTCTTTCCTGCTGTCTACTTTCTCCTTTGGCTAGCTGCTGGCCCTCCTGTGCATACACCGGATGCTCATGGCGATACACACCATTCATCCAATATTTGGTCCAAAACTCTTTATTTTATTCGTGCTAGAGACACTAAGCTGCAAAGCTATGACTCGTTTTTGTCGGCTGGCGTTGTGACAACTATCTGCGCGGATGCGTGCGCTGTATACGCATCTATTATTTTCACCTACATTACTGGCTTTCCTCCCCGTCGCTATAAAGATATATTCTATATTAAATTTAAATCTAATCTGATTGTAGTATCCGATTCATCAGAAAAAAAAGATTCGACGACTAAACAGTTATCACCCAAGTGCCGCTATTTTTCATCTCACTACAGAAACAGCATTCCGGTCACCTTAGTCTCAACCAAAACGACGTGTACCGGGCTGTCTCCATTCAGTAGAGGATGTCACAACGCCTGTTTAAATAAAAACAGAACATTTGTGGGCAGCATTGGATTCTGGATATCGTCCACCCTTATTTGCGCCCTACTGTATGGGTACTCTATTGGGCAGAGCTTACTTCTAAGCATGATTACTGCCCTTGCAGAGACTGTCTCGTCCATGGATAATTTAATTCTTCCATTCATATTTATATGTTTCCGTGGACTTGTGTATCATCTACTCTGATTTATCAGATAGTCTATGATATAAGAGCTACTCTTTAACCTCCTGTATCACTCTCTTCAGAGAATCTAGTTTATATTGCATAGCTGCTTGCGCCTTATACGCATTGTCGCGCTCCTTCTCAAGTGCAGTGCATGCTTCTGCTAGTTTCAGCAGCTCAGCATCGCGAATGCTTAGCTCTCCTGTTAGGCGAGTAGTATCTGCTTTACACTTTTCGAGCGCTTCGTCGGCAGCCCTAGCACGATCTTGCTGTTCTTTTAGTGCCTCCTTCAGAGACTTTAGTTCTTTATCTAGTGCTGTACAGCGCGCTTTTCTTTCGGAACACTTCTTTTCTAGAGCAGCTAGCTCACAGTCAGCCTTATCTCTCTCTTCTTCAGTCAATTTTAAATCATGCAAGAGGCTTCCTGCCCGTGCTTCCAGCTCTACTATTCGTCGATTCAACTTTGTGCATTTATCACATTCTATTGAGCCACCGTTTTTCTGGACTGCTTCCTCTTCTGCTGTCAGCACAACAGGCTGTGTCTGGGAGCACATGTCCTTACTTTTTAGGGCTAGCGGTGGACATATAAGGCCATCTGTGTCCCGTACGTCATATTGTTGGTCACAGTCTCTCAACTTCCGCTGCTTAGTTTGACTTCCCTTAGTTCTTTCGTCGACACTGCTTTGGCTATGGATATCATCCATTGCAGTGCCCTTAGATAAGAGCTCCTTCTTGGGACCAATACAGGAATTGTTAGCATCAAGGTCCGTGATAAGCTCACGTGTGTTTGTGTAAACCATATTGTCTTCACTGCTGCATGTTGCTTTTTCAGCTAGTACTATTTGTGGATGCAGTTGCATAAGTGTGGATATTTGCTCATGCGCCCGTTGAAGATCTTCCTGTAGCCGTACTGCAATAATATCCTTTTGTTCTACCTCCAGCATGAGTCGTTCTTTATCCTGTATGACTGTGCGAAGATTATCTGTTAATACGTCATTTGTGCACTGGAGTTCCTTCAAGCTGGGAAGAAGCTTTTGCTCCACCCCGTCCTTATACTGACTTAGCACCTCTGCCTCCTTTTTATATTCAAGTGCCCGCTGCTCTGCAGCAGTATATTCTTTCACTAGCTCTTCATTGAGTTTTCTGGCCTCGGCAAATCTTTCCTTAAGCTGCGCATATTTTTCTGTTTTCTTTGCTAACGTGTGCGTGCATGCGTCGAGCTTTGTTGCAAGAAAAGCTGCTGCATGGTCGTCCGTTGGGCTTTGGCTAGTTGACTCCTTGTTCCGGCGCTTGTGCGTGTCAGTCTGTGAAGAGCAATACTCTTCTGTTTGTACGTAAGAGAATACTGTTGATACTGTGCATTGAACTTCATTACTTTTAGTAGAAACATAGCATTGTGACACTGCATCAGAAGTCTCGACCGAAAGTATTTCTAGATGCCTTACTGGCTCGTACTCTAGAGTCTTCCTTGATAAAATTCTAGTTGGTGAGCGGGGAGACGATAAAAGCTGGGGTGACTGAGGAACATTGCGTGTTTCTTTGTTAAGCTTTTCCTGCCGCAGATCATACTGAGTTGTAACGTCAGTGCATTCATGGATCAATTTGTGAATGTTCTGCAGAATATTGTCGTCCGTGTAAAGAGACGACAAAGACAGGTTCATGTCCTCTGAGCCTTAGCTTTTTGAATTCTCAACTGAGTAAACGACAGACAGGGATGAGTAGTGGTAAAAAAGTTTACACCATCACCACTCAGCATAATCGTTGTTATCGTCCTCATGATTGTCTCGAAGCTCTCCACTTTGACCTGAGTCTGCAGCACTGGCATCAATGTTTGTTGCGCTTTGCGAGCGCACAGAGGATGCGCTTCCGGATCTACTGGCAAACATTCCTCCACTATTTCGAATAGAAGCAGCTGTGTTCTCATAGCTCATATTAGTGGAGTGGGTAAAGATTCCATATCTACCTGCTCCTTTCACATCAACAAGATCGGACGTATCATATTGATTGCTATGCGTGCTTGCCTTAGATGCCAGTGCTGAACGGAAGCTGTTGATGCTGTTACAAGAAGTCATAGAGAATGCACTCATCTTGCTATTAACTGCACTTGTAATGGATGCTATTCTAGAGTCCCTGCCGTCAACGATGTTACTCAGTCCTCGGGACCTACTAGTGATGGTTAGCTGTGTGGGAAGACTGGACTTTGCTGAAGTCAAGGTATTGGCCGTGTAGCTTGAGAAAATACGTGAAGCGTTTTCGGCTTGTCTTGAGCGGTTGCACCCAGGGCTGAATAGTGGATTCATATTAGCATCCACACGTCCACCTGCAGACACGACACTCCTTACAGATGAGTGTGAAGTGTACGTGGAAGTTGGTGTCACCATTGCAGTGGCAGTTGGAGAGATAAAGGTTGTTGAAAACGGCATTCCCATGCTATCGACTGGTGTTTCTTCTGCTCCGGCTGTGGGCCTGACTTCTGTAGTCGCATTATGGACCTTAAGATAATAGGAGTTCGGGAAAAGTTCATCCTCGTTAATACTTGGAAGTTCTGCACAATTGAGCAGAAGATCAAAACAACCAGTTCCAAAGTCACCTTGCTTCCCCATAACAACACAAGAAGAGACAGACTTGAGAGGATCCACAACACCAAACGCAGCTGCCTTGAGGACGGTTGCCCCGGGGCGCTCGAAGGTAGCTTGTGCCAGCACACCAGTATTGGTTGCTTGCATACCATATCGATTTATAGATATCATCTTGTTATTTTGGGGCCGCGAGGACATAATATCGGCCAAAATTAAGTAGTGGTGAATATTGAGGTCTACCTTGTCAAGGGTCGCTCTGATCTGTTTTATAAATAAGGCTCGTGCTGCTTCTATTCCCAAGATTTCATAGATCTCTCGCACGTTTGTAGTCCACGTCCTGGTAAAGTCCACCTCTGGCTGCGTCAAAATCCAAAGGAGATCAGAACCGTCTGTCTGTAAATAGAGCTCGCTAATATCGCTGTTGGGTTGAGTAAATTTCCCTATCGAACCTATCTTGCTTAGATCTCCTTCTGACATTTTGTGCATAGAGAGCCCGTCACTGGAGCCCTGAGAGAAGACGTCTACGTTAGATGTGAAGCCATCATAACCATAATGAACCAGCGGATTGGACGACGCCATGAAAACCTTTCTGATTGACTCATTGCCCGATATGTGAACATTCCTGAGAAATGCATCAACGCCATCATATCGCTCCGCTAGCAATCTGCTCTTTTCCATGTCTGGCGCCCCACTACCAATGGCGCTCCCCTTGACGGCGTTATACTCATCCTCAGTGAGGCTGGGTCTAACTCGTATAACAGTTTTGCCCAAGCCGGTATAGTAATTTATTATTGGCATTTCACGGCCAATCATGGCTTTTTGCTTAATGTTAATGTCATCTTCATCGTCCTCATCGTCGTCTTCAGACTTTGGGCGACCCGCTCTTGATGTGTATATTTGTTGCAGCATCAGTATCAACCTACTCACAAGTGTCTGAATGGTAATCCCAGCTTCGATCTTCTGCTGCATCTGTTTCAGTCCTATTTCATATCGGAGAACAAACGGAGAGTAGAAGCGAACAGCTTCGTTTGGACGCTCTCCATAGACTTGCTGTTGTAAATGCCCTATTTCCGATTCTAGGTGGAGCCATTCCCTGTCGTCCGCAACACAGGTGAGCTCATCAAATGGATCAAAAATAAGTTTGTAGTCATCTATATAATAGTTGAATGTTGTATGTTCTATTTTCGCAGCCAAGTTCATCCACGCCTTAGATTGTCGGATGTTTCTCCCGGTAGCCTCCTCGGCTGATGCGATATTGTAGCTGTTGGGACGAGGAGCCACAGGACGGTTGAAAAGCATCGGAGAATGGCTAGTACACCGAGTATCCACACCAGCATTGGCAGGGTCCTGGTTAGAAATGTTAAGATATATGGTGCTGACGGAAATCTTTGGATTTCGGAAGTCGATGAGCTCCTTGAGGCGAGGAAGCCCAAGGCCTCCGAGTGCGGAGGTTCCTGCTGTATGGAACGTGTTGAGAGTAAGTTGTGTAGCGGGCTCGGAGACAGAGTGTCCAGCCAGTGGCCCAACAGGTTCTCCTGGAGAAACTTGGCCTCTAACAAACTTTTCCTCAATGGTTGCAAGAATTCTATCCAGTTGCTCACTGGTAAGACGGTATTTATAACAGCATGACTTTGAAGACAAGCATTGCCGCAGAATGACTCGGAATAGAGTAGATTCTTTCGGCCGAAAGGACTTTATCCTAGAGAGGAGCTTGTTCACCTTTTCTATAGCCTCAAAGGGCTTGAGATAGCATCTCCACGCAGACTCTCGGATCAATCTACTAACCTTGTTGATAGAGCCTGCTTGGATCTCTGATTGAATTATTCTGTCCAGATTCATCCCAAAGGTGAATTTCTTGACATCTGTGTCTAGGGTAATTCTAGAGCGCTGGAGCCAGATCCTCTCCAACAAGAGGACAATGTATTCGACAAGTATAGTGCTAATCGCAAAGTCTCGTTCTAGCACAAGTGATGATTTTACCCCAATATCCAGCCAAGAGTCGTCTATGTTTTCAGGAACATACCCAGGTGAGCTTTCTGCATCCATAAATAGCGCATAATGGTTCTGTAGATATGACGATAATTCAGTAAAGGAAACCAGGTTATTATCCAGGACTAGATTGTCGAACCCTTTAGCTCTTAATTCGTCGTCACATACCTCGTAGAATGAAACTCCATCGCAGAGATGAGCGAATTGCTCGGGAGTATCACGGAGCTTGGCAATGATAACCGCGAATTTTTCCCGAACTAAAGTAGCGTAGAAATCGGTGCTCTCATCCATCTCAGTGTTCTGAAAATCGACTATCTGCGACCAATCAATATAGTGAGCACGCAAGAAGTCCATGTCACTTATGGAGAAGTCCTTGAATTCGCGGCTTTCTGATTTGTGCGGATCTATCCCGTCGTCTCCATATCGGAATGAAATAATCTCGTTGGAGTCATTGCGGACAGAGTTGTCATAACGATAACAAACAGACTCCATTACCTTTAGGAGCTTTCTTTCAACATATCCGCTATCAGCTGTTTTGACCGCAGTGTCACACACTCCTTCACGTCCACCCACAGCATGGAAATAAAACTCTGCTGGATTTAGCCCCCTGATGAATGAGTTGAAAATGTAGCCCCGGCTCTCCATGTTTAAACTGCTGAAAGGACTGTAGCAGGGGAGAGACCTGTGGGTCTCGAACCTATGCGGCATGCGCTTGCTTTGGAGAAACTGTTGGCCCAATGACGATGAGATTTGCATCATATTGAATTTCTTCCCCTTCGACCCAGCGTTTATCATAACCAGAAGCGCATTTCTATGAGGAGCCGCATCGGTAATTACCTTCTCCAAGGCAAGAGAAGTGCCAGACACCTTTGAAATGACCTCTTGCTCAAATGCATCATTTCGGGACTGTCCTGGGGCCAGCTTAATTTTGTAATGAATAGATAGTTTAAACAGCTCACTGATGTCTTTTGAAAGCTTGGTCTGAATCTCAGCGACTTTCCTCTCAGTGTGTTCTGACGACACCATATCTCCCATTCCAACAGAGAACCCATGGTCCAGCATAAACCGACACACAACACGCTGACAATTATCGATGAACGCTCTGCATGGCTCAATGCCATAATCCCTAAAGAGGATGTGGATTAGTGCACTTTCAGTTCCTCCTACGACAGATGATGCTATGCGACCACACATAACACTGCCATCCAGAAAAGAAATGTATTTGTCTGCATGTGCGGATATGTCTTTGGGATCTCCAGAGCGGTAAAACACACCTCTAGGTACAAACATAGAGAACACTTGTTTACCAGTCCACCGTGCTTCTGGATAGCAAATGGCGGGCTGGGAAACATTAAGGAGAACATGGTCATTAGTATTCACGTTGCTTCCAGGGCGTTTAAAGTATGCGCCGTTATCGTTATTGATATTGTCCTCATATGCCTTTCGAGATGCGCTAGAGGCGCCATAATTGCCAGTAGAAAGATACGATCCTCGTCCATCAACTACACTACCAGTAGCAGAGTTACCCACCAAGTACGATGAAGAATCATACTCAGCAGGATTGTAAGAGCCAGAGGTGTGGTCACTAAAGTCGTAAGACATAGATGCTGAAGAGTGTCCTCGCTGGTTCACCGACCCCTTGTCGTATCTTTGCAGTTTGTGTGCATACGTAGGGTCGGAGGTTCTGCTAAATCCCATCCACATGATGTACTCACATACCCGTGCAAAGGGAATAGTTACATCCTTCCCTGTGAACAAGTAACAGCCCAAGAGAACATCCTGAACGATGTAGACGATGGGCCTGTTATCCTTGACGGAAACAACCTGGTTGCTCACCATGCAAAGCTCACTAATCTCTGCGACAGCCTCTAGACTCTGCAAGGCATGTAGGTTCATTTCGTCTCCATCAAAGTCTGCATTGTAGGAGGATGTCGCCGAAAGATTTAATCGATACGTGCTGTAAGGAAGGACCTTCACACGGTGGCCCATAAAGGATGACTTGTGAAGGGTTGGCTGCCTGTTAAACAAGACATAATCACCATCAAGCAGATGCCTGTTAACTATGGTTCCTAGTGGAAGAGGATCGTTGGTGGTTTCTCCACCCAGTCGCCCGTCTGCGTCAGTGGAAGAGCCCCAGCCAGTTGAGTTTATTACCTGAGTGTCTATAAGCTGGACGGTGCCACTGGGAAGTGTCTTGCTGACGGCTCCAGGGTAGCGGTTGCCGTTGGAAACAAGCTTCATAAGAAAGTCACGGTTGCGTGCAGTAACAACCTCTGGGAACGTAAGCCTACTTGCAACAGAACGAGGCACCCCTAACTCGTTGATGCTGATAGTCGGATCACCAGTAATAACGCTCCGTGAACAATAGTTAACGCGCTTTCCCATTAAGTTGCTTCTCATTCTACCATACTTTCCAGAAAGACGCTCGAAAATTCCCTTGGTGGGCACAGAACCTCCATCTGCGTTGAGTCCTTTGGCAGAGATGAGAGTCTTGTATGCGTTATAAATATCGTTGGGCCCAATTTGAGACTTAGCACCCGTGGCGCCACCGCCAGCGTTTAGACTATTATTGTTGCAATCTCTTATATTGCGAAACAAGGAGACATACATTTCGGTCAATTGATCTTCTGCTGTTGTCCCATCTGTCCTAATTGAGGGACGAACTGCACGGGACCCTACCTGTATGGAGGAAATGATGAAGTTCTCTATATGGTCTCTCTTCAGACCCAACAGGACGATGTCATCTTTGTTGTAGCGCGTAATAAGGAGCTTACATGTGTGAGCATCCATTAGCTGATCTTGATCCTTGGCTTGCCTTGCAGTGCTTCCTCTTGTACTCTTAGAGACAGCTAGGATTAGTGGTTGTGGCGCCACGCCGTTCCTGGACGTCCCGGAAGCCTTCTTCCTGTAAAGTATATTCCTCTCACAGCAAGCAATCGTAGCTGATAGTTCCGCTAATTTTGGGAGAAAGTTCAGGGTTGGCGTAGTATCTCTGAGTCTGTTTAAAGCGTTTATGGCAAGCTCACGGTCTGTTTCCTTGAAGAGTCTAAAAAACTTTAGGTGATAGCAATTGGGGCAAAAGCAATTCATCAAAGTAGCTAGGTCATCTATTATCATGGGGTGAAAGATGTCGTAACCAAATTTAACTACACCGAGGTGACCAGGACAGAGAACTGAGGGATCCTGGTCACCAGCCTTACCACTGCATGTGGGGCACTCGTTTTCTTCCTGGAAGATGACGCCTAAGCGAGTGCTGTTCAGCTCCGAGAACATGCTCATTTGATCACTTGAAGACTCCCTTGGCACAATGGGAATAAGGGAATTCTTTTCGTTCTCGCTGAAAAGAGTAAAGCGAACACGCTTTGGGACTCCATAAGGAATCCGCAAAGCAAACTCTTTGTCCATTGTCTAGCTTTTTTTACACTTTTGCTTAAGCCAAAAAAAATACCATGAAGTGCCTTTCTCGACTTCAGGCCATTGAGAAGAAATGGCAGCGGTACTGGAGCTCCAGGAACACCTTTATGGCCGAGCCTCCGGTTGGCTCCGATAGAGATAAGCGTGACTCCAAGAAGTTTTTCGTGACTTTTCCTTACCCCTACATGAATGGCAGGCTCCACCTAGGCCATCTCTTCTCTGCCACCCGTGCTGAGTTTGCCGTGGGCTATCATTTGATGAGGGGCGACAGTTCTCTGTTCCCGTTTGGCTTTCACGTAACAGGTATGCCCATCTGTGGGGCGGCTAAAAAGCTTGCCGATGAGATAGAGCACTATGGTTGTCCACCTGTCCTACCGACTGCAGACAGTTTAGAGTTGCCCGGGAGTGTTACCGCCTCTGAGAATGCCATCGACAAAGTAGGTCAATTCAAGGCTAAGAAGGCCAAGCTCAATGCTAAGACGGTCTCCAAGTCGCAGTGGGATATACTTATCGACCTCGGTGTCCCCGAGAAAGAGATCCCCAAGTTCGTCGATCCCTATCATTGGGTTAAGCATTTTCCTGCTCTTTGTTATAAAGATATGTGCAAGTTTGGAGCGCGGGTGGACTGGAGGCGCTCTATGATCACAACGGATGCTAATCCATACTACGATTTATTCGTTAAATGGCAGTTTAGAAAGCTTTACCGTGATGGATACATCAAGTTTGGAAAGAGAAACTGCATATGGTCTCCCTTAGATGGCCAGGCGTGTATGGATCATGATCGCTTCTCAGGTGAGGGGGTACAGCCACAAGAGTACATAGGCATCAAGCTCGAGCTTATAAATTATACCACTCTTCTGGAAGAGCAGCGTGAACAACAACAAGAGGGAGAGGAGGAAGGTGATGGCATGGATGATAGTCTGGCAGAAAAGCTGAACATTAAGCTTCCGCGCTTTTATAGCAATCCTAAAAACAAAGCAATATTTGATCAGCTCTGGGAGAATCAGGTAGATAACGCTAAAGTTTATCTCCTCGCTGCTACGCTCCGTCCTGAAACGATGGTTGGCCAAACTAATTGCTGGGTCTTGCCGACAGGGAGGTACGGGGCATACTATATTAATAAGGATGAGGTAATCATCGTTTCAGAACATGCCGCCGTGAACATGGCCCACCAAGGGTTGAACAACAACAAGCCGTTTGGAGAATTGGATTTTATATGCGAAATATCTGGTTCTGATCTTCTCTTGGCTACCGTCCGAGCCCCTCTCAGTCCTTACGAGCAAATCTTTGTTTTGCCTCTGGAGACAATTAAGATGGATAAAGGAACAGGGATAGTGACATCTGTTCCTAGTGACGCGCCAGACGACTACGCGTGCTATAAGGATATCCTCGAGAATCGCAACGGAATCGCCGAAAAGTATGGAGTGGACGTTGGTCTGATGCTTGAGCCATACAGTCCTCTGCCAATTATAGAGATACCCGACATAGGGACTCTCTCTGCCGTGCGTCTTTGCGAGGAAAGCAACGTATCCTCGTTACATGATAGAGCAAAGCTAACTCAGATAAAGGAGATTTGTTATACCAAGGGATTCTATACGGGAATCATGAAGATGGGCCCATTTGCCGGCCAGTGTGTAAAGGATTGCAAGCAAAGCTGCAGAGATCTCCTCGTCCAAAACAATCAATGCATAGTGTATTCTGAGCCAGAGTCAGAGGTCATTTCCCGCTCTAATTGCGTATGTGTCGTTGCTGCAGCTGATCAGTGGTACCTCGATTACGGAAATGTCGCATGGAAGGATAAGGTGCGCTACAACATCGAGAAGTATTTAAACACCTATCACGATGAGGTGAAAAATCAGTTTAATCGTACAGTGGACGGGTTCAGAGAATGGGCTGCCTCTCGTTCTTTTGGTTTGGGAACAAAGCTGCCTTTCGACGAGAGATACGTCATTGAGTCGTTATCGGATAGCACAATTTACAATGCCTATTACACGGTTGCTCATTACCTTCAGGGAGGAAGCTTGGATGGATCTACCAGTCTATTTCCTGTCGAGATTGTTGATGACTCCTTCTTTGATTATGTCTTTGATTTATCCAACAATCTTCCTGAAAAGTTCATGGAATACTTTAGTACTGATCCAGCTGGAGCTGACCGTTTGCATCAGCTTAAAAAGAGCCTTCTAGTTCCGGGAGTCAACTCTCAGATAATTCTTGCTATTAGATCTGCAGAAGACCTGCTCACTGCAATGAGAGAGTCTTTTTGCTTCTGGTACCCTGTGGACTTGCGTTGTTCTGGCAAGGATCTTATTCCAAACCACCTGACGATGATGTTGTACAATCATACCGCTATCTGGTCTGATGACGAGGCAAAATGGCCCAGAGGAATGCGTGCCAACGGACACCTTCAGCTCAATGATGCAAAAATGTCGAAGGCCACCGGGAACTTCTTGACAGCTGATGAGGCCATACGCAAGTACGGTGCAGATGCCGTTCGATTTGCCCTGGCTGACGCTGGTGATGGGCTTGACGATGCCAATTTCAGAGAGGAAACAGCGAACAATGCTGTTCTGCGTCTCTATAATCTCCTTGCAACCTGTCAAGAACTTCTAGCAGCCAGTGCCGTGTGCTACCCCGAGTCTTATGAGGACATTTACAGCACAATTGAAGCAAGCTCTGCTGATTGCATACACGAATGTGTCTTCCTGGCATCTATACTCGATTGCACACTCCGTGCTTGTTCTGCATTTGAACGATGTAGTTTCCGGGAAGGACTTATCATCTCATTCAACGAATTGGGACACTCTCGGGACCAGTATATCCATAGTTGCGAGACGAGAAGAGTGCCTTATTGCCGCTTTCTCATCGAAGAGTACGTCAGCACCCAAGCCAAGCTTTTGGCTGTTATATGCCCACATATTGCCGAAGAACTCAACGCAGAGGTACTTGGTAGGTCGAACTCCATCTTCCGTGATCCGCTCCAATCTCAGGATACACTAGCAGAGGCACTGAAGCAGCTGCGTGTGTTTCTCAAGATTGATGAATACGTACAAGCTACAATTGTGCGTCTGAAAAACTATTTGGTGGACGTACTCAAACCTCGAAAAGATGGAACTGTGAAGCTTCCCAATGGTGCCAAGATTGCTCAGGTTTATGTAGCCCAAGACTGCCCTGAATGGCAAACTCGTGTTGCGGAGTTTCTCTCTAGCATGTATTATGACGAGACGGAGGAATATGGCGGATTAGGCGCTTTGCCAAAAGATGCCTCATCCCGCGTGAGCAAGTACTGCATAGACGTCCTAGAAACACCAAAGAAAGATCTTCAGAAAGTCATGAAGTACGCTGCACAACTCATATCTGCATCCAAGACAGACGGCCCGGACGCGCTAGTAACAAAGCTGCCGTTCTCGGAACATAAAGTCCTTTCTGCATACAGTGATGCAGTCAGAACTGGCCTAGGAGTTGAACAGATTTCTTTCTACATGGTTGGAGAAGGACCCGTGCCGCCTGAGTCTTGCAAAGCTGCTACGCCAGGAAAGCCAATAGTATTCTTTGAGTAATGGATGCTATAGCAGTAAACCTGACTAACTATATCCGGCCGATCAGACTGTTTCTAGGTATTTCTGGAGGTTTGTACGTGTATTAGAACAAAAGCTACTCTAGTTCAAGGGTGGAGGAATCGCACAAAGGTAAGCAACTGAGACGAAAAGCAAATGAAGGGGCTGCGACACTTGGCTGCTGCTTGACACACTTACAGAGAAACTAGGTCACTCATTAGCAAGAGGCTACAGATTAAAGCGGAGATTGCTGTCCTGCTTATCGTCTGAATTGTGACCTTCTGCAAGGTTGATATCGCTCGTGTTATACAAAGGAGCCCATAGTGTAATGACATTACCTATTTGGGTGACGAGACCACTGAATTCTTCCACAAGTTCTTTGAACAGACTGGATGTGTTCTTGCAGAGATCCAGGGAGACAAACCTCGTGGAAATGAACCTCTTTATTAGCTCATAATCCTTCATTATTTCGCTATTCTTGTGTAGCCGAACATACTTCTCTAATAATTTGTACTGATAGTCTATTCTTTTTTGAATTTCTTTGACCTCAGGATTGATATTAAAAATTATTCCGGTCTTGTTGTCCAGAAACCGAACGTATAAACCATCCTGTGTGAGGATGGGGGTCCACGTTTTGGGTAGCGGTGCCTTAAGTGCAATCTTTATGCACTTATCTCCCCAGGAACTAATAGATTGGCGGATTTGCTCTGTGTCTACCTGCTTATTTACCAAACTGTCTTCGATTGTCGATGCCATTGTTTGCTCGAGACAAAGTAGTTGTAAGTCACTGGGATCACATGACGCGAGATTGATCCACCGATTCTGCACCCAAGAAACCTGTGCTTTAGCCAACAGCGAGACATCAAGAGACGGGCGCTTGTTTAAAAACGCTGCATGCGGTGAGGTTGCATCCATAGTAGAGGCTGCGGTCACCAATGGTGTGGAAGAAGTGTCAGATCCCAAAGACTCCACTTCATTCTCAGACATGTTATAGGAGGTGCGAGCCATTGCAGCGCCGAATGCAGCCTTTGTCAGGCCAAACATTTCTTGGATCCCTACTCTATATCCTTTATACAATAAATCTATAGGCCCATAGCCAGAGGGAAAAATGGAGATTCCGCCCATGTCCAATAGCTTGAGAGGAGGGTCTATTTGGGTACGTGTCACCCTGCTCTCAATAACAGGTGGACTGGGGTATCTAAGTGTCTTAGGCTTTTGACGAAATGTAGTTGTTTTGTGCTCTTCTGGCTTAATAGTGGGCTGCTTGGCAGACGCTTCTCCTGTACGGCAGAGCCGTAAAGACTGAGCTTCTACCTGTCTTTGCTTGATGCTGATATTAGAGGTAACCCGCCCACCTTCTAGTGTGTTTGCGGTTGCTGTTATGCCAGTGATGGCTGTGGCAGGCTGATGTATGGAACCATATCTTTCTAATAACCCTAAGAAAGCCCCTAGCATGTCATTAGATGAGCAACTGGAGGCCTCAGTATTTTCATTCTTGGTTCTACACGCAGCAAGAGCTCGTTTTTGCTTTCTGGTAAGGAAGTACGACTCATCAGCACCTATGTAAGAACGGACAGCTGCTACAAAACGCAAGAAAGATGACTCTGTTTGAGAAAAGGATGCAGAAGACGTAGCAGCGGGAGTCCTGATGGCATACTTGGTTAACGTAAACATCGTAAGAAGGACCTCCACTTGAACAGTGGCTACAAGCATTGCCAGAGCACCGAATGTCATATTGAGAGAAGCAGTATCCACGTAGCTATTATACAAGGCGATTACATAGCCCGTCTCCTGCTGGGCCTTGGTGGATAATGCTACCGCTGCTGCAAATAAAGATAGGTTAGCTTCATACGCTTTCGCAGAGTCCACAAGTGACATGAATTGTGGAAGACATGAATCAGGTATTCGCTCTAAGCAGGATTGATGGGCGCTGGTAATGCTCAAGAGTTGTGCATAATCCTCCTTGATCCTAATGTTCTCGGCCTGCTGGACGGTGATTAAGTGTGCTGACAACCGTCGCTTATTACACAGACGCTTCTGATCATCGTTCTTGGAAGTTGTCTCGGAAGTTAAGATGTTTAGGACGGGCTTAGTCTCTAACAAAAAGTGCTTACGCGCATCAACATTCTGGAGCAGGAGGTCCATACTGTGGTGAAGAGAACACTCCGTAGTTAAGTTCATAAGACCAGGCTAGCCTAAAGTTTAACAAGAACCTAAAGTTTATTGCTTATGTTCTAAGATAAGATAAAGACAAGAATACACAAAGTGGTTTGTGATCTCCCAGCTCTCAGCTCTCAGCTAGCTTATGTGATGTTTCTGACGGAGGTAGTGGAGGCAGTACGTCTGATGTAGAGTCTCAGTGTGCAACCTCGTTCATTTCACGTGGTTCTTTGCCTTGTTTCGATTGTAACCTATTTATTCTATCAACTAGTTGCTGACTCATGACTACAGATCCTCTTACTGATGAGCGATTGTTGGCTGAATGTGAGGACTTGTTAAGAGATCCCCGGACGGACAACAGCACAGGTAGCCTTGTAGACATGCGCTCAGATACACGATTTGATGTCTGCAAGTTCTCGAGATCAATGACTTTACGACGTGTTGGAACCTCATCATCTGATTGCTCGTAAATTACTGTACTGCCACGCGTCGACAATCTCTTGTCAATGGAGGCTTTCTGCATATTTGAGGTGTTTGGGTTGGAAAGTGTATCGACTGAGCCGACAATATTCCGAATGCTTCTCCTTTTAATCTCTTCAACTCGCTGCACATTCACCATGGTTGCATCACGAATGAATCGCGAGCCTCTCTCTTCATTGGGGTTATCCTTTGTATCTTCTTCATCCTCTTCCTCTTCTTCGAGCTCTTCCTCAGGCTCCTCTTTTTCATCGTTTTCCCCTTGTGCAAACTCCTGTTTGATATCTGATGGAGGATTGACAATCTGAGATTTAGACATGGAAATAAGGTATTCAAACGCCTGTCCAGCAGTACGAATGTCACTAATGCTATCGGGAAAGACTCGAGGGTTTAGGCCAGCCTTCACCAGGGCGTCGATTTCATCTTTGTTCTGAATAGCTAGCTTGTAGCTGCTGATGATCTGATGCAAAATAGAAGGCGTTCTCATGCCTTCAAAGCAGGCAGCAAAGTTCTTTCTGAAGGACTTATGGTGGTATGGATGATTCTCGATGAGATTTGAGGCTAGATCTTCTTTGGTTAGTAGTCCACTTGTCAATATCTCGACATGGTAACTAATAAGGTTACCTAATGAATACAGCATGTATATTCCTGATGCCAGGATAATGGCTTCACCAATGAGAGAGATAGCAAAGCCTATGCGAAACGGAATGGTTATGAAGTCATAGACCAAAAAGCCAACCAAGACTAACGAGCAAAGGATTAATAAAGAAATGTAAATGGTAACAACTAACAGCATAATGTAAAAGTATCCGTGATTTCTAAAGCCAACGTCAGTGCCCAACCAAAAACAATGGTGGTCAAAGCGATATACGCAGCAGTTACAAGTACGACAGTGTGTTGTGCGCAAGGGTCGCAAGTAAAGACACGTCTCACAATACTTCAATCTCATTGTGTAGCCGTTGTGGCTAATAATTGGGTCCCGATGGTGATCTAGAAGCTTTGTTGATGGAGAGAGAACCGGAATGAGCTCCCGGTCAAACTGCACAGAAGGAATAATACCAGGATCAACAAGACCTGTGACCAAGATCATGACAATTGAGGCAATAAGTGAGCCATCAAGAAGGAGGTGAGCAATAACGTGCCATGCAAGGTGCTGTGGATTTGAGTGAGAGAGGTAGAAGTCGACCCAGAAGATGGCCAAAGCGGCGATAACCAAACAAATAGTGCCAATGAGAAAGCATAACTGAGAGCCCACAACTACCCTCCCACCCATCATCACCTTATTCGCGCCATACCACCGTATTTTGATGTCTTTGGATAGCTTAATTAGCATCTGTCAATGTATAAATTTTGAAAACAAAAATTGATTGACCGCGATATCGACTCTGTAGACCTGGGCGACACAGAAAGAGCTAGATATGCTTCTAATCATGTAGCTGCACTTGTAATTACTCTTCTTTATTCTTTAGGTCGATGAGGAACTTGCTTAGCTCTTTTTCACAAATCAAAGCTTGGGCCATCTCACTAGCAGAGCTAAGCCGTGTTCCATTCCGTAAAAGCCACGCTTTGGCGATGAACCTTTCGAGTGTCTCCTCCCAGCCTTTGCGGTCGTCAGACGTCAGCTCACTAGATTGTTCCTGCTGCCAGGCGGGAGGCTTTGCTGTGCACGACAGGGTATCTAGCAAATGTTCCCTTTCACATTCCTGTTGAGATAGATGGAGAATAATGCGAACAAGGATGTATGCTCCCCGTTCCTCATTAAGACTAGCAAGATTCGTAGGCGTAAGGGCACCTCTAAGCCACTGATAGTACTCTTTAGGATTCTCCGTGGCATCCGTGACAACCAACGAGTAAACACCCCTGTGCTTCACTCTGATTGCCCGCAAGGAGCATAATGCCAACACGCCGTTTAGTTTTTCAAGCTTTTCGGCTGGTGAGGAGGCCTCAACTAAAGCAAAAATGATTCTACAGGGAACAAAGCTTTTACTCTTTGCTGCTGCTATCAACAGCTGACACGCGTGCTCCAGACCTGTATCCATGATTTTATTTTGAGGCACTTAGAGTCGCAGAGAAAATTAATCTGCAACATGATAGATTGGCAGATGTAAAACCATCAAGAACAATATCTGTCCAGGACGTTACCAAGCTTTTTCCATTGGTCCTCGGTTAAGCTCCTTTGCCTCATCGATGGAAGCTCAGCTTTGAGGACGTCCAATGCTGAGCTGGAAGCCACTCGGGAGCCTCCAATATCTAATCCAAGAATTTGAACAACCTCCATCTCAGTGAGGTATTGCAGATCTAGGAGCTCCCTATGAAGGTCTTTTAAGCGTGTCTTCCTCTTCCCCAGATACTCATCATATTGTTTGTAAAATCGCACTGCGTCACTAAAGTATTGGGACCTCTCGATTCCGCTACCTTGGGGAATGTCTAAGGACGGAAATTCAAGTTGTGCAAGGGGCTTAATGTATACCTTGCTTGGATCTCTGATGGCATTGTCACCGTCCTCAGAAGATAATGGAACAAAGTTGGGTGGAAGAGAAACGGTGTCTCCTAAATCCATAAAATTTTATAAGCGGGTATGATAGCTAATGTCCAGGATTGGTTTGTGGCCATTGCTAGCGGTAACGAGGATGACGTCAGAGAATTTATGAGTGAGTACGTAGGCTCTAGAGATGAAACAGGAGACACTGCTCTCATTATAGCGGCGCGCATGGGGGAAGCAGGAATAGTGCGCCTTCTTTCTACTACTCAGGAAGTTGGCCTCATTAACAAGGAAGGATGCACAGCGCTGATAGCAGCGGCAATGTCTAACAAGCCTGAAACATGCGAAATCTTGGTAACCCTAGAAAAGCACATACCCCTTCGGGACGGGCGCGATGCCTTAATGCTAGCCGCCTTCATGGCCAACTATGAGGCAGTGTCTGTTCTGGTAAGGCACATGGCATTGGTTGAAGATGAGAACCAGATGAATGCTCTAGATTACGCCGTGGTAGGAGGATCGCTGAACGTTGTGAGGGCTATTGTGGAGGCCCAGGATAGCATAGATGATAAGCTAGAGTATGCCATTTTTTTAGCAACAGAGCCCATCAGAGAAGATATCCTAGAGTATCTCAAGCAATTTAAAGGCGCTTCACCCTCCGACCACCGACAGGCAGATGCATCTGCCAGGTCTCCTGTGGGTACCCAGTCTCTCAGCAAGCTCGAAGAAGAGCTTCGGCAAGTTCTCGAAGAACGAGATACCATCGCAGATGAGCTTACCACTCTGAATCTTCATCTAGGAGCACTATTTACGTCTCTTGGAGCCCTTCGGAAGAAGCGCCTTGCCATAAGTACTACGGGGTCTACCTTCTCATCCACGCTGACAACGGGAAATAATAGCACTTTACTGGCAGCTCAGCCACAGATAACCTCTGAGCAATCTCAACTACAAGACATAACAACACTACCGGAAGCCATAAATGAGCTAGAACTCCTCCTTACAGTGCCTTTTGGAGCCGGCTCCGCAGATATCTACGAGGAAATAGAAGACCAAATAAAACAGCTGAGCAGAGCCGTTGCTGAGCTGCAGGATCTGAATGCTGCCAAGGATGAAGAGATAGCAGAGCTCAAACGTGCGTTAGAGTGTGATATAGATGGCAATGTTACGGAGGCGATTGCCCAGAAAGATGCGCAAATAGAGGCTCTACAAGCAAAGGTAACTGACCAGGAGGCTAAGCTCGATAGCTATGCTCTTGAATTGGAAGCTGCAAAGAGGTCTGAGAACAGTGTGCCGGCTCTTAAGGCAGAGTTAAAACTCAAGGACAAAGTTATCAGCGGATTGCTATCAACAATCCAAAAACAAGAAAAAAGTTTTTCGGCAATAAGGTCTGCCTTTCAGCAGAAAGAAGTGGAGACCCAAAAGTATAGGACTGCTATCGGCTGCTCTGAGTCGACGGTTAAGAACCTTATCACAGCCAACGACTACGAGCGAGCACGCTTCAGTGCCCGTAACTCCCTGGTGATAAACTCCCCAGTGAGGCTTTCTGGCGCATGGGGATCTATGCTTTCAGATGGCGCCACCCCTGCCATGGACAGGCCTGCAATGGCTCCGGCAAGCATTAGGCAAGCATCAGCTGCCGGCGAGCCTCCAGAGGAAGCTGCAAAGGAGCCCAATCCCGCTTCTATAGCCAGCATTTCTCGTCTGTGTGCTATAAGGTCGCCCACCTCAGGTCAGCGCAGCTCTACTCGCGTGAGGAGTACGCGTATGACTATGAGTGAAGAGGAGCGAGCGGAGCTACGGAAGAGCATACGCATGAAGATGACGGAAAACAAGATGCTGAAGGAAGCCCTTATTAATGCTAGCCCTTCGGACACAGAGGCAAGAGTCCTTCGGGAGGAAATAGATAGGCTAAAAGATTTGTTGAGAGCCAGTTCCCCAACTGGGGAGAAACGCGATTGAAGGCATAACGAGGTAGTTTAAAATAAAACTCCGTGTAAAATTTTACATCCATTTAATATTATATCATTTTGGCACATTCTTTTGCTGGCCAATGCAGGCGGAATGGTTTGAAGCCGTGAGTGCGCGGAACCTGGACTACATTGCACAGAATTTGGAGCAGTGCTGCACTCTACACAACGAGCAGGGACTCACCGGGCTGATGATAGCTGCTAAGAACGGAGACATCGACATTGTGAAGAAACTAGTCCCTTACGAGGCAGGACAGCAGGACCCCGATGGTATCCCTGCCGCCATCTATGCATACAATGCAAAGCATATAGAGATTATGGAGGAGATCCTTCAAGCAGAAGCGTCTTATAGGTTTACCGATGACTCTGATATCCTCATGTATCTTATCCGGCACGGGTGCAATGATGTGCTTCTTAGTATCGTACATCACTTCCCTTCTCACATCGACTATAATGGCTACTCTCACCTGGATCATGCAGTCATGTGCAGGAATACATACGCCATTGAGCTCTTGGTGAATAGCTTTGAGTACGATGAGTCAGCTATTTCACGTGCTCTAGCTTTAGCCGAGGAAGTAGATAAGAAGGCTCCCGCGAAGAACTTGAGCAGTGGGGAACGGCCCATTGTTCTTATTCTTTGTGAGCTCTTTAATATTAATCCCCGAAGCATAGCATCTCCTGAAATAGATGACCTGCAGTATTATGCAAGAGGTAATGCGAGCACTCTGACGGATCCCTGTGTTGACATTGGCTCGGCGATAACCGGAATTAGCGCCCTCTCTGAACGCAATAGCGTGGCCTTTTCAGATGCGTTGGGACTTTTCCTGCCTGACGAATACGGCCCTGCGGCCAGGGGGTCTGTCGCCAACCTGCCCCCAACTGGCCCGGTACAAGGGAATCCTGGGTCTCCTGGCCACCCCCAGTCTCCCCGGCTGTTGTCTCAGCCCGAGTATCCAGACGCAAACATCAGCTCGTTTAATAGAAAGTTCCCGCCGACCAATCCTACTAATAGGGTTAGTCTCCAGATACCCGGGACAAAGTATGGGCCTATATCGACTGGCATTTATGAGAAGACCCTACCCAACAGGCCTCTATCTATAAGCGGGCTCAAGGCTATGCAAAGTGACACCGAAAACTCCGTCATAGACACGGCCAATATCCTAGATATTACCCTTTTGAAGAAGGAGTACTCGAAGGCCATCATGGAGTGTGAAAGGTTACGAAAGGAAGTCCAGCATCAGCGGTTGGCACGGCTCCATGCCGTCAACGCAACAGTACAAGCGGTGCCCACCAGGCGGGAGGCTATTGTTCAAACTTGTAATGAGGCTCCTGATGCACCTGCATCTCAGGAAGACGGTGTTTATCAGCAAGACCTTGCTGCGGCCAAGGTCACCCCATCTACGACCCGTGAGGAGCTTGTGGCTATAGTTCTGGCTCTGCGGAAAGAAGTGGAAGTGAAGAACAAGCTTCTCACCCTGGGGTCACAGCCCGGTAAGGCCTCTCAATCAACGATTGATTGCATGGCAACTGCACTGCGCCGTCAGACCGAAGCCAGCAAGGCCCAGCGCCAGGCAATGCAGGCCAAGAATGAGCAGTTGGCACAGCTTCATATTGCGTTGCAAAAGCGTGAGCAGCAGATCCGTAGTATTCAGATAGCAGCTCAGGCGTATAATAAGACTCATCAATCCCACATTGATGTGCCTACTGATTTGCCTACTGACCGTGAGCCCGTAGCGACGACTTTTGCCCCTAGCCTCCCTGAGACAGGAGTAAGCACAGAGACATACGTAAAGCTGTCCAAGGAAAACAGTGAGTTGACACAACAGGTCAAGCAGCTAAAGCGCGAAGTTAGCAGCTTAAAGAGCAAACTAGGCCTTACTCAGGACCCAAGCCGCGTGACTGAAGATGGGGTGGGTCGAGCACAATTATCTCCGCTAATATTGCTTCAAATTGAAAACATCAAACTAAAGAAGCAGCTCAACGATAAGGTGAAGCTTCTAAGCAACCAAGAAAACCACATCTAAATTGTGTGGCTCTATCAGCTTTAACATGTGGTAAATCAATAAAATATTTGTTTTGAAAACGCCTTGTGGCAGCAATCGATCAACAGCTGCTGCATATTATGGATTTTGGCGATGACCTAGCTGGGATGAATCTGGACTTTATGTTCGACTTGGGCTCTCCTGCGTCATCCCCGGTCACAAAGTCTAACAACACTGGAAGCATGGTCTCGCTCTTCAGTAACTTCAGTAACTGCTCCATGAGTCCACGATCAAACATCCAATGTTACACAGAAGAAACACAGAGTGTTCAGAGCCTGCATACAACCTCCCATCCTTCAGCCAATACTTTACTTCGTCCAATATTTTTTGACTCTACTGTACAAGATAGCTATTACTGCGAGAGTACAGGCAGCGATGGGGTTGGAGCTTCCTCTATAGTGCTGGATAGTACAGCTGAACCCAGCAGCGTGGCTATTTCGGCTTGCACTCTTTCCCCCGGTACCACCCAACCCGCTCTGCATCAGAGAAACCTAACGAAAGCCAGAGAGAGGGGAGACACACGCTTGATTCATGCAGCATATGCTGGTGATGTTTCCACCGTTTCGTCTCTGATGCACTTGGTTCAGTTGAAGAATACTCACGGGATGACGGCGCTGATGGCTGCTGCCTATAGTGATTGCGATCAGTGTGTGTCTATCCTCCTTCCGTTTGAAAACCGTCTTCAAGCTAATAACGGGATGACGGCTTTAATGTGTGCAGCGGCGAAGGGGAGCATTAAAAGTGTATCAATGCTGATTGACACAGAACTGCGGATCCAGGATAAGAACGGGAGAAGTGCTCTTATGTATGCTGCCCAGAAAGGTAACTATGAGTGCGTGAAGATGCTGTTAGGAGAGGCTACGCTGACTGACAAGGCTGGAAACACGGCCCTTATCATAGCTACCATGATGGGATATATGCATTGTGCTCGGTGTCTTCTTAAGCACGAAGCGGGCTTTAGACTGCCATCCGGGCTGACCGCCCTTATGATAGCAGCCCACAAAAAAGACGCAGCAATAGCATCTCTACTTCTTTCAGAGTGCAGGCTGCGTGACAATAAAGGAAAGACTGCATTGATGTATGGTGCCGAGGCAGGCGCTGACGGATGTGTGGAGATTCTTATGACCCACGAGAGTGGTGTCCAAGATTGTAAGGGTAATACGGCATTAATGTATGGAGCTAGGGCGGGGCATTTTGGATGCGTCGAACTCCTAGCATCATTAGAGTCCCAGTGCATTAACTCTGCTGGGTACACTGCACTTATGATGGCCGCATGCGGGGACTTTTCGGACTGCGTGGACGCCCTCGTAGATCTCGAGGGGGGAATGACAGACAAGGATGGCCGTACAGCGCTGATGCTTGCGGTGTCATCAGAAGCCGTCACCTCCGCGAAACTGCTACTCAGCGAGGCTAGAATGGTCGATAAAGTAGGGAATTTCGCATTAATATATGCAGTTCACAAAAACAACGAGGCCCTGATTCGTTTGTTATCTGAAAGAGAGGTACGCATGCAGACACCTAAGGGGTATACAGCGCTTATGATTGCTGCATCAATGCCCTGTAAAGAAATAACTGAGCACCTGCTCGATGAGATAGGGCTTATCACAAAAGATGGGTATTGTGCCCTATACTATGCAATAGATGCTGGTAATAGTTGTGCAATTAACCTGCTATTACCGTATGAAGCTTCTCTTCTGGGGATAACGTCAGACATGCGGTATGCTCTGTGCGGCGACGTAGTGTCCTTGGCACTATCCCACACTCGGGGAATACCATACAGAGACAAGTTTGGACGGACGGCACTTGTGTATGCAATCTTAGGGAATCACCTTAAATGTGCTGAGCTGCTAACAGAAGACAGTGATATTGCTGATGTTAACGGGTGGACCCCTCTCATGTATGCGGCGAAACGAGGCTATACTCAGTACATAGATTTGCTTCGAGGCTCTAATTGCTCTGCAATAAATAAAAATGGTCACACACTTCTAGATATCGCCAAGAAGGCCGGGCATGCTGCCTTCCTTCATGCGGCAACCCATATTCTTAGTTAACTTGTTCTGATTTTTTCGTTTTTGGTTAAATAGTGCTACCACAAGTTTTAGCTCTTTACAGCGGGAGAAAAAAAATGTCTCTGAGCAACTGCCTTCACAAGCCCGACGAGGAGAGGACCAAGGAGAAGCACGTCCCCGAGATGAAGCTCAGCGGGAACCACGTTGACATCAGGTGCGGCGCTACGGTCATGCACCCGGCGACTGAGAAGCACTACATCGGGACGATCCGCCTCTTTGGCATCACTAAGGAGGGCAACGTCACCTTGGAGCTGGGCTGCCAGCAGATTTGGCCGGGTCTTGGAGAGCCTGTTGCTAGCTTCCGTGTCTGTGACCTGGAGAAGTACAAGGGCCTTTTAGCTGTTGCTTATTGCAACCTCCACGGCTGCTGGGAGAACTACATGGAGCTCTAGAGAGTTGAGTAAACTCCTGCTCACCACCCTATCCATCGTTCCGTAGGCTCTCCTGCCTCTACCAGGGCGGATTGCAGCCGGCTTGATCCTTGGTTGCTTTGCACCATCGAGTGCTGAGCGGAGAGGGGTGTGCGCGCAGGGAATCGCTTTATATACTCCGCAGCCGAGCGAGCACATGACGGGGTGTACGAGCCATCTTGTTGAGGGCCTCCGATCTGTCGAGTAAGGTTAAGCCTGCTAGCCTGCTTTAAGTGAAGCTCGCTGGTCGCAGTCTTACTTAGACGTCCGCTACGTATTGATGACACCGTACCTATGCCTCCGCCTTTTGAATGAACAGCCTCCAGGAATTCTCGCGAACGAGGTGTCTTTTGTTCCTTTAGGGCTATCTGGAGAATTTCCCGGACCAAGCCTTCGTCAACCCCTTTCCTATTGCGAATAACGGCGCTTCCGACAATCTCGACACCATCACTGGATGCCTTCTCTAGCCCAGGGTAGAGGAGAGGGATACGCTTAGGAACAGGTAAGTTCATTTCCTTTATGCTGATTGCAGCCCTCTTGATAGATTCAAACTTAAAGAAGAAGCGGAAAAGGGCATTGACACGAACAAAGCTAAATAGAAATCGATAAACAGGGAACATAAGGACGGCTACTAATCTAGACTCTTTTCTCACCTGTAGGTCCGGTCGTTCCTTAAACTTTATGTACTCTAGTGACGCTGCTATTATCCACTGTGCGACAAACACAAGTATGTACATCAGAAATACCACTACGTTAAATTGCCTAATAACAATGGATAGAACAATGTGATAGACTAAAAGAGGATAGCGGAAGTAGTCTTGGAGTACCGTCCAGACATCTTCAAGTGTAACTATTCGGAGATACAAGTTGTCCACAGTGCATGGAAGACAGCAGAGCACTTGCCCATAAAACCCGCTTTTGGGACTGGCGCAGAAGCCTCCCCAAAGAAATTGCTGTGCTGCAAGATCCCACGATGTAAAGCGCTGATAATACAGATCCTTCCATGTGGTTGGAGCAACCGTGGCCACTATACAACTTGAAATAAATCCGCAGCGTTTGGTACTAAATAGCTTGCGCATGGCCAATCCCATTTGATAGTCCTCGCCATGAAAGATTCCATTGTGCTCTGCCATAATATGGTGCAATAGGGATGCTTTCCAGAGGTTAATTGCCCCATGTGGAGAAAGGACCGACGATGAGTGGGTGAAGTTGTATTGCGTAAGCTTCGACAGATCTGACAACTTGTACTCGATATCTTGAAGGCCAACTATCATTTTGCTTGTTTTGCTTAAGTTGGTTGGCTGTCCCCCTGGCCCCGTTTCATTGTAAGTTGCTGCGATTGCAATAGCGTATGCATCACATGTTAGTTCTCCGGAAAGCACGGGAGCCAATTCTCTGGGCAAGACGGTGTCGTCGTCCATAACAATGCAATACTCAAATCCAAGCCAGGAGCTAAGGATAGAGCCATAATATGCAGAGCAAGATTTGCTCCCGATGGCTAGGGGCACGTAGACTGCGCGTCCTTCGCAGCACTCCATCACAACACTATCTGGAAGTTCCTGGTCTGATGAGTTATGGATTACAAAGACATCCGTTGGGTGGAAAACATTCAAGGCGCCCTGAAGCGTATTGGTGAGAACTTCCAGTTTTCCAGCCCTTTTCCTTACCTTTTGTTCCTGTGTTAGTCCCTTGATACCCCAGCCAAGCGGAATGATCAATGCTATCTTTCCAGGAGTTATCTGATCGCTTGCATTATCCTCTTCGTTAAGCTTTGGCAGAGGCGCATATTGACCTAGTTTCATAGCAACGAACATCAGAATATATTCTAAGGAAATGAATATGTAAAATAGGACAGTCATCACTTGAAACGCTATCTTCATTCCACCTAAGACAATCAGTAAGGTTATTGCGGTTCCTATAAGAATGCCCCAAAGTGCAATCCACAAGTAGTGAGGCCACGAAGATATTAAATCCGGCCCAAACGCCGCCTTATGGTAGTCATTCACCTGAGAATTGACGCTATTGATAAAGACAGTTGCTTGGACCTTCCTTACGTCCAGGTCCACAAAGTGGTTCTTGATTTTCTTCAGTACTGTGTGAATCATATCATCTTTTATATCTAATATCTGCTTGTAGTTGCTTGCAATGGAGAGGTTTATGTCATAGCCATACGGCGTTCCTATTGATGCCTTGTAAGGTGTTGGCGCGATGCCGTCGGTTGCCAAGGGGAGTGCAGTGGGCTCTAGTGTTAAACCTGTTGTGGGTATACCAGTTGACGTTGCACCTTCAGCTAGCTTAGCTCGCTGTACACCTCCTGAAGCTATTCCAGGAGTTTGCGAATTGTTCTTGCGATACACCACCGAGTGTGTTGAGGGACTAGCGATACTATTGGTGAGCGACGGTAGGCTATCACATTCCCCCGCCTCCTGGGCCATGGTGACTGGTACCCTGGATGGTTCTAGTGCCAACTCATTAGAGGGTTGATGAAATCCAACCTTTCCTCGTTTCCCTTTTTTCTCTTTGGGCTTCTCTAATGAGAGTGTGGGCACCGGTGGCTCAACAGCTGTTGATCCTTGTGCAGTACCAAAGTCATTTGGGAGGATCTCGTGCCTCTGGTTCACAATGTAAACCGAGCCCTTTTCCATGCGGCTCATTTCGCCCTCAAATGCATGACCTTGTAGGGCTTTGAGCTTCGACAGTGCATCCATGGAATTCTTAGAGAAGTTCCTGTAGCAACCACCGTAGAATCAACTGTGAACACATAAACAGCAGCACATCACATGTAGTGTATCAATTTACTTAGCGCTAAAACGGGTATATCATGCAGGATATAAGTCCCATGATATACTGTTCATTAGGCTGCAGTAACCGAGGAGTAAAGAGTTCCATTCATAACAAAAAGCCTTAGTCGTCGCGGGAGTGTTTGATGCGCACACGAGGTGTGTCACTGTCCTCACTTCCCTCAACATCGGCGTGTCGACCGCCTGCAACATGCATAGGGCACATTGCCTGCGGAGCAGCAGCTTGCATGTTCGACGGCATAGTACTTTGCCTACTCTTAAGGGTCAGTGACCCCGAGACAAAGCCTTCGGTTACAGGAGAAGTCATGCTAGAGTTGGACGTTGGGACCATTGACCCAAAGGCTGGTCTGCTAGTAAGAGAACCTGGTGGCGCAAACGGATTCTGCTGTACTGCATTGGATTGTGGCATGGGGATGCCACCACTGAAGCTCGATCGACCCGATAAAGAGCCTACTAAAGAGCCCATCTTAGTAAGGCTGCCAATGATGGCAGAAGCCGGAGCTCCAGCATTAGCCGTATCAGGCATGGGCATAGGAGGCCTGCTGAATGCAGAATTGTCACTCAGTGATCCAAACGCTGCCGCAGAGAGTCCAACAGCCGGCCCATGGCTATTTGGAGTAGAAGTAGGCGAAGAAACCATCACACCCATCGGGACTCCTTGCTCCAACATGAACTTAGTCGCGTTCATCTCAGACTCCTCTATAGCCTCTTGGGCCATGCTCATCTTTGCAATTTCGTCTCGCATGCTCTTGATCTCTGTTTCAGCCTTCTGGAGGGATCGATTGCTGGTGTCAAGCATCGATGTCATCTCCCTTTGCTTCGTTTCGCAGCAGGAATGTTCTGTATAAAGTCTTCGGAGCGCATCCTGGAAAGACTTCAGTAGTTTCTTCAACTCCGGGATATTGTCTGGAGCGGTTGCGAGGTCCATCGTCAACAGCGGTCTAAGAGTCGAAGACATGAGAATTTGATCAATTTTTGACCTGAAATTATACGAATTGAAAATGAAAGAGAGGGATGCCCCATGAAACCTCTAGACATTCGCACAGCAAAGGTCACGACGAATCTACTAAAGAGCGCCGCCACCGGCACCGGCATCGAAGCAGTTCTGAAGCCGCTTCAGAAAAACAGCAGTCTGACAATGCCTCAGGGACGCTGGTCCACCAAGCGGCTACCGATTCTAAAAGCGAATCTGGTCCTGCATGTGAAAACTGCTCACTGAGCGCATCACCATCAGGAATGTATTGTTTAGCATGTGACCTTCTCTTGTGCCAAACATGCGATCGTATGGTGCACGCACCCTTAGCACTATCCAAGCATGATAGGCGTTCCTTCGAAGAGGCTGCTCTCCGTCGGAAGGCCTGCAGGTTCCACGCAGACCAACAGATTTCCCATTTTTGTCTACACTGTAACACATTTCTCTGCAAAGTTTGTCTAGATGAAGGATTGCACCAAATATCTCCTCATTTTGTTGATACGTTAGATGACGCTATTCAGAAAACGACTAGGGGACTTCTGAGTCTTGTTAACGGTCCCCTTAGGCAGCGCTATGAAACTCTACAGCATGAAGTTGTACGCATAGAAGGACTCATGCACAAAGTCCGCACTGCTGCTGGGGAGATAGAAGCCCAGGTCCGTGAGCATTACGAGGGTGTGCTAGCTAGACTTGCTCGTTCAGAGAAGGAAAAGTTAGCCCTCTGTCAGAGTGATTTAACGACCGTCAAAAGTATGATGAAGCAGATAGATGACGTCGAGCACTATGTCGCAGTCGACCATCATAGAAAAAACCCTATAGTCCTTCTTTCCCAAGCAGGAACGATCAGTGAGAGTGTCCGATCTATACTTGCACGCAAATTATGTGATGCAATCTCTGTTACTGAGGAGAGCATTAGGCCTACCGACCTTCCTCGCGAGTCTACTGTAGGTATCTCTAGAGAGATCCGAGAAGCCAGTGGAGATCCGTGTATATCCAAATTGAATATCCCAGATGGGATTACATCGAAGTGCACCGCGTGTCAGAACAATCTAAGTACACTGTTATCAGAAGCAGAGCAAGAAATCCATCACTGGAAAGCTCTCGTGGAACAATATGCCTTCGAATTGGCCGCGTGGGACATGACCTGCTCTCGTTGCGGTCAGCATTGCCTTCCAGAGACAATTAACTCTCCTTGCACACTTCCTAATAAGCCTCCACGTAGGGAAGACAGAGGATTAGGAGAGGAGCTTTGTAGTAACGGGTCTCTGTTCCAAGAGGATTCAGATAGCCATTCGCGTAGACACTTCTTTGTCCGCTCAGAGGATCATTAACTTCTTGCAAAGATAGTATCAGTAAATTATTTCGTGGTAACCATTTCCCTGAGCCGGGTGCAGGAAAAATTCAAAAATAAAATGAGTCTTACCGAGCAGCTTCTTGTTACATTACTGGAACAGACTCTGTCGAATAGCCAAGAGATGGTTTCCAGTGCAACAGAGCAAATTCTCTTACATAGACGTAATAACGATTTTCTCGGCATCTCGTTTCTTGTTTCGGCTAATCCCCAGGTTTCCTCCAAAATTCGGTCTGCTGCAGCCATTCAGTTTTCTAATGATATCGCTACGAAGGTACAGAAGCTGGATGGCCAGATGTTAGTCAACATCTCTCTTAAAATAGTGCAGACTGTAGTTGAGGCGGCTGACTCCGGAGCCCTGATTGTTGTACGTCAGATGCTCGAATCTCTCAAGACAATCTTAGAGTTTTTTTACATGTCTTTTAATCTGCATCCCACGATCAATCCTGCAGTTTTCGCAGGGGATCTGTATCAATTGATTTTTAGCCTTATCGATAACTCGTCTGTTAGCAAAACGGATGTCTGTATCCAGATGGTAACCATTTTGTTAACCTGTATGTCCTCAGAGAGCTTAAAGGACATATATTTGAAGATTTCTGTTGACTTCTTTGATCGCTGTCTCAACCAGCTGCTTCAGTACCTTTGCAGTATTGAGGGGGAAATCACTAACTACGTTACTCCTCCATTTATAGAGCATGTCTTTGCATGCTTGAACTCATTTTTAACATACAGCACAGTGCAATCTCTGACCTCCTTAAAGTCTTTTTCATCAATGATTGGCACAGTTTGTCAGCTCCTAGAAAAAATAGGGATCGGTATTGCAGGCCCGGAAGTTCGTAATGCAAAGGATTATGCATTGCAAATACTTATACAATTGTCCATCACGGCCAGATTGGTTGGACGATGTATTTCACCAGAAACAGAGCAGAGCTACTTGCTCGTTTGGAATGAGAACGAGGAGCGTATCGGGAAGTTATTGTTAGGTCAGTTTTGTCTTTGCCCCGACTATGATCTTTGGGAAGACCACTCTTCATTAGATAGTCTTTTCCGCTTGTCCTGTAGATTAATTGAGACCAATCGAGGAGTCCCATATAATCCGAAAGCATACAATCTTCTCGTAAGCAATGGGAAAGATATTATTCAGGCAATTATAGCCATGCTCTATAACGCGGGTGACTTGCGTCTAGGACAGTTTGAGGAAAATGACCTTTTAGTAATTGACTGCTTAAAGCCGTGTCTAGATTTTCTTTCCAGTCTAACAGCAACTTCCAGAGAGCTCTTGGAACTCGTAAATGCAGACATGCATATGCGGCTAAATTCAATAATTAATAATGATACTGCTTTCTTGGATACGCCCGAGGGCCAAGTTAACTTCTTCGTTGGGATCATCCTTCTCCGTAGGGGGCTTTCTGACGACGACACCAACTACAAGGGAATGGTCATATTTGCTTCTCTTATTAATTACACCAAGCTTAACCCTATTGTGTTTGAAGAGCTCTCCAAGCTTATAATTAGTATTACTACCGAGGAGAATAGTTACATATCGGATTTTAACGAGATTGATACGGAATATACAGGTGATATAGAAGCTCTTTTGCAAAAAACAGTTGCGCAAGGGATCGATGCTATCAAGGCAGGACTCGACTTCAAGGCTCAGCTAGTTTATATTCTTGGCTGTTTGTATTTACTTCCTACTACATCATTCTTCCAGTGCCGTATGCTAAGTGGTATAATGGCGCGCTGCGTAAGGCACGACTTGATCAACAGAGTCAATCAACGGCACCTACTTCTACGATCATTGGAGTTAATTGCTACCTCTCAGGAAAACAGTGCAGCTGGCGGCATGGTCACCTTCTGTCGGGTCGCGTTTCCCGGACTGGGACCTGATGTTGGGGCCGAAGTTCTCTCTATGTTCCTAAGATTGCCTGTAATCCAGAATGTCTTCTCCAATTACAATAGGATGGATCCAAAGCTACGAAAAACTGCCGAAATGATTTGCGAAACAGTCAATTTGGTTGTTACCAACGTGGACACTGTCTCGATAAGCCTTGAAGAATGTGTCTGCTCTTTTGTAGTTGGGTTTTTACAGAAAGATATTAGGGCGTCTCAAGGATGCTTCCAGCTTCTCAACTGTCTTTTACGAAAATCGTCTTCTCTTAGTTCTTCGTCCCAGAATGCTTATGATTATTCTTATGGCCCTTGGCGGACAGACCTTATCGAACTACTAATCCACTACCTGGACAGCTTTTATCAAACACCAGGGGATTTTATTTTTAGTAATGCAAGTCATGTGGAGGATATGCTTGCAGAGGCACTTCCATACTTAATCATTCAAACCCAGCGTTTCCATATGGCTTACAAGAATAGTGTTACTCAGGGCACGCCAGAGCAGCAAATTGAGAAATTGAATGAGATATATACGCCATTCTTTACGCTTATCAACAAACTGTTGTCTCCTATGAACAGTGCAATATTACTTAGTGTAGGTTGTTTTATCCTGACTCGCGTTATGAGTCTGGTGGCCTTGGAATCGAACAATGTTTGTCTAACCGTATTGCAGCATAGCACACAAAAATTAATTGAGCTTGTTTCTAACCTTCCTACTGTGTGTCAAGGGCTCATGACACACAACCTGACACCTGATCTTAAGCGTTGTATGCTCGTGTCCATCTCTATGGCCTTCTTCACCCTTTTGCAAATTACTGACATTCACGGTATGGCGGAGAATCTCCTCAGCACTATCGCACCTCACAACTTGAAAATAATGATCTTCATTTCGGCGTGGTCTATAGCAGATAATGAGGGCAATCCATTTATTCCCTTACGTGCATGGATGGCCCACTTAGTTTGCTGTCTTAGTAAGATCTTTGTCACATTGACGCAAAAGGATCCCACATTCCTATCTGTAGTTGTTCCAAACTTTGCCTGGGCGTATTCCTTATGCAAGATGTCACATTCCCCCGTTGTTACGGCACCGCAATTGGACTTTTCCAGTATTTGCAATAGCGGCATCGAAATAGACATTCTTCAGCCTATATTCTCAGGTCTCAATTCCCAATTTACACGATTTAGTAATATAGCAGGTAATAATAAGCTTCCTTTGTATGAAGGATTTCTCACTACCCATTTTGAAAACTTCTTTAATTTCCTACCTCGGCAAATTTTTGGAGAAGTTCCTACTTTCCAGCATTCTTCGTCATCGTTTAAATTTACAGCTCTTCAAGCTTCTATTAGGATGCTTAATTTACAATATGGCGATGAATTTTCCCAGTTTCTGATAAAAGAGATAAATGATACGTCTGGTAGTTCCTTATTGCATACCACGCTCTCTGGTTACTCTATATAGCGTTTATGTTAAGATATTTCCCGTCTGAGATTAGCGTATGGACAGATCGACTGATTAGTTAATGCAAAAGATCCATTTTACCCATCGATTGCTTTTGATAATCTAGATTACTTGGTCCTCACCCATAGGTCTGGCCACAGTCAGCGAGTAAACCTGCTTTTCTGGGTCTGTGTGCCGGGCGTGTGCATCTCTTTTGTTATCTTTGCCTGTCTTGCTTCCTCTCGCCCGGTTACAGCAAGGCATCCAACAGCTGTGCAGCTAGCCCATTGTTTGCTGAGTGTTGCAGATCTCATGAAGAGACGTGTTCTATAGATGCAGACTAAGAGTATTCTTCAAAAGTAGTCGTCACGGAAAATAAAACTGATGACGACTGTCGATTGCAGATTTTACCCCCTTATTCCAACAATAGCAGAGAACATCCTTGGTGTGCTGCGCCGCTGCGCCTGCCTAGATGCGGCCCGGAGAGCTCCCAGACAAGCCGCGCTCCTTTGGCCGTGCCCGGAGACGAGTGCTGGCCGCGGACGGCGCAGCAAGGGGATCCCCGCTATCGGCACACGAGGAGCCCGGCGCCTTCCTCGGTCGCTCCGTGGGTGTGTGCGTCCAGGGCCCTGGCCTTCTCGCGGACTCTCTGGTCTACCCGTGGCGCCTCTCCTTGGTCTTCCTTCGTGGTGGGTGAAGCTCGGGTCGCCGTCTTTTTGGATGCTTCCGTCTGTCAGGGGCTGCCATCGGGCTCTCCGCTGGCCGCTCCTCGGTGTCCGGTCAGCTGTGGCCCGGGCCGCGCTCCCACAGTCGCGGTCACCTGGGTCCCGTAGCGGGCCGGCTGGTTGGTGAGGCAGGGGTATGGGGCGGTGAGGGCTGGAGGAGCTCCTGGTGGAGACCGGGGGGCGGTGTCTGTATGTGCCCCTAAGCTTCCAGTGAGCTACTTCGGTGGTGGATGAGGTGATCGCAGTTGTGGCGGCCGGGCTCTGGTCGGGGGCTGTGTCTGCTCTCCAGCCCGCGCTGCACGAGACACAGGCCCAGGCACCGATGACCGCACCGGGCTCCTGGTCGTCCCTCTGCAGGAGTAGAGGGGAGCCCCTGCCTGCTGTCACAACCACCCGCCCTCAGAGGGCCAGGATTGGGCGGGCTATCCGTGCGGCCTCTAAGTGCACAGCAGGCGGCCCAGCTCTGGTGCACCGCACAGGAGAGGATCTAGTGGCGGCTAACGATAGCGCAAGAACCCTAGCCCGGCCGCCCGCTTCCTGTCGAGGACACCGGGCGGAGAAGGCTGGGGCAGAGGGCGGCGGTCGCGCCACTCTCAGACGGCACGGGCCTCTTGGATCCGGGCAGCCGCGAGCTCGAGAACCAGTTGGCAAACACGGCACCCAGACGGCCGGCTGCTCCCCTGGCGCATACTACAGGGCAGAGCTGCGACGAGGCCTCGGAGGGCGGATGGATATTAGCCGACACATTTACTACCTAAGTACATCTACGCTTTGCCTCTGCAGATGAACCACCAGCAGAGGAAGCCGACGAGCCCTCCGACGACGACGATGGCTGCGACGGAGATGCCAGCGATGGCGCCCGTGGAGAGCCCGCTCTTGTTCGTGCTTCCGCCATTGTTAGCGCCGTCTGTTTTGATATAGCAGGTGACAGGGCCACCATTGCCACCAGTTGGAGGGGCACAGCTTACGCAATTAGGTATACCCTGAATGTTACCGCTTGTTTCAGAACACTTTTTACATCCTTTTCCAGCGTCAAGATAGTATCCGGGGAAGCACTCCGAACACTGCTGTGGAGAAGAACCTGCTGTACATTTTGAGCACCCGTCCGGACACGCTGGGCAGGAGCCTTGGTTATCTGCTGCTTGCCCATTGGCGCATGTTGTGCACTTTCCTTGCGAAGCTGTGGTGCATAGCTTGTCACCTGGGTACGTTGTCGACTGATAGCATCCGCCCGATTCCTTAAAGTACGCATCCTTACAAGAAGTGCACGTTCCATCCTGCCCCGGATTGCATCCTGCAATTGTCCTCTGAGTTATTGGCACACAGACGCCGTCCACCGGGGCGAATCCGGCCTTGCACTTGCTGCAGTACTTCGAGCCCCCAACGACGGCCGTGCACTGGCCAGCCTCGCAGTTCTCTGCGTACCTTCCCGTGCACTCTGGGATGCATGTGCCGGTGGCTCCACCGTTGCCCTTGCTCAGCACAGACCCGGGATAGCAGGCCGTACACGATGTGGCTTCTGCATTACCATTGCACTCTGCACATGTGCTATGGCAGGAGGCACAGACACTAATGCCATCAGCACTACGGTCAGAATAGGTTCCAGCAGGGCACTTTTCTAAGCACGCGTTCCCCAGGGGGCTGAGCCACTTGATACCGCAATCTGAGCAAACAAGGGCCAGCTCTGTTTGTGCAGAGGAAGCCGTGGAGGAGCACTTTTTGCAGTCCGCGATGCCGTGTGTTGCGTCGCTGCATGAGAGGCACATCTTCTTCGAGCCATTAGAGTCCGTGACCTCCTTGGCGAAGTGCGTCTTATCAGATGTACAGGCAGAGGCCGATACGCACACCCCCGAGCGGGCAGCAGCATTCGTCACCTTCAGATAGTTGTCTCCGCTGCAGCTAAGGCACTTATCGTCTTCACTCGTATTGGCGCCGCTGACGCACTCCTTGCAGCTGGAGTGGCACCCCGGCGTGGCGGCGGGGCAGGTGCCGTCTGCCTGTGGCTTTCCTGTGGCGCAGTCCGCGCACTTGTTTGCCTCGTTGCACCTTCTGCAGTTAGGGTCGGGGCAAACGAAGCATGCATTTCCTGCAGTATTAGGCTTTTCATTTTTACCGCAGGCCTTGCACACCAGGGCCGTGGGGTCGGTGCTGTCGGCGTAGTGGTCGTGGGCCCCCGTGCACTCGGCGTCCGTGACGCAGGCCCCGTCCTTCAGGTACTTCTTGTTGCTGGGGTCGTTGGGGTCGCATTTGGTGCATTTTTTCCCAGTTGAATCGCATTCAGCGCAACCATCGATCGATGGACTGCATGCATCAGCCAGTGCGACTGCAAAAATCAAACCAATTCCTACCAACATTGAGGCCAGGAGCTGGCACAGCACCGCTCTGGTTTGCATTAAGAGGCGCACGGGATCCTGCTTCATGTCACGGAATTCAGTGGAGCACAGCGGCCAACGGAAGCGAGGGCACATCCTCAAGCTACACCGGAGACCCGTTAATGCAGCATCCGTCCTCAGCAAGCATGACTGAGGAAGCCCAGCACTGGCTTTCCTTGCTGTGGGAAGGCATAAGTGTATACATAGACAATGAGTGCATCCATTGCTACATTAACCCAACTGGCGCTTGTGGCCCTTGACACCCATAGCTATCGTATCCTGCACCTGGCAGACTGCCCGAGTGACCATCGTGGGGGACACAGCGATCGTGATGCTCATGGAGTGGTACAGAGCTGAATATTAGAGATGGTATTGGTACATCCTGGTTCGTCCACTTCAACCAAGCGGTAGGTGATGCTCTGTACTTCCTAGTCGGAAGAGGTAGTCAGTTCTGACTTGAGACTCTCCAGCCTTTCGCGGTCCAAATTGCCAAGTTGCATCCTCTTTACTCAGACTTGAATAGTCTCTGAAAGAGTGACATTAAAGGTGGTGCTACCAAGCTCATTATCTATGCTTCATACAAATACCCTAGGGTAAGCATTAGGCTTTTACAGCAGGAGTAAGTGCAACGGTTTTCATCGGTCACGCTCTCTTCTAATTCTAACTGTGTAAAGATTGGTATTAATTAAAAGAGCTGTTGAGGGAAACTTTATTATCCTAAAGGGATAAGGAACTACACAAAATGAAGCACTCTATTAGAGCAGAAATGCTCGACTATAAAAAGAAGTACATCGATAATAGATTGAGGTTCTCACCATTGACATTTTTCCCCTGTGCATAAGCACTCGCTGTCACAGTAATTGATCTGTAAATTTCTGCTTTATAACACAAAGCAAGGAAGCAGTTTTGTGAACACCTCATCCGATGTCTAGGCTCTTCATGCTAGACACATTGATAACGAGATACCGATCGAAAGAGAAACCAATCCACGATGGAGGCTCATTCTAATACGTTATTATACGCAGGTGTCACAACATCCTCTAAATTAAATAGTCTTCTGGAGTTTTCTGCTGTTATTCTTCTCACAACCGATGTTTTCTCCGAGAGCGATAGGGGATTAGGAGAACAGTTTTCGAAGGGATGAGTCGTGATTGCTGCGAGAACCTCCGCAACTGCGTTGATGTGGGCAGGCTCTGTTCGGCCTTTAACAAAGCATGGACACTGCAGAGCACAATCACCACATTTCTTATCATAATTGCAGGACTTAACTACTTGCCTAAAATGCTCCTTGGTTAATCCAGATAAATGAGAATAGCTAGCATGCGTCGGCTTGACTTCGCACCAAGGGCAATCTGTTTCCAAGTGTATTCTACTCAAAGGAATGTTTCTCACAACCGACAAATTATCAGCGGTTTTGAGAGAACACCCGTTGATCCCAATATCAAATCCAAGGGCCAGGATACGGTTGCACAGATCCAGATCTCCATCAAAGCTATGCACTACGCCTTTTAGCCGGGGCTCCTTCTGTTTATAGTCCGCTAATATTTCTAGGAAATCAGTTCCTGCGTCCCTGCAATGCAAGAAGAGAGGTAGTGATGGCTGTTTGCTAAAGATATCCAATTGGAGCCTGAATGCCAGCTTTTGAATCTCCTTACCGGCAAAATGCAGACGAGCATAGTCTAATCCTAGCTCTCCATATGCGCGGACATAAACTGGGAGATTGCCACCGCAAACCAGCTGTTTTAAAACCTCCAGCGATGGCTTTGGAGAAAGATCTTCAGTCACCAGTTCTGCGGCACGAGTAGGGTGATACCCTATGGTGCATGAGAGTAGTGGCCACTTGTTCATGAGAGTTGCTGCAGCATTGTACTCTTCTAGATTGCCACAAGTCACAATCATGTGTTGAACGCCATACACCCTGGCTCTCTCTAACACATCTCCAAGATCTCGCCGATGTTTCTGAGATCCATTGTAGACTCCAGAATAAACATCGTCAAGTAAATTCGCCCCTATGTCTATCATGCTTAAGCTGCGCTTTTATTTCTATTTCTAAGGGCTTAAAATCTAAAGATCAGAAATTAAAAAACTTAAGACAGAAATGGCCAGTAAGCGAGTGTTTATCTCACACTTAGACACGGCACCAGCCAGAGCATGCTCGCAAGTTTTTCGAGCCTTTGGGTGGGAGGTCTATGGCACCATTCTGGATTCGGACGCAGCCCTTCCTACTCCATGCGATGCAACTGAAATTATACCTTCTCGCTCACAGGATTCGGAAGCATTTGCGCGCGGGATTTTATCCTGCGCAGCGATAATATATGACCTTTTGGCCCCCGATGAAGCTATAGCAGCACTAGAGCTAGTTGCTCTATCTCCAAACAAGCGGAAGTTCATCTGCCTTTCTTCATTTTTGACATGGTGCCGTACAGAGTTACCTCCGCGACAGCTGGAAGACAAAGAGGAGTCGGTTTTGGAAGAAGACCTTCCAGATGAGAAGGAGCTTGAACCCGATGAGGTGGTTGAGCTATATCGAGCTGCCCATAAAAAGGCTCCCTTTTGGGTGCTCAATAAGATAAAGAAGAGAGAGGAGGAAGAACGTCGTGCCCGTGAAGAAGAAGAACAAGAAGAGCAAGAGGAGCAAGAGAATCCTGAGGAGCCGGAAGAAGAGTATGAATATGAAGAAGTAGAAGAAGAATACGATGATGAGGACGACGAAGCGGTACCTGAGGATGATAACGAGGACCATCAGGAAGAGAGTGGCGAGGAAGACGAGGATAACGGAGATAACGAGGATAATGAAGTCGTAGAAGACACCACCAAACGGCGACGCTTTCGAATAGTGCGTAAAAGGGTTCCTAAAAAGAAGCCTCTAGAAATGCCAGTAGAAGAATCTGAACACGAGGATAGGATAGAGCAGGGACCAGACGAGGAGCTTCAGGAGCCAGATGATGCAGAGCCAGAAGAAGAGTATGAGTACGAGGAGGAGTGGAGCGAATCGGAGGAGCCGGTAGAAGAGAACTCTGAAGAACGTGAAGAGCGGTTGCTTCAGCTCAAGAAATATGGTATCTCTGAATCTGATCACGAGCGTCGTCGTCCTCATCCGGATTTTCGGATCCTCCTGACTACAGAAAAGGATATTGCCAAACGCCTCTCAAGCAGAGAAAATCTAGAGGGCGCTATAGTTATCCCGGGGCTAATTTATGGTTACGGAGAAACATCTTTAGTCCCCCTTTATAGGAGCATATACGAGGGAAAGCTCACTCAGATACCACTTTACTTTGGGGGGCATACACGTTCAATTCCAACAGTTTATGCCTTAGACCTTGCACTTCTTGTCCACAGCCTTGTCATAGATGTGTGTCCAGACAAGGAACAGCCGTATGTGTTCGCAGTTGAACGGCAAATATGCACGTCCAAGCAGCTGGCAGAGGCCATGGGTCAAAAGTTGCTTTTACCTGATCCTCTTCGAGATAAACTTGCAAAGGACATGGATGAGCGCCTTCGAACTACAAAACCTAAGCCTCTTACCAAGCAGACTTTCAGAGAATATGTTAAGATTCGTGATGCTCCACAATCTTTGCCAAACTATATTAGAGAAGTCGATAAAGAAGAGACACGGCTTGGTGACTCTATCCTAGAATTAACGGTTGATTCTCCGATGATTTTGGGATTCGCCTCCAACGACTTACTAGGAGGGAAGTTTCCTCTGTTTGCTAGGTCTGGATTTATTGATAACATTGAGCTGTCGTACTCTGAGTTTCTTGCCGCATGGGGGCTCAAGCCTGTTCGAATATTCATTCAGAAAGACCCTGATACGTCCATGGAGCTTGCTGACAAGCTTGCAATGGTGCTCACAAAGTACCTGAGCTTGGATAGCAGAGATGATCGTCGTACCAGCTCTGCATATGTTAAGGATCTTGCTGATAAGATATCCACGGGAAAATTAACAAAAGATGAGGTCATCTCTACGTCACGGATAAAGATTATCGACGGAATGTCCTATACACTGTCTACATTATCTAATCTTTTCCACGATCTGGCAATGGATTATCGTACCCGTCAGTATGGCTGGATCTTAATTGGTCTTCCTCTAGGGATGTTGCCTGAAGATGTGTTTGGTCGCCCGGCGATTATAGATAAATATAAAGAGTATGCAGATGTGGGTCTTCTACCGCCTAAGTCAGTCAAGCATGAAGAAGGTGAAGGGGAAGACGTTGAGCCTGAAGAGGAAAATAGTGACGGGGAAGAGGAGTTGGAAGAGGAGGATGTAGAGGTGGATGAAAGTGATAGAATAGAAAAGATACGTGAGCGCATATTGCTCCCATACACTGCTCCTGCACACCCCTTTACACGAGGAAGAGTAGGAAGGGAGCACCTCAAGGAAGGTCCTAGGAATAGTCTCGACTTTTATGATAGTAACGTTTCTATTGAACACCCTGATGGAATACGCATTCCATGGCCAGAGTACATTATCGACTTGCCAAAGCTGGATAGATACGGTGCATCTCAGGACGAGCTGTCTGCTCTGGCAATTATTGAGCGCTTCTGTGAATATTGCGTCGAGGTTAACGGAGAGCGAAAGAAGAAAAGCCTGGTAGAAGATACTGAGACACCAGAAGAAGCAAATGAGGAAGATGAAGGAAGGAAAAAGCGTAAACGTAAGGTAAAACCAGAGCCCCCAACTGAGCATTACCATACGACTGAGCTCACACGACATGAAGCAGAGGTGGAAGCATGGCATAAGGCTGAAGAAGCTGCAGCGGATATTTATCGACGAATGGAGCACGAACGTCTTAAGCATGTTCGACGACAATGGATAAAGGCCGTAAAGAAGCAATGCATTAAAAAGATAAATAAGCTAGCAGAGAAGGGCGAGCCCGGTATTGTTCCATATGATTCGGCAAACTATACGTGGATAGAAGACTTTAATCTTGTAGGTCTTGATCCGCGTTTGGATCTTGACGTTATAAAGATTCCAAAAAAGGTCGCTTCTGAGTCAGATGAAGTAGAGGACAACCAAGCGGTTGATAATGAACAAGATGAGAATACGCATTCGGGAAGTTATACGGACGAAAATGGAGAGCAGCGTAAGGCTCCTCCCTTGATTAACCCAGATGATTATGATTTAGGCATTGAAGACGAAGAGAAGTATGAGCAATTGCGGCAGCAGAAGCTTGAGAAGATGAAACAAAACCAATTGCGGAAAGAAGAGAAGAAACGAAAGATTGAGGCTGGCGAGGAGGTCTCCGAAGACGAGCCTACTGAAGAGGAGGAGGAGTTTGATGAAACAGGCCGTCGAAAGCGTACAACTCCCAAACCAAAGCCGTTTAAAGACGCACCAAAGGTCCCCATTAATTACCAAGACATCCCTCTACCAGAGCACCATCATCGTGGATTTGCATGGCTTATTGAGTCATTAACAACGATCAAAGAGGTCCCTTATGGCGTATCGAATATATTCTCTCCGTACTTTAACTCGTCGAGGTACACTTCCTTTGAAACTCTTTGTCAGGCTATAATGAGCTTTGTTGGTCCAAGCAGGGGATTCGGCAAAACGAGGGAAGAGAGAAAGCAACAAGAGGAGGTTATAAAGCGACAGGAAGTCATTAGACGCCAGTTATTAGAAGAAAACCTCCTGAGGAAGGCCGAGGAACATAGGATAATAGAGGAGAAACGAAAACAAGATCTTTACAACATCCGTGAGGAACTTATCAGCAACGAAGAGCGTCGAATCAAAGACCTTTCTATCCCAATCAGGAAGTATCTTACACAAACAGTCATGAAAGACTTAATTGACGGACTTGTGGAGGTGTCTAAACTCAGACCCAATGACCCCGTTCGTTACTTAGGGGAGTTCTTGATGGAGCGGTCGGTCAAAGACATAGAATAGCTTCTGCCACTGATCTAACTTTTATACAGGATTTTTTTCAGCTCTTTGGCAAGATCTGCATTATTGTTAGATATATCTACGAATACATCAATAAATGCTTCCTTGTATGCCTCTCTGAGGTCGAATACGAGACGCTTTATCAACCTATTATCCCTAGTAGTCTTAAACTCAAAGATCCCGTAATCAAGGGCTTTATGCAGTAATGAGCGGAGGACTGCGTGGTGCAGGGATAAATCTATGAGGGTAGTCACAGGAGCTGGTGCCAGTTGAGACATTAAGATGTTTCCTTGTGCGATTACTCTCCCTAACACGTATTGGATGAGAACCTTTGACAGCAGAACAGACTCTGTTTGCAAGATGCTGAAGATGGGGGCCACCAGTCCACTAACATCTGTGAAGTGGAGCATATGCTGTGCAGATGCTGCGGTGCCGCTGGCTAGAAAGCTTTGGATGTGCAGAATAAAAAGAGACCCGTTGGAAAGGGCTAGTTGTACGCTGCTATCAGAAAGATAGACATACTCTGGGGAGTATTGTAGGTCTAAGGTAGATTGCAGTGTTATAACAATCTTGGTGTCAACCACTCTAAAAAGCAGAATGTGATGCTCAAACGTGACTCTATTTTTCAGTAAAATGAATGAGTTGCAATCACTGCTTGAAACGGAATCAGTCTCCTTTATGGCGAACTCGCGTCCGCTGTCTTTTTTGGCTCTCACTGATAGGATCATATTGCTTTCCCCACATGCGATCGGCACTAGAAGATGCGGATTGAATAGGCGTGAATGTGTGCTAATAATTGAGAGTGTTGATGCTGTAGAATAGCAAATAAGATGAGCCGTTCCGTTAGATAAAACGAGCATAAAAACGTCCTTTGAGAGAATCAAATAGTCCATTGGAGACCCGTCTAACAAAAGATTAGCAGTAGATGGGCAAGTATTTGAAGATATAAGGGATGGAGAAAAATAGTCTGAAGGAACAAGCCTCGTGACAGTAAACTCTTCTTGTGGCAGTACAAGTCTGTTCAGCAGTCCAGTCTCTTCAGGATATGTCAATAAGTCTGGGCTTGCTTTAACGAAGGCGTTAGGAGCGGGATGTGCGGTAGGTAAAACAGGTAGTGCGTTGAGATCTTTGATAGTGGTATCAGCAACTGCTATGTGAGGGTTGGCGGTAGATTTAAAATCTGCCTGCCCATTTTGTGGATCACCTGATCGTGCTAATAGATTAGTTGTTTGTTCTAATAGTTCATTTGAGCGGTCTCCAAAAAACTCAGCTATCTCCTCTTCCTCTGGTAACAAAGCCCATAACTGATCTCTATCTGTATGATTTGAAGCCCCAATTCTAATGTCTTCCGATAAGGGCTCTTCTGCTGATGGAAATTCATAGAAACTATATTCATCTTTAACAGAAACCTTGACATATGCAGTCCTTGGGAGATGCAAACTTGGGACATGCTCACTCTCATCTTGATCGCTAGCAACGCATTCTGAAAGCATCGCTTTGTCGGGATCTAGCTCGGGTGAGTGTTGCGCCATATCAAAGCCAGTGGTTTTATTTGTATACATACTCACCCCATGCTGTGATGAGTCATCAGACATCTCATATACCGAGTGCTGAATTGTTGCTGTAGCTTTTTTTACGCTAAGGATCCGTATTATGTCCACTATTGGGAGTTCTATAGAATAGATTGTACGAACGTTTTTAAGAATGCGAGTAGTGTGTGTGGCACTCTCTTTGCCTTCCTCAGAAAAAGTCTCCTGACCTGCTATATCTGCGACTCCAATGACATAGAGCGTAAACACAGAACGTGCACGATCACTCGTGTTGCCCAAGGTTGATGTCCATGTCATCTTTTCGGCGAGAAGCGGCAGTTTAGCGGAGAAGATACGATGGTGATGCAGTGGCACTAGGTATATGTGAACGTATCCCCGGGTATCTGCGCAGGCCACGAGCTCAACTGTTGGCAACGCAAGAAATGCTTCCAGATCAACCCCACTATCCGATACAAATTTGTGATGAAGCTTATTATCAGATGGTAGCATGAATGACACGCAAGAAATGGCTGTGGCCACAATGGGGTATCCGGTGTAGATTGTTAGCGGTATCTCCGAGAGCTTTGATGTGTCGGAGTATGCATTGAAACAACTGCGTGCTACAAGTCTGCAGACAGGAAGGTTCTTCTTAAAACATCTCAATGTATCGGACTGCTTAGCTATCTGCTTATCTATGGAGTATATCCCAAATGGAAAGACCACAGATCGTGGGGAGATGGACAAATGCATTGTTGGAAAGCGAAATACAGATTGCACAGGTTCAAAAATGCTATTTCTATATTGCAATCTGGAGAAATAGAGCTCAGTAAGCGCAGTATCACCGTTATCGACCTCAAAGCACTTTATAAAATTGGTTGCAAAATGGGGAGTTCTCCTGTCTCCATCTTCATACATCACTTCGCCACACACGATGAGCTTCTCCTTCTGAGGGGTTGTAGGGCGTGATGCTCTGATAAGTAATAAACTTTGGATTTTATTTATAAGTCCATCCTTGCTCTCCAACGGATTGACGCTACTAATGCAACACACACAGGAGTCTAAATCGGTGGATGTTATGTTTGCTATGGATAATGCTGACAAGCCTGACGCTAGTTTATGAACATCATCGTGAACAAGCACTGAGTAGGCGTCCTTGGCAGATTGATCCTCCTTAAGCGTCACTGTGAAGACTATATGCTCACGCTTGTTGAAGGCGAGTACAAAGACACACGGTCTTATTGCAGACCAGACAATATTATCAAACATATCCACAAAGAGCTTATCTCCTGACACGGTTGTGCACTCCTCATGTGACATGTGGGCGAGAAATTTGCAGGTGCGAGGGTGTGAGGAGGGATCTCGTGATTGAATGATGGTCAGTTCATAGAACAAGATCAAGTTGGAAGTGTATACAACCAAGTACCGCTCATCGGGGGAGCTCACCATACTAATAAGAGATTCGGAGCAATGCTGTTGATACTTCTTTAACTCCGGTCTAGGTAGCATCCTTATACACGTCTGCGGCACATAGTCATGCGTGCAGACGTATAATAATTGGTCAAGAACCCTTCTTTGATTCTCCTTAAACGAATTAAACTTGAATGTCAAGACCACTAACAGATTAGATTTAGGCAGAACACAGGCAGATGCAATTCTTTGATAAACTAGTTGCTCTGATGCTTGCCCCACACTTATGTTCAAGGGCGTGAAGATAGACGACAGAGGAAACTGACGGACGTTCGCTGAAAACATTTTTTAAGATTTATTAATTTTATTAATTTTTAGACGCGCATTGATAAGGAGCTAGATCGGTAAATCCACAATATATGGACTCGGAACCTGGGCGGCTGAGAAATAGGTGATGAAAGATACTATCTCCGAGACCCTATCCACTTCAAGGATCATTTCTTTCGGCTCATTATGCACCAAAACAGTAAGATTAATCTGACTATCGCCAGGAACCACCTTTATTAGCGCATCAAATGTGTATCCAGTGTTTTCAGATAGATCTGCATTTAAGAAAAGAATACCTCTGTGGTTGAGAAGTAGAATGGTGTCAGACTCCGGTGCCATTCGATCAAATTTGCGCACACTACCATGAAAGCATGCATATCCATACTGCTTGAGCGATGTCCCGACAATATTAAAGTAGTGTTGGATGGCTTCATCCGGCGTTGGGGCTAGACCCTGTTCAATAATAGACGAAAACATGTGCTTGAACATTTTCTCCAAGCTCTTATCATTGTATCTTACGAGGATATCACTGTTTATGAATCTTCCTGCAGAGGCTTGAACATATTTAGAGTAAAAATGTTTTTCCTTTATGTTGGGAATTGTCCCTGTTGTAATAATGTAATAAAATGCAGAGAAAAGTAATGAATATTCGTTGTTCACCCTCCAGATGTGTGTGATAATGGCTCTCTGCACTTGTTCCAGAAGAATCAGTCTGAACTTTTTATTTAGATGTTTAACCACTTCTGGCGTGGGGAAAATAGCAATTCGCAGAAAAATCGAGGGATTGCCGTGTAGAACAGAGTAGTAAGGCTGAGAGAGCGCTTCCATGCATTCGACAGAAGCTTTGGCTGTCCTTTTCAAGAGGACAAACGCGGGGGCGTAATCGTCAGGAATGTCCAGTTGTCGGCATAGGTCAGTAATTATATCAAATACTAAGCTGTTAGGACCAATCGAAGTATAAATAGGTCCGGTAATTGTGCCTACCCTCAAGGGAATAGTCATCATTTTTTTTAGCTCTTTCAGTTGACAAACTATAGGCCTAACAGCCATCCTTCACCCTGTATGCGTAGCCCTTTGGACGTAGGGTGCCAAGGTGGTAACAAAATCACTTCAAGACGATTTACTCTCCCATATTAGTGGAACACGGTCAGTAGAAGCCAATGCGCTTGCTGCCCACAGTCATATCCAGCGCATTATCTATTTGGTCGGCTTCTGGGTTGTCCCAGGCGGTGTTGACGCGCTCTGTGCCAGTTAAACAAACATCAGAGATGCCCATAAGGAGTCGCTTGAGCTGGGTGATAATCATCTCTGCGCGTTCATGCTTTCTCTGGAGTAGATCTAGCTCATCACGCAGGATGTTGATGTCATCCGCCTTCTCCATTTGGGCCTGGTGATCGGTCTCCATGGCGTTGCGAAGTATCTGGGTCTCCTCCTCTAGCTCATAGATTCTGCTCTTCAAGACTTCGTTTTCTTCATCTGCCCTTACAGCAGAAGTGTCAGACACACCCGACATCCCGCAGGCACGTAGCTTAGACTCCTTAACCTGTGACTCATGTATCTCAAGAACCTCATCATTTGCTGCAATGAGCTGCTCATTGAACTGAGCCAAGAGGGCGTCTTTCTCCTCTATCTCATTTTGGAGACGCTGTATCTCTTCCTCATGGATTCTCTTCATCGCTTTCTTTTCGGCTTCAAGGCGCTTCTGGTTAGCAAGGGAGTTTGCGAGCTCCTCTACAGAAAATTGCGCCGCCGTCGTTCTCTGCTCTATGGTAGTCTCATAAGCATGGATCTTCTTGTGCGCATTTTCTAGTTCTTCGCGGTACTGATCACACTGTGCACAGTGGTGCAATTTAGAAGACCCCAACGACGCTCTGTGGCTCGCTCTACCCTCCAGGATACTCTCTAGTTCCGCAATTCTGTCCAAGGCATTTGACAATTCCATGGCTAATGTTGCCCTGGCCTCCTCCGATTCTGCAATGCGCTGCTCAAGACGAGAAGAGGTTGCTAGCGCCTGAGATGCAAGGGCGTGATATTCACTGGATTTGGTTGCCAACTTTGCCTCTTGGCGGCTCAAAGACCTTCGGAGATGCGATTCTCGACGTTGTGCTGTAACCAGTTCGCCGTCAACAACGTTTCTGAGTTCTTCAGCGCTCGACTGTATAGAACGCGCAGCCGCTACGGCTTGCTCTGCAGCCAGGCGCGAGCGGTCGAGAGAATCATCGATGCGCTTCTGTTCCGTGACAAACTGCTCGTTATCGTTGTTCGAGGTCTCGGGGGAGTCCAAAGAAAGCAAGAGGTTGTCACCCATTTTTAAAAACACGCCTCGCCATTTTTTAGCTAACGCATTTTTGACAAAAAGCACAAATAGATTGGTTCACATATTAGTCCTTCTTCCACTTAGAAATGTCTGAGACCGTCCCAACGGCACCAATGGCATTGTATGCCTCGCGAGAGTTATCCGCTATGCTATTCGGACTAACAACTGTCGGGCTTGTTATCACTGGGCTGCGAACAGCACGCTCTAGAGCATCTAGCTTGCGTTTCAGAACATCGTTGTTTATGTTCATCCCATTCACCTTGTCCTTCTCATTGGCCAGGCTAACCTCCAAGTCTCTGAGCTTGCTGGTAAGATCAACTATCTGAGATTTGCTGAGGCTGTCATCGGGAAGCGACATTGAGCTTGTTCCGTATTTTTCGTTTAGACTCTTGAGGTGTTCCGAATAGGAAGCATTGAGATCATCAAGATCAGTTATTGCCTGAGACATTTCAACGACCGCGCGACGCTTCTTGACGTCTGAGTTGATCATCTCCGCCATTAAACGCTTGTTATCCTCCTCAAGCTCGCGAACCTTGCGAGACAGATCATCAATAGATGAAACATCGGCGAGGAAGACTGCCGAGTCTGGATTGGCAATGCCGTTTTCATCGCAAAACTTTCGGAGCTTAGTATGGAGGATGTCACGCTCCTTGATCGCCGTGTTGTACTGAACCTTGAGCTTTTCGCATTCGTTTTCTGCATCCTGAAGACGCTTTATTGTTGCCGTGATATCACTTGGAATCCTCGCCAGTTCTTCATTTTTCTTGGAAAGCTCGTCCTTTAAAGCCGCAAGACTGCTCTCCAATTCGCTTACTTGATCGCGCAACGACTGGACAGCCTTAGCATCGGCGCTACCACCAGCTAGAGATTCCTCAAGAGACTTTCGCAGATTCTCTACCTCAAGTTCTTTGACCCGGAGCTTCTCAAGGAGAAGCTTATCATGCTGGGATGCGTCGACAGCATCCTCCTTTAGGCGCTGGATCTGGTCTTCACTATTTGCAAGCGCGGCTTGCATATCCGCGATGATCTTGCGAAGCTTGTTGTTCTCATCTTCCCTGATTCCCTGCTTCTCAAGAGAGTCTTGGAGCAGCACGCGCAGGCGCTCAATTTCGAGATCCTTATTCTTGAGAAGAGACTTATATTCGTTGGTTTGCTGTCTCACGCTTATGAGGTCCTTCGGAAGTGCGTCGCGGTTCTTGACAATCTCAGCCAGATCTCTCTGATGAGCCTCAGCCTCATTCAAAAGCCTAGCATATTCTTCCGGACTTTTGGTTGGTTGATCAATCAGCTTAAGCTCTCTCTGGAGGCGAACGATGTCATCGGTAAGAGAAGCAAGGAGAGCCTCCTTGCGAGCACGCTCCTCCGGTGTCATCTCTGTCTCTGGGTCAGAAAGCGCAGTCTCAGCCTCTTTATGTTGCTCCCTGAGCTTCGCCAGTAGTCCATACTTTTTATAAAGTTCAACCTCGTCAGGCGAGAGACCGTCAAAGTGCTTTTTGAGTCTAGAATTCTCATCTTCCAAAGCTCTGTAATGATCCTCACGTGTGCTGTTAGCATCCGTACGAAGGCTTTCGATCATGGCCTCACGCTCACGGAGTGCTTGGCGCATGGTATCAAGCTCCTCTCGCTTTTCAATCACATCTGCCTTGAGCTGTTCAAGATCCTTGCCCATAGCGGAGATCAGCTCGTCTTTCTTCTTGGTCTCTGCATTGCCATCATCGAGTTTCTTCTTTAGAGCTGCCACCTCCAGTTCATGCTTCTTCAATAAATCGCCGTGCAGTTCATCCATGGCATGGGCGCCAGCTTCACTGGTTGAAAGTACAGAGTTAGCTGTCGAGTTGGTGAGCGCATCCCGCAGGCTCTTCTCCACGCCACTCTTTGCGATAGACGCCTCCCTCAGGTGAGTAAATGAACGTTCTTGGTGCATAATCGCTTCGGCAAGGCGCTCCACCTCTTCTTCACGCAAGTCAAGATCCTCCTTCAGCATTTCAACCTCCATCTCCAGCTCTGCGATACGAAGAATAAGTTCTGCATTAGATCCTTGGTTGGCGTTGCTGATCTTCTTGAGAACTTCCTCGTCATCTCCAACCTCTGCTTCAACGGGTCGTTCACTGGCCACAATGTCTCCAGAATCTGCAAAAGCCAACTTATCCTTAAGCTCCTCTATTATATCATCTTTGTCTAAGAGCTCTTTGTTCAGGTCCTTTATTTCCTGAGTCTTTTCAATGACGTGTGCCTTAAGGACATCAATATCCGAGCGTAATGCATTAATCAAATCATCATTAGCGGGTGCAGCCTCTGCAAACGTAGCAGGCACAGTACCTTGCGTAGCAAGTTGCTCTTTGGTCTTAAAAAGTTCCTCCTTAAGGTCGTTCAGCTCCTCCTCTGTAGTTCGAAGCTGCTGCTTGAGAGCTGCTTGATCAGCTGTGGAATCATTGCTGCGCAGCCTCTCTATCTCAGCTTCCTTCTCCTTAATCATATTTTGGAGGAACATATTATGTGTATTGAGGGCCTCCTTGTCCTTCTCCAAGGCATGGATCCGGCCAGAACCGTCATCGGGCAAATACTTCACCTCATTCAAAGCATCGTCCAACTTCTGTTGCAGATCATCCAGTTCTCTGTCCTTGTCGCGAATAATATCCTCAAGCTTTACAATAGTGCTCCTAAGGACATTGATGTCCTGAATCTCTCCTTCGTACATGGCCACGCTCGTGGTGGAGGCTTCCACTGCATCTCCGGTCTTGTTGAGCCGAAGATTGAGTTGCTGGATGGCATCATCACGGGCCTCAACAAGCCTCTCAAGGGCGGAGATTCTCTTTACATAAGTCTCTACCTCCTCACGAAGTCTTCGAGTATCCTCACCGTCTGTAAAAGGCTGAGCATTTTGAGCTGCCTGAAGTGCACGAGTCAGATCTATGACATCCTTTTCCTTCTGAGCGAGCTTTTCCTCGAGGTCCTGGACTGTTGCCTCAAGTGTTCTAAGTCTGTCGTCCTCTTCGTAATCAACGAGACCTCGGAGCTTGTCTGCTTCGTCACGTTTGTTTCTGAGCTCTCTCTTGAGTGCATCCACCTCTGCAAGGAGATCCACTTCGCGCGTGGAGTCCACCACCTGACCTTGCGCGGACAATAAGCTACGGAGCTCCGATATCTGTTCTTCCCTCGCACGGAGTTCTGCACGAAGGTTCTTTACTTGAGCCGAGTCATCATCTCTCACCTCAGCAAGCACCCTATTAAGTTCCTCTAGGAGCCTGTTGTATTCCGTTTCGCTTTCAGCAAGCTTTCTGTCCATATTTGCTATCTCAATGCCTCTAGAGATAACCAGGGCTCGAAGCCTATCGAGCTCTTCTCTCAAAGCGTCCTCTGCACTGCCACTCTCGGCAACTTTAGCAAGCATGCTTCGGAGACTCTCATTTTCAGTTCTAAGAGCATCCGCCTCTGCGGCGTCGCAAGCAGCGTGCAGGGCGTCCTGGAGACGGGCAATCTCTGCCTCCTGGGCTTTAACAGTCTTCTTGAGTTCGTCAATCTCACGTTCCCTCTCAGCAAGGTCTCTACGTAACTGCTCCTCAACTTCCCTAGATGGCGTCGTGCTGTTAAGAATCTCTAGCTGCTCTTCACTCTCCTTAAGTCGCTCCTTAGTGCGCGCAAGCTCCTCCTCTAATTCTGCAACACGCCGGCTGTTTTCCTGTTCAGATGTATTCAAAAGACTACGGAGTTGGACTATCTCCTCATCGCGCTTAGCATACTCGGCAATCGTTGCCTCCTGCTCTTTAGCGTTTGTCACGAGCTCCCTAAGGCGCTCATTCTCACTCTCTAGATCCCTAACTCGCGTATCAGCGTCTTTCACCACTTTTTCACGGAGACTGTTGAGTTCGGCCTGTGCGGCAGCCAGATCTGCTTCTAACTTCTGAACCGTGGCATCCTTAAGAGTTGCTGAGGATGATAAGCCTGACAGCTCAAGATTATTGCGCATGCTCTCGTTGGTGTTCGCAAGACGCGAGGTGTCTCGAAGAGCAGACGAAGTCGCCATACTATCCTCTACCGTCGCATGGAGAGAGTCTATCTTCTCCTTGTACTCACTGAGCGTCTGCTTGAGGCGCTTTATCTGGTCTTGAAGAGCGACATTATCGCTGTAAATAGAGGAGGACTCCTCATGCAACGTGACCAGCTTCTGCTCCAGAGCGAGGATTTTGGCTTCGAGGTCTTTTTCAAGCTGCGTCTTGGAAGCGTTACTAAACACAGGCCCGCCCGGTGAAGTTGCATTACGAAACATGTCAATGGCTTGCAGGCTAGAGGCAAGATCGCCACCTATCTGTATACTCCCATTCAGGCTCATATTTGACAGGTTCTGTAGGGACTGAGACGTGATTCCAGGAAGCGTATTAGACTCAAATTGCCTAAGATAGTTTGCGACGTCAGCATACCCTGCATTTGCAGCAAGAATTAGCGCTGTTTCGTTATTGTGAGACACTATCTCTCTCTCCCTAATAGCCAGATACTTCACGACGTCGAGGTGCCCCGCCTCCGCCGCATACATCAAGGCAGTTCGGCCACGATTATCCTGTATGGTCTTCTGATATGGCAAAAGATAGATTATAGCGTCCATGCAACTGTGCTTTGCAGCCAGCATCAAGGGGGTTCGCCCCTCTGGATCTCTACTAGCCATCTCGTATGATATCAGACGCTTACAGATTTCGCCCTGATTAGAGAGTGCTGCCATCATTATTGCCGTCTGTCCATCGGAGTCCGTCATTGAGTGTTCTGTATAAGCAAGAATCTTGACCATATCGACGTCGCGGTTAGCCACTGCATGCATTAGCCCTGTGCGCCCATCTTTATCCGTGGACCGACCATATTTCTGCAGATTGCTTTTGACAAGCTCGTGGCTTCTGCCATCTATGGCTGCAAACCAGTCATCCTTGGACTCAAGCATTCAGCACTGGCCCGTTTTATAAATTAAAATGACTTTAATGAATATTTTATGGATAGGCGGAAAAAGCATTTTTTTGATTTTCCGCAAGCGCCAGAAGGTGCAACCGGGGTGTATCCAAGCTTCAGAGTTCGTTTATTTACAAACAAAGTGGTAATAAGCCAACTACACAAAACAATTAATGAATAACGGTTTGTAAGAATTGAGCACCAAACACCATACTTGCACCAACACACATTCCAGCAACAAAATTGATGCATCGGTCTGCTCTTTCCATGACGTCATCGGACTCGTTGACGCTTCGTGGTTTCTCCACATGATCAGAATACTCACTAGCAATCTTATCTGGGATTCTCTGAGATAATTTGAGTGTCTCTGCCTGCTGGCGCTCAATCGCAAGCTCCTTAACTTTATCCTCTATCTGCCTTTTGAGGTCCTCCTTCACAGCATTGAGCTGGGAGTTCTCGGTTCTCAGCCCCTCCAGCTCCCTTGTTAGAGACGTGATAAGTTCTTCAGACTGAGCGCCCGCGGCAATCTGTTTGTTAAGTTGTTGATTTTCAGCTCGTAACTTCTCAATAACTTCACCGGTAGCTGAGAGCCTGTCCTGAAGAGAGGAAAGCTCCGCCTCCAACGGAGAAATTTGTGCGCCCAAGTTCTCTATACGCTGCAGAGCGTCGGTTAGCTCACGTTCCTTCGCGTCTGCACGTTCATTGGCGTCCTTGAGCGCCTGCTCTAAATCAGAGATTCTAACATCGTCTGTGCCAGTTGCCAAAGAGGGCTCCTCCAAAACAGGAGCAGCAGGCAGAGGTAAATTCTTGGCAGAGCTGGTCTTCATGGCGTTAATTTGATCGTTGAGGATATTCTTTTCAGTCATTAGCGCCGTAATCTTATTGTTGAGCTTCTTAATGCGTCTTCTTTCAGAATCAAGCAACTCTCGAAGCTCATCCAATGACAGCTCACCTAGATTCTGGGTACTCCTAGAAGTAGACCTAGCTAGGCTTGGTATCGATGAGAGATCAGGATTAGAAGAGGCACTCTCAATCGTTTTCTCTTCCAGTTCAGCTTTCAATAAATCTATCTTTGAATTAGCCTCTTCTAATTCTAGGCACTTAGAGCTCAATTGATCCTTAAGGGTTGAAAGTTCATCATTCAACCTCGAAATATCTGCGTCAGATGTTGATACTTGTGCATTGATAGCGTCCAGTGACTGCTCCAGATCAATAATAGTTTTGTTGAGTTTAGAAACCTCGTCACGTAGGCTATCTCTTTCGGCTGTAACATGAGCCAAATCCTTTCGCAATTCCTCAGTGTCAACATCAGATTTCTTGTCTACTGTACTATCATCAATAAGACGACGTAACTCATCAATCTCAGCAGTGCGCGCTTCTAACTCTGCAGTAAGGTCTTGAACTTGTGAGTCAGGGACCTCCTCCTCCAGTGCGCGAATGCGGGCCCTCGCCCCGGCGCACTCCTGCTCCAGGTCCTGGACGTCCTGGTCGCGCGCCGCAAGCCTGTCGCGGAGCTTGGCTATCTCCTTTTCGTGGCGGGCCGCCTCTTCCTTCATGCGCTCCAGCAGGAACGACGAGTCGCCCAGCTCGCCCACGGTCCTCTGGAGGTCTGCGATCTCCTGGGTCTTGAATGCAGCCTCCTTCTGGAGAGCAGAGAGGCGCTCTTCGAGGGCGTAGACGCGCGCGTCGTCTCCGCTCGGGGCGCCCGACACAGATGCGCGCAAGTCGTCGTTGGCACTAGTCAGGCCGTCGATCTCTCTTTGGAGGGCGTGGATCTCGTGCGCCTGGAGGCGGTTGACGTTGTGGAGGTTCTTGACCTCGGCCTCGAAGAGGGCGACCTCCTCCTCGTGCTCTGCGCGATCAACAGTTGTCTCCGCAAGTAGCTTGATATCTCTTTCAAGATCTGCAACACGTTTGCAAAGTAGCTGACGCTCGTTTTCTAGAATGGTTCCGTCACTAGGCAAAATAGTTGCGTTGCCTGATGGTTCTAGTGTAATCAGAGGAATCACATTATCTTCAGCGGCTTGATCACGTAGTTGTTGCAGTTCTAGTTCCCTAAGTTGAAGATTATCTTCTAACTCGGTAATACGTTTTAAGGAATCATCATTCGGATCCATAGGCTGACGAGCCTTGATATCCTCAATTTGTAATTCTAAATCTTTCAAATCTCTCCTTTTGTCCTTAATTTCATCATCCAATACCTGGATCAGTGCGCGGCGATTCTCCAAAGTTTCTTCTAAGTCCTGGGCTGATGGCAGTATCGAGCTCTCAATGTGGGCCTTCAATTCGGAAATTTCACCTCTAAGAAGAGCAATATCCTCATCTTTTCTTTGAAGAGTAAGCTGCATAGCAGTTAATTTTTCATTCAAAGAAGGACTATTGTTAGACAGTAAATCATCTAATTGATGTTGTAATGATGCTACCTCATCGCTCTTCAGCTTTAGCTGAGCCGAATAATACTCATTAGACTGTATAAGCATTTGAATATCAGTCTCAGAATCCGCTGGTTGTTTGGTCGACGGTGAGAAATCACCTGCAGTGAACGAGTTCAATTGACGTTCATATAGATCACATTTATTCTGTGATTCTTCTAAGGCTTCTGCAACACATGCTAATTCAAATTGGAGCTTGGCAATGTGATCCTCTAAAGAAGTAATGAAATTGGATTGCTCAGCGGACAAAGAATCACGAGGTTCTTTTTCTTCAGAGAGAGATTTATCGTTAGAAATGTTGCTATTTAATTTGTCCTGCAGATGTGCAACAGCGTCTTCCAGAGTCCGAATGCGAAGTTTCGCCTCAATGTTTTCTTGTTCCAACTCTTGGAAGTCTTGACTATGAGTAGTATCACGAGTAGACCCGTCCTGTACGCTCTCCTGCAATTCCAGCAACCTATGATTAGCTTCATCAAGTTGTGCTCTAGTTTCTTTCAGTTTTTCCTCCAAAATCGCTATAGGATAATCATCTTCTTTAGTGTCAAGTAAATCACGTAAACGATCAGCTTCCTCGCGTAGTCTTTCATTTTGGTCTTTTAGCGCATCTAGATCCCCCGTTTGTTTAAGTGAATTTATAGTAAGCAAGGCATTATCGAGAGTATACTCTAATTCAGCCTTCTCTGTTTTGAGACATTCAAGTTGATTCTTCAATTCTAAAAATTCAACCTCAGAAACATTGACAGCCAAAGGCTTATCTCGTGATTGACTAGTTGTCATAAGGTGAGATGCATCAGAATCTGTAGTATCAGATACTGCTTCTAGCGCGCGAATGCGGGCCCTCGCCCCGGCGCACTCCTGCTCCAGGTCCTGGACGTCCTGGTCGCGCGCCGCAAGCCTGTCGCGGAGCTTGGCTATCTCCTTTTCGTGGCGGGCCGCCTCTTCCTTCATGCGCTCCAGCAGGAACGACGAGTCGCCCAGCTCGCCCACGGTCCTCTGGAGGTCTGCGATCTCCTGGGTCTTGAATGCAGCCTCCTTCTGGAGAGCAGAGAGGCGCTCTTCGAGGGCGTAGACGCGCGCGTCGTCTCCGCTCGGGGCGCCCGACACAGATGCGCGCAAGTCGTCGTTGGCACTAGTCAGGCCGTCGATCTCTCTTTGGAGGGCGTGGATCTCGTGCGCCTGGAGGCGGTTGACGTTGTGGAGGTTCTTGACCTCGGCCTCGAAGAGGGCGACCTCCTCCTCGTGCTCTGCGCGATCGGCAGCAGCAGCCAGAGACACTTCTCTGAGTTCTTTGAGCTCTTGCTCATATGCATTCTTAACATCATCAAGGTGTGATACACATCTATGAAGCTCTGCATTATCCGCTTCAAGGCATGAAATACGGTCATGCACCAGTTCAACTTGTGTAGTGAGTTCATTCTTTAGTGCATCTACCTCAGCCGTACGCGCTACAAGCTGGCTAAGCAACTCTTCGTTTCGGCTTTCAAGGGCTGCAATCCTGCCTTCATCACCAGCAGGCTCCCCATTGACAGACTTTTGCAGGTCTTCATTTAGGGCCCTGCACTCATCAAGCTCCTCGGCAAGCTCCCGCAATTTGGACTTCTGGTCGTGAATTTGGTGGCGTAGTTCCTTAACTTCCTGTTCTTGAGCTTCTGCTTCTGCTTCAAGGATCTGGACGCGATTGCGAAGCATTTCGTTCTCCTCCTGGAGATTGTCTCTCTCAGCAGACAGGGCAGTAAGTAGTCCAGCAAGATTCTCTCTTTCTTCTGTCCACATGAACTTATCTGCATCATTAGACTGACTCTGCAATTTGCTTTCAAGGTCGTGAATGCGAACATTTGGGTCTGTCGGGCTTTGAGAGTGAGCCTCTTTAGTCATGCTATGCTCATCTGCTCCTGTTTCTATCTTATCTGATGGCGAAAATTGATTATCAGCTGAACAAATCCGACCGCGCAACTCTTCAATGGTGGCGTTAAGCGTCTTGTAAGCATCAATCTGCTCAGAAAGCTGCTTCTTCAGATCATCAATGATCCTATCCTTTTCCTCTACTTCCCTGGCAAGTCTCTCGGAAAGCTCAGATGAATCGTGAGCTGGAAGCGCAGCAATTTTCATTTTTAGTGCGGCAATCTCATCATTCTTCTCCAAAGATTCTGTGGGTGCGCCAGGGGGATCGGGAGCAATCGATAGCTCTAGGGCGCCGTATCTCTGGCCAAAATCGGCTTGAGACTCAGAAAGCATATTATTCGACTGCAAGTCGCGCAACGTCTGCGTCATGTCAGTCAACTCTTTTACCTGCTCCGCCGTATCTTGGTGGCATCTTCGCTCATCATCGAGCTCCAATTTGAGCTCCTGATTGTGACGGAGAAGCTCCTGGATACGCTCATGAAGACGCTTGTTTTCCACTTGCAAATTAGCATTACGACTCATAAGTTCGGATGCATCCTCATGAAGCTTTCCTATTCGTGTCTTCAGTTCCAAATTCATTGTGTTAAGTTCAGAAAGTGCAATGGCCTTTGTTGTCTCCAGGCGTTCAGAGAGGTCAGCCTGGCTCATAATCAAGTCAGAAGTGCTTGAATCCTGAGACGCAGTAGAGTGGTTGAGAAGATTCGACGGTACCAGTGAGGCATCTAGATCTGTGCGGCGAGACATACTAAGGCGTGCGCTTTCAGATAGCATCGCCATTGTGTCCTCTTCTGATGATCGTAGAAACTCCACCACATCATGATGGTGATGCATGATTGCAATAGAAAGGGCAGTCTCATGCTCCGAAGAGGAAAACTTACACTCGCGAGCGTGCAAGATTTCCACGATAGAAAGATCTCCGCGTGCGGCCGCATACATAAGAGCTGTGCGTCCACGACTATCTACTTTGGTGACGTAGTAAGGCATAAGGGCTTTTGCTGCATCCAGAGAGCCATTCTGTGCAGCAAGCATAAGAGGGGTGCGCCCATCTGGAAGGATCAGATGCGACTCCTTAGCTACCAGCGCACGGCAGCACCTGGCCTTATTAACGATCGCAGCGATCATAAGAGCGGTAAGCCCATCAGAATTCGTAAACCCACTACCATTATGAAGCAGAACCTTTACAGCATCGTAATTGTCGCTACGAACAGCGCGCATAAGGGCAGTCTCTCCATTCTCATCACGCAGAGACGCACACTCGCTCGCCGCCGCACGAATAGTCGCTATGTCGCCCTGGTCGACCGCAGCAAACCATGTTCCCACGCTAGGCGGAGCCATATATTTACTGAAACACTCGCCCTTTAAAATGAAATTCAAACTTTATCATGACGGGTAACAGGGGCCCGCACGCAAAACGCAGAGTTCACTAGCGGCCTACTGGAGGTCCAGGGCCGAGAGGTTGTCGTCGAGGACGACGATGCCGGCGCGGATGTCGTCCACAAGCTTCTTGTAGTACTCGACGGCCTTCCGGAGGTTGCCCGTCTCGCTGATGGCCTTGCCGCACTCGTCCGTCTTCTGCGCAAGGTCCTCGTTGGCCTTGTCGAGCGACTCCTGCAGCGAGGCGATCTCTGCCTCGAGCGCCATGGTGCGCTCGTCGTTTGCGGAGTGGAGGTTGGCGTCGCGGGCCTCCTCCAGCTCCCTGTTCAGGGCCTCGATCTGGGCGCTGACCTCCGCATTCTTGCCCTCCTGGTCGTCGAGAAGGCCCTGGAGCTCCGTGATGGTGTTCTCGCGGTCGTCGAGCTCCTCCTGGAGCTTCCTGAGCTCCTCCTGCAGGCTCTCGACGACGGCCGGGTCGATGTCGTTCGCCGTGTTCTTGAGCACCTCGACCTCCTCCTGGAGATCCGCGATCTGCTTCCTGCTCTCGTCCAGGGAGCACTGGAGAGCGGTGATCTTGTCGTTGTTGGCGCTGTCCAGCTTGATCATCTCGTCCTTGAGGTCGCTGCACTGCTGCTTGAGGCCGTCGATCTCGTCCTGGAGCTCGTCGATGAGGGACCGCTTGGCCTCGAGTTCGTCCTTCAGCGCTGCGTTCTCGTCCTGGACCTCCCGGAGGGCCGCAGCATCCCCGACCTCCTCGCCGGACTCCGGATAGACGGTGGTCGCGGTGGGCTGGGCCTCCAGCTGTTCGCGCAGCTCGGCGATCTCGGCGTCCTTGTCCTTGAGCCCGTCGTTGAGGACCGCGATCTCGTCATCGAGCTCTGCGATCCTCTCCTTGAGGTCGTCGTACTCCTCGGTGTCGCGGAGCCTCTGCTTGAGCTCGTCGATGGTGGCGTCCCGCTCCGCCACAAGCTCCTTGGCTCCGCTGAGGTCCTTCTCGAGCTGCTCGACGAGCTTCTGGAGGTCGCCGTCTGCTGCCCTGGAGTCGCTGAGAGCGTGGAGCTTGTCCTGGAGGGCCTCGGCGCTCTCCCTGAGCTCGCGCACGGTGGCCTCGCTGGCCTCGAGCTTGTTTGCGAGCTCGGGGTCCGCAGTCGCAAGCTCGGCCCGGAGCCCCTCCGTCTCCATCTCCTTGGCCTCGAGCGCGGCGCGCAGCTCTGCAAGCTCCTTGCGCGCGTCCTGGAGCTGGTCCTCGAGCATCCGGACGCGCTCGGTGTCCTCGGGCACCTGGGCGGTCTCGAGCTGGACCCGGAGTCCGCCCAGCTCCTCGCGGAGGCGCGCGGCCTCGGCGTCGCTGTCGACGAGGTTCTTGTGGACGGCGTCGATCTCGGCGAGCTTGGCGCTGAGCTGCCCGCGGAGCTCTGCCACCTCGTTCTCGAGGGAGGCAACCCGAGCCTTCGCAAGCTCCGCGCCGTCGTCATCGGTGACGGCTCTGAGGCCTGTCGTCGCGCCCGCGAGCTCGGCGTCCTTGCTGGCGAGCTGGGCGAGGAGGCTGTCGACCATCTCCTTGCTCTCGCCGAGTTTGGTCTTGTAGCCCTCGACCTCGGCGAGGAGCTCGCTAAGCCGCTCGGTGTTCTCGACGCTGGCGCGGACAATGGCAAGCTCCTTCTCGAGTTGCTCGATGGTCTCGTCCTTGCCTCTCGCCGCGTCGGTCAGCTCGTCGACGCGGCTGCGAAGGTCGGCAACCTCCTGGCGCAGGGCCGCGACCTCGCCCTGGTCCTGTGGGGCGCCGAGGTCCTTGCGCAGGCTCTCCACCAGGTCTGTCAGGTCCCGGACCTGCTTCATGAGCCGCTCCTTGTCGCCCTCCAGGGAGTCGCTCCTCAGCTTGCCGTTGCGCAGGTCCTCCTTGAGCGCATCCATCTCCGCCATGATCCGCGCGTGCTCACCCTTGTAGTGGTCGTTCTCGCCGGTGAGGGCGTTGACGAGGGCCTGCAGCTCGTCGACCTTCTGGACCAGGCCGTCGTCGAAGTCGAGGATGCTCGAGACCTTGGCCTGCTCCTCGGGGTCGACGTCGCTGATCTCCGTCTGGGCGTCGACGTACTCCGCACCGGACTGGTCGGACGGCGCCACGCTGAGCGGCTTCTCGCGGAGCTCGCAGAGGGCGTCGTTGAGCTGCCTCACCTCGTCCTCGAGGCGGCGGAGGCTGTGCTCCTTGTCGGCGACCTCCTTGCCCTTGTCTGCAGCGAGCTGCTCGAGCTCGGCGAGTCGCGCGGTCTTCTCTTCAAGTCCTCGGATTGCGTCGTCGCGCGCGGCAACGGTGCCCCGGAGGTCCGCGATCTCATCCTCGAGGATCTTGATGCGCGCGTCGTCTTGGGGCACGGTGCTGTCAAGCTGGGCCTTGAGGTCCGCGATGAGGCTCTCCTTCGCGTCCAGGGCGCCGTTGAGCCTGTTGAGCTCGTCCTTCTGCTCGCGGTTCTGGCCGTGCATGACCTCGAGCTCCTCGTTGAGGACCTGGACCTCCTCCCTGAGCGCGTCGAGTTCCTCCTTGAGCCTGTCGAGGTCCTCGGAGGATGCGCCGGGCTCCTCGGTGTAGACCGTCGAACCCACTGGTTTCTGCTCGAGCTCCCTCCGCATGTCCTCCATCTCGGCCACCGCGCAGTCGTACCTGTCCTTGAGCGAGAGGAGCTGCTCCTGCGCGTCCTCCAGCTGCTCCTGGAGCTCGACAAGTTTCTCCACGTCGCTTGCGTCTCCGCTCGCCCGGGCGTTGGCGAGCGCCTCCTTGAGGTCAGAGACCTCCTTGTTGAGGTGGGCGACCTGGCCGCGGAGTCCGCTGGCCTCGTCTGCACCGCTCTTCCTGAGGGCCTCAAGCGCGTCATTGAGGGCCTGGAGCTCGTCTTTGAGTCGGCCGTTCTCCTCCTCCAACGCGGTGAGCTGCGCCGGGTCGGCCTCGACCGGCTGGGCGGGCGCGCCGTCGACGAGCTCCTTGAGCTCTGCGATCTGGTTATCGCGCGCCTCGATCTCATCGGTCAGCGCCCTGATCTTCTCCTCGAGGGCGCGGATGGCCGTCTCGTCTGCGGGGGCGTCGCGCGACCTACCGCTGAGCTCCTTGACCTGCTGCTGGAGCTCCTCGATGCGTGCAAGGTACTCTGCAGCGTCTGCTCCCCGCGTGGCGTCTGCCTCCAGGGCGTCCACCCTTTCCTGGAGAGCCGCGCTGTTCTTCATCTCCTCCTGGATGCGGTCGCGGAGGAGCTCGATCTCGTCGTCGCGCTCGTCGATGTCCTGCTTCGCGTTGGCGAGCTCGAACTGGAGGTCTGCGATCTGCTCGTTGAGCTCCTTGACCCTCTCGTCGTCGCCGCCCTGCGCGTCGGCGAGGAGCCTCTCCAGCCCTGCGATCTGCGCCTCGAGCTGGGCCACGCGTTTATCGCCCTCGGCAGACGACCTCTGGGCGCTCTCTGCGCGCATGACGAGGTCCTGGAGGCGGGCGATCTCCGAGTTCTTGGCGGCGATGATGGCGTCGAAGTCCGCCGCCTCGCCTCCCCTGGCCAGGGTCTCCTCGAGGCGGCTCTGGAGGGCCTCGAGCTCCCCGTCCTTGGCGAGGAGGGCCTGGCGGAGGCTCTCGACCTCCTCCTCGAGAATCTGCGTGGCGTACGCCTCGTCCTGGCTGGCGGCTGCCTGTTCCAGCTCGGCAATGCGTGCGTCGCGCTCATCGAGCATGGACCGGAGGCCTGCGAGTTCGTCCTCGAAGGCCCTGGTCTTCTCGACGATGGGCCGGAGCCCCGAGAGGTCGGACTCGCGCGCCTCCAGCTCCTCCCGGAGGGCGCTGATCTTGTTTTCGTAGTCTGCGAGGAGGGCCGCGTCTCCCGTGGGCGACGGGACGGCGGTCAGGCGCTCGTTGAGGGCGCGGATGTCCCTCTCCTTCTCCGCGAGCTCGGACTGGAGCGCCCTGATCTTGTCCTTGAGGCCGTCGACGTCCTCACCAGACCCGCCGGCGCTGAGCATTCCCTCCATGTCGGAGAGACGCTCCTTGAGGTCGCTGATGATGGCGTCCTTGTCGGCCGTCTCGGACTGGAGCCTGCTGATTTCGATGCGCAGCGTGGTGATGTTCTCCTCCATGTTCTTGACCTGGCCGTGCAGGGAGACGTTTTGGCCGATGACGATCGACGACTCGTCGTGCAGCGAGGCCAGCTTCAGCTCGAGTTGCATGATCTTGGACTCGAGCTCGTGCTCGAGCTGCGTCTTGGTCTGCGTGAGGGAGTCAGCCTGTCCGCCGGGGAAGCGGTGCGCGTCGATCAGAGAGAATGACAGGGAGAGGTCGAGGGCGGGGTTTCCGACCTGGGACGAGGAGAAGTTCATGAGCGAGGGGCGGGTGAACTCCGGAATCAGGTTCGCCTCATAGGACGCGAGGCACTGGACGATGTCGGTGTGCCCGTTCTCGGCCGCGAGCACGAACGCCGTCTTGTGGTCGTACGAGACGATCTCCTTCTCGCGGACCACGAGGAGCTTCACCACGTCCGTGTGGCCGGCCGCCGCCGCGTACATCAGGGCGGTGCGCCCGCGCGCGTCTGTCTTGGCCTTGAGGTAGGGGAGCAGGTTGCTGACCGCCGCGGTCGACCCGTGCTCGGCGGCGAGCATGAGGGGCGTCATCTGGAAGTCGCCGTAGGTGGTGTTGACCTCATAGGCGACGAGGCGCTTGCAGACGTCGCCCTTGTTGGCCTCGGCGGCGATCATGATGGCGGTCTTCCCCTCGCCGTTGACCATGCCGTTCTCGAAGAAGCCGAGGATCTTGACAAGCTCCACGTTCCCTTCGCGCGCGGCGATCATCAGGCCCGTCTCGCCGTCACCGTTGACGGACTTGGCGTACTCTGCTGCGTGGTTGCGGATCAGCTCGACCTGGCCGGCCTGGATGGCCTCAAACCATTCCTCCACAGAAGACACCACTGCAGGCATGTTTTATTATCCAGATAGTGTAAAGGTCCATTCGATTTTAAATTCACTTCCCGCCTCTCAGATGCGGCCGGCGTGCGCTGTGTATGCAGCCGGACCCGCTTGCATCACCAGGGGGCCGCGAACCTTGCGACTTCTCCAATGGTGCTCGCGAGGATGTCTGCGGTGAGCCCGTCGAATTTCGCTGAAAGAAGGCCGGCTACCACGAGCTGCTTTTCATCCTCGTCGAGGTGTCTGTATCGCTCCAGGGTGTCCAGATCTATGAGGGCGTCTGGATCCCGGCGAGCTCGGCCCTTCTGCTGCATGGCGCTTTCTGCTAGGCAAAGCATTGCCGAGCACTGCTCGGTGACCTTTATGATGACTCCTATTTGGCCACCTATCGTCGCGTATAGTATGGGAGGATACGGCTCAATGAGCTGCCGACCAGACGCGTGGCTTCTGCTCGTCGCGACGGCGCTGCTCTCCCTTCGATGGCCTGGCGCGGGGCCGAAGCAGACAACCTGTTCCCCGACGTAATGGGATGCGACAGTCTTCAGCCCCTGCGAGCTGTGCAGTTTGATGATGTGTATGTACCCTGCGCGATCCCCAACCAGTATCGGTCCGTCGACGCCTATCTGATAGATGCACGCCGGGATCATCCGCTGCAAGAGCTGTGACTGGATTACCAGGCGGGGCTGCTCCAGAGTAGTGTGCGCAGTCCTTAGCCCGTCGCTCATGAGCGTCACGCCCTTGAGCATATCCAGTATAGTCACTTGGGAGTACGCCGTGCCTAGCTTCAGAAGCAGCGCAGGCCCGGTGCAGCCGTACACCTCCAGCAGCTGGTACTCCGTGCTCATAAACGGCTTCCCTATGGATTGGCCAAAGTGAAGCCCGTGCGTGTCCCTCGTAACGTCCTCTTGGGCCAGGTCTTTGTCTGTTACCAAGGCAAGGATGATTACGGCGGTTCGCAGCGAGACAGCTACGCGGTGGTTTGTGTAGGGTGCGATGTCGCACACGGTGTTGTTGCTGAACAGAAAGTTCGCAACAAGCTCTACCGCATACTCCTCCTTCGGAGAGTACGAGATCTTCATGCTGTAGACTGCTACGAATCCGTCCTCGGCGTCGGCCTGCTCGGCAGACGGAAGGTTATAACTCACAACAATAAACGGAAGCCTGTCGCTGCGCAGCGGCATGTACTGTAATCCGCTGATGACGGCGTTGTCGGGAAGCTGCACCGTGAAGACCGGGCGCAAGTTGTACGTGAAAAATCCCAATGCAGCGTACGAGTTCTGGTGCATCAGGGCTTCTGGAATAGTGCTCGTGGGGGCGGGGTATCCGGGATTCCCTGTGGCTAGTACGTCGAAGGTCCTGGTTACGTTGCTGTAGGAGTAATGCTCTACCGGGCCCTCTTGGAGAGCAGAGATGTCCGGCTCGTCTGCTCCTTCTCCGACCTCTCCTGTCATCAGATTGACAACTGATGCGGTCTTGTTGATTCCCCCGCAAGTAGTCGACTGGTTGGTTCCTCCGCCCGAAGATAGAGGGCGTAGAGAGTGGAACCCTACGCACAGCATTCCGTGGTAGACAATATGGGCGAGCCTTCTTGGGAGTCCTGGCAACGGAGCACTTGAGCAAATGATGGTCGACGGGGATCTATGCGCTAGTGAGAGCATCTGTTTGTCGGGGTTATAAACGATGTAAGTATCCATACACGTGCACTGTAAGTTACACTTCTGCTCGTTTTGTTGATTCTCTAGCTGTGCCCGATCAAAGGGCTTAATGTGAGATTGAACTGCTTTCATTTGCATAAGGGGAAAGATAATAGAAAACCTATCAATGCAGCTAAATATCTCGACGAGAATGTCCACTTTCTCACTCACAAATGAAAGGGGACTTCTTGTACAACCAGACACGCGCTTCTCGGTTTCAGTTCTGTCTGAAGGATAAGGTTTCGGTCCGAGAGATCTCTCCGGCTGTCGATTCAAAGAAATATGCATCACAGCATTTCTCGACTTAGAAGAAAGATACAGCTCTGCATCGTCCGAATGGAGGCTGTTAGCTGAAGATCCTATTGACTTAATAACTGATAAATATACAACCTCTCCACAAGAAAATCTGTACGTGTACATTTTGTCACAAACAAAATAGACTTGCTTACCTGTGCAACCTTTTCCTATTACATATACATGCACTGTACCTTCAAGGGAAAGCATAACCAAGCAGTTTGGGCCTATAAATCTAAGCTCGGATGGAGTTGATAGTTTAAGAGCAGCACTATGAGAGTAAGGACAAGCCGCAAATCGAACGTCTGTGCACTCAGATTCACCCATGGGACCTTGGAGATCCCCTGACTTGAGCTGCACTAAAAGGGAAATATCATCTACCGATTGAACAGATGATCCTGCAAGTATACTAGAAAGAGTGCTATCCTCTAGGATACATCTGGCATTTTCGTCTGTGCTGGAGCGACTGGTATGGGGCCCAGGCGAAGAATGAGCGTTGCGCGGGGGAACATAAAGAATGTCTCCGGATGGATAGTCTAGTATGTGCCGCAAATCCATGTCCAACAAAAAAACGTAAGGGACACCCAAACAGCACACGGAAACACAGCCTTCATCAGATACAGCAATGGAGTATATAGTAAATGTGACCTGACCACTGTGATGAAGAAAGGCATCAGAGATAGAAAACTTTTTGTATCTAATGGCCTCCAACATGTGATCTTTCAAGGTAAATCGAGATGTAATAATTGCTCCGTTAGAGAGAGCGATTGCAATATTACGTCCATTAAGCGACACCGCCAAAGCAGTAATAGTAACTGTATCAAAATACGTTTGAGGCAGCTGGTTAAATGTGGAGGCCTCCTCTTTGGTAAAACACGATGGTGATCCAGAAAGAAAGTCCTTAATAGTAGTGGAATAGACCACAGTGAGCAGCTTATCGGAATCTATATCTAGCTCGAGAACAAAAAGGCTAGATACAGATCTCATAAGAACAAAAGTAGACGAGGTCACTTTTTGAAGGTCGGGTGGATTACTACAGGCACAAATTGGATATGATTCAAAATCGTATAAACTGAGTGGCAGAGGTGCTCGATTAAACAGTTTGAGCCTGAGCTTATTATCATACAAATACTGGAGAATAACAGAGCCAAACTTTCCACACTCTTGATTATGTATCCGTAAAAGAAGCGTATTTGAAGAGAACTTTGTAATAGATAAAACTCCAGGCAAGTAAATTGGAGAGCTAAGTTTATGAGAAAACTGTCTCTGATAAACGTTGATCGATCCGGAATTATCAGACCCACTGATAGTGCAAATTGCCGACTCGGCAGAAAGAGCTATATTGGCAAGTGTATTGTACGCTTGAACTTTCGATTGTACGACTCTAGAATACTTTGTTTGCCGAAAGGCCCACTGCATTAGATCATCCAGGCTATTGAGAGAAGTATTATCTGCCGAAGTATTAATTTGAAAGGTGCGTTGTCTAGAACAAGATGAGAGAGAAGCATATGGACGCTTTCTTCGTATACTATTGTCAAGGGATCCAAGTGTAGATCCCATTAGACGAACAAAGTAATCAATGTCCGTACTCGGGGACCAATCAGAAGAAAAAAGCGGTGTTTCAAGGCGGAGGTAGGTGTATTCAAAAGGTTCGGTAGCACGAACAGACACGTAGCAAATATCAACTATTGGTCCCTTATGGGTTATCTGCGCCAGAATCAAAGGTGTGCCGCATTTAAGCTGTGAATTACTTGCCAAAATATTCGATGAAAGATGCTGAAATGTCCGTGATTCAATGGGCTCTGCTTGGTGGCCTGTACTTCCTGATTCTTCTGGAACAGTCTCATCCCCCAGCTCGCAATGATTCTCTCGACCAATAGTTCTGTTAACCGTAGCCAAACTATCGGAAACACCAAGTGTGTCTTTAAGTGAAAAAGAAAAATGTTTGCACTTATTCCAATCAACGTAAAGTAGTAGTGACGGACCACTATAACTGCAAAGGAAAAGTACGTCGGATCTGATGAGTACGCTGTACACTGACGAGGAAACAAGGCCCCAATAACGTATAACAAGAGGCGGTGTCTGTGCTGTCTGTCGTTTGGAGTCATCAACAAGTAGTATCTCCAGTAAAAGGCCTGATCTGTCATGCAGAAATAAAGACCGAGGAGGCTCATCCACTAACATGCAAGGATTAGAGAGGCTTGTTGGAGATGCACAAGGATGCAAAATGGGAGTTACATCTGTGGCTTTTGTGGATAAAACAAAGAGAGAGCTTGGACCAACAACTATGAAGTCTTCGCGACCAAAGGGCCGTACAAAGCAATACTGTGACTGAATTGAAATCTTTCTCGTGATCTCTTTTAGCACAGAAGCTTGGGAGGAACTAGGATCGGAAAGAGCAAATATTTGGACGTACATGTCATGAGCTGAATCTGCCCACAAAATGGCAAAGAAAAAGGTTGTCGCAGAAAGGCCAAGATCCGCAAGCTTTGCAGTATCCGCAGAAACTGCAATGGACACGTCGACCAACTCATGGATAGCCGGTAGACCACGTAGAACTGTAAAGGGGGCCGAATCTTTGGCTGAGTATAGAGAAATAATTCCTGTCGAACTCCAACAGACTACAAACTTTTGATCTGGAGACTCCAACAACTGTATTCGACCTGGAAAATCGATTTTACGTCGACTCCTAATAAAGACTTCCTTTAGAACAGCATCATGATCCAAAATAAGAAGCTCTGTTTCAGAAGAGACAACAATCAAATCACGATGAGTCTGGAGATCCAAAAGGCGAGAGATCTTTCTCATATATGGAGGTAATTGATAAGACGTAATAAGTTTCAGCTTTGTACTCCGATTTTCTCCTTCTATTAAATAAACCTCCAGTAAACCAGATCGAAGAAGTACTAAATTCTTGGGCACGCTGCCATCTGTAAGGCGGCAACATATAGCTTGGAGTATTGCAGAAGGCTGAACAAGGACATTGTGAGCATATTGGCTGCCACTCATAAAACTTTTTAATGGGTTTACTTTGTTTCGGTAAGGTAGCTTTATCTGCTACTGGTTAAATGAATTGTCTTAGACACACTTGCCATTCTGAATACTACATCCTTCCTTTGCCTTCACTTCTAATATAATGACTATGACAAAAAAGCAACGATTGTCCATAAATACTCTTTGCGGCATGATGTTGCTCGATATGAAGTCCCCCTTTGTATATGCCTTCTCTGGTATCCCTGCCTAAGTTGTCGACTTACCCGCAACTACAGAATATGTCAATAACCTGTACTATCAAGCACAACGACAGGCGCGTAGCATCACAGGATGCACGCTGTACGATGTATTAGAGCTTGGCTGTCCATCTATCAATGTTACTAAAAATAACCTTGACACTTGCAATTGCACTGTCAGCGTGCCAGGAGGGAACTGAAGCCACTAAGTGCAAGACTGGCAAATGCATTGACATCGGAGGCACGCAATATTGCAGTGAATGTGCTGTTTCTACTGAGGCTCCTGTAAACGGCCAGTGCGCAGATGCATCGTCTAATACAGCAATATGCAAGGCACACGCAGGCGGAAAATGCACCGAATGTGACGGCGATTCCTTCATGTACAAAGGCGGATGCTATGAGACAACCAATGAACCAGGACAGAGCATGTGCAAAAGTACTAACAATGCCGGCGTCTGTACAGCCCCCAACGACTCTGGAAAATACTTCGTCCCTCCAGATACAGATGCATCTCATCAGTCTATTGTGGCGTGCGGTGACACCTCGGGGATGAGGTACCAGCCAGACGATAGTACTGACAAAGCGTACAACGGCGTGGCTGGTTGTGAGACATGCACCGCGCCGCAGCAGATAACTGACAATACTGGAACCGCCACAGCGACGTGCACGAAGTGTGCGAGCAATAATATCGTCAAGACAGATGCGGATGAAACGACGTGCATCGCCGAGTCTGAGTGTCCCACGACAAAGGGCTTTTTCGTGGAAGACCCTGGCAGCGGGAATCAAAAGAAGTGCACGACCTGTTCGCCAAATTGCCTCTCCTGTACAAGCGCTGCGGAAGCAGCTTGCAAGTCGTGTACAGTTGAGACGCACTTCCTGGGAGCAGAGGATGGACAAGTGGGCAAGTGTGTGTCATGTGGAGACGCTGCTACAGGCTCTGGTGACTGGAAGGGCGTCACGGGCTGCGCCAAGTGCGCGAAGCCCGAGGCTGCGGGGGCCGCTACCTGCACCGAGTGCGCTAGCGACTACTTGAAGACAGAGGCCGGCGCAACATCCTGCGTAGAAAGGAACCGGTGCACCGGAGGATTCTTCCCCAACGACGATGTAGACGGCAAAAAGCAGTGCGTTCCTTGCGGTGATGCAGCACATAAAGGCATACCCAATTGCCGGACATGCACAGAAAGCGGAGGCGCTGTAACCTGCGATGCGTGCACAGAAGGAAATACGCCTACCACGGACAAGACGGCGTGCATACCGTGCAGTGTGGATGGGTGCGACAGCTGTAACGAGGAGAACGTCTGCGCAAAGTGTGCTACTGACAAATATCTCACCTCCACGGGTCAGTGTGTAGACGACTGTGAGGCTCTCGAAGGCTATTACAGCGATAAGTCTACTAATAAGTGTGAGAAGTGTAGTCCTGCATGCAAGATGTGTACAAAGACGGCTGATCAATGCTCGAGCTGCCCTGCAAAGAAGGTGCTTCAGTATAGTAGCGAAAGCAACCTAGATTATGGCGGCTCGTGTGTAGATGAATGTAAGGCAGGTATGAATGGCTGTGCAGAGTGCGGCGCAACTATCGGAGAGGCCAAGTATTGCTCCAAATGCAGCGACGCCAAGCAAGCACCACTGAACGGTAACTGCACTGTTAGCGCTAGGGCAGCTGCATCATGCAAGCGAGTGGAGGAAGGCGCATGTAAAGAATGCGAAACAGGATACTTTCTTCTCGAAGGTGGATGCTATCAGACAACGAGACAGCCTGGCATGCAGGTATGTAAGACAGCCAATGGGGGGTCGTGCCAAACCTGTGCGAACGAGTTGGCTGCTAGCAGCGGAGACTGCTCTACTCAGACATGCCATCCTAGCTGTAAGACGTGTAGTGCAGCCAATGATGCTAGCAAATGCAAAGTATGTGCCGCCGGATACTACAAACAAAGCGATGAAAACACCGCTGGAAAATGTGATCCGTGTTCACAGGGTAATGATAAATGTACCTTATGCAGATATTCTACGAAGTTCATATGCCTTGCAAAGGATTCATCTGATGGAGACGGAACCGATACCAAACCCGTTGATCCTCCTTCTAGCAACAAGAGCGGGCTCTCCACGGGCGCCATCGCTGGCATCTCCGTCGCAGCCATCGTCGTCGTCGGAGGGCTCGTCGGCTTCCTCTGCTGGTGGTTCATCTGCAGAGGCAAAGCGTAGATGTACTTAGGTAGTAAATGTGTCGGCTAATATCCATCCGCCCTCCGAGGCCTCGTCGCAGCTCTGCCCTGCAGTATGCGCCAGGGGAGCAGCCGGCCGTCTGGGTGCCGTGTTTGCCAACTGGTTCTCGAGCTCGCGGCTGCCCGGATCCAAGAGGCCCGTGCCGTCTGAGAGTGGCGCGACCGCCGCCCTCTGCCCCAGCCTTCTCCGCCCGGTGTCCTCGACAGGAAGCGGGCGGCCGGGCTAGGGTTCTTGCGCTATCGTTAGCCGCCACTAGATCCTCTCCTGTGCGGTGCACCAGAGCTGGGCCGCCTGCTGTGCACTTAGAGGCCGCACGGATAGCCCGCCCAATCCTGGCCCTCTGAGGGCGGGTGGTTGTGACAGCAGGCAGGGGCTCCCCTCTACTCCTGCAGAGGGACGACCAGGAGCCCGGTGCGGTCATCGGTGCCTGGGCCTGTGTCTCGTGCAGCGCGGGCTGGAGAGCAGACACAGCCCCCGACCAGAGCCCGGCCGCCACAACTGCGATCACCTCATCCACCACCGAAGTAGCTCACTGGAAGCTTAGGGGCACATACAGACACCGCCCCCCGGTCTCCACCAGGAGCTCCTCCAGCCCTCACCGCCCCATACCCCTGCCTCACCAACCAGCCGGCCCGCTACGGGACCCAGGTGACCGCGACTGTGGGAGCGCGGCCCGGGCCACAGCTGACCGGACACCGAGGAGCGGCCAGCGGAGAGCCCGATGGCAGCCCCTGACAGACGGAAGCATCCAAAAAGACGGCGACCCGAGCTTCACCCACCACGAAGGAAGACCAAGGAGAGGCGCCACGGGTAGACCAGAGAGTCCGCGAGAAGGCCAGGGCCCTGGACGCACACACCCACGGAGCGACCGAGGAAGGCGCCGGGCTCCTCGTGTGCCGATAGCGGGGATCCCCTTGCTGCGCCGTCCGCGGCCAGCACTCGTCTCCGGGCACGGCCAAAGGAGCGCGGCTTGTCTGGGAGCTCTCTGGGCCGCATCTAGGCAGGCGCAGCGAGCACAGGGAGGAGACCCGACCTCCTTCCCCGTCTTCTCCTGCTCCCGGAGCTGGGTGGCGCCGGGCGTCGGAACCAGACGTCCGAGACGCCGCCCGATACGAGGAAGTGGACTAAGAACGTATTTGCTGGAAACCACCTCAGCGATCAACACTGTATCATCCTCGGAGTCACATACAGTGCCACGGCCGATGGCAAGACAGATTAATCACGTCCCGGAATGCGCCACTCCTATGCCCGCTGCTCTCACAGCCGTCGCCGGCCCCCAGGTAGTCAACGACCGTGGTGACACCAGCATACATACTTCTGCCTTGTTTACTAGGAGAAGGGCTGTATTGTCCCAGCACGATAGAAACTGGGTACGCATACAAGCAAGGCAGACAGGAGAAGACATTGATCTGCGCCGTCACAGAAGATCCGGCTCCTCTAGAAGGAACTCGTTGTGGCTCTCTGACCCGGAATTTATGCTGCGTAATTTGCTAACTCGGACCCCCCGCTTCTTCGCAAGATTGACGAGGAACGGAGTAGCCACGATGAAACCGACGATGATGAGGCCCAAGATAACAATCGTAGAGATGAGTCCTGCACCCCTGCTGGAGAAGTTAAAGTCCGGCTTATCGCAGTAGAGACCCATGATTGAGCTGATGGCGAAAACCTGGCCAGACGTGCACCGCTCGCAAGAAATCACTTTCTTACTATCTATAACACAGGACGCACACCCACTTAGGCATTTAACGCATGTATTGTCACTATTAAAATAGTATCCCTGCACACACTCACCAGACTCACAAGTAGCGTCTGTACACTCTCCCTTGCAGCCTTCCAAGCACGGGGAGCACCGATCTCCATTAGCCGAAACGCCATAGCCGGCTAGGCACTCGCTGCACGAAGAGCCATTAGATGAATAGACTTTGCAATTTTCTACTTGTCCTTTTATGCAATTTTTATTATCAGACGACAGATAGAATCCTTTCTTGCAAACGCTACATTGATCTATTGAGGAAACACACATCTCACAGTTGGCGACCCTACATTCTTCTAACGTATTTTTGCTACTATCATACCGGTAGCCATTGAACCCTGTTTTGCACTCGGAAAGTGACGCTCCAGTGCATATTTGGCAATTTTCTACGCACTTCTCACACATACCGTTGGTCAGATAAAAGCCTCCTCTGCATGCACTGCAACCCTGTGCAGAATCCGAAGCACTCTTCGCTTTAATACAGTTCTCCATCACGGAACCCACTTCGATGCACCTTCCATTCTGCAGGACAAAGCCCTCATCGCAATTAGTGCAGTTCGTTGCGGCGTTCTCACAAGTAAGGCAGTTGTCGTCACAATAAACACAGAGATTATCATACAGATAGTATCCATCCAGACACTCAGTACAATGAAAGCGATCGCTGCACTCTATGCAGCCCGCGATCGAACCATAGCAGGGGAGACAAAGATCATTCTCTAAGAATCCCTTATTTGTGCAGTCTATCGATGGGGGATTAGAGCACCAGATACCATATATCTTTGGTCCTACAATAGGCTGAATCGAACCCTTACACCGAGTACAAATGGGAACAGTTTGTTCTTGATCGAAGTAGCAGCTGTCACAGCCAGATGGACACTCAACGCACCTGGTCATGTATGAAGGATAGTAATATCCTGGCTTGCATCCGGCCGAAAGGCACTTCCCAGGAAGCTGGTATTCGCTATTGGCACAGACTTCGCAGTTGCTCCCACATGCTTGGCAGGCGCCTTCAGAAGTGAGGGCATAGCCGGGCATGCAGAAAGTGCACTTGCTGGAATCGCACGTGCTGCAATTGCCAGTACAACTTACACATGTTGCTGATTGTGACGTTGTTGATGGCGTAGAAAGCCTATAACCTGGCTTGCAGACAGTGCATGCTCCATCATCTGCGCAAGTGTCACAGTTAGCACTGGTACAGGCAGCTGGACTCTTCGTCGAGGGGTTAACATAGTACCCTGAGGCGGCCCTCGTGCACTCAGTGGCGCTCTTGCAGGATAGACAGTTATCAGCACACTTTGTGCAGGGGGCTGATCCCGCGCCCGAGTGGAAGTACCCCTCTGCGCAGGTCATGCACTTTCCTGTGTCATGGACGCACTTGCTACATCCTGGATATAAGTCATTGGGCTCCTTGCACGTCCCGTCCTGTGCTCTGCAGTGGGCCTCGCTGCACGCTGTGCACTTCCCCGGGCCGGTGCAGCGCTCACAGGTGGGATCGCACGGCTTGCAGTACCCTCCCTCGAGATACGCCCCGGAAGCGCACCTCGTGCACGCGCCTGCCCCGGTGCACTCCAGGCACCACTTTATCGCCGCAGCGCACTCAACACACATGCTCCCGGTCAGGTAGTGGTTTTTGGGGCAGCTCATCTTCCCTCCACGCGAAGGCGCGGTGGCCAGAGCGACGAGCACCACCAACGCATGCATCAACAGCTGTCTAAAAGTATTAATTTTTAATCTTAGATCGTGTTATTAGTGGAAGTAGTGTTTGCTTGTTACCTCCTATTCGAGTAAATCTTTCGATTAAAGCGAGTCCCCATGCGCCTCGTTGCGACGCCCGGCGCCACCCAGCTCCGGGAGCAGGAGAAGACGGGGAAGGAGGTCGGGTCTCCTCCCTGTGCTCGCTGCGCCTGCCTAGATGCGGCCCAGAGAGCTCCCAGACAAGCCGCGCTCCTTTGGCCGTGCCCGGAGACGAGTGCTGGCCGCGGACGGCGCAGCAAGGGGATCCCCGCTATCGGCACACGAGGAGCCCGGCGCCTTCCTCGGTCGCTCCGTGGGTGTGTGCGTCCAGGGCCCTGGCCTTCTCGCGGACTCTCTGGTCTACCCGTGGCGCCTCTCCTTGGTCTTCCTTCGTGGTGGGTGAAGCTCGGGTCGCCGTCTTTTTGGATGCTTCCGTCTGTCAGGGGCTGCCATCGGGCTCTCCGCTGGCCGCTCCTCGGTGTCCGGTCAGCTGTGGCCCGGGCCGCGCTCCCACAGTCGCGGTCACCTGGGTCCCGTAGCGGGCCGGCTGGTTGGTGAGGCAGGGGTATGGGGCGGTGAGGGCTGGAGGAGCTCCTGGTGGAGACCGGGGGGCGGTGTCTGTATGTGCCCCTAAGCTTCCAGTGAGCTACTTCGGTGGTGGATGAGGTGATCGCAGTTGTGGCGGCCGGGCTCTGGTCGGGGGCTGTGTCTGCTCTCCAGCCCGCGCTGCACGAGACACAGGCCCAGGCACCGATGACCGCACCGGGCTCCTGGTCGTCCCTCTGCAGGAGTAGAGGGGAGCCCCTGCCTGCTGTCACAACCACCCGCCCTCAGAGGGCCAGGATTGGGCGGGCTATCCGTGCGGCCTCTAAGTGCACAGCAGGCGGCCCAGCTCTGGTGCACCGCACAGGAGAGGATCTAGTGGCGGCTAACGATAGCGCAAGAACCCTAGCCCGGCCGCCCGCTTCCTGTCGAGGACACCGGGCGGAGAAGGCTGGGGCAGAGGGCGGCGGTCGCGCCACTCTCAGACGGCACGGGCCTCTTGGATCCGGGCAGCCGCGAGCTCGAGAACCAGTTGGCAAACACGGCACCCAGACGGCCGGCTGCTCCCCTGGCGCATACTACAGGGCAGAGCTGCGACGAGGCCTCGGAGGGCGGATGGATATTAGCCGACACATTTACTACCTAAGTACATCTACGCTTTGCCTCTGCAGATGAACCACCAGCAGAGGAAGCCGACGAGCCCTCCGACGACGACGATGGCTGCGACGGAGATGCCAGCGATGGCGCCCGTGGAGAGCCCGCTCTTGTTGCTAGAAGGAGGATCAACGGGTTTGGTATCGGTTCCGTCTCCATCAGATGAATCCTTTGCAAGGCATATGAACTTCGTAGAATATCTGCATAAGGTACATTTATCATTACCCTGTGAACACGGATCACATTTTCCAGCGGTGTTTTCATCGCTTTGTTTGTAGTATCCGGCGGCACATACTTTGCATTTGCTAGCATCATTGGCTGCACTACACGTCTTACAGCTAGGATGGCATGTCTGAGTAGAGCAGTCTCCGCTGCTAGCAGCCAACTCGTTCGCACAGGTTTGGCACGACCCCCCATTGGCTGTCTTACATACCTGCATGCCAGGCTGTCTCGTTGTCTGATAGCATCCACCTTCGAGAAGAAAGTATCCTGTTTCGCATTCTTTACATGCGCCTTCCTCCACTCGCTTGCATGATGCAGCTGCCCTAGCGCTAACAGTGCAGTTACCGTTCAGTGGTGCTTGCTTGGCGTCGCTGCATTTGGAGCAATACTTGGCCTCTCCGATAGTTGCGCCGCACTCTGCACAGCCATTCATACCTGCCTTACATTCATCTACACACGAGCCGCCATAATCTAGGTTGCTTTCGCTACTATACTGAAGCACCTTCTTTGCAGGGCAGCTCGAGCATTGATCAGCCGTCTTTGTACACATCTTGCATGCAGGACTACACTTCTCACACTTATTAGTAGACTTATCGCTGTAATAGCCTTCGAGAGCCTCACAGTCGTCTACACACTGACCCGTGGAGGTGAGATATTTGTCAGTAGCACACTTTGCGCAGACGTTCTCCTCGTTACAGCTGTCGCACCCATCCACACTGCACGGTATGCACGCCGTCTTGTCCGTGGTAGGCGTATTTCCTTCTGTGCACGCATCGCAGGTTACAGCGCCTCCGCTTTCTGTGCATGTCCGGCAATTGGGTATGCCTTTATGTGCTGCATCACCGCAAGGAACGCACTGCTTTTTGCCGTCTACATCGTCGTTGGGGAAGAATCCTCCGGTGCACCGGTTCCTTTCTACGCAGGATGTTGCGCCGGCCTCTGTCTTCAAGTAGTCGCTAGCGCACTCGGTGCAGGTAGCGGCCCCCGCAGCCTCGGGCTTCGCGCACTTGGCGCAGCCCGTGACGGCCCGGTGAGCGCTTCCGGCACGCATGCCCCGTAGGTCTAAGTTGTACAGTGTTTGTGAACTGTAGCGGAGACAGAGAAAGGTGGAAGCTGCATGCAACTTCCATCGCGGGAGTGCACGTCCCCGGTGGTCTATGAAAATAACCTCATGCTGCCAAGGTTTTACTGCGTACGAAAGTTAGTAACATGGTACTGGAGACAATCGGTGGATGGAATGAATCATCATCACCAGGAGGTAAGTTTTCTAGGAGCCTACACCGAGTACTCCCACACTCACAAGGAATCTCCCCTAGACCTCCCTCATGTACGCTGCTATTTCTGAGGGCACTGAGATAACTTAAAGGTACCCCCTCGACAGGGACAGAATGAACAGTAACAAGTACACCGCATTCATCCTTGTTGTCAAGGCCGAGCAGAGGGCTATGTTGGAACTACTCAAGCCAACCAACAAGAGGGATATGGAGGCAGTGAGTCTCTGATTCCTCTCTAAAAACGAAGAGGTAAGGCAAATATAAGACCAGCAGTATTTACATGTCTATACACTGCTGCTCCAATGAGACAGTTCAGCTGGACACGTTACTTTTGTCAGAGTGTTGGTAAAGTATACGGATGAATTGAAGAGTGATCACGGCAGCACTGTCTTTATATATACAGTTGCTAATGATCACAAAGAATTTGTAGGATTGCTATTGAATAAAAGAGGGGCCTACAGGATACTAGCCGTTGAACTACTCTTATATTAGCGGCATAGCATAACAAATCAGAATATGTCAAACTTCTCGCAGAGAAAAAGAGAAGTATAAAGACCATTCGGAGCTGGGATAGTCTTTTGCTCGGTCGACTACGTTTGCTGTGTATAGAAAGGAAGACTACAACTATCATAGTGTTTTCCACAAGAGTTCAGGGAGTAGCAAATTTGGTTGGTATAAATGATAGCTCTTCATAGATTCTCAAGAGTGATGACGGCGAAAACAATAAATTCTGGAACACAAGAATCGGTGATTATGTCTAAGGCGGCTCCGCAAGCTAGAAAGATAACACATTCTGAGGTTTTTCTTAAGGCAGAGAAGCTGGGACAGATTGTCCGTAATCAGCGCGGGGCTGTCACGGCTGACACAATAAGAAATGTTTTCGAATACCTTGACTTCGACAACAAGCGCTACATAACAATTCCCGTTCTAACAGGGTTCCTTACACAGTGCGAAGTCGTTGCAGATGATGTCTCTGTCTATAATGAAATCTTGCGCTATCGTGAGTCTCGAATAAAGAAAGACGAGTATTTTGAAAAGCCTTCGATGGCCAAAGTGATGATTTCTCTAGAGGAGTTCTCATATTTCATGCTGTGCTCCACATTTACCAGCAAAGAGCTCCAGCCCATTCGGGAGTCATTTGAGTTGCTAGAGAAGATTACGCCGTCTCTGCGTGCTGACCAGCCAGGAACCCTTAAAACTAACATTCTATTTAGAGAGCTACAGTTCTGGGGAATTATGACCCAAGATGAAATAGAACAAATAAGGCCCTTTTTTGGCATACTCCCAGACAGAAAAACAATGGATGTTATCAACGCCGAGAAGATTCTGGCCCGGGTTTGTCTGGATTGAACATGGTTATCAGTAAACCGGTTGGTCTCTCTCGCCCGTAAAAATAAAGAATTAAAAATGAAGGCGGTGCACCCAAGCTTCTCTCTGGAGGACGCTCACCGCGCCTATGAATCTAAGGATTATAAGACAGCAGTATCTGTCTACAGAGATATTCTTCTTCAAATTGAGGATGAGTCCGCCATAGCAGATCTAAATATTTGTCGACACTTCTTTGCCTTTGGTAAGTCTCTTCTGGAATATGCACGTCACTTCAACAAGGAATACACCGATTATTTACAGCAGAGAGAAGAATATGCAGAGGTCAAAGGAAGCCTACCTGTGGGCATGGCCGAAGAAGACGAAACTAGTGAGGAGCTTCAAGACCTGACGTCCATTTTGCCTCCCGAGAAATATTTCGATATGGCAAAGCAGGTTTTCGGGGTCGCTGTGACAATTGCACAGAATGCCATTGTTGAAGCACTTAATGGCATGGACATGAAAAAGGCAGCCATATCTGCCTCTCTAGGACCATCTAGTAGCGAGGTTACAAGGCAAATTAAATTCAAACGGGTCTCTGATGCATGTAGAGAAGAGCTTAAGCTTCCGGTCAACCTATGTTTTAGCTCTATGTACAATTTGATGCTTTGCAAGTTAGAACAAGGGATATCCGTGACACTGGAATTTAAGGAGCTGTTTGCTGTCGCAATAGACCACGGGTTCTCTGTAACAGAGATGATTGACGGGACATTTGCGCTCTACACATTCTTCAACGTTCTTTCGGATTACTATGAAGAGAAAAAGCTTAAAAAATCCCTGGAAGAGTTTGAAAAGACGGTAGGCACAGTGCCTACTGCTGATTCGCCTGAGAATGCAGATAGGGATGTTATGCAGCTGTCACATGTCTCCACAAGCTCTACCACGGATGCGGAAGTTCCGCCAGAAGAACTCCTAATAGAAATCTTGAAAGATTTACACACCTATTACTCCGTTTGTCTGGCAAACGCTAAAATCATGACCAAAAGAAGTGTACTGGGCCGTCTCCGGCAGACGAAGGAAGGCGCCACCATTGAGAGCGACGCCACTGAGAACTTGCGTCTTCTAGAGCGAAAGTTGCATAGCCTGAATTGCGGGTTCAAGAACTATTTAGTGGAAAAACATCTGTGTGCAACAACGTTTGGACAGTCCACCAGAAAAAGCCAAATATGTAACTTTGGTCACGAGAGTATTAGTGACGGAGATGTCTCCTACGATTCTAATATCAAGGAGAAGAAGGCTTTAGTTGCAGATACTCAGCATCGAATTGTATCTCTGAGCACACTTAGAGCTTCTGGTGTCTCTGAAGAAACCATCAGTTCCCTAAGAGCCTCTATTAGCGATCCAAATGGAACAGTGAAGCCTTCACACCACAGTGACGATGACAGCTCAGACGACGAGGACTTTGTTCCTTCTTCTTCCGAAGATACCTCCGATGTGCTCATAAACTCTGGTTGCAGTTCCAGCAGTGAATCTGGCAAATCATCCACCCGGTCGTCCTCGGACTCCTCTTACTCTTCCTCCTCGTCCTCCCTATCTTCCAGCTCCTCGTCGTCCTCGCCCACCTCATCCTCGTCAGATTAGCTTGTAAACTGCGCAACCACACAGTGCCTGTGCTAGATATTTACTCATTACTCAGTCCTTCTTGTTTATCGCACTAATAGCAGCAACGTTGAGCGTATTCCACGGGTTGTTGTAGTGGGGCTGGAAGAAAAAGTCCTGGACAGCCATCTTTTCAATCGTGTACCTGTTCTGGATACACACAGCAAGTGCATTCATGACCTGGTTGACAGACGCTTCCGACATCATTTGCCCACCAAGGACCCGGTGCGTATCCCCGTCGTAGACAAGCTTCACCATGACGTTTGCGTTGGTTGGCATAAACCCAGGCCTGTCCGTGTCATTAATGATGACGGATTTAACATTCTTGATGCCAGCAAGTAAGGCGCCCTCCTCCGTCAGGCCCGTTGAAGCCATATGGTGCTTGAATATGCGGATCCCCGACGTGCCCTCCGTTCCGATAAGCCTGAGGTGCTTCAGCTTGAGGATATGCGCAGCAGCGGCCAGGCCTGTACGGATGGCATTAGTTGCAAGGGGCATGTACCTATCCTCATCTGTGACCGTGTAGTGGATCGTCGCACAGTCTCCAATGGCGTATACACCGGGCAGACTCGTCCTCGCACACTCATCAATGATGATCGCCTTCGATGGGTGGTGAACGTCGAGTTTGACACCGTGACGCTCCGCAGACTCCAGGATCATCTCCGTGACTGGGCGGAAGCCGATACAAAGAATAGCCGCGTCTCCACTGTAGACACCCTTACTGGTCCTGACAACAATCTTGCCATCGTCCTCGTCAAAGGCCTCCAGTCTCTCACCCATCTGGAGCTGAACGCCATGGGCACGCATCTCATCCTCGCAGATGTCAGTGAATTCCTTGTCGAAGTTACGAGACATGATCCTACCAGAGCCGTCAATAAGCGTGCACGGCTGGTTCTTCAGCCCGAAGGCCTCGGCAAGCTCGACACCGATGTACCCCGCCCCGATAACTACGCAGTGCTTGGTGTTCTCCTCGTGAGAAAACGTTTCGACGATTTTCTTGGCGTGCATATAGTTCTTGCAGAGAAGGACCTTGTCGCTCTTGATGCCCGGGATGTCAGGGATGATTGGCCAGGAGCCCGTGGCAAAGACAATCTTGTCATACCTCTCCGTCACAGTCTCATTGGTCACGAGGCTAACTGCGGTAAGCTTCTTGGTAGTAAAGTCGATATCCGTGACGTTGTACTGCATGTGGCAGACACACCCGAGTCCCGCAAGGTCATCCGGGTTGGAGTAAAAGAGCGACTCCATGTCCTTAACCGTCCCGTGGACACCGAGAGCTATCCCGCAGGACAGAAAAGACAGGTTGTCGTTTCTCTCGTAGATGGAGACCTCGATGCTTGGGTCATGCTGCTTGATGGTCTTCGCGACGGCTGTTCCACCGTGGTTGCACCCAAGGATGATGACCTTCATTGCCCTTCTTTGTTTTTGGTCTCCAAAAGTCAAATTAATTAAATTTATATCTTGAAGAGTAAGTTTGACATTTTGCATGCGCCCTGTCACACCGTCGACGCATCCCAGATTTACTTGCCCAGACACGAATCTGTACAAGACCAATATTTACAAAGAAATCCGTTTCAATCCTAAATCACGGTAGATCGGCATCCAACATATTAATTCTGGCTGTCAGGGCCACTATAGTTTTGTCCCTGGCTTGTAGCTCATTCTTCAGCTGCTCAATCTCCGCCTGGAGAACGGAGTCAATCGCTGAAGAGTCCAGAGAGTTCATCAGGGCATCACGCAGCTTTGCCACCTCCCTCTTCTTATCACGAAGCTCTTCTCTGATATTGTCAAGCTCTGTCTTAGATGACTGTGGTAACGATGCCGTGTTAGCTGACGGTAAATACATGGTTCCCTCCCGAGTAGAGTTGTATGTAGCCGTACTCAATAGGCTCTTCATCTGCTGATCCTGAGACTTTATGGCCATGCGCAAGTTAGCTGTTTCTTTATCTTTCTCTTCAACGGTACTTCGAAGACACGTAAAAGCTGTTTCCTGACTGGCAATGGATTGCTTCAGCCTATCAACCAGTTTATCTTTGGCCCGTAATTCTCCGCGGAGACGGTCTATCTCGGTCTTTTGCAATTGCTGAAGGCTATCTGAGCCTGGACTGTTCTTTAACCTCTTAATTTCTAAGTCCCGAGACACTAGAAGCTTTCGGAGCCGTTCTACTTCGCACTCGCGCTCCTTAAACAACTGCTCATAGTCAACGCCGTCGCCTGCTCCATTCCTCGCACGCTCTATCGCCTGATCGCCCAAATTTGCAATGCAAGCACGCAGACGTTCTATTTCCTGATCCTTTTGGGCTATCAAATCAGAGGACGGGAGGGGATCCTGGGGAACTATGTGACTGGCAGTCTTCAGAAGGGCATCCTGTGCATCCTTAAGCTGTGATTCTAGCTCTGCAGTTCTCGCATGCATGTCAACCAATTCCTGTTCTAGAGCCTCGCGGGCCTTAGAAACTTCATCAGCATCCAGGATTTCGATGGGCTTTGCCGGTATGGGTGCTTGCTGAACGTCCTCAGCAGCAATCTGCGATGCCGTTGCGGACGCAGGGGTATCGGAGGCCTCAGACGCCTCCCCTTTCTTCTTACCCTTCTTTGTTTTGTCCGCTTTGTCGTTCTTATCTGCCTTTGACTTGGACGCTTTCCCACGAGCAGACAGAGGTGCTGACGGTGTGACAGATGCCGCCTGATTTGGTGTGGAGACTTGACCCGTTGACGTGGCATGAAGCTGCTCCTTCAGTTTCGCTATCTCGTCATCACGTTCCTGAATTTGGACTTTCAATGCTTCCCTTTCCTCATCAGAAAGTCCGCTCTGAACAGGGACAGCAGGAACTGGCTTCTGCTCCTCGGCAGGGGTCTCCGCAATAGAAGTGTCGGATGACTCTGTTCCTTTCTTCCTATCTTTCTTCCCATGTTCTGATTTAGAGGCCTTACTCTTCACCGATGCAGGTGCTGATAGAGCAGGTGATTCTTGTACGCCCTCCTTGGCTTCTAGCAGAAGAGTGGGAACTGGAGCAGCAGCCTTTAGAGATTGCTGGTACGACTGTTCGAAGAAGACTTCACAGAGAGAGCGAAGTCTCTCAATCTCAATGTCGCGCGCTTTAAGCAATGGCCCGAAGTCTGGTGCGCTCTCCGTAGTAAGCGGAAGCATTCTTTCTGCCAAGACAGGAAGCTGAGCAGTGATAGAGTCAGGATTGGGCGTTTCAGAGGGCTCTCCACCTCTGATGCTACCTCTTCTGCTTGTCTTTGCACTGGTTTTTGCACTAGTCTTAGCACTAGTCTTATCTCCGCGCTTTTTGTCTTCTTTTGCAGACCCCTTCTTGGCTTTAGAGGTAGATGTTTCCTCTTCTGGGGGAACCTCCGGCTTGACCACAGGTGGCTGGGCGCGTGCATCCTCTAGCTCAATCTTCAGTTGCCTTATCTCCTCCTCATGGGCATCTCGTAAACGCTTCAGCTCTGCCAGCTTTCCCTCTAAATCAATAACCTTCAATTGAAGAGCATTGGCGTCGGAATACTCAGACATCACACGGCCGGCAGAAGGAATATACACACTCGGCAGTTCATATGTATACTCGGTCTTATCAGAAAGACAGACACCCAACTTATCAATCTCTTGAAGCTGGGCTGCAGCGGATGGCTTCTTCTTTCCTCCTGTTCCAACAAGTTTTTTAATGTCTTCATAAGACTTCTGTGCATCCCCATAAGAGGGAAGCGACTCTAACGCAGATAGTCTCTCTTTCAGCCCTTCTAAAAGAGAAACCGCTTCAGCAATCTCCTTTAACGCATTATCCGGAGTAGAATACTGACTGATGTGATACCTAGCAACAACTTCATAGTAGTGCTTCTTAAAAAGAGCGGTGTACCAGAGTCCATAGTAAACGTCCGTGGCTTCCGAGAGCTTATCGAAAAACTCCGTTGCATGAGTAAAGTTGCGATGTGCCTTTGCCGCTTCTTGAGCTATCAAAGCTGGAGCTCCTTTCGCTGCGACGTACCTCGAGACTTCAGATTCGTATCCGCAGCCCCTGACAGTGTGGAGAATCGCCATCAGGTAGTTGCGATCGACAAAGTCACAGCCGGACGAGTCGGCAAGTGGCTGAATCTCCGAAACTATCTCTGACGCCTTTTCAAAAAGATTTGCAGCCTGTGCGAAGAGACTCAGAACGTTTTCCTTCTGATCTGGACTCGACGCCTGGCGGGCCAACAAGACCCCCAGATTATACAGAATGTTAACGACATCGATCATAAGCGGCTCTAGGAACGACGTTGCCTCGCCTGTAGCGGCAGCTTCTTCGAATATCCAGTGATGACTATGTTGTGAAATTAGCTCTTTGAACTCCTTCGATGCCCACGGAAGCTGTTTGGCCAACGGCAACGCCAAAGAGTACGCCTCTTTAAGCGAGTCCATGTTTTTAACATCCGTACGCAAAGCACTGTACCTCTCGATAGTCTGAACTAGGTCCGAAGACGCTGATGCAGGCAGTCCGTCCCCCATATTTTGAATAGCCTTGAGCAGGGCATTATCATCTGCAGGCACACGCAGCGGAAGCGCGAGAGCGCAAGGATTCTGATGCATCTTTTTATTGCCGCCAAAAAAGTGGAGTGCTCAAAAATTAAAAAAATTAAAAAGCTCAAAAAGCTGGTTACTGGTCCTTGAATGACGAGTTACCAGAAGGAGCTGCCGGTAGATTGCTTTGAGCACGTGTTACCAGACGAGTATAATACACGCAAAATCCCACGGGCAGAGTATATAGAAGATATTGCCGACTTTGTAAGGCAGCACGGCGATGATGCGGCTGCCGCGATCGCAGCTCTCCAGGAGAAATTGCAGAAGTACAGCTTCATGCTGGACGTCGTCCAGAAGCAGAAAAATTCCCTTGTCGGCTCGACGGCTGACCTTAGAGAGAATCTGGACCTCATAGATTATTTGGAGAAGCAGGAAAGCGCTTTTGAGGCGAGGTATGAGCTGGCTGCCGGCGTATATGCCAAGGCGATGATCCCAAAAAGCGACCAGGTATCACTCTGGCTCGGAAGCCACGTTATGGTGGAGTTTCCGCACGGAGAGGCTCGGTCCCTACTCAAAAAAAATCTGGGTGACGCCGAGCAGAGCATAGCAGAAATGGCGAAGAATCTTCAGTTTATTAAGGAGCAGATCACAATGATAGAGGTCAGTATCAGCCGGGTCTTCAACTGGGACGTCCAGAGAGTAAAAACTTCAGGAGACATTATCGAGTAATTATCGAGTAAATCGGGAAATTTTAGAGCAGGCATGCGCGGCAGCGGAGCCCTGCTGCTTATGCTGGGCCAGGCATCGACCCAGGGCGTCATCATCGTGACTCGCTCCCTGAAATATCAGCCGTATGCTCAGACAGTGTCCGATAAAGTTCACTTTGCATGTATCGCACTCGTCGCTGCATTTTGCTTATCCTCTTTCCTCCTCCATGTATATGGTGACGAGGCTCAGAAAGAGCTGTTTTGGAAGCTTTTGACAAAGCCTGTGCCCGTTTCAACTTTGTGGCTGGTGACACTACAACCGCTTTTGCTTCTGCTCTCAGCACTTAGGCACAGGCACTACAAGAGCAACATTGCGGAGGAGCAGTTCAGCGAACTCTTGTATAGTCTTGTAATAGCCCCCGTCGCAGAAGAGGTAATGTACCGGCTCATGGTAGAGGCGCTCTTTCAACCACTCGACTACATGCCTATGTCACGAATAGTGATAAGCAACAGCTTCTTCGCGCTCCTCCACTTTCTTGCCATAAGGGACAGGTACCGCTTTGCTCAGACCCTGATTGCCAAGGCGTCGATACTCCTCAATGCCGGCCTTACCGTGGTTCTCCAGGCCACGCTATTCGGGGTATGGAGTGAGATGATGCTAGCAGTTACAGGCTCCATCTGGCCCTCCATCATCATCCACAGCATCTGCAACTACATCGGCCCACCGCGAATGATCACGTCCAAAGATTGGTACATCAATGCCATAGGACTCTGCTGCTTCCTCCTAAATATCATCATCGTCTGCGAGCTCCATGGTATCCCCGTTTCACAGACCCTATTTGTCCGATTTAGTAATTGATTCTGTATCCATTTTTAGATATGCAAAAGCCGAATAGAATTCCGCCCACCCAGGCTTTCCTAGAAGATAATCAGTCGCTGCGACCCCGTGCGAATGTTGCCTTCCGAAATCAAAAAAATCACAATTGATTTTGATCTGACGATCAGGACGCCGGGAAAATAAAATCATGGCAACTGCACCGGCTGTAGGCATCGACCTCGGAACCACTTACTCCTGCGTTGGCGTTTATCAGAACGAAAAAGTGGAGATCATCGCCAATGAGCAGGGCGCGTACACCACGCCCTCCTACGTCGCCTTCACGGATGCAGAGCGTCTCATCGGCGACTCCGCCAAGAACCAGTGCGCCCTCAATCCTGAGAATACCATCTTCGACGCCAAGCGCTTGATCGGTCGCAGGTTCAACGACCCTGAAGTGCAGGCAGACCTCAAGCACTTCCCGTTCAAGGTCATCTGCGGCCCCGACGAGAAGCCCCAGATCCAGGTTGTCTACAAGGGTGAGACGAAGACGTTCACTCCCGAGGAGATCTCCTCCATGGTCCTCACCAAGATGAAGGATATCGCCAGCGACTACCTCGGCAACAAGGTCACCGAGGCCATCGTCACCGTCCCTGCGTACTTCTCTGATGCGCAGCGCAAGGCTACGCAGAACGCCGGCACGATTGCTGGGCTTAACGTCCTCCGCATCATCAACGAGCCCACTGCCGCTGCCATCGCCTATGGGCTCGACAAGTCTACGTCCAAGAAGGAGCGCAACATCCTCATCTTTGACCTCGGTGGTGGGACGTTCGATGTCTCCCTCCTGACTGTCGACCCCAGCTCCGGCGTCTTTGAGGTCAAGGCCACGGCTGGCGACACTCACCTGGGCGGCGAGGACTTCGACTCGCGCGTCGTGAACTACTTCATCGCCGAGTTTAAGAAGAAGCACGGGAAGGATATCTCCGGTAGCAACAGGGCGATGCGTCGCCTGCGCACTGCCTGTGAGCGCGCTAAGCGCACTCTTTCCTCGAGCCAGCAGGCGTCTATCGAGATAGAGTCTCTTTTCGAGGGCATAGACTTCTTCACTAACATCACAAGGGCGAAGTTCGAGGATCTTTGCATTGACCTCTTCCGTAAGTGCCTGGACCCCGTTGATCGCGTTCTCCGCGATTCCAAGCTCGGAAAGAACGACGTCCACGACATTGTTCTTGTCGGTGGGTCCACGCGTATCCCGAAGGTCCAGCAGATGCTCAGGGACTTCTTCAACGGCCGCGAGCTCAGCAAGAACGTCAACCCCGACGAGGCTGTCGCCTACGGGGCGTCTGTCCAGGCCGCCCTCCTGTCCTCTTACAAGGATCAGGCCGGAAGCGGTGCAATCAACGACATCCTGCTTCTCGATGTCACGCCTCTCTCGCTCGGTATCGAGACGTCTGGCACCAACATGACGACCCTCATCCCGCGCAATACCACTGTGCCAGTATCTAGGAAGGAGACCTTCACGACCTACGCCGACAACCAGACAACCGTTACAATCAGGATCTTCGAGGGCGAGCGGCCGCTCACGAAGGACAACAACTTGCTCGGTACGTTCGACCTCGGCGGCATTCCCCCCGCGCCCCGTGGCACACCAAAGATAGAAGTCACCTACGACGTCTCCGCCGACGGCGTTCTCACAGTCACAGCCAAGGACCTCGGCGGCACAGGAAACTCCAAGCAACTCTCGATCAACCAGAACGCCAACCGCCTTTCGCAGGAGGAGATCGACCGCATGGTCAAGGACGCTGAGCGCTTTGCCAAGGAGGACGAGAAGATCCGCGAGGGCCAGAAGGCCCGGAACGAGCTCGAGAGCCTCGTCTTCAGCGTGAAGTCCACCCTCGGCGAGGGCAAGGTACAGATCTCAGATGACGATAAGAAGAAGATCGAGACGGCCGTCAACGAATGCGCGACCTGGCTTGAGAACAACAAGGTCGGCGACAAGGAGCAGTTCGAGGCCAAGAAGAAGGAGCTGGAGGCGATCGTCCATCCCGTTATGGCTGCTGGCATGGGCGCGGCCGGTATGCCGCCGGGAGGCTTCCCTGGTGGCATGCCTCCTGGTGGGTTCCCCGGCGGATTCCCTGGCGGGATGCCCGGTGGCGCGGCCCCAGGCGGTGCCCCTGCGGGTCCCAGTGTCGATGATCTGGACTAACTGTGGTGTAAGGAGGTAAATTTCTTTGCTTTGCTTTCCATTCGTGCCACTCCTCTCCACGCCGCGCTTCCCGCCCCTTTCATCTGCGTGCAGGGCCGGTGGCAGAGCTGAGCGGCGGGCCACACCGGACGGTTTGCTCCTTAGAATTTAATGTACGCGACCCGCCTGCAGCACCTCTGCAGCAAATATAGCCACCAGTCTCCTAATCCTAAAAAGGTGTCGGCTACCCGTCAACCACCGGCCATAAACGCTGGTCCATCTGGTCTTTACGATAACTATCAACGCAAAAAGGACCAAGAGCTGATAGAGGAGGCGACCTTCATGAACACTGGGCTGCTTCCCAAGGCTGTTAATAAGCTTTCTTCTGGGTATGCCCATAGACACCAGAAAACAGAATCTGCAAGCCCTTCAAAAGGCAAGTCGGCTACCGACCTACTGACTAAAACCGTAGCATGTAGAGCAGAGCCACTCATGAAAAACCAGCTGGCTTCTGACTCACGACCACTTACTCGATCACTGCAGCTTGATTCTCAGTCGTCTCTAAAGTTGTCTACGCACTCTCATGTGCAGTTGCCGTACAAGGAGTTGGACAGGCTGGCTACATCTCGGGCGGAAGAGATAGAAATAGACTCTATCAAGATAGAACAGCTCTATTCCGCCAGAGTCACAAAGCTCGCACTGTCTCACAGAAGCCGTCTAGACATCCTATTATAGCCTCTTCTCATAATCTTGGTCTTCACTAGCTTACCATATTCTGTAACTCGCAGCTCTTGGCGTTTACAAGTGTCGAAGCGGCGAAAGCGAAAGGAAAAATGAGTCGGCCTACAATCGTACGTAAGGCATTCGTACACGACAGAGCAGCGCATCTTACCTTCTTAGAGCGTTGCATTCTGCGGCACCAGCCTAGTACGCTTTTGAATCAGCTGCCAAACAAGGCCTTCCCCCCTTATGATCTAATTGATGAGGGGACCCTCCAGACCCTGTTTGAGACCGCATTTTTACACTCTGGGCAAATACCAACAGAGATCTCGGCGCTATACCGGCTATATTTTGGTCCCAGGTCCGGAGTATGTGCATCGAGCAGCAGAAGCACTTAAGTTGAGAAAAGTTGAAAAGCCTTCGCGATGAGGGTTACCGGACTTTCACTGCGACACAAGAGTTTATCTGAATGCACGCTTTTGATGCCACCGTCGTACAGCGTCTTCTTTGAGAAGTTTAAAAAACGATTAAATAATTGCACTACACCATGCAACGGCGAAATGCGCGACAACGACAAGAGTTCCTCTATCGCAAGCAACTGCAAGCATCGGAAGCTGCTTCATATACTCACAAAGAACAGCTACAGAAGGCATTGGAGACTGGCAAGAGCATTCCAGATCACCTGCGGGCAGACGCTATTAACCTCGCCGAGCACATGCTCTTCGACGACGTGACCACCAAGGTAAAAGGGCTGGACGATGATGAGTATGCGAACGCAAAGGTTCCAAAGCTTCTTCTCACCACAAGCAGGAACCCTAGTAGTAGGCTCCGCAACTTTGCTAAGGAGCTGCGATATTTATTCCCTAATACACAACGTGTTAACCGCGGCCGGCACGTCATCTCCGAATTAGTAGATGTTGCCAGATCCAGCGGTTTCACAGATCTTCTAATACTACATGAGACGCGTGGGAACCCGGACGGGCTTGTACTTTCCCACCTTCCTTATGGCCCAACAGCATATTTTACTCTGTCAAATGTGGTGCTAAGAAGCGAGACAAACTCGGATGAGACTGTTCCAGAGCATGCTCCCCATCTGATTTTCGAGGGCATGCACAGCAAGCTGGGTGCACGGTTGACTCAAATACTTAAGCACCTCTTTCCGACCGGAGGCAAGTCTGCCAAGCGTGTTTGTTCATTCATAAACAGGCAGGACTCCATAGTGTTTCGCAATCATGTGTACCGGAAGGTAGGTCCGGAAGTCGTGCTAAAGGAGATTGGGCCGCGATTTTGCTTGCACCCTTACATGATCCGCCTGGATACGATGGAGTCCACTGCTGGCGAGACTGAGTGGCGCTTGCACAACTTTACTAACACTGCACACTTAAAACAACACTTGTGAATCCCAAGATTGCTTTTCTTTTCTAGGATTCTCAAAAGAGCGTGGATTGTTACTGAGATATGTTGTTAAGATATGCCGACTAAAGTATCAGGGCATGCTCGAGTTCTACTGGGTTGGTGAAAGGAGAGGGAAAGGAGAAGGAAAGAAGAGAAGGGCACTAGCAAAGCACGAATGAGACTGGACAAGCAGCCTCCAAAAAAAGGCTTTTGGTCAAAGTTTTGATTTTCAGGACCTCATGACTAATGCATCTCTTCTTGAAGAGTGGTTTTCGGCTATTAAGACAGGAAACGTCGATGCAGTGAAGCACCTTTTGGAGAAGTGCGCAGGAAGCTTCTGGAGCGACGGACAGACAGGACTAATGAGAGCCGTACTTTCTAACAATGAGGAAATTGCCACTTTGCTGCTCCCATACGAGAAGCATCGCTTCTGTTACAGAGGATACACTGCGCTCATGTGGGCAGTGTACACAAATAGCGCCCACTTTACTAAGCTTCTCGTGGAGGAGGAGGGTGGCGACCAGAATGAATGGGGCGCCACGGCCCTCATGTACGCTGTTCTGTTCAATAGAGAAGAGCTCATTCCACTGCTCATTGAAAAGGAAGCAAAGAAGGGCCTTACGAGAAACTTCTTTGGAGAGCTACCCTCCTATGAGGACGGTATCATACCTCACTGTATAGGCAAGACTGCCCTCATGCTCGCCGCAGAAGCAGGCCTCCTGGGTGCAGTGAAGCTTCTGTTAGACAGTGAGAAGGATTGCGTTTCTTCACAAAACAAGACCGCTGCAGACTACGCTTTGGAAGCCGGCAGAAAAGATATTTACACGTTTCTTATTGAGGAGGGCGAGATGGAAGAGCCCGCAGACGCTAACGATCCAGCAAAGTTGAGAACCACTTACGATCACGACGCTAATAGGGGGTTTGGCAACCTTTCCCTATTCTGTACTCCGCGAAGCGAAGAGATAGTCTACCGACACCCTATCACGTGGTCTTTAGATGACATATCTTATATGTTTGAAAAAGCGGTTAAGGTGCAGAACAAGCTCTTCACCAACAGGCTGCTTCTTTTACTCTCTCTAGATGCGGAGGTTGTAAAACGTGCAAACAATTTTGCAATGGAAAACAAGACGGCCAATGCACGCCAATACCGTCTTCTTTTATTTGGACTTACCACTTGTGGAACAATCTCCACACTGCGGCGTTTCCTCTTGGATTTAGCGGACCCATACTTTTCCACATATCTACTCACTGACAAGACAGACCCGGATTTTAGGGATGCAAGGCACCTGGTAGATTTACTGGAGACATACCTGGTCGAGTTTCTAGCTGCCCCGGGCTTCACCCCCGAGCTAGCGAGCAGTCTCTTTGACTCTTTCTTTGATGACCTGAGCACGATAGGGTGCCTGGAGCACTTAGAGACTTACCAACTCTGTGTTGTTTGCATGGACAGGTTGTCAGATTGCGTTCTAATGCCTTGTAGACACGTTTCTTTCTGTAAGCAGTGTATCCCCGAGCTGAATACCAAGCGGGAGTGCCCAATTTGCAGATCAGAAATTACATCCTATTTCCAAGTCAATGCACCCTACGACTTTTACGCCACGGATGCTACCCGTCGAAGATTGGAAGAACTGGATGCGCAGTATGCAAGGCAGTTAGCCCAGGAAGAATATGAAGTCATGGAGAATCTGTAACATAGGCAATAAGTAAAGCGTAGGTGACGAGTCACCAAAAGCTAAATTTAGTTTTTGATGTCGACCATTCGCTCACAGTCCCCCGTTCAGACGCGGATCCGGTCCCTGGCAGACAAGCTCAATGGCATGCAGTCGGGACTTCATGACGCGAACAGACGTGAGCACTTAGAAACAAAGGCGTTGGAGTTATCTGAGCGTGTTGTGCGTTCGGAGCAAAAGGAGCAGCAACAATTCTTACTAATCAAGGAGAAGCTCAAAGACTTTCAGGGAGCACTTAAAATAGAGCAGGAAGCCCGGTTGGCTGTCGAAGATCAGCTTGGAAAGCAAATTGCTGCCCTAGAGCAAAAGCTCAAGATGGAAATAGGCGTAAACGTCAGATCACGTCTCGATGAGGAACAGGCCTTTAACACCAGACTTACAGAGCACATGAAAACCACATATGCCGCCGTAGAGCAGCAGAACGAGATCCGTGAACAACAGAACGCTGCACAGGTCTCTCAGCTAGCAACCAGCCTGCAGACAGTAGCTGCAAAGATAGACGAGTGTCGTGCTTCGCGCGAGCGAGAAATTGCCAAGCTTCAGCAGACATTCACCTCAGAGCTCCAGGCGCTGACTGAGCAGATTGCCGCCGAGGAGAAACAGCGGCAGGAGATGGAAGCAGGACTCTATAGTGCTCTGGAAGAGGCTTGCAAGAAGCTCCAGGACAAGATCGTGCGAGAACGAGAGGCTAGGGAAAAGACACATGAGAGCATTCTCAACTTGCTCGACGACGTATGCGGAAAGGTCGAGCAATATGTGTAACAGCAAGAATAAACCATGCAATCGTAGGTTTACAGGGTTTCTAGTTAGCATCCTTCTCTTCGTCTCCGTCTCCGTCACTGTCCCCTACCCCCGCATCGCAACCGCTGCCAGTGAGAGTTGTGGGCGCAAAGTATCCCAAGGAAACCTTGTCGGAAAGAAACTGTTTGTGATCTATGCCAATGGGAGTGGGGTCGTGCGGAGAAAACTTGTCACCATCAGGCTTGAGGTGAAGAGGGTCGGCCATGTCTAAACCGACACTCAAGGGAGCCGGAATACCAGGCTGGATCAGTTGCATAGTGTTTGGAAATGGTGTGGGAGAGATTCCAAGGTTGCCAAGATTGCCAATGTTGCCAATGTTCAGCAAGGAAGTCGACGAAGGGCCTATCGCCATGTTCAAGGGTCCAGGCACGATCCCCTGTCCGCTGATATTTGGGCCGTGAAGAAGCGAAGGGGAACCCACATAGTCTGTCTTCTTTGACCTCGACGCGTCAGACATGGTGCCACTCGGCACAGCACTATAGGCTGTAGAGGAGGCCGGTGTCCTCGAGTGATTAGGAGAGGTATCTGTCATCGAGTTGGCTGTCGACGACCCGCGGTGCTTAGACAACTTTTCAACGTAAAAGTTGCATTCCTCCATGAGGGACTTGGCTTCTCTACTGTTGAGATAATTGGTGACATGGCAGGAAACCTCTAGCGTGTGGTAGGTTGTGCTTAGCCTATTGTAGATGCTCTTCCGGAACTCTTTATCTATCGGTATGTTATTCTGTATGGCGTTCCTGATGGAAGTCTTGATAATATCCTTGTCCTCGGCAGACATGCGCGGTCCCAGAGTTTTATTTGACCATGTGTTAAAGTACCAGGTGTAGACTTTCCCCTTGTCCATTCGGAGGCGCGCGGCGATGGTGTGCCAGTCTATCTTAACTTGGCGGATATACTTATCGAGCAGCTGAGGATCTGCCAAAAGATCTTGGATCGACGGATGCTCATCGTGGGATTCCTCCACCGCGCGGGCTAACTCCTGAAGGATCCCCTTTCCTTCGGTTTCAGTTATTGGTTTGCCCCTCATTTTTTGACTTTTTTGAACTGTTAAGTTTTTATTTTTTAATTCTGCTTTTAATAGATTTCATGAATTGTTGCCGTAGCGAGCGCGCCACTGGTGCGCGACCCAAAGGGAAGTACGACGACTTTTTTCAAGAGATACTAGCGCAGATACCAAACACAACGTACACTGCGTTGTATGACAGAGCAAGCAACTCCTTGGTCGCAGAATCGTATTTCTGCGGACGCAGAGACGAGCGATTTGCCGATCAAGCGTCTCATGTTCGCTATAACGTTGAGCCCCTGATAGGCCTCCTGCACCGTACAAAGGACATCGGTGGGCCCACAAGCGAAGCAACAGAGCCGTCTGTGCTGCTGCTAACCACGTCCATGGGCCATGTGTTCTGCGTCTTAGCTGTTCCCTGCCAGCATTCTCTCATAGTCGCCACTTTATTTGACCCTTCAGACGCCAGCGAAATAACTGGCGCAATCTTCGAGCTCCGCTTGAGGAGCATAATTGGGAAGATTGGAGCCGCAATTGCGAGCTAAAGTTACTAGTTATTTAAAAGTATCACGACTACTTATTTACCAACCATTGTGCGGAGAAAGGAGAGAGTACACATAATGGCGAAGAGGTTAATAGACAGTGGCCGTAACTTCTTCCACAGCATCTCCTTAGTGTCATAGCCCCATATTGTAGTGAAAGGGGTCGAGATGCCTTCGTTGGTGGACAGCCCGGTGGAGACACACCCGCCGTTGCGAGGGTGAATGTCCAATGCTCCCGAGTAGGTCGTGTTGCTTATAGCACCTGTGAACGGGACATGTACCTGTACATTAGTAGCGCCAGATGGTGGATAGATGCAAAGAGAAAAGGAATCATAGTAAGCGTGTAAGATTTTGGGGCCAGATGGGAGTACGAGCCCATATGTATCCCGCTCCAGTCTTTTGGGCAGGGCCTCTGCGCTGCTCTTATCTAGACTGACTAGATTGTTACATTTATATTTCAGTGTGAATTTAGTTTGGCTGTCTCCTGCAACTGCAAATCTGGGCTTGACCTTGAGAAGGGTCCTTGTTTGCTCTCCAAACCTCTGTCTCAACTTGCGCATACTCTCCGTGTCTATTTCTATAGTGTCTATCTTCCCTATGCGGTCATAATACGATATATCATCTAGCTCTACCTCACAGGGTAGCTCTATCACAAAGAAGGCTGGTATTGTCATATCGTAGTGCTGACGCATTAGTATATTTTTATTAGAAAAGTGCTTGTCGCTGCTCCGGGGATTGATATTACGAATAACAAAATCGTCCGTGATTGTCACAAATCCACTCATAGTTGTCTTTGTTTTGATGTTTGGGCCATTGATTATTACTGTTCGTACCGCACTTACGGCAAATTGGTACGCATTACTGTAGTACGTCATATCTATTAAAGTGCAAGTGTGCTCGGGACCATACGCAATTTGATCTATGGAAATCTGGGTGGTTGTCTCTGTGGTGGACACCCGGTACCCTCGAAAATCCGTATCTAATGATGAAAACTTGGTCTTCCTGGAGTTGAAATTAAAGGAGGTCTTCTGCTTGCTACATGGGTAGAAGGAAGGAAGCTCAACACATGTAGTAAATTTAAGCGTGGCTAGATGGTGCATCTGATTGACATCGTTATTGTCACGAAGGGTGCTCAAGACCTCTTCGCTGAGAGTTGGCGTGGATACCACGTTAAGTATTTCACCGCCGATAGGATAGACGATGTATATGTGGAGATAGAAGTCCTCGGGAATTGCTCCAGTCCACCCATCGCTCCGACCATTAATAAGGTGCACCTTAATCCCGGTTTTATTGTAGCCTTCATTGAACAGGTCCACGGAGAGCAGGGGGCCGGACGTATCCTTTCCATAAAATGCTTTTATTAGCCCAATTCTTTCCATCAGTGCTGCATTCAATCCGTAGATAAAAGCTTCATCAGGCTCTGATTTAACCAGTTTGACTTGCAGTGTGGCCTGCTCGACAACCTCGGTAGAATCACCTATTGTGTATGTTCGAATAAGGTCCTTGATCTGATATGAGCCCAGAGACAAGGATAGAAGCGCAAGGATTAACACAGCCATCAATGGGCTCCTTTCCTTTAATTTAATTTACTTTCCCGGTTTACTTTTCTTTGGTTGAATAAATCCTTTCGAGCTTTCCTGCAGAAGCCTGAAAAGCATCTATTCTTGCTTCTGCCTGTTCGGTCTTAATTGTAGCGAGTAGGTTTTCAATGACACTCATTCAGCTCCCGCAAGCAAACGCTCTGGTTATCGATCTCGGCATGCACACTGTTCGCATGGGGTTTGCATGTGATCCGTGCCCTACCTGCACAATTGATGTTTCAGCACTATTTCAAGATAAGGAGCTCTCTGCTTCGACGTTGGCTCATGCGATTTACGATGAGTTTCAGGCTAAGCTTCAACAGTATGTGGCAGAGCCTTTGCCCGTCTTTATCGCCATTAATCATGACATCCGTCCATCCTTCATATTCAAACTCCTGGACCATTTTCTTTCCGTCTTTCCTGGAGTTGCGTTCCACTCTGCTATCTCCTGTGCTGCATATGCAAGTACTCAGACCACTGCCCTCATTGTTGACTGTGGTCACACAGCTACACGCCTCGCCTTGGTTGTAGATGGAGTTATTGCCTCCGTGCAACCTGTGCCCAACTTTTCTGGAGAACGTCTCTTGAGAGAGTTGCTGAGTGTGATGGATAACAAGCATACTGCGGCTTGTAACTTGCTCAAGACGTCCTGCGACATATTTACACGCCCAACGTCCGCAGACCTGGCCTCCCTTACGCAGAAAGCATTGAAAGAGCTGTGCACTGTTTCCTTGGAACTACAGAAAGATGAAGAACTAGCAACTACTACATTTATATATGAGGAAGAGATAAAACTGCCTTGCGGCCACACAATAACCTTAAACCAAGAATTGTTTGGTATAGCAGAAAGCATGCTACAACAGTCCAAGCTCAGCACCCTCATACTGACTACGCTGGAGACCCCGTCGATAGGCTACCATCAGTCAAAGGGGAACATCCCTGTCATTATAGTAGGTGGTCTTGCACGGCTCAGCAATCTTACAAGACGAATACAGCAAGACCTTTCCGGCAAGGCCACTGTGCAGTCGACGGATGATGCCATCAACGCTGTGTGGCAAGGAGGCGCGTCGTTTGTGGGAATAGAGACCTTAGGGGATTTCCTTATAACAAGGGCACTCCTAGATGAACAGGGGCCTGAAATCTTAATGAAAGTGATAATGTGACACTCTTACAAAAGACTCTTAGAGCGGATCATCGTTGCCCTTCATACTTGTCTCTGTAAGCGATCCTGCCCTTTTACAGCACTTTGTATTTCTCTCACGCCTTCTGTCTACAAGCCACTGCCTCCTCAGCTTCTCTGCGTCTGTTGGAGATATGCGCATGCGAATCCACTTCAAGAAGAATGGTGGGAAGACGGCAGCGCATGCGCCCAGCACAACACGGAACCAGAATGTGAGGGTGACTATGGACCGCTTATCGAAGTATTCTGGCATAATGAACATAGCAGCTACGTAGATAGCAAACGAAAGAATCCCACTGCCCACCATAAAGGGAGACCACTCGTATATCCCAATGCCCAGCGTAAGTAACTCTGTAATTAAAAGAGATGTGTATCCAGTGCCCACAAGGTTGAAGAAGTTAGCCCCGTCGTCCAGGGATCCGTGCAGTCCTCCATTGATCAGAAACTGCGAAAACATTAGCAGCACAGATCCCTGAAAGATGCTGACACACAACCACTTGAAAAAGCAGGAGACAAGCCCGTGCTTGTTTCGCTGACTGTCTTTGTACAAGATCGGGTAGCGTCGGACTAAGTAATCCTTGGGCAGGTCATGGTCAAAGCATATGATGGTTACGGGAAGAGATGTAAATACAACAGTGTACCCCAGCATCAACCAACCGGTGAAAAGAGGTATTGTCGAGAAAGCAAATAATGCTGAGAAGACAGCCTGCATCACCGATATGGTCATTCCCCGCGAGAAGACGTAGTGTGCCATAGCGTAACCTCTAATGTAGTTGAGTCTGCCGTGATATAATAAGAGCGATGACAAGTCCTTGAATCTGTCCAAACTAAAGTCAGACGCTAGGCTTGCCTGCTTCCCTTCTTTTCCCACGAGCCCAACCCCAACAGCGGCAGACTGAATCATAGAAACGTCGTTGCCACCATCACCTATGGCGAGCACTCCAACCTTTGGAGCACCACATCTACAACGTGGGTTACAGCACATATGCTCCATGTGCAGATTGGCAACCATCTTTGTAATGATAGACTTCTGCTCAGGTGAGCAACGAGAGCAGACAAATGCCGGGCATCTCGCTATCGTGGTTATGAACTGCTTTGCCACCGAGGAGCCGAACTTTGAATTCCTATCCTTTCCACAACAGCCTGCTCGGCCAGAACGAGATCCTCTAGACTGTGTCCGAGTAGCTAAATCGAGCTCCTTTTCGTGTTGCAGTTCCTCTTTGGTAACCACCTCGCCACGGAATTCTTTGAGAGACGAGTCTGGGAGGGTCTTCATGATCTCCGACAAGATTGTTCCGTCAATAATTACTGCACACTCATACCCGCTGTCTGCTATCTTATTTAACTCGGAGGAGATATATTCTAATAGTCTAGTATTTGAGACATCTGTTGATCCGGCATTGCCACTAGAGGCATTTCCCGCGGTACCCATTGTCACTGAGATACTATTTTCAGTCGACCTTCCAGAGGGCCCACAACTGTCTTTTGTGAATACCTCCATGCCGCTATAAGATCCCTTGGTGCCAGCTGTTCCGCTCACTGCAGCAGCATATGTGGCCAGTGTTATCTCGTGGAATCTTTGATTAGGACTTACAAGATTGGTCGAGCGAGCGATACACATGGACGTGTCGCTTTTGTCTCCAGTGAGCAAAAAGATACGGATCTCTGCATCTCTCAGCTGCTGAATTGTGAGCTTAACATCTTCCTGGAGTTTGTCCTCTACCCCAGTTGCTGCCACGATATCCATTGAATGTAAAATGGAGTTTTCTGCATCATCTATATGTTTCTGTCTGTCATCTAGGGCTTCATTGGCGGTTTTGTAGAGAGATGCAAAAGCAGATAGCTCGTCTCTCGTCATAGTCCGCTGAGCAAACACTAAGGTCCTCAGGCCTTTGCTGGCCAGGGTTGAGACCTGCTCCGATGCCCACGGCGATGGGTTAGACGCGGCTATAACAACTGAGTCGGCGCCCTTCATAAGCACTAGGATCTCTCCAGTTAAGTGGCTCTCTAGAACTATGGCCATGCGCTTTGTTGTAGATGTAAAGGGAAACGTATAGAGGATAGTGTATTCCTCTGGCTCACCCAACGGGTTCTGGAGTACAATGGATGTTCTATCTCTGTGCATAAGGGTTAAGTTGAGCTCTGCAGCCAGCTTAACAAGGGATATCTCATCTGGAGATGACGCTTGTAGAGTATAGTAGCTAATGTCTGGGTTGATACCACCTCCTATGCCCGGAGGACAGTTGCTGGACGTTGAGATCTGAACAAGGTGGTTCTTCTGAAGAGCTCGCATGACCTCTGTGCTAGACGGAGCTGAGTCCGATGCAGCAAGAGATTGCAGATGCCTACTGCTCCACATAGCTATTGTTGCGTCATCAATCAAAAAGTCTGCGTCGTCTTGTGCTGCGGACCGCTCAATGGGAACAACAGTGTTGCAAAGGGCCATCATGCGCAAGGCTGTGATCAGTGCCTTCTGCTCATCGTTGATATTGCTTACTGAGGAAGTTTTCATCTGGGGGATCAAAGAGTAAACATTGCCATGGACCTGCCTGCGCATGGTGATCTGCTCATTGCCAAACGCTTGCCCATGAATAGGGAGAGACGAGTGCTGCATAGATGCCACACCGGCAGGGATAGACATGTCCGGGTCTCTACTGACATCGGCTTGTGACCTGTAAGCACGCTTCAGAGCCATCCGGAACGACCCATAGTCGTCCTCTGTCAGGGTCTCATAGGAGCTCTTCCCCGTATGAAGGGAGCGGAAGGTCATGATATTCTGAGTGAGAGTGCCTGTCTTGTCCGACATTATATATCCTATTCTGCCCAATTGCTCTGGAATAGTTGTTGTCCTTACAATAGGATTCTGCATGGATTTATCCCTCCTAATCATCAAGGAAGTGATTATTTTAGCTAAGTCGAGATTGACACGCAATGAGATGGGTATAACCGAAGAAAAGAGTAACAAGTATCGGAAAAATATCACATAGTAAACCGACGTCCATGGACTATTGCCCCCCAGCCAACTGTATAGAGCCGCACCAAAGAACTGGATCCAAAACAGGTTCATCGCACGCATATCTATTTCCTTATCAAAAAAGCCCATCTTCACCCGAGGAGCATTGGTATTCAAGCGAGTCTTACTTTCAGAACCAACATAGACTACGAGGGCGACTGTCGTGGACGGTGACGCTATCACGGTGGAAGACCAGATAGTATTCTCTAGAGAGATAGACTCTGTGATAACGGAGTTGTCGGAACTCACATAGTTAGCTCTACCCTTGAACCCATATATGTCCTTGTGGGCAGCTTCAATCTCAAAAATGGCTCGGGTCTGAACGTCGCGTAAATACTCGATGCCCTTCCCCTGGGTAAAGTTTAGAGCCTTTCGCATCTTCCAATCTGTCTCGCCATCAAGTTGATCGGTCTTTATAAAGCATTCCTCGACACTGTTACCGTCGTTCTGCAAATGGAGAATGACACAGTCAGTCGGAACACGCTGACCAGACCGCAGGACTAAAATGTCTCCAACACGAATATCCTGTGCAAGAACCTGTTCCACATCATTAACACTTACTGCGTCTGAACGAAGTCTGTGATACTTCTCTCGATTAACCGCGCGGTCGCGGATAACGCGCTGAATATCGTCTACAAATTCTTTAATCATGGTCACAGCCAGCACAAGAACGAGTGGTGCCAGATATGTAAATAGAAAGCCGACCCTGAGGATAGGAATAGATTGTGAGATTGTTATCCCGAGAAAATACAGATTGAAAAAGTATTTGAATTGTTGGTAGAGAATTTTAGGAACAAATGTGATAATATTGTACTTATTATTTTTTAATAGATTTTTTGGCGACGGATGGGACACATGCGAGTTGAGGAATATGCTACGGGCAGGATATGTCTTCTCCGGCCTTCTCCGCCCACCAGCTTTGTATTTCTTTCCAATTCTTAGAGCTCGTTTGGAATTGGCTAAATAATAAGACCCTTTTGACTTGAGCCGTCTTACTAAGGAAGTTCGCTTTGGTTGCTTCAGCTCGGAATCCATGGTTGTGTAAGGGAGGAGAGGTGCACTGTCTTCGCGTCTGCGATTGAAGGGGACGATGGGCTGCGCAAGTGCCAAGGGGCCGGCAACAGGGGCAATCACAGGCTTATCATCAATTTCAGACACTCGCTTTTTCAGTGCAAGGGCAACCTCTTCTTCCTTCTGCTTAGCAAGCTGATCATTGTGAGCATTCACCAAGGCCTCAATCCGGGAGTAGTCTTCAAAAAGTTCACTCTTTTGTAACTCTGGCGGCATTTTTTAATCAGTTTTACGTGTTGTCAACTAATTTGAACGCAAACTTAGTCATAAGGGTCCACAGTCGGGTCGTAGGATGGGAGACGGACAACTCGTCTAGGAGCCCTTTCAACCTATCTGTGTCTTCGGGGTGTAAAGGTAACAACAGAACCCTTAGATATAGACCTGCGGGGACAACAGCAGGTGGACTTGTGTATTGAAGGACAAGGTTGTACAGTTCTTCTAATGTGCTCCTCTGTGACAGACCTCCTTGTCCTGCACCCTCGGTAGTGACCCAGTCATAGAGACCTCTGAGGTAGTCCCAGATGGCTTGGTTTGCAGGCGTCTTAGAGAGCGCACTATCCACGAAGGAAAACTCATCCTCGTAAGCTGCCTCCCCGGAAGTTAGTAGGTTCTTCACGCACATAAGCCTATATGCCCAATAGCTGTTGTTAAGCAGATCGTTCTCCAAAAGCTGCTCGACCCACTGTAGCTCTTCCCTCCAATCTAAATTATTTAAAAGATTTGTCAAGCTCATTTTGTAATTCCAGACATGATAGTTCTTACTGTCCATAGATAGTATGCTGCACACAAGGGACCGTTCCCGCAGCTCATAGTAACTTTTGCGGTCTTCTTCGGGAAGGATCTGCATCAGAGCATATCTATGTGGCCAGACCTGGAAGTTCTTACTGGAGGCTTGTGCAATCACAGCACTTCTGTCCAGCTCATGCTGCGGGCTTACGAGTCCCAATCGAACACACTGTAAAATAAGCCGATACCCTGCATAGTCTGTTGGCCGCAAGGAGATGAGCTTATGGCCCAACTCGTACTGTTCCATTGTTCTAGCTTGCGGTGAGGCCCGCAGGGCGAGACAAGCATCCTCTACCAAAGCTCTAGTCTCATCATTTGGTACCCAGGATAGCAAGACTCGGTCAGTCCCTTCCCCATGGGACGACTCATCTAGAGATTCGAACTTCATACTCGCCCCCGATTGATCATTCCAAATTTCATTGAAAATTACCATTCTTTAATTAAAAATATGCAATTAAAACAAAAAATGCCTCCGAAAGGTAACCAGCCCAGTACCAAGACCATTCAAAAGGAGAAGCAGAAAATAATAGAAGATCGCACTTTCGGGCTTAAGAACAAAAACAAGTCTAAAAAGGTTCAAGAGTACATCCAACAAGTCACAAAAAACATTCAGAATGCCCGATATCCGGGTCAGACACAAAACCGTCAGCAGCAGTCGACGGCTGAGCTGAATGCAAAGAGAAAGGAAGAGGAAAAGAAGGCACAGATGCTGGCCATGCTGCGCTCTTCTCTGAGACAGCCCCCAATCCCAGAGGGCGCAAATCCCAAGGACTTCCCTTGCATCTTCTTCCTTCACAACTGCTGTGATAAGGGGGACAAGTGCAAGTATAGCCATAACAATGACACGAGTCATAGAGAGGCTCCATCTAAGAAGGAGCCTGTTGAAGAGGCGTCTGCAGAAGCCAAGGCCGCTTCCGGAGACGAAGAGAAGATCAGCGCGCTTTCCCAGGCGCTTGGAAAGCTAGACCTATACAGGGATATGCGCGAACAGCTCATGGAGTATAATGCCAGGCAGCAGGCGAACAAGAGCGGCAAAAACTATGAGTCCATTCTCCAGGAGTATAAGGAAAGGTACCAGACCAGATTTGGAGACCGCAAGGTGTCCAAGGAGACCTGTCCTAACTATCTTGCAGCTTGTAAGAAGAGGGAAATCGGCTGGGGCTTTAAGTGCCCGCAGGAAGAAAAGACCGGCTACTGTGAGTTTCGACATTGTCTACCTCCCGGATACGTCATAGAGGAGAAGAAGAAGGTGGAGGTCATCGATAAAGACTTAGATTACGTTGAGATCGAGGAAGATATCGAACGACGCAGAAATGAAATCACGTCTGGAACCCCTGTCAACCCAACCACGTTCGCTGAGTGGAAGAAAAAGCGCCTTGAAGCCAAGAAGGCTATAGAACAAGAAAACATCACCAGAGTGGAAAACATACTCAAGCAAAGGGGTGGTGAGCACTATCAGGGCCTCACAGGCCGCGCCATCTTTGAGAACATAGGGCGTATCAGTGGAATGGAGGACGTTGCCGCTGAACAGAACAAGGAAGAAATCGACGAATGGCTCAAGAACCGGGAGGACATTGAAGAAGTTGAGAAGGAGGCAGAACAGAGCGCTGGGCAGCCCCTCGACACCGAGTAAAGTTCTAAAAAAAGTCGAGCGAATTGATTTCAATTTCGTCTTTTTATAAGCAAAGGGAGTGAGGCAAATGAAGCACCTTGCGGCGTACCTTCTGGCTAAGATGGGCGGCAAGAACGAGCCAGCCGTAGCTGACATCGAGAAGATAATAGCAGCCGTTGGAGGCACGACAGACGCAGACCTCGCGAAGACCGTTGTGGAGAAAGTTGGGGCTGGTGGCCTCTCTGTTGAGGATCTCATGAGTCTCGGAAAGAAGCGCATGGCGAGCATGCCCGCCGTGGGGGCAGCCCCTGCCGCTGCATCAACCGCTGCAGCAGTCGCCGAAGCAGCCCCTGCAGCAGCCAAGAAGGAGGAGTCTGACGACGACGAGATTGTCGGTGCCGGTGGAATGTTCGGCGGCGACTCGTCTTCTTCTGAGGAGGAGTCCTCGTCTGATTAATCGCGGGGTTCTGGAGTAAATACGGTCGTTCTCGGTGCCTACTGCGTCACCCGATCCTCCTTACACTTTAGATACCACTCCTCGGTAATGTGTGTGTTCTCCCACTCCTTGACTTGCCGGGCGTGTGAAAAGCGAGCCTTAGTCTGTTGTGTGGTAGCATCTATCCGGAGGAGCTGCCGAAGATCCGCCTGCATTTTCTCCAGTTCAGGGACGGCCGCCGGGAAGATCTCCTTTCGGCGTCTAAAGATGAAACCTCTCATTGCTTTTGTGAGCTTTCCGAAGACAGGCCGTCGCTCACGCTGCTTGTTTGGCCCCTCCTCTAGTGTCTTATGGGTATAGCTCAAGGCCGAGACCCGAGAAAAGATAAAGGTCTCTATGCCCGATGGTAGAGCAATGTTGCACTGAGCTAGTTCACGTGACTCTAGCATGGGCGCAATAATGAGTCTGTACGAAGGATGGTCTTCCAACTTTGCCGATACACTTACCTGTGCAGTGCTTGCCCCTCGCACCACATTACTCGTCTGGGATTGAGCCAGAGTAGCGTTCTTAGAGGTTCCAGGAATGTATGAAATTTGACTAAATTTCTGAGTAACCTGATCGGTGCTTAGCTGTGTGTCGGCAACAGAGAGGTCTGGTATGCTTGTTTGGGACAGGTCCCCCTTGTCTCTCAACATGCTATTTTCCAGCTCATTCAGAAGAGCCGTGAATAACACTTGCATAGACGTATCATTTCCTGACTTCAAAATCATCTCCTCTGTTTCCAAAGATTTGTCCAGCTGAGGAAGGATCTCAGCTAGCCTTATGCCGCTCGGAAACCAAACTATGTTCTTCAGCAAATCTGCCTTGGACCAAATCTCGTACGGAGGCACATAAACCCACCGCTTCTCGGAAGAATAGGTCATCTGCTTCCTCTTCCGCATATCTCGTAAAAGGGAGTCGAATGGATAGGGAAGGTAGGATGGATTGAGAGCCTTCTGCAAGTATAGTAGCGTCTCCTTAAGCTTTTCATCACCATCACTCACTTCTGTCACGTTGATATGATGGAGGAAAAGAGAGAAACTTACAATGGTATCTGATAGAAAGATGGGAAGAACCCCCTGCTGACCGTGGTACTGGGAGATTTGCTGCACGATCTTCATAAGCGGCAAGGTGGATAACCGTCGCATTTCTAACCTTCCCGATCTTCCTATCGCTCCCCCCTTGGTTAGTAGCATCTCTGGCAACTCTGGTTGATAGCACAAGAACAAACCATCCTTGATCAGCTGCTCACCAAGCTTTATCGAGATTTTTGGGTATGTAAACAGATTGCCATCGTTGTACTCAACATTAACTAACTGCAAAAGAGATAAAACGAAAATCAAGTCTACCAGATAAACGGCGGATTCTACCGAACAGCCGTGGGAAAATACTATTTGATAGCTACGAGCGTCAGACTGCGTACGCTTAATCTTACGAATGAAGTGGCATAGCTGTTTCAGGTACTTTTCATCTGTCTCTTCAGGATAGATAAGTTTTATGTCTAGATATAATCTGTAATCTAGCTTGCTGAGGATATAGGTAAGCTTATTAACTAATCTGTCTTGAGAAATATCAATGGATATGCTGCGCACCTCTTTCAGCGACTCTAATTCCTCTATAACAAACTCATAAAAAAGGCGATATGCGAGCGATGAGATAGGGACTTTCTTTCCCGTGGAGATATAATGTTGATACACGTACACTTTATCGGTCGCAAATTGAAGAATGTGCGGGAGATTGGATGACATTTTTTTTGTGATTTACTTTCTATGTTCCCTGCTCAAGTACTAACCCTAGATCAGTAAATCTCTTTAATTGTGTATGGATGCGTGAAATAAAAAATCTACGAGACCTCTATAAACCTGGCTGCCTGATGGGCAAGTACTCATAAAGACCACCTACACTCAACCACCCCATCACTGAACAAGACCTACGCCTTGCTTTGCTGTCTTCAAGTGCAAGCTGTTATCAGTGAGCTCTCATCCACTGATAAGTTTTTGAGATATAACCACCTATGTTTCGGCCCTCACCACCCATGGCAGCCATTTAATCTACGAATGACTAATTTCATATGGGACATAGACAAGAACATAAAGTAGATCTTCCACTCTCAGCAGCGCAGGTTAAGAAAGAACAAAATTACTTTTGGCTGTTAGGAGATGGCAGACCTAGCAAAGTCAGCTCAACCATCACTTCAGTCCGCATCCTTAGATCTGGTTCGCCAGCGGGCTGAGCACTGCTTTAATATCTACCATACTCATGCAGAAACGCTATTCCCACTCTCAGTAATTTTATTGTCCTCCATCACAAAATCCAGTGCAATTCATTCATCGTCCTTCCTTTGGAACACACAATCGCAAGGAGCAGTTAGTTCATCATATTACGGACTCGTCCGTATTCTTAATGAAGTTGCAAATTATTTAGAGCAGATGGAGGTGTGCAGTCACATGGACTCACTAGAAGCTCCATCTCTACAAGATAGCCCTTCTTCTACAGACCAATTTCATGAAGTTTCACTGGCTTTGTGTGCACCGTGCTTTTTATATGACAATTTGCACTCGTTTTACACTTTAGAATCGCCTCCTTCTGTATCTGCAGAACCCTTTTATAAACGAATCTTCTCATATATTTACCCATCACTCTCTTCTCCACGTCCCTTCCAGATACAGAAAAGTGTCATAACTGCACATAAGAAGCACTGTCTCGAGCTAATACTGTCTGAAATCATCAATGCTAACTCACAATGCAAAGCATCATGCCAGGTCCTTGTCATTTTAGCTACAGTTAGTGCCTCATCACTCAGTGCAAAGTCTGTTATTTTCCTTAGCACTCCACATCTCTCTGATCATAACTCTACATTGTTAATAATACCTGGCCCAGTTGCACGAAAAGAAATCGTGGTCCCCAATCTTCAAGCTGTCAAGGTTACAGGGCAAATCCCTCCGGTAAACATTCAGCAGCACGTAGAGACCCTATCCTTCACTAACGTCGAATCCACTTTCAGACTCTTTTCTCGAAACAAACCAGTAGCTTGGCAGGTCATAAGTCCGTCCCATACGGGCGTGCTGCTACCTTTTATGCAGAAGTGCAACGGTCTCCACAGCTGGGCATCAATTGCAGAGAACATTCGTGCATATAATCTTCCGGTGATAAAGAACGCATTAAAGACTGCAGCACGTATACGTACTAGCAAGGTGCGGCGAGTGAAGTTGCAGAAAACAAAGCGGAGCTCCTTCTTTTCATTCAAGTCTGTGCCAGGCCAAAAGCACTTCTTACTTAGTCGCAGAAATGTCCCTTCTAAGGCTGTGCAAGCCAAGAAGACTCTTGGCATAAACCGTGGAAGTCTCTTTTGCTGCCACATGTCTCCAGGCGAATATGATTCTCAGCTACCCTTTCAAACACGCATTCCGTTGGCTCTTACTCAGGATTCCACACCTCATCTACGAGTGAAAAAGCAGTTTACTCCGCAGCTAGCTCAATCCACTTCAGAAGCAGGAATATATAGTTTCACAGTGCAGCTGAGGTTACCTGATGGTTCTGACCCCATGCTGACTGTGTACATTGCAAAGGTATCTCTTCATTTTTCAGAGGCCCAAGGAGCGGTTTTGCTCCCTAATTCTTCAGAACTCTTGCCCGTTCCTTGCACCTGTGAGCTCCCAGTCGGCAAGTTTCTGACCAATAAGAGTGCTCATACAAAGTATGGCCTATACAGTTTACACACACAGCAGATTGAATGGCAGCCTTCAGGCATCAAAAGGTATAGCGGTAATACAACAGCATGCGTGTCGCTAAACGTACAATATCATAGTCAAGCTATGCCCGGGCTAACTTCATATCCTGCTGTCGATGTGTCCATCGATAGCAGAGTAATTCCAGATGTCGTGTACATCACTGACATCATTCCTTAGCTCTGCTCTTTTGTAGTTACTTTACGGGAAGGGTTCCAGACGAGCGGAACATGGCTAAGATCTCTGCCTCTGTGGGCAGAGGTTCTCCTGCGCTGTACTTGGCTTTTAGCGCCACTGTAATGTGGTTCTGAAGAACCTGGAGGTGCTCTATGACACGTTCGTACTCCTCAGTAAGTGCACCCGTGTATGCCGCACATGTCGTCTCCCAGATCTCGTTTAGTGTCTGTGAATCGGCACTAGACATGAATTAAGAATTTATTGGTCCTGTCAGCCTCCTGTCAGCCGTTGATCGCCCATTGTCTAATGTGGCTTGCTACTCGGTTCTACCACTGGCCCTGCACGTTGGCTACTGGGTGCCGTTGAGAGGATCACCAACCCAGCCACCCAATCGACGAAGGAAGTGGCGGTAGACGCTCATGATCGTCTGCATGTGTTCGTTGTTGACGAGCGCTTGTATGCACTGCAGACCGCTGAGAACGCTCAGCAAACGCCACAGTGACCTTAGTCATAGATCGGGGTGATGTACTCATCTCGGAGGTCGACCACACCAGGAATGGGCCTCAGCGATTTGGCACACAGGCACTCTGGGTTGGCCGACTGTAGTGGAGGAGCATGATTCACAGATGTCCTTTGGCTCCCCTATGAAGACGCAAAGCCTGGCTGTTTGTCTTTAACACTGCGAGCAACAGATACTCATAAACACCAGTTTACACAAAATGTAACGTTCGTTTTTAGGCTTGAGAGTTGGATGCATGTGCATCTGGGCCTATAGTGGGATAGCTGGTAAGGTAGTGTTCAACAGAATGTTCGTAGAATGCACCTGTACGTAGATTCCACACTTAACTTTCTGGGACACACAAAAAATAGTATACGAATGTTGTGTCTGCTAGCTTTGGAATTCGTAGTTAGCCTCGTTGTCGATGCTTATCAGAATGCTTTTGAAAAGGAGTGTACGACTGTGGCGCAAAAGGACACATGCGCGACCAAGAAGTGTATAACGGTCAGCGGCACCGAACTGTGCCGCGAGTGCGTTGGCGGAAAAGTCCCTATCGACGGGATTTGTAAGGACACTACTGATTCCAGTGTTAGTTTATATGGATGCGAGCATTCTAGTGGCACTGGATTTTGCACCTCGTGCAAGGATACCGCCTTCCTCTTCTACGGCAGCTGTTACGCTATAGACAAGGTTCCGGGAAACCTTGTTTGTAGCAAAGCAGAGAGTGGCAAGTGTACGGAGTGCAGACAAGGATCAAAGTTTCTGTTTACAAACCCCGACGACAGTGCGGCGGAACGGTGCATATTGTGTTACGACAACGTCGGCTTCGGCTCATATAAAGGCGTCGATGGCTGCAGGTACTGCCTGCCTCCGCTCACCGGAGAGACATCTGCAGAGTGCAACTGGTGCCAGAATGAGAAGTATGGCCCGATAGACGGAGTATGCAAAGATCCGGGCAGGCACTTGTGCGCCGACGGGGCCTGCTCAAACTGTTACATGACTCACATTCAGCACAACGGAGGGTGCTACACAAAGACAGAAACCGTTGCACAGAAGATATGCACCACCGAAAACCAGTTCCAAGTAATTAACATCACTGCCTGCAAGAAGTGCGCCATTAAAGGGGAGGTCCCAATGGACGGGCGGTGCATAAAGGGCTTGCTCGAGCCAAAGTGCAACCCGTATCCTAACACGGATGGCAGCTGTACCGATTGTAAGAAGGGCGGAGTCAGCTACGACACGTTCCTGTTCAACGAGGGCTGCTACAACATGAGCGATTACATCGGGTCCCAGATCTGCAGCAAGGTTAACGAAAACGCAGAATGTGAACTTTGGAATATCGGAAGTTATGCAGTTTTCCGGCCTCCAAACGACAAAACTGCCCATACGTGCAGCGATACTTCTGCCAGGGGCATCCCTGGATGCTCCCGCTGCAGCTACAATGTTGAGAAGAAAGGGCCTATTTGCTATAACTGTGAGTACAACACGTTGGCTTTTGATAGAATGTCATGTATCACTGAAACCAGCTGCACAGGGGATAATGTACAACGAAAGTGCCCTGGAAACTCCGAAAGAGGGTGCAGATGCGAGTGTGCAGAGAAATCCTATAAGAACGGAGATAAGTGCGTTGCGTGCGATTCATCATGTCTGAAATGCGCTGGACGAGAGAGTAGATCTTGCACACTGTGTCCTCCTGGCAAAGCTCTTAAATACATAGGAAGTTCTATGGTAGGAACGTGTGAAGAGGGCTGCAAACAGGATGATACATGCGAGACCTGTGGCCTAACGGTTAATCAAACAGCATATTGCTCTAAGTGCAAGGACCCCACTAAATATCCCCTAGATGGTGTGTGCACATCAGCAAGTGAAGCCAGGACATCCGCCTGTTTGCAGCAGTCCAATGGAGCGTGTCAGAAATGCTCATCTGACTATTTCTTAATGGGCGGTGGCTGCTACCAAATCAACAAATATCCCGGTCGATTTGTATGTGGATGGGCCGACGATGGGAAGTGTATAGAGACTATGAATGGATACAGCATTAACGACCAGGGCCAACTTGTAGATTGCGACTCTACCTGCATGACGTGCGTGGAAGGCAAGAAGGAGCAATGCTTGTCGTGTCACTCAAGCAAATACCTCAAGAAGGAAGGGACAACTTCTTACGGCACCTGCGTGAGCCGCAACGACTGCAAGGACGGATACTACGCCAATCACGATACCATGGAGTGCCTCCCGTGCAACATCAACGACTGCGTCTCGTGCCATCTTATTGACAAGTCAATTTTGTGCAGTCGATGTCGTGGAGACAATCTTGTGGGCCTCGACAAACGCTCGTGCACGACGGTGATCCCCGAAAATGCCGTTGAGTCCTGGGGTGGTTATACATGCAACGATGACTCGGTTCTCTCGGGCAACGCATGTCTGAGAAAGAGCTCCCAGAAGAACAAAGGAAATGGGCTTTCTAACAACGTGATTATTGGAATTTGTGTTGGAGCTGTTTTGATTATGGGTGCGCTGATTGGTGTCCTGGCCTGGTGGGTGGTGTCCCGGAAGAAAAAGAGCGCCAGCTTTGAACGTAGTAGAAGCCTGGTTATATCTAAGTCCTAGAAGACTCCGTCGTAAGCCACAAATGCGCTACTATTGTCTTTAAAGTCTAACACTATGCATGCTAAATCACTAGGTTGCAGCTCATCAACAAGGTCTACTAGCCTTTTATGGTAGTCTTTGGAGTCGTGCTGCTCTTCGTCGTTTCTAGCTAAGCGTAGCATGCTTGTGAAGAGGGGAGGAAGATTACCATAGTACTCAGTGAACGCATCTAAGCAAGCCAGTTTGATTTCCCTTATTAGCGAGGGCTTCTTACACTTACGCCATGCCAGGCGGTCAGTCAAGATATCTAACCAGAGATAGCACAGGGCCTCGTAGTCATCACTGTACTGGGCTTTCCCACCAACTACGACATTAGAAGACGCGTACCTTGGAGTGACACGCGTGTCAGGATGCACTGTATCGCATGTAATAAAGATGGCAGAGGATAGATCAATTGCCTTGGCTACGTCGTCTTTAACCAGAAAGTTGCGGGGACTGATGTCGCGGATAGAATAGCCAAGGGCATGAGCAGTCGCAAGAGCATCGATAGTGCTGCGCAGCTTAGAAAGGATTGTAACTGCCACTTTGTCAGTGAGTCCAGAGACTAACATTGGCCGGAGCCGTTCTCCCCAGCGATCAAGAGTCTCGTCCATTAACTCCGTGGCCAGAAAATGGACATTCTCTGTCGTGCCGCACCCCAGAGGGCGCACAAAACAGGCAGGATTCGCTGCATGCATAGCCGCTAGAAGATCAAATTCCTTCGCAAAAGGATTCCCTGTGCATTCATGATCTCTTTGTGTTTTACTTGCTATCTTCAATGCCACAAAGGACGGGCTACACTCAGCTTCCGAGCAAGTAGACTGGGCTTTATATACTGTACCTGTGTTCCCGTAGCCCAAGAACTCAGAGACCTCGTAAGACCCCACGGTCTGTCCGATCATTATTTTGATTTACATCGCCGGTCCGAGCAATCCGTACCCCGTACAAGTCCTCCCCGCGGAAGGCGGACCCCGCCCGTTCGCCGCCCCAAGCCCAGAGTCCGGGGTTCGGGTCAGAACGTCGGTTGAGTCCGGGGGAGAAGAGCCCGACCGTGCACGCCAGCTCTGGCATCAACCGGAACGCCCTTCATACCTGCCGAGGAGCTAAGGCGCAATCCCTACCACCCAGTAGCACGACCGAGGCCACGGGGTTGAGCGGACGACAGCACCAGAGCGCCCGGCTGCTCGAGGCCCGGCGGACCAGAGGGCCTCCGTGAGGAAGACAGGGACCCGGCTCGTCCAGGGCACTGCGAAGCGCCGCCCCTCGCCGGGGATGCGCTCCGACGCCAGGAGAACGAGGGCCGCGGGCACACGTGGACGCCTGATAAGACGGCGGAAAAGCCGCGCCTCTCGTGCGAGCACGTGAAGCACTCATGAGCGCGCTTCCGGTGCTCCAGGTCCGGCCCGGGCCTCAGGAGCCCACTGAGACGGAGCATCCTACGCTGAGCGGCACCGGGTGAACGTTGAACTAGTAGGAGCGGAAGAGCACGTGCCTGTCCTGAGCGAAGACCCTCCGCGGCGAGGCCGTCCAGACGCATGCAGCACAGACACCGGATGCAGGGCGCTGCTGAGTGGGGCAGCGGGGATAGAGAAGGACATCCCCCTCAGCGCCCGTCGTGTGAACGTGCTCAGGGGAGGGTACCTAACACCCCGCAGAGCTCCAGTCGAGAGCCGAGGAGACGTGCCTCCCCACACAGCGGGGAAGCGGAGGAGCGGCATTCACCGGCCCGCTGCCCGGCTTGCAGCCTCTGCCTCGCCTCGAAGGGGAGCTGCCCCCTAACAGCGCCACCGACGACCAGCACCTTGCTATCCAGAGGGCCGGGTCAGGACGGCCTGGACCTACGCTGGCGAGTCCATCCGGGTGCAGGCCTTCAGCGAGATCCTCGGCGCGATCCATAGGATGGGATGCGTGCTCTGTACGGTTCCGCCTGGCCCTTCCCCAAGAATGAGACAGGACAACCACGATCAGGGGACGATCATGATGCGCTCCACAAGGTAGTCCCGAGTCCCCTGGAGACCCAGACACTAGCCTTCCCGAGACAGAGCAGACTGCGTTCTACTGACTGCACATGGTGGCGTTCGCATGGCACAGGGAGACACAGGCTGATGGGCACGGCGACCTCGCTCGACATAACGAGCACCCCGACAGCAGACGGCCTCTGCCGGGCGAGTGTGCCCCGTCCCGAGGAGCTGCGTCGAGGCCTTCCTCCGGCTGTGACACGCCGCACCCCTGGGCTCGGTCCCTCGGGGCCCTACGCATGCTTCTGTGCTGCGCGGGACAGAACCTGCTCGCCAGGAGCTGAGGAGAGACCCCGCTCAGTGCCCATGCCGACGACACACTCATCTTCCATAGTAGCAACAATGACGTGGCGGGGGTAGTCACAGAGGCGGCAGGCCTGGTGAAGCAACATGGCTCGACGGTCAACACTGACAAGTATAGGAACACAGAGGGGCAGGAGGCCTCCTTCCTGGCCGGTCGAAGGAGCTCCCAGGGCAACGGAGGGCCGAAGCCAGTGATGGCACTAATCACTCGCCACGCTGGTCGAGATGGACCCGCACGTGGCCTATGTGAATCCCTCGGCAAGAGATGGGAGCCTTGGGGTGCTTGGCTGGCAGAGGCGGACTGATCCTGCCCACACCGAAGAGTGGCGGCCTGGAACACCTGTCTGGCGTCTGCCGCAGCAGTTGGTAATCCCTTGACACCATCGAGTAGACGGGTGCCGGTTGTAGAGAGACGGCCTGACAGCGAACCGGTCCTGATCGCTCCTGGTGCCTCAGACGACGCCTCGACAGACCGAAGCATCACCCCAAGTGTGCTGTGCAGATGGACCAGCCCACAGGTCAGCTAAGCCAGACACGCTGCACAGGGTGAGCGTCGATGTGATCTCGTGCTGGGTGACGGACCAGCTGCAAGAGTGCACTGTGATTCATGAATAGGAGGGCAAACCAGAAGCCAGACCTCTCCTCCAACGCCAACGCATGGGAGTACTCCGCCGGCATCCACGAACGCGTACTATGACTCCAAGACAGAGGCGCACGAGGAGCGCACCCTCCGGTCATACTCGGGACTGATGGTGCCCTCCACGAAGAGACGAAGAGGCACCCCGAGGAACGGGGTAGACACCCGGGGTCGTGGCGTGGGATCTTCGTCGTAGAGCATCAGCACCACGAAGCAATCCTGGAGTACATTGCCAGAGTCAATTGCTCTTGAGACTAGATCGCCGCGACTGACGCAAGGCCCTGAGATAGTAGGTGCCCACCAGTGCCAGACGGTAGTTGACCCCGACGGGCCAGAGGAAGGAAAGTCCTAGGGGCACCGCGAGGAGCGGCAGCTTTTAGGAGAGCTGGGACATAGGGGTTCTTCCGCCGGGATCGAGGGCATCCGACTCTCGGACTCTGGACTCTGCCTGGAAGCGAAAGACCTGCCTTCACTTGCCTCAACTGCCATTAAACTCTGATCTTACCCAGTGTACCGAAGCAAAAATAAGACTGTTCGGGCTGCCCCCGCGTGCTAATAGATCCCATCAGAAGTAGACGAGTCGTGGAGATGGGCTCGTTCCACGTGCCTGCTCCTCTGAGGATGCGCTGCCCTTGCTCCCCACCGAGTCCCTGGTGCTCCTCTCCGTCTCTCTGTGATCAGTAACATGTGGCACTGGCGCTTCGCTCTACCGGCCTTAGAGCGTTTACTCTGAGAGGAGGGCAATTATCTCATGGCGCCTCCATAGCTTGGCCATGTCAAGGGCAGTTTCGTCCATATTATCTCTAATATTCTTCTCCCTCACAAGGAGCCTCGCACACTCTACGTAGCCGCTCTGTGCAGCGACTGTGAGAGCGGGCCATCCATCGTTATTTTGCATACCGCCCTCTTTCTCCACAAGTAATCTGACACAGCTTGCGTGGCCATTCTGCGCAGCCCACATGAGGGCCGTCCATCCATCCCTCGATTGCGCACAACTCTCCTTTTCTACGAGTAGCTCAACACAGCCAGCTTCGCCACGTTCTGCAGCAATCATAAGGGCGGTCCATTTGCTGTTATCCTGTATACCGCCTTCCTGCCTCAGAAGCAATTCGACACAGCTTCTGTGGCCTTTCCCCGCTGCAGCCATAAGGGCGGTTTCCCCATCGTTATCTTGCATGCCAACCTCGTTTTTCAAGAGCAATTTGGCACACTCTGAATGGCCAGCACTTGCTGCAGCCATGAGGGCCGTCCACCCCTTATCGCTCTTCATGCCGCTTTCCTTCTCTAGCAGGAGCTTAAGACAGTCTGCGCGGCCAGTCCTTGCAGTATACATGAGGGCGGTCCATCCGTTGCTATCTTTCAGTCCCTTCTCTTTCTCCGCGAGCAGCTCCACAATCTCTGTGTATCCATATACCGCCGCCCTTATCAGAGCAGTTCCCTCGTATATCTTCCAGTCACCTACAAGTGCGCATCCCTTCATCTTCATGCCCCCCTGGAGCGGTATGAGGGCCTTCACAGCCTCCACGTCGTTTCTATCGACTGCCTTCATGAGGTCGGTGGAGTCGTCCTCCTCTATTAGGTGCTTCTCTGGCTCTTCTGACTCGTCTGATTCGTCTGACTCCTCCATTTCGTCTGTCTCGTCTGTTTCGCCCATCTCTGTCTTAATCTCCTGTATTTCCCTGAATAGCTTGGCGGCAATAGCACACTGCTCCCTAATGATGTCCATTCTTGCAGCTCGATCAGGAGGGTCCTTCCTAAGAGCTACTGTTTCGTTGTTGGCTCTATTCAAGGCTTCTACAAAGGCTGCGCGCACCTCCTTTAACCTTGTATCTTGGGCCTCTTGTTCATCAGCAGAGATGCCAAGCCTCCGAAGTAGACGGGCGAGCCTTCTGGCAGTCGGCCTCTCGGCGGGATCGAGGACGAGCATCCTCTCAAGGACGCTCCTTGCGAGGTCGTCTGCGACACCGCTCAGGTCCGGCCTCCATCCGTCGACGAAGACCTCTGCTGGCTCCCTGCCCCCCAAGAAATCCGGCTTCCTCAGGGTGGCGAGCTCGTATGCGACGGCCCCGAGGCTCCAGACGTCGGATGCGGCGGTCGTGTCACCGCAGAGGAGTGTCTCGGGGGCCATGTACGCGGGGTCGCCAGCCTTCGCAGCTCCGCTCGATATGCCCTCGCAGAACCCGAAGTCTGCAAGAACAACACGCCGCCCGTCCCCAGCGAACATGATGTTGTCGGGCTCGAGGACAACGCTAGAGGGCAGGCCGTTGTGGGCACCTCTGCTGAGCCCGTGGAGGTGGGCAAGGGCGCCAGCCAGCTGCCCCAGAAGGGAGAGCACCAGCTTGCTGGGAATAGGTTCGTGAATGTCCCTGTAGTCGGTGATGAACTGCCTCAGGTCCCCGCAGCAGCGGTCTGTGACAACAAGGATCGTATTGTCATCCATAAGCACCTGGTGGTATTTGAGAACGTCTGGGTGAAGGGTGCCTAGAAGAACGGTCAGCCTACGCCGAATGGCATCTACGCTGTGTTGATCCAGACCATCAAGCCGGATTTCTTTCACAGCAAGGTACGGGCATCCCCTGAGAGAGTAGACGGCACCGTGGGCATCCTTACTGAGCATGTTACCTAGGCGTCTATGCAACTTTTTGGGGCTGAACACGGGAACGCCACCAGCGCCCATCGGCCCTGAAAAGCCGCTAACTAAATTGTTACTGGCATCTCCTAGGGCGCCCTCTGCGGTGGCTAAGGCAGAGGGGTAAAGCCCGCAGTCAACAGCCATTGCCACTTTTAAATCTCCATCTTAACTTGTTTTTTAAGAAGGTATTCAGTCCATGTTTACAGAAGCCGGCCTTTTCTATACTATACAGTAGTCATCAATTAATGAACAGAATTATGTACTCATTTGGAGGTTTCCTCCTCTAGTGTGCTTAGATACAACAAAGATGATTCATTTCACCAACCGGTTACTTCCAATACTGTGTTGTTGGGACCTCCGCCTGTGGACATGGCCCAAAGGTTCCACGAATAAGCCCTCGCTCAATTCCTGGCCATATCTAGAGAAAAAGGCTACTCGATGAGCACAAGGGCCCCCTCTAGTTACACAGAGGGACGACTAGAGACTCAACACAATTGTCACATACCACCTTCAGCTGTTAAGGGAATCAACACAGAACCGGGAACCAGATATTTGACTTATAGGCACGTATAAAATGATAGCTGGACCCATCTAGTCATCAGACGAACCAGTTACGGCGAAATATTCGGAAATACAGAGATAGAACATTCGTAATTATTTATGGAGCGAGCGATTTCTTCATCCTATATCCAGAGGCACCTTGAGAAACTCCGCGTGGTAACCAAACGAACACCTAACGAGATTAATCATAGGCTTTGAGAGCTAGCCTTCAGGGTGACTGAAGGAGGGAGAACCACTGGCTACCCGAAGTTCTGAGGTATCCCCAAGCTCATAGCTTAGACAGACGACCATGGGACAAGAGAAACAACCACATTTTCACCAACCACTGTCACCCCCAATCCAAAGAGCCACAGCGATAGAAACCAACTAGACCCTAGAGGAAGGAACAACTATCGATAGGTAACGAGGTTCTGCATAGCGAACTACGGGCCCGCAGCATCCATCTGTTTTCACGGCGTTAGGATGGACTTTCGTAGGATTAGGGATGCCTTATGGGGTAAGAGACTATCGGTGGAATCGAAGTAGCAACGACGGCTACAGACAGAGGGGATAAAACGCTGTAAAAGAGGACATTGATGACCCGAATTCTCATCCATCATAGATAACAGACCAAGGAAGGAGGTGGAATTTATTAGTTACACGTGTTTGCAGAAAATTGGGGTCCCGGGCGAATCAGGCGTGCGAGCATCACCAGACGTGCATACCTGAGCCGAATGCACACACTACATAAGATCACCAAAAAGAGTTGTATCCAGACGTACTAGTGAGAAGGAATCTCTTGTTACATTATTTACTAGTAGCCTTTTTCTCTAGATATGGCCAGGAATTGAGCGAGGGCTTATTCGTGGAACCTTTGGGCCATGTCCACAGGCGGAGGTCCCAACAACACAGCACTTAGATATAATCATAGCGTTAATACCCTCTCATGATTTCCAACCCGTTTATGCCACAAAAGGAGAGATAATTATTTTCATGTTATATATAGACTGACGATACTTTTATTATGCTTGGTCTTCATAAGCAGCCAGTGACTTTTAATAGATATTTGGTTGTGTGGCATAAAACAACATGAGAAATACTAGCTCCGTTTCCTGCTTACAGTCGTTCGATCAGTTATAGCCTCGTGAGCATTAGGACTCTGATGACATATCTTGTAAATGTTAGCCTCGAAATATCTGTTGATTTAGAAGACGAGAGACAACCCTATGTGTACCATCTTCTTGACTCCATGGGGTATCCTTGTATACTAATCCATATATAAACCTGCCAGATAGATGGTAGAGCAGCTATTGTGGAGAGCTTACATAGGATCCTGTCTGCAGGCATAGTTCTGGGATTTCACGAGTGAATTCCTTCATTTTTTGCTATCTCTAGAAACAATTAAGAGCTTCCCCCGCGACCTTGTACACCAAATCCGGTGCATCTTTAAATTCTTCAGATGGCACTCGTGTCTAACCTGAGTGAGTATGCTCTAATGGCACATATAGTTTTACTCCTTGTATGAGTCTGGCCCTTTCAAGAGCGTTAGCAGGCTGCGAGCACACATCTTTCTCAGACTCGGTAGTCTAGCTTTGGTCCCCCATCGTCCTCCTTATCTTCGGAGCATTCCCTGTCCTGTAAAACTGCACTCTATCATCAGGGAGGCAAGGAGAGACTCAGAATTTATGAGTCGCTCTGTGGCGTTTATCCATCTGTGTTACTGGATTCTGGGCCCCCAACTTGCATTAGTAGCTCAGGAGTCGCATAAGCGTACCCACTTCCTTTGTAGCTTTATGTGGAGATGAAGCTAAATGGCTGCTAACAGGTCTGTGGATTCTTTTGGCAAGTTTGCATGTCGAATCAGTATGTTGTTAGGGATTTCGACTCCATATTCCTGTCTGGCCCGAATGCATGCGATGGCCGTTTTTGCCTTTTCACCGCTTCTACCTTGCTATGGGTTCTTAGCAGTCGATGTTTCTTCTTTTTCTCAATCGTTCTGATCACCCATGCAAGGAGCCCTGCTAACAGTTAGACGTACGTTGACAGTAGGCAATCACTGGGTGGCCAGACTTTCAGCTCAGTCACTTCTGATCGGCTTCGTCGGATGCTCAGTTCGTGATCATCATAAGGCTCGAAGTGAAAAGCTTCACATTGTGTCGTTTATAATCCTCGTCTTCAACATAACTAATATAAATGGAAGTTTGCTCATGTATTTCTGCATCTACTCGCAGGTAAAGAGTCCAAGACTTTACTTAGCCTCATCTAGTGACAGGAGTAAATTATCGTCAGTAACTGCGGAAATTTCCCTATCAATTTTTGCGGCGGGACACGGGCGCCCTAAAGTAACTCTACTTTCAATTATGGTTTTTCTCATTCTGGTAATACTCCCCTCACATCGCATATAAGCATACTGACGTGAAGGAGATGTAAAGTAAACAGGAAATTTCCCAGAGAACATGGTTATAGCAATAACACATCGATATATTTTCTCAGCTGATGGCGTTATTTGCGGTCCACCGATAATGGGTATAAACTTTACCGAGTAGAGCTTTGAATCTATTTGGGGTGTCATTTGATTTATAGTAGTACTTACTGAGAGACGGATTTGATCTCTTTGGCGATTAGATAATACAAAACCTCTTATACGGCTGCTATCATCTATGCCAAAAAACAAATGCCCGCCGTTGGTATTAATAAAGGCATTTAAGTAAATTTGGGAATATCTTCTAATCTCTCGTATAAGGTTCTTTGTATCTTGTAGTGCTTTAAACTCCGTCTCTTTATCCTCTTCGAAATCTATCAGGTCATCATAGCGGAGGGACTCTGGAAGGGGACGAAGGGTCATCTAAATTTCAGTAAATGTTGATGAACTTTACATAAACAGTATACAGTAACAAACTGAAGACTGGGCCGTATCGCCCTCCGAATGCCGGGACCAAAGACACCAGGCCAACGCGGAGGTCTTCGAGCGGCGCCAATGGTGCACAGGGCTGAAGCCGGAGGTTCAGGATCTGCTGCCGAGGGCAGCCGGCGCCCGGTTGTCGGGCCGGGTCCTCCGAGCTGCCCCGCGATCGACGACGACGCAGAGGCGGGCATCAAGGGCGTCGTCTCCAGATGTCTCCCAGGTCGCTGTACGCCCCATGCAAGGCATTGATGGAGCCACTTGCCCCGATGGCAGTTTCGACACCATCCTTCAAGGGCGCGCTGGACGCGTTTCTGCGCTGAGAGCGGGAGGAAGGTAAGCACGAAGAGAGCTTGCTCTGTCCATTGAGGTCGGCTGCTAGCCACTATTAGCAAGTCCTTCGTGCGGGCCGCCGCGCGGTGGCTCCCTCACTCATTCATCCAGAACTCGAACTTGGGGGTCGCCCACCTCTGGAGAAGAGCCTTGTGCTTCCTCCCTAGGGGGCCGTTGTTACCCCGCGATGCGTTCCTCTGGCCAATCTGGGCCAGCTGCTCCCTGCACCCGGTGGGCACCTGCTACCCCAGGGCTATGCAGCTCGCCTTCTGCCTCATCGAGGCTGATCTGCCACCTGCCGGCCGAGCAATCCGTACCCCGTGCAAGTCCTCCCCGCGGAAGGCGGACCCCGCCCGTTCGCCGCCCCAAGCCCAGAGTCCGGGGTTCGGGTCAGAACGTCGGTTGAGTCCGGGGGAGAAGAGCCCGACCGTGCACGCCAGCTCTGGCATCAACCGGAACGCCCTTCATACCTGCCGAGGAGCTAAGGCGCAATCCCTACCACCCAGTAGCACGACCGAGGCCACGGGGTTGAGCGGACGACAGCACCAGAGCGCCCGGCTGCTCGAGGCCCGGCGGACCAGAGGGCCTCCGTGAGGAAGACAGGGACCCGGCTCGTCCAGGGCACTGCGAAGCGCCGCCCCTCGCCGGGGATGCGCTCCGACGCCAGGAGAACGAGGGCCGCGGGCACACGTGGACGCCTGATAAGACGGCGGAAAAGCCGCGCCTCTCGTGCGAGCACGTGAAGCACTCATGAGCGCGCTTCCGGTGCTCCAGGTCCGGCCCGGGCCTCAGGAGCCCACTGAGACGGAGCATCCTACGCTGAGCGGCACCGGGTGAACGTTGAACTAGTAGGAGCGGAAGAGCACGTGCCTGTCCTGAGCGAAGACCCTCCGCGGCGAGGCCGTCCAGACGCATGCAGCACAGACACCGGATGCAGGGCGCTGCTGAGTGGGGCAGCGGGGATAGAGAAGGACATCCCCCTCAGCGCCCGTCGTGTGAACGTGCTCAGGGGAGGGTACCTAACACCCCGCAGAGCTCCAGTCGAGAGCCGAGGAGACGTGCCTCCCCACACAGCGGGGAAGCGGAGGAGCGGCATTCACCGGCCCGCTGCCCGGCTTGCAGCCTCTGCCTCGCCTCGAAGGGGAGCTGCCCCCTAACAGCGCCACCGACGACCAGCACCTTGCTATCCAGAGGGCCGGGTCAGGACGGCCTGGACCTACGCTGGCGAGTCCATCCGGGTGCAGGCCTTCAGCGAGATCCTCGGCGCGATCCATAGGATGGGATGCGTGCTCTGTACGGTTCCGCCTGGCCCTTCCCCAAGAATGAGACAGGACAACCACGATCAGGGGACGATCATGATGCGCTCCACAAGGTAGTCCCGAGTCCCCTGGAGACCCAGACACTAGCCTTCCCGAGACAGAGCAGACTGCGTTCTACTGACTGCACATGGTGGCGTTCGCATGGCACAGGGAGACACAGGCTGATGGGCACGGCGACCTCGCTCGACATAACGAGCACCCCGACAGCAGACGGCCTCTGCCGGGCGAGTGTGCCCCGTCCCGAGGAGCTGCGTCGAGGCCTTCCTCCGGCTGTGACACGCCGCACCCCTGGGCTCGGTCCCTCGGGGCCCTACGCATGCTTCTGTGCTGCGCGGGACAGAACCTGCTCGCCAGGAGCTGAGGAGAGACCCCGCTCAGTGCCCATGCCGACGACACACTCATCTTCCATAGTAGCAACAATGACGTGGCGGGGGTAGTCACAGAGGCGGCAGGCCTGGTGAAGCAACATGGCTCGACGGTCAACACTGACAAGTATAGGAACACAGAGGGGCAGGAGGCCTCCTTCCTGGCCGGTCGAAGGAGCTCCCAGGGCAACGGAGGGCCGAAGCCAGTGATGGCACTAATCACTCGCCACGCTGGTCGAGATGGACCCGCACGTGGCCTATGTGAATCCCTCGGCAAGAGATGGGAGCCTTGGGGTGCTTGGCTGGCAGAGGCGGACTGATCCTGCCCACACCGAAGAGTGGCGGCCTGGAACACCTGTCTGGCGTCTGCCGCAGCAGTTGGTAATCCCTTGACACCATCGAGTAGACGGGTGCCGGTTGTAGAGAGACGGCCTGACAGCGAACCGGTCCTGATCGCTCCTGGTGCCTCAGACGACGCCTCGACAGACCGAAGCATCACCCCAAGTGTGCTGTGCAGATGGACCAGCCCACAGGTCAGCTAAGCCAGACACGCTGCACAGGGTGAGCGTCGATGTGATCTCGTGCTGGGTGACGGACCAGCTGCAAGAGTGCACTGTGATTCATGAATAGGAGGGCAAACCAGAAGTCAGACCTCTCCTCCAACGCCAACGCATGGGAGTACTCCGCCGGCATCCACGAACGCGTACTATGACTCCAAGACAGAGGCGCACGAGGAGCGCACCCTCCGGTCATACTCGGGACTGATGGTGCCCTCCACGAAGAGACGAAGAGGCACCCCGAGGAACGGGGTAGACACCCGGGGTCGTGGCGTGGGATCTTCGTCGTAGAGCATCAGCACCACGAAGCAATCCTGGAGTACATTGCCAGAGTCAATTGCTCTTGAGACTAGATCGCCGCGACTGACGCAAGGCCCTGAGATAGTAGGTGCCCACCAGTGCCAGACGGTAGTTGACCCCGACGGGCCAGAGGAAGGAAAGTCCTAGGGGCACCGCGAGGAGCGGCAGCTTTTAGGAGAGCTGGGACATAGGGGTTCTTCCGCCGGGATCGAGGGCATCCGACTCTCGGATCTTGGACGGTAAGCAGGAGACCCATCCAGTGCAGTAGCTTGCACGAGGGAATTTGCTCAGATACACCTAGTGAAACGTGTCTGTTCGTCACATCCCCTACTTTCCCCAAGTCAAATGCCAGAGCCTTGGGGGCCTATTGGTGCTTTGTTGAGGACTGCTGTGCACAGACCCCAGATGCTCGACTAGACAGACTATCAGTGAACATGTTTATTGGCGACCTTTGGTCTGAAAAATTAGCGAGAGTCCGGCCCTGCTTTCCGACTGCCCTGCGCTATGAGTTTTGCATATCTGTCCCCTGAGGAGCTTGCAGAGCAGCATCGACGTGGGACAGAGAGAAGCAATATCAGGGCACTCCAAGACACAGAGGAAAGGCGTCGGCGACAAGCGATGTGGCGTCGCATTGACTCCCAGGTGCGCAGAGACGACGTAGCAATTACTGCGTGTATGAGCCAGCTTCGGGGACTAAAGCTACAGGCGGCGCACTATCTCGATGTTCTAAACAGCACGACGACGGCGATTGCAGATCTTGAGGCCAAGATACATTTGCTGAGCCTGAGCTCTGAGGACATCAAGACACAGCTATGCAGAGGCTCATCGTGCTCTTCAATGAAACGCCCTTGTAGTTCTTCTCTCATTGCAGACCGTGACAGGCTGTATGGTGATATGACGAATGATTGGAAGGTGCGTGAATCTGACGGCTTTCTTCCTCACAGCTCTTCACCTCGGCCCAAGCATTCTCTTTTCTGGAAGGAGGTCCACTCATCTGGGCAGCCGGCTCAAATGGCCTGCGAAGATTCATTCTACGATTCACCCTCTGAGGAATGCGAGGCACAAACGTGTGCACTCGCTGGAAATATAGCCCACGAGTCGGCGGCGAGCATCCGTTCATCCCGTCACAGGCGTCTCCGCACATCAGCCACCAGACCGCATGCAAATGGCAGGTTTTCTGACCCCGTTGCGTTTGACGAGCTCGACTATTTCAGGAGAAAAGTTTCTGCATTGCCACCTATGGATGATCTAGTCTCCTTACGTGCAGGCCATCCAGAAGAACAGAACACAGTAAGTGGAACGTCTCTGTATTCTGGAGAGCCACGTCTCAATGAGCCCCCGTGCAGCAGACCCTCGTCAGAAGACCCTCGCCAGCTCAGGAAGAACCTTTTCACCGTGATCGATAAGTATCGCAATGGGTGTACATACTCGCTGATCTCCCTCTTTCCGCCGCTCGACAAGCTCTACCAGCTCTTCGCCGACGCGCAGCCGGCTCTTTCGGCTATCAAGGCCTCCATTATGATAGGTGTGACCCTTTTTAAGATAGCAGAGTTTGTTCGCGAGCTCCTCAGCAGCGACGCCTTCTATAAGTTTGTGCTTGCTCTGGACCCGGCGGACCTTCCTCGCCTACCTGCCTCCTTGGCAGAGGCTCGGACCATTCTTAGAGATGACGGCGCATCATCGCACGGTGATAGCGGTATTTACAATACAGTCAACTTACTGGTGTCTCTACGCATGTACGTCAGGGCCCACTGGTTTGACTCCGTTCAGTCCAGCTACGGCAACTTCCTGCACCGCTACTACCTCAAGTTCTTGCAGATCAACAGCATGTCCAGGATCACTGTCCCGCTGTGGCCTCAGTACAAGCGCGTCCGCCTATTCAATGCAGAGAGGCACCTTTTGCGAGACGGCGAGCTGGACTTTTCGTTCCTCTATGCAATCCTCTCCACATTTGCCATCCTCCACGAGTTGCACATTCTGCCCGTTCAGAGGGCCACCTACGGACATCACGAGCTCAAGATGTGTGAGCACGCAATGGAGCACGGCACGATGGTGCAGCCGTCGAGTGGAGCAGCCAGGTACACGTGCATCTGGCCTGCGTGGGTGGACAAATACAATAACACGTATATAGGATCTCGATTTCGTAGGCACAGATCAGCGCAGTCCTCATAGGGCTGCCCAGTGGAGCTGTACCTACTGTGCCCCCGTACTCTTTAAGGGCCACGAGAAGCCCTGGCTCTTCACGTTTGCAATGACCCTCTCTGTCGAAAAGCTGGTCGGCTTGCCGCCAAAGATCCAGTTTTTATAGGCAAGCATCATGGTCAACACGAAATTGTCACACCACCGCGAAATGTTGAAGAGATTCGATCTATTCTTTAGGATCCGCTTCCGTACGCTAAAATAGTAGCCGCTGTCTACTGCCAAGCGGCTGCACAATAGTACGGCCTCCCCTTGGGACGCGCAAATTAGGTCTTTGCATTCTAGGACGCTCAGAAACGAAAGGGTCTTCCGGCTAAGAATGTACTCCCCTACAAACCCAACTACAGGAACACCCGACCACAGCGCGTCGAGCACGATGGTGCTTCCGTTGCACTTCAAGGTGTCCACGAACACATCAACGGCCAGGTAGCGCCGTATGTGCTCCACCTTCATTGGAAGCATGCTTAGAAAGATGACCCTATCCAAGATGTCCGGCGCCTTGTGTCTAAAGAACGCCTCGATGTGCAGCTGAGACGCAGGGGGAAACTTGAGGAGCGCATAGTACGCATTAGGCACACTGCGCAGCAGAGAGGCGATGATCCCCAGCGTTCCCATGTCGAACTTGTACACTTGATTGAACGTGCAGAACAAAAAGCAGTTAGCCGGTATCCCATAGAGCGCGCGGATGTTCTTGCGATATAGAGGCAGCTCCAGACACACGCGGTGACTGGTGAGATCAGAATTATTTTCACTCTTCTCCATGCTAGCTGGAACTGCCGCTTCCGAAGCGATTCTTTGCAGCGGATAAATGGCCTTCAACAGCGGCTCCATCTTCTTGATCATGGATCTATCTCTGCCGCCAACCAACCGTCCGTTTCAGATCGGCTGGACCTGGAAAAACACATTGTCACCGGTGATGAGGATTCTATCGTTCATCAAAAGCTCGTCCCTCCCCTCGCTAGCCGAGTTTGTCGACACCCCATTCTTAGTCTCCCCCTTCATCTTCGCTATTTCTGCCAGCTCCAGCTCCAGCTCTAATATCTTTGAGCTGTGGGCTCCCTCGTCCTTGTCGCCGCCTCCAATCGGTGCTTCCGAATGTGTGCGACTCCCTATTCCACTATCCACAGACGACGACGTTGCATCGCTTCCGTCCAGGCTCAGAATATTCTCTCCAGCAGCGCTGTGATGGTTCACATCTATATCGGGCTTGCTGTCCTGAATGAGACTTCTGACCTCCTCCACAGTGACCTTGAGAATATCCGCGTGCTCCTCCAGGAGAATCGCATTGCTATAATGCATACTATGGCTGGGGCAAATGAAGCATCCCGGCATTGTGATGACGTGCTCGGAATACAAGTGCGCATAGTTTAGTATAGAAGAAAAATAGTTATATGGAAACTTCGAATGGGCCCACTTGATAAAGAAAGACTTGAAGGTTTAAATGATGTAAGTATACTAACTGGGCTTGAAGATGTCGTTACATTACTGTTTGAACACCTGGGCAGGGCACTGTGTTAGATACATTTCTCCATATTTGATTGTCATATTGGTCTACTGCCCCGATGCAGACGAACAGCCTGCGTGCCCGGCTTACAGCCACAAGGGACCTACAGAGGTTATTCCTGAATTCATTACCTCTGGGGCCCGACAACGACAGGAAGACGACATCTGCCTCGAGCCCCTGATATCCGTCGCTGGTTTCGACGTCCAAATTAAGACGCACCTTCAGGTGTGTATCGCTGTCTATGGTGAACGTAGTATCGCTGCACATGTTCCGCAGGACAGCTATGACAGGGTCGGAAAGAATGTACTGCTTTTGCGAGTGATATAACGATAGCAGAGCAACACTGATAGAGACTTCGTATGCATTGATCGCTGGACTGTATAGTAGCAGGGTTTTGCTTTGGGGCGCCGAACTGTTGCTTATTATCCTATAGACGATGCGAAGCAAAAGAATGAGTGCAGCATTCTTTTCTTGTTCGCTTATACAACAGTTCCTCGTGTCCGTCATATCGGGCAGAAGTTTCTTTGTATCTGAGGACTGTATTATGGGCGGTGGACAAAGCGCTATTCTCTCGTGTATATTTTTCAATAGATTATTGATTTGGCTCCGCTGGACTGCTGGTTTGTCCAAGTTGTCTGGCAAACAGAAGAAACAGCGCCCTTTAAACTCTGATAGTATGACTAAGTCAACATAGCTTTTGAAGGTCACGTTAGGTATATCCCGCAAGCCCCCTTTTATACAGCACGACTTGGGAAGTCGTGACTCATAGAGGGACCGGTACAAATCTGCGATTTCTGGGACGCTTCGCGCCTGTTCCTCCAGCGTTACTATGGGAATGCCTTCGCGGGAAGAATAGCATAGCCGATGAAACAGTGACCAGTCGAGTGCTGCCGTGGACGTTAGTTTGCAATCTTGTATCAGGGGCGGTAGTTGGAGGACGTCTCCGATTAGGATGAGCTTATCAAAAGTTAGCAGTAGTAAAAGGGCTAGCTCGTGCTCGGCGAGCCGCGCTGCCTCCTCTATTATGATGTGTCGCGCCGGATTTTTCTGACATCGATAGTTGATCATCCTCATCGCTAAATCCCCATTAGCTGTTCTTCGATTTGCCTTCTTGCTTGTGGATTTGCCCCCGACTACGTCGACGATGGTCTGTATCATTTGGTGTCCACGTTCGCGCACATCCAAAGGGTCTCCTTCGAAACGCTCGGATTGCTTCTGCAGGAACTGGACCCTGCTGCTTACCCCACTTATTGTGCCAACGACGATAGTGGCATGATTCATTAGCCAGCTTATGTACACCATGTAATCGCTCAAAATGAACTTTAATAGATTATACTTTCTTGAGCGGATAGGGAGAGAATCCCTATTAGCCTCGCAATAACGCAATATCTTCTTCGAGAGTGCGGAGAAGGCGCGACTTGGACGGGAGGAGATCTCATTCTGCATCTCGGCAAAGTCTATCTCCGTAACGCGCAACTCGGTGGCGACATTGACGAGGTACTGAAGTGGCATGAAGTTGCGCACAAATGGATCAGAAGACCGTTCTCCAATTCGTACAGTGAATGGGATGGTGTACGCGGCCCAATTGTCTGCCGTGAGGATATACTTTGCCAGCTGATCTGCTGCGTTGTTGCTATGTGCAACAAGGAAAAGCTGCATCCCAAGATGAATATCTGTGAGCATATCGAGGCAGCTAGCATATGTCCGAATCGAGCTTGCGTAGGCGGAACTGAAGGCTCTCCACTCGGCGTCCCCTGTTGCAATATCGAGGCTTGTCCTTATCCACTTGGAATCAGCGCCTTTCGTAAGCAGCAGGACCTTTGAAATGAGAGAAAGCGAGGTTGACTTCCCGCTTCCCGGACACCCAAGAATCAGTAGGAGGGGAGAAAGGACGGCATAAACGAGGGCCTTGAACTGCGACGGCCTCAGCGTCTTTTCTGTGAGGAGCTGCTTGCGGGGAACAAGCTGCGTGCCCACCTCCAAAGCTGGCTCTGTGAGCGTCACCCGGCAAGGCTCAACCTCTAGGTCAATCGAGCTGATATCGATCAGAATGCTTGTCCGAGGATCTGCAGAGCTGGCTGGAGAAAGCCTCAGGTGCACCGGGGTTCTGTGCATAGTGGTGAGCGCCTGATAGATGCTCCCCATTGCGCCTTCGATATAGGAAGGATCTCGATCAGAGACGGCAGCATATCCGTAGCATATGCAGGAGTTGCAAGGAAGCCTGAGCTTGTCATATCGGCCCAGAGCCAGTGCACTGAAGTTGGGGGACATGTCATCAAAGCGCCGATAGTAGAGGTCCAGCAGGTACTCTGCTATGCACTGGGCTGCGTCTAAGTGTAGGCTGACAGACGGGTGAGTCCACGAAATGTAGAATGCGAGGGAGCCGGGGCTTATCGCATATGCACCGTATGCCTCCCTGAGCATATACGTGTCGAACTCTGCCTCTGCTAGCTGGATGTTGAAGACACTCGTTGTCTTGTCGGTTGAGGTGCAGTCGTCCATGCCTTTGCGCAGCTGACTGCACAGCTGGCACGTCCTTGCCACGTAGATGGCCTGGATGGTCTTCTCCGGCAGCGCTACTTGATAGATGAAGGGGTACTGCTCCAGCCTCCCGTTGTCTCCGTACCTAATTCTGCCGCGAACCGCCTCCTCGTCGACATAGAGCGCCAGCCTCCCGGAGTCCTCGAACGTCAGCCCTCGGATGGTGTGCTTTGGGTTACAGAACGTGCTGCTGTCCGACAACAGCTTCACGGTTATCGCAGAGTATATCTCGGCCAGACTGTGGTACGACTTCACCCAGAGGTAGCCGAGGCTGCACGCCGGCGCGAGGAGGGTGCTACACAGGAAAAGCGTCCCGGTGTCGTATCTGTGCATGATGTTTCCAAGGACTACCCCGTGGAGCATCATGTTGATGCACTCGTTGAGCGTCTGGAAGGAGAGAGAGGAGTCCTTCTGGCTCTTGTTCGCCATGAGTTCTCTGAAGTACCGCATCTTCTTGTCCTTGGCAGTCCTGTCGACGTAGAAGGACGCCTGGATGCAGGGCAGGTGGTGGTAGTAGCTGCATGTCACGAGGGCGAAGATGAACTCGCAGAGAAACAGCCTTACCCCCACAGACATACGACCGGTATTTGTGATGGTCTTGAGAAGGTCAAACACAAGCGAGAGAAGCACCGTTCCGCGGTGTGGGCTGTTGTAGTCCTTCAGCAGGCGGAAGCTCAGGATGGACTCTATGTAGTCTATGCAGGACAGCTGTTGGTATCCTTCGAAGATGCACAGGGCGGAGAGGAGAAACAGGCAGGACACTAACAGCATTCGGACCCTAACGTTCTGGGACGGAGTTGTGCCCTCTGGTATAGACACGATAAGAGGGTCCCTGTGGGCATCGACAAGAATGTTGAGGCATAGATTTATCAGCTGGTTGGATCTAAACTGCTTGCGGGGGTCGACCAGCTCGTGGACTGTAAAGTAGACTCCAGAGATCGTCGGGTCTGCAGGCAAAAACGGCTGCCCTGAGCGAAGTCTTGGCCGCAATAGGTCCACCACCCGAGAGGGATACTCGGTGTCTATGCAGTATGGAATGTATGGTAGGAGACGGGTGAGCAGGGATAGGCATGGGTCCAGGACGTGCAGGTGCCCCCGGCACGCGGGCAGGCTAAGCTCCAGGGCATTGGCCAGCACCAGGAACGCCCGTCCGTCCGCACACTCATTTGCGATATAGTGCAGCCTCCCTAGGACGAGCCCCTCGTACAGGAGCACAGAGGCGCACACATAGGACGCGACGACCACGTGGCGGAGGGCTTGGTCCGAGGAGTCCCTCTGCCTGAGGACAGGGAGCAGGTGCTGCAGTAAGGCCTCTGACGCGCCGGCTGCCGACATCCCAGAGTGCAATTCTGTCCATAGGTAAGCGTCCGAGTGTGCTGCCCTTCCTCCTATCGGCCTTAGCTTCACTGCAACGGTCTCCACGTGGTCCTGGGAGGCATCGCAAGAGTGGAGAAGTGGCGGGAAGAAGTGGTCTCTTCCTAGGGTTGCAATGTCTGGGGCTGCGAAGTGGAGGAAGGCGGCATGGAGTGCCGCGGGGAAGGATGAATCGCGGTCGTTGATCACTCCGTCTACTGTCCACTTGTACCTCAGTAGCGTCTTTGTGTCCATAGAACCGTGCTGCCCGTCGAGCCAGGGAGAGATCCAAATGTGCTGGAATTTTGGTTTTGGGGCACCTCTGTCCACTGTCCTTACACCGAGTGATAGAGCCACTTCGTCAGTGGGTGCCATAGACCCCAGTTTGGTAGTGTTATGGGTCTCAGTGATGGCCCCACTTCTTCACGAGTGCCGTAGCCGGCATCTCCGTCACTGCGGTCATCGTCGGGGACCTCGTCAGCTTTCTCTGCCGGTGGTTCGTATGTAGACTTAAACGTATACTTAAGTAATAGACGTGTCATCAATAAGTCCCGACATTTGCCCTTTAACAGACAAAACATCTAACTTGTTTTTACCGAGACACGCACAGTACAAATACAGAGGTCTACCACATAGATTGGCTATCCCTTAAGCAGAGCTCACTGACTAATGCCAGTGCGCGTATGGATGTTATTACTTCTTGCTAAATAATCTAGAAGATAATGGAGGCGGTATTCTGCGTTAAGCAATCTGCTTGGCCGCAGCCAACGAGATTGCGACATCGAGACAGAGTAACTGAATTCTTGGGAAAAACATAACATGATATTCCCAGTTGTAGACACTTTCGGTAGAAAGACGCAGTGTGGATCTATGAGCGAATTCGAGAGCTAGCACAGCCCTTGGTTCAAAAATCTAATCCTTTAATTTGCTCATTGTTAAACAATGGGCTTAGAAGTATTTCTATCCCGTCGTCGCCTCAATTTGACGCGCTTATGCGAGGCTTTAACCCCCACTGTCCCACTCAAGCAAGGAGTGTCTGGAATCTATACCTTGTATTTCATGGATGTATGTGCTATGATCTCATCTCCTACCCCCCATCGCGTGCCTGTCGAGCTCCCCAATGGGACTGTGGAGTACATATTTCTTCAACCTTATCTCTCAGCCCTGTATATCCACTTCAAACGTGAAGTCAAGCACGAACCTATTTGGTTCTGTGAGGGGCTTCCATTTCACGAAAGACCATTCTTTGCCACTAAGATCAGAGAGTTGTGTGATTTATACCCTATACTCCTTGGAACAACATCTGCAGAGCTTGACACTCAAGCTAGTTTCATTTCTGTCCAGTGGCTTGTTGTTCGCTCCAGTATTAACACCCACATGCTAGATTTTATTCTTACATCCCAAGGTTCTTGCATGTGTGACTGTGGTGTAGATAACGTCTCTCACCCCGCTCCCACAGTCCGACCATCAGTTTGTAAAGATGCAGAAGTGATCACATATACTAGACAAGCTCTTTCTACAGAGCCTTCTGCTAGCATAGAAGCGGGATTCACGGTTGATCCGGGGACATCCATCACCGCACATGCCAGCCAACTGACGACCTATCAGAACTCCTTGGTTGAACTCCACGAAAGTGCTGCATCAGATTGTAATTACTCAACGCTTCAGCAAAATAAAAACTATCACGATCCCATAGATATCCTTGACGAAGCTATTACTCAAGGAAGGGAAATACGCTGCTGTCTTCACTGCGGTTTTCCCATTTTGCCAGGCTTTCTATCTAGTAGGCGGGGCATGACTTCGTTTCTTACTTCTTTCAATTTCAGGTATGCGCCCCCTGGAGCGAGTCTTTCGTCAGCTGGGACCATTGACGGCTTTCTTTTAAGCCGGCCCATCGACAGCCCAACAGCCTCTGCGAGGTCACCACCGAGAGGACTGACTTCATCTGTCCTTAAGATGGACGATTTCGATAGCATATTTGCAGGCAGTGTCTTTATCAATTCCTTACAAGCCATGCTTCCACCGCCCTTAACACTTCTGTTAGACACCAAGGCTGAGCTGGCAGAGTTTGATGCATCTGCCGTGGCCCTCGAGAATTCCACCGTGATTACCATCAATAAACTTCAGCAGAAGAGCTTCTTATCACGGCGGTCCCGCAACCTGGTGAACCATCGCAAGTCTAATTCTGGGATTTCAGTTTCTCATCATATAAGAAAGGCAAGTACCATGGTTTCTCTCAGCAATAACGTCAGTCTATGCGCTTACCAGGGAGTGGAATCCTTTACAAATGCAAGCATGGAGGAGGATCCGATTCAGTCTCCCTGCAACCTATCCTGTAGTGATACCTCTCCTATGAGAACTACGCTTGCAGATAGCAAAGCAGACCACGCCAGAGAGCTTAATGCAGATTTACACGGAGGGCAGAACCATGCAAGAAATGTTCTTAAGCAAGGACCTATTGGAAGACAGACCTTAGATATAACTATTACAGATAAGAAACCTGATAGTTGTTCAAAGTCTGCGAAAGTTGTTGGAGTTAATCCGTTCACACAGCAATGGCTAGAATCTGACCGAATTAGCCCAGTAGGCAAATCACAACAGCGTAAAACATCCTTAAAAATGCACTCGTATAACAACCAAACAGTCACGATAAGCTCATCCGATATCGCGAATAAGCCCCTCTCAATGCCTAGTGGTCCACTTACAAGCTCTAAAAAGAACGTCCCACGAAGTACCAGTGTGGAAAGTAAGGGAAGCCTACTCAGCGGAGTGAGCTCGGGTATACGCATAGCCACCAAACTTAGCACGGATTCCAAGCTGAGCCAAAAGAAAATAGTTAACCTTGTTATCAAGGATGTCACAAATAATAGTTCATTAATGCAAGATAGTCAAGCAGACTCCATAATTCATAATGAGCAAAATGATTCTTTTCTAACTTTTACGAATGACAGGGCCCAGAATGCCTCAACTTCGGCTTCTTCTTCAATCAAAAAGGCATCTGGAGCCCGGAAAAAAGTAGATATAAACGGTTATGTGCCAATTACTACGAAAGGAAAAGTCGAGACTGTTACAATCAATCTACATCGAATGGATACGTCCCCTATTCGCCCCCGTTCCCCAGTACACTCATCGTTTAACGAGGAGCCATCCCAAGACTCTATTATTCATGGTGCCCACTCTCTAGAGCCAATTGGAGGGGATTCGTGTTCCATGTCTGGATTGGAAGACTCCGACGAGGCAGTATCCCCTTCAAATTTAAATTCGACCAACAGCAAGCAACCTAAGAGTCAGACAAATGGACGAGACTATCGAGAGTTCACTAAGACTCCGTCGATCAATACAATTGTCCCTCTTGGCACAGCAGCGGGTACATCTGCGGAGCCACGTAGCGTCGCTACTGCGTCATTAAGCATACTGACTGCTCTAAGGGCATATCACATTGTTACTACCAGGAAACGGATGATTAAATCTAAATTGCGGAACATTGGTCCCAGTATTTTGGAGCCTGCGCTTGCTTCACAGTTATATAGATCATCCCACTACACACATCTGGTCTTCCGTTGGTGCCTCATTAATGAAGATTTTGCCCACTATGTTGGATCTATTCGACGACAGAGACGGGTCACAACGCTCAACCCCATGTGTGAGAACTACAAGTGGATTAAGGACTCGTTAGGGTTTCATAATATAACCATGTACCTGACATCCATGCTGATACGCGATATCTTAGATTGCATTCCCTTGCCAGATAAATCTAATAAGGGCAAACTGGTTCTTCATAGGTCAAAGGGTGGTGCCATTAAGGATGTAGAAGTGGATCAAGAAGCAAGCACAGAGGACCTGGTAGCGCCGGACGGGCCTTCGTTACTCAACTCCACTGATATAAGCCTGACAGCGTTTGTTATTACCGGATTTAAAAAGTTACTGACATCAATTGCAAAGCTATCAGATATCTTCAAGTATCGCTCCCCCGATGACAATATGAATGAGCCTCTTGATACTGAAACAGCTCTGGGTACGGTGGACAAGCATGTCACTTTATCACTGACACGGAAACAGTCCCAGAAATGCAAGAAGAAGTCGTCTATCCAAGTGTCTCCGAAGCCAGTTGCGTCCCCATCATACTACAATCTTTACAATCTGCGGCGGATTGTCTCTCAAATGTATAGATACCTGTATAGGTACGCGGATGCGGATGGCTCTGACCCTTACACGATCTTGAACAAGCTAGATCCTCTGGTATTTAAGTCTTTATCTACTAGGCAGCAAAGCTACTTGTCACACAACCTTCAGCGAAGTAGCGCCGTCTCTCTTCAGCACACCCATATCTCTGTTTTTACCGACTCAGAGCTAGATGCACAACAAGACATTGATGCGTGCATAGATAATTGGCTGAGCCCCGGTCAGTCACAGACACCTGAAAGTCCTAACTTTGAACCACTTGTTTGTGACAACAACTACGATATCAATACCAACATCCCGGCTCTGGCCGTTTATCATTCATTCAATAGTGTGTTTTGGAGCAGTACTATCAGATCAGAGCATTTAAAAGACTACCTTTTACCCCATGACCAGCTCTTTCAAACAATCGTCACCAAGGATATATTGCACAACCATTTTGAGCCCATTCGAACTAATTCCCTAGGGACAGCAACTGCTAGTTCAACACAGGATCTAGAAGGCGTCAACGATAGTAGCGCAATGGGGAGTCACTCTTTTAATGTACCGCTTGATATTTGGAAAGATAGCCAGATCTCAGATAAAGCCTTTCACGATTTGTCCGATGGGCATCTCACCAATATCATACCTGGGAGATCTGCCGTATACCGCTCTCAGGCGCTCAAAGTAACAGATGATGGCAACCTTGCTATTCGGCAGCAATCGCATCACGAGCTGGGGGATTTGCTGGCAAAGATGTCTGTTCACATGGATCAGGGTACTCTTGTTGTAGGCTCTACTGACTCGGGCGCATACACCACGGGGTCTCCTGTCTCTAAGCCCCTCTTTCTATCTTCTCCCAGCCTTATAGATCTTCCCTTATATAAGTTTCTTGTACCGGATGAGGCCGCTGGCTTGGACCTATCTTATAAAACATTTGGTGCAGGCTTGAGCAACGAACGTCTAATATTGAATACCTACTTTTATACCAATAGGTTTTTCATCCCACAACCAAATAGATTGGCTATGTTTAATATCTTGGCAATATCTGGCGGGCTGTTCATGAGCCGAGACGAGCGTCTATCGATGGAAACAATCATGCGTGAAACACTTGCATGTCTACATTTAACCTATTACGATCTAGATTACTACTATTATACTTAGTCACTTGTAAACAGATTACGAATAAATTTTAGTTCCAGGATGTTTAATGAAATTCTCACCAGAATACTGACCAAGTATATAAACAAGTATGTGTACGAGCTGAACTCCGCCAGCATGCGCAGCAGCCTTCTTCGCGGGATTGTTGAGCTGAGCAATCTCTTCATCAGACCAGAGGCACTGGATATGCTTCAAGGAGTTCGATTGGCGTTCGGATACGTTGAACATATGTCCTTGCGGATCCCGTGGCAAAGCTTCTGGAAGGAGAATATTTCCATAAAGGTATCAACAGTTTATGTGGTGGTTTACGGCTGCAGCCCTGACCTGACAGAGGATGCTATCAGGCAACAAGTACTCAGCAACTTCAAGAACAAGTTGAAATCGTTGATTCGAATGGAACAGCGTATTCTAGAACAGAACAAAGAGCAAATCATGCTGGAGGTAGGTACTACGGCTAAGACAGGGTCGCAGAAAACAGGAAAAATGAAACGGTGGATACTGTGGCTGCAAAACCTTGCCATAAACAACATCTCTCTAGCTATTAACAATGTAGCCATCTTGTGGTCGGCCCCTGAGTTAGGGGGAGTGTCTGGAGCGCTGTGTCTTCAGAGTATGCTCATAGCCACTGCAGATAATTCTGTTATAGACAAGTCAGGGTTGAAAGAAAAGGATTGTATTCTTAAAGATCTGGCTTTTCGCTATTATCTCGTCAGTGCGGATGAGCACCCTGATCACAACTATAACAGTCTCGCTGAATGTGAAAGGGGGCTCTCATTTTGGCGTCCTCTATTCGAAGGCCCAGCCTATATAACAGTGGTTGATCCTCTTCAGGTTACCACTAGAATACAGCTGTGCCGTAACTTTGCTCATGAAAACAAACCATTTGTCACCATCCAGTTGCAGATTCCTAACCTCTGCGGCTGCACAGATCTACAGACCATATTATCACTTATAGAATCTTTGAACAAGAGCATGGCCGCTGGCGAGTTTGCGTTTGCGCTAACAAGTAATGAGATAACGCATCTAGGTAAGAATAGTTCGCCAGATGATGCAATAAGATGCCTGGGAAAAGTGTTAATTCGTAGCCAAGCCATAAGCAAGATAGAGGCATTGGTGTCAACTGAAAGTGGGGGACGATTGTCCTCATTGAAAGACCAACTGCATAGAACCTTTAAAAAGCACTATCTTTCGCATCTACGATGCAAGTACATCATGCCGCTATTGCCCAAGTATGGTGATGCACCTGCCGTAAGTACATTCAATGACGAGTATCTAAACGCAGTGCAGGACGTTATCGGTTATGCAGGTCACTCCGCTCAAACGCTTGCCGAGCTCACGGCATCTATCCCTACGCCTGTCATAGCTAAACTGCAACAAGAGTGTTTCTCAGCATTTCTTCACAATTTGCCAGAGAACATAGAGCAGTCGAAACGTGAAGCTTTGACAAAGGAATCGGAAACCAATGAAGACAGTACACCAACAAGGCTGAGCAAGAAAGATTTAGCTGAACTTCAGAAATTGGCAGGTGTGCCATCTAAATTAGACATTAGTGACATGGGGAACAGCTCAGATTCCGGAGAAGAAAGATTGGAACTCGTTAAAATTGTTGCATACCTAAAGGGAGTAGACATCAGTGTTTGCGAAAAGATTGCTGACTGCTCCATTGGTTCCACATCTGCCAAACTATTAAGGTTATCTCTACAGACAATCAGTTGTGCGTTTAGTCTTTTTAAGTCGACAGACTTTACATTCTTATGCGAGCTGAGCCGCATTCGAGGAGAATGCGCAGCAGTAAAAGAACCGGTGTTAACTACACTCAGCGAGTCTTCTGCCTTTTCTATAGAAATCTGCAGCCCTGGTCGCTTAGGAGGATCCATGTGCATTAAGAGTCTACTTGTGCCTATTCAGGTGATGTGCGTTCCCAGCCTGCTACCATTTGTAGTCAACTTGATGACCGTGTTACAAAACACGTTCTCTAATAATGTCAAAGTGCCTATACAAAAGGCTTCGTCACTGGATCTAGTTACGCTTTATAATGAGATTGACAAGGGCATCACCACTTTTCTTCAAGAACGTGCCGCTACCCTTGAGCTAGACCTTGAGCTGGGCGCCCCAGTGGTCACAATCTCCGCTCCAACAATAACTTCGCTTAGCTGCTCACTCGGTCAAGTGTCCATTAAATCCTTGCATTTTCTGTCAGAGATAGACCATCCCAAACTGACACCCAAACCCCAAACACTGGTACTATTTGTGAAGCTAAGTGATACAGCCATCAGCATGAAGAGTAATACCAAAGATGGCTCAATTGATGGGGGGACTATAGAGACACATGTGGAGGAAGAGACTATTGTAAGGCCGTGCTCAGTAAGCATCTACTTACAGATTCCCTTGGTAACTGGTCCAATGATCGCTGATGTATCTCAAAGTCTATTCGATATTGTGCTCACAACAGCCAGTATCCAATCGCTGATGCTCTTATGCAGTAGATATGCTTATGAGTTGCTTCACATACCGATCCACAGACAAAACGCAATGAACGCAGTAGCGCCGTCATTGCACCAAGATCACCAAGGTACCTCAGTACAACAAAAACCTGATACGGAAGATAGACTAGAGCAAACGATGCTGCTACTGCGAAAGAACACAGCCACAGTTATTATTACTGTAACTTTAGAAGGGGCAAAGCTGGCCATAGGAGACGCAAAAGAAGTTGAGGCTTATGTCGGACAAGGATATCTTGAAGTGTATGTTATGACAGCGCAGAATAAAACCAGTTATGCCAAGTTCAAAATGAGCATGCTCGACTTCTTTGTTTGCGGTACTCCGGTAGCCTATCTAACAAGCGAAACAGAGGACTACGAGGACGACAAAATAGCCTCGGGATCATGGTCAATAGATAAAGGAATCACCCTAAAGCTCGCGATTGGCATGTTGCACATTATTGCAGATGTAATACTCTTCATCAGACTAACTTCTGTGTTAGAGAAACTCTTGCAGTCTTACACTGATGCAGGACTAGCCTTGCTATGGAGCCAGATATCTCATAAGTTTTCTTCTTCGCAAGCCCCATCTCGGCCGTCACTGCAAGAGCGCAACGAAAGTACCATCGCTCTACTTGTAGATTTTGCTGGATTGGAGATTCATCTACTGAGCACTCCCTATCTACTCCCAATTTCATCTGACTTAGAACTGGCCTTAGATTTAAACATGGACACTGCTCTTATCTGTACTGCTAGACTGAAGTCTGTATACTTTAACATAGTACTTGATTCCACCGATGTATTCATTAACTGGTCTTTCCATGAGTGCGTCATTGAAGGCTCGGAATCAGAGCCAGCTAGAGTCACCATGCTGCAGTTCATAACACCGGTTACATCAGAGGTCTGCGCAATAGGATGCGTTCACCTTTATAGCTGTGTATCCTACGATCCAAATCTGCTTCTCCACGCCCAGATAACTAGTGATATTTTAATTACTATCAATGGGCGCTTGGTGCAATATCTGTTGCATAGTGGAGGTCTTCTAGTAGATTGCCTACTCCGGATTAAGGAGTTACTGGGGGGTGATCTCAAGGTTCAGTCAGCGGGGAATACCACAGCCAAGAGTCCATCCCGCATTTCCTGTAACATCTTCTCTCCCTCATTCGAGATAAGTATCCCGGTTCAGGCTGACTATCCCAGCCCGCAATTCTCTTTACATCTAATCAACTTTGAAATGTCCACAGACCAAGCACCAGGATCCCCTACCATTAGCCTATATGGATGCCTTGAACAACTGCTCTTTGAGTTTGTGGACACAATAGAGGGACATGGATGCGCTCACCGTACAATTTGCGCATACGACAGGTTAGAAATTTTGATCGAAAGAACGCATAGAGTGTACCGTCAAGAAAGACGTGATATCTCTGACAGTCCGCAAGAGTGTATCCTTTTAGCGCACCAGCTCATTGCCATTGGCCTACCAGAGGTCATCTGCGTATGTCTTACTCCACAAATGCTTCACGCAGCAATGGAGTTGATTGGTGCAGATAGAAATCTAGGGTTTAGCATTGTGGACGATGCCGACGAATCAAAGTTGCGAAGCATCAAGCAGACTATAGACGCCCGCGTAGAAGATGGTCAAGCGCAAGATGGTATTAGTGGTTCAGTAGACACAATAAGGAGCATAAATAGATTGCTAGCACACGACTTCAAAGGGTTTTTAGGACAAGATATAATGTCTACCCGTGCACAATTAAAGCTTGATGATTCCTTTATAGATATGATTGAACAGGAATATATTAATGCTTCTAGTACAGTAGACGAGGAACATGCACAGTTGGATCACTTGAACCAATTCTGTCCACCAGTAGTCAATACCTTTAAAATGTCATTGTGCACCTTGCATGTGAAGTTATTGGACAGGACAGGGACCTTGATTGATTGTAAGCTAAACAAAAGCAATATAACACTGGAGCGGACAGCCGATCTACAGGCGAGTGGATTTATAGAATCGCTAACCCTGAAGGCCACAGAATCTTTATTTCCTCTCTTCAGCATTACTCAAGTGACGTTCCAATATAAGCACGACTCCATTCATAGGCAAGCGACATTGCTGCTAGCACAGAAAGCAAACCTCACGGTAGTTGTGGATCACATAGCTATTAGCATGGTCTTCTCTCTATTGGAGTTGGTGCATACGCCATCAGCAGCATACATCTTGGCCCGTCAGGCAAAGCAAGAACTGGTTAGCTCCATCAATGAAAAGGTTTCCGTTCTTCAAGAAAGAACTACGTCACAGATGAACAAAAGAAATGTCTCTCACGCTCTACTCTCTGCTCTCCACGTCTCTCAAACGAAGAAAACCGTAACAACAGATAAGCCTACAATGGAGATAAGACTTTCTCTGCTCACAGTCAAATTTGTAATTATTGTGTCCGTAAACGGGCCAAAAGAAGGAAGCAAACTAGAATCTCTTGAACATGTAGCGCTTCATGCAGATATAAGTATTGTCACAAGCACATCTTTCAGACAAAAGTACATTATCAGTGAAGCCGAGTGTCGAGTGCAGGATTTCTTTAAGCACACCGAACTATGTGTTGCCCTAAACTTAGATAAGTGCAGAATAACTTCATGTCTGGCTGGGTGGGAGACCGGAGCTGAGAGCATGCAGTTAAATAACATTATATTAGTGCCAAAACTGTCGTGCACCTTTACCGCAGTTTCTACAGATATGCAGGGGAGTTATACGGAGGATAACAGACAAAAGGATATTGTTTTGAACAAGCAGTCTTCCTCAATGGATGTGACAATCGAAAAACAAGCCGAAATAACTATCTCATCCAGGCTCCTCTGTGTGTATCTCCTTGCCAAAGAACGACTTCTCGGGGCTATTCCAAACAAAATAATTAAAGAAACCAAGCAGATTGCAAAAGAAAAGTTAGAAAAAATAAAATCCAAATCGATTGAATTTTTGAAAGGAGCCTCCGATTTCCAGGCAGAAAAAGTGGGTAATGCCTTGGTAGATGCCTTTCCTACTGCCGTGCTCAATGCTACTCCTATTATGGTCAGCGGTTTTCATTTTCCTGTCTACACCATATCAAGCAAGACAAAGGTTGAACTATCTTTCAAAAACCATCCGTTGTTAGTATCACTTACCTCTTCACAAAACATGTGGCCTCTTTTTATTGTTGGATGCAATGACATTCGATGCATATATGAAAACGTGCCGGAAGCAGACCCCAATGTGCCTCATCAAACGCTAGCTCTGACAGCATTGTTGTATGCAAAGTCTTACAACGAAGCACTGAAGTCGTATGACGCCCTGCTATGCTCGACTCCGATAGCGCTCAGCTATAAACTGCAATCAAGATCACTTGCCTCAACTGTTGCTGCTAACGAAGCACCAGTGGACACGCTGTCTATGCACAGCACATACAAAACCATATCTGCAGAAATCTCTATCTCTTTTAGTGTCCAATCCGAACTCCTTGTACTTCTCACCCCAACGGCACTGCTTGCTATGATGCATTTCATTGGCACTTTTTCTATGCCAGCTTCTAAATCACTGAAAGCGAATAATGCACAGAAAAATACAAACCTAATATTAGAGCGTCAATTTGGCGAAGATGAAACAACAGACCAGTCTCTTATCTCATCTATCTCTGCCGCCTCTCCTCAGTCAGCAGAGTCTGAAGGACAGCAAGTAATAGAATTCTATCCTAGCGGTATTGTCCAAGTGGTTAAAGTATATAGTGGCTCGTCAGAATGCAGCGCCCACTCAGCGCTGGGAGGAGCCCTTGTTTTTTACGTATCCTTAAGCAAAGTAGAAGACGCAAGCATGTGGGTTGAATTGCTAAGTGAAGGCGTAATAAAAACAATTCAGCTTCCTCTGTGCATTCTTCTATTTCACGAACAGTATAATATTGACGAAAGTTGGGGATTTGTGTTTATCAACCAGAGCTCCAGGGTTGAGGTGCACTGTCTCTCCACCTGTATTCTATTGAATTACACTACACGCGATTATTCTTTTATAGCGGAAGCTCCCATGAGTAGCTCAATCAGATCAACCGATCAGCTGAACAGCTCCACGGAAACCATGAGCACTATGCTGTCGAGTATGCCAAGTACTCACTCGACAACCGTGTGTACTAGCGTAGAGTGTAACGGCCATGATAGACCTCAGCTGTCAGGGACCCTGGGCAAGAGTTCATACGTTTCTGTCCCCACAACAGTAGTATCTCTTCAGATTTCCTACAAGAACAACAGTCCCTTGGAACTGCTCTACTATTTGCATCACCCAGCAACAAATCCACTGGAAACATTCATAACAGAGAAGGGATATGAATACCTGAAGTTTGTGGTTTTCACAGTACATCTATTCGGCCGTCCTACGCAAGTTATTCAATTAGTTCCAACGCACTTCATCACAAATGGAATGCCATGTATAGCAAACTTGAAGTTAAGCTATATGCGGGCAAGAGATAGTAACTCCGAGCCGGAGACAGGAGAACAGACGGCTGCTCTTGCTCCAGTAGAAATCTTTACGCTGAATACATCGCTTAAAGATAAGATTCAGTTAGCATCACTTTCAGTTGAGTTGCAGTATGGCGTTGAATCTTATAAGTATATCCTCAAATCCACATATAGCCTAACCTACAATGAAGACTCTATGCCAGCACAACCCGTAGCTTTGGACCTAGTGCCGGCGCGTCAAGACAGCACAGAAGTGTACCACTGCAATGTTAGCATAAAGAAACAGACCATGAAGAAGACCACCAGAGTAGACATATCGCTGCTCAAGGGGCTATATGCTCCCTCAGCTGTCGAAATAAATATCTATGCGACTGCCCTGTTACAAAACAATACCGCACCGGAGCTTTCGTTTTGCATTTTCCGCCTGGATAGCAAGTACGATAAAAGGACTCAGATTACTAGCTTAGTGAAGTATGAGGAGGCATCTATCATATGGGGCAAGTATTCTGATTCAATAAAGCTGAGTGTATCTGTGTTGCCAATCATGCAGAGCGGCAGTCCCATTCAATATCACAAGTCAGACAGCTTTCGGCTGTCAACAGTTGCAGGATATCGCTTGCATCGCATGCACACTAAGACAGAAAGGAAGAAAGTGACACTATTTGTATGTTCGATAAGCAAGCAGCTAAAGGGCTCACCATCAATGATATATACATTGCAGGCAGCAATGAAGGTGAACAATTGGATGCCGAGGCCGATCAATGTGCTTATAACTCCCTGGGATCATAAAGATAAGACTGCACAAAAGGTAGTATGTGCCAATTCAAATGCTAGTGTTTCAGTATTTGAGTTGCCTGGCATCAAAGAAAGATTGGTAGACTATGCTATCAGGTTTCCAGAGGACCAAAAGGACCTTCTTAAACGGCTTAAAATAGGATACTCCAAGGAGCTACTTCATATAGATTCTTCCTTGGCAGTTGTGGAGGTCCATTGCACAGAATACAAACTTGATATTACAGTTCGGCCCCCCACAACAATTGACGATGTTCAGCTAAAAGTATATAACTCCTTAAATCTAGACTTATATTGCTCTTACAAGCATAGCTCACAGCGCACGAAGTATACCGTTGCATCTAAGAGCACAGCGACACTCTACTTCCTACTTTCTGACTTAGACTTCTATCATCAAAAGTCAAACGGAGTCTTTTCTCAAATATTCTGCATTAAGATGGCACCACTTAGCACAGATGTGGAGTTTTACGACCCACGGTCAAAGAAAAAATGCCACGCAAAGCTGCTCATTGGAGAGGGTGCTATCCACTGTAAAATCTTTTCAGATAATGAGACCTTACCAGAGCCAGCTATAGGCCATTATGATGTTAACCAGAGAGTGCTTATTAATGCAAATCTAGAAACGAAAAAGATAAGGGTTCTTTTGGTGGGGCCAGATGATAGTGATTTTTCCCGCAGAAGAGAATATGTCTCTCTCAGTACAGCATTTGTAGATATTGTTTGTTTGGTGAGCGCACAATACTACTTAGTAAGTGCGCAGGTGGGGCAAGTGTCCCTTGAAAATATCTTAGGGTTGACCAATCAGCCGAGAATATTGCACCTAAAGCCTGTTAAGCCCACTAAAGGACCATATCAAAAGAGGTCTGCGCAAAAGTTATCGTTAATAAAAAACCCGGAGACACCTGCTATCATGGCTATGGCCTCTTTATCTACGAACCTTTCTATTTTAGACGTAGATCGCTTCAAAATCAAGATGGGTAAGCTGAACATCCACATTGATCAATCGACCATAGATGTCATCCTCCGGTTTCTTCGGATAAATGCGCTGCTTTCAATATCCTTTCAGATTGAGTCTACGGAGTGCCAGTCACTACAAGCTGAAATACATTATCTTCTATCCCACATGAGCAGAGAGGACAGCAGATACTATGCACTATTGCGCAAGTTATGCAATTCTGTATTTAATGCTACAACCCAAGCAGAAGCATGCGAAAATAGCAAAACGGCTTCACGAGTGGTTTGTATAAGGGAGTTAGAAATAGCGGCAGTAAGAATCAGCGCGACAATATCCATTACTAATTTTCCACTCCAGCTCAGTCCTGTAATATCCATTCTCAACCAAGTCGGAATAATATCGTTCAGCATAGAAGATGCGCGAATACGCATGGGCGCATTCAGACTGAAAAATCGTCTATTAACATTCCAAGAGCTGACGCGACATCTTTGTAGAAGCTACATTAAGGCCATTAGCATGAACGCAGGAAATCTTCTTGTCGCGACTCCAATACTGGGGAACTTAAGCTCCCTTGCAACTCATTTCACTGAAAGCTTTGGCGCCCCTAAGAACGAGGGAGTCACTCGTATTGAAAACTTTGTTAGTCACAACACGGCAGGCGTAATGAGTGTGGCCCGTGCTCTCCTTGAAAGCACGGGAAAGCTGCTCGATGCAGCGAGCATGGATGGCAAGTACTCTGCTCAACGGGCCATCGTATTATATGAATCCCAAAAGAGTCTCAAAACGGCCTGGAAGAATGCAGGAAATGAGTTCTGGCGAGAATTAAAGAGTGCCCTTGCTGGACTGATCTCCAAACCACGCAAGGGTCTTGCTGCCAAGGGTGTAAAGGGCTTTTTCCGCGGTCTGGGTCAAGGGCTCGTTGGATCCATCACCAAATCTCTTGGAAGCATCAATGATGCTATTCTGCATGTTATTGTAGGGATAAATGGCAGCGCCTTACGCATCTGTAGGCCCGTGATGGATCAGGGTCGCTCTCGCACATTTATTGGTCCACTAGTAGAGCAGGAGATTAGAAATCAGAAGATGTCGGAGGAATCGGCAGTTTCCAGAGAATCTACAGAGTCCGATTCTGGCGACCAAGAGCCTATAAATACATACACAGAGTAGTTTGAGTTACAGTCTTTATAAAAAATGGTTGAAGGTTATCCTGTGTTCCTAACCGATACCTGTACAGGGTGCAACATGTGCGTAGAGGTGTGCCCGACAGCAGTTCTGAAGGTGGACCCCGAGACAAAGGTAGTGGCGTACGCAAATCGCGATAATTGCATTTTTTGCGGGCATTGCGGGGCCATATGCCCAACCGAATCGATAAGCATGTTTGGTATCACCCCAGAGAGCGAGGAGAATGCAATAAAGACAGATCCACCGGCAGTTCGTGCCGTCAAGATGGCTCGCACGTGTCGTAAGTACCACCCGGAACCTTTACCGAAGGAGGATCTGATGCAAGCGCTTTCCATAGCAAAATACTCGGCCTCTTCATCAAACATTCGTCCTTTGCACTTCACGGTCCTGAGCAGAAGCCTAATGGACACCCTTAGCCTTTCGATAGCGAAGGAGGTTTCAAAGAATCCTAGATATTCCAAGGTTGCCGCATTGGTGGAAAAGGGTATTGATGTGGTTTTTCGTGGTGCCCCACATATGATACTGATGTCTGCACCTGCTGACAAGGCCGCAGTCGCAATGGCAGATGCGTCCATCGCTGGACGGGACATTCAGCTTAACGCAGAATCTATGGGCCTGGGGATGTTTTGGTGTGGCTTCCTCTTAGCTGCTGTGGCTTCTTCTCAGGAACTGCATGACATTTGTGGTGTTCCAGAAGGCCACAAAATCCTTATGGCGATGGGGATTGGCCGCCCTAAGGTTAAGTTTGCCCGGCCAGCTCTTCGTCGAAACCTTGAGGAGGGTGTCGACATTACATTTAAGTAATTGGTGTTAATTGGTCAGGTACACAGGCAGAGTAAACAAAGAAAAGCTAAAAATGCTTGCATTCAACGAAGTCAGTTATCTGGAAAAGACGGAGGATATACGCGCTAACTCGTTTAGCTATCATAACAGGATGTCCAGGCACTCTAGAGATTCGGAGAGCCCCCTACCAATTATCCAGGAGCCTCCGCTCCCCAAGTGCTCGACGTCTGTTCTTCGCCGGATCACGCCTCCTATTACAGGAAACAGCTCGGGCTATGGATATCAAGCTGAAGATCAACACGGCGTTAGCTTTCTTTCGGTAGGGAGTAGAAACTTTTTAACAGAAGGCAAGCTACCACAGGACATTACAGATCTGTACAACTGCTATCGCCCCATTATCATGCACACGTACATGACTGGAAGAGCATACGTCCCCTGTGAGCGTGTGCACAGCCCTTTAGTATCCTTACAAGACAGAGCAGGAGCACAGATGTTTCCGGAGAGGCACTTTTCAGGAACAGGAAATGCAGCAACACATTGGTATTCAAAGGAATGCGCAAAAACGGCAAAGCACGTATTGCGGCTTATGAACTTCGCACGAATAGAAGAGCCTGAAAATTTGATCTGCCCTCAAAAATTAGGTGGGCTACAGTGTGCACTAAAGGCAGACAAAAGTAAGTTGGAGCATAGGCATAAATATGTACGTCCCCGCACCAGTGCGAAAACGCCAGCTGACTAGGCTAGAGGCGTGTATCGCTAAGCATACCCTCGCAGACGCCGATCTAACTCATCAGCATATGCAGATCCGCTGTATACCAATAGACGTCAAGGACCACGAATCTCTTAACAGGAAGCTGTATGATGAGTTGCGATTCCTTTTCACGGGGACCGCATGCCCAGAAATTCGTGAGATCTACACACGGTACTTCACCAGAAATGACATTAGCATTGAAAACCGCCGAGAGCGTGCTTGGAAGCACTTTCTAGCGTCTAGACGGGCTCACAACCTGCCTCAGATTGCATTAGAGGTCAATGGCGCATTTTATATTTTAGAGGACGACCCACGGGGAAGGATTGCCCGTCTCCCTGCGTCCCTGCAGGGAAAGGCGCAAGGATTGTTAAATAAAAATAGATCACACCCAGAATCTAGTCTCAAGTCTGCCAAGTATAAGAAGTACATGGTAGGACTTGATGAGCCTAAATATCAGATACGCAGCCTATCTGAGTCAGCTGCCCGGAGGTTCGGAGCGTCAGCTGCCACCTCATCTATCGTCCTTCCTGTTGCAGAGTGGCGCAAGCTCACAGAGGAGAGAATTGAAACACACCACGATCATTGTGCAGCTACTTCCTCTATCTTCGCAGATTCTGACCTTCCGTACGATTGTGCTTCCAGCTTAGGGCCAACTTTCAACGTTTTGGAACGCTATCGGTCAATAGATAACTTTGATCGAGATCTCGCCAAAGAGACTCAGAGAGACGAGAAAACCAAGGAGCCAACTGAGTGGTACGAGATCTATAAGAGTGATATTCTCACTGTTATAAAGAATATCTATCGCAAAAACATGTAGCTTTCAAAAAATGACGCTATCGGCCTGGATTATACTAGTGACTCTTGCCATGGCATCTGTCCTAACGCCAGAGGACAATGTCCGTCTGCGCCGACTTACTGCGTATGTAGCGAACGCAGACGCCTCCATAGTCCTTTTAACCTATACAGAGTACGAGGAAGGCACAAACCACGGAAATAGTATGCTCTGGAGAATCAATGACCCGCTTGAGGCTGAATACCCATTTGACCCGGATGACATATCCCTTTTGAATGCAGAGAGGGTATGTCCCGAGCTTGTAGGAGTTGGGGATCTTCAGTACTCAACGCATAACCAGGCTTTTTACTTTACAGCCCAGGGGCCAGATGGCACGAGCCAAGTTTACTCGTATAACCACAAGCTGGAGACGTGCACGCAGATATCTTTCCTGCCTATTAGCGTTTCCAACTTGAAGGTCTCACCCAAAGGCAATTCCGTCTTGTTTTCCGCAGAGATATTTGTTTATCCCAATAACCACGCTTCTGTAGATGATCCCTTAAATTTTGCACACGACGAATTTGCACGTATTCAGGCCAGACCCTACAAAGCATTTGCTTACGAGCAATTGTACACACGCCACTGGGATGAGGACATCCTTCCATCGCAGTACCGCCACCTTTTTGCAGCACGGTTAGAGCGGTCATCTGAGTATGACGACGACTATGTGCGTATCACCGTGGACAACTCAATCGATTTGATGCCTAGATTTGATGGAGATTGTCCCATGAGGCCGTTTGCAGACGCTTCTTCATACACCTTTGATTCTCATGGCCGGTATGTTGCGTTTGTGACACAAGTGGGGTCAACAGCTGCCTTTTACACCAATGATTCGATTTGGATCACCGACCTTCAGCAGTTTCTGGACGCTAAGAAACCAGTTCGTGACGTTGTATTGCCTCTTAGATGTGCTACCTGCTGGAATAAAGCACGAGACCAGCGACCGGCTTTCAGCTATGACGGTATTTTCCTCTACTATGCGTCCATGGACGAAGAGCAAAGTGAGTCTGATCTCTTACGTCTTCGGAAGCAGAATGTCTCTGATCTCTTTGAGTACGACTGCGATTCACTGTTTTGTGGTCCGGTGACTGGAGAAGGCGTTTTTAATCTGACTGCCGGCGTTTTTGATAGGTCCATTGGCCAGTTTATTATCCCTACAGACTCCACTGAAGACTCTATCTATATCCTTGCGGAGGATCACGCACGTACCAATCTGTTTCGATACAACGAAGAATCCTCGACCGTGACTCGTCTGACATACAATGGGACACTCGGGTCTCTGTTATATTTACGGCACAACAAGATTTTCCTTGCTACAATGTCTTCGTACACACGCCCAACAGATCTAGTAATGCTGGATCTTACAGTCGCCACTGAATTTACTGCCACGCGGGATCCATCGGATACTATGAAGGATGATCTGATTAAGATTAGCTATCTGACTGACTTGAATAGGCAGCGTTTGAGGCACATAGATGAATTACAAGAGCCAGAGGAATTCTATCTCCCCAGCAAGAGCTTTCCTGACCAGTACGTTCATTCGTGGTACTTTGCTCCAGCGAACCTGAGAGACAGTCACGAGTATCCTCTTATCCTCTATGTGCATGGTGGGCCAGAATCCCCGTGGGCCAACTCTTGGTCGTACAGGTGGAATCCGCAGCTAATTGCAGCGAGAGGATATGGTGTACTAGCAACAAACTTCCACGGATCCAGTAGCTTTGGCGAGGTGTTTCAAAAGTCTGTCCGTGGGAATTGGTACAGCTACCCACTGGAGGACATAATGGACGCTTGGTCTAACATTTATACGCATGCGGATAAGGCATATCTTAGTAGAGAGAAGGTCTGTGCCATGGGTGCAAGTTTTGGAGCCACGTTCATGAACTACATGAATTCGCACGTCAACAATGTCACTTGTTATGTAACTCACGATGGAGTCTTCGACACCATGTGCAATGCGTTGGAGACAGATGAGCTCTTCTTCCCAGTCAGAGAGTTGGGCGGATTTCTCTTGGATGAGCAGGTGGACAATCAGCAACTCTATGAGAAATGGAATCCAGCGCGATTTGTCGAAAACATGTCCGCGCCAATGCTTGTGATCCATGGGCAAAAGGATTATAGAATTCAGGTTTATCACGGGATATCCCTTTTCCAGGCTCTTCGACTCCGAGGAATAAAGACAAAGCTTGTTTACTTTCCCACGCAATCCCACTGGGTATGGCAGCCACAAGAGAGCCTTTTCTGGCATACGCAGGTGTTTGACTGGCTAGATACTTACCTTTAGTCTCTTCTCATAAGTAAATGATCGCTTACTCGTATAAGTGCACAGCGTGGACATTGGTGATAAATTCCTCCAAGTGCCTTCCTGTCTGCATCACAGTTTCAAGAGAAACGTCAGATGTGTTAATTGAAGGTGCCACTGTTTCTTTTGCAAGAGAAGATACCTTTAATGTCAATCTGGCGCGATATCCGTCGAATAGTGGAGAGCCATCGGCACACTTCAGCAGCGTACACCAAGCCTGGAGCTGATGAAAGACAGGCAGATACAGATGATGGCAAGGATGTATCCGTTTAAGATCAAGAGCATTGAGGGAATGGACGTATTCATAGAAATGTGCAAGAGTGTCAGCCCACTGTGAAGAATGCTGTGCAACGGTGAGCATATGAGGGGTGATTGAAAATTCGCAAAGAAAGGACTTCCGTATCGTAAGAAGCCGACTTGTGGTAAGGGACTGCTGCGGTAATAATGAAAGTAGCCACACGTCATACTCTTTCCCCATGCGCATAGCTCGGAGGTGCCGGCCTTTTTTCGGCCGTAGTGAGAGCATGAAAGATTGGTCTTTATTTTCTAACATACTGCTAGAGTCGTCCGAGGATTCCTCCTTCGATTCTGATAAAGCAGGGGCCACCGAAGTTTCCGATCCAGTAAGCTGTGGGGGTGCCGGCAAGGGATAGTTGGCAGTCACATGCTGGTTGGCGGAATCTGTCCCTGGAGGCGTCAGCCCCGCCTGCAGAGAAACGGGGGTGGCGCATATAACTTTTAGAAGAGGCTCCTGATAACAGAGGTCCTCTTCCTTTTCAACTGTGTTCTCCATAGTAAAGTTTTTGGGCTCCGTTGTTAGGCACATAAGAGCATTCATAATTGCATAGAGAGGAAGACTCCCCACACACTCTCGCAAGCTCTTTTTCAGATCAATTTCGCAGGCAGCATGCGGCATAGCCTCACAGCCGTAAGGAATCGCAGATAAAGACCGAGATTGCTTCTTCATAATTTTTTCCGCCAAAGGAAGCAAGAACACATATTTATTCACTAGTTGGCGCTGTAGCCTAAGTAACGACTTATATGAAGAATGGTCTGTACTGAAGACCAAATATAGCACACGACTCAAATAAGTCATCCCCATTTCTTAAAACCTCCCCGCAGAATTTAGAAAGGTGATGGGCCATATGTAGGACATGTGGCAAAGATATTGCTTGTGGCCAGTTGACGTACCCGTATGCCATCGCATTTGTCAGCTCAATGAGCTGATTAAATGAGTCGTTGTCTACTGAGGCCTCCATGGAGTCAAATATGATCTTGTAGCGGATTGGCTTGGGAGTTGTTCCGTGAACTATCGCCTGACTGGCCATAAGAAACTCGGATCCCTGCTGTCTATTGTCCGGGCTACGGTTAATCACATAGTACCCTGACCGTAAAACAGTACCCCCAACAGCGGAAAAACGCATAGCGCACGTTTTCTGAGCAACTATAACCTTCAGGTCACACATGGGACGGTTGGATTTGTGATATATTTGACGCAAGCACTCATATAACGACTTGATTTCTACCTCCAAGGTGGCGCTGATTTGGCTGTCTGATACCCCATCCCGGAAGATGACAATGTGGTCTGGTAAGATCCTGTTATTAAATGCAAGATACACATTACAAGAGTTCTTAATGAAGGCCTCCATAAGAGTTTGCTGCTGGAGCTCTCCCCCATGATTCAATCTGTTTGGCACGAGAGTCTTCTTTTGAGAGTAAATGTACTCAAAGGAGCCATCATACGTAGATATAAATCCTGCGGTTGATATGGGCACCTCTGCCGGCCTTCCTACGGTCTTCTTCGGGCGAGAGATGTCAAGTGCACACAGCATCGTAGATTTGGAGTATACATTCTGCGGGGGGAGTACGGGAGCCCACACAGCCCCGCCTGCTTTAGCATATATTTGTTGGCAGACGCTCCTGAGCACTGCTTGGTCATACCACTGCAGCTCATTTTGAGATGACTTTGGGGCCAAAAGGCACTGGGTAACAATCCCCATATGTGTATAGAATTGCTTGATACCTTTGTACAAGTCTCCACGATCCTGCTTAGGTCCTGGAATAACGATCACAACAAGTTGAATCTTGGCCACTATCTCACTCTCTCTGGCATCTTTGTACTCTAATCTAAGCTTATTGAGTAGCGCTTTGAAGGCGTCCTTATATGGTTCCACCCTGTACATCTCACGTCGCTGGTTGCTCAGCTCGACTGCTATAAGTGGCGGGTCTCCGATGTTAGGAGCCGTAGTGCCTGCCAAGGAGCGAACTCGCTCAGTAAGTTCTTTCCTAAGTCTTCGTGCATAATCATTCCCTAAGTTCCGTGGAACCATTATCGCCCAAACAGGCATGCCCGTCGCAGGCTGATTGTTATTGGAATAGTAAATCGGAGACACTCCGGGTGATTGGAGAAGATTGTGAAAGACACCCCCACTATCATCTTCAATGGTAACTATACGAGAGGTATTGTCCATCATGAGCTTGGGGGGCTTGCAGACAAATGTCTCCAGTTCCAGAGGATTGCTGGTGAAGCCGAATCCATAATCTCCCAAAAGAGACTGCAGCTCTGTGTCTTCCGCAAGTCTCGCAGCAAACGCTGTTGCTTTTTCGAGCAATGCATCTGGGCTCATGGTGCTCAAGGCGACAGCTGCCCTATTAGTGCTGAGCTTGGAGACACCGTAGGGGGCAATTTCATTGTCACTTATAATAATACAAAGGGATGATGGTACATTACAAGGTCGTACAACCTTTCCGTTTTGAGTCCTCTTAAGTGGGGTGAGTTTAAGGATGAACTTGTCCTGCTGCATTACAGAGTTACAATAATCGTTGTGTCTCAGTAAGGAAAGTCCAGCAGAGTCAATCTTATCTCTATACCTAGTTGAGTAGTAGGTAAAATAGTCTGTTTCATTGCCGTTTGCCAGTGGCGAGACAATGGTCTGCCCCTGAACTATAGAGTGGACTCTGAAAACCTTTCCGTTGTGCATAGCCATCACAGTGATGACTGCCAGTGCACTAGGGTGGATGTTTCCACGTCTCTCGGTAAGAAGCTCATTCATGGATTTGGAACGAACCTTTGTTGTTTCTGGAAGGATCTGAAGCCCAAGCTTCCCACGCAATGTCGCCGTGGTGAGCCGGAAGCCGGGGATCCAGCAGATGTCGTATCCTCTTCCATCAATCTGAATTGCGTGTATAGATGGATTCCTCAAATCGTAAAATCCTGAGCGAATATTGAGCATACCAAGAGAAGATTCAAAGGTACGTCTAAGTAAAATATTTAGTAGAATCTTCATGGACATCAAGTCCGTGGGATCCATTTGGCGAACCCGAGTAACCTTGACAGTAGCTTGAACGGGAGTAATGGGCGGTCCTGCTATGTTATTTCGCATGCCCCCTACTCGCCCACCTCTCCTCCTCGGTTTCTGGGTTGACAGAAATTCAACTGTATGTGTTATAGGCCTGGATCCCAGGTCAATCTGGGAGTAAAAGGAAGATATCGGGCAAGCGTCACTACTAGGGAAATCTATAATCAGAGAGTAAAAAAGGCCGTGCTCCAAATTATTTCCAAGGGCCGCGTCCTGTTGCTCGCAAAACCTCTCCAAGGCCCTACAAGAATCTGCGTTGTCCAGGCTATAGCCTTGATTTGATATATGTATTGAGAGATCATACTGATATACAGGTCTAGCAGATGGTAGAACAGTATACGGATAAAAGTTAATTCGTGAGGTGACAACATCTGCTACCATTTACAAAGTTTTTTATATTGATGGAGATCCCAGGTTTGACCTACAAGTGCTCCTGCCAAGGCCCATGCCGCTGCACCGCAAAGGGGAATAGCGTTGTTTACATAGATCCCAAATTCACGCAATCCAAGGCTACACCGCCAGGTTGTGTTGGACCGAATTGCCCCCCAGGAACTAAACCTGTCTCCTAACCTATTTGTAAATAGTAACGTGCGACAAAAATCGAGGCTATTGGTTTGCTTATGCTCCATTAAGGCTCCTGCTCCCCAGGGGCAGCCCCACTTCGACCATCATGCGTTACACTAAATCCTCCCCCAACCATTCTGGATGCCGGGCCAGACCCGGAATTTGCTGGCCTAAAGCCGTTTATGCCGCCTTCAGTGGCTGTCCCGTCACGGAGCATTTGCTCGTATTCTTTCTTCTTCAGAGAAAAGTACTTGCGCTTCATGTCTTGCAGATCACGGGTAAGCCTTTCGATGCTATCTTTGTACTCGCTAGACTGACTCTGGTACATAGCAAGCTCGCTGCTCAGAGTCTGCAGTTGTCGCGTCTTCGTCTTCAACGCATCCTGATATGCAGAGAGTTTTTCCAAAACCTCGGACCCTGGTTGCCGCGACAGTACCTTTTTCAGGTCATTGTAGAGCTTCTCCTTTTCTTCTAGCTCAAGATTCTTAGTGGAGCATTCTTCGGACTTCTGGATAAGTCTTCGCTGGAGATACTGGGTCTTCTTGATCAATTCATATGCTGCAGGATCGGATCCTTCCAGCGAGCGCCATCTATGGATATTTACGGGAAGCTGCAGTTCTTGAGACAGCGCCCTGGTCTTTGCGCGCTCGTCGAGCAGGTCACGTTGCAAGCGGTAGAGCTCCTTTTTGTAGGGTTCTATGCTGGCGGCTTGTCGCCGAAGACTCACTATCTGTCGGCGCAAGTCTGTGATCTTGGCCCGAAGGAGACGAATATCCTCTATCCTGTCTGAATACTGCTTTTCTCCCTTTGCCAACGTTGCTTGCTGCACTCTGACACGTTCATAGAGGAGGGAAAGCTCATCATTACGTCGTATCAATTGCGTTCCGAGGATGTCACGCTCCGATACAACAATACGATACTCCTTCATCTGCCTGTCTCTTTCCATATCAGACTCCGTTATTATGCAATTTAGCTTGGCTATCTCAGTCCTCTGGATTGCTAGAGCCTCCTCTGCTTCTCGAACCTGCTGCCTGGTCCTCTCAAGCTCCTGGACAGTAGAGTCCTTCTCCTTCAACGCGCTCTTGTGGGCAAAGTGCTCCTTTAGCAGGCTCTCATCTTTTGTTTGTATCTCCGATTTAAGCTGGTCTATGACGTGAGACAGAACACGAAACTTCCTCCTTAGTTCTGAAACCTCGTCCTGTGCCTCCACAAGGGACTTTGAGTAAAGATTCCTGTCTGAACGAACACTCTCATAGAGAGCCTGTTGCTGTTTTAGCTTCACATCCGCGTCCGATACCCTTTTTTGAAGATCTGAGATCGCTAGATCACGGACCCGTATCTCCTGCACGGCCTGAAGATACTTTTGCTGGGCCTCGGTGGACTTTTGGGAGAACATTTCCCTCTCTTTTTCAAGCGAGAAGATGATTTTGCGCTGCTTTTGTGATTCATTTCTAAATGAGAGTATCTCTTGCTCGTAGTTTTTGGCTTGGTTCTCCATACGCTTTAGTAGATCGTCCTTGTCTGCTATGGAAACTTGGGCAACATGAAGCGATTTCCCAACAAGCTGAGCTTCTCGACTCAGCTGATCGTGCTCGCGGCCAATTTCGTTATTCTCATGCTTAAGTTGCTTGAGCTCTTGTTCAGCTTGCGTCAGCTGTCCCTTGAGCTGCTCTACCTTCTCTTCTGTATTATGCTTGGCTATCTCCAGCGAGTCCAGCTTACTCTGCAGAGAAGTGAGAGTTTTTTGGGCTTTTGCAGCCTCTGCTCGAGCCTGTGCTGCCTCTTGTAGATGCTGTTGGATCTGTGTTTCCTTCTCGGCGTTAGAGCTCTGTAGATTAGTGGATTGTCTGTTTGCTTCAGAAAGATCGGCCTTTAGCTTGTGTATTTTGTCCTGTAAAGAGCTTATTGTAGCCTTTGTTTTCTGGAGCTCTTCATATTCTTGTCCAGATCGTGTTTCGGCTTTGGTAAGCTCTGTCTTGAGGTGATTCACATCCTGTTCCTTGTTGGCTATATCTCGCTCGAGGTTCTCACACTTTAGACGGAGGGATGCTAGCTCACGGTCCAAATGCTCCCTACGCTGTAACTCCCGGGCTGCCTCAGATCTGTGTTGCGCGACCTGCTCTTTCAGCGCACGTACACGTAACTCCGAACTGACCTTTTCAGACTCTAGTTGTTTAATGCGATCTAGATGTTGATTAAGCTCTTCCCGGAGAAGAGAAATGCGCTTTCCTCTGTTTTCGTACTCCTGTTGCAGCACTGCCTTCGCTCTCAGAAGGTCTTCAATATTCTGTTCTTCTGGTACTCCTACGTTAGTTCCTGCTGTCGCTGTATCTATCATCCCTCTAAGGGATTGGACCTCGGCTCTCAATTTATCAATCTGCTCGGTTTGAACTCCTTCCTTCTCACGTGCCAAATCGACAATCTTCCATGCTTTGTCTATTTCTGCCTTTAGTGAAGAAATGGTTGATTGATCCTCCTTTGAAAGCCGTAACGCAGTCTTTATCTTCTGATTATTGATGCTCAGATTCTGGGCTAGCTCTCTTACACGCTGTACAAGAAGCTTCTCGTTCTCGTGCGATTTTCGCAATGCTGTGTGAAGCTTCTCGTATTCTGTCCGAAACAGGTCTAGAGAAGAGTCACCAACCAGTTCGGCCAAAACTTCGTGGAAGTCTCTCTCAATGGCCGCAAATGCAGCATCATCGATGGCCAGGTCATATGCCGCAAGTGCCTTCTCGTCTATCTGGATAGGATCGGGATTATCTGCCATGAGTCTTTTTCCAGATTTTGCAAAATTAAATGTCTTAATTAATTTACAAATTTAATTATGGAAAAACTCAAGCAAAAACACTACAGTTATTCAATTAGAAATAGATTTAATAGAAGATTGGCACTGGCAGAACATTTATTGTGAGGCTACAGACGAAGATGAGAATGGAAGACTAGGCTCCTTCCAGCTCAGGAAGATCAGAGGGGATACTACCTTCAATATCACTGTCGGACACATCCTGAGTGTGGACAATAGGTTCGAGTTTTCGTGCATCCTTGTCTGGAGCAATGACCACGGGGGTCTGGCTAGTAAGCTCCTTGGAGGATGAAACCCAGATACCTTCCTGGAGTGCGCTGGGGTTTACGACACGTACATAGATCTTTAAGGCTCCAGTAGACGTAATACGACGGCACACAACGCTGTCTGCAAAGATCTCATAAGGCCAGGCTATCTGCATTTGCTTTTTACTCTCCTTACTGACGAGTAGGATAGAGAAGGGATCTACGTCGATTTCGAGTAAATCTGTCTGCATGTGGATAGGAACCATTATTTTGCAGCAGATTTCTCTCCTACTAGCATCTTCTTCGAATTGGAATGCGAAGCCTAGCTCGTTATACTGCCTGATTGAACCGGTATTGGGATCTACTGTGCGTGGAGGGCGGCGTCTTTCCTCCGGCAGGATATTTTTATTCTTATACTCAGCCGAAGCCGTCTCTTCTGCAGCACGTTTAACCTTTATGTTAGCATCTCTATCTTCATAGTCACTGTTATCACTGTCTTCGTCCCAGCGAGGTATATCACACTCCCGAAAGGATGTTGCAGTTATCTCCGCTAAATGTTCATTGTAGATACTGTTAGCCAGGATGCGGTCTGTGCGGGTTATCTCATGACCATCAAGCTTCTCTAGATGTGGAAGTACAGTAATCAAATACTCACGCCAATACGGATAAGTAGTGAGAGGATTCCCCACCACGTAGAGTTCTGTAAGCCGTGAGAGATGGCCCAGCATTGCAAAATCTAAGTAATTATGGATATAGTTTGCTGTTAGATCCAGTTTCTCTAAGGATTCCAGGGAAGCAAGATTTTCTAATTTAGTGACTCTATTTATTGCTAGATTGAGATACTTTAGCTTCTTTAGCGTGCTTAAGTTCTCTATGCGCCGGATTTTGTTGTTCTGCAGAAGGAGAATCTGCAAATTTCTACAAACATCCCCAATGAGTTCAATCTTTCTGATCATGTACTGATGCAGCGCTATCTCTTCCAGGGTATCCAAGATACTATTGTTGTGCTCTGAGCGCTTCCTGAGAAGATCCAGGGTTATCTTGACCATGCCTTTTTAGATTTCAGAAGAATCAAAGAGATTTACTCTTCCTATGAAAGCATCAATTTCTCTTGTAGTATTGCACTATCCGTGCATACTATATGTTGTGCATAGGTCTTCACACTCCTTTACTGCATGAGTCATAGCGAAGATCAATCCATGAGCAAGCGAACGGCCAGTATAACCTGGATGTCAACTATTAAGGAAGCGCTCTGAATGAATAATTGCCCTTCATGTGAGCCATTGCCGCTCTGAGTAGGCCTCCCGCTCACCGCCCGGGATCCAAATCCAGAGTCCGAAGCTCGGATGCCCTCGATCCCGGCGGAAGAACATCTATGCCTCGTCTCTCCTAGAAGCTGCCGCTCCTCGCGGTGCCCCCTAGGACTTTCCTTCCTCTGGCCCGTCGGGGTCAACTACCGTCTGGCACTGGTGGGCACCTACTATCTCAGGGCCTTGCGTCAGTCGCGGCGATCTAGTCTCAAGAGCAATTGACTCTGGCAATGTACTCCAGGATTGCTTCGTGGTGCTGATGCTCTACGACGAAGATCCCACGCCACGACCCCGGGTGTCTACCCCGTTCCTCGGGGTGCTTCTTCGTCTCCTCATGGATTGCACCATCAGTCCCGAGTATGACCGGAGGGTGCGCTCCTCGTGCGCCTCTGTCTTGGAGTCATAGTACGCGTTCGTGGATGCCGGCGGAGTACTCCCATGCGTTGGCGTTGGAGGAGAGGTCTGGCTTCTGGTTTGCCCTCCTATTCATGAATCACAGTGCACTCTTGCAGCTGGTCCGTCACCCAGCACGAGATCACATCGACGCTCACCCTGTGCAGCGTGTCTGGCTTAGCTGACCTGTGGGCTGGTCCATCTGCACAGCACACTTGGGGTGATGCTTCGGTCTGTCGAGGCGTCGTCCAAAGCACCAGGAGCGATCAGGACCGGTTCACCGTCAGGCCGTCTCTCTCTACAACCGGCACCCGTCTACTCGATGGTGTCAAGGGATTACCAACTGCTGCGGCAGACGCCAGACAGGTGTTCCAGGCCGCCACTCTTCGGTGCAGGCAGGATCAGTCCGCCTCCGTCAGCCAAGCACCCCAGGGGCTCCATCTCTTGCCGAGGGATTCACATAGGCCACGTGCGGGTCCATCTCGACCAGCGTGGCGAGTGATTAGTGCCATCACTGGCTTCGGCCCTCCGTTGCCCTGGGAGCTCCTTCGACCGGCCAGGAAGGAGGCCTCCTGCCCCTCTGTGTTCCTATACTTGTCAGTGTTGACCGTCGAGCCATGTTGCTTCACCAGGCCTGCCGCCTCTGTGACTACCCCCGCCACGTCATTGTTGCTACTATGGAAGATGAGTGTGTCGTCGGCATGGGCACTGAGCGGGGTCTCTCCTCAGCTCCTGGCGAGCAGGTTCTGTCCCGCGCAGCACAGAAGCATGCGCAGGGCCCCGAGGGACCGAGTCCAGGGGTGCAGCGTGGCGCAATTGGAGGAAGGCCTCGACGCAGCTCCTCAGGACGGGAGCACACTCGCCCGGCAGAGGCCGTCTGCTGTTGGGGTTCGTTATGTCGAGCAAGACCGCTGTGCCCATCAGCCTGTGTCTCCCTGTGCCATGCGAACGCCACCATGTGCAGTCGGTGGAACGCAGTCTGCTCGGTCTCGAGGAAGACCAATGTCTGGGTCTCCAGGAGGCTCGGGACTGCCTTGTGGAGCGCATCATGATCGTCCACCGATTGCACTTGCCCTGTCTCGTCCTTGGGAAGAGGGAAGAACAAGAGTTCTTCTTCTCCCGGCGGAGTCGCTTGGCACTTGAATTCGAACTCTGAATCTGGATCTTGGTTGATGCAGGGGCGAGAGGTTGCCAGCCTAAGACGGCGATGGCTCGCATGGGAGACCTGTTCAGACAGCAGTTGACAAACCAACTTCGGTGAAATAGAGTAAGTGGTGCATCTGTTCACTTACTTCTAGTTCAGCACCTATTAGGAATCGTACTAAAAAGCGTGAGAAGTAGTGCAGAAGTTTTAGTACATAAGAGTAGATATCACAAGACCAAAAAGTGTTAACTTGTAGCAGTTTTCCTACAGTAGCTGTATAGTTATCAGTACAAAACAAGCATATGCTTTACATCATTTTGGCCACCTATCATGAAGAAAGTAACATTGGGGCAGTTGTTTTTCACTTGGTTCGTATACTTGAAGAGCCCTTCTTCCTTATTATTGATGATTCCGAAGATAACAGTACTCGTGTGGCTGTTCTTCAGGCTTTCACAGCGCTACGGTTCAGTAACTATAAGTACATTCACCGCGGCCAGAAGCGTGGCTTGGGGACAGCCTATCGTTGCGCTATGAAAGAACTTACTGCCCTAGCAAGCAATAATGTCAACGAGGCGGATGACATGGTAGCCATTTTAGATTCCGATCTTTCTCATGATCCTTGTGATATTGCGAAGCTTGCTACATGTATGCGTGAAACTGGAGCCGATATTGTTGCCGGTTCGAGATATCGGACCGGTGGATCAGTCTCGGGTTGGCCTCGTCGACGAATAGCAATTAGCTCTACGGCGAATTTCCTAGCACAGACTGTTCTAGGAATCCGGGTGACTGACTGCACCAGCAGCATGAGAGTCTATAAGCTTTCTACGATTATGTCCATCATTGACCAAACAAGATCTACGGGATTCTCAATTCAGCTAGAACTCATTTCGTTAGCGAGTATGTATGGCTATAAACTGCTTGAAGTCCCGATATGCTTCTCCGAGCGCGTCAATGGAAGTAGCTCGTTATCATGTAAGGAAATTTACAAATTTCTGATGCTCATTGCCCATCTGTGGTGGAAGCAGCGTACCAGCGAGGCACGCAGAACGCTTTGTGGTCAGTAGTCATCGTCTTGGAAATCCATGTCCGACTCCTCTAACACCTCGCCTAGGTACTCGACTACCGAGGTCACTAAGTCAAACATAGCGCGATTCTTGCGAGTGGAAAAGACATTATGCTCGATCATGCTCCCTAGTAAATGGCTTGCAATTTCCGCTGCTGTTCTATTCTCCCACGGAAGCGACATCATTGCATCTAGGGTTTTCTTCATGCCATCATCAAGAGGCTTCATTCCATGCTTGCCAGAAAACGCCTTGTTATCTGCTAATGCTACGAGAGATGCGCACGATACTTCTTTCAGATTATAGCACAGACGCAGCATCTCCAGGGACGCGTCTTTTGGAATAACATAGTCCCTAATGTCCTTCATACGCTCAACAAAGTGCTTCAATTCGCCGTGCTCATACGTCTCAAACCGCACTAGATAGTTGCAGATTATTTGAACAGCATTGGCGAGGATGTGAGATTCTTCTGGATTGGTAAAATAGTTCTTAAGCGTCAGCGCATAATGAAGAAGGTTTCCGATTTGCTTCTCGCTATAGTATGGGCTTTTTGGAAATGCTCCAGTATCGTGGACTATAATTGCGATCACACCCATTAGATATGCAATCCTATATCCAGACGTAGCCTTAAGGTCATTGGCTGTATACTCTACTGAACTTATGGTCGTGCTATAAATGGCGTCCATAACTTCACAACCATCACGGTATGCGTCAGTGACGAGCTCAAGAAGGGCGATGTAGAAGCGATCAGACACAACCCCTACTGGTGCATAATTACGTTCGAGAGGGTCGGCGGGCCTTGATATTGCCAAAGACGTGTCAGCTGTTGGTCCAGAGGACTCTTCTGGCGGAAGGTTCTCTATGGAAGCGAGAGCCGAAATAATTCTAAATATATTCTGTGCCTTTTTCATGATGGCTTGTGACTTCTTCTTCTTTGAATCAGTAACATCTGAGGTGATCTCCATGGCGATGACAGCGTAGCTCGTTATGACGCACTCCTGTGCTTTCTCCTTCAGAGGAGCCAGTTGTGCGGCAAAGAAGGGCGCTATTTTCTTACAAATGATGCTTGCCTGCGACAGATCAAGTACATCCTTCCGCTCAGGATATCTATCCAAGTCATGGTTACCCGACAGGCGTAGATTGACGGCAGCAAGGTAAAGCAAATCATCTGTCGCTTGTTCAATATTAACGGATGCAATGATTGTTAGCAAGTACGCGACCACGACCGCCAAAGGAAGCGAGACAAAGGTCTCCTTTGGACTATGGATGTAGAGGTCATAGGTTGTAGTCTTGAGCTGATCTGCATTCAGTTTTAGTATACTCCAAAGAATAGTCGAATAATCGTAAATCTCTCCTAGTTTGTCGACGATGCAAACCATCCACCCAACGATTACAGCAAGGCGGCGCTCCCCACTGGTATAGCCTCTCTCGAGACTCTTGGAAAGCGCTGAGGCCATGTCCCACTCATGAGACACACCTAAAGCTTCCAGTAAAGAAGAGTATCGAGCGAACATCATTTGCACAAGACGAAGAAGTAAGGGCACGAGGACATTCATCACAAGGTAATCGCTGACTCCATCAGTGTGGTGAATTGAAACATAGAGTATTTCTAAAAGGGCGGACAAGTGGGTAATATCGGTTCGGCGGAAATAGTAATTAATCTCCTGCAACGAGAGGTTTTTGAATCGCTCCATTAGGGCACCTTTATCGCTTGATTTATTGCTACTGCTGGAGTCACTATCCTCATCGCTACTATCGTCGGAACTAGCATGCTTCTCGTCACCACCTTTCTGATTATCTACAGCACCCACTTTTTCAAGCTGTGCAACTAGGTTGACCTCCGGAATATTCAGCTCTCCAAGATTCTCCTTTTGAAAGAGAGGAAGGAGCATTTCCTCTGTGTCTTTATCCACGAGACTCTGCAAAAACCTCTCCAGATGGCGTGATATGGAATTGGAATCATGATAATTCTTGCGAAAAGAAACCAGGGCATCTACTATGTTGCACCTATCAGGCAACAAAAGATCTATCTGATTGTCAGCAATTTCAACAGGACCGAACGCTGACAAAAGAGCATATGATAGCTTACAATGGGGTGCAGAAACAGCCTCGAAGCCTTTGAGCTCATCACGGATACGTGTGGTATATTCTGCAGATAGATTGCGAGAAACCTGCAACTTTCTCAACAGGTAGGTGAGATATATTTTTTTTTCCTCGTCTGTACCGTTCTTCAAATTGTGGTAGACGTCACTGAATACTTCACAATCTTCTACATCATTTATAAATGCTGACAAGGCTAAGGAGAACAAGCTCTTAGGTGTTGTAATCGAGAAAGACTCCGTGGCCTTAATATTAACGAGGTAAGTCTTAAGAGTCTCAGACAAAACAGAAGGTTCCAGAATCTCTGCCGTTGCGAGGTAAAGATTCCAAAGAAGTGGAAGGACGGCGGTAGAGCTTCCAGTGTAGAACAGACAAGAGGGGCTCTTTTTCATTGAAGTGCAGACAAATGCAAATCTATGCGCCACAGACGTTGTAATCGACCCTATCAGTGCCTCATCTGCATCCTCTACGGACAAGAATTTGCTTAGGAATTCTCTCTGTGCCGGCGAGAAACTGTACAGTAGGAGGGTCTTCCCGATGGCGTCAGATATGCCAGTCTCTATGTCATTTGCTGAAGCTGTAGATAGCAATATCATGATACGCTGGATGCAAAAGGTCAAGCAGCAGGACGACACCTTGTTAAACGTGTAGGCTCCCAGGTCAGATGAATGCTTAGAATCTTCTGCAAACTGATAACAAGCAGCTAGTGTTTTAAAGAACGAAGTGCAAAGATCATTGAAGTGCTCCAGTGAGTTATTTTTGTTGTCTATCAATTCTCTGTGCAAATCCTCGGTTCTGATGTTTGTTAAACTAAAGATCTCAAAGAAAGACACAAGCGTCTCTAGTGTCTGCATCATAGACTCATGCTTGATGGGTAGGCACCCGCTTTTGGCCCCATTAGCCTCTTCCTTAGCAGCGGCCTGCTGAACAGCGGCCCCGGCGCCAGCCCAAAATGAAAGGATAACCTCTGTGCTGGCATTGCTGCCATCCGTGAGATTCTCCATCAAAAAAGAGAAGGCTCTACACGAAACATCATCATCGTTTTCATCGTCGGACTCCTCATTGTCCTGAACAAATATATCTATGTTCCCTGTAAACAGGGCATACCCCAAGACAGAAGCAACCAAGGTGAGCATTTCTGTGCTCCTAAAGAAGTCTGCGCTTGCATATTGGAAGAGTTCTGATATAAACCTCAGCTTCTCGATGCTCATGGGGCTATCTGGAGCTAGTCTGGCACAATCAAGTAGGTCGCGAGACCGTGCGTTCCCTAGTATCAGGCCCGGAAACATCCTGGTCTCTGGTATGTAAACGTGACCCATCGGTGCCGCAGGCATGCCACTTTCTGCATAGCAGACAGAAAAGTAGTACGGAATAGTGCTCTTCACCTTTTCAGGATAACGAGGGACGTCAGAAGAGGTGGGATCATTCCAAACTTTCTGAAATGCCTCAGAGAAAACGTTAACAATCAGCTCAAACTCCGGATCCATGAGAAAAGGGGTGATCTCAAAGTACCCACAAAGAGTGGAAAGGAGTGAGACAACGTCATAGGGGGAGGTCTCCGAAGGCATATTTTTAACGGCAAGAGACATCTTCTCCCCAATCGCTTGAATAGCTGTTTTAGTCTTCTTCTCCTTGTCACTAGGTCTATCGGAATTATTGTTCTGAGACTCTGACTGTAGATACTGGAGAACTGCCTCGTGGGTTAAGTACGCATCCCGTGCATCTCTATAGTGCAAAAACTGTGTTACGAACTGACTAACCATTTCTATGGTGAGTTTCTTAGAAAACCTCACTCCGTTGGAGTCGAACTGGTAGCTCCCTTGAGACATTTTTTCTATTCCACTTCAATTAATTGCTCTGCCAATTTTGGTAATTATCCACGGTCGGACAGAATTGTGAAAAATTCACAGAACTGATGTAAAATTTGTTACAAAAAGGCCCTGGCGGCCCTTCTGACTTCTGGATGCCACCTCTGGTTCCCAAGCCGCCGTCTCCTAAACTTCTCAAACAAGCCAAAATGCTACCTATAGACCAATTGGAGTATACATTCACGCCTCACGTCCTGGAGGCAGCCCGAACTGCAGCCCCCAACGACCCCGAGACTCAAGCCATTAACGTCGTGTATCGTTTGTACAATTCTCACAAAAGGTACACTGATAAAATGGAGCGTCAGCGCAATGCACTTAAGCAGCAAAGAGAGATGGATGAGGTTGCAGAGTGCTCATTCAATCCACAGACGAGAGTGTCGCAGGTTAGCGGTGGTAAAATGCGCGTATACTCTAAACCATTCCTGGAGAGGCAGGAGAAGTGGACTGAAAAGGTAAAGCGAAAGCGAAAACTTATTGAGGAGCTGAACCAGATCCGCGAAGATGCTGAGTTACTGTTTTGTCCAGAGGTCAATGAGCGTTCTCGATACCTTGCAGAGAGAAACCCCCAGCGCCATACTTTTACTGATGCACACACTAGTACAGATGTCCAGGAGTCACGAAAAGCTCCTCTCACCCCATCCAGACATGACGGTATTCCCTATGGGTACATAGTACGAGAGAAGGGACTTCGGGGATCCTCAGCTTCTATCAGCAAGCCTGCTGCTAACTATATGACTCTTGCCGACCTCGCTGATATAGTTGAGCAAGATCAGTGCTTTGGATACCCCGAAATAACTACGAAGGCTGCAACATTGGATAGGGTAGGGTACGTATTTGATAGGCTTTACGATATGAGCAAGCGCCAAAGAAGCACTAGTATTGACGTTGCACCAATTCCTCATGATGGCACACGTAAAGGAACACGATCTTTGAGTGCATCCGCTCAGACTTACCAGCGTCTTTACGAAAACCATAAGGACATTGCTGCCAGAAAGCACAAGCGCGAAGAGCAATACTATCAGCGCATTACATCAGGTGGTACCAGTGCCGAACGTTATGGAGAGCAATGGGTGCGGAAGCGCGATGCTCTTGCACGTCGAGCAATGCAGCGCAAGGGCATCGATATAGGTAGTCCTTCACTTTCCCACAACCGGCCCAGTGAGAGTGTCTCGGACGACACACTTTCCAGTACATCTACCCCTACTTTTGCCACACCTGCAACAGACCACCTTACCAGGCACTTTGTTGCCATAAGAGACTCGCCAACCGAAGACTATAGCAAACCTGAAAGTAGAAAACAGTCCACCTCTGTCCTCGATCTAGATCTCTTGGCCAAGGAGGCAGAACGCCTAGCCAGCCCTCGGCTAAGATCCAATGAACATACCAGCATGAGTGCAGACCTCACCGATTCGCAGTTTCAGTTGATTGGATATGGAGAGGAGCTTGACATGGAGCTGGAGGCCATGAACGACGCCATATCCAAGAGGACCCAGCAGAGAAGTGTGCTGAAGCAGAGCCCGGGACCACAACCTCGTTCACAAAAGCGTTCTCAAGCAAGTGTGCAGCAGAGTCAGATGTCTGTTTTTGATCGACTTGCTGCACTAAAGGCAATAAAGGATAATGAGGAGGTGCAGAAAGCACAAGACGGGACTGCAAAACACGCTCCGAAATGCCCCTCTGCTAGCGACGCGGATACTGTTGCGTTTTTGGCGCGGATGCAGCGCTATACCGACAAAGCAAAGGCTAAGCAGGAGCAACTCCGACAAGAGGTAGAGTCTAAGCGCAACGAAGAAGTATCATTTAAGCCCGATTTGACGCTGAGCAGGATCGGATCGTCACGATATAAGGATCGGATTGTAGGAGATATGCACGCTAGAGAAGAGCAATGGCTTGCAAGGAAGAAAGCAAGACAAGAGAAGGTGAAGATCGACATGCTCGAAGAACGGATCAGAAGGGAAGAGCGCGAAGAGCAACAGCTGAGAAGCTGTCTAGAGAACTCCAAAACACATAACTTGAAACAGCTGCACAGAACACTCGTAGGAAAAAACGAGGATGTGCTTATACATGGATCTGGAAGAGCCTTTCCACGGAACGCCGACGAGCTTACCGCTATGGCCGACCAAGTGGAAAAGGCATGTCTTATTTTAAATACTCCCAGCCCACCTGAACAGTCGCAGACGGGCCGATCGATTCGACGCGGAAACACCTTCGGTCTTACGGATTTGCTGCCAACATCTGTTGGATCCGCTAAGAGTCGCATGGAGTCCGGGACAAGCCCGAACTATGCAGCATCAGGCACAGGAGATCCATCTAATAAAACACTTACCCTCCTATCCAGTATAGGTAACGGATCTGTTGTCAATGCCTGCAACACAATCGATAGTATCACTAATCACATAGCCCGAATGAAAAAAGGGGCACAGTTGCGTACAGAACGGACGACGGGATACTTATGCCCTGATGAATGGCTCCTGAGTTAAGTGTTGCTCTTGCTTGCACCCAGGTTTCGTAAATTATAAAACATAATTATGAATGAAACTTAGTAATGATCTATTTCAACAGGAGGGGCAGCTCAGTGATGATTTTGAAAGGGAGGACGGTGGCATAAACCCAGATCAAGCGAACTCTGGCCCACAGTGTGCAGCAAGTGGTCTGAATTTTGACTTCGCTGAAGGAGGCAAATTTCACAATTTCCGAGCTCGTGCAGTTACTAAGCTTAACATGCCTGTTTTCCAAACAGATCTAAGCCCTATATATCGTAAATCGGAATCAAAGTTGGGACCGAAACATGTCTCTCCCATCATGTCTCTGCAAAGCTTAGATGGCCTTGGATCTGTCCGACGGGTATCGTCCATATCTAAGCCCCCCAGCTCTGAGACTTATCCATTAACCACCAAGCACAAGATAAATCCAACCAACGCATCTGAAGGAGGCAATCCGATTTACTTTGCGAAGAAGACGACCAGATTAAAGCCTTCGATGATAAAGAAAAACACATGCAACGTAAGCAATGCCCAGCGAAGATCTTCTGACCTGACCACACAGACACCGCCTCTACCAGGTGTAACCCTTCTCTCAGATAGCTTAACCTTCAGTGCGAATACCGTACCACATATCGGTGAGAACACGATTGGAAGCTCCAGCCATGTAGGTATTAGCTTGGGGCATAGCTTGGGGGTAGAGTTTCGAGAACCGTATGAAGTAAAGAAATATGGGTCATCAATCTCAAATCCCCCGGGGAAAGAGGTCGGCATTGCAAAGAAGGCAGAATTAGAGACAGAGCTACTCAATCAGAAAATTCAATTCAGTAACCAGCAGCCTGCACACGTTCTCAGAAAAAAGTTCGGTGATCCTGTCAAAGCACCAGCATCAGCTGGCAGAGCCTACGGGTCCAGGGCCCCAATGCGAGCCCGGACAATCTCGGACTCGGCATACATTCGTGACTCCATTGCAAAAATGAATTCTGTTGGAGTAGAATCCAAGAGTGTCAGACCTGTTCCAGCTGGTATAAGTAGTTCCTCAAACCCACCAAGAATGCATCCCAGTCAACGTCGAGACGAAGCGCAAGGGTCTCTCCTTCGTATATCCATACAGAATACAGATGCGACTGGACCACATCTAGTGGAAATAACACAACCATCACATCAATCGGCGAACCAAAGGCGTCGGCCGCAATCGGCTGATAGTGCCCTATATGCTAGACGTCGTGTAACAAGCACGTCTGCTCTTATTACTCCCTCCCATGACCTTCATGAGTCCAAAGAGCTCAACCAGCGATTGACCAAGAGCTCTTGCATAGATATGAACTCTACGGTTAACCTTGCATTTTCAGTAAGGGGTAGGGACGCGGAAAACGCTGTGTCAGTCCAGAAACGCCCACAGAGTGCTACAACAGGAAATTCCAAGGAGTATCTTCTGGCTGGGTCATACAAGCTTCCATTCACCAAACAGAACGTAAGAGCAAGGCTTGGACTGAAAAAGATTGAACCCACTGTGAAGCCAATTGACAGGATACACGAGGTAATCGGCTTCAATCCATCCGGATATATGTATGAAAAGGGTAGAATAGAGCGCGAAAAGCAGGAGTTTCTGCGTCAATGTAATGGGGCCGTAAGGCAATACCCAGTCTCTGCCACTTTGTACCCGCGTAAGCCACAGAGACTTTCTTGGCACGGCATCACAAATGTGAAGCAAGGAGGCACATCAGAGAATGCAACTGGGATGGAGGCCCACTCACCAGCCACAGAGTCGCACGGAAGGTGCACCCTTCAAGATGAAGGAGACCAAATGAATGTGATATCGTTCGATAGTAAGGGAGAGAAACCTGGCAATCAGGTGCTTCAGACGCCCATTAGGAGGCAACAAGGCCCCGCTAGTGCTAGAACAGCCATCCTAGAGACCCCGGAAAAGAGACCCAGCAACGCAATGGTAGTACAGCAGTATATTGCTTCGTTGTCTGGAGCACAAGGATCAAGACCGGCTAGTGCAGCTGCCGGTACCCTTGGTGTTGACAGTCTTCCCACAAAGGTCTTCATAACCAAGGAGCCACTCCCGCTCAGAAGAACACATCACAAGCATCAGTTTTCCATGTTCTATGACCCCAACGCCACAACAGAAGTATACGACCGTACTGTTCGCCTTCGGTCACGCCCTAGCAGCGCATCCAAGACTTTGTCAACCAAGCATTGACACTGGATGCACATATGTTTATGTTCAGAAAAGATAGCCCTATAGCACCATTGGAACCCCTACAAATCGATACTGTGGGTTATTGGCATCGAGATTTTGTTCATGGTGGGTACTACTTGTTGGTGTTGCTCTTCGATGGGTTCGTGGAGTTCTTCTGTAGTATTTGGTATTTAAAACGAGAACAATACTCCACATTACGCTCCACCACCACGGAAGAAATAGCCAAAAGAAAAAGAACTGCAACGCTGCACATATAAGAAGATTTCTACGTTGATATTTAGCTGCACCACTGAAGGAGACGACAAACGTTCCCAAACCGCTGATAAAGAAGTTGAGAAAGAGACATGTGACAGCAAAACACGGATGAACTATTGGAGTTTCCATGCTAAGGACATAAGGCCAGAAAGCGCGACTCCTGTCAGGGGGCCTGCGTGCTGGGTTCTCTATAACGTCGGCATAGTTTGGTTCGAACGGATAGGGGTACGGGTCTGTGTCTGACATTGTAGATGTCTACCTGTCCTCTACTAGTGATAAATTTATCAAGTTTGCATTTTCCAAAGAGTCGTAAGCTTCGTAGAGCTTTGGGGTGGCGGTAGTGGTCTGTGTGTGTCTGGGGATATGCAATAAAGGGAGGTGGGTGATGGCCTGCTTGTAGTGCTCTATTCTATTCGCCCTTCCCGACGGAGTACCGATGAAAGATGGTGGCACAGATTTAGACGACTTTCTGTTGATTGGCTTAGGGATTGCCGGGACCATGAGGGGGTGGCCTTCGATACGGTTAACTATAAGTCGTACATTATCGGCTCTGAAAAGAGTGTAGTTCATGAGTTCGTCCTGTGTTTCCTTTGCCCTAGTGGTTGTCAGTGAATGGCGCTGTTCATATTGGACAATTCTTCTACGTGAGCAAGCAGTTGGATCCACAACAATGTCATCCCTTACTCCATAGCACTTCTGCGGACTGAAAAGCGTTGCCATCGTATACTCGTTGGTAGGTGGCTTGCGAGGCATATAGGTCGAAGCGTTGTCTGATAACAAGTAGCGTCCGTGGAGCGCAGGAGGCGACAGGCCACGAAGGATTCTTCGCTGGGCACTTTGAAGAAGGTCTGGGCCATTAAGGTCCCTCATGATTAGAATCTGTAGTTTTTGAGTACCGATTTGGATCACCCGCTTTCCGGATCCTGATCACCACAAAACAACTTTGCACATGCAAATTAGTGGCCAACACAGTATGTCGTAATTCACGCGATCTTCATCAAAAGTCATGCAATTTACGAAGGAAAATTAAAGCTCGATTGTTATGAAGTCTAGAGCATGTAGCCCTGCATCTGACCTCAACGGATGCTTACAAGACGAGAATCAGTCACTTTCAACGCTTGGCCATAGAACCCTGTCATCTAGTAAAATCATCAACTGGTGGAGATATGCAACTGTTACAGGTGCGTTTAATAGTGCGTGTGCAACTGTGACAGAAGCACTAAGGCCACAAGACAAGCCACAAGCACACTACAAAGGAACAATACCTGAGGCTAAACGATCCTCCAGCTCCTTTGGATTTCATAGCCCGACGTGGGGGTCCCCAGCAGTTAAACATTGCATTGAACAGCGCACACGCAAGCTCCTGGATGTAAAAATACCGCATATGGGACACGCACAGGCCAGTAACTCCGCCGCAGGAGGGCGCACTCAGAGTAGTTTTGAAGTGTGGGCCAGCGCCTCAAATGTCTGGGACAGCGTCAGAAGGGTGTTGCGGAGCTCGTCTGTGGCTCCAAAACAGAGGAGCAGTCACTGAAATTACTGAATATATGCATCTACAGGGGCGGGGAAAATCTGTCCGGGGTCGTTTTCCTTTTGCAGTGCGGGGTTCACCACAGGGTCCACCAATAATGCAAGCATATCGTCCCCACGTACAAGAACCCAGCCCATAGGAACGTCTGCGTACAGTACCCCGTTGGTTATTCTCTGGGCAGTGTCCTTGAGCAGGACGTTTCCGAACCCATCATAATGGGTCAAGGTCCCGAAATACTGTGGCCCTGCTGCAGTTACAACAAGCACTGGTCTCCCGACTGCGTGTCTAAAGCCTGCTGGGCCAGCCTCACAGGATCCACAGGTAGGAGTCATCAAAAAACCGCCTGTAAGACGATTAAATAATTAAAGGTCTGTAAATTCGATGGCAGTCGATGTGGAGGATAACCTCAACCATCATCTGAACAACGAGCACTTCGGAGTCCTCGAAGCCAAACCATTCGGGTCAATTCGCTACTATCACTATAGGGCTAACTCCACCTCAGATCGCGAGCTAGCGGTGTTCTTCCATGGATTTAACTTTTACTCTAATCTCTATGCGCCATTCCTTAATAAGCTGTCGGAGCGGTTTGACGTCATCACATGCGACCTCCCCGGGCATGGAGAGACATCTCCAATGACCGATATGAAAGACTACACACCAGACAATTTCATTCTATGCCTACAGAAGGTTATAGAGCACTGTGCAGCTGCTGATAGAAAGCTTCACCTTATAGGGCATTCTATGGGCGGACTACTCGCCGGCCTGGCAGCAACAAGGCCCTTCTTCAAGAACAGACTCCTTTCGGTAACCATGTGTTGCCCAGCTGGTATCCATCTCGTCGAGGGTTTGGACACCAAGCTGCTTAAAACATCGCTGGGCCAAAAGATAGTTCACGCAAACCTGTCCAGGTCTCTCAGGATCCTCAAGAAGTCCATGGAGAAGCGTACGTACAGATATCTTCCAGAACATGTGGCAACACAGCTGCGAGAACTATACAACGGGTTTCTTGAAAAGCACTGGGAGAAGGTGCTTCTGCGTACATTCTACATGATTCCCAACTTTCCGTGGAGCAACTGTCATGATGAGTTTAAGAAGCTTTCCGATCTTTCTGTTCCCGTGACAATCTGGCTGAGTAAGCGTGATTCTTACGTTGGGACAAAGAGAACAGCCAAGTTCTTCAGCCAGGATGTATTCAGTGGAAAGGTTAAGGTTATCATCGAAGAAAACTCTCTTCATGACCTTCCTGTGCTAATCCCTACCAAGGTGGTTGAGGCCATAAAGAAAAAGGATGCTTGTGCCGCAGATATTGATATTGTTGAAAGTGTCTGATTCGTCTATGTAGTAAATTACAACAGGATGATTATAGCGATCTATAGCGATCCATATGTTTTAATAATCTCTATAAGTTCCAGGTCTCCTCGCTCCGCAGCTAAGTCAAGCGCGGTCTGGCCCTGAACCGAGGAAATATGGCCCTCTGACTCTAACAACAAACTTGCAGAAATACTATCCCCAGAGACAACTGCGTAGAACAAGGCCGGCCAACCAGCCTCGTCGCGCATACATGTTTCTCTTGTGGCAATAGTTGGATGTAAAGAGCAGCTAAGCGCTGCGGGTGTACTAGGAAAGTACGTGATGTATCCGTCAAAGTGTGCGCACTTATGGCTATATAGAGAATTCTCCTCCTGTGCCTCGGCCATTATGAGCGCTCTAACACAGTTAGGATGCCGTGCTTGGGCAGCAAGCATTAGGGCCGTTTTTCCGCCGCTGCAAACCATCCCCAGCTCCCATGGGATGAGCAGCTGAACACAGAGATCCATTCCTGCTTGGGCTGCGTACATAAGCGCTGTCAAACCGTCCTGGCGCTGGAGCCGGGCCTCTGTTTCTAGAAGAAGCAAAGCAATGTCACTGGCCCCAGAAAACGCGGCTCTCATGAGCGCGGTCGATCCTGAATTGTCGACCATCCCACCCTCGTAGTTTGCAAGCAGCTGGGCGCAGGACAGATGATTCTTTTGCGCAGCAATCATTAGAGCCGTAGATCCGTTAGACGATTGCATGCCTGTTTCTGGAATATAACCTTGTAAGTTGGATGGATATATCGAGGCATCACAGGATAGGTCTACAAAAGAGTCCGGAGCGTCGACACCGTGTGGTTGAAGTTCTAGTCCCGATGTACTGCATGGTGAAATGGTAGTGTGCATCTGCCAGTCCAAGATTTCCTTGACACATGTGGCATAATTCCCTTGGGTAGCCCACATTAGTGCAGTCCATCCAGTTCTATCTTGCATCCCTAACTCTTTTCCTAGGAGGTATCTTACACAACCATGGTGTCCGTTCTGCGCCGCATGCATGAGGGCGGTGGCACCTGACTCGTCTTGAGCACCCGCCTCCGACGTGGCAAGGAGCTGCACACAGTCACAATAGCCAGACATTGCAGCGTACATTAGCGCAGTTAAGCCAAAACTATCCTTGATACCTGTCTCCGTAGAGTAAAGAATTGTGATGGCTTCGGCAAACCCCCCTTGAGCTGCGAACATAAGAGCGGTGACTCCTGAAAAATCACTCAACCCTTGCTCGTGTTGCTGTAGTAATAAAACGCTTTCTAATGCAGTATTCTGAACCGCAATCATCAGTGCTGTACGGCCATCGAATGCCTTCATTCCCAATTCAGTGGAGCCCTGTTGAAGAAGTAGCTGGATTACGTTGTTATTATTCCTGGACGCTGCTTTCATCAAGGCTGTTTCACCGTTGTTATCCTGCATTCCTTGTTCGTCAGCTAAAAGTAAGTTAACACAAAGTGTAAAGCCTCCAGCGGCTGCGAACATAAGCGCTGTCCACCCAGTTGTTGTCTGGCCTCTGAGACAGTTAGCCAGTATAGGGCTTTCAAGACAATGGCCAACATAAGCCACGTTTCCAAGGGAGGCATAGTACATGAGGGGGGTGACTCCGTTAAGCCCAATCTCTAGCGAAAGCAGTTTGATACATTTGTAATGGCCACTCATCATAGCCAGGAGAAGTGCTGAGGACTCAGTACTCTCAGTGGCAAACTCATTCAGCAAAATGCGAACACACGTATCATAGCCACGATAAGCTGCCATCATGAGAGCCGTGTGCCCATTGAAGGCACAATGCTTGAGGGAGAAGAAGGAGTCACTAAGCCATAACTCTTTTAACTCATGAACTTGACAGTCATGAACATACCTCATAGCTAAAGTGTTTTCATGGACAGGCACTGCAGGAGAAAGAGAGGGAACAGTAAAAAGTCCATGTGTGGAAACATACTCGCTAATCATGAGAAGAATTCGTGTGGACCTTCTTGATCGCGCGATAGACAGCGTGTTTCGGAGAGTATCTGGGTCGTGAGCACACGTGAGTAGAGAAGCTGCCAAAAAGACATCATCAGTAGAAGCTGCTGCTTCAAAAGAGATTGCACTGGCCTCAAACAGCGTAGTCGTAAGTACTTCGAGATCACGGCGTCTAAGCATCTCTTTTTGAATAAACCCGGTAATAGAATCAACTGCTTTATCGACTAGTTGGGATGCAGTCCTGTTGGCGCTAGAAGTATTAGAGCACGCCTCTAAGCGACTGGTTCTAGCCCTCTTCAACTCAGGTATATGCAACAGGTGAATGGCGGAGGGTCTTTCCGCTGGATCTAGACTCAGAGAACGGAAAATAGTTTCACTAATCCACTGCGGGTACACTGCTGCAAAGTGGGGCTGTTTTGTTAAGGAACTCAACCCGGTGCCCAGGGTCGCCAAATCCAAAAGGATCTTTCCAAGCGACCAAATATCGACTTTTGTGCTCAGGTAGACATTCTTATGCACCATATACCGATTGGGGATGACCAGCTCTGGGGCATCGGAGTAGAGCCACTTTTCAATTTGACTGCGAGTCATACCAGGGAGGAGCATGCGTATGTTCATATGCTGATCGATAAGAACTGTTGATGTACTGAGACTTCCATTAACTATCACACCGTGAGGTTTGAAGGGAACATGCAGGTAAACGAGTGCATCAACGATTTGCTCAAAGATGAACGCAATTTGATCTGCGGACAACGGCTCTCTGGACAGTCTCCTGTTGGTTAAATATCTTTGCAGCGTCAGAGAATCCTCAAAATCGGTGAAATCTCTGTGCATTGAAGTGCATTCCAACAATAATTTGTGAGTTAGCGGTTGGTCTGGAGTATACTCTTCGGTGCAGGTACAAAAACCGTCATTAGCAAGATCCTCGATATCTATTTCAGAACTCAACGAAGATGACACCGAAAAATCCTGCATTTTTTGATAAGTATCCTGCAGGTCTGGCAAGTGGTCTCCTCAAGTGCATGAAGAAATGCAACCCACACAAGCCTACACATGGCCTGTAGATCTCTGGGGAGGGATAAGATTGAGCTTTTAATTATTGATCTCAGATGCTTACTCTTTAATGGAAAATTGTAATAAAACTGCTACTTTTTCAACTTGCCTCTCCGCTTTCCTTATCTTTTACCTGAACCTTTCCTACGTTTTGCGACACGTCTCGTATCATAACATATGAAGTTTGTAACGTCCTCTTTCATCTTACTGGTTTTTGGATTACTACACTCCTTAGCCGGCTCCACCCACTGCTTCTACCCTAACGAAAGCATCCTTATCTATGGACGAAATTCAACTGCAGAGCTCCGACTGTGGCCTTTGCAATCAAACCAAAGCCCCGTCTGTGCCTCTCTAAAGGGCGGGGGCACACTTCTTCTAGAGTCTCTATACTGTACTATATCTACCGAATTCCCTCCAGTGCCCATGAATCAGCCAATTGTCTTGACCTTTGCATGCACAGATTCAAACGACTGCGAGAGTATAGTTCGGAATGCAAACTCTTTTAGCTATAAGCTGTCTTCCGGGGTGTCTACTAACCAAGGAGTCGTAGATGGCTCTATCAAATCTTTGCAGCGGCATAACTTTATATACCACGAATGCTGGTCAAACCCTATCCTTTTATACACTGACTCTTCTATCAGGCCCATCTATGGGCTGTGCATCTCCGTTACCCCGACACCGTGCAGATCCCCGGCCGACTCGCTTCAGCAGGTCACTGCAGAGATACGCTTGGTGATAAACGGCACCTCATATAACCTACCTGTCGTCAGCTCGTCTGAGGGCAGTGGTGGGTTCTCATTGCCGTTTGACCACATGAACACGAAGTACTACTGTCACACTTGCCCCGCCCAAACCAGTGGAGAAGCACTTGATCTGTGTAAGAAAGTTGCCGGCTTGGTTAGGGAAACCATAAACTTTGAAGCGACACTAGTGGTCAACATTCCGTACACTAACACACATACCGGCATTCTAGCTCCATTGAGGTACACGACAGATGTTCCCATCAAAGGAAGTGTATATTATTTCAACTGCTTCAAGGACCCTCTCGTTGTTATTCTTTGGGACAGGATCTCAGTTTCGCTTCAACAAAATGAGGCCGCGTCGAACTGCGTTCTACCACCAAACACTGAGACTGTTTATTTTACTATGACGCTAGTCATAACGAACAACTCTGGAGGCACTTCTGAGTTGTACTTCAGGCACAAGGTAGGCAACTTCGTCTGGACAACCGATAGGTATTGGTTCCTTTGCAGAGACAACCAAACGTGCCTTTCGTTGGTTCATAATGCATATAGTAATGGGTACGAAGTCAGTGGATACCTGATAATAGAGTTTCACGACGCAGACGACTCTTACGTAGACGACCTCACCCTCTGGCTGAGCCCCCGCTATAACTGTTTCAAGCTTGTGGACCTTTTTGCTACTAAGTCAGACATTCGTATCGTTGTTCAGACCCAATTTAACTACTGTGCTGAACAGTACAAGGCAATCATAGGCACTAAGACATACAAGCTTCATATCTTTGAAAACCTCCTGGTCGACATGGAGTACATGAGAATTTTGCCACTTGGTCTCTTTGTTCAAACAATCACAAACTGGACTCCTCAAGATACATTGGTATTTTCTTGTTCTACCTATGATTCTACGTACACCGACAATCTATGCAAGGATGTCCTCGCAAGGGTCTATGAACTAGTGCGTGTTGGCAAAATCATTGCTACAGTCCACGTGGCCGGATACAGTACTGCAATTGGTCGTGTCTATAGGGCTAATTATATTCCAATCTATATCACAGCGGGCGTTGCTGGCGCATGCATTGTTATTTCCAGCTCCATATACGTGTTCTTGATGATTCGGCGCCACAAAGCAATACTTCATTTAATTCATACAGACGTTGAACCAGACGTTGAACCCGCTTTAACTCAGCAAAAATGATACTAATGTGCAAATTGCTAGACAGGAGCAGCACACCAACTACTCTACAATCGGTGCATCTATCTTTTGCTGAAGCATCAAAGTAAGTTTATTAGTCATTTATGTAGAGATTCTAGGAGATTACCTAAAGCAGGTTCTGCGATAGAAACTACCGGCTTTATTTTCTTTTTGGGAGCACTGGGGTTTGCACCAGAACTTTTTCTTTAGCTGTCTGATCATTAGGCCATGATAACAAGCACAGACTGAGTCTTGTCAGCCCGTTAGCCTTGCTGTTTGGTAATTAGCACGAACTCATCCCCCACACGAATGGATTTCTGCTCTTCTGCAAGGTAGATTACCTTGTGTGTGACGGGTACCTCATAGACCAGCACAATGGTCGATCCGAAGTGGAATTGACCGACCTCTTCTCCTGCGCTATACTCGTATGGTGTGTGCATATTGTGCTCAAAATAACCTGCCTTCCCTGATATTTCAATGCTCCCCACATTAAGAGCGCCAACAGCAACGTATGCGAAATACAGGGGGTCTATGTACTCTTCTAGCCAATATGAGCCTGACAGGATGACCCTCTCGTTTGCGGCCAGTAACCCCTTCACTCGAGGAAGGAACAAAGAATTCACCGGCAGCAGGTCTCCATGTGCATGTTTGCACCGTGTGACCAGCAGATTGCATGGGGCGTGAAAGCGATGATAATCTCCCGGAGAGAGATAAAATACGGCCCAGTGGAGAATTGTGTCCTTACATAGACACATCTTATCATCAGCTGAATCGGGAATTAGGAGATCACTTGCGCTGTACACCAGGCCTTTGCATGTGAGTGTCTGCATATAAGGGAATGAGAATACTCCATAGGATGTCAAGACGCTATCAGCCGGAGAGAATAAGACTGTGCTCGAGAGTATTGTGGCTTCGGACAGTGCTTCTTTTTGCAGAACAGTGGCTCCAACTAGACATTTCCTATTGAAGGAGAACTTGTAGTCTTCTGCGTCTCTTGAGTGTGTCGACTCTTTAAGTTGAAAATTCTTGCGTGTACCAAGATTAACTTTACGTGTGAAGAAGGCGTCGAGCGACAGATAATGGTCCAGAGGCTCTAATATCTCTGACGTAATAACCCCATAATGCCTGCACCACCAGGAGTAAAGTAAAGTTCGCATAGTTCGCGACTGAATGGGGGTCCTGCACAGCTTCCCCACCAAGGTAGATATGGTCGTCCTTGGGCTGAGTAGGATCGCCCAGTACAAGATAAGTTGCCCAAATGTATTAGTATGTCTCACATTTGATTGCTTAAAGTAGTAGCGAGACATTTGCAGGCCGGCTAACGCGCTGATGACCAAATAGAAAAGCCTTCTGTCAAGATTAACTACCGATTTGCCGAAAACAAGCGTTCCAAGGAAGGCGGCAGCCCGCTGAATCAAGTAGATGGATGTGACGATGAGGGTGAAGGACCACCAGCGAAACGAGCATGCAAGAGTGCGCTGGGAGGATGTGAGATCAACGATGCGCATCACGGTGGACTCTTTGCAATTTGCACTAAAAAGAAGAAGGGCCCGAAAAATTATTAAGACAGCTACGATTTTGATCCATGTTTACAGCAGATGATAACCGGCCCCCCAAGACAGTTATCGGTGACAAAAAGGCCCCTGCCGCGGATGATGATATAATTAGTGAGTTTGCGTTCGACGGAGAAGGCTCCGACACAGATTCTAACAGCGTTATAATCGAGGATGATGACATCATGTCGACTAAAAGGATAGGGACAGTGACCAGCAGCAAATTGGAGCTCCCAAAAACTATCTCCCTAGGAGAACTGAGCGACATTGAGAATAGGCTTTGCTAAGGCGCGTGCATTTACAAAGGTGTGGGATGGAAGGTACTAGGCGCACGCGGATCAGTAAATTGTTTGGTGGCCAGGCGGATTTTTGCAGTTATATTTGAGCTTGGGCCGGGATGACTGGGACCAGGGTCACTGCGCTCTGCTCCAATCTCTGTGCAGAGCGGGGTGCCCAGCTTCAATGAAAATTATATCAAACCCGTAGACCCTCTACATAGGAAACGAAAGTGCACCAATGGAAGCGTTAATGGCAGGGAGTCGGGACAATATCAAGGCCCGGGATCTCAAAGCTTTCCCCACACGAGCAGCTGCCGCTAGACTGAGGGTTGTCTTTGAGGACGAAGTACTGACGGAACGGCTCCGAGATAAAATCGATCGTTGACCCCTTAACATATGCTAGAGCCTTATTGTCAACACGCAGCTCAACGCCTCCCTTTTTCGTCACATCATCGTCCTTTCGCCGGTCCGTATCTACAGCAAACTTATAGGTTAGGCCTGCACAGCCAGATGTCATTACATTGACGCGAAGGAATTCGGAGGGCTTAAGAATGTTCCTGAGGCTGCTCACAGCAGCGTCAGTAATCTTTATCCCATTCTTTGTCAGACTACGAACCAACGGGGTAATAAGCGCTGGCAGCATGAGCAATTTCGGTTTTTATTTTTGACCACGCCCTCCCAGGTTTGTAGTCAGCTGGACACTCCGTGCTAGGCCAGTGGGATCCGCGTAGTGACCGCTAGCATATGCAAAGCGTTCCTCTTCATCAATCTGAGCCAGAAAGCAGTTCTTATGGGGTGAAACAAGACCTCCATATGGGACTTGCATTGGTGGCACTCCGCGGCCACTGATTAAGCCTCCTTGTTGGTGGTGCCTTCCACTTATCGGGTGAGAGCTGAAGTAGTTTGCTCGGCCCCTACTATACCCTCGGAGGAACGTCGTGGATTGACAACTAGAGCCACTTTTTGATGTTAAGCACGTCAAGCTAGAAAAATTAGTTGTGTGTGATGCTACTGTAGAGCGCCTATCTATAGAAGTTTTAGCCTCTATAACTGCGTCCCGCTCTGGGATAGTCTCTTGATGCTTCCAAAATCTATCTGGAGATGGAGGTTGGTGCAAGACAGGAGTCGTGGGTACGAATGTAGGGGTCGTACCGCTCAAACATTTGTCTATAAAGTGCTCATAGTTTCTATATGAATTAGCAGATTGAGATCGCGGCGGCACAAAATCAGAAATAGTATTGTTTGCACGCCGTCTTTGGGAGGATGACCAGGGCCGCGGGTCACTTGCTGCTTGTCTTTGGTTTGCTTTAAGTACCACCTGAGGAGGGGCGATCTGGGGACTCTCATGACGGCAGCTACCCCATTTTGTATATTCCCCCTCCTTATCTGCTATACGCCTGTCCTGCAAATGCTCGGGAGATGTGAGTTGTCGAATGCGTTCCTCTACTTGTCTCTTTTGTACCTTTTGGTTGCTTGTACTAACTTCCTTGGATGGTGTCGCTTGCATCAAGTGTGTGGCACAAGCAGGGAGTTGTGGGCTTATAACGCTCCCGTAGCTATTTGTTTCCATTGCTGCTTGACGCTTTCGTGAGAGTCGTGCGGACGAAGGGGTAGTAATTTCTCTTCCGGTAGGCCGCCCAGAAAGCTGGAGCGTTGCAACCAATGATGTAGCAGACTTCACTTTCCTTTTGAACTGCAGCCGCTTCTGCAGATTCACTTCCTCAGGAAACGTATCCATAGAACTGCACTCTTCTCCTGTGTAGTTATACTTCCGCTGCGGCCTGTGTAAGGCTGACTTTTTAACTGCTAAAATGTGATTCTTAGGAGACGGTGTGGGGAGAAAACTGTTTCGCTTGATCAATGGGGGGAACGAGTCATTGAAGGTCACCTCTGCCAGTGGCTCTTCTTGAAGATGTTGTGTCGCAGTTCCCTTCTTCTCTTCTAGCTTTGGGGACAAGCTAAGCTCTCTCCTGCATATGGTTGTCTCCACTGTCTGGGCCTCTGACACAAAGGCTAACATGGCGCTCCTAGGCCTCCTGGGCCGCGAGTCGACGGTCAGGCCTGTTGCTACCCGAAGGGGCGCCGACCTGGGACGAGATTGCTCGTTTCTAGAGAGAAGGCGCATGTGTGCATTGCGCTCCTCTGCTTGCTCTGTTAGAATTTCATGTAATATGCGATCTGTGGCTGATATGGAGGTAGCAGGAAGGGGAGCCTTATCTGCTCCTAGATGCAGCTGTGTGTCAGTGCGATAGTCCACATGACTAGATATGTTATTGTCGGGGTGAGCATAGTCGTCGCTTTCTAAGGGTAGGTTCCTAATTAGGTCCGTACAATTAAGGTATGTTGCATATGTACTAACCTTACCTGCACTGGAGACGGTTGGCCTCATCAGTCGCTGAAGACGCTTTCTATCACAATCTTGAGTCTTTGGATAATCTCTGTCAGTATGCCCTTGCACATACAGATTAAGCACGTCCCCTGTGTATAAAGAAGACCGGTAAAGCGGATGGTTAGAAAACGGGTGTGTTAAGTCAAGGAGCTCACTGTTCAAGGGATTAGTAATCGGTTCACCACATGAAGTAGTAACCTTTAGAAGATCCGCTTCCTTTAGCGCCTTCTTCTTCCTACTAGGAGTGATTTGCTCTCTATATGAGAGAGCTCTGCCCCTAACATTGAGCTCAAGAGGCTGCTTTCTACCAGATACAATGCGAGGGCTTCTGGACATTGTTGTGTGATGCACAGATGGCATGCTCATGGTTATATAGGAGATATCTGGTTTGCTGTTAATTACTACACGGCTAGATTTAAAGTGTGAGCTTCTCTTGAAGCCTCCGTCAAGATAGGTCGTTCTCGCCTCGGGGCCACTGGCTGATAACGTTCTTTCGGGTGCTGGGATTTTGTGCTTGAAATAGGCCAATTTGATACTTGCGTTACTTGCTTTGAGGGGTACGTGAAGAGAGTTAGAAGCTAGTGTATCTGTAGAGAGATCAGTGATATCTAGTGCCTGTGACGTATTACATGGAGCAGACTGTTTCTGAGGTCTTGTAGAGGAGGCTGTTGCGGGGAGCGCCGTGGATTTCTTGCCTAAATGCGAATCATAGACCTTCTGTTGTCTATCCACTGTTGTGACAGGACAAGGCTTAGGCTTAGCAGTCCGTGGCTTATATGCTTCAATTCCCAAACCGCTTGTAGGTTGCAGATCGGCTAATTCCACAATAATTTCAGAGGGCATAGAGTAGCCATCAATGGCGCTGTATGGATCGTCGATTGACATGGGCTGCTGGACAGAGACAGAGGTAAGCTCATGGGGGATGAATTCAGGCTGAATAACGGGATCGGGTCCCCAAGGGTCTGCCTGGGTCCGATGTGGAGGATCATCGGTTCCATGATCTACAGGTTTAGTAACGCCATCATCTAAATGAATGACGCTACCTCTGCAATGCTCAGAGATACCAAGTACTGGATAGGTCGCCTCGTGAGCGATCAAAGACCGCATGTGGATCGCAAACACAAAGCCTTTTATGAAATGGGGAAATCGTGGGCAGAAACCTCACAGTGCGGCAGCACGGTTTACACTATACAACTAAAACTGGATTTTTGCATTCATGGCTCCAATGGAGGTAATAAACTTAGTATTTGTAAGCTCTTCCCGTGTACGGCGTTCCTGGGCTTCCCTCTTTTCAACATTTAACTGCGCACGCTCATCAGATAGAAACTTGATGTCCTCGTATAGCTTATCTCTGGTCTGCACAAGTTTCTTTATGGTTTCCTTGGCTTTGTCTATGTCGCTGTTATGATGCATGGTCATCTCTCGCTCAACCTCGAACTCGTCATCAAGACGACTGACGTCTGTCTTTTCTGTTGTTAGCTTGTATTGGAGAGTCATTATCTCGTGGCTCATGGTGGCAATTGATTGCTTGTAACGTGCCCCTTGCTCGAAGATGCGGTCAACCTCCTGCTTCATTCTGTTGTTGCACTCATCCTGATCCTGGACCTGCTTTCCGAGAGCCCGGATTTTGTCTCGAAGTTTTGCAGCCTGAGAATTAAGATCCTGAACCTCCTGCTGCTTCCGCTTGTATTCATTTGTGACTTTCCTCGCTATAGATGCCATGTAAGTGCTGCTGTTGGAATGCGACTGAGAATTTTGGCTGTTGGTTTTATGCTAAGGAGTTGAATAGGAGTTTAATAATTGAAATGTTACCTTGCAATCTTGCAATTATGGGTGAAAGTGTGGTGATGACGGTCCTGCAAGTAATGTTGCTTTTCATCCCTTCATCTAGGGCATTGTACCGGCAGCATCAGTCCTCTGTGACGATGTGAACACTGCTCGAGCTACTCTCGGACCTTTCCGGCCTAAGACCCAGAGATGCCTGCTTGGATGTGCGGGGCGGGTCGATCGCGGTACCCTGTGTTTCTTCATATGTAGAATTGTTGATAAGATACTGGAGAACCCAATACTTCATTGCGTTCGCAGATGTTTGTCGATACAGACCAGTCCAGTCCCCTGATGCCAGGTGCTCGGGGGTCATCTCATCTGGCAGTCTGTACCCATCCTGGAGCATTGATAAAAGCGAGAAGACAAGAACGAACATGTGATAAGCACAGCTATACTGGTCACGCTGCTGGCAAATCTGCAGGGACACCACAGACTTCCTCGTAAATGGTTCTGGGTGGGGGCTCCCTGTGGAGACCTCGGAGCCAAGCTGCTTATCAAGCGCATTCATGTACTGTATGATCTGTTTGTTATAGCTCTCATCTACCGGATACTGCAGCATGGAGTTACACTGAAGGATGTTGTCCACCCATATCAAGGTTGGCCTCCCTGTTTCCTTAGATCCACCGCCACATAGCTTTGTAAGTACGTTGCTCAGCTTAGACTGCTTTCCAATGTACATGTAAATAGACCAATGATTATTACAACATATGGGAAATATCACCATGTCAATTAGCCAGAGCCTGGTACGCGCTGTTGGTAATTCAGTGGACTCCAGGAAACCCTGTGTCAGGAGATCTACGTTATGATAGAAGGTTGATGCAATGGAGTTGTAAGGACCAAGAAACATGAAGGGAGATGCACAGAAAGTTGTTGTTCCATAGAATGTGTCGAACATCAACGAGAAGTGCATCAGGACTATATCAACCATGATGTCGTTCGTGTAACAGTTTCGCCGGAGCTGCTCAAAGTCACTCCTTTTGGACAGCGACCGAGTAAAGGACTGGGTAACAAGACTACTAGTCAACGTGTTGATGTACTTATCTGCTTTTATGCCCTTATCATCTTTTCCTGTCGTGTTCATCAGACAGTCCAGTGAAATGTTATCATCACAAAACTGGGGAACCACGCAGTTGTTATTAATGTGATCAACCACCAATCCCACTCTGAGCCGTAGCTTGTTGCAAACCTGCCTCTGCTGATCTTTCGTCAGAGCTGTGAACGCATCTTTACACCAGGAGTCTTTTGGACTGGACAGCTGCTCTTCGTTAAAAATGCCACCACTCAACACATCCAATAGTAGCGCCGAGAGATTGAAGTATTGCCGATATTTTCTTTTCAAGTTATGTAACGCTACTATCCTTTTAATGGAGTCCAAGGCTACAATCGTAGAGTAGGGCAGGTTCGTATGCGAGCGTCGTATACTGTAGCATAGCATGGTATCATAATTTATATAATGAGACACACACTGTTGCTGGCAAAGAAGGCCAACAAGGTATCGAGACTCCTTATCATACTCTGTAGATCTCATACCCTGTTGGATGAACGAAAGCTTCGGTAACGTGAACGGGCCCATAATGTGATACTTTACTGGATGCATATCTTTTTCTGGGCCAGATGGGGAGGGATGTTCGACCCAATCAGATGCAACGAGAGTCTGCTGTCTGGAAGGAGAATTAATAGAAGGTATTTGGCGTGTGGTACAGAGCTCCTGGAGTGTTTCCTGCGTCAATACATCTTGAGATAACTGATCATGCAGCACTAGAGTCTCAGGGGATACATTCAGCATGATATTGGTGATTGCAAGCATAGATTGAATCTGATTGAGTCGTTGATCTCTGGTCTCTGGAGGAGTGACTATGGACATCGAGTGTGTGCTATCGAAGCACCGTGGAGGGGACCCCACGTCTTCGTTGTCATTTTGGAGAGAGGTCCTCGGGTCAGAGAGTCTTGGCTGCGATAGACTGCAAGACATCACTGCGGGTTTCTTAGGTATAAGCTGGGCATCCTTAGCCTTTTTGTCAGCTCCTGCGTGACTCGGTGAAAACAGCTTCAAAATATTAGGCTCCAGACGTGCCATTATAGGAGACAAGTCTTTTGCCACGGCACGGTATGGATTTGGCCGTCGGGGCGGTGAAGCGGGAGGCGCATGCTTAACTGTTGGCTCCATCACCGCTGCACATTTATTCTTAGGAGACTGACTCGGGGACCGGCGTGCTACAGTCTCCCCAAGAAGACCCTTTTTCAGTGACGCACGCGGCTGTGGTGAAGGCGCGTCCATCTGTAAGCGTGGCTGCCTTAAGGGGTAAAAAATCTAAAGCAAAATCCCAGGAGAGGCGCCGCCAGGTCTTTCTCTCAATTCAGACACATATAGTTGTAGACATACATTCACTCTATTCTCCGACAGAGTACCCATAGCTTTCCTTCATAAGTGTCCTAGAGTATGCTGCTACGAGATTGTGGGCAGACATCATGTTGGCTAGAGTAGGGTTTTTTCCAGCAAATCTCTCCTTCATCTTGTCCAGATTGCAAGACCCATAATTTACCAATCTGTCGAGGACTGCCTTTAGCTTCGTGTGTATGTGATCTGCTGCGTCGGAGATACCGATGCTATTAAACTGGACGCATTCTGCGATGTAACGTGCCTTGCTCACAGCAGCCCCGTGGATGCAGAATGGGTGTCCATGATTGCCTAATATGGTCTCTATGCAAAGCCCGTGCGCTATGCCAATTGAAATGCAAGCCTTTGACAGGACTCGTCTCACTCTTTTGACAAAGTAATCCCGCATGTACTCACCTAATGCCAACATATCGCATAGGCAGACAGCAGTGCACAGTTCCTCCTTGGTATACTTTATGTTTGCATTTGTGAGATCACTAGCACCAGTTTCATCGCTGAGCAACCCTGCAGTTGACTCCTCCACCGACACTGTCATCGATTCGCTAAAAAGCTTATGGTTGGAGTCGAAGGCACGATGATGCTCTCCGAATGGGGCATTCATAGAGCTTAAAGATGAGTTAGATATAAACGGCTTCTCTTTGCCGTATATCTTCTTTAGATATTTATTATTCAATGTTTTCATTGCTATGGGAAGCATAGTCCGGGCAGATTTGAAAAGAGATAGGAGGTTCAATTGTGTGTTACTTACGTAGGACAAGACGTTATTCACCATCTCGTCACTGCAAGAGGTTGCGTTGCATTTTGTGTACATTTCGATTTTATAAAACGAGGTCAATGTCACCACTATGTGTCTTCCGAAGCGAGCAAGATAAAGGTACAGTATCTCTATGAACTCTCGAATTATCTGAAATTGTATGCTGGAGTAGTAGAATGCATCATTTGTCTGTGTTCTAAAAGGAAGTATTGAAGACGGGGCCCCTGGGCAGCTTGTTGATTTGGAGCCTTCAGCAGAAGCCTCTACAGAGAACAGGTTTGAAAAGGAGATGACCATGCATATACTATTAGGAGAAACATCCGCATATCTCCGCATGCCTAATGTTCGGCTATCATTGTAGCTAGTATATCCAAGAACAAACTCGTCAGCAGCAGCGAAAGCATCCTTTAGTTCGCTACGCAGTTGATGTACATCTTCTCGCTTATGTTTCCAGTGGTGTCTGAGATCTTTTAGAGTCGCATGGGGCTGAGTAACTCGACTGCTTGCGTATCTGGGTGAAAAGTGACTTGCAGACCGAGGTGATACCCTGAGTGTGCTGTCATAAAAGTAATCCACGGGACACGCTTTCCAGTGACTTAGCTCTTCACAGATATGTTTGCTGGTGCCTACAGTTAACTGGGTGCTACATTTGCCATCCGAGAACTGCTGACTGAAGGATTCATTCGCTAACTGAGATACATCGCCTTCTTTAACGAATTTTAGGCCAAAGGCAGTGTGTTCTTGTAAAGGGTCTTTGAGCTCAGATAACAGTCCAATGCCGTATCCGTACAATTTTGCAGGTTGAAGTATCTTTTCGTTGAAAACGTTCCATATGAAGTCTCCTATTCGATACAAGAGATAGCGATGCGATAACGCTCTGTTGCTTATGGAGCTATCGAACAAAAACACCGTCATATCAGTGATAGATCCTCTAATGGATGTGTGTGTCTGAGCGATGAATCCACAATTATTGGTAGAAAGCCGTTTGTAACGCCTACAGGTAGCAGACACACTACCAACGTCATTCTCAGTCGAGTCGTCAGGGAGCGTGCAGCACCGGAGGCCCATATTTTTAGCCATCTCGTTATTTATTTCTCCGTCCTTATCCTTTAAAATGCTCAGGTTTTCATGCATCCGGAGAGACTTGAGAAGCAGTGCAAACATGTGGTCAGATATCACAAACTGGAAAATTCGCTGGGACTGATACCAATTTAATAAGATGCTGACCTTGGCCTTCATAATCAAAATGTAGCTAATCAGGAACGGTTTGACATATTTAAATATAAAGAGACATAAAAGTGCCTGGAGAAGCAGTACATAGGGGGCCACCTTGAAAACGGAGAACTTCATAACAAGAGAGCAAATGAAGATGACGATGTTATTGATGGAAAGAAGCAATGGAGGAACAGTGACAACGGAAGAGAGGATAAACCAATACGTTACAATACCAAGAAGTGTCAGGAAAAAATCTAGGATTGTTTTTGTTAATACTCCACGCATGTGCACAGAGCTCTCCAGACAAGCTGCCTGCAGAGCAGTGTAGACGACGAGCTGATGATTATCTCTCATAGACTTCAGCTCACTTCTACAAAGCTTAATGGTCTTGAGGAGTCGTGTCATCTGGATAATTTGGAAGTTTAGAAGCAGCTCAATATAGTAAGCGTTGATAAATACCAGAAGCGCATAGAGAGATAGCTCCAGTGGTACGATCTTGTGCTGTGTCTGGCACTTTCTCGCGTGCCTATCGTAGTAGAGGAATATCAAGTAGACTGTCGGGAGGAAGACGAGTACATAGATTAGCCGTAGAGCAGAAATTGACATGCCCTTGCCCGTGATAAATTGAGCTAAGATCCAGAAATATGTCCTCTCAGAATTCCATGATAGCGCTACGGAAGACAGGATATTTTCTACAGCACCACGTATCGAAATGCAAATCCTGTGGAGCAGCGCCCATTGTAGCTTAGAATTAAGCAACTCTACTACGCGGATCACTAGTTTAAGGCACATGACCATAATAGACCTTAGCGGTATGCAAAATGCTTGCTTAAGAACGTTAGCGGGAATAGGTGCGAGGGTGGATACGTAGTTGTGCGCCAAATCGAAAATGCCGTTGTCGTGGGTGTTATCCCGCAAGACAAGCAGCTGGATTACGAATAGAAGAACATTAGCTTGGAAAAGGACATTCAGCATGCTAAAGTTAGGGCCCATCAATCGGAAAAGGAATGCACACCTTTTGGTGCCCTTGTAGAGAATGAATGAGAAGACGGGAAGTAGCATTGACGTGGATTGTAACGTTTCAAATAAGTGGTTGAGATATGGAATGGAGTCAAAGACATGCCGAGTTGTCTGCTTGGACGCACTGATGTCTACCTTAGGCAAACCAGCTCTGGTTGGGCTATTTTCTTTGTCACTGATATAGGACTCTGTCTCTTCGAAGGTACTGGCTTGCTTCCTAAGCCAGGGACCGAGACAGACACCCTTTAAGAGTCTCTGCATGCGAAAACACCATGCAAATAGAATTTTTACTATTGCACTGGCCGAGAAACGCAGCTTGGTCCGTCTAGAAGAGGCCTCGTGGGTAGCAACATCTTCGTCTGGAATCTTGGAGCTATCAACAAAAGGAGTGGGTGATCTGCTATCTACCATATAATCTGTCAATGCCACGTGACACTGATGGTCTGGTTGATTGGATGCAGCAACAAGAGCTCGAGCTTCCAAGGAATTCTCCCTGGACAGTTGTGCGATCTTCATGCTATTTTGCATGTCAGTACAAGGCTTCTTGACAAATAGCTTGATATTTTGAAAGGGGCTGTTTCCACTAGACTCGTGTAAGTCCTTTACAGAGTAGTGCCTGTCCATCTGAAAATCCATTTGAGTGTGTGTGTCACTGTTACAAACAGAAGTAGATTGGAAAATTATGTCATCAACAAGTGAGAGATTCGTTATTCCAACCACACTTCTAATGTCATCGTCACTTTCAAGAGACTTGGTGTAGCGTCTATCAGTGGAGTCTTCATCAGAGGAAGATTGCGAGTAGTAGCTGCTTGAGGTCATGCTATGTGTTATGTCACGCAAACAGGGACTAGAGGTTGTGTGAGTAGCAATGCACTCTTCTGCCTTCTGATATGTGACTGACAAAACAGTGCTCGCTCTTTGGGCAGGATTAGTTGCCTGGTTAGTGGCATCATCTATTTCACAAGTAGAATCCATAAGTTCCCCGTTAGAACAGGTAGCTTCGCAATAGGTCGTGCTTGTTAGCGCAGGGCAATCCAACGGAGAGCTGACCAAGTTGAAAATGCTGTTATCTAGACTGTCCTCTGAGTCCCTGGATGCCTGTACTATATCCCCGTTTTGATTGGAAAGGATCGACGAGCTAACAGATAGGGAATCATCACTACTAGACAGACCGGAGTCTGAGGATGGATTGAATTGATTCACAGCTAAGGACGGTGTAATCACGTTGAAGCAAACGTGGTCTACGGATTGGGAGTATTGCTGGCATGGTTCTGCGATAACGTTGTCTGTCTTTCCCCTTATGATGCTCAGCTGTGTATCCTCGGAAGTCCTCGTGCTGAGTGTTTCTAACAGAAGGCTGCTTGATTCATTGATTGTGCTATCCGCGACCAGTTCTAAGGTACTTAGGCTTTTATCATCATCTGAACGGTCTAGATCGACCAAGGTAGAATCTGAAGGAGGAATGCTAGACAAAAGATGTACCTCCTTTATCACTACGTTCTGGCCAAGGATATCCGTTACGGGTGAGACAGTAGTAGAATTGCTGTGGCAGTGGTCGCTAGAGGGCTTCGACATGCCATGCCCGGAACTTGTATGAGTATTACCGAACGCTTGTGATGAAGAAGACAGGTTTGCTTTAGATGTGGACTTCTCTAAAAGCATTGGATTGTAACTCTGTATATTGGATACTAGAGTATCGCTGGATATGGCAGAGTGCGGGACATTTCTCATTAAGTTATCCCTTGTTCTTGAGCGAGCCAGTTTTGCGGATATAGAGGATATCTTAGAAATTTGTCTGGTACGAGGTCTGAACCTTTGATGTTGATCTTTATAATATGGTAGCGCTTTGTCTTTGTCTGATAACTCTATGATATCTACATCTGTGGATAATATCTCCTCCGAAGTAGCTGTAGTTGTTTCAGCGAGATTCATGATTGCCTTCAGTTCCGATTTTCCACTATCAGACACTTGATTTGAAAGCAGCTCCAGGCTCTGTGACTTGTTGGGGAAAAGAAACCCTTTCACAGAACGTGACAGCTGACGAGTGAGGAGCTTAGAATTTATAAGAAGAATGTCTCTTGGAACAATGTCATTTGCTTCTGGAAAAAGAATGAGCATCCCGTCGTAAAGCTCTTCCTGGTAACGCGCTATGCTTTCCTTGCTAATGGTGTGCGCGTTGAGGACGTGTTTGTAGTACTCTTGAGCACTCATTCGTCCTGAAAACTGACTGGTTTTGTTAACATGTCGCGCTGTGCCGTAGAACATAAGGCAGTCATCATCAATCGGGCTAAACTCTATGTCATAGATGTGCTCTAGCGTCTGACAGTTTGAAAGGTTTTTGAGAATGTCAGAAAAAGTTCCAAGGTGTCTAGACATGGTGGAGTAGCATGTTCCCTGAAACTGGGTTAACGACGACGAATCCTCCGAGTCGTACATCTGCATCTCTATCGATGGGTCTCCGAAGAACTGCAGACGCGAACTAAAGTCGGCATTACTGTCTTTCCACTTTCCCTTGGGCAGAGGAAGCATTTGCAGCGGATTTATGTGCAGTAAGTTCCCCACATTGCGAGCCGTGAACGTAAGGGATGGAAACCTGGTCAAGGAAAGCTGTGACTTATTTTTCTTAACCGTAGAAAGAGCTGCCCTTTTCTCGGAGTTCTTAGTTGAGTTGCTGGCGCGGAACGACGAGCTAGATTCAGAGAGCATATCTGTCAATCCCAGCCACTTGTTGCCAGTAATGTTGGTGCCGGAGTTGGTATTCGTACACGTGTTGGTAGTTGTTCTTACGCTAAAGGTAAAGCTAGGGTCACTTGACGTGCAGAGCATCTGTAAGGTATTATCATCAGTGCAGCAGTTAGTGAGGCCAGAACAACCACGCTTATCGTTCTTCTTTGCTAGTGTCAACTGGTTATCCGACCTGCTATTAACGACATTGCGGTTGTCGTGATTACTGCTCATCTTATGTGTGAGTCCCTTTGCCACCGCTCTGCGCATGGCGGTACGTGTGTATGGGGCCAAAAAACCGATTGATGGGAGAGCTATAGTGTTTGGGAGTGGTTGATTAAAAGAATTAGGTAGTAGCACATCTGGTAGAAATACCGCCTCCGGTATTACGGGGAACAGATGCAGAAATACATTATCACTTGTACGAGGGGTTGTTTTTTCTCGGACAGCTGGTGAGGTGTCAGACTGTGAGTTATCTGTATCCCACCGGCTTCTGAATTCCCTACGAGGAGCAATACTGGCCCGCCTGTACGACTCTAAGGACATAAAGTTCAGTAGCACAGGATCTTGTAGGACTTTGAGTGATATGTCTGCAAAGCATGACGCCTTGTTGTTTGTGCACAGCGAATCATAATTAGCAGTGTTAAGAACCTCTTCAACGGGATAGGGCTGGGTGGTCCGTATGTCATAGGCGAGACTATAAATCAGTAGCTTCATCAGTATGTAGACAAGCTCCGGTCTGGGAAGAACCTCGAAGAAGTAACTGTTCTCACAAATAATGTCATGCCTAGCGCCCCTCAGCAAGCCCTGAACAGAGCAGCGCAATCTGTAAGGTAAAGGAAGCAGATTATAGCATGGGGGCAGCAGTTCATAAATGCTGTGGTGCGGGCTTTTAGCTATCGAGTGAGACTGTAGGAGATTAACGAACATATCTGTATTGATCAGCTCAGAGATAAAGATGTCTTGTGGGATGTCTGTGAAGAAGTCCTGTGTTGAAAACGCATCATTGTACCCCGTCACTTGATTGATAAAGAAGATCCGGTTATCTGTGTTGATAGTCTGGGCGTTTGTTTGCCTAGTGACGCGCACAGGCGTCGTCTTTTTCGTAGGCTTAGCGCAACGATGCTGTTCCTTTACAGAGGGATATCTGCTGGGAAGCTTAAGGGCAGCGGGCTGTGTCTCTGGATTAGTTGCGCTACTTGCCGAGGTTGAGGGAGCATCGCAAATAATCTCGTAGAAGTTACTGAGTATACCATTTAATAGACTCAACCCAGGATTAACTAGTTCGAAAACGTGATGCTCAAACCCAAAAAATCCCATCACGGTACGCGTATAGACAATAATAGATGTGCACTCAAGACCCATGGAGTTTGCAAAATAGGACGCCATGGCGGCAAACGTTAAAATTGTTTGCAGGCATACTCCCTTGGACTTTGTGATGCTGCTATTGACAATGTCGGCATCAACGGGATAGACAGGCTCAATTTGCTCCTTAAACATAGCGGATGCATGCGAGGAGAGATCCGTGTAGACGTAGTAAGCCTTTGTATCCACCTTTAGCTTATGCAAGCATAGCTTAGGGCTGAAGAAGCTAGAGAGGATGTAGTCGAGTGTTGAGAATAACAGGTTGAGAAGCCCCAAGTAATTGAGCTCATCGGATAAGGTATAGACAGTCTTCGAGTTAAGCACGGACATCACCGGCCGCTGGACGTGGATCATACAGAGGAGGATGTACCGCTCGTGGATGTGAACATTGACCTCGTACTTTACAATCGGATTGCGTTTCCTTAAGATTTCCGGATTGATCTTATTTTTTTTAGATTCGTGCAATGACTGTGACAAAGCTTCATCGGGCATAGAAGCAGACAGAACAGAGTACAGCATACCCTGCTCATGGTTAGCATCATCATTAACATGCCTGAATGGAAGGGGTAGTAAGCACAAGGGATATGGGAAGGCTGGATTAATGGGGGGCCTAGGAGAAAGTCCTCCACCTTGAGGATCCTTAGTAAGCATGGGAATATTTCTGGTCTGACTGTGCTGCTTCAAATTGCTCATGGACTTCCTATGGAGGTTATAGCTCTCCGTGTCCATGAAGATAGACGACGTGGACGAGGTATACAATGTCTGCGTATAAAGGTTAGGAGTTGAAGAGGGTCCCAAGGCATACATAGAAGGAGCACTCTCAACAGAGGTTGTAGAGAGAATGGTAGGCAAGGTGTAGAGAGTATAACTTTCAAGAAATTTCCTCCTCCTAGTTGAGAGCCTGTGTTTATATGTTTGCTGAGAATAGGAAGGCATCATCCGGTATAAAAACTCCGACGGTGCAAGTGCTCGGAAGACAGACATGACCAAATGAAGCAGGCTGTGGTTAAATGTCGTGTACTCTAGCACCTCTAGGTACGCGTCCATACGCTGAATGATGTTGCGGATAACCAGCGAGACAACTAGTGCAAACACAAGATACATGCCAAGACAGGCCAGAGACTGAAAGACGTTAGCATAGAAAAATACTGGAAGTAAGCTGAAGATGGAGCAAATATATCGGCAAAGCTCGCTGAGTGGAGAGACAGAAACGATAAGCAAATGAATCACTGCCTGACAAACATAGACAGAATACAGAATAGTAAATTCATCCGGATTGACTCCAGACAACACAGCAAAGCATGGGATAATGCCGTAGCAGACCATAAAAACATTATACCGTTGCAGAATACTGATATGCTTATTTCTGCACGAGCAGCTAAAGCGCGGATGGGGCGGGAGGAGATAAAACCCTCGAGAGCAATAGTCGCATTTATTCAATAGCCTGAGCTTCCGGAGCGCAGTAGAGCAGCATATAAGCGAGATAATCTGTGGGAAGGCAAAAAGCATGTACCGAACCCTGGTATGATACGTCAGCTCGAAGATCGGTAGGCTGAAGAAAAGAATCAGAAAGGCCTCGAAATTCTGGATGGTGACAAGGACGTGCTGCGAGAGGATTTGCAGAAGAGGCCCCGCACCACCTAGCGCGCCAGCTAAGCGCATTGCAGAGATAAACGAAGAACAGAAATATTAATATTTAAAAGCTTCTGTGAGTTTATTGAAGAAGTCGTCTAATTATAAAGTAAAGAGCAATGCTACTACCGCCAGCGAAAGATATGGCCAAAGCTGCCCCGAGAACCACAAACTTCGCTGTGCTCATTTTTGTGGAAACACAAGCGACGATTGTACCATTATTTGTCACTGTCGTGTAACCGGCTCCGCAGCGTAGACAGACCATAGTGTCTTCAGAGCCTGCTTGGCACGTCACACAGCCCTCCATTGTTTGAATGCACATCCGACAAACATTTCCACTGATGTAATAGGAATCGTTTGAAAGACATTCATCTGCCAACACACACATCCCGTTGAGCATATAGTAACTTGTATTGCACGATAAGCAGTAGTCTTCCGTTGGCCCCGAGCATGTAAGACACTGTGTGTGGCAAAGATGACAGCCAGGCTCATCAGACTTGTACGTGTTGAGCGAGCATGCGACGCAGTCGGCCTCTTCCGGACCAGTGCAGCTGACACACGCAGGGTGGCATGGCACACAGCGGTCCTCCAAAGCGGTGCTCCCCAGAACTAGCGCCTCACTCGAGTTGCATGTGGAATGGCAGGGCATTCCGTATGCTCCTGCGTAAGCACCACGGTAGCATTCTGTGCAGAACGTCTCCGACCTACACTCTACACAGCCACGGGGACACTTGTGCTCGCAGAGGTTACCATCTCCGTTGTAATACCCGCTAGCACAGGCAGTGCAGTGTGCACCTGATGCCTGGGTATTACAATACCGACAATTGGCATACTGTGGCTCAGATGGGCAATTAGTGCTGGTACTAATAGTACTCTTGGCACACTTGCAATCTTCCTGTAGAGTCATACCGTCAGGACAAGTGTCACACAGTACTCCAGAGTTACACCACCACAGCTGACTGCAAGAAAGACACTTGTGAGTATCAGGACACTTGGTGCACACGGAGTAGAACCCAATCTGTTGAAGATAGTATCCCACGTTACACACGCTGCAACTGGCGCCGTCAGAAGTACAGGATAAGCAACCATCTTCATTCTTAGTACAGATTGGTACTAAGCAGATTCCGGGTTGAGAACTGCTGGCCGATGACTTTGAATTGATGCAGGATGTGCACTTGCCTTCCTCACTACCGACGCACGTCTTGCATGAACCGTGGCAAGCTTGGCAAACCTCGAATTTTGCGCGAGTAACTTTGAAGTACCCATCTAAACATTTTGTGCAATTGCCTGATTTATCTGTGGTGCACTCCACACAATTCTTATTGTTATCGTCGTGATGATTGTTGCATCTAGGTGTCGCACATGTACCAGCAATTGGGTCCCCGAGAGGACATGACAAGCAATCCGAAGCCCCAGGACCGTTGCAAGAAAAGCAGCTCGCATGGCAAGGCCTGCAGAGTGAGTAGTCTCCGAAGGTGACCTTGTAGTACCCTTCCTCCTTGCAAGCTCGACAGCTGTTGGCCGTAGCGCATATCTGACACCCGTACGACTCGTTGCAGACAGGCTCAGGACAAGTCTTGCCACCGGTAGGCGCTGCCCCATCACTGATGCACGTTGTACACTCGTTGTTATTGGAGGCGGTGCAAGTGAGGCACGTTTTATAGCACCGTTGACACTTTTTCTGAGTATTTAAATAGTACAGCTGATCGCATGTCTCACACTCAGATAGAGTGCCCTTGCAGGTGATGCATCCTTCCATAGGAGGACATGGAAGACACTTGCCATCAGAAAGGCCGTACCCGACAGCACATTTTGTGCATGTTGCCCCTGTCATGTCACAATCGATACAGTTCTCCATATTATTGCAACGCTCACAGACCTGGACTGAGGAGCGAGTAGTAACATGATATCCATCCTTACATCTACTACAACTTTTCCCATTACTGTCACAGGTCGCGCAGTTGTAGTTGGTATTCGTAGGGTCGTTAATCTTACAAACAGGATCAGTGCAGTGCCCATCAGCAGACGCATAAGTGGTGCAAAGCAAACAGTCAGTCTCTAACGGTCCAAAGCATGTATAGCAAGTGCTGTGACACTTTGTACAAACGTCGTATGCCCCAACCTTTTCGAGGAAGTATCCATCTTTACATTCAACGCAATTAATCTTATCTGTAGAACATTGTATACAATTATCGTTGGTTCCGCCGACTTGTCCATTAGTCGTTGTGCATGTTGGCGGTGTGCAAGCTTTTTCGGGAGTAGCTTTACCTACAGCACACTCTATACACTCATCCTCATTTTCATTTGCGCAAGTCTTGCACAATGGACTGCACGGCCTACAAAGCTTGTACTTTCGAACTGATGCCAGATAGTATCCATTGGCGCACGTTGCACAATTATTATCGTTGCCGCAGTTATTGCAATGATAGACTGTATTTGTAGCATCATTCATTTTGCAGACGGGAACTGCGCAAGTACCGTCAGCACTGACGCCTCCCGTAGGACACGTCAAGCACTCCATTGGGCCTGGTCCTTTGCAGGTGAGACAAGTCTCATGACACTCGAAGCAGCTGTACGTGTTTGGATCGTAGTAATATGGTCCAGTGCATGATGCGCACGAGGTGGGATGATACTCATCAGGGATGCAGAACTTGTATGTAGAGTCATTACTGTCCACGCACTTTCCGTTTATTGGTAGGTAGTTAGTTGCGCAGATTTTACAATAGATCACGTTATTGTCCGAGCCGCATGAGTTACAATTGGTAAGTTGCAAGTCACACGGGCATGCGCTGGGTGGAGAAGACTCCAACTCGCCAACACGACATGTCAGACAGTCAAAGTGAGAAGGTCCTGAACACGTGCTGCAGGAGCTGTGACAGGAGAAGCAACCGAAGAATAGAGAGTCTAAATAGAAATCATCTGTACATGAGCTACAGATAGTATACCCGTTAGACGAATCAGGAACACACTTAGAGTAATTTGCATTACTAGAATCCACGCACGCCCCATTAATCAAACGCAGATCCTTTAGACAAGCGATGCAGATGGTATCGTTTGGCGGATCGGCGCACTTATAACACGAATCAGTGGGTGATCCGTTGGCACACCCTGTGGCAGCGCAAAGGGCAAGAGACAGGAGAGCGGCAAACACCATACACATTTCTCATTTTTTGAAAGGATTCAGGCATGGATAGACCGCTAGCAGAGATCTGTCAATCCATCCTGAAGAAGATCTTGCTGACTCTGAAGCCGGACAAATACATATCAGAAGCAATACTCGAAGGAGAAGCAATTGCGGTTTCCGCCCTGCGCTCCGTAGACCCTGATAGTGGGCTTGCCTTTCCCTTGTCACTGAGCATTGGAAGCGTCATCGGGGACTACTCGCCGTCAGACACTATTGTCTCAACGCGCTTGCCCATGCATAAGTTGATTCGGGTTAAGATAGGGCTCTATGTGGGCAAGAATGTTTATTACATGGGGACGACTGTTGTGTTGGGAGTGTCCGAAGGCACAGTCCCCACCTTCCCCCAGCTTACTGACAAGTCGGCCACATGCTTGGCGGCAGCCTACATTGCATACCTTCTCATTACAAAGCAGGTAAAGAGCCAGACCCCCCTCGCTGAGGTCCGCAGCATCATCGAATCGGTCTCGCAACACTTTGGGGTGCAGCTTCTAGAGGGGGTTGCCTCTTATTGCCTTACAGACAATGGGGTGGATCACAAGCTCGAGGTCTTCCAGAATGCCGCAGACCAACCCTTGGTCACGGGCTTCCTGGCAGACGGAGACATCTTTGTTCTGGACATCATAGTGACAGATGCAAAAGACACCGTCCCCAAGCCTGTGCAGGAGCAGCCATATATCTACCTACCCCCGGAGCTGTCTGCCGAGGGCAAAATCTTTACCCTAGGCAAGACGGGGTTGGTTCAGAAGGAGCTGCAAGAAATGAGAAGATTCCCCCTTGCTCGGCGTCACATTTCGCAGGCCAACAGACGACAATTTGATCACTATAAGGACTCCATGCAACCGTTTGTCTTAACAAAGCTTGCATCTGGCGCGAACATAGCTCAAATACTCTCTACATTACAAATTAATTCAGCAGGTTGTCTAGTCCTTGCAGGTCCTGTTCTTCCTAATGTTGTTAAGCCCCCTGTTCAGCCAACAGAAGAAATGCGGAAGTATTTCTGAGTAAATAAAATACTTCATGCTCTTAAATCTAAACGGGGACTCCTTTGGAGCCGACCGTGATGGCATCTGCGTGCACTTCGTCCATCAGATCAGGCGTAAGAATGCAGCCTATGCAATTCAGATACTCTCTCTTTCGGTTTCATTAATACTTAGTTTAGTAGTGGCCATCTCTCAACAAACAGCTGTCCAGAGTCTACGCTTCCTTGTCGCAACAACATTGGTGATGGTCCTCCATGCTTGCTTTATTATTTTTACAGAGAATTACTACGATGTGCGTTGCCAGTGCACCTCAGAATATCACTCTATTAGATCATTTACACTTATGGACAAGCCGTGCAGCTGTTTCACAACTACTGTACCTACTACAATCAACATGCTTAACACATTTGGATGTCTATTTTCCCTCTGGTATCTCTTGGTCTTGAAGATATATGCTACAGGGGACTTCTTCGTCTCTGTCTATGCACTCCTTTCGAGCTACTTGATAGTTAGCTTTCCTGCAGTTGTGGGTCGGCAAGGCTACCTGCATCGCGGAGTCCGAACAGGCACATTTCTCATATTCATGTTTGCCCTGGTCAAAGTGTTGAATGGATCTACTCTTCTCATTTTACTGATTAGCATTTTTCTTATCACGATTGTGTCCTCGCGCTTTTCTTTTGAGCAGCTCAATAGGCGCCCCTTGCAATTGATTATGGATAGCCAGGCCCTGCAGCTTCTCAGCAAGCAATTCATCGCAAAAACGTTTGCTAACCTCCTGCCCCACAGAGCTCTTGACTATATCTTCCAAGACAAAGACATAAAACTTCAGGTGCACGCCGATATGTACCTCCTGGTGATAAACATCGATATACCGTGCCTCCGAAAGAAGCTTCAGAAGTACATGTATGCCGCCACCAACACGCACACAAAGCCAGCTTCTAATAATATCAGTTTTTCCCCACTGACAGACTGTTACATAAATCACATTATAGCCAGCGTTGTCAATCAGTTCATCTCCTGCATAGATACAATCCTCCTCGACGACTTCCCTCAGCTGACAAAGGTCTACTCGAATCTAAGCACCATAAAGGTCATTGCTGGCAACTCCTTCACACAATACAACAACAGGCAAAGCCCTCAGGGCGTTGAGTTTGGTGCTGAAAGTGTTGAGCCAAAGGATTATATGAAGATTCTGTCTACCTTCGCTCTTCTGGTTAGCAGGTGTGCTGGGATATTTGCGCTCCGTGTAGACTCAGTTATTACTTTTGGAGACCTTGCCATTGGCTTCCTGGGATCACAACATATGTCATGTTATGAAGTTTTTGGCGCCCCAGTGGCTCTGGCTACTAAGCTACATGAGAAGATAGTTGCATATAATCAGGAAACAATAAGGCAATCGGACTCCAGTGCTGCTTCAAACACACAATCTTATGAGAGTGGCCGTGACTGGAGTAGAAGCACGACCAGTACCAACTCAGATAGCTTTGTGTCTAGCAATCATAATGCTGTGGCGACCGACGACACTAGAGATAAGCCATACGGACATTCTTCTAAGACACCCTCCACTAAGTGCTCACTCTCTCTAAGCAAAGACAGCCTTCTCTCTAGTCATGATCATGTACCCCTCTATCTAGATGTTGCTCGCTCATCTCTGGACAATGAGCCTATCCATAGTGTTGTCAACGGTATCAAGACTGGTGCTGGTCTGAAGGCCAATTTGTTTTCTGCCTCGAATATGTCTTTTTCACAAGCGTACCACTCTGTCGCAGAACCCACAGTCGAGTTCAATGAACTGCCGTCAAACGTCTACTTCAGTGTTGTCAATATGCTTTCACGGCCGCTAGAGGAGTATGGGAATCGCGGGACAGAGGGCAGTGACACAATCACCAGTGATGTTATCTGCTCTGATGCATTCTCCGACGACCCTCAACCGCTAACGAACGCTGACCTAGAGTCTTCGATGAACTTCCGCCGCTTCCTTGCAGCTCGAAGAGGGAACACCCGCTCTGCAATCTACTCTAGGAGACGCTCCGTCATCAAGGCTCTGAATACCACAACCTCCCCCACTGATGATGCATTTCCGCAAAAGCTTATTTCACTCCACCAGAATCCTGACTCTAGTGTCTCAATGCACTCTAAACATAGACTTCGCTCACACTCCTCGACAACACCTCAGACTATGCCCCTTAATAGCACTTTTTTCTACAGTTCTTCTTCAACAAATAGCATGCGGCTATGGAGCCCTAAGAATCTCAAGATAGACGCCATATACGTCAACAATGCCCTCAGCCAATTAACCTATCCTTACTCGACAAAGACGCCTAGTCCAAACTTTCAAGAAGTCTGTGACATGAAGGTGTCTGTCTTCCAGGTCTCTCTTGATGGGCTCTCCACCACCCCGCTCTCAATCGAGTATCCGTCTCGGATAACACATAAGTATCGGAATTTTTTATTTTATAAGCCTCCATTGTACATGTTTTATGACAGTATTAAACTTACCCTGCCCGGCAGCTCTCTATCTTCTAATTCGTCTACCTCATCGTCGTCCCATCATTCTCTAGGGATTTTATCTTTCACGAATCACAACTATAGTCTGATAGTGTGTTTATTGGCTTTTGGAATAAAGCATCGCATTCTTGTTTCAGAGCAAAACGCTGCCACAAAGGCCAACCTTGGAGAGCACCGCGACATCGACCTAAAAGAGTATCCCAGTCTATCCATTAACAAATCTATTGACACCTCTATAGGCGAAACATTGACCTCCTCGCAGACCACCCATGATACATTCTCACTCTCTGAATGTACAGATACAATGGTCTCCAACGCGTCGATGCAGAAGGGTGAGGGGTCTCCAAAATGCGAATGCTGGGATGCAGACTCTTCCTATCAATTGCTTCTACAGACGGAGGATCTCATCCTGCGTGCCAAGGACCCCAAATCGTCCGGATACAGGGCCCTCCGCATGCTGGATTCCATCCCTATCTATAACTCGAAGGCTATGCGCAAGTTATTTCGTCTTCTGAACACAGATCTTGAGCGTTTTGACAAGGTGATCACAAGTCTCAACAAGAGCCTCCTGCCCCAAGGTAATGTGGTTGGAGATCTAGGCACCCTGGCAAATAATCAGTTCGACTTTGATTTCCTTGTGGCAAACGCAGGATTGCACAAAAAGAGGCAGCCTGATGCCGAGTGGCCGTCCTTCCTAAAAGAGGTTAAGATGGCCATGACTAAGCCAATGGACAATACATCAGAGTTCCACTCTTGCCGCGATCACGATAGCTCTCAGTTCAGCTCCTTCATATATCCTTTCTCAGGAGACCCTACACTTTTAACTACCTCTTCAGACAGCCATGGTACCCCTCTAACTACGCCCGTCTTTGAATCTGCAAACCCAGAGAACCCAATATCTATGATAATGTCTTCCAACGTACTATCAGCACAGAATTTTTCTGATAGTCGCCTAACCAACTTGTATACACACAAGTCTCAGCTGTTACCAAGCAGTGTCATGGCACCCGAAAACCTGCCTATTCCTGGTCATCAAGCCTTGCTGAAGTCAAAGGTTAGCGACCCAAATCTAAAGACCCTTATGACCATAGTTACTCGCAAAACAGAGAGCTTCGACAGCTCTAGCATGAACGTTGACAATGTACTCCCTGTACACTATTTCAAAAGGCGAGCGTATTCGTATGTGGACTTTTCGGCAAACAAGCTAGATATACTGTACAGTAAGATAGGCAGGAGGAGCACTGCACGCTTAGGAACAGCCAATCATTCTCTTTCGGAGAATAACCAGACGTCTGGAAAGCTAACTGATTGTCTGCGTAACCTCCAAATCAACGAATTGAAAGCCTTTTCGCAAAGTCTAGACAAGAGGCTGCGTAGCAAGAATGCTAGCCAGCATAAAGCTGATCCAGAATTTAAGCTCAGCAATGCGAACTCCAACTCTGCTAAGTTTTCTCTCCATAGTCATGCAGATGAAGAGGTGGAGATACCACTCTTGGCGCCCAAGTCTCCTAGCATTGAGTATTCCTCTACCAACGATAGCTGCACTGAATCTTTGCCAGAAACACCTAAATCCGCAGCTTCACATCTGCCGATCCATAGGTCTGCGCTTTCGCACCTTTGCCAGTCTGTTTCTCCTTCAAGTGATATCGATAGCAAATCGGACAATACCTATGGCCAGAACAAGGATATTTCCCCACCAAACTGCTCGTTCATTAAGGTGAGCAAGACCTTCATTGCAGCTTTACAGGAATCCGATGACTCTATGCACACGCTTTCACTAGTGAGGGAGAGCGATCAGTCTGCCTCCACCGATGATGCGTCAGATATTCAGTTTAATAAAACTAGCACCAGTCAGCTCAACAATCCTACCGATAGGGCATTCAGTAGAACATCTGGAGCTTCTGCATATCCATTGCCTGCAGGGCCCTCCACTTATCCAAAAACTGGAACATTGAATCCCCCCAACTTTAATGGATCAATGCCAACGGATGGCACCTCTAATCCGCCCACTACACTGGACAGCTATTCGTGTCTTTATAAACTTGAAATTGCTAGCGAAAATGATGAGACAGAAAATAGCGTCCAATCTGTTATACTGTTCAATGGATCGATGCACTTGCCAGACAACAGTGCACAGGATACTGCCCCTGCGTCTATGCTTTCCCAGTTTCGTGGAAATAAGAGCACTATGGGCGGGAATCCGCGACCCATGGTCTATCAAGCGCCGGATACCCTTGATGGAACTGTGTCGTCGCTATCAATAACTTCTTGCACAGATTCGCCTCGAAACAAGAGCAAGGCAGCTTCATATAAACCGTCATCTTGTACTGATGGGATGGATGACGATCCTCTCTTCAATCCGATTATCTGGCAGACCAACAGCTTCATTACCCTCGGAAAGCCAGCGACAGAGAAGCTGAGTACCAGTGCCACGGGACGATCAATTGAGACATCATTCCATGCAATAACCTCACACGCCCTTAAGGATATAGTAACGACTAGGCCGGCCCCAACACCAGCGTACACTCCCATCAATCTGTCAAACATTAATCAGTACAAGAGTATCGTATACACGACGTTTGGAGTGGCATTCGACCTTGTTGCACATCCATCTATCTACGCCTCGTCTATGCCCGGGGTTCGCCCCATCTGTTCTTCGTCTTCTTTGCGAGGCGGGCCCTCTAGCAATAGCAAGCACGACTATGAAGACGCGGCATTCAAAGCCAAAGCAGGATCTACAACAGAAGAAGACCAAGGCTCAAGTGACAGACAAGATGCCAACTCTGATGCAGCGCAGGAATCGCTGCTTCAAACACGCAAGAGGCATAGTAAGTTTCTTCACTCCAACTGGCAATCTATGATTTATCTCAAGCGTTGTTCTCTGAATGCTGCTCTATCCTATATTCAACTATCGGATACCACTGAAGACGAAGAACTGTGCAAGACGTCAGAGCCTCAACTGCCGATTGAAACTGGTCGCCTAAGACCGCACACTTCAGCCCCAGAGGTTGACACTGAGATCCCAGAGGACTCATCTGCACGCAACTTCTTTGCGTGTGCGCGCTTGAAGAAGATTTATACAGGGGAGTTAGAGCAGCCTCAAAGATCCATTAACAAGCCTCGTGGATGGCTACGCTATTCTACTTCTGCGTTCAAGTGGCCGCTCTTCAAACCTTTTCTCCGTCCACTAACCTGCAAGCCTATTCTTGAGGAGCATGTCTCCTTCCTAATAACTCTTACATCAGGCTACCTTCTGAGGATCTTCTTTGATATTCTTTTCTACATTATATTTTTGTTCATGCTCTTTGGGGCACACGAAATAACCGACACCAATCAGCACATCTATCTGTTGTATATTTATGGAAGGCTTTTAACATTTAGGAATCCCTGCCAACGCAAGCAGCTTTCTACACGCCTAATTAGTGACACGTTTCAGGGATCATCATCCCTTGTGCCCTTTGCAATGAGGTGCAACTTCTCTTCTTCGAATTTAGTCCATGTCACAAAACTTGACAGCAATGGTCCCGGATTGGCATCTGTGTTACTCCAAAACCATGCCCAGTTGCATCATTTCCATGCGTTTATGAGTACCCTCTTGGGCCTACGCATTCTTCTAACGCTGTTTAGAGCACTTATAGCATCAAGGAAATCAAAGCTGGTTGTCTCCACGAAAACTGTGCTGTTCGGTAGAGTTATGAAAGAGCACCCTATTCTTTATCGGCTGGTGCAAATTACTAGGTGCGTTACCGTTGCTGTTGACGCCGTCTCAAGCTCCATGCTTATTCTCACTAGGACCTTTGTCCTCTACGAGTACTTTCGTGGACTCCGAGACTTCACCACAAGTAACTTTGTCTTTTTCTTCTTTCTCATAATAACTACGTGGAGCAGTATTACCACTGAACTTTCTCCGCTGTGCAACACAAGCACAGGCGCAACGGTCTCGCTCTGCACCCACATATGGGCGAATACTATTTTTCTTCTTGATGCCACAAATTATTTTGCACCGGTTCTGCGCATATTCACAGAACTAAAATGTGTCTACTTGGCAATCAGCTACTACATTTCCAACATTCTGCAAAAGATGGAGCCCACTTATAACGTTTCCAATTCTGCTAATATAGGTTCCTATTTGCAAACAGAGCACATTCGAGATACTGACTACCCCACACTGACCACCTGTGTCTCACTGCTACCCAATCTTAGGCTTGGAACGCCGCTAAAGGCTATTTGGAATGCCTACCACACTATACGACAAAATTTTCCCAAGCACAACTCGTCTCTTATAGCTTATCTATCCTGTGCCTTTTCAAAGGCTGGTTTAAGATCTTTGAGGCCTGTCACTTGCCAGACCTTGGACGATGCTCTTGTTCTAGCGCATGAATCCCCATCAATACGCAACTTACATTCAGCCATTTATTTTCTATCTATCATTCTCTGTATTGTGCGTGTACTGTTTGGCCAACTGGATCTTTACCACGCGATGCTTAACCACGTGGCTCAGGGCATTTCCGCCTACTCAGAGACTAAAAAGGCTATTGGTGTCATCGCATGCAATAAGCTGGAGCGCATATTCTTTGATTGCTATCTACATAACACCTTCAGTTCGTGCAATGTTCTGACCTACCAAGCAGAGCATCTTCACAGGGGTATCAACATGGACAGGAATCCTGCATATATGGGGAAGCAGCTCAAGTTAGTTGGAATGGTATCAGATTTAATTTATGACACAGAAGTACAACTTCCGTATGCTACTACAGAGTGTCTTGCTGGTGGACCCCTAAAACAAAAGGCAAGATTGTCCCTTATGGTGCTCCGTCTCCTGCAAGCCAGGATAGCCTCTATACTATCCAAAAGAGGCCGTGACCATGGTGCAGAGGCAGAGCATAAAGTTACCACTGTAACGGGGAAGACGACAAAGAGATCTGTGCGCTACTTGCGTTCTCCCTCTGTCCCCAGGCGTGCGGCAGTCTCAGCAACTCCGCCGGATAAGAAAATCACCTCTGTCACATCATTTGCAAACATGCATGATTGCTATGACATAGCCAAGTCTTTAGAGTCATTACTTAAAGAGAGGTCTGGCGATAGTAGTGTACAATTCTCACGTGTGTACTCCGACGAGGAGCTGCATCAGATTGTCAGACGGTCCAAATTCTCCTCTTGGAGAAAGTACGCCCTATTTCGATCCTGTTATAATTCGTGCAACTTCACCTTTAGATACTTGTATGACTTGGACACGCTTAGGCTAATACTAGCAAGCAAATTCTCTATGAAGATATGTGATGAAAATATGTATCCTCTGAAGCCAGACACGGTATTTGAACCATACTACTCCAAAACGCTTGCCGGAGTCTTGCGGGCGCTACTTGTGTACGACGATAGACGCTTCAATAGTATGCCCTCCCCATTCCTCTTCATTCCACCGTCTTACATGCTCTGCATTACCATCACAGAGCTCTATGATGCGATTGTTGAGGAGGGTGCGCACATTACCCTGCTTAAATATATGACTCTTCTCAAGATAATCAACGATACGGTAGTACGCGACTCCAACCTACTCTATGTGCAGAAAGACTTTAGCTTCTATATAATCTACAACACTCCACACTTGTCCCAGTTCTCCTCCATACACAATGTCAGTGACCCCATGGATTGCTATGTTGCAATCTTTTACTTGTGTAAGATTGCCTATAGCATAAGAAAGTCTTTCCTCTGGGAGCTTGAGAAGCGCTTCTACACGCAGACCTTCAAGGTCTTCGGGTATATTAACTTGCATCATGAGCTGAACCTTTGCCTCGTCGGACGACGCCTCAACCGGCTCGACATTCTCGATACCACAGCTCTCCACGAGCGCGTCAGGAGCATGTCACTCATCTGTGGACCGTTTGACGTTGTCCTCCAGGATGAACTGTATAAGGTAGCTAAGGAGGTTTATAGAATGAGCGCTAGCACACGCCGCATGCTGAATATCGAAATAGACGAGACTGGAATATATAAGAAGCTGCTAAATATCACTGAAGGTATTTAGTGCAACTAGTACAACTAGTGCAACTCTTTTATATGCTGGATGATACCCGGATGGCTTGTACAATTTAAAAAAATGGCCTCAAGAATAAAGACAGGGGAACAGTGGCTAGAGCTAGTGAACGATGGAAACGTTCCTCTTGTGAAGGCTCTTGCCAAAAAGTTTAGCGGGATCATGGATGAAAATGGCAACACTGCGTTGATCCTGGCGGTGAAGAAGGATCAGCTGAAGATGATCCCCATCTTGGCCCCCCTTGAGGCCCGGAAGAAGGATGTTGATGGCTACACGGCACTAATGCATGCAGTAAAGGCTGGCAATGCAAAAGCATGCGAGCTCCTAGCTTCCGCAGAGTACATGGACACCCTTGAGGATGGATGCAATGCACTCATGCTCTCCCTAGAACGTGAGATGCTAGACGTGACGCAGATCCTTCTACCCTACTTTGACCTATCTCCGGATTCTAACGGATTGACTCCCATTGACTACGCAATATACAACAAGAATTATGAGGGGATCAATCTTCTCCTAAGCAAGTACAATCCTGCCCCTGAAACGCTTCAGCAAAGCTTGAAAAGTGCACAGGATCAAGGCCACCAGGAGGCGATTACTATTCTCACTACGCACTGCTCTACATACCAGCCAGACCCGGCCTCGGAGGAGGTCTCTGACTCGAAATCTGATACTAGCAGCCTGAGAGGCTCCAAGAAGCTCAAAGTTAAATCTATAAAACCAGCAAAGCCGTCGAAGAAGGATAAAGCCAAGGGGTCCAATACCAGCTCTATGAATAACTCCATGATTGATTCTGCTGATAATCAGACTCCTGTGTGTGCCAACCTAGATGCGAATGAGCTAATACTTCCACTAGACAGCAATCTGGCAGCATCTAGCGAGTCTTTGTACGTAAATCGCATCCCCACTCCCACATATGAAGAGTGCTGTATGGACAGTGCCCCCATAGTTTTTGCTAGGATGCGCCAAGGCCTGGCTGAGGCTGCTACAACTCCCTCGGCGGCAAATGTCACCCAGCTCTATCAGCAAATTGCAGAGCTAGAGGCAGAGAATGCCAAACTCAGGGACGAAAATGCTAAGCTCAAAGCTGGGATGAATGCCAGCTTGGCCGGATCTGTCATTTCGTCATCGCGCCTTCAGGACCAAGTCGTTGAGTTGGTCAATAAACTGAGCCATACCAATGAGCGTTTGATTGAGACTATAGCCATGTCTGAGTCATTGACCAGCGTACCGGGTCTGTGATGACCCTGCAATCTTCGACGAATTCAATTGATTGTCGAAGGCACCTGCCATAGTAAATACTTCATCCCAGGCTCCACCATCCTTCTGCCGGTATGCTGGACCGGGCCCTTCCTGGCCTCGTTAGTAGGTAGTGTGTTTGTACGAAGGGCAGATAAGTCGCTATCTGACATGTCCATCAAGTCCTCTAAGGCAGTGCGTGACAGGATAAGTCGGTTTGGATCGCATCCTACTCCTACCTCATTAACGGTATTGCGCTGCGTGGCTGACGAAAATGCTCCTGGCCCTTCAATAACTGAAAAGCTTGAGGTCTGTAAGGTTGACGGAGCACGACGACCCCTAAGCTGCATGTATGAGGAACGGCTAACTGCAGTACCACGGCCTTTTGACGTATAGCCGATTAGTTTCAGTGTCTCAAAAGCAGAAGATATTGCAGCATCGTTTCTGCTCCCTTCTTCAAATCCCGGAAGTCGCGGTGTGAAAGGCTTGGCCTCAAGTGCTTGTGGCAAAGAGGTATTACTGCTAAGAAGATCCAAACTATTGCATAGACCCTGTGAACCTTTGCTGGAGCCTCGCGTAGACGGAGGACTGATACGTAAATACTCAGGTACATGAGGTGTATTCGGAGGCTGCATACATGACGTTTGGCGCCCACTAGTGATGGTATAACTAGGCGAGGAAGCTCCAGTTGAAGCTGTGAGGCTGGGCAATTGTGGCTGGAGTTCTAGAGGAGGTAGGAACGGTTTTTCTCCAGACATTTCCACAAGATTAGTGTGCTCCTCATGTGATAGTGACACTGCTTCTTCTTTGATAGCATTGTTAGGAAATGCTACGACTCGAAGTTGAGGAAGATTCAGTACCTGTATCTGCTCAACGCTCACTAAGGGAGCAGTAGAACTAGGCACCTCATCCTCTTGTGTCATGGTATCCGCAGGGACCGAAGTTCCTGATGCAGGATCTTGCAAGGGTGCTAGTGGCAACGTGTCGAGCTTCTCTATGATATCCTCTTTGGGGGGTAGAGCACTAGTGGTAGTCGGCTTTTTATTTTTACTTTTACGTAATTGTGCAAAGCGTTCAGTACCTAGACGAGATTGATTCTTTGATAGAGGATTGTCGGAGATTTGAAGTGTCGATGGCAACGGATTCCGCCGCATAACATCATTAGAAAGAGAGCTAAGTGGCTCATTAGATAAAGCCACAGAGCAATCTCTTATAAAGTCTGACACATTCGATAAGAAGGCGCCAAAATTGTTGTACGCATTCTCTATGCCGTAAGTGCGCCGCATGTGATTCAGGCTATCAAGAAAAGCATCATCCTTGTCATCATAGGAGGAGCCTTCCTCGCCTATCTTTGATTCTAGCTGTCGATTATCCTCAAGATCCTCTTCGAATACGGTGCCATCCTCTCCTGTTCTATAAATAGCAATATCATTAGACAAAGGTACTAAGGGCGCTAGTGCAAGAGCGTTGCTGATCACGTTATTAGAAAGCTCGTCAGAAAGACTATCTTTTGTGGGCTCCGCCTGGCTTTCGACTACTGTCTTACTAGGTCTGCTTTGTGACTCCAAACTGTCTTCTGAAATAACATTGCTAGCCAGTAGCTCATTTTTCACTGTGTCTGTTACTAAATTCAAGTGTTGTTTTACACAAGCACTCGATACGTTATGCTGTTCAGTAGCTCGGCTGGTTATATCATCTCCATTAAAGCTAAGTTGCTTGGAAGGGTTAGGAACACAGCACTCCTCCGCCAAATGCTCCACTTGTTGCTTTCCCACTATTCTAGATGGTTCTTCTTGCTTGCTCAGGCGATTGAATGGTCTCCTTGCATTAATGTGTGGCACAGTGGGTGCTAATCTCTGCTCTGTCACTCCGATGACTAGCTCACTCCCAACACCAGAAATGAGAAGGCTATTCTTGGTAGCGAGAGTGCTATCAGCGTCAGTTGTCATAGTCCAGCAATCCACAAGGTCTACATCTTTCAATACTCGTGCATTCCTCTCTGGCATGATCGTGGCGCCCTTACTGCTAGAGTGTAACATGTGTCTTTCTGGAAGAAGATATGACTGAACAATCAAGGGAGCAGAACAGGGCGCTGTTGTATCTCGTGACAAAGGCGTGATTCTACTTAGCGCAATCTTATTCTGAGAGTTGATCGCAAAGTTCTCTTCTATAGATCTATTGCATGATGTCAATAGGTCTCCAATGTGTAAATCTGCTTCTGCGGGTCCATCAGTGGATGCTGAGCCAATGAAGGACTGGGTGGATAAGGCTGTTGCAGGTTCATTTGGATCTCCTGTGTTATCTGCTACTTGGCCAGCAAATGTCCCTAGCTCTACTTCAGGTCTGTCGTTGGGGTCTGGGTCACAGGTATCTACTTGAGAGAGCGGTGTATCTATATTGCCTAGCTCCAATCTATCATAACATCTATTAGAGACTTGGAGTGGCGAATTATCGAAGTAATGCCTGCACTCCAGCCTTGACTCAGTGTGACCTTGGCATAATATAGCATTAGAGGAATAGCTAGTAGATAGTGACATGGCACCACCGAAGGGCTGTGATAAGGCTCTACCAGTTGAAACAAAGGATGGCTTCCCTTCAAATGCCCTTGAGTCTTGCTTTGTCTCGTGCCGAGTGTTACCGTAAGAAAAGGTCTCCTGATGTGATCCGCACGATGCAGCACGACTGAAAGGCACAACTGACTGAACAGGTGGTCTAGCATTCGGGGTGACTGGTATCTTCTTTTGAGTATGACGAGAAGCTATTAGAGATTGTAACTCCTGCTTAACCAGCTGTATATCGGAAAGGTATCTCCGTTTCCCATTGAGCTCAAGAACGGTGGGTAAAGGAGTTGACAATTGAGTTTCTGTAAGAGGGTAGGGAGCTCGCTTTTTAAAGGTCGCTGTTATCCCATGTTCTTTAAATTGTGCCTCAGTAGTGTACATAAATTAATTTATGCCTCGCCGCATTCCCGACCGCTACAAAACTTATGACGAGCTTATTGCTGCTATCCGCAAGGCCGGCATCGAATCTATGCAGATGATTGTAGGAATAGACTTTTCGAAGTCCAATGAGTGGACCGGTGAAAAGAGCTATCACTGCTCGCTCCACGACGCCAGCCGTGGGGAAACTCCCTATATACGCGCGCTTCGCATCATGTCCCATATTGTGAAGAATTTTGATGATGATGACATCTACCCTGTATACCGCTTCGGATGCCTCAACACGAAAGATCAATCCGTTCTTCCTCTCTTGTACCCTGAACAGGATGACCCCCACTTCGAAGGTTTTGCTGATGTCTGTCAGGCCTATAATAGGATTGCATCGCAGATTGAGATGTCCGGCCCAACAACCTTTGCCCCAATGATCGAACAGGCGATAGAGATTTGCAAGGCAGACCCTAAGCAGTTTTATATCCTCGTCATTTTGACAGATGGAGATGTGTCCGATGTCGAGCTGGACATGAAGGCCCTGATTAAGGCATCAAATTATCCATTGGAGATTATTGCGATTGGATTTGGCGACGGACCATTTAAAACTATGAAGATTTTTGACGATAAGGCCAGGAATCGCAAGTTCGACAACTTCCAGTTTGTCAATTTCACCGAGATTGAGAAGAAGTCCGCCAAATGCGAAAACCCGGAATTGATTCTTGCTACAGCCATGATGCAAGAGCTTCCAGATGCATACAAGTGCATTAAGAAGCTCAAGTACTTATGATTTACCTGTGTCCATGCCACTTGCGTTTTACTACGTTTTACTAAATCGTCTTTGATTTAGGGCATCATGTACTATCTCGCATTAGCTACATAGGCTCTATACTCTGTTACTGTTTAGGCTGTGCGTACGTATGTGCATGGCTATTTTCTTGCTGAGCTCGCAGATCTCACAGCAGAACTACTCCGACACCTATTTGCTTGCCTGGTGGTCGCAGAACCAGATAGACTAGAGCTTGAGGCCGGCCGTACATGGCTTCTACTGTATTGCTTAACGTATGAGCTCCTTCTCCCGTCTGTTTCACGGCAAGGTTGTTCCATCGTGGAGCTACACTTGGTGCTTGACAAAGCAGACAGCCGCATATCTTTCTCACTTTCCGTTACTCTATTGGACCTTGCCCTATATGCAGACTCCTTTCGCAGATTGTCCAGAGTAGCGTGGTTTTTGAGAAGAGGTTGCGAGCTCCTAGGTATGCTTTGATTGTTTGGATTTGCAACCTCTTTTATTGTGGTGGTTGGGTTAGAAGAAGGAAGAGGCGAGGCATCTGCTAAGCTAGTAAATAGTACAGGGCTCTGATATATTGTATCCTTGTTCTGCTCCTTTGCTGTAACGGATTCTTTATCCAAAGATTGCCTCTGGCTGATGTGTGAGACATCCCGCGAAAAGGACATCGTGGACGAGCTTTGCAGCCCAGAAGTATTAGGGGTTGTAGTCTGATGCATGAGCGCGTTGAGTGCTCTATCATTTGCCTGCTTTTCAAAAGCTCGACGAGCCATAGCTGCACTAATGCTGACCGAAAGAGTTTTGTGATCACTAAGAAGTTGGTTATACCGAATCACTGAATTATCAGTAGTTTTAGGACGGGATGACTGTTTGTTTAGGGGAAGAGATTGCGAAACTTGACGGTACCCATGTTGTGGAGATGAGGCTTCGTTGTTAGTATGCGCTGTCGAATGTGTTTCTGTTCTTTGCTCGTCCTCATCTGCATACAAAGGAAAGGCACCTGTGATGGACGGATAGTTGAACATGGTTGAAGTCTTGTTGACCGGACGAGTTTTGCTATGCCGTCGATGTGGAGCACCGTGGGCAGAAGCAGATAGGGAACGCTGTGACTGTTGCGTCGTCACATCCAGAGCAGTCTTTTTGTTGTAGCTACCATAGAGAATGTCTCCCGTGCTTACTAGTGCAAGCTGTGTTCGTCCATCAGGAGCTCTGCGCTTCAAAAGGACAGTCTCTTTATAGTTAGAGGTACGCACAGCGCTGTTGGATAGATAATCAGGATCGGCTCCATCTATGTCTAGATCTTCCAATACCATATCTGCATTAACAGATGAGTGAAGCTGGGCGCTTGGATGTAACTCTAAAGATGCTTGAGGCTCCAGGCTATGAGCTATCATCTGGGTAGTTGAATTGGACACCGGCGGACCGTACCGTGAGCTTGAACAAGAGGGTGAACCTGACCTGCATCTTTTTGTATTGTAGGTAGCACCAGAAGACGCAGATGCCGAATTACTGCGTGTTTTACGTGCAGATCTTTTCTTGGATGCTTCCTGCTTCTTGTTGATGGATTCAGAAACCGTGGTTGTGTTGCGCTTAGAGAAGATATGATGCTGAAGGTCTATCTCTTGATAGTTTAGCCCGCCGATATACATTTCTAACGTGGCACTAGAACTAGGGAAAGCTGTGTTGCCAAGAAGCTGGATAAATTCATTTGGTTGAGAGCAGACATGCACATCTTTCCTGTGTAGCTCTATGGATGGAAGCGTGTGCATGCTACTGAATGTCCCGTTGACAGATTGATTTCTGCTGATGCTTGGATCGTGAGAAGAAGAATTCACCAACTTATCATCAGACAACGTCCGTAGATCATAATGCGTACTGCTTTCGGCCGAGTTGATGGTGGGGATGTCCAGTCCCCTGAGCATTTCTGCAATATTCGGAGATTCTGGCTGGTTTGCTTTTTCTACAGAAGACCGAGCCTCTCTGGAGTACAGCGGCATTGTGGCAATATCGGTCAGGTGACGTGTTATTGTGTCACGCTTATGATCTATAAAACGTGGGTTTGTGTGGGGCTGAATTAGTCGCCGGGCAGCCAATATGTCAGTTGTGTTTATGTCGTGTGTGGGCGCTAACATAAGGTTATCGTCACGAGAATGAAACGTGGCAGAACGTGATCGCTTTACGGAGGAGCTCTTTGGGGCGGTAAGTCTATCTAAAATTCTCGCAGAAGAGCTACTCTGTGAACGGCGACTTTGGGCTCTGTCAAGTACTTGCACCCCCGTCTGTGTTCCGAAAGACAATGGATGATCAAGTGAGCTTCTTGCATCAGACACCTCAGTGACGCTTCTATAGCTCCCTGTCTCTGTGTAAGCATCCTTCAGCTCCGTAGTGCCAATTTTAGCATTGCGGGTGCGTCCAAAATAATTTGAACGTTTTATTGCAATAGAACTAGTATCATGGTGAGGCTTTTCGATATTTGCAGTGAGGGGAGTTGTATTAATTGACTGCTCTGTTGTTGAGCGCGGTTGTATCCCAACTGTTCTACGGGAGTGCCGGGTTGAGGTTGATGCTGATGTTGCCCTTGCGTTGCCTTGCTGAGAGGGCACCAATCCTAGTGTAACGCTTGGTGCCTGAAGGCGCATAAGAGCCACATTGTACTTACTACGAGCTTGCGACTGGATGTAGCTACTTGCCATGCTCAGGGCCAGAGACGACGTAGGAAGGACCGCACTGACTGCCAGCGCCTTAGATGCATATGTTGACTGATAGGGCGTGAGGCTTACATCAGGCCGCAAACTTGAACTTGTACTATTTGCTGCTGACCGTATACTATTATGCGTTAATCTGTTGGATTGTGTGCTAAATCCTCTTGCAATAGGCTTTTCACCGTGGATTGTCCTAAATACATGTTTAGAATGTGAAATATCTCCCGAACTCAAAGGACGCCTTCTTGCTGCGTTGAACCTAGTCCTGTCAGCTAAGCCATTGCTAGTAGCTACTGTGTCTTGGTCTGTAAGTAGAGATGTGGGGTTCCTAAGCTGCTTACTAAAGGCTGGACCTTGATGGATTGCAGAGTATTTTTGTGTTACTATGGTATGGGCTGCAGCTTTTGACTGAGATGCTGATAACACGTCACTAGATCTTGATGGACGTGCACTGTATGCACGTCTAGAGGATGAGCTGCGCGAAGACAAGGATAGCGGCGGCCGTAAACCAGGTTTGTTGTCAACCAGAGACTGAACATTTAAAAGAGGCTTACTAGCAGACATACGGCGAGTCTTCTGGCTTGCCAGACTTTCTTCTGCACTTCGTGATCTAGAGGGAATCTGGTCAGGTTTAGTACCTGCATTTTGACTACGCATAGTTTCTGATTCATGGATTCTTTTCTGGACTAATGGTGGCTGTCGTAGTTCGTCTATAGTAAGCCTATTATCTCTTAGGTCCTTGACAGGGGTGGTGATGGTATCTGTTACGGTGTCCGTCTGTGTGCTAAGATCTGGTGTTAATAAGATATTGTGCTGAAATATGTGAGGGTCATCTGGATTTTGTGTTTTGTCAGCCGTTAAAAGGGCCTCAGCACCACTGCTTCCAGCTAATCTTAGACTGCGCTGCCGAAGCTCTCGATCAGTAGCCTGGCTGCCATCGCGCTGTTGTGTGGCTACAGACGAAGCATTGGCTGAGCTAACCCGTCGCAAGGTATACTTCTTCTTGGACGCATGCGGATCAGAGTCTATAAAGAAGCCTATGGAGGACGAGGGAACTGGCTGCACAGGCCTCAAAGTTGATATGTATTGATCTTTTAATTCATGTGGGTTTGCAGTAAGCACCGGGATTCCATCTGGAAGTGTATCATCAGAGGAGGGAGGCGGTGGTAAGGATGGCGGCTCCGAAGCCTTCCACTTCTTTCGCATCGGCTTGAAGTGGGTAGGGTGCACAGCATAGATATGATTCAGATCATTATTAGACAACATATCTATGGTAGAGCTATAGATTGCGTTTGATTGCAGCTTGTGCAAAACTACATCCACCTCCTTCATAAATGCCGGATGGCTAGGCTTGGAATATTGTGGCTGTGAGGCACTCGTGCTGCGCTTGATCTTCTGAGGATTGCGTCCTACAGCGGGGGCGTGCAGAGCTCGCTGTTGAGCTGCTACAAATGCCATGGCTTTACCGCTCGCTTGAACCTGAAAAGACCGAGATGATTGATGCTTTTCATCGCTGAGAATCTCGTTATCAAGAATTGCTGTGCCTTTGGCTTCGTTTGCTGGCTGCGTCGATTCACCTACACGATAACAAATAGGAGATATCATGGCAGAAATAACTTGTTGATGATCAGTGTTGAGGCTTCCTTTTTCACTGTTAAGTGCGTGAGGAGTAGAAGTAAAATTTGGCGTGTGGTAGTCCCCAGCACTACTTACGCTACCTAAATTCTGATGAAGAGGATAAGTATTTAAACTAGACGAGGATGGACGAGAGCGATGAGCTGATGAAACTGTTGGTTTTACTAAGTCATCACTCGGTCCATTTATGTTCCTAGTGCCGTGCAAGACACTGTTTTCGTGTTGTGGAGCTAAAATTCCCTGGGGCTTAGAATGGTGTATAGTAGAGGATAGTCGCGACTTAGTACCGTTCAGAGTAAAGAGCATAGGTGTTTTTGGAGTCGTGTCTCCTCCCAGAGTTTCAGAGATCGGAGAGAATTCTATCTGAAAACTCCGTGGCCTGACAGGGTTGAGGAGGAGTGTCTGCTGCATAGATCCACTGAACCGCTGATGACTTTGACCTTGTCCTTGCATAGCAGATGGGCTCACCCAGCCAGCTGATTGCTCTAACCGACTGATCCGTGCACTCTGGGGACCGCTCTGTTGCAGCGCAGATGAGCTCTGATCAACAACACTTGTCGCTGGAGCCTTTGTCGAGAGCACCCACTTGCAGGAACTACCTCGCATATGCAGCCAGGCAATGGCCACGTCTGCTCAATTTGATCTTTCCAAAACGAAAATGCACAATATAAAGGATCCCACTGCATCCGCAGAAGGCGTGGAAGAGGTCCGTGCTCTTGAAGATGCGTGTTTACTCTTAAGGAGGAAAGGTGATATGAGCAATGAAGCAGCCACTCAGGTCTTGAACCTGCTTGCTAAGATCCCGCTGTCATACACGTTTTGGAATTACCGTCGCGACTTTCTCTCCTCCCATCAATCTGCAGATAATGAACTTACCCTTCTAGTTCGAGAGCACCATATAACAGCAAAGGCCTTGGAGAAGAATCCAAAGATCTACCCTGTGTGGGAGCACCGGGCGTTTGTTTTCCACAGACTACTTGCGCTTGCAGACGACCCCGAGATGGTAGAAAAACTTAAGAAAGAGGAGCATTATTTTATTGCAGCGAAGCTGAGCGAAGATCCGAGAAACTTTCATGTCTGGAATTATCAGCGAAACCTCTTTGACCGCGTGGATCTTTCCTTTCTGTATGCACTTCTCAACAAGGACTGCTCTAATCATAGTGCTCTTCATCAGCTGGCTCTTGAGCTTCACAAGATGCGCTCGGAAGCATCTGATGCTGGCAACACCATGTTTGACCATGAAGTGCAGAGGTGCCTCGACTTCTTGCGACTCTCGCTATTACTTGATCCCAATTCGGAATCATTGTGGCAGTTCTTGATAAAGATGGTTGACATACTCCCTCCAGAGGTGCTGCAAGAGCTCGTTGAGTATGTCATTTTATCCCTTGAACAGGATGGGTGTTCATTTCTCCCTCCCCATAAGCAATTGGATGCACCTTCTGCAAATCAGATCAAGGATGTGTACATCAGACCGCCAGCATCATACCTTCTTCTGGCGTCGGAAGACCACATCAAGGGGGACATAGATAAGTGCAAAGCTTATGCAGAGTATTGCCTCTTTCACGATACCTTCAGGAAGGAAATGTATAATATGCTGCTTCAAACAATCGTCCACAATTCTGGGCAGTCATGACCATGTAAAGCTAGACAATGCATCGAACTTAGCACGCAAAGCTTTGTAATCTAGTCGCGTCTTTATTCTCGCATAGAAGAGCTCACAATCGCTACTGGAGCACGGAATAAGTCCGTCCTCGATGTCCCCGGTGTGCGAGCTTATTTCTCCTGTGCAAAACATGCATTCCACAGCTACTGTGCGATATCGATGTTCTGCCAAGAGTAGCTCTCTCTGCAGACGGCTATATAGGGATAATCTATTAACAAGAAGGCATGGTTTGCAGAGCATTACATCTTCATATAGCTTTCCATCGGTTATTCGTACGTTACAATACATGCATTTGGCAACTTTCTTACCAGCTATCATGCCCATTATACCGGTCTGTTTCGGCATCTTTGTTGCTTTAGCAGACTTTGATGATCCACCTGAAGTGTCGGGCTTCCCCATTGAAGATCCAACGTCTCCGCGCGAAAATACAATGGAGGGACCCACGCAGTGCTTTCCCTTGAACAACTGATCAGCAGCTTCGGCCTCAGAAGAACACTTCAAGACATCTTTTAGGAGTCTGCATACGGGCTTTTCCAGCTGTTGGTGTAAATAGTAGTCTGTGTCGATAGGCAGGTTATTGCTTATTGCATATGCGGGGTCTTCTGAGCGCTCATAGAGCTTGCATGCTTTGTCTTTGAGGGTCACAACATACGGAACTCGGTCTCCGACCTTGGGTGCAGTCATAGGATCGCGTTCCATCATCCTCATCGCGAGGTTCACGTGTGTTTGCTGCTTGTTTGTGTAAGAGCTAACTGACTGGGTCAGGGCCTTGCTTATAACAAGAAGCGAAAGGTCAATGCGCTGGGATATGAGGTCGTGCACAACAGACTTAACATAGCTGATCGCTTTCTGTGGGTCGGAGTAGTTGAAAAGGACGTCCAGGATCTTTTCCATTACTATTACCACCAGCCGGCAGTTATCTCGTCGAACCAGCTCCAGACCCTTAGAGTCAATTTTATCTGGTTTGAACGGATTTGTCCAATACTGACCTGCATAGCGCTTCTTGTTTAGTAATAGATATGGACAATATACCTTTTCGAACTCTAAATTGATTGGCCTAATGAAGCTTTGGGTGACATAGGTCGATGCATACTTAGCGAGCATCATTGCTTCCATTAGATTGTCAACCCCAAACTTAACCATTACAGAGTCAGTATCACCATATATAACGACTGAATCGTGCACAACGCGATAGTACATTCTGGTTCGCTCTGCATTGAAGCTTACATTGTGGTGCTTTGGACAAAAAATTCGCCCATCTGGGGCCAAGAGAGGCGGGCTGAGGGAGAGAGGAGAAGAAACAGGATGAAGCTTCTGTTGTAGCGATAATGGCATGAGACCAGCAGGTGGGGAAGCAGACCTCTCATCCTGGCTCGGTTCTGTTTCAGAAGCCATTCTCATTTGGTCGACAGACGCATCACAATACGAGAGACACTTTTTCACGAAAGCATCAGTCGCGTAAATACTGTCTGTAATATCTATTTCAATAACTGGCTGCTTTCTGTGAAATCGCTCCTCAACTACGTTTTTGGTATGGTTAATCATTTCACGCCCGAAGGCTGTGATAGACGAGGAGATCTCCTGGGATGGAAGTTTCCCAAAGCTCAATGCGCCAGTGAACCCATAGAGAGAGTTTGCGATTAGCTTGAGAGCTAATTGTCTTCCATTTAGAACGTCCTTCGCAAGGGGATCAACTGCCTTCTTCATGTCCTGCTTGGCTCTTTTGCGTGCATCTAGGAGAACCTGCAGAATCTTGGGGAGTATCCCTGGAAATACGGTCTTCTTCAAGAACCGGGCCTTAATGGGCGTAACTGTGATGAGCTCGTTGCTAGTACTGAGACAGAGGGTGGCAGTCTCCTTCTGTGCAGACGAGGGTTTGGCTGCGAGGTGTCTCGGGGAATCATCGCTGTCGTCAGAGTCGTCACTATCATTGGTCTCATCAATAGTAGCGGAAACAGAAGCGCCTTCTAATCTAAGTAACGAGGATAGCTGCTGCTTATAGAGCGACGCAGCTTCACTGGATAGCTCTTTACCTTGTGAGTTAGCATAGGTTTGTACAAGAAAATCCATGTCTGGAGCGTCAGAGATCATCGTACTATAACACAAGTTATGTGCTATAATGATTGTGGGATATAGACTATTAAAATCTAAGGTTGCAATAGGCTGCTTGTCCGAATAGAAACCTCGCTTAGGATTAAGGACAGTGGCGCCTTCAAGACTTTCGGAGTCACCGCTAAATCCACCAGTGTACCCACCACCAGTACGTATGCGATAAGGAATCAAATATGATTCTGCGGCCGAAAACCTATACAGAAGAGACAAGATCCGTATCTGTTGCCCAGAGTATAGAAGAAGACTGCCGCACAGCCCTGAAACACGGCATAGCTCAATGGTGTTCACCAGTATCATCAACTTCTCCATAAGCTTAAGCGGTAGCTTGCAATCCTTAATACAATATAGAGTGATTCTGCGACGGCCGTACTCATCTTGCATAAATAATGGTGTAATCATGCTATAGTGCACATCGTCCTTCTGCTCATTCAGAAAGCGTGCGCAAACAGAGTTGAGGGTGTACGACCGAAGCTTGTAGTCATGAATTATATTAGGCAAGATATCCATCGATATTCGCCCAGGACACTCAATCTCATATGTGTCACGTTTTCCTAGCTGTTTGCTTTGGAGGTGCGAGACAGCTATGGTCATGGGAGACGACAAAGCTCTGGGAAGTGTAGACGCATAAGCAGAGGATCCCTTTCTGACCATCCTACTGAGTAGCTGATCCGTTCCCATAGACCCTGGCAACGACTGCACCAGCACCTGGCTAACCTCCGCGCGCTTGAAGATGTAGCTGAAATCGAAGCCATCGATGTTATATCCTGTGAAAAGATCCGGATCAAAGAGTTGGATGAGGTAATTGAAGGCTAATAGGAGTTCTTGCTCTGTTTCGAAGCAGAAGACATCAGCGCCAACTATTGGCGCACACGATTTCAGAACTAGGGCAACGTTTGCGTGCGGCGCGTCAGCTGTCGACTGTGTCAAAATGTACAAGGAGGAACATATCGTAATTATGTAATCAGAAGCTGCGTCTGGAAAGCCTCCTTGAAGAGAGACACTCTCTATGTCGAAGGATAACACCCGGATCGGGGCATTAACAGCATAAAGGGGGTCATTATAGTCTAAGGCAACGAGACTGGAGTACTCTGTCTGCAACTGTATCTGCATCGTAGTTTGGAGAGGCTTGGGTGCATCAGATGGCAAGGGGCTATATGCGTCTTTTGGAATGCGGACCCATGCAAATCCTCGAAGCTGTGTGTCGACCATGAAACGGACGGTTGGGTCTAGGTCGGCCTCATAAAGCTCAAACTTATTCGCTCGAAGCCCGTATCTTCCATTGTATATGTTACTGTCTAAGAAAAAGCCCCGTATGGCTGAGTAAAGGCTTTTGTCGGCAAAGCTGATCTTGTAGATGTGCTTCTTCTGTATGCGGAAAACATAGATAGAGCGATAAGTACTTGGCATTTGAACAATAGATGTTATCGGTGTGTACCCAAGGACATCAAAGCCCAGGTGCGAAGAAAGCTTCAACTCCAACTCTGATAGGTTGAGGAATGTATCGGTCCCGACGTACAGATAATGCTTGAAGCCCGTTACTACAGTGCTGACACTCTGCCCTTCACGCGTAATGCCGAATAGAACATAGTTCGTGGACAAAAGCGCCTTTTTGCAACTTTGACCGTCTTTGTGGGCTGGGAGGCCCTGCACAGGGGTATTAACCTCTAAAATATCGATAAGCTGGAATTCCACGTCTTCCTCGTAAACCTCTGGCCCGACAGACGGCCTCCTAAGGCCTAGCAGGAACTGCTCCATCTGGCCAGAAAAGTAAGTTGTGTGCGATGCCACAAAATTGAGTAAAGGAACAGGCCTCAAGTCTGCTCTTCTCCATGCCCTAGGCATACGCCTCACGGTCAGAGTGGTACAAAATAGCTCATCGGCCCTACCTACAGAGAGGCTTTTTGAAAAAGGAGAACTCTGCAATTAATTTTGGTATAATTATACATGCCTCTATGATTTAAGCTATCCATTTACAGCTCCAAGGGATTTGCAAAGAGAAGCCCGCTATAGATGCCTTCAATCTTCGCACAGACCCGCTCAATTGCTCCACGCATAGCGCTTGCCTCGTCCATTTTACAGACAGTCCAAACATTTATTTCAAAGGCCTCCAAGCTATTGTGCAAGGGGCTTAAGATTTTGTAGAGACTGAGATTAGGCAAGGCCCCATTCTCTTGCTTATCCTGCAGGCGTTTCTCTATCTCTGCCTCTAGCTCCTGGCGCGTCTTTTCTTCGGGAGAGTTGGACAGCTCGAAGGTCTCCACCAGAGAAGTATTCAGCAAAGAGGTAAGCTCAGTAGATACAAACGGCACCATAAAGATGGATCTGATTGTGGTCATATACGATACCTCAACCATGAAATCGCGGTACAAGTCTATGGATGGCTGCCCTAGGTCTGAGAACCGGATCCCTCGCCGAATGACTTGAAAGATAGGTCGGTAGCCCATATCCATAAGATATCGTAGAGGGGTCTGTCCCATTGTAGTGACTGAGAGGTCAGAGGTGTAGTATACTCTTGCAAATGGGATATCGGTTACCTTAGCAGGCTCTTGCTGCCTGAGCGTTCGTCCGATGCACCTTGCAGTCTGCAGCAGGGCCTTCTCGTCTGACGGTTCTGAAAGGGTGTATGTTTCTATGTAAATCACTGAGATCTTGTCTTTTGTGGAGAGGTAGTTGCGAAATTCGACGAAGTCAACTCCTGGCTTTCCATAAGTAAGTGAAATGGGTTGGAGAAAGTACACTTCAAAGTCTCGTGCAATATCGTCTATTGAAAACGTGTCTCCATAGGCACCAGAAAAGGCTAAACGAGTCGCCTTCATCATAAACAAATCCATGGCTGTTTTGTAATTGTACTTGTGGAATCATTTACTTCATGGATTTGAAAGCATGCTTAGCTCCTCACTCTCCTCCTGTTCACAGTTAGGTGTGACACTATCTAAGAGTACAGAAGAGGTGTCAGTAGAGATCTCCGTTTGGCCCGAAGGAATTAAAGGCATAACCTTCTGAGGCGCGTCTAAGTCGGAAATAGAAATGCACTTTCTGTGCTCTTTTTCCACGCGGATCCTTAGACAAATATATGTTCCTATAGAGACGATGCTGATTAGCGAAAATACTAGAAGCAAGATCGCCATGAGAACAATAGTGGAGCACCGTACCGTAAGAAAGTACTCCTCTGGGTGTAGAAAGTCAGGGTATGGTGCCCAGTACATGACGACTACCTCGGCCTCTATATTGTACGCATTCACCCCCCGAGAGATCTTACGTAGAGGTCCGCCACAGGTGTTACGCCTAGACCTGGCAGGATCCAAAACTAGCCAGTAGTCTCCAGTGACTTCGTCACTTCCCCAGCCCACAATCAGCACGGTGTGATTTGTGTTGCTAGCATAGAAGTGGCGTAGAGAGCGATTCGCAGATGCGCTAGAATAGTCCTCCAACGATGTGCTGTCGTCCTCAGTTACAACGTAGCGTACGTCCTCTGTAGAATTTTCATCACAGTTATCCCAATCAGCATTTGCATAAACAGACGCAACGACAGGTCCATGTCGATAGATTTCCCAGATGATATCATCCTGTGCATTGGTGTTTCCATAGTATGAGCCTAAATAGCCATAATTACTGAAATAGTAACGCACTTCCGGTCTACGTGTCCTGTTTGCCACACAGCCCCCCTGATCATCAGGGATGTAATAGTCCGTTATAAAGATACCAAAGTCTTCTGAAAACTTTCCGACCTCGAAGGGAGTACCGCCCGCGCAGCCCTGGCCGTACTGGCTGCAGTCGAGGACGTGGCGGGCGGAGAGGAACGTCTGCTGCCCGAGCGGGTCTGTCCGGTTGCTCGCGACCATCACGCGCGCCATCATGGCCGCCAGCGCCGCCTCCACGTAGCTGCTGTTGCACCCCCGGCCGGGGGAGGCGGGCGGCGCGGCCGGGAGGAACGAGGCCCCGCCGACGTCCCCCCACGACCAGGCCGCAGGGGGCGGGTCTCCTAGTTGGAGGTTCCAGCTACTTGCGTTTAGAAAGCTTGCTGTCTTTGCTTTTCTTGCAGACCTGCTCTTCGAAGAAGGACGTTGCTTAGGTACTAGAGCTGGTTTTCTATCCAACTCGGAAGCAACGTCCCTCTGAACATAGTGAGTTGTTACATTATAGTTAATCAAGGGTTTGATGAGCGAGCCCGTAAGGCAATAGAAGGATAGAGGCTGTATTCCCTGAGTTGTTCGCCACCCAAAGTGAATCTTATCGCACCGTGAGCTCACTTTATAGTGTGTGTCATTGTATATTTCAGCAGAAAAGGCTGAAATAACGTAGAAGACATCTGTTGCTATACGCAGTTCAAAGCCATGATTGCCTATGGGTGTCCATCTTCCTGTATATCCACCCTGACTCTGGGCCACACCATTATCCATCAGTGTGACATTGAGCAAGGTTACTCGGGAAGATAGAGACGCCCTCGAATTACAACCCACATAGTCGTTGCTTTTCAAGTGTCTATCTTTGGCAATAGTAAAGGACCAAAGGCCTAAATACTGATCCGAAAAGCATCTAGCTGATAAATATTCTGCAATCAATAGCTGAAAAAAGCATAACAAAAGCATAGCGCCAATGCACCTTGTGCAGCACTAAGCCTTATATCTTTGAAATATTTATCTTTTGAGCTCCACAGAGTCCTCACTTTTTGCACAATATGACCTCACACCTGTCCTAGTTGATTTTATATGAGCCATCGTGCTTCTCATCACATTTCCATTTCATTCTGGGCTCTCGTGGCTACTAATTTAAAACTTGATCCGCAATGAACAGTTCCCTCCCCAGATTAGATAACTTAGCAGTCTCTAAAGAATTCTTAGAACAGCATTCTCAAACACTCTATAGCCTGCGTGCATTTCCACCAAAAAAGGTGCGACGGGCATCAAACATGCCCGTTTCGCTGACAGGAACTTCCTTTACCCCTCGAGGAGGCTCTTGTCAAATCAGTATTCCCGAGGTTAGAAAGCTTCCTTCTCAGTTTTCTCACAAGCAAAACGAGAATTCTATTACAGACTTTGGATCTCCTCTTTTGGTAGATCTCTTTGGATATCGCTTAATTATGGGTTCTACTGTCGAGCAAGATGTCAAGACGCCAGAATATGCTACCTCATCGCCATCTATCGGTACTGTTAGCACATGTAGTCCTATAACAGAAAAGGTCATACTGTCTACGTATTCTCGACCTCCGTCCAGCTTCAAAGTCTCGCGTACTAGTGCGGCTCCTGTTAAATCTATTGCCATTCCCAGCCTAAACGATGCACTTACTGGTCCCTTATCCAGTGCCAAGGCGAGACCAAACAGTGCTAGACAACTGGCGACGCCCACATCGTCACGTTCCCCCAGCCCTTCCTGCCTAAATAGAGATTTTATCCACAATAACAGAGTTTTATCTTACACTAGCCAACGATCAGTGCATACTGCGCAAGGTTTGGCTAAAGATACTATCAGCAGAGGATCATCAATTGTTTATTCACTGGGACTTCCTCGTGAATCACCACACGCATTAGGAACGCCGCTCTATGAACTTCCGGCTCAATTCTTCCTACAAGTTAACTCTCCCCTAGGAGCGTCTCCTCCACCTAATGAATCTTGCTTAGCCACTCCGTCAATGAACACCGAAATATCACTCGTAGAAAGTCTTGGTGATCTTTCAACACATTCTATGGGGCATTCAGATGCATCTGAACCAGCTCAGTATGTCGCAGATCACGTGTTAATGGATCAGTCAGTGCACTGCAAGCGGCCCACAGCTGTTTCTCATGCTAACCAACCTCCCACAGAAACCAAGACATCTTTTCCTTCACAGTATTCTGTACGCAAATGCACATCGGTATATTCTAATCAACCAGCAGTAGCTCCACACTCATCAGAAAAGGGCACGCATAACCATAATTTGAAGCCAAACTGTTCTCCAAGAAGCAAAGCTAACCAATCTTGTCCTCAAGTTAGAGAAAGGCTTACAATATCCGGCACCCTACTTCAGAGCCATGCAACTGCACCGTCTTCGTATAGATTCAAAGTGTCTGCTTGCCAGAAAAGGGAAAGTGCGCCACTTTCTGAAAATTCACAACCGCTACAACTAGTGCCATGTTCTAGTGCAACAGAATACATCAACGAATTCTTAGATAGAAGAGGATTCTATCCGTACGTTGCTCGCTGCACAAAAGCTGCTCATAAATCTGCAGTTGTGAGCAGACTGGCAGGATCTTCTGCATCAATCTGACCAGCAGTACTTGCACAGAAAGGAAGAGCCACACTGTTGGGCTCGAACTCCATATCACTAAAAGGCAGGACAAGGTGCTCTGCTTCAAGCTTGTTGGTAAACCCTTCAACTTCGTCATTAGGTTCGGATGGAGACTTTATGCTTGCAACTTCGTCATCTGAGAAGCTCTCATCGAATACTGGGACCAATGATCTAACCTCGTCTATGTTCTGGTCAAGTACGGCTATCTGACTATCAACCTTTGAAAGCTTGTCTTGGATTATACTGTTATTCAGCGTAACCAGACTCTTGAGGTCCTTCTCATGCTGTTCAAGCGCTGTTATTTTGTTGGACATACTTTCTACAGCTCCAGGAATGGCTAGGATTCCATCCTCCTGTATGTTCACAAACATATTTTCTAGGTCATCTACGCGCTTCTGGGTTTGCTCTAGCATTTCAGTTAGGTTTGCACGTGTCGGGCCACTGGCTTTAAGGCTCTTCTCCAGCTTTTCTTCCAGTTCTTCTATCCTCTTAGACATTGCCTTAATGAGATCTTCTTGGGCCTGGGTTTTCTCCGCATGCTCTAGTGCAGATTCCCGAGTCAGAGAGAGCAGTGTATGTGCGGCTGCATTGTTGGGAGAGAGAGACATTAGGTGGACTCGATACTGAGTGTATTCCTTTGCTGTCACCACTACTGAACTGGCTTCCACAGCACCGCTATGTTGGCCAACAGGAAAGCTCTCAAAGTAGGCCTTGTGCTCGTCAGACCACGGAGAGATTGCATGTGCACTCAGTGCCATGCGAACTCTATTCCGGAGCTCGCTAACTGTCGTATACCTCAGGGCTTTGGTGATCCTATCATGTAAGAAGAGCACCTTATTGTCTGGAGACAAGAATCCTACAGTGTCCTTCAGGGTGTCTTGAAGAGCTGTGGAATAGCCTGCAGCAGCACTTCCGGTCGTCGAAAGCGTCAGGTCCAAAGTATACACATGATAGATAGTTTCATATGTCACGTTGCAGGTGAGCAGATCGAGGGTTATTCCGTCCCCAAGAGGCAAGCGTGTTGCACTAACCTCGGGCTTTGAGACAGGGCCGATAAAACTGGCGTGAATAGTATCGGATGGATCTTGTGGACACCTGGTAGGAAACACCGGCGTTCCATCGAACGTGGTATACTCAATATTCTTACCCTGCTGTGCCACAAGAGTGTACGAGTTGTTAAGGTCTATGGTAAGCATAAGCGGCTCTGCAGAATGGTTTAGGTACTTAATAACAACTGTGCTATTGTGGGCATCATAGAGAAGATCTAAGATTGGGCTTTTGCGCTTGATGGGCGTGATCCGCTCACTGATCAGCTGGTTCTTTGTAAGATTAAAGACACAACATCCGTAAAACATTCTTGCTAGACGTCCGGGGCATTTGTAGTCTGTCTTGGAGACGTAAAGAGATGATGCCGACTCCGTTAGCGTTCGCTGGTTAGACAAACCAAGATAAATAAGCAACTTGTCACCGTTTTCCTCCACAAGGAGCGCACGCACAGGGATAAAAGCGCCTGCCTTGTGACGCGAAACTGCAGCATACGTTAGTTGCTCCTCCGCCTTGCGTTCATAAAACTGAATCGTAGAACCCAACACCAGGACTAGGCTCCTTAGGTCGACATCGTGATAGAGGAGCGTTCCCGGAGATATAAAGGCCATCTTTTTCTCGAGTAATGCCCAAACGCTGCAACTATTTGCAGAAGAGTATGTTGTGCCTTCTAAGATGTTGCTTGCGGCAATGGAATCTGTTTTCTGCTCCATTGCCAGCGCTAGCACTTCATTTCCAACGATCACAGCCCTAGAAAAGAAGCCCAAGGTTGTGAAAATATCGGATCCGGCGCCGCTCATTTTAATTACGTTTCAAAGGTGGTTCACTTTAACCTTAGATTGATTAAATATCAAAATCGTCGAAATCACCCGCAAAATCGTCGACGTCTTGACCTGCATCACCCTCTGCATTTGGATTGAGTGTAGCACTCTCCCCGAGATCGAAGTCGTCTTTTGTAAGCTTCTCAAACTCGTCTCCCGGGCTCTGCAATGGATTCGGCAGCGTTTCTAGGCATGGCTTAGGATCGGGAGATCCCGTCCAGCCACCAACACTTAGGTCTTCAAAATCTATTTGAGGAGATTGCATGGTGTTGGAGTTCTGCGGTTCAGTGGTCGCTGGTGCAGAGCCTTGCTTTGTTTCCACTGGTGAACCGACCAAATCAAGATCGCTAAAAGCATCCAAGGTAGTAGTGGCCACTGGTGCGGCTTCGGTTACGGAAGAGATTGGTGGCTCGTCGCCATCATCACTGGGAGGAACATCTGGTAAACGTTCTACCAAGTCCGGTCCCCAGTGCTCTACTGGATCTTCTACCTCAGTTTTCACTAGCTTCGGAGGACTCTGGATCTCTTGGACCCGTTCATGCATTTGCAAAGGCTCTATGGGCTCCGCATCTTGAACTGGTAGTTTCTCACTAACAGGAGGTATCTGCTCTACCCGCTCCTTAGGAACAACTCTCATCTGCTGCACATTAGGTGTCCCAACTAGATCATCATCGTCATCATTATCCGTCAAGAGTTTGTTGCGTACTCTATTCTCTTGGGCTTCATCATCCGCTCCTTCCTCGTCAATTCTTATTGAGTGCGGATCAAAGTCGAACGAGTCCTCATCTTCGATGGGTATATTGCGCTGAATCTCGAGAACTGTCTCTTCAAGGATGACAAACCTATTGTTAACGGCCTCCTTGTATCCGTTATAATCATCCTGAATGGCCGCAATGTGCTCTCCTTGATCCCTTACCTGATCTTTGAGGGCACTCACATCACCTTTAACCTCACTAACAATAGCCATAATTGCCTCGGAATCTCCCAGCATTGCTGCACTCGCACGCTCTTCACCGTAATTCTTTTCTAACTCTTGGACCTCTGCGGCCAGCTTCGCCGCCTGAGTCTCAACTTCAGCCATCCTCCCGTCCATCTCCAGAACTTGGTTTCGGATGAGATCTGCCTGCTGTGCCATATCGGCAGCAGCGTGGATCTTTTCGAGCAGCTCCGGATCCAGAGTACCACTTGCTAAGGACTCAGCAGCTTGAAGCTCTTCCTGCCTCTCCTTTAGTTCCTCCACTGCGTCGTAGATATTTTTATAATTTGCATCGTTAGCCTCCATCGCTGTTTTTAGGGAGTCCAGATCATCGCCCTGCCTGGCCTTCACTTCCTTCAGAGTCTCCAGCTCTTTTTTAATCGTTTCTAGTGCTTCATCTGTATTCTTGGTCGCTGTTTTCATCTCTCCTAGTTCGCGCAATAGCTCATGTGATGGTTGTGGAGCGCTCATAGCAAGCACATTTGGCGCATACGTAGTATTGATGTTGAATCCCGTCATCGAGCCTTGAAGGGCATCCTGTGCCGGAACGAGCTTTCTAGCAGTGTGCTTGTACAGCTTAAAGAGGTCATCTGTTAGTTGTACGACCCTATCGGTTCCCATAGCTAGTTCCTGAGTGTTGATGAAGAAGGCGATTTCCTCAGTGTTCCACTTGCAGGCACACTTTCCGATCATGTCTGAATGCATGAACTTCTCAATCTTCTTCTTGGAGATATACTGCAGGGTATTTGTGCTATAGTCGTGATAGTACAAGGAGCCACTAGGAAGGAACGGAAATACCCCGCCGTTCCGTACTATCTCAAAGGCGTAGGTTCCGTAGGTAACTGTGTTCGAGGAAGCATTCAGGTCCTCAGTCGTCATGCTCTCTGTGGCTTGCGTGGTTGAGCTCGCCGAAGCCGCCAGGTCGACAGCAAAAAGGTGCCAAAGAGTCTCCCTGGTTACTTGATTGTATATGATGTCCAAAAACAACGAGTCCCGAGAGATTCTAATAAACGTGATGTCTGAGGACATGTGCAGGATGTTCTGGTGCATGGTATGTTTGGCCGTCTCGGGTTGCAGGAGGTAGGGGTAAATGAAGTGCCCGCTATCATCGCTAGGGGCATACTGAATAGGGGTATCTTCATCTTTAAAGTACATCTTGTATCCTTTGTCCAAATCTAATGCTATCTCTAACATGAGGCTCTTTGAGTTTATGTAGCTGATAAAGAGCTTGTTGGCGTCCACATTGGGCCTAATAGAAAAGATCTGGTTTCTGCGCTTAATGGGAAGGATGCACGTGCGTACAAGGCTCTCTGCAGCCTTTGGAGACTGCAGGTCGATGATCGCATAGCCGTAGTACATGTGCATGACCTTCTCAGGCCTGGAGTGGTCGTTCTGGTGGAAATATGAGAGAGTATCTGCTTGTCTGCGTGTGGTGAGGCCAGCATAGACGAAGTATTCCCTTCCATCCTTTTCACTCTTTGCAATGGCACCAATAGCCGGTATGAATGTTCCAACGCGAATCTTATTCTTCACACGGTAGGCGACACGACCACTTGTATCTGCCGGTTCCTGCTCGTAGTCATAGATTGCATGCCCCGAAAATCGAACAATTCTGGACATATCAGATGCAACAAACAGAAGAAGACCCTTGAAAGAGAAAACAGGCTCCTGATTCACAAGAGAGTACAGGAGATAGGATGACGAGAGATAATCGCGCGCCTGGGAGCCCGGGTCAGGTTTCTGTGTGAGCACCATTACATCCGTGTTCGTAGGGTGGATGGCAACGATCTTCTCAGATGCATCGAGCTGGACTGGTTGCAGGTTTTGCGCGCTCACAAGGCCCATTTAATTTTTACACTCTAATGTGACACGTACAATATGTTAATAATTGCAATTTTAACAAAATGGCAACCAACACTTAATATTCAATGACATTGCTTCAAATCCAACCAGATTCCTCCAAATATAGGGATAGTAGGTTACTGGCACGGACCCTGATGGGGTTAACTTATGAAGCTATTCCAATATCCCCAGATACCTCAACAGATGCTCCTCCTGTAGTTGTGAAGCTTCTCTCTATAGCAACAGTGCCCATCGGGTGCCGAGAGGAGTTGATAGTGGAATACCAGGCTTGTGCAAAGGCAAGCTGCTTTGCATTAGCCCAAGTCAACTCAGTTAGCTTTGATCCCGGAGCTGCCCTGATTACAGTAGAATCTCCTATGTACCATTGCTCTCTAGAGACTCTGGTTTCACAGACGGGCAGGGAAGGATTGCCGCCTTCGCAAGCCTCTGAAATACTGGCGCAATTACTTACTGGACTCGTCTATATGCACGATCCGAATGAGACCGTAGGCCTGATAATTCATAGGAATTTACAACCACGCAACGTATTACTGGACAAAGATGGGTTTGTTTACATATCCGATTTTGCGTTCTGTCGCGCCCTAACGGCGGTCTCTTTAATGAGCCCAAGTTTTGGAGACAGGAGATTCATGTCCCCGGAAGGCATACAGGACTTTCCACTGGATGAGAAGACAGACATATGGTCCTTCGGTAGCCTTGCTGTGTATATGCTCACAGGGGCGCCTCCAGCATTCCCTCCAAACCTCAGCATGGATCAAGACAATATAGCAGCGGCTGTTAGCGTTATTATTGATGGCATTCGGTCCATGATCCGTCCCACTTTGAACAACGAAAAAGAGGTTGTAATGTTTGACTGCTTATTATCCACTATTAGCTCGTGCTTAGCATTCGATCCTCTTGACAGACCATCAGCAGCAGACCTGTGCAACGAGGAACCATTTCTGACGACAAGAGCCCATCTTCTAAAGAGGTTCCCACACATCTTCAAGAATACCCCAAGCTCTCTGTCTGCTATTAGCCCGGAAGAAGGATGTGATAGGGTTAGAGATGAGGGTAGCTCATTGGATGCCCTAAAACAGGCGATCATTGACAACAGTCTTGTTCGAGTCAGGAGGTACATGGATACATTTGACCTGCATGCGAGCCAAATGATGGAACTGGGAATAGAGCACAAGAGCTATCTAGTGCTGCCGATGCTTTGCAGGCGCATAGTGGAACGCAACCTCTGCGTCTCAGTGAAGAAGCGGAAAGGAGAGGTAGTAGCGGAGCGTACTAACTTGATGAAAGCGGCGTGGGACGGGGACACAGAAGGAGTCAAGAAGTACTTGCACGAGGCCGGAAAGCTCTGGTATGATGACACAGCGCTTATGCGCGCAGCAAGAGGAGGGAACCTGCACTGCGTTAAGCTTCTTCTCTGCGAGATGGGGATCCAGAACTCAGGAATGATGACCTCCCTTATGTATACGGCTCAAAAGGGCCACATAGAGTGTCTAAAGTATCTTTTGGCAGAATCTAGATACTGTGATGGTCAGGATGTTACTGCGCTCATCATAGCTGTTCGCGCCGGGTATCCCGAGTGCGTGCGCTTGCTGAAGGATCGCGAAAATGACATAGTCGATAGAGACAATAGGAGCGCCTATGAGCACGCTTTAGCCATGCCTTTTCCCTTCATCAGCGAGGACCGATACAAGCGCTGCGCTAAGATGCTAGCTCCTGCGGAAACACATAAAAGTAAATGATCAAAAAATATTGGAAATTCTTCATGAAGCGCTCATGTGGATATTTGTGGCTTTAGCACTTGCTTTATCGAATACACCCGTGCGCTGCCTTGAGGATCAGTATTATGGGCTATGGAGTTTTACGCTATCGCGCCAATTTGAAGTTACTACGGACACTCTCGAGTGCGAAACGTCTATCCCGAAAGACGGAGACAAGATTTATTTGACCCTCCTGCCAAAGGGTATTGCGTACACAAGTGGAGGTCGTGCAGGGCGGTGGAGCCCCGTGTACATGGCTGGTGTCGATATCCTAATCGAAGGCATGCGTTATTTTTTCCTAAGTAAGACAGTCACAATATCGTCTGAGGGACACGCAAAGACAGTGTCCATCTGTAGCGAAAGCCAACCAGGGCATGGCTGGGCCCGCCAAGATGGTATAAAGAGCAGATATCAGAATTGTTTATATGCTGCTCTGATACAGCCCTTGGTTCCAAACGCAACAAATATTAATAGTCAGGACCTCACGCGGCTACATATGTACGCTCCTGCGAGTGATTATGGGTCCCCACAGGGCTTTGACATGCACTACGGAGACCCGCCCCCTGCGGCCTGGTCGTGGGGGGACGTCGGCGGGGCCTCGTTCCTCCCGGCCGCGCCGCCCGCCTCCCCCGGCCGGGGGTGCAACAGCAGCTACGTGGAGGCGGCGCTGGCGGCCATGATGGCGCGCGTGATGGTCGCGAGCAACCGGACAGACCCGCTCGGGCAGCAGACGTTCCTCTCCGCCCGCCACGTCCTCGACTGCAGCCAGTACGGCCAGGGCTGCGCGGGTGGCTATTTTGAAGGGGTGGGATTGTTTGCAGAAACCTATGGTATCTTAACCACCGATGCTTATCCTGCCAGGCCCGGTGATAATGTACGATATTGTTCAGTGCCTGCCCAAGCCTCACGTCGATATTTTTTCACAAATTATTACCCAATTGGAGGATATTTGGGAGCCGTCACATCGCCGTCAGAGATAATGTGGGAAATTTACCGCAATGGTCCTGTTATAGCAGGAATTAAGCCTAACAGTGATTGGTACTCTTGCAAGCACACCACAGAAGAGGATTTTCTGCCCTCTTCTTATCCCACCACAAGCACAGGCTTCCCAAACAGACGATACTTCTATGCAGATGTATCCTACGGTGTAGTCATTATCGGCTGGGGTACAGATGAAATTAATGGTGATTACTGGTTAGTCCTCGATCCACTCTCCACCAGAAAAAGCAGCTGTCCAGATAGGATCCGGAAGATTGCACGGGGCATCAATGCATTTAACATAGAGAGTTATGTTGGAGGGGCAAACTGGGTGCCTCTGCCGGACCTTCTTACTACGCATCCAAACAAATTGGTCATTCAGCAAACATTTTTAATCTGCCTCTTTGTGGCAGATATTGTTTCCGCAGCGGTTTCTATTCTGTCGGTAATTCTAGTATGTAGTGTTATTAAGAAAAGAAAAACATTGAGCGTGAGCACCTCTTCGTGTCTAATGATGTCTGACCATGCATTATAGATGCACTGAGTGTTTAACTGAGTGCTTATCGCCATAAAGACTCACCTATTCTCTACAATAATAGTTATTACTCTCATTACTTTCTCCTCTATCGTCATCATGTCACACTTTCCGTTGTCATTGTGATATATGCTAAGTGCCGCTATAAAGAGCATCTCTGCAAATCCCAATTCGCTCATGACGTACTGCCCACCCAGCTTAACATCTAATGATTTCATTACTATCTCAGAAAGATACCTCCGTGTCAATCCGGAGTGCTTCATGTGAACTAGCAAAAAGCTTAAAGCGCTATTAAAGGACACATACTGTGTGGTGCCATAAAACCGTTTAATGGAGTCGTACATAAAGCCCAACTTGTGTCGTAGCTGATACGTGCGGCCACCGGGCATTATCAGAGTCGGATTTATTTTCTTTATGAGCAAGCTTCTATACTTTGCATAGAACAGTCGAGAGTAAACTGCAATAAGATCTGCATTTAGCTGACCTTCATGAGCAGATCCCCTTTTGCTTATGTCTGCAGAAGCTGGACGTATGGTAGGTGCGCCACATGCCACGGATGGCCTTGCTTGTAAAGCTGAGTGCGGCTGAGCACAAACCTTTGTAGGGGACGAGATATATTTTGCATGGTGCGACATGGTCAGCAAGTCGTTCACGAGAGTGGAGCGGGAGTTACAAACATTATGCTCTATCAGCCGTTCTATTTTGTTAGAAAGTTTTGTTTCCGATTCATCGGCATCGAGCAACTCATCAGCCTGAGCACCAACAAGATCGCTTTTTGTCATGGTCTCACTCATAGTTAATTTAGTTGGCAAAGAATCGGAGGCATATATGATGTCATTTGCTGGATTGGCCTTATTAACTATCGTATACCCATTGTGCGTTAAAAGCTGATGAACAAGTTGATAGAGCAGTCTTGGACTCTTGTTAGTAATTTCTTCCAGAAGCTTAAGGAAGTGATATGCATCTATTTTCCGACCGGTGCCACAGTTTTGCTGGAATGCATGACTAACAGTCCCTAAATCAACAATATCAGGTATTATATGCGCTTCTTTTAGCATATTTATCACATCAATCACCCCGCAAACACGTCCCACAGACTCAGTAGCTTGTGCATTAGCGTCGAATATTGCCTCTAGAGAGTTAGCATTATCTTCCAAGAGGGACTCGGTGATCCACTGGTGAGCGTTCCTAGTGAGTAGATGCATATCTACTGTCTTGACCCTTTTGATGGCCTCCGGGTGTGTGCATATCTTCTTTGCTAATAGAAGGCTATATGTCGTGGTCAAATCGATGATTTCTGCGAGTTCTGGGAAGGAGAAGATGCTAGATTCGGTCTCCAATATACTTGCTAGTATCTGGGACACAGTTATTGCCTCGGAAATGCTGCTTAAAGTTGTCTGCATTTGAATCTGTAATCTAAAAAGGAGGCTTCTGGAATTCTAAAGAACAAGCTGAAGTTGTGGCTCTGCGGCAATTGAGCGAGTAAGTGGAGGATTTACTTTCCATTTTAGAAGTCATATTTAGAAGCGAAGACACTGAGATACGAGCCCAGTAGCCCAGTGTGAAATTCTAAAACTTTATATATACATTGACAACAAACGCAAGTTGGATTGATATATAAAAGTCTGCTGGGATGGTTTTAGTAATGATATATAGTCCAGAGAGCAGCAGGAAACTCTAGTATTTAGATTATCCATTAGATATAGGCTTAGGTAAGTACTCCTCTTCAGGATATTGGGACAGGATATCTATGACGACCTGGTAGTCGACCTTAGAATAGATCTTCATCCTCGCCACACCAAGGGCAGTGATACCCGGTGGATACTCCTCTCTCTTCTGCGTAGCCCTCAAGCCCTTCTCGTGGTCAGCAAGTAGCTTAGTGGTGTCAGCGTCACCGGCACACGCTGCCCACATGAGAGCTGACCAGCCCCACTTGTCCTGAAATCCTACCTCTTTGTCGCGCAGAGAAATCACAATTTCGGGATGCCCGGTCGCTGCTGCCTTCATTAAGGCCGTTGTCCCATTCTTGTCTTGCATGCGGGCCTCGTGTTCTGCCAAAAGATAAGTGATTGAATTGTAGCCATGGACTGCGCCAATCATGAGGGCAGTCCATAGTTCCTCATTCTGCATTCGTGCTTCCTTGTGATGCAGGAGGGTAGCAACCTCAGAGTGGCCCCGCTCAGAAGCAATCATGAGAGCAGTATAGCCGTCACTGCTCTGCATCCCTGCTTCCTGCAGCAAGAGCGGCACAACGCAAGACCGGCCATCAACAGAAGCGTGCATGAGTGCAGTGGTATGCCAGTTGTCAGTCATGTTTAGCTCACTTCCTACAAGTATGCGTGCGGCTTCTTCCTGACCGAACCTTGCAGCGAACATAAGCGCTGTAGAGCCTGAATTGAATTTGCAGCTTTTCGCTCCGACCTCGTGATAACGTAATGCACTAGTTTGCCGCTTTGCTTGGATGGGGACGAGGGCTTTCACAAGTTGGGTTTCTCCAGAGGCTGCGGCCCGCATAAGGGCAGTGATCCCGGAGTTGTCTGTGGGGTCGATGAGCTCAACCATGTTCTCATCTCCGACCTTTGCGGCAATGAGGACAGCCGTGTTTCCGCAGCTGTCCCGTTTGGTCCTAGTGCCAAGGTAGTTTTTGGCCGCTTCGAGGTTGCCCGTAGCAGCGGCGCAGATAAGCGGTGACCATCTCGCTACATCCTTCTCGTGCTTGAGGAGAAGCCGAACAATGTCAAGATGGTTATTGTCGAGGGCCAGCGTGAGTGCAGTATGGCCATCTTTATCCTTGATACCTTTCTCATGCTGTAAAAGTAGTTCAACAACTGGAAGATGCCCCCCAACAGAAGCATACATGAGGGCCGTCCGACCATTATTGTCCAAGAGACGCCTCTCTTTAGCTACTAATAGTTCAACAGCCTCTGTGCTACCTCGCTCGGCAGCAACCATAAGTGCTGTTGTGCCATTACTATCATGCTTTCTAATACCGAGTCTTTTATCAACAAATATTCGAATTGCGTCAAGATCATTGTTACGCACAGCAGCCAGTAGCCCGGCAGAGAAGCCTAAGCGCTCAACAGTGGCCTTTAAAGCTGCAGACTCTGCTTCAAGAGACTGTATTTGCGCGGCCTGGGCGTTGCAGTTTCTTTCAAGGGCTTCTATCTGACTTGCATGCCGCATGCTCATTGTTTGCACTTCCGCTAAGGATGCTTGCAGATACTTTTGATTATCTAGAAACTCAAGATAGCGAGCCATGTGCACCTTATCTCTAGCAGCTACGTTCCTACAATACCCTAGTGCTCTAGACACGTTCTCTGCGTCCATCAGTGCTTGGACCGCATCTGCGAGTTCATCAGCTGTTGCACGTTCTTCAGGATTTTGCCGAAGGACGCGGTAACATACAAGTCTAGCCAAGTTTTGGGCTCTCTGTGGCAACCCTTCGAGGATAGGCTCATGCTCGTAGACCCCAGGTTGCTTCAGGGTGATAAGTTCAAGAATAACAGCGCCGACGCTCCAAACATCTGAGTTCTTGTTATGCTCCCCACCGGATGCCACTTCGGGAGCTTCATATGGGCTCAGAGCTCCCAGAGGAGCTTCGCGATGACGTCCAAAACCGGCGACAGCAAACTGCGTCTCTTCTTCACTGACCAGAATGGATGCAGGCCTTATGGACCTATGAAGGATAGCTGGAACGGGTGTTGTGCTCCTATCGGCTTTCTCTGCATGTAGATATGCAAGGCCCGCTGCAATCTGGTTGGCAGCAAAGAACATTGTCTCTACGGGAATGAAACGGTTTTCTGCCCGATACTTGGTAATTAAAGTGGCAAGTGTCTTCGGTCTATGCTTAACAATTGCATACGCGAACTCTCCGCTCAAAAGTACTTGATCACACGTCTGAATGTGTGGATGGTTCAGGAGGGGGAGGATTGCCAACTCTGCTTCAACAGCTTCTCGAAGACAAGAGTCCATGCTTTTGAGTTTAATTTCCCGAACAGCCCTGCTAGGATGATTCTTAAGAAGGCGCTCAGCACCCCATGCACCCTCATCAATGACGTCACCCATGCACTCTATTATCTCTTCAGCGGTATGAAAGAAGGCTTTAGTCATTAATTTATTTTGATTGGACAAAGCAACTACCGTAGAGTCTTTAGTCCAAACGGTCATACCTTTTTCTATAGAGTGCTTGTACGCAAGTGACTTTCAGGTGTTAGACAAATCGGATCGACGCTATGCAGTTGTATCAATCAATCAAAGAGAGGATTTTCTAACACACTTTACTCAGCAGAGGTTTTCATTGTATTTATATCTACAGTATGTCGTGTAGCTTGCGGCTCTATAGAGGCAATATTTTCAATCGACAAGTCTGCAATTGATGGCAATGGGTGTGGGTCGCCCCATCCCTTAAGGTCGTGCCACGTAGGACGCCAACGGTACACATTAAAAATGTTATACTCTATTTCATTCTGTGGTACATACTTCAGCATCTCTTCGAAGGTGAGCCCTGAGGGAGACCTCTCATGTTTGTAGAGATGCTTGTAGTGAGTTTCAGGAGGCTGCAGCGTTGCCATTCTTATATATTCTCTGTCTCTCGTTCGTGGGGTTAGTGGCTGGTTCCAGAGAGCTTTCATTAAATTGGCGGGAGGCCTAATACTCTGTTTGGGGACAGCGTGGTGTGGATAGGTGCTGTATAGCCCGCATACATCTTGATAAAGGTGGGAACCATGATTGCTTGTGGAGCTGATGCCTCTGTGACCCTCCCGCGTAGTGGTCAACCGCTTAGAAGAGGGGATGTCATCATTGATATGTTCAAGCGGATTACATACTCGTTTGTATGCGTACGTAATAAACTCAGAAGCACGAGGACTCATCAGACATCTCTCTATGTCTGGACCCGCGATGAGACGTCTGTCTTCTTCGGTGAGCCCTTCATGAGAGGCTAGCAGACCTCTATCAAGCAAGGATTTTGTTCTATTGCGATCTATTACCATTTTTCGAATTGGTCCACGCGGCATCATTGTAAACGGCGGAGAGAAGTCTGTCTTCTTTGCGTATCTTGGTGGAATTAAAACCTCTCCTGTTAATATTGGATCATCAGGCACCGAAGTGGTAACCAAATCGGGTCGAGTCAGCACGGCTTCTGTTAGAGACGGTGCCGTCACTGTTTCTAAACTGGTAAGGAAAGTACCCTTTGCGGCCTTGTCAGAGCTTTTTGGCTCGCCAGTTGAGGCTTCAGATAGAGTCAGTTGTTTGTTCTGCGATGGAGAGTATCGAGCAGCCTGATCGGAGAGCTCTGTACCCGATGACTTAAGTGAGTCACAGATGTCCGAATACTTCATTCTAGAATCTGTGAGCAACAAGTTAGTTTGAGATTCTGAGGTACCAGTGCGAAGAGGATAAAGACCAATTGTGGCAATCGATCCTGGCTCTGTCGGGTCGTACCCGGATTCCCTCATATTAGCCAGAGATGTTGTCAGCGCAGAGCGGCGGCGAGGTTGAAATGATGCAGACCGCCTTGTGTCGTCATGTGCAATCGCCATCGATAGGTTGAATCCTCTCAGTGTTGCGCCATAAGATCTGCTTCCGGAGGTGTGCAGATCTGATGCCTCGGGCTTACTGCCAAAGCCAAGCCGTGAACCTTGATATGACAGACGAGCAGTAGGTGAGATAGTGCGTTGTGAAAGGAGCGGAAGCTGCACCCCTGGTGTGGGGCTGGCGTAGAGGTGACCCGGCGAAGTTCTAGATGCCACTTTTTTGGTCTGAGGGAGGTTAATCGTGGTTTATGCCAAAAAGCGACGCACGGGTGGACGTAACCGTGGTATCTAAACAGGCAGCGTTGGGAGCAATGCTAGACAGCATTCAAGTGGTGTTTCCGGCTGCAGAGGATGTCCTGGCACATCTCGTTAATACTGCAAAATCGAGACCTCAAATGAGTAATTCAGCACCAATAAGCGCACCACTAACCTCGTCTACAATTGGGAATGTCACGGCGACAGCCCAAAGATTTTCTCTGTGGATGATTCAAAGAATTATTATTGCTTGGATTAATTGCCAGCCTGGCTCGACGTTAAAACGGCTACTCCAATGTATGCTTAACTCCAACAGATATTATAGCTCAGCATGCGGCTTTGTACTGCATAACATCGCTGATAAGACAAAGGCAACCCTAGTAGACAAACTGTTACTGCACCCGTGCTCAATTATAAGTACGCCGCCAATTCTGAGTGAGTTTCTTCTTGGTTCCAAACACCTTGTTAACTTCTTTGCAGAATCATCTGAAGAGGCCCAGTTATACTTTCATATTGATACCCACTTGGGATGCCTGCAACTTCGCTGTATGCATAACCAAAGGGCAAATTATTTTGGCCTTTTCCTTCTTGATTGCTCTCGACGATTAGGGGAGCCGCGGCGCTGGCAAAGCGTCACAGAAGTGAAGTATCTTACAGGGGATAAAATTCGTTCTCCACGGCTTTTTGACACAATATACATAAGGCATATTAATAAGACACTCCGTGATAGATCATTGTATGAAGTAGCTGTGGTTTTGTGTACCAGCACAGTTGTGTATTTTATCACCTTTGTGTTGAGTATGTCTTCGGGTATGACAATTCATGATACCCCTCAGGTATACAAGTCTCATTCAACGGCAGGCTTCCTAGGGACTCTCTTTGACAAACAGGAAGCGCAAGCTAAACGGGCTTCTGCATTGCTCAATTTCTTTTACATAGCCAACGTAACACATAAGCATCCATATCTTTGTGTAATCTCGCCATTTTTACCTCTTTTGTTTGCAGTATCGGGACGATTCCTGGAGCCATTCTTCTTAGAGCGGGGAGACGGGGGGTGCACAATCCTTGGAGTAGTGGCGGTTATAGGTCAGGACCCCATCATAATTACTGCGGAAGGAAAGACCTACCGTGTGTCAGTTGCGCAGGAGCACAATGGTGTACCGCACATTACACTGGAGGAGATCCAGACTATCGATTGCGTCTCCTTCCCCTGGACTGTGGCAACGACTCCGTACACTGCCGCCGTGATACTTGAACAAGGCCGTGTATTGATCGTAGACCAGGAGGGTGATCAGGCAAGACTCACTGAAAGACAGGTCTTCGGAGAAACACGTTGTAGAGACAACAGTATTGCTCTAAAAGCTCTAGCGCTTCTAAAATCTATTGAATCCCCATCCATCCGTGACATTATCTCCATTGGTCTGCTACGCATATCCAAAACCATCACCTATGTAATAGCAATCGGTAAGAGATGGGATGGAAGTGGGTTCTTAGCAGTTTATGATACTGTCAAATGGAGCATTCGGGCCTACAATACTGCACTCCCTGTAGCTTGTCTCTGTAGGGGAAAAGCGCTGATTAGAATAGCACTACTCGATGGTTTCCTGTTCTGTGGACTAAATTAAATTTTCACCCATTACAATCTGCAATATTTAAAATTTTTAAGACAGTTCCAAAAAAGAGCATGGCTTTTCAATTTGGGAACAATGCTGCTTCTAGCAGTGGAGCCACGGGGACTACGACGACCACACAGGCGCCGTTCACCTTTGGAACGTTTGGGCAACAGGGAGCAGCCACGGCTTCTGCTCCAGGAGGACTAAACAACACGCCAACTCCGGCACCTGCCGTCTCAGCATTTCCCACTGTAGGAGCTACGGCTGCTGCAGGGTTCGGCACTAGCGGATTCACATTTGGAAAACCCGCGGCATCAGCAGCCACGACGACCCCTGCAGCAACCCCTGCAACCGGGGCATCAACCTTTGCTTCTGCCAATGCTCCTACCTTTGGTGGGTTTAAGGCCGCCAACAATGCAACGACTACCGCATCTGGCTTTAATTTTGGAGGGGCTTTGCCGTCTGCTTTTTCCAAGCCTTCAGATAACGCCGCACAAGCGGGCGCGCAACTGAACACACAGAACCTTCAGAAGCAAATGGAGAACATAACTCCGGATGATACCCTACAGAAGTGTCCACAGGATTTCCAAAAGCTGGTGCTGCGAATAGATTCCGAGCAGGAGAAGGCTAAGAAAGCTCTCCAGACGCTCGAATCAACAATCGCAAAGAATAAGAATGAGTATCTAACTATCTGCGAACGAATGACGGCGCTGAACCACCGGCTATATGAACTAGAGTCGTGTCAGACGGCACTAGAGACTGAGGCAACATCACTAACGAGCCACTTGACCGCCCAGCGGGAGCTAGCATACAAGCTATCCACGAATGACCCCGACGCTCGGGAGCTTGCAGCCAACTATTGGGACTACAAGTTTTCATCCCTCCAAGAGAAGCATCAGCGCCTCCAGTCACAGCTACTCTGTCTAGCCACCGCACTGGGGGTCCCAGTTAGCTCCCGGATACCCTGCCAGACTATGGATGAGCTATATGGGCTCCTGGAATCCCTCTATCAACAGGCACGGATATACCAGATCAAATTAGGCATCGAGTAGTAAATCCAAAAATCTAGCCTCCTCCATGAGCGAGAATTTAGGGACGGACCACAATGACTATGGTACAACCTCAACACTTAATGCTGTTGATGTTCATATTGCCCTGACCGCTATCGAGGACGCTGTGAATAAGCTTGCCCTCCTTGACGACCTTGCACCAGACTTAGCCACACATAGAGACGAGCTCACTCTCTATGTCGGTACGGAGATCTCTCGCATTATCACAAAGCAGCGGGCGCTAGAGGATCAACTGATTAAGGTTATAGATAATAGGAACGCCCTTCTGCAAAACAACAGCACTCGTGCCGTTATACAGGCATCAAACGCCGAAGTCACGGAAATAAGCAAAGCGATTAAGGCTGCAACAAGCGAGCTCTGCAGAAACCTCAGAGAAAACCCGTCTGTCTCTGAAAACTTGAGGAAAACCCAGGCACATCGCTCTTATGTCCACAAGCTATTAACGACAGCTTATGCTGAGCTGAAGCAAAAGCACAGCTATACTGATCTTGATCGCACCGTTTCAGAAGCGCATATGGTTCTCATAGAGGAGAAGAGGCTAGAGGAACGAGCACAAAAGGCCAAGAATGCAGTCCGCGAGCTCCAAGAAGAAATAGATAAAACTCGCTCTGAGCATCAGAAGACGTTGACGGAGCAGCAAGAGCATCTTAAAGAACTGCGAGAGGAATTGGTTACCCAACGCACTCGGATTACTGACACGGTCCGTCTCTACCAACGAGAATTGGTGGCTGCTAACAATGAAGCTGATCGACTGCGCACCGGCGAACTCCGCAAAGGCCAAAACCTTCTCAACGACATAGCCGCTGTGCTGCAGCAGGAGGAGGCTTCTCATGAGATTCTTCACCAGATTCTCCAAGATGATGGGCAACAGATGACAAAGGCTGCCGGGGACTGGCTCCTTAAATCGGAAGAGGTTATAGGAAGACTAGAGGGCGAAATTGCACACTTAGAGCAAGTAAAGAAGCAGAACAGCGAGAAGATCTTCGAGATGGAGCGCCAGGATGAGGAAAACATGGAGGAAAAGAAGCGGTGGGAAGAGGAGGAGGCGTTTAAACAGCGTATGCACGAAACCCTCTTTGACGCCAGAAACATGCGCTTAGAAGTTACACGGAAGTATTTACAAGACACGTGGCGATTGGCTCTAGACCCGCCGGACCCCGAAAAGAAGAAGAAAAAGGGGAGCAAGGGGAAAAAAGGTAGTAAAGGAAAGAAGGGAAAGTAGGATACAGCTACATGTCCTTGCGCATTGACAGCTTAGCACCAAACCGCTCGACTAGTTTAACAGCAAGACCGGTAAGATCAACCACAATTCTATATAATGTCACTGCCAAGGTCTTCAGATTCTCTCCTAGTGTTTGTGCCTGATCCTTTGACGTGGCGGACATACCAATAGGTGCTACTTTTGCTGCGTCCACCAAGCTCGCTGGTGTGTCCTTCATGTGCACTTTCATAAAGTCGTCAAGCTTCCTCGATAGCTTGGCCTGTTTGTCTGCAATACTACCAATTGCATCGTAAAACTCTTCCAGCTCTTTGATCAGCTTCCGATGATCCGCAGACTGTATCCGTAGGGTCTCCTCGAGAGTAAGCACACGTGCAGATAGGTCGTCAAATGATGAATTGGGTACATCTGTACCCGTGGCATTGACGGCGTCACGCTCCATTGCCGTATCCAGTTCAGCAGAGTCAGAACGCTCTTGTGCAAGCTCGGAGATAACGGAGTTAGACAGTACTGAAAAGTCCGCCAGAAGCGATGGGTTAGATTCGAGAACATTAGAATCATCAGGAGCGTTTGACTGACTGGTGATTGATGCTGTCTGTTGCTGATTTTGTAGCGCTTCTAGGTATACTTCAAAGTCTTCTCTACTGATTAGTGTTATTGGGGACGAAGATGACTCACAGAACCCCTTGAAGAATTTTGCGTTATCACTTGTCCAAGTAAATCTGCAAAGAGATTGCTTTTTCTGTAGCACATACCCCATCAGCTCAGCGACGTCGAGCACTTGAAGGGTTGGTGCGCCCGAATTCACATAGTACAACTTATCATGCTGTGAAGATATCCATAGTGCTGTATTAGAGAGGGTCTCGTTGAAGAGGGTGTAAACCTCATTGGATTCTGAGTCTTCCTCGTACACATGACAAATGCACTTGGCACTAACATAGTCACAGAGTATATGCAGGGTAAGTGAAGAAAAGGATAGTCTTCCAAAGAGAGGCCCTGATGCGCTTATTCTAGAAGCATGAAGCGCCTCCAGCCGAAGAGTACTTTGTGTGACTGAAGGAGAGAGAGGCCTAACAGACTCTCCGCGTGAATCTAATAGAGAGACGGTATCCTTTGTAAACTCTAGATTGTAAAACTCCAAGGGCTTCACAGTAAGCTCTAGAAGAATTGCCTGGCTATTCCTGTAGTAGATATGAAGAAGCCCGGCTGTATCGTAAGCTATATCAGCGATGCTATTCTTTCGCTTGATTGGTATCAAGAAGGAGTTGATCTGAGAGCCAGTCTCTCTGTGTAAAACATAAAGAAAAGTATATGAGGCAGCAATCTTGACTGGATCTTGATGAGAGCATGTGCTGAAGTACTTTGAAACCTCATTTGAAGACAGCTTCTGAACTAAAGCCCCCAAAACCACTAAGACAGATTGGCCCGTATTAAGCGTTATCAGGGAGGCAAACTTTGGAGTGCACGTGTTCAAGCTGTAGGTCTTAGTGCAAGGATAGGTGTTTGTCGGGGAGCGAACATGGATATGGAGCTTTCGATCGAAGAATCGAGTTATCTGGCTCAAGTCATGCGTGCAACAAACAACCTGGCCAGGCTCATTATATAATTCCTCATTCTTCGCCCCAGTAAAGAGAAGGAAGGACTCCTGGTGGACATCTGATTTATCTGAAGAAGTAGGAGTATATGTAAAAAGGATCAACTCTCCAGAGGAAGAGCCACTGAGCTGCAAGAACTGTGCATCCTTTGAACCGTGGAACGGTTTAGGCAAGCCAGTGGTGAGTATTGATTGCATTATGGATTTTAGTTTTTGGAAAGAAGCACAGAGTTTAATCTTTACGAGTTTCGTTCTTTTCTAGTAGCTGATAAACGAACATACACCCGGCAGCTAAAAGAGCTAACCCAAGAACAACGAAGACAAAGCCAAGAAGAATTATTGGATTGATAGTCTGATTAATATTTTTAAGGATTGGAACACACAACCCCTGCGATGTGACATTTTGTGCGTCTCTCAGCAAATAGGAATAGCCATCCTTGCATAGCACACAAGTCTCGTAGACAATGTCTTGTGACGCCTCAATCTTGCACTCCAAGCAATTCGGGATGGTGCATAGGATACAGGCATTCTGATAAAGTGCGTAAAGGGTGTCACATTCAAGACAGACTATTGGGATTGCAGTAGTGCATCTGCGGCAATTAAGGATTGCACAGTTTGTTTCGCTAGACCTAATGCACAAGGAGTTGTCCCGCACCAATAGGTATCCCTGATAGCAGGTGACGCATTGCTTGATAATGGATTTATTTCTATCGTTGTACAGAATCCTACAGTACTGGCAGCCGAGCATGTCGCACGCCACACACATAGAACGACCAGAGGAGTCGCTTGGGGAGCATTCTGTACACATTCCCTCTGCACAAGCTAAACAGTCATAGTGAATATAGCTACAAGAGACGCAATATTCTTGCAAATAGTACCCCGGCTCGCAGACAGAGCAAAACTCACTTCCATCATGACAATCAATGCAATGTGGATCTGCACAAGAAATTACATCTGTTGTACACTTATCTAGTACCGGTGGATTCCCATCTGTACAGAGCTCACAGATAAAGATATCAGTACTACACTGAAGACAATTGTCTATATTGCAAGAGACACAGTGGCCATCAATATCTGGGCCGAGGTTATCTCCATAGCACAAGACGCAGTATTCAGTGTCGTCGGATATTACACATTCGATACAGTTTTCAAGAGTACAAGTAGTAGGGTGCGTTAATGTAGCACGCGACTGTGTAACATTCAGTATGCTGTTGGCAACTGGTGCTGCACACTGAGTATCAACTGGAGTGAAAGGAGGCCTACCAAGCGGCATATTTATTAACATACCCACTGAAAGAGGCCTTTACTCGACTAGAACCTGTGCCCACTAAGAGGTTTCTTCATCTCTGACACTCTAATAGCGTTACTCCTTGTGATGTCTACCCATTCCCAGTACATCACGAACGATCCACTCTGGTCGTCGGTGTCCGCTCAGCTTTAGAAATCAAGCTACGCTAGCTGCTTCTTAAGGACGGCCAGTTCATTAGAAAACCTCCCTATCTCGCTCGATAGCTCCGAATATAGAAACTCTCCTGTGGTATGGTCAAAGGTAATTGGCTGTGTGACCATACCCTTTTCTGTAAAGCGGGCGCTTCTTCGAGCGTTTATGAAGCTTTCTATTGGATTGTTCTTTGATTGTACGTTGTTTCGAGCGTCCACTGATGATGTAGGGATACTGGCTAAGGATACGGTAGGCAGAGAGCCACCAGGGGGCTCCTTTTGCGATTCACATCGCGCCTCAAGGGGTATATCTGTGAGGCCACCATCTCTCCCTTTTATTGTAAAAGTTGGGCTTCTTCTATTATAGCGCATGTTAGTGGCCTTATTACCGCCACCCATCTCATTGCCAAAGTTCCAATCTTTATTAGTTGTAGTAATTATATCAAGATCTACACTTTGTAGATTGTCTTTATACTTAGTGATGAAAAGAGGAGTCATCTTATTTTCAACATTATTTCCGATTGAGCTGGCCCCTAGTTTTTTACTAGAAGCCAATAGATGCCGTTGGTCTGCAACTATAACTCTTGATCTGCTAAAATCATTCTGGGCTCCTGTGTCTATATGTCTCAAAGCAGAAGCTGATGGTAAAGAGCTACTCATTCTCAAAGATTTAAGAGCAGATCTAGCATTCGATACAAGGACATCTTGCTCTTCTGTAGTCATGGGTTTGTTACGAAGATCAGAGCGGAGAGCAGAGGCCGACTTTAAAGTGCTAGGCACAGCGTCCATCGGGGTTGCTGTGCTACCTTGTAGTGCATCAAGAATAACTGCATCCGGTATTCGATCTATTAAGGAGGGTAAGACATGACAAACCCTTTTAGTTAATCCTATAAGGCCTTGGGGTTCTTGCTGTTTCTCTTGGGGAAAACTGGATTGTTGATTGTGCCGCTCAATCGTAGCCCACTTAAGGGCATCATTTTTTGATACCTCGACCAGCTTGATTGATACCTTGTGATCTGCGCTAGTTTCACCAAGTTCAAGGGCTACACGCGATTGCTCAGTGAACGAGTCCTTATCTTTTTTACTAGAATGGTCGAGCAATGAGTTTGACGTAGAATTAATTGACTGTTTGGCAGATAGACTCCTACTACTATCCGTAACGGCATCGATATGGGCTGCACTATTGCTGAAGCTTCGTGGAGCTGGAACCAAGATAGACTTCCTCTGTAGTGTGTCGGAACTAATAGAGCGACGAGCGGGCATCTTCTGTGCTGCTTTAGATCTCAGTGTGGTGGAATGGGCAGAAGTAAGAGAGTCTGTTAGAGGCTTGATCCCAAAGTGTGCCAATACATTTGATACAGATAGGCCTGATTCCGCTGCATCTAAAAGGAAATTCTTCTTAGCATGCATTTGTGCACCGACAAGACCTGCTCTATGCATAGTCGATAGTAAATTACTATAGTACCCATTGCACGTAAGAGGAGCTGTTCGGAAGGGAGTATCCATCGGGGTGATAACCGAAGAGCTATAGGAGCAGTCGGCGGCGAGAAAGTCTTCGTGCTCTTTTTCATCTTCGTGGGCATCGACAAATGTAACACAGGGCTCGTGACCCAGTGAGCTCATTGCTGTCTGCGGTGCGTCCTTTATACCAGAGCTGATGCTTAGCATCCCAGTGGTGTTAAGCGTGTCTTCGTTGGCAGTGTTATCTAAAATAGTCGGATGAGGCGAGCTTATGCCTGTCTCCAAGTGCAGTCCAGGGTGCAATGCACTCTCCTCAGATAGTTTTACGGGCTCTGCTTCTCCAGGACACAGTGTGCTATTATTGAGGCCATCGGAGCCACATGTCAAAATGCTGGAAAACCCGGATTCGCTGGTAGTGAGCGGAAAGGAGCGATCGGTCTGCAGGGTGGTATTTGTGATTGTGCTCATCGAAATGGTGTTATGGTTTCCATCGAATATGACGGGCCCGAAGCTCTTATTTCTAGGAGGAGGAGCTGAATTTCCTCGAGCACCAGAATCGACAAGCTGGTCTCGGAACACGTTCCCAATGGCAAGCCGCTCCAGAAGCATTTGGTCTGTTCGTGGCTGAGCGAGGGCCCGTTCAATCCGGAGCATCTCCTCGAGCTGCCCGGCATCCGAACTTCCTTGTGACTCGACATACGCGGCTCCAAACCTCCGGCGGCGGAAGGAATTCTGAGCCTGGGCTCCTGATGGGTAGCAGGAAGCGTACCTAGACGGTTCGGGATGCGCTAGGGAGTCAAGAGCAGTCGGGGACCTGGACCGGGGGACTAGCGCGGGGTGGAGCGGAACGGGCCGGCGCGCCACGGCTGGCGGGGCGGGGTGGCGAGGATGGAAGCGCGGGCTGACGTGGTCGACGCGGTGGCCGGGGGGAAGCCGGACGCGCGCAGGGGGCATTGGGAAAATCCTCGCTGCCGGATTCGAACCAGCGACCGTTCGGTGACTGCGGACTCTACAGCCGAACGCTCTACCAACTGAGCTAAGCGAGGCCTGAGCGCCTTGACAGCGCCAAATAAACACAAGAGGGCTTGATCTGCAGGCTTGGTGACCCAAAAATGGGCATCGCCCTCGGCCGGCTCATCCAGTCCCTCTTCGGCTCCCGCCAAGCACGCGTCGTCATGGTCGGGCTCGACGCCGCTGGGAAGACGACGATCCTCCATCAGATGGCCTACGGGATGACCGTGGAGACGATCCCGACGATGGGCTTCACCCTGCAGACAGTAAAAAAGGGCAAGCTGGAGCTCGACGTGTGGGACATCGGTGGCCAGTCCGAGTTCCGCAATATCTGGGTTCACTACTATGTCGATAAGCACGCTGCTATCTTCGTCGTCGATGCAGCAGACCACAGTAAAGCACGCATGGAGGAGGCTCGGACGGCTCTTGAGGGCGTACTAACAGCCCCAGAGCTCTCAGGTGTTCCCATCCTCATCCTCGCCAACAAGCAGGACATAGACGGTGCCATGTCCGGGGACGCCGTGGCAAGCATGTTAGACCTACAGAACGTCAAGGATCACGAAGTGAAGGTCGTGGAAACGGTCGGAACTACGGGAAAGGGCCTTGACGACGCCCTTAAGTGGTTGAGCACGGCTATTGAGCGGCGCTGGAAGGAGACTAGCTAAGTAAACAGCTACTTCAGCGTGTAGTCTTCTATGACCTGGGAAATGGTGATCAGGGCGTCCCGGATGACCGTCGGTGTGACCCCAAACCGTTCATAATGCCACATGTACGCACCAGCCTGCATGCGCGCTTTCATGTCCAGGACAAGATCGCCAAGAGTTCTAGAGAAAACGTTACCATTCAGAATCAAGGCAGCACTCGGAGGCACATCTTCTCTCAGATTCTCCCCTCGAAGGGAGACGGGATAATCAGACTTGCCTGGTCGGTAGTATGGGTAGAGATCGTAAAAGCTCGATTGCATGAGCGTGGAATATGCCTCTTTGATGCCTTGTCGCTGACCCTTTATATCTTGCTGCTTTGCTCGGGTATATGAATTAAGAACAGCAGGGTCTAAATCCTTCAGTTGTAGGTAGTCATCAGTGTTAACGTACCCAGAAACGAACTGCTCAGCATCAGAAGAGCGTAGCACTATGTGAGACCGCACAAGACGAGTAAAGTAGTTCCTATCCTCAAGACGCTGTTGCCAGTCCATACACGCATCGCCCGGGCTTCCGGTTATCATTATCTGCCTGCAGCGGGAAATAATTGATCGAAGCGTTTGATGTTGACTATCATGGGAGGGGAAGCTCGGAACCACACGTGGAGCCAGAAGCTTATAAAGCACAGAAGGCACTGTCTGCTCTAACAAGTCAGTGACAGGCCTCCGCAAGCCTGACAAGTTATAGGCCAAGGTACGCCCAATCACTGCGTTTAGCTGCATGAGGGACGGCCGTGCACCAGAGAGGCGGCTCTGTTGGTTCTTGACGATAGTGGCCGCCTCATCATTTCCGAAAAGAAGGATACCATCCGCTTCCTGGATGAGGAAAGCCAAAGAAAGACTTGTATTGTACTGCTGCGTTAGAACCTCCCCAGAAGCAAAGGGAACAACGCAATTGCAAAGAATAGCCGACTTAGGGTAGTGGTCACGTAGATGACCTATTACATGGCTACCCAGGCCCGACCCTGTTCCACCAGCTAGAGACAAGATGCCAAAGAACCCATCTATGTATGTGTTCGCTTCCTCAGCGTACTTCCTCACGCCCTCTAGTATTTTGGGAAGCTCTCTAGGTCCGTGCTCCATATATCCGTGGGCCCAATTGTTGCCAGAGCCAGATTGACCAAAGATAGCTGACCTTGCGTTGTAGTGAAATCTTCCATCGATAACGTCATTTTTGCCCAGGCAGGACTTCAGTATCGCCTTAGGCTCCATGTCTATCATAAGCGCCTTAGCGTATATGCTTCCGTCAGAGGCCTGTCCAAACCAAGGCGTAGCGTCGCCGTTACCTCCCGACTCCTGCAAGTAGTCCATCATGGTTGCGAAGAAAGCAGGCCCGAGCTGGTTTCCGTACTGGCCGAACTGGAGGGTCAGGGTCGCCATCTCATTAATTAATGCCTCATCAAAAATGACCCACAAAACTTTTAATCACCGAAGCATTTAAAATTAGCGCTGTAAGGCAACCTTAGAAGTGCGTCTTCTGGGAAATTCCCTGGGCGTCGGGCAGAAAGTGCCGGTCCTCTGGATTCCGGGGAGTGTCTGGTGCCGATCGGACACTCCCTAGCCGCCACACTGACAGTTATGGTTGCAGGACAAGCTTAGCGAGTCCGAACTCGACAGGGATACTCTACAGCGTTCCTTTATTCAATCATTGACGGGCGTGTCGCTATCACGCCTACTTGAACTGCATCCACGTGGCGCAACAGAGGTTACGCCGGATCCCGTCAACAGATGCGGTGATCTGACGAATCATTCGGCCTGCTTGCGTCTCGGAGACACTAGTAGCACAAGCGCCCTGCTGACTATCGGATGCTTCCTGCCGCCGTGTTGGAGCAAATGCCCCATACCTCTTTGTGAAGGCTCCGGCTCTGGTCAGATCAACATCTGTCACAGGAATGTCATTTATTACTTCAAGGGTAGGGCAATAGTACAGACATGCCGCTCTGAAATAGGGTCTTTTTGTAATGTCGTCATAGACGGTTAAGTAGTGAAGCCGTGCAAATGCAGAGATAAATTGAATTTGAGCGAGTGTTTTTATTCCACAATCAAGAAGCTCAATGCGTTCTATGAACTGGGATAAGTCTTGATTACTACTGAAGTCGTATATGTCCATGTTGCACCTGAAGAAAGAAAGGATTTGGATAAAGTTTCCCGTTAAATAGTTAATGTCTGTTTGCATGATATTTGTTGATATTTTGATCGGCACTACGATTAGCCCAGTTTCATGAGACATGGAATCGCTTGCTTGGTCGGCCTCGCGCGGCTCATACCCCATGTCCACAAGGTTGACTTCTTTCACGGAGATACTTGGCATTGTAAATAATTCAGGGTCTTTCTGGATCATCTTGAAAAGCAGGGTTGAGAGAGGACCAACGAGATCGACATCTTCTAAAGTTTGGACGCCCACAATGAAGACCTCATATTCCTGCGAAAGTGTCGGGTTACTGAAGTCCTTGATGTCTCTACCTTTGTGCGGCCTGAGCTCTAGCATGGGCCGGACATTCCGGGCAACGTGTGAATCTTTCATTAGGTCCATTGCGGTCGCGCGTATCCCATCATGTGGCTGTCGTGAGATATCCTCAGAAAGATATCCCGATGTACCATCGGTTAAGCGATAAAAGTCGCTGAGCCTAGTGAATTCATAGACAATATCATCTGCTTCTTGAGTACGCTTTGGAAAGACCTTGTAGTTAATCGTCCGCGTCTTTAAGCTCTTGATGAAAGCAGCCTCCCGCTGATTCACAAGCCCAAGTGCCTGAGGAAGAGATACGGCAGATTGAGTCGAGCGATTAGCAGAAGCGTTGTTGGCGCTTGTTGGACGTTGCTTAACGGGATTCTTCAACCTGTTCTGAGACATTCTTGATGAAACGCGATCTTTCTTCATTATGCGCTGACCCTTTTGCGCAACTGTACTGCTCAGAAGCTCGTCTAACTCATCTTTGCATAAGGTCTTTCTTGCAGCATTGGCTACTTGATCATAGCAATCCGTTAATAAGTACGTATCCCCGTCTAGCTCTCTTAATTCTTTTCCTATCAGAACAGGGTTTCCCGTTACTGAAGGTCTCATAAGAACACTGAGGGGACTCAACGATCGAAGTTGCTCTGCTGCCCCCTTAGGTGTTTGGAAGAGTGCAGGAGTGAATAGAGACCCCACATTCTGTGCCATAGAAACGTCAGTATGAGGCTGGAGCAGATTAGTCGCTGACGAATCGCTGCAAATAGAAGGGACAGAAGACGCTGCATATGCCTTTTTGATATCTGCTTTGGAGATACAGGTGAAACTCTTGGAAGAAGGTGGAGTCACTTTCGATGGCTGTGGTGACGGCTGAGTCCGCTTTGTACTTATCGATTCCAACTTTTTCATCAGTTTAGAAGCTGCGTCATCTATAAATGTTTTGCTATTGAATTGAACCGACTCTTGCCGTCGAGTGGCCGCGTTTTCTGAAACAGGGCGAGGTATCCTCGATGCTTGGGCCACAGATGTGGTGGACACCCGTCCGGAGCCTTTTGCTTCTGTGGGAAGAGCTTCTTCGTCCGTTGAATAGTAGCTGTATGTCTCAGTGTGACTACTCTCTATAGATTCCCCCGAAACCTTAGATCGACGAGTCTTTTGGTTTGTAAGATAGACAAGGGTGTCGTCAAGAAGCTCAGGAGGAAGTGCTTTACGAAAGTCAGGATCGGATGTACTGGTGTCAGGCATGTAGTGCTCAAACGTGAAGCCTGAATGGAGATTATGAACCGGCTTTAACAAAAAGTTGGCTTTCTCAACCTTGACATCTGAGAACGAGAGCTGAGGGGTACCGCGCTTGGGGTCCTTATAACGCAGAACGAAGTAGTGCCTGAAGTCACCAAAGTCTGCTAGCAAGAGAAAGGAGTGGTCTTCTGTGCTACACTTAGTCAAGTTACAACTATTGGCTAATCCTGCTAATTGACTAAAGACGTTTGAGAAGCTCTGTATTATCTGCTGATTGGACATTCGGGTGGTAAATAGAGGCTCAAACGGTATGCAGAGTGAATTGTGCTTTATTACTATCAGCTTTAAGCAAGAAATGGATAGCAGAGGTTTCAGATCGGAAGGATCGTGCACAGCATTACCTCCAAGGTCAATCTTCAGGAGTTTTGGTAACGTCCTAGGATCGATCTCTATCTGCTCAAGCCTATTACCTCCTAAATTAAGATCCAAAAGCTTTGAAAATACGGCCTTAGTAGATGCAATAGAAGTTAGTTTGTTATTCCGCAGAGATAGAAACTGTAAGGTTGAAGGGAAGTGTGAGAAATCAAGGACCATGGCACCAGCCAATTGGTTATCTCCCAGGTCTAGATATTTGAGGTGAGAGAGGCCGCTCAAGTCATCAATCTGAGTTAACAGGCAGTTTCGTGCTTTCAACACCCGAAGATTAGGGCAAAAGGCAGATACACCATCAAGTGTGTCTAGCTTATTACTACTAATATCAAGATATTGTAAGCCTGGCAGCCTCAACAAGGCATCCGATAGTCTCTGAATATTGTTGGACACACATGAGAGCTTGATGACCGCAGGATCGGAAGATTTGAGAAGAGGGAGAGCCGTGAGGCTATACCGATCTATGCTAATAGAGTCATGGTTTGCCAGGCGCTCCTCTGCGGTTCTTTCTAAAAAGATAGATGTCCCATCTGAAAATAGCTTTATTCTATTAGTGAGTGTTTGCCGCGGCGAAGCGTTTAGCATAGCACTACGCCCAGCTGCTGATGTCAGTGCTGGCCGACTAAGTTTGTAAGCAGACCCTGGCCGCATTTTTTGGATATATTTTTGATTGCCCTGCACGTATCTCTGCACGCATGAATGTCCACGAGAGAGCTGCAGTATTGCATGGATCCAGGCGGGGATCGGCACTGTTAAGCAGTAACGAGCCTGCAGACACCTTTACTACATGCTACAAGCAAATCGATTTACACACAATGGCCCTGACGGAGACGACCCTAGAGGCCGTTTTAGATGCCACGAAAATGAGCACTAGCTACTATCACAAGTTACTTTCTGTCTCTAGCTATATAACAAGGTGCAATCACGGACTCTTTATCTTTGTTCCAGGTATGCGACTTATTATCACGAAAGAGTATGCCTATATACTATGTGAAGAAAGAGCTCCATCATCATCATCATCTCTCCAAACCACCAAATGGTATGAGGAATTGCACACTCTTCTTAAGGACTCAGCTGAAGTCTGTAATAGGCAATCTGACAAGTCCTTGGACAAGGCCCTTGTCAACCTTTTCAATATAAGTAGTATTGGCACCGCCTCGTCTCCAGAAGCAGTTGTAACTTCAGCAGTGGTAGATTTACTTTGTAAGTGGAACGCTAAAGAGTACGCAGCAAACAGACATCAGTTCTCCAGCGCCCGTGAGGCCAATAATCTCATTTTGATGCAGGTAGCACTTCAGCAACACGAGCAGCATATTTCGAAACTCGACACTATTCTATACTGCGTAGACTACTTCATAAACCAGAAGTTCTTTCCTTCTAACAAAGAGGATAATGAAGCCTCTTCAGCACTGGATGAAATCATGAATTTCTTGAAGTTCCTTAGTAGGAGTCTCTACGCCCTCAAGTATCAAATTGCAGAATATACAGAGTATTCTAACCTGTACCTCAGCAATTACAGAGATACTCTTGATCGCAAGCGCAACAAACTGATAAAGATCCAGCTACATATAACCTATATTTCGCTGGGCATCGGGTTCGTTTCTCTGATCTCAGGGATCTTTGGTATAAACTTGATGAACTTTGCTAATTATCCCGATGAGCCTCCACTGCCTTACTTGCAGTGGAGCCAGATGGGTTCCTTTAAGCCGGTCCCCCTCTATATCATCTGTCTTGTGTCGTTTGGGATCTTTTCTATTGTCGTAAGCATGCTCACATGGTACACGCGTGCAAAGCTGGATTATGAGGACAAGAGGTAATAAATTCACAGTCAGTAAAGCAGAATCAGTGGATTTCTACGTGCTTCTTGAGGGCCTTCAGAGCATCCTCTGCCTTTTGGTATATCTTCTTATAGGTTTTACGGTCCTCACCGTCCGAGGCATCCTTGCTCGGTTCCTGAAGAAGAACGACAGACGCAGTGCCCGTCGTACCAGCGGCCTCAGCAAGCGCCTTCTTGGATTTGATGAAGAAGTACGGGATGCCATTTTGTTCACAAAGCACTGGAAGGTGCGCAAAGACATAAATGGGGTGGGTATCTGCTGCGATGATGCATATGCCTTTACGACCGCGTCGGATGTACTTCGCCACCTCCTTGGTTCCCCTGGCAAGGGTCTTTGCCTCTCGGGCCCTGACAATGAGCTTTGAGGCTTTGTGTTCTACTTTCTCCTCTGCCATCGGAAACGTGACAGATACCGAGGACTTCATTTCGGAGGAAGTCACAGAGTGAGACATAGCCGCCAGAGCGATTTTAAAATGAGAGGTACAGAAAGAAAAAAGGTTTACGAGCGCTATCATGGGCATTGCCCTGGTCCTTTTCTTGCTCTGCACCGTTGTTGGTGACTTTTCTTCTTGCTTTGCAGACAACTCCAGTTTGCAAATAGACTTGCAGAACAACGCATTTGTTTTAAAGCTATGGAAGAAGACGTCGCAGGCCAGTAAGCAATCAACGGAGAATTTGGTTTGTTACACTTTAGACGAGCTCTATGCAGGCACTGATAACGAGTGCTTGGTGTACTCTAAGGGCTTTAATGCTACGCTCAGAAACGAATATCTATCCATGAAGACCGTACACAACGGTGCGCCTGCAGATGAGGTCACCTTAACATTTTTGTGCCCATTCGATGAGTTCACTTGTCGTGGACTTGCGGCAGAGATTGTTTCATTCAAATATGCCCTTTCAGTTTACATTTCTGGTACAGCCATTGAGGTCTCCAAGAACGTCAAGACCGTTACTATCATTAGCTACGATCATTCTAATTGCTGGTCAAACCCCTACATCATATATAACATCAATACAGACTATGACCCTACCTATCTCTGCGTCGTTGTGCTGCCCCGTGCATGCGACCTTCCAACGCGTTTACCGGTATCTTTTTCTGCGGCATTTATTTCTGTCAAGGCCAACAACTCCCAGACCCTTTTAACAACCCTTTCCGTTACACCAGTTGATAAGGACAGTAGTGACATTAAAGATAAGGTAGGTAAGCTACCCGTTGATCTACTATTCAGCACTCCATATGTGCACTCCAGTACGGTATACTTCTGCTGCATTTGTGATCTGCTCCCCACTACGGACGAGCAGGAGAAGTGCATATCGCAAATAGCGACGATTTCGCAAAATATCGACTTGTCGGCAGTCCTTAGTTATAGAGCTTCCTACAGCAACGGTGATATCTCAGTGAGTACTACAATCTACACATCCACATCAACGTACACAACGGCACGCTACAGCAATTGCTTTCTTGACCCTCAGGTGTGGCTTTACCCAAATGCAGTGCAGATTCAGCTCACTCCGTCTCCCCTTCGCGATCCTGAAAATTGTAGAAACCCTATTGGATTGAGTTCTACGCACATGAGGATTGACTTGATCAATACCAAAAACTACACTCAAATGGCCACCCAAGAAGTCCCATTAAAAGCCTTTTCGTGGGAGAAACAGACATACTGGCTGTTCTGTGAAACAGACACCTGCAATGACATTCTACGGGCTGCCCAAGGCGATCTCATTCAGCTTCAGGTAATGCAATATATTTCTTTTCTTTCTGACTCTAAAGACATTCTGGACACTGTAATCATCGCTGCTCCCAACCAGAACATAACGTGCCTAAATGGGGTGGAGATCTCTCTTTCTGAGCGCTCACTTAAGGTGCTCTTCACACTAAATACTCGCTCATGTCTGCCCCTTCAGGATACCCTTTCCCAAAGGGCTTTCTATCGAGTGGCTTTCTACGAGTCTTCCAGTCCAAATGTGGCGACTCAAAACTTTACCATGAAGGGTAGAATGACGCGCGTCATAAATGATTACACAGTGGGGCAGGAGGTTCCAATGACATGTGCTAATGTGGACGTCTCATACACATCGATGACCTGCCGTGAGTTCTTCTCTTGGATGAGGAAGGCTGCAAAGAAGAAGACACTGGTTGCGACCATAATCTATGGAGACTTTGTCTACACCATCACCAAGATCTACTACGACGGCTCCGGCTTTTTGATTGGGCTGTCGGTTTCCTTGGGGGCCCTCATTGCCATTGGGGCTTCTGTATACACGTATCTGAGTGTTCGGCGCTTTATGCGGGTCATCAACAAGTTAACATTATAGAATTAAAATAGGTTTCTTAAGGTCTATGGCGAGAAAGTGTCGCAAAAAGGAGGCCTTAAGTGAATACAAGCGTCCTACTTTCATCCGGCAAATTCTCACCTGCCTCTACAAACAGTGGCTCGCCCTAATTCAAAGCCCTCAGTCCTACATCATTATTTTCGGGGTTCCTGTCCTCACAATCTTCGTTCTTTACATAGTTCAGACTGCGATCTACTCTCAGAGTTCGTTTCTCTCGTATGCCTCTACGACATCCAAAGACTTTATCGAGAGGTTCCCATCGGACACGATTGTCTGGCCCACATGTGCTAACAGTGACCCCGAATTGATTCAGAAGCGCTGTGTTGATTTTGCCGTCTGTATTGCTGATGCTTCTGACAAGGCTGATTCGGGGACCAAAGGTGCTACTGATCTCGCTCAGACCTACGAAATTGTTAACTTCCTCATTAAGAGACACAACCTGGAGACGGTTATCATCTATGACGAAGATTGCAGCACGTTCTTTTACGACCTCTCGGACGTCCTGCGTCCAAATGATACGGTTGTAGCCTTAAAGTTTGGTGCTTTGGAAAAGGACTCGGGCCAGAAGCCGATCAGCATCTACTCGTCATCAATGCGCTATCAGCCAAAGCTGACGCCGGACACACGCTTTGTTCACTTTGATAGCAATCGGAATATGTTTGTACCCGTCATCAAAGGGATTTATGAGGCATTTGCAGTTGTATATCAAAACGAGGCTAGTTCGTTCACAATTCCATCACCAAAGCTTGTCTCCTGGCCGCACTTGGCCTATAATGAATATAAACCGATAACCATGCTTGTCGGTATGCTTGTTACCCTGTCCTCTGCTGCACTACTTAGCTTGCTTGCTTCAATGCTGCTTTCTGACCTGTCTCATCCGTGCTGCTCTCTTATGGAGTTTCTGGGGCTCACTGTGCCTGCGCGTCTGATAGCCTGGCTCATAATAGCTATCCCCGTGGCGGTGATCCAGCCGCTCATGCTCTACGTCTCAGGTATAGTGATGAAGATCCCTCTTTATTCTAGCCTCCCTGCAAGGTTAGGGTACTTTCCTCTGTTTGTCTTCTCTTTGACGCTCATCCCTACTGCGATGCTCATCTCCGTTTGCTGCAGCAAGAACATTGCGTACCCAGCACTGCCGACAAATAACCCTACGTCCGTTGCTACGTACATCGTTGGAATTATTACTGTCATGAGCATTATTATTCTCGCCCCCATATCCTCCACGGTTTTCAAGACCAGTGATGTCCATTCTGTTTCTGCAAGTATAAACAGCATTTTTGGCGAAAAACAAGAGGTAGGATTGCCTGTCAAGGTTACCTCGTATATTTTGCGACAAATCAACTTTGCTGTTGGACTGGCATGCTGTTCACTTGGCATCATCGATAGCAAGAATAATCTTAACTCGTTGGGCATCAACGAAAAGGAACTTTGGTGGGTTTTATGGGACGGAGTGTGGATGCTTTTAGTTGCTATCTTAATCACATGGATTAAGATTTTCATAGCAAGGACACCTTCCTGTGGAAAATGCTGCGAATCTGCGGCCAGTAAGAAGGAAAGCGTATGTAAAACCGCGTCCTCTGTTTCTAAGTCAAAGAACTCGATTGCGTCACACTTAAAGGTGGGCACCCCCCAGTTACGACTACGATCGCTGTTTGAAGATGGCAACTCTATGCATCGTAGCTCTGCGGCAGGAGAAGGCAGCAGCACAGCGTTAGGATACTCGTCGTCAAATGCCGCCATAAACCCAATACAATTGGAAGACTCGACCTCTAATAACCCAATCAGCCACTCAGAGATGGACAGACCCAGGAGTCTGCACAGACCAGGAGAAATGGAGGTTCTTAATATCCTTTCAGACCCCGTGCGCTTGAGCGACACGTTGATAATTCGCAATCTTGTGAAAAGGTACAAAGACTTTAAGGCACTGTCAGGAATAGATATGTACATTGGCCCTGGTGAATGTATATGCATTAATGGAATCAATGGGTCCGGCAAATCCACGTTGCTCCACTGTATTGTCCACCTGGAGCAGTACAGTAGCGGAAGGATCTCATATCCCAAAACTATTGGGTTTGTTTCGCAGTATAATACGTTGTGGGATAATCTTACAGCATCCCAGCATATCAAGCTCATGTTGAGAGCGCGGGGATTACCTACAACGGCTGCAAACGTCAGTGCTGCACTGGAAGAGGTCGGCTTGGGAGGTGTAGAGAAACGTAAGGTAGGACAGTTCTCCTACGGAATGAAGAGGCGCACTTGTCTCGCCATGGCCCTTGCTGGAAGGCCCTCTCTATTTCTGCTCGACGAGGTTACGTCTGGGGTCGATCCTGGCTCAAAGGAGAAAATTTGGGCAGTCATTCAAAGACAACAGCAACAGAGGTCTGCGGTTGTACTAACGTCGCACTCCATCCGCGAGTGTGAGATCCTGGGCACTCGGATAGTCATAATGGGCGCAGGAAAGGTGGCAGCTGTAGGGTCCTCAAGCGAGCTTAAAAACTCGCATGTATATGGCTATTCGTTAACTGTAGAAGCTGTGCATACGGATGGGATAACGTCTGAACAAGTCATGCACAATATTCATGCATCCGGGGTCCTTGATGGTGTATCGGACGCCGCTGCAGCCCTTGCGCTGGCAGAGGCCGACTCTGTCCACGGAAAGCCGAGGGTGGGGAAGATCAAGCTCCGCCAGGTCACGGGCAGGATCGTGATCGTGGAGCTTCCGAAGCTGCCCCTCCCGGCTGTGGCGGCTGTCTACCGGGGGATAAAGGCGCTGGAGGCAGTCAGATCTGTGGCCCTCCGCTCCCCCAACCTGGAGCCCATATTCACCGAGTACGCCCTCCTCAGCGAGAGGAAGGATGACGGGTCCCCGGTGTCCCTGTAGAGGGGCTAGTGTGAACATGTTTTTCGAGGTAGTCGTCAATGCCCAGCGTCTCCCCGCTGGTGGTCAACACCCGTGTGTTCTCTCCGCAGACGGCCGGGTTGATGTGCGGGTTGTGGAGCTCCGAGATCTGGCTCGAGCATGCCTGGGCAGGGTCGCCGGAGGAGGAGAGGGCGCCGTCCCAGAACTCGTTCCCCGGGAGCGCGTTCCCGTCCCACGCGTACGAGACCACCAGGAGCTTGCCTCTGTGCTCCGCCGGCAGGCTGTCGTGGGGGTTTCGCCTGGAGAAGCGCACGCGGATGTGCTCGTAGGTCGCCCGGGGGAGGGCCTGGGCGGTGAACCACGCAAAGTCCAGGTCGCTTATGCCCGCGAGACGCCCTGCCAGCCTTGCGAGGCAGCGGGCGAAGGTCTCGAGGAAGACGGGCTCCTGGGCCGGAGACAGCGCCCAGACGCCCAGCCCGATCCCGACAACGTGAACGTAGGCCCTCGTGCCGGCGCGGGTGGCGCGGGAGTGTGCCTCCAGCAAAAGGGTCTCGAAGGAGATCGCCAGCCTTGCAGAGTACGCCTGCCTATTCAGATACAGGTCCCCGATCGGAAGGTACTTGTCGGAATCTGCGCTGCTCCTAACCCGGTCGTACAGCGGAAGGCACGGGAGACCGTAGAGCTCGGCCCACATCTGCCTCCACGAAGCGGCCGCCGTGGGCTCTCCGGAGGGCTCTCCATACCCGCGCGCCCTAACGTTCTGGTCCTTGGAGACGACGACCTCCTCCCACTCCATGACGCCCTCCTTTTCCAGGCGAGGGCCGATGAGCCCGATCACAACCCCGTGGCTCTGGACGGCCTCGCGAGACGGCACCGGAACGCCCCTGTTCTCCCGGGACCCGTTGTTGATAAACACGCTGTACGAGCTGACCGACAGGAGCGCAGAGAGCTTGATCTCGTCGTAGGTCAAGCGCTCTGGCAGCGAGCCCCCGCCCCAGCCGCGCCCCCGCGTGCCGTCCAGTAGCGTGAAGGAGTCCTCGCAGCCGTAGAAGGATACCGCTCTTTTTGTGAGGAGGCGGTGGACAAGCGCGGTGACGGTCATGCCGCGATACAGCTCCCTCTCGGAAGGCGTTCCGTGGCGGGCCTTGTGGCGGAGGAAGCTGGCGTAGAGGCGCACCGCAGACTCGTGAAGCAGGGGGTACGCGGACTCGGCGAAGGCCGACAGCTGCTGCGGAGAGGCCACGCCGCGCTGGAGAAGGTACTGGCAGCGGACAGTCTGGACCGGAAAGGGCACGGAAAACCGGGCGCTCCTGGACATGAGCGCCGCCAGCAGGGGGCATTGATCCGCCCGTGGCTGCTCTCCCAGCGGCTCTGCAGTGCTAATCATTTTATCTTGGCGCTCACGGTCCCGAGGCGCCAAGCTGTGGGGTGCCACGACGGCAGAGGAGGCGCACAGCTCTGACCGCCTCTAGGGCACAGGGTTGCAAATATTGTAGGTTTGTGTAGAAGGCGGAATTACCTAAGCCGCATTAGATAATCCGTGATCCATTTCTCATCTTGCCAGATAGTGCTACTTTGGATCAGGAGATGGACAAAGTCCAGCATTAGTTCGTACCAGCAGCACAATATATGATGGCCATTGTATAGAGTACTGCCCTAAAACACAATCTATTCCAGTAGGTCACTTTACACTGATACCCCTTTTGGAGTACTTTTCCAACTTCCAATCAGCGTGATCGCGTGTCGAAACCCTTGGAGCGCATACGGAGATAGTGTTATTCTTTTTGCTATACATTGTAGAGTTCAGTACAGAAGCCGTGCCATATTTTACTAGATTTTCTCTTGTAACACCACAGTTAACAGAGGAATCGGATGCAGTGCGAAAGCGAGCCTTGATTTGCTCTCTTGTCTTTACAACATCCCGAATATCAACATACACAGCGGAGTGCTTGGTATTGCTTCCTCCGAATGGGATCAGGTTGGGGCCATAGACGGAGGTGAGCTGCCATGAGTCTAGAATCTTACGCTCCCTTTTATTCGATGCAAACTTTTCGTACCTGAGCAAAGCGTTCTTTTCAAAGAAGTTTAGGGGCCCTTGATGAGTGCCCGCCGTACTACTATTAGTCTCTAGTTTATGTGCTCTCATATGCACCACTCCAGAAGGTACTTCCTTGCAGATATTACTAATCTGTGTCTTAGACTTCTTAAGCAGTGGTGCGCTATTCAATTCGCATATCTTTGTGTTTATCATTTCGTTAGTAAAGTCTTCTTGCACAGCGGTAGATTCGATTGGGAGATTACTTTTCATTAAAAGCGAGTGACGATGAATAGTCTTTCCTGTATCAACAGCTCGTATATTCGAGCTAACTATGCTGTGGGATAGAATCTTATCAGGCACCTGATCCTGAAGCGTCCTGGCAAGGCTGCGAACAGCGCCTCTGAAGGAAATAGTGGTGTTGTTCAAACTAGGCAAGGATGGCTGCACGGTCGTTAAGTCGTGTTGACGACGCTCAGAGGATACTGAATCTAACATGCTAAGTGTCAGTTTTGGTGCAGCTTTACCAGTTGTTTCATATAACTCGTGTGGCTGGTAGTCGTCAGTTGGGGCGTGTGCACAGCTTTCACGTTGAATACCTAAATTAGCGAGAGATTCGTCGTTCTCAACTTGTTTGCCTGCCTCTACGTTGTTGTCAATGGTATACGATCGTTCCATCCCAGCCCGTGAATTGGGCTTTGCAACTGTACCGCTGTGGTAACCCTTTGAGGCAGAGGATAGTTGGGAAAGACCTTCCAAGTGGAAAGTGCTGCCTTCTCCATCCTCAGTACCATGCCTTGCTTTTGAATACCTAACGAGTTCGTTGCTAGAAATGGGTTTATCTAATGAGAGCCGCTTAAATCCTAAGTCTTTGCATTCAAGAACATAATTTCTTTTCACAAACGCATCTTGGGAGTATACCTTATCAATAGCTTTCCTCGTATGGACAATGCAATGGTCATGAGCTGGCTGCATATAAAGCGTCGCAGATCCATCTACTGCGTTGGCTATGATTACCCCATCCACGTGCCTATCTAGTATAAAGGACTTATACGTGGTTGAGCCATTATATGAAGTACTAATCGGGAGCATGTTTGCCAGGGCAATCGGAATGGAGACGTCTATTTGCATGTGATTTGTAAATCGTGAGAGAACAGCCTCATAGTTACCATCAAAGGTTGCCTTTTCGTGAATTGCAGCATCTGGTCCTAGTGGGACCATACTCTGTCTCAGGGACTTAGATTCTACCGCGCACTTGTCAAGCACGCCAGGAGTCAACAATCTCTTTCGGAAGGTTGCCAAACATGATCTGTAAGTAGCGCTATTCTCATCTACTGGAACGTCAGTATTATAATATAGTTGAGATTTTACAAGGTGCTTGGTATCGCCGCTGGATTCGTTGCTGGCCTCCAATCTGTACTCTGCTAAGACCTCATAGAGAAGCTCCTCATAATCACTGTCCGAAAAGCTCATGTCACTTCTTGGCTCGGCAAACGTGACCATGTCGCTGTGCCATGAACAGTCTTCCTTGACCCTGTTATAAAGGCAATCTTCCGCTAGTATGGAATCACTAATAGCAAGGGTGTCATCCAGTCTGCACTCCTTAATGGAAACTTCAGGAGATGACCCCAGCATAGCTTTTTCTGCTGGACTAATAGCCTTCTCTGAACGTTCACAAATGACTGTGTCAATAGCCTCAGGATTAATACAACTAGCCAGCGTGTCAATATCTAACAAAATTTGATTCTCATTGTCTGCAGGCTCTCTTTGCTGGAATGCGTCAGAGCTCCGGCATGCTGAAGCGCAGTCGGAGGAGTGCTTTAGATAGGCATCAGGCGGTGTCAGTGTGCTGAAATCCATCTTCTTAGCATCAGAAGCACGGGGAGCCGTCGGCGTGTAAGAGATAGGAGTCATGATACTAGGTCTTCTACTGGTATTTGCACTGCTAGTAAGTAGGGTATCTATGGTTAAATTATTGAGCTGGTCAAGATCTTTTCGGCTTAAGGAGCCGCGGCTCCGTGCAAACCGTTTGAGCCTCTCTAAAGAGGTAGAGGTCGGTTTGGTTATCAAAGACCCCTTTCCGGCCATATCTATTTCCTCCTTCTCCAGTAAACACTGCTCTGGCTCCAATTCATCTGGATGAAGGCTGTTTTCTGATTCAGATAGGATCCGGAGTATCGCCATTTGCTCTGCTAATGATGCAGAGTTGCGGACAGAGTCTTTTACTATAATACCAACTGAGTTGCGCCAGTGCATTAGTTCGGGGGGAAGGTCGATTCCATGCATGCTGACCACTTGTGGTTTAAGTTTCTCTATCACTTCCTCGTTGAAAAGCGTGGACATGTACTCTTCTGAAACCATTTTTGATGAAAGCGTAAACAAAACCCGGGCCTTTTCAAACTTGTCTACCGTCGCTTTCTGATGTTTCAACGTCAGACCCTGATTGTAATAAAAAAGCTCGGGCCGGAGGAGAAGGGTTCCGTCTGCATACTTATTATCCATTCCCAGATCCGTCAGTTTGGGTAAGGGCCCGTGAGCCTCATCCATGCCCACTATCCCTTTTGGATTTTATCTAACAAATTCGCTCATGGAATTATCGGAAAACCCTGCAACCCCGGCTGCCTTGCGGCAACGTGCGAGCCTTACCGGTCACTACCTGCCTAAGGTAAGGCATGAGGCGACTCACTCGAGACAAACCAAGCAGAAGACAATGGCAAATAGTGATGGGCCGAGAGGGTCTGTGCATGATTTTAATGGATTTTTAGGACCGTCCACACATCAGAAGCATAAGTTCTGTCCTGAAGCCTCTGACGGTTCCCAACCCATGAGACGGCCACGGGATGTCAATATATTAAGTCATACCCTTCGTCAATGCCAACAGAGGATAGATCAGTTTCCACCGATCCAAGCAGGTCGTTGGCTTCAAACAGATCTTCGGCTGGCTATGGAGAAAGATGAAAAAAGCAAAGTTCCGGAAGAGATTAGTGATTTACGCCACAAGACCCAAAGTCCCAGCCATTCATTCGCTCAGTCCACAAATAAGAAGTCAAGCACAACAGCCCATACTGCGATGAGCGTACAAAGAGTTCTCTCAGCGCATGATAGCCTACCGCCGAGTCCTCGCAGAGCCATATCACCTCCGTTTAAGACGCGGTTAATCCGCGAAATGCTCCCAACAATGAACACTCACCAGGGACTGGTACCGAAGACAGACGCCTACAAACGTGGCTACCACACAGCGGGAGACTATTCTCCATCTACGAAGAGAGTCATAGATGACTTAGACAAGGCGCGCTGTGACCTCATTCTTCTTCCCACTAATCAGAAGCTAAGCATACAAGAAGTTACTGCACAAACGGATCGATATAAGCAAATAGCTGGCCACCGGACATTTTCGATTCGATTTGAGTCATCAGCAGATAATGCCTTGGAGGATGAGCCCTACCAGAGACGTCCCTACCTTTTACAAAAGTCTCCAGACAGGCGCAAACGGGCCCTGTCTCCGGCAGCATTTAATGCTACATTAGAAGAAATTCAATTCAAGCAGATGCACACCCTTCGGCACACAAGTAAAAACCTCTTTGCACGACCTGTTAATATAATAGATTTAGAACCTAGTAGCTCCGTGGAGAACACGGCTTCAGATATGCTCGAATGTGTTAAAGCATCACAATCAACGGGTAATTCTCAAGCCTCTAACTCAGAGCAATACAGCCCCAATATATGCCTTCCCTTGATGAATAACATGCCCTGTTCTTCATTTCCCATACTGTAAGCTCGCCACCCGTGTCACGCGTCCATAAATCCACGACAGTTTGGCGCGTTGCAAAAGCACTGCAGTCGTATGTCTCCCTCCATTTGCCGAAGGTGATAGTTATAGCAGAGCTCATCTCCGGGCGAAATGTTTTCGAGGGCACGTAGATACAGTCTATTTTCTATCACATGAACTTCACAGTTTGGTAAGCAGCTGTGATTGGCAAACCTGGCGGCGTTTCCAATGAAAGTTGCGTCTACGATGATCTCCTGGTTTGATGAAATGCTGAACATGTAAGTAGAAGTAAATCCCTTGCTGCTCAAGATGCGCTCCCTTTGGTTGGCCTGTTCCTTGTTGACAATCTCTCCCACATACTCGATGACGTTTTTTCCTCGCGGAATGTACACTAGCGCAAAGAGCCCGTGCCCGTGAATCGAAGACTTCATGACACAGCAGCTCTGACCTAGCATGAGCCTGTGGCGCTCTTTCCAGGACATTGGTGGGCCAGGACCAATCTTGGCTGCATCGTGCTTAAGGTAACAATCGGTAAAGTTCTGGAGAGACCGTTCTAGATAGCAGCTAGGAAGAAGTCGGCCTTGCTGTCTCTGTATATGCCTTATCTTGCGATTGACAAAAGCTCTCGAGAAGTATGGAGGAGTGTGCTTTTGCTGAAAGTATACCTGATAATATAGCTCTACGGCTTGATCCATTCTCATGGCCAGTCGACTAAAGTGACACTCATCACCCTCTTCTGTGTCTGGCTCTCTGCTACCGTTATCGTGCTCAGTTTCCCGTTTGACGATCTTCCACTGTGCATTCTGATATTCAAGGCAAAGCCGTCTAAAAGCTGTTGCTCGAAGAATGCGTGAGCAATGGTCAAATTTGGCAAGGCTTGCTTCTTTGAATGTGGCATAGCTTGCCTCTACCTCAGAAGGTGGTGATGTGTAAAAGACAACTATCTGGGTCCTGCCATGCCTTCTTCCTCGGATTGCTGCGTAGGTAATGCTGGACATGTACGGAGTCGAGTGGAACTCCTTTAGTGCTTTTAATGTAACTAGATGGGGATTCTGCGTGGTGGTATCGAAAGTTAGAGCTTCCCTCGGCTCGTATGTAACGCTTTGCTCCCAAATCCCTAATGCACGCAAGGAAGATAGGTTCACAGAATACAAGGGAGGCATGCTCTTTCTTAAATCTTGCAATTCACTCTAACTGTTCAGCGCACAAAGCGCAAATATGTGCAATGCATGCTTGCAAGTCGCTATCGTACTCATAGCAGAACGGCTTAGGCTCCCCCAGCGAATATCGTAACTCATATAAGCTTAGGCACGGAATGTAATGAGCCGCAATTCGGCGGAAATTTGAATTTAGCCACGGAGTAGCTAGGAGTGGACACCGAGCCACAAAAACAAATGCTGTGAACTGCTTGGCAAAGTTCCCTAGTTTGGCCTCATCAAGCTTGGGACCAAAGTAGCACAATTGTGCAGCAATGCCCTTTCTGCGGAGCACTTGCTTTAGTTCACGTGCGCCAGCCAGTGTCTCTGAGCGGGCATCCCCAATGATCAGCCCAACTGCTTCAAGTGAAAGTGGATTGATACAGTATTTCAGACGACTCTTGATGAGGTGCTTGTCATCTGCAAGCGCAGTGGAGATAAGCTTGCATATTTCAGGGGCCTCTACTGTGCTCAGCAGCGATGTCTGTGCGTCGATAAGTGTTAACTTCTCAATTGATACCTCAGAAGCAGTCGCCAGGATGGACAGGAAAAGGCGTAAGTAGCCTGGAAGTGCAAAGGACCGCACATTATCCAGAAAGTCTTCAACCATCTTAGTCCCTGCAGTGCACCCGGCATCTTCGTCGTCATCTTCTGACAGAAGAGAGTGCGACATAGCCACAGCGTGTTCTAAGGGTGTTTGCCCGTAAGACTCGACATAAATCGCGACATGCTTGATGCTTTGCTTTATATTGCCGCCTACTAATGGCAGCAGCCAGTTGTCCCCATTTACGCAGAGGCGGCGCCCCTTTGGGATTCCAGATATCCGTGCTTTCATCAAGAGGTGTTTTTCAAAGAGGAGAACGGCGTCCTCAGGGAGAGCCAGCCTGCTAGGGGCGTCTCCTTCTAAGACGTGGCCAGGATGAAGGGATGGTCGCCGTAAAAGGCCAATCAAGCTGCTCACACCGATCATCCCCTTCGATGACACATGGACCACAGGGCACACTACGGAATCATAGGCTAATGGACAATAGATATCAATAGCAATGATGACGGGCTGCTTATGGTGAAGCGCACAATCAACGTTTAGGCAGCACTCTGTGGGATGCATAATGGTAACGACTGCCCCTGGAAAGGTGGCTGTTATAAGGTTATATACAGTATCTACACAGCTGGATCCTAGAGTGTTACACTGGATGCAAGCAGTAGACCAGGTCTTGGTCGATAGCTCTGCGCGAAGTTGGACATGCCAAGGAACAATAGTCATTTTATTCGTGAAGCACTGAGGCATTTTTGAAGAGATCTGGTTTAACCTGTTCTCCACACCATTCACTCTACTTCAGAATGCTAAGTTGGAACACCTCATGTCTGGTGGAAAGCTTATAGAAATGGAAGGTCAAACTGGTGTCAGAAACATCAACTATGACGCACTGATAAAACGATGCCCCATATACAAAGTCCTTTGCCACATAGGCACTTTCGCGGATAGCAGGGCTTAGAGATGTGGCTTCCAAAGTCGACCACCGAAATTTTCCCCGTAACAAATTAGCGATTCGCTTTGGTGTCCCCCCACTGGTTCCTAGAACAACGGCATAAAACGAATGGTCTAGATAACCTAACTCACTGCAGACAGAGGTCCTATTATACACTTCAGTTAGATGACTATGGCCGACGACAAAGGCATCAACGTGATATTGACAGATGTACGGCTCGAGAAGGAGCGCAAGAGGAAGGGGCTCAGTCTGCGCCTTTGTAATGGTGTACATACTGATGTGACTCACAAGGACGCGAAACTTTATGTCTGGGCGGTTTGTGGGGGTGTATCTGACCAAGGTTGTGTTCAACCACTTAAGTTGCTCAGGACTGAAAACATGACCCAGAGGAACACCAGTAAGTTTGTGCCGTTGATAGTCCTCCATGCAATCGAGAATTAGAAACAGTGTGTTGCCATACTCAAGCGTGAGATACTGACCCTCATCGAACGGAGGAATATCACCAACTATGTCTGGGTCATAATACTTTCTAGCTGCAGGGGGGATGTACTGGAGAAGATCGTCCCAGTCCCTATAGTTTTGATCACAACTAGTCAAGCCTACACGACGCTGAACTACTTGGTGATGATTGAAGAGGTTTTTATAGTTGTTACGATCCGTCACAATGTCTAGAACGTTACGATATAGTTCGTGGTTGCCACTTGTCGCCAGGAGTGGCTTGTTCCTTAGATAGCTGAACATACCGTGGTCTGCCATCATTTGACGCCATTGAGCCATGACTGCGCCTATTGTCACAAAGTCACCGCCATGCACCACAAAATCAGGTTGCTTATCTTCCAAAAAGGACTTTAGGAGGACGTTCACACCATAGCGAGCGTGGGTGTCTGAGATTAGTGCAAACCTAAAGCCCGTTTGTGGCTTGGGCGCAATAAGATGGTAAATGCTCTTGCTGACAGTCGTTTTATAGAAGTACTTGCGGCCTGGCTGCAACCCAGACAGCCTAGAGTGATGTGTATGGTCTATAGATTCAACAGGAATTGGTAGCCACATATCTGGTTTCTCCTGAAGTCGAAAATCATCCTCAGTTACCTCAGGGCCAAAGGTGCTGTTATAAAGCCAGAGCTTATGACCGCTTTTCTCCTGGGTCACCGTGACGGGCTTATGATACCAATTAATCTGTAACGATCCTGTAGGAAGTTCATCGGCGAAGGTGAGGAACGGGGAGATGCGTGTCGGAGTTGTCGGATTAGTTATGGCGGAATAGTACAGGCCTGCAGAGACGTATACTAAGGACGACTGGATAAAAAGAACATGCGTGATCCAAGAAAGCACGGCTAGGGCGCGCTTAGATGCCTTACACCTTTGTTTATAAAGGCAATGCACACAGGATGCCAATATTATTATAACAGAAGAGTGGATGAAGATAGAAACTTGGGTGAAAAAGAGATTGGAAACTCGCCCGAAAATATCTAGCTCAAAGCTCGTAGACCCGATGAACACCATGAATCCAACGCTCATTAATAGAACGATGACTGATATTGTGATCTCCACTAGGAGTATTTGTGTCCTCCATGACATTTATTTTGGGTCTCCTAGAAAATTAGAAGGGCGCATACCATAAGAGCAGCAAGAAGGAGAACAGGTGAGAAGAGCAGTAGCGCGTTGACTATTCCTCGATGCCTAAAAGACATCTGTAAAGCTTTATAGACTGTCCTATCGCTAGATGTTTCCTTATAATAACCCAATACCAGTTCTGTCAAATGCGCCTGCCTTTCGTCAACCTCTTGGGGTGTACTATTCTGGCAGTGGAGGAGACGGACGATAGAGAAACTATTATCACAGCAAAGCATGAGAGGGGTAACCAGGTCGGTCATCTCGGGGAGAAACAGAGCAAATCCCAAGACAACACCGAGTTGAGTTAGATATACCTCTGAGATCTGCTCAGGGTCTCCCCTTGTTTGGAGCCGCACGGTTATGCACATGCTGCGGTTCTTGCATAGGGTTTTTTGCTGTTGTCCGTAAAGCATGACTTTGCGCCCGGGGCTGTACTCTATGCTCATTCTGCTATGGAGATGTTTCTGCTGATACAGGTGGCAGGGAAACACCTGTCTCCGAAATATCTCGTCAGCCTGTTGAATAGCAGGATACGATACCCTTAGCACATATACTCTAGGAACATTTGTTTGGAGAAATGTTTGATTCTTTCCACATGCGCCCTTGTAGATGGAAAGTGCTGCTCGTTTTTCGCCTTTGGTTACTGTTGATATCTTGGCCAGTGATATCGGGTCTATAGGTCTATAAATTTGACAAGTTTCGAGGAGGTTGTCTGGATTATCGCCACGGTTGAAGTCATAAATATGGATTTTCAAGTTGGCACTAGCCCGTAAGTACTCAAGTACCGATGGGCTGCACAGATTTAATAAGCTGTTGGGCTCTGTAATTATTTGTGCATTTCTTATTATCAATATCTCCATGCACTCGTCAGTGAAGAATCTCTCATGGCATTGGTCGTCATCTTTCCTCAAAGTGTGGATTGAATTTTCGAGCGATTCATGAAGATTACTGTTCTTTGCCTGTAGACCTACAGCTGGCTCGGGTGCTATAATCAAGGATACAAAGCCCAGTTCTACCCTATATGCACCACCTTCTGCTTGTAAAATCCGTGACTTCACATCCAGACTAAGAGTAGCACATTCATAGATTTCATGCATTGGCTGTTGATTACCAGTTGTTACAGATTCTGTGCTTGCGATAGCAGTACTCAAGCCCAACGAAAGGGCATGGTCTGCAACTGCAATTGCCTTTGAGCCACTGCCGATAACAAGCACATCAACTTTGCGCATGAATCTTTTTCTTCCGCTAGTCTACAGTCTAGTCGTCACCGATAACCTTTGACCCACGGACTAATGGGTGCAACCCCTTGAGGCGCTGCTGAACAGACACTGTCCGGTATTTATCTACATTAGTACTTGAAAGGCATAGTCGCATCATAGCCTGGCGAATATCCTCTCTGTAGTCCTCACTGCCCCACTTATGCTTGCTACTTGTTTGAAGGCGTTCTTGGTGCGATATGACCCGAGCATTCGGCTCTGCGCTATCACCATGCTTTACAGTAGGTGATACAAAGGATTCTTTTGGAGTTGTCGGTCTTGGTTGAAGGCGAGGTCTCGGAGTACTCATGGCTTTCCGTTGATGGAGTGTAGCTTTTGTGGTGTGATGGATTGAGTCTCTAGATCCCATAGCTCGGTTGCTCTGTCTAATAAAATTGCTCCCAACCCTCTCTGATGATCTAGATTGGCCACGAGAGGAGGCGGTTATAGGTGTAAGTGTCGCAGGGCAAGCGCTGCTTATAGTTGGATGCATGTCATGCACTAGCGATGGATGGTTATAGTTAGTGGTCGCGTTAATTGTCCGCGTAGATCCAGATGAGCAGCACCGCTTACCCTCTTCATTCTTACTTACGGTTAGGGTTTCCTCGAAGAGCTGCTCCAACTGTATAAGGCTGACACGCAAGTTCTTTCTTGCAGGGGTTATGGATATTCGCCCAGAAGTAATCAAGTACTTCCTCGGCCGTTCTTGCACAGGTCTCATAGTGGAGTTCAATGACCTGCTCATTCCACTGGGCCCGCATCCTGTTGAAGAGTCGTGGGTCAATAGCGACGTGTGCACTTTCTTAAGTGAGTGGCACTCTAATTTAGCCAATTTGATAGAATCCTCTTCGGACTCAGATAGGAGTTTGAAGCTTGCTACGTCAAAAATTGGGTCGTGGCAGGGCATGGGGCGAATGCAGGATCTAGATGAAGGAGTCGATCTGCAGCGTCGTCTAGTAGTATTCTCCTCTACACCGTTTTTGCCGGGCCTAGCTTTTACTCCGGATTCTACAGTGATATCTGTGAGGTGAAGCAATGAAACTGTGCTAGTTTCATGAATACTATTACGCGTTGCTACGGCTATAAGAGGTTGGAGTGCACTAGACTCTAGTGCAGGTTCTTGGGTCTCAATGCGCGAGTTGAGTATACAAAGCTGCTCTGGCTCAAAGTTCTGCACGGAGTATTCCAGTTGGCGCGTTGACGGATCGCATCGTGCAGAAGAACACTCTGGTAAGGCAAAATCCATGTGGATGTTATCCGTTGTGCTTCGGACGGAAGACTTTCCTGGCTCAATTGCGTTAGTTGGCAGTTTGAGATGAGTGATGTTGTACTGTGTCTCTAGAGACAGAGGACGTCTGGCGGATGTCCCGGTGGACCCATCACTGTCTCGCTTCAGTCTTGAAGATAGCCCAGGATCGTATTTTAAGTCTGACTCGTTGCCATCTACGTAATTGATGGGAACTATTTGCATATTAGAAAGTGTGGTGGTGTCTATATTGTTCTTTGTATCGCTAAAGCCTCGGGGTAGCGCCAACAAAGGTACTGGTCTTGCTAATTGTGCCTGTCTTCTCTCAGTGCAAGCTTTTATATCACCGCTACTCAGGGCAGTGCTACGATTTGGTGGTATTTCCAGTTCACCAGCTTGTTGTTTGGTGGCATTTAATGTTGAGAGAGGTGGGAGGCGAGCAGAGAGTGGTGCAGTGGGTGTTACTGTAGTGTGTGAGGATGACGCATCTAACGAATCAGCGGTGGAGATAACAGACGACTCTGCGTGCGTAAGGTAGTGGAGATGCGGTGAGCACATAGATGTGATTTGCTTAGTGGCTTGACTGTCCTCGCTCAAATGGGCTTGCGGAGCTACGATGGGTGAGTCTCTCAAGGGTATCACATGAAGAAAGCGCGGGGTGATGCAGCTGCTCTCCAGTTCAGAATCGAAAATGCTGTCAGGGTGTTTCAGCACCACCTTAGCGCTTAAACACCGAGAAAGTTTAACTAGAGCGTTAGAAAAGTTACACTTCTCTCTTGTAAATAGCGTATCTGCATTGCATGGAGGATCTAAGGCCGTTGCTGGGCGTAGAATATGCTCTTTCCGTTCCGGAATTGGAGACATTTGCAGTGATGACAGATGAGGAAGAGACTCCAGCACTTGACAAGAATCCATAGATGATTGAATCAATGGAGGAGGCTTTTGTGCTGAGGTCTGAGGGGGAGACGAGGTTGCCATGTTGATAATGCTAAGCAGGAGAGACTCTGGGTCTCTGAGGAGGCACTCGCTTGTGGCGGTCGTAGTGCAGTTACTGATAGTCCCTGTATCTAGGAAAGGTGTAAGAACTGGCTGAGGATTGGACTGCAAGGGTTTGCTATGACACTGCTCTATGCTCCTCTCGGCTTGCTGTGTCAAAGAATGAAGTGTTCTGCAACACGGGGACCGCTTTGGGGAAGGATTTGTTTCTCCCACTGATAGGGGTGGCTCGTGGTCCGGAGTAGAGACATGTCTACGCTGCTCTTCTGTGTTATCTAAGGATATCTGAGCCTTTATATTTGTTTCTCTAATGTCTGTGCTCTCATCTAAGAGCATAGAACCCTTTTCTTTTACCCCATGAAAAAATACTTATCCTCAAACTACCCTTTACCTGACAGATGCCGGGAGATGTCACCAAGACAGTGGTCCTTCATAGAAACCAGAGACTGCGTCAGGTATATCTCGATGTTCCATCTGTTTTAACGAACTCCCCTACCTCTAGACACCTAGATGAGCACCAGGAAATAAATGTTCGTTCCACCACCCTTGCTAATTTCAGAGAGGCGGCATCAAAGTGGAAGGACATGCCCTTTCTTTCCTTCCGCAGCGGACTTTCGTGTACAGCTAAGAACCAGATCCCGGCGTACCAGGCTGTTACATATGCAGAGGCAGATCAGATGGTGAACCACTTGGCAGCAGCGCTCAAGTACGTCGGCCTCTCATACCAGAAAAAGGTCGGCCTCTTGGGGGACACATCCCCTCTGATGCTCATGTCTGACCTTGCAATCACCTCTCTGGGGGGTATATCTGTTTCCATACCATCCTTTCTTTCGTATGATAACATAGTGTATGCAATTAACCATTCCGGAGTGCGTGTGCTTTTAACGCAGGCTCAGTTCTTACCAATGATTCTAGGCACCTCGAATCACTGCCCTTTCTTGAAGCTTGTTCTTACATTCGATCAAGTTATTGATGACATTGATCTTCTTCCTAAGGCAGTGAAGGTCTATGCTCAGCTTAGTGAAAACCAGCATCTATTGCATGATGCAGACGAAGATGAAGAGAACTCTCTCTCTGAGAACGTCATCGATAGATCATATCTAGAGAATATTGCAGACAAGAGTAACATCGCTGTCGAGGCCGTGTTAGAGTCTACAAAGGAGTATGAGGATGAACAGAAGCAGGCAAGGGAAGGCGCTCTTGTGGAGGTCGAAAGATGCCTTAATGAGGACGATACCCTAACTGAGGAAGAGCTGGACTCTCAAAGGAACTCTGTTATAGCAGCTCATTTCAATAACGTTAATCCTCTGAATCCGACGGCGTTGAAGATACCAGAGAGCAAGGTAACAGACGAGCTAACGAAGCAGATCATCATCCGTGCGCAGATGACAGACATCCAGTCCAGATTTACCACTCCCCTAACAGCTTTGAAGCTCTCCCAAATCTATCAAAAGAAAACATGTGGCCAAATTCTTTCTAAGGAGCTATACAATCTAGTATCAAACTTGCGAACAAAGGAGTGTTCGTTGGATGCTGCTAAGGATTGCATTAACAGTCCGCTTTATCTAAGCCATCTGGACAATCTCAACATCATTCAGCTGGATCAGCTTTTGGAGCTGACTAAGAGAAATCCATACACAGCTTCTGATGACTATCAAGTGGACCCTACCGATGTCTGGTCAATCTCGTATTCAGAGGTAGGATACACCTCCAAGTACTCCTCTATAGACTATTTCTTTGGGACTTGCAACAGAAAGCTATGGGACCCAAATCAGTCCTCTGCCAATGCTAAAGCTGATCCACGCCCTGCGAAGAAGTTTAGTCAATTCAACCTGTTACTGAGTGGACATCCTGTCAAGGCAAGCGTCTATTCACACAGTTGTTTCCTCGCTGCAATAAGGTCTCACTTTTACCATCACTTTCCATACAATACAGCAACCTTTTCCCAAGTACACTCTAGCTATTACTGTCATCTGCCATACAATTCCCTTTTCGAGAGAATTATGGAACATGGAGCTATAACACGAGGGTACCGCCTGGTCTTTCACACAGGTCAGTTTCGCTATCTATTTTCCGACATGCTGCTGGGAAGACCGACAATCTTCGCTGCGTCTCCTCGGTTTTTCAAAAAACTGCACCAGTACTTAGTCGAGTTCCTGACCAAGGTGAGCGCCAACAAAAAGAAGGCCTTTGAAAAGACATACAATGCGCGGCTTGCAAAGCTCAGCTCTATATACGCAGCCATGGAGAGAGCTCACTCACTTGTCTATATGCTGGATACTATAGAGTATTTTGAGGAGAAGTTCATGGACATCCACACTCGCAATATTGAAGCGGTTATGCAAGCAACCAATAGCGAGCTATCCTACAATCTTCATCGCTCTGCGTTCACTTTGGCGCCAAGCTATAAGACTGTCCTCGACATTACAAGCCCCTCATACAGAAACAAGGCCAAGCACAAGAGAGCTCAGAGTTACGTTGACGCGCACCATTATGAGCAAAAGCAGGCCATGTCACTTCAACCAGAAAAGAAGCATACTCTAGACCAGTTGGGAGTTGAGCTAAGCCCGCAGCTAGACTTCAAGAATCAGCAGTTTACTGACATCATCGAGCCCTGGATCGTCTCTAGCAACCCGCGCACACGAGCCCTTCATACCTTCAGAATAGCTAGTGAGGATATTGGTGGAGGGGACGCCGGTTGCGATTTCTCTAGGCTCACACGTCTTCGTAAGATTGGAAGCAGAGACATCAACATTTCGAGCCTGCAAGGAGAGTCAATGGAGAGCAGCGAGCAGACGGACAAGGAGAAGAAATTCAACAAGTACATGCAGGCTATTGTCAATAAAGTGAGCGCTCCCCTTTCCACCACAGTTAAAGAGTTTGTTCCACCAGAGGACAGTATCAAAATAAGTCGGAGCAAGGCAAAACTAAATGCATCATCGATTCCGTTGCTTCCGCGGAACATACTGATGTGCAGTGACGAGAGTGATGCAAGCAGTCACAGCGAGATTAGCGAAAGCAGCACAAAACCCATAGAGTCTGCAGCTCTGCCGCCGGAAGCACCTGTTGAAAAGCTCCAGCACAATACGCCTGGACTAATGGAAGGCTCTCCGTTTAAGATGCAGCGCTATGGATCCAGTTATGAATGGCAGTACTATGAACATCTCAAAAACAAGGAGCCATCCTCCGTCACTGGAGATACAGAGTCTAGTCGTAGCGAAATGGGAACCTCACATTCAGTCGGAATTTCGTCTAAGCATGAGTCGGAGGGAATCGCTACCACAGAGGTGTCATATACAATTACTAGCGCCTCCCATTCCAGACCAGATGCAGAGGCAAAACACACAGGGGCTCAGCTCACTGAAGTGCGAAAACGAACACGCTCCTCACACAATGAGGCCTTGTCAGTGATTCACCTGAACGCCTCCCCTTCTCTTGAAGAGACCTTTGCGCAGAAGGAAGGCAAGTCCAAGCAAACTTCTATTAAGCAAAGAAAGGAACTAAATAAGCTGCACAGGCAACAGCAGAAGAATATGAGCAAGGTCGTGAAGGATAAGACAACCGTCACTAAGGAGCTTAATCGACTGCATTTTGAGAACAATTTAAAGGTAGCACTAAGATCTTCTCCAGCAGAATCTCCTGTCATCAAACGCGTTCAGGATCTCTTCGGCGGCAGCCTGGAGTTTATTATTTCTAATAGCGTTATAGACAACGTTGATACTTGGGAGTTTCTTCGAACCATACTGGGTTGCCACGGATGTCAATTGGTTGGCTATAGTGAGCTAACAGGTGGCGGCCTTTACAACGAGGTGCACGATAGCTCATTGAACTGGAGCCTAGGAAGGTCGGGAGTCGGCGTCAAGTGCAAAATTGTTGATCTTTCTGAAGGATGGTTCCCAGATATTCTCACGCGGCTAGTTCTTGATAGCGTGACACCATCTCTTCACACTGTGAGCCGCAAACTATACATACAGCGCTATAACAAACTGCAAGAGATGATTGCGAATGGTATGCCACGCTTCATAGACACACAGTTGGGTGAGTTGTGCCTTGCAGGCCGTATGCTCAGCTTGGGGTATTATGCTGGCGACGCTCTTTATCAGTACGCTAAAAGCTTTAAGCCGTCTCCTCGGGATTGCGTCCAATCTACTACTATGGAAAGCTTTAGCACCACGACTAACGTTTCTATGTCCGAAGGAGGGGTTGCTGATTTTCCCTGCAAATCTAGCGAATTAAATATTACGACTCCCCGACGGCTTTCCTCGGGCGGTCTTTCTGAAAATAAAGTCTGCCAGAAGGAAGAGTCAGATCGCAGCAGTCAGTTTTCTACAATGGATTGCACGTCCATCAATTCTACCCCATCGTGGCTGGATGCAGAAGTTGACCATGGAATTGCCGTCAGAACAAAGGAGAAGCTTCTTAAACAGGCAGCCCGGCGCAAATCTATGATTATTGCCAGGAAGAATGCAAGTGCCTTGGGCTTAAGTACTTCTAATCTCAAGCAAACGACTGCATCAGAAAGCGATCCGTTTAGCGGGTCAGTATATACAATCGGCGGTATTGCAGGGCAAAGCGCCTCACAAACAATATTGGGTGTTCCTCTCATAAATCTTTTATCGTCGTCATCCTCGGGACCGCCCAAGACCACATCTGCACGGCGTATGTCATCAACGAGTACAAATTCGACACTGGCAGCTGATATTGCATCTGTCAACCAGACGTTTGTTCCTACCATCATGACGCCTGCAACAACCAACCCGTTTTCTGCCCCGCTCAACTATAATCAGACGGCATACTCTAGTAACGCCTCGCTGAATATTAAGAGTTACAAAAGTACCACTAAAGGGAATGAGCACATAGATCAATCTCTAGCCCTGAAACCAGTCTTTCCGCCCGAAAGGCCTCCAGCCAACCTATCGTTGCCTATTTTGGAGTCGCAGTGCTCAAATATGCTATCGTTGGCATCCATGCATGGAGTTTCGGGGCGGTCTTCGCTACATGCCAGATCAGTGTCTCCCCAGATTCCTTTACTTGAGCCGTCTACATCGTGCTGCACAGGCGGCCAGACTACCAATGATGTCTCCATTGACATGCCATCGCAGCAGGGTCTTGTGGTGCTAAATCCACCGCAGCAATCCATTTACGAATGCATCATTGATCCCACAGATGAGGATGGCTACTACCACACGGGCGACATGGTCGAATTCGAGCAGCTTAGCGGGCGGATTATATACCGTGGGACTGTTCGTGACTATCTAGACAGACACGTGTATGCAATTATAGAGCGTTTTCTGATCGAAGAAGAGCTTATTTCGCCTGAGCAGCGGGACAGGGATCCAGACACTCTCTCGTCCACGCTTCTGTCTCCTGAAGAGCTGAGCTTGTGCTCCAGACCAAGCAAGGTGCCGGCAGACATGTGGACAAAAGGCAAGCTTGTCGCCATGCATATGCGCAAGCAGCTCTGTGCAAACCTCCACATGACATTTAAGCTGTCTTCTTCGCACTATCTAAATATAGGGTTAATAGAAGAGCTGATTGTATCGGAGATACCTTATGTTATTGACGTTTTACTTTACACATTCGATGGTGCCTCTAGGCCGATGGCGTTCCTTTACGTCAAGGGATTTGCACTACTAGAAGCTCTTGAGCAGGGGGGAATTCGTTTAAATGCAGTTGAGAGCGGTGAGGCAGACTTCTCTGTTGATAAATTTACTAATTCGAAGACAATAATATATGCAACTCTTGGCAAAATGCACGGAGAAAACAAGGACAAGCTGACAAGCTTTCTAAAGGGGACATCAAAAGGGCCTCAGATACCCAGGTATGTGATGCGAGTGTCGCACTGTGCATTTCTCTCTATCGTAGACAATGCCCGCATTTTAACGTACATCCGCTCCGATATAAGGATGGTTCTTCGGGACAGGAATCTTTCCAGATACTTCGCACCCATGTACATCGTGTATGTGACCAACTCAGACATGCTATTGACAGAGCCAAAGCTACGCACCATAACCGGAAAGCGAAACAGGGAGTCGTTTCTTAAGAAGTTCAGTGGTGACATTGCGAGGTACAAGCAAGATGAGGGTGTGCCAGAGCTTATCTTCCATTGATCAGGTTGGCCCTCAAGAAGTCCAGGGTCTCTTTGGCGGAGAGCCCAAACAGCTGCGCAGCGGACTCTATCTTCTCATTATTTTTTTCAGTCCATGCCCAGTGACTGGCATCAAGCGAAAATAGCACCACACTATTTGAAGAATAATATGAAGACGACCATCTATTGGTTAAGCTGGGCTCAGAAGACATCGCCATCATTATAACCTTTTGTGGAATCACCTTCAGAAAGGTAAAATCGGAATGCTTTCTGGCAGATGTATTAAGCTTATCCATGCAGAGCTGCATTCTTCTACGAACAGACGACATGGTCGTCTCAGGCTTAACTCCAAAGTAGTGCGAGGTGTCAGCTACTGCAATCCAAAATCTTGTTATCAGAAAGTGTATAGTGGTGGCGTCACGGAACTTTTCGTTGTCCATGACGCACTCCATGAAGTTCGCCACCGGGGTACTGATGATGTCTCCAGCTTCCTTTAAAATCCCTTTAACCTTGTTGCGGAGAGAGACATAGCTTTCTTCCGACCACTCGGTAGGGAGCTCGAGGCCTGTGTATACAGAAGTACCCATGACGCTTCTCTGCAGTTCATTGCAGTCCAGAGACTGGAACTGAAGGGACTGCTGAGAGTAAGAGTCCTGACTAGACACATACGTAGACGCCTTAACACATGCAAATGCTGTTCGTGCCGCGTCCCCCGTGGAGAGCACAAGGCGGAGAATTAGCATTAGAATGAGTTGTACGCGCAAGGGATTAGCTGAAAGCTCTTCCGGATTCTTCGCTATATACATGCTAGCTATAGTATTTGCAAACTCTGCCATAGAGCTTATGACCTCACTAACTGCGCTAGTCACCATATCTGTGCTCATCATTACATGGGCTTGCACAGACATGCACATGCTGATTGAATAGTAAGATGCTATAAGCTCTAGAATGTATGCAGAAAGAGCTACCAATTCGCTGTCATTCGCAAATAGTAGATCCACAAAATAGGCCTTAAGTCTGTATATCTTCTCTGTCAAGGGCTTAAATTTGGTTGGGTCCGTGTAGGGGAATGTTATCAGGTGGTTAGATATGCATATGATCTTCCCAATAGGTCTCCTATCGTTGGTGGTGAGGATGTCCTGAATGAATCCAAGAAGAGTATTAAACGCTAGCTTAATAAGGGAAGAATCGAACAGTCTCATGCAGATGCTAGACCTTATGCATGGAGACGCAAACTGAAGCTGCATTAGCGCATTCATAATCTCATTGTATCTCCCACAAAGTGCTGTGCGTACAAAGTGTATGGCATCGGCCCGTGAAAAGATCTCTTGGAGAAACCTTTCCAGGGCTTCCTTTCTCACTTTGTTTATTAGTGCGTCCTTTAGCGACAAACCCTCTTTTCCTTTTACTGTCGTAAACTTTAACCAGTAATCGGCGCTTAGTATCATTTCAAACAAGGTCTTCTTGAAGAATTGATGCTTTAGTATAGCCTCTAGAAGATCAGCATTATTAGAAATATGTGTAAACACTTTTGAAAAGAGAAGGTATATGTCTCTGCGCTGCCTATGGGTGAATGGTGGAGACTCGTCGGCAATTTCACCGAGAAAGTAGCAATTAACCAACTTAGTTATTATTGCGTCGCGCTTGAGGAAGGAGATAACGCGCGGCTCAACCTCAGTCAGCTGATTAAGTGCATCGAGGGAAAGGAGCAACGTGAACACCTTGTCGGTATTGATGCACTTATCTATGTCGTCGTAATTATTGGCATTAGTGATCGCATCCAGGTAAGGCGTGGATGGACAAACCTCCTCCTTAGTAACTCCAGGAACTTGTAGATCATTGCCTCCATAGTATAAGTTGATCTCTTCCATACACTTGTAACTCAATAGAGTCCGAAGCCGTTTCTTTCTAGATATCATGTTTGATATGGCAGATCTTGTCTTCGGCAATGTATGCCCATGCGAGACAATAGGTGACTCCTCGGTAGCCTTGTGAGCAAAATCGTTAAAGAACACCAGCTCACAGTCTGCAAGCAGGTGCTTGGAGTCTCCGTCTTTGAAAGCATCATTCTTGCTCTTCTTATTTGCGCCAGAAGTCTTAGACAGCTCACTTGCAGCTGCTTTCACTGCTGATAAACCTCGACAAATGCCCTCATAAAGGAGACGGGTAGGCATCGGGACGTCGACCACTGTGTCTAGGGTATTCGATGCTTCCATTCCATATGGAACGGGCGTCAATGCTGAAGTAGAGTGTTGCTCTTTGAACAGAGAAAAAGTCCTGGCTGAAAGGACATCCCTAGCTGTCGTATCCTCATTGAATGTCTGGTTATCCACAGGGGATTCGCTCATTTTAGATATTGACTGGAGCGACGGGTCCGGCGAGTCCTGGGAGAATGTAAGAAGCTCATCGGACGGAGCGCTTGGCAATGGCACCTCGCATGAGCCGTAACTGTGAGTGTGCTTATCAGTGACAGAGCTGTGGCAGCTTGTGCTCGTCTTAAGAGGAAACGGATAGGTGGGTTGGCGGCCCTGTTGACGCAAAGCCGCAGCCTCTGAGAGATGCCTGCACTTGAGGCTATGAATATTTATACATGGCTTTGCCCTATAGGCTGCAAGCTTTCTGACAAAACTCTTTAGACACTTGATTTCGTTCTTTTTAACCTGAACTATGTTCTTATCTATACCGGACACATGTGTAATGACATCAGCAAATTTAGTGATCAGCGAGACGACTGTCTCTGATGTGGTCTCGTTCAAACGCTTTACAGAGTCGATCTTTATACTAGAGTCCTGCAATGGATAGTATTGAGGCAACTTGATGCATCCATCACTATTAAAATAAATCGACTCGGCAGTTAGTCTCGGAGAACACCACATGCAAGAGGAAAATGTGCCATCTTTGTACTTATTAAGAACATCTACCGCAAGAATGAGCTGCGCCGAGCAATCCCAGAAAACTTCTGTTGAAAAGCGCTCCGGATATATAGTGTAATAGAGTTGCAGCTGGCTGAGAGAGGGGCCTGTAGGTTGCTCTATCAAAAGATGCAGCTTTTCCTCCTGGCCTTTGCTAGAAAAATATGCCATATCTCTGTGCCGAACAAGGTTTGGATGGATGACAGCACAAGATTGAAAAAGGTAAAAGAGAAGCAAATTATAATCTGGATCATTGACCTGGAGATTGATTTCCTTCCATTGAAAAATAAGCTCAGAAGCATCTAGTTTGCGACTATTGTCAACCTCGGTAAACAAGTCTTCAAGTCCCTGATAGTCCTGAGCTGTAAGTTCTGAGAAGCAGGGTAAGTGCCCTAGGCTACCAGAAGCCTTACTTATATCTGAATTCCTTGAGGTGGGTACAGATGAAAGAATGTTTTGGGGTCGTGGAGTTTTTATAGACTTTGTAAAAGAGGATGAGGTCTGAGTAGAATTAGTTGGAAGCGATAGCTGGACCACTGGAAGATTCGTCTCGCCTTTGTAAGGAGACAAGTCGGAAGCCTTGGCTACGGAGGCATGATTCATAGTTTTGAACAGGACAATTTTTGTTTTTGAGACCTACACGTCTTAGAGATAGGGTGCCTGTTCAGTGATCTCTGTCTCTACTGACTTCTGACCCAATGAAGCACTGCAGTGGCCTGCGTGGTCCTCGATTGAGCCCGTAATAAAAAACTGACACATGTTCTCCTCCGTTATTGGCGGCCTGCGCCATCCACATGGGTCTTCTATCTTGAGCGCGGCAATTGAAAGCATTAAGGTCCTCAGAGATAAGCGAAGATGCGAGCTTTTGCATCGCGCGATCTCCCTCATAGATGAGGGCCTTTCAGACAGTTCGACAACCACAGCGATTTGCCGTTTGTCTTACCTTCTATTCTCGCCAGAAAACCCAGAACCCAAGGAGCTTGCAGAAGCTACAGAGGCTGGTCACTTGTTCTGGAAGGTCATAAGATGTATCTCGACCTCATCTAACAGTTCAGATAAGACGTCTTCTTTAGCATCCTACATTGCATGTTCTTCTAGCCAAGTCACTGCCACAGAAAAGAAGTTTTTCTCGATCGCCTTACTTACAGACGACGCCCTCACAAATGAAATGCTCATCGCTGCGGCGGCCAACTTGTATCCGGCGCTCTTTTGCGAATACGTACTTGTCCAGCTACCAGATGCATACAAGGACGAGTCTATAGAAATGCTAGAGCTTCTTAGGACACGAGCGGGGGTCACGCACGGCCACTTGGAGGATATCCTGTCCATTCTTCCGCAAGGCACACTAACTGAAGATGAAATACTACAATTAAAAGAGGCAGTCACTAGTTCCTTAGCGTCAGCGTCTAATGTGACGTTCAGTGCTTATCCTACCCCTTTACTTCCAGTTATTTCTAGGCTACTTTCCAAGGCCCGTCCATACTCAAGGGAGCACCCTGCTATGTATTCTTCCAAAGGGAATCCTCTTTTGCGTATCCTATACCGCTCACTTCTTCAACTGGATTCACAAAAACAGACATCGACGATTCCAGGCCCCTGGCTTATGATTCAGCTTGTTTTAGCGGCCGCCTATGCGGTAAAGCTCCAGAACAAGGTCTGGGCTGACACACTTCTCCAGCGCCTCCTTTGTATTGTTCCAGCTCTCGAAGGTAAGTATTCTCGCATTCTAGGGCTTTGTGCACTCATTCACCTTGCAACCTCCTATGACACTGACAATAGTTTACATGCTGTGCTCACTCCCCTTACTCTCGATGAGATCAAGTTGTTTCTTACCAAGGTGGAAGAGTGGATGAAGATGGACAAGTCTTCCATCGTTCTTCGAACGTTAGCGTTTCAAGGGGCAATATCAATTATAAACTCCGTGAAATCTCAGGATCAGATCTTACTCGCGCAGCTAGCCCCATCACTCCTTTCCGTAGCAGCTGGAATACATCACAATATAGGAACCTTCATAAACATACTAAACGCATTTGCGGCCGAACTACTGGAGTTTCAAGGGTCCGCTATTCTGTCAACTCTTTTTGATCTCCAGACAGCTGGCCTTAGCGGCGTCTCAGGGCTCCTACGTGTTGCAGACGATGTTAGGTCCTTGGTGCCCCAGGCATCTATCCCTCTAACAACAGACTTGCACGCACAACTGCAACCAGATCTCAGTTGGCGTCAGGCTACACTGGAGTTAATTAGAAAAGAAAAGTATGGCTCTAAATATGGACCACGCTTGCTTTCATCCCCACTGTTTCAGGACCTACTTCAGCTTCATGCGTTCATAGCCATAAACGTCATCTCTTTCTACCGGTTCACAAGTGCTTTGGAGACCTTTCTTTTGACTTGTTGCGTTGCTACTCCAAACAATGACTCTGCTTCTATACTCCTACGTGCTTTAGAGTCAGACCAGGTTAGTGAAGATTATAACGGTCCTACATCTTCCGAAGCGTCCTTTTCTTCCAATTTCTCGACAATCCTTGATGCGTACCTAAGCGCCGGCGAACACCTTTTCGAAGTTATTTCCACCATCTACGATCTGTCGTCTGGCCTCAGCTCTAACATCAAAGCTCCTGCTCCCCCAAGGCTTCTGCCCTCTACTCTAAGGAGGCTGAGTGAGCTCTCCATTCTTCCTGACACGTTTGGGTATGCAGAGTTTTTCATTGTCGCAGCAACAGCACGCGTTCTAGTATCCTTATACCTGCAAGACACAAAGATGGTGAGCAACAGAATAAGGTTCTTCCCCAAGAAGGCAAAGATTAGTTCCATTGTCTTACTCATGGGACTCTACCTTCTATCAGATATTCCAGAGTTTTACCGATTTTCGCCTGATTGTGCTTCGTTTCTCAATATGATCCTTCCTTTGTGTATTAATCTTCCGCTGGGAAAGCGTAAATATCGGGAAAGCGTACTTGGTAAGCATGGTGGAAGCCCATGCCACAGCTCCACTAATGTCCTTGAAGATGCAGAATGCTTTTCGCAGCAATCCTTACTGTCTTATTCAGACCTCAGCTACTCGGTTAGGAGTGATGGGGACCCCCTTAGGTTCCATCGCATAAGCCTTGTTCTAGCGCATATTTTATACACGGCATTAAGCAAGCAGCTATGTGATCTGGCATTGGTTGATGACTACCTCCTTATTATGGTGTATATCTCTACTGGAGTATTTTCGTCAACCGACTCGTCCATTGAGTCCATGGACACAGGCTCTTCCGATTTAGATGAATCCCAGTGTCTATTGCTAAGCTTAACATCTTCCTGGCTCAGCCCAGCACCTATTTGTAAGGCTCTCCTCGTCTTCTTGTTTTCTAATAATATGCCACTGAGCCTATGCTCAGATTATCCTGGAATGTTCAACTTTTTAACGTGGAACGCAAAGCTGATAGCAATCAGACTTCTGGATAGCACTCTAGATCTGCTTCCAGACTCTGCACGTCGAGAGGTTATCCTGTCCTCCAGGCTCTACTTCCATAAACTCTTTGTGATCCTGACTGAGCTACTACTGATTCCTCTTCAGCCTTATATCTCCACATTGCTTTCATTCCTGCATAAGATCTCCAACTGTCTTCTAAGCCAAGATGATGTGTCTCTTGCCAGTTCCCTCGGAGTCGCAGTGACATTTCCAGATGAGCCTCTAGAGCTTGTCGAGTGCACTAAGAAGTGTATGACTGTATCAGATAGAATGTCTGAGCCACCATCGTACGTACACTGTCGTTATAAGTCTGCGTCCGGGGTGGAGCTGTTTTCCTATTGTGCCGTGTTAGACGATAGGAGCGCAATCACATCTCTCTATGCATATCTTAGAGCACTTATTGCTGCGCACATAAGGCGGTTGCAGGAGAAGATAGGCTCGGGGAAAATGGCACTTGTACCTCTGGAAAAGCATGCAATCCAGCAGTTCTTCACAGAAAAACGGGCAAGCTCATTGTCTTTTTCTCAGATGTTTCCTGGGATGCGCTTTCTTGGCCACTCGTCCCATCTGGTTGTTGGAGAGAACTTATATGCATACTTCTGTGGCGAGAATTCACAGCTATACCAAGAAGCGTATACATACTGGTATGACTGTTTCATGCTAGACCTCCTCTTCAACATTCCTGACACGTTCTCTTTAAAGTTGTTCAATGAATATGAAAAGATTAAGCAGACAATAGGCCAGCAAATAAAGGACCGCAAAAAGACAGCTACACCGTTTAGTGATTGCTATAAGGTATTGACGCACTTTATATACATGCACAGTCTTCTCTCTGCCAGACGTCTTTTGCAGGCGTCCTCTGTATTCTCGCTAGAGCGCGCTTCGTCTCTTCAGAGCATATTATCAGCTCCTACAAGCCTGTCAACTACAGAACCTAGTTCGCGCGTCAATTCCATGGCTCAATTTCCTTCGTCTCCGTGTGCTGGTATTATTACACAAGGAACAAGAGACTCCCTGCTAACCGACCAAGACAGACGCTATCAGGTAGAGCTTAACATTGTTCTCACGACCTTCTGGGACATTTATGACTGGGCAAGGGACAAAGGGGCCTTCTCCGTGCGCACTATCATGCACTTTGGTCAGTGCATCTCTGCTGTTTCTAGCTCTCTTGTACTGGCGATGATCACTCTATGTGAGCAACGAAGCCAGAGCACTGCGGCCTCTGTTCTTCTCAAGTGTTATGCAGACTTTTGCAATGCAGAACAATACTATCGTCCGGTCACAAAACTAGACGAGGCAGTTGCTGCAGCTGAGCGCATTGGCATGGTTGTTCCCAGAATGACTTCCAGCACATACCAGCTGGAGCAATGCTGTAAGGAGCTCATATACTTTGCAACAAACAAGAGCTATCTCTTATTTATGGACACAACTGCCTATGTCCTGGACGCGCTGCTACGTCTCCCGACTAGACCTGCTGAATTCACTACTGCTCAAGTTCTTATGCACTTGCTGGGATACATCGTCCTGTACTCAGGTATTCCTCGCTTGTGCAGAGCAATAATTGAGTCTCCAATCTTTCATCGCTCGACAGGCAACATTTCTAAACTAGCTGACTCTCCATCGTATTCTGCTTTGTACAAAGCCAACGTGGACACTATCGCAGAATTCTTGACCAACAAGAACGCTAACGTACACTCTAGCCTATTTGTTTCCTACCCCGTATGCTCACGATATCGACGCTTAGCTGCTTACTCCACGACCCTAGTTGATGAAATCCTTGAACATTGCTGGAGCAGCCCTCACTCTTGGTCCATCAACACAGACGACTCTTCTGACAGCGAGACCTCCCCTGCTGACGTGGATGTGGATAAAGTAACCGTCAGTACCAGACTAGCTCGGCACTGCGCTGAGATCCCTGAAACACCATATGTATCTGAGAGCATATTAGATGACGATAAGAGGTACAACGAACACTTGCACAGACCATGTGAAGATCTGAATGGGTCCATGGAGAACTTGCTTAGTCCTGAGCTGAACACTAATGTCTATTCAGACCAGAATGAGGCGCACGGAAGCTCGTCGATCTTTGATGCTGAGTACGATGCGGCGCATACTCTTTCAAGAAGAAATAGTGTGTTCCGCAGTGCTAGAAGCTTAAGAAATCGCAGCCTTAGTACCACGCATGAGCTTTTGCCAGGAGATCTCTCGGTCTACCGGGCCTTGACTGCGTCCATTGCAGAAAGCAAAAGTGCCGGGCCTTCAGAGTTAGGTAGTACAGCTGCCTCCTTCACTAACTTCTTGAAGGATGAGAGTCGACGCTCTCCCCCTGCAACTTCACGTTCAGATGCCCGCACCACCGTGCAGCTTGCAGAGCTGAAACGACTGGGGTACTTCCACATGTCTGCCATCTCAAGTATGGTTAGCATAATGCAGCTCATAGACTTGCCGTCCGAAGCCCGCGCCCTCATTTTGGGGAAGGCGTGTCTTTGCATTACTTTCTATGAGTCTTCTCTAGATCACAAGGAGTTCTTCCGCACCCACCTGGCAAACAGAATTATTCGCCTACTTCTCTTGGCTGTCGAGCAGAGGCCCCAGGCATCCACCATAACAAGCATTGTGCTTATGTTCTTCGTTTGCGCTAATTCGAAGCTAGACATATCTACGCTGGGAAAGAACTATTACACCAATGTGGATAAAGGTCCCATTCTTCCCTTTTTGCAGCCGCTTGCCTCTGCCATACTCTCCTACTTCCTTTCCCTTGCACCACATATTCTGCTGCAAAGTATTTATGGGCGCTACGCTCTGCAAAGGGTGGGCGTTCTGAATAGTTATGTCGACCTCATTGGGTTTCAGCAGCTCTATCCTCAGTGTATTGGCCATGCGACCAATCTCGACAAAGTTTTTGAATTTGCTGTGCTCTGGTGCGACGCGTCAGTCTGGTTTCACATACTTAAAGTTTTGTTAGTTGAAGGTTTCATAAATACCTCCGTTGACAATCACACCCTAATATACAGGCGCACGTTATTAAGAACGGACGGAGATTTGGTTATCCGCATGAGGAACTTGACATTCATACGAACCATTGACAGCTTGGCAAATGGGACAATTTACCGGGCTACTGCCCAGTTTTTATTAACATTGGGAGAGCACACGTGCATCCAGACCGTGCTTTACTTAATATCGAAGTGTGTAATGCCCCTACACGGATACCGAGTGGGCAGACTTCTTTACAGCTTCCTCCGAGCACTGCTATTGCAAAAGAATCAGCGCTCAGACGACAGCAGATCTGTCCTGTCCCTTCTATGCCGGCTTTGCAAAGCAATCTCCATGGTATCCTCCTTAGATGTTATGGGCATACTTAGTGCTGGTCTAGTTCCCCTTTTCCGGCGGCATCCTGAGCTTCTCTTGGGGATCTTATCAGATAGATACACAGGTTACCAGGATCCTTCTGGCTGTATATTTCCACGTAGATATGGTCTGCTAGAGCCTCGGGATTTTATCATTCGTCTGCTGGAGCAACAGTCGCCGGAGTTCAACCTTGAGAAACACCTCTCTGATCTCCGTGTGCTGGCGTCTAAGAAGGAGATGGACGTGTACGTCATTCCGGGGTTCCGTCGCAATCTTTCAGAAATGAAGCTTGCGCTCTTCGAGCTTCTTCTGACCAAGTGTCGCGATTTCATTTCTATGGGGCCATATCTCTCTGGGGATTATGAGAAGGATGAGGTTGTATCTGACTTGGTTTACATTTATCATATCATCCGTCCACCACTAGACTCTTCTGACGTCTTGTCCCGTGCACAGTACAGTGCTTTCGCTAAGCTGCTGTTTGAGAGGAAGGAGCTCTACGGCGCCCTTCTCCAGCTGGCCGTCTACGTGGGCCACATGTCATGGGATCACCTCTCCCAAGACGGGCACAAGGTGAGGAAGCACTTTGTTTACTCTGTTTTGGGCCTCTCTGTTTTGAATGCAGAAGTGGACATGAATAACTATAGTAGCTTCATCACGTCCCTGGAGGCTATAAAGTTCGAGGATAGACTAAACTCTCCTCTACTAGTTCCGTTCGGGTGTGACATGCCCGGATTCTTTGTGCTGAGTTCGTGGGTGTATCAAGTACTGGCTGTTTTCTGGGAGTATAGTACATATCCGTGCGAATTCAGCACAATCCTCCAGAGCACCTTTCACAACCTAAAAGCTATCAAGAGCATCCCCGTATGGGAACGCGAGGATGAGGGTGCCGAGTATGTAGACAGCGCAGATAGTGACATGCCGATCGAAAAGCTTGCAACGTCTCTTTCTCTACCTGTTTCGCCTGCAAATACCCAAGCAAGCACATTAAAGGTCAAGCGGCCAATCAAGCTGAACGGCTTCGGACTGCTCGACTGCTCCATGCTCTGCCTGCTTCTCATCGTAGGCTCTAATAAGAAGCGCTTGGCGGACTATACTAGCACCATTATAGACTGCTATGACTGGGCATGCTCCATCGTTGATTCAAAGAAGGCTAAGAAGGGGTTGGCTCTGTCACTTACGTTGTATGCGAGCTTATTTCTTTTGTCCTCTAACCGGCAAATCGTCAATGTTAACAGCAAGCAGATCTTCGGGCCTACTTGTCAACTAGTTAACACACTCTACACCGTTAGCCTAAAAGGCAGTGATCAATCTGCACACCATAAGGAAGCCTCAGCTTCTCAGCTAACAAAGAGCGTACCTGCAGCGACGGATCTGACCGTTTCGGTAGTGTCAGATAAGCTCGTTCTGAGTCACCTATGTCCTGATTCGAGAGTGCTGAACCAAAGCCTAGGATCCACAACGACGTCATCCATAGAGCAGGCCATCAAAAGTAAGGCAGAGGCAGAGCAGAGCAGTACCCTAGATCATATGAGCTCGCTTGAGAGGAGCACAGTTTACGGGTACGACGTTCCTGTCATCACTACACCCTATCTCCTGCACATCATCCATTGCCTGATGGCATTTACAGATGTTTCATCGTCTGAGCCCCTTCTTGACACAATCAAATCCTTATTAATACTAATTTTGCGCCACTCACAAGTCCGTCGTCTCTTACCAGAGCTAGCCTCTCTTTTGGAGTTTACCAAATGTGTTATTAAGAAGGACACTCAGTTCATACTATCGAGTCTCATACCCTCTGCTTCTGTCCTCGTCTGCTATCAAACAGCAGCCGATACCAACGTAACATATAAAGTTTTAGGAACCCTTGCATTTCTAGTGGACATAGAGTGGAGCTATAGCGCAGCATCCACTTCAATTTCTGATGCATTAGCTCACTTGTACTCTCACGTCTATACTCGGCCAAATACGGAAGTTCAAGGGCTTTTAGCATTTTTCGCAAGGCTAATGGTTTCGGGAGGGATAAGTAGTTACACCCAATGCAACCTGCTCAGATTGCTGACCAATCTTGTAGAAAAGGCTCTGTTCTCCGCGCAAGAAGTCCTTAGTATCATAGAGAGTATCCTTCAGGACGCGTGCTCAGAGAGCGTTGCGGCACAATGCCTTATTTCGGCCAGTGTACTGTTAAGTATGTGATTGTGTGTCACTTAATGGATTTAGGTCGGAGAAATTTATCAAAAACTCCCCCATGAAGGAGAAATACTCATTGCTGTCGACTTGGATGGAGTCCTGCGATCCCTCCAACGGGGATGTTGACGCCCCGTTGACTATAGCTTCTAGGAGCGCTGAATCGGCGTTTGATGCAGTGAATTCAAAGACAGTGGACGAGTCCGTAAAGTCATCCGTGCTGCTTTCTGTCGCTTGGTTGGCCACTTTGGAAAGTAGTAAGTCATAGCTGTGATCAAGTAGGCGTGTGCTGAGATCCATTATGGCCCCTGTTTGCAGCAGGTACTTGACTGTCGGGTTAGGCTCATGGGTGGCAGCCGCTGCCAATCTCTTTATGGAAAAAGGGATGAGGTTAGAGATTCGTTCAAAAAGCCTGGGCCTCAGCTGCTTCCAGTCAATCGTGAATATAATCTTATCAGAGATGCCACCGGCAAGTCGTACGATGCTTCTGAAAAGATTGATGTAGTGGGTAAGACCACTGCTCCACAAATTCCCCTCGCAGTCAACAATCTTTACGAACTCCTGACCGACGTCAATGAAGGAGCTCTGCAAGCAGATGGTGTCGAGTACATTCGGATCTGAAATAAACAGCTCAACACAGGGGATGAGGATGCGGCCAACCGCAAAATGGAGTGCTGTGGCATCTGGATAGCTGTAGAAAAGCTTGCACATCCCCTTAGTCAGCCCAGCATCTAAAAGATCTAACATCAAATTGCGAAGAGAGATAGGCAATGCACATCCATCCTTCAAGAGATATGTAGCTGAGATGGCTATTTCAGACGGGCCTCCAGATCCTGCTCGAGCGGAGTATGGTATCGGTGCCTCCAGCAACGGTTCCGTTACTCGCTGAAGAGAGTCTCGCTGCTGTATCTTTCCATTAAACTCATTCGAAGGCTTAGCTCCAGTCTCCTTGAAGTATAAGTATGCTTTGATGTCAGCAGTAACAGAAAGGATCCGTGCATACAACATTAAGTAGTGGTACAGATAAGCAATAAACCGTGATGTATGTGAGTGCTTGACAATACTAGGATAAGAGCTGGTTGTCTCATCGACAAATTGTACAAGCGTTCTGGTTAGAGTGCCTAGTCTATACACAATGCGAGGATACACCATTCCAATTTCTTGCCATAAGAGAAAATCGTTTTGAGCAAAATTAGATGACTCTATCGACATCCTCAAAGCTGTTTTGAATATGAGGGAGAGGCCTATGGCTAAAACTTTACCACATGCATTGAAGCATGTACACACGAATAGACTCAAATCTTCTGTGACTTCAACCAGTGCATGGAGCTCACTTACATACGAATTCAGTGTGGTCAGAAGCGATGGGAGCTCGGACACGGCTAATATAACAAGCCCAGAAATACGACAATTGAAGAGTTTTTCATATAAATGCATGATAGATAGCAGAGTTGACAAGCAAGTTCGACTACCAACGGCAGTGACCAACTGAGCGCACAGATTGACCTGTGAAGCGCAACGCACCAGCGCCGAATTGATTTCTTCGTCATGAAATTGCGATCCCACATCTATAAGAGTGAGAAGAGTCCCAGCAACCTCCTCGTATTGTATGTTGGAAAGCAATTGCTCAAACAAGCTAGGTTGCTCTGCATACGCAAATAGGAGAAGGGCAGTGGATTGTTGAGTGATCAAAAGGCTGGTCACGATGCGCTTAAACGTCTTGAGATAAAGTTGTGACGGGTTTGTTGGAAGAAACAGAAGCTTGCGAGCCAGCTCAGTGTCTCGCAGAATAAGATTCTGTAATGTAAATTCTTCAAAGCTATAACGCAAAAGGACAACGAAGATGTCGAGACAGTCTTCGTGGTCTAAAGTACAATTAGGATGATTAGTAGAAAAGATATCATCAATGCGGTCATTGGCCGCTCTAGGGGACGTATAGATATATTCAATTATCCAGGCGACGTTGGCCTTGTCAATAAGAAAGGGTAGAAGCTCTTCTGCATTATAGCTGGAGGCACGGAACGTATTGTTGCAGAGAGACTGCGCAGCCAAGAAAAAAGAGTTAAGTTCAGTGCTGAACGACGTAGTATTGTCTAGTTCAAGATCCTCGCTAATGTTGGACTCAGTTGGGTCGTAGAGTGTCAATGGAGAGCAATTGAGCGGTGACAAAAACGTAAAGCTGGCATAGCTAGATGACAATAGCCTAGGCCAAAAGCGCTCCTGGCTGTGCTGCAAAGAGAGGAGGGTCGAGAGTAGTCGCCCTAACTCCTGCGAGTAGCCACGATGCTTGACAGTATGTACTATGGATTCATCAGTGAACAGAGGAGAGGCAGAGCAAGGGAGATCTGCTACATATTTATATAAAACTCTTCCCAGAACAAGGAGTTCTGCCTCCACAGCGCTCAAGTTTGATGGCACATGCTCACCTTCAAAGCAGCACCCATTGGCCTCTGCACACACTTCTTCACTACAGAAAAAGAGGGGGGACACTAGCTTAAGGGAGTGACTGCTATCAAGATATGCCAAGTTTGCACTGATCAAATTGAGGTAATTTAAAGTAGGAGTTCGGTCAATGGAGTCTTGATAGAAGCTGCTGTACTTGTAGCGGACCGTTTCCATTGTAGATAGAATGAACCGCTGCAATTCTCTTTCAGATAAACGAGTGCTTTTTTCTGGTTGGACTGCAGGTTCACTTTGGACAATAAGTCGCCTACATCCGTCTGTGTTGAATGTCATTCTGCATCCTTGCCCTTCTTGGTCTATGATGAGACACTCGGGACGCATCAAGCAACTGAATCGAGAAGACTCAACGTGCTCAAGAAACTCTGCAGGACGTTTAGAGCATAAGATATGCACCACAACACTACCTGAAGTGTACTCAATATGTAGTTTCATTTCAAATGTAATAATGTTGCCACTTATGAATGACTTGAGGAAATTTTTAAAATCTCAAATCCTCTTCATTGAGGTATTTGGGGAAAGTTGTGCAACAGCTTTTCTTGTTCAACATGCCAATTGTTGTCTTGTAACGCAACGCCCAGAGGTTATACTTTAAGTCTCTTGAGTCTCTTGAGACTTATTGGTGTTCTGTTTTGCCTTTGTGTGAGAGTATTTCTAGAGTACTTCTGCACCTTCACTGGCGTCGTGGCCTATGCGGCACTTAGGGTCTGCGTGGACACTCGACCACATGCGCTTATGTTATGGCAGTTTAAAAAATTCTTGTAAAAATCGACTTCGAGCTGTAAACGAAAATGCTCAATTTCAATCAGGTATCTTTAAGTAAGGTTTACACGGAATACAGGTATCGTACATCTGCCTTAAATACGTAGTCGAACTGTTGATAGTTCTTCTGTCCATTGTGAGTATACAGGACCCGATTGAAGTCCATCTCGCGGTCAATATAGATTTTGATTTTTTTAGGTATGTAGGTCTCTGACAACCCTGCAGCTCTTATGGCGGCGGCTATATCTTCTAGTACAAAGCGTTCAACCGCTTGCGCCAGCGCTCTGGTGAAATTGGTCGGAGACACGACTGGCAGAAAGACTCTCATTAGATCATCTTCGTCCTTACCGTAGCGTTCGCACAGAAGCCCATCACGCGATGAGATCTTGCTACTGATGACGGAGGACATCGATTGGACAGACGGAGTAAGGCCCCGCTCAACGACGGCCACTTCTCCCTCTGAATCCAAGGTATCTTCGCAACCTTTGATTCCAGAGGTCTCTAACACAACGTCATGGGAGGTGGCTCCCTTGAGCTTAATCTTCTGTTCTCTGTACCGGGCTTCTAGCAAATACTTCTTGCAGTTGATAATACATACTGTGTAGTTAGTATTGGGATTGGCAAACAGGCAACACGTTATTATGTATGGAATGCTCTCAATGATTCTGTTTGCTAGATCTCTGTCGAGAATCTGCTTGCCGAGCACAAGGTGTTTGTGGAGCGATCGCAAGTAGACCAGGCGTCCGTCCGGAAGAAGCTTGATTAAGTCCCCAGTATGGAAGTACCCGTCTGCATCAAAGATGTCATTAGCTTTAAAGAGATCACACTGCTTTTTCTGCGGACAGGAAAATGACCCTTGAAAGAGGGACAGTGAGGTATACCGCTTTGAGTATGCGTCTAAGAATGTATCAGTGGTGCAAGGTTCGGCATGCACAGGAAGGATATCTGCTGCGCTGGTGGACTCCTTGCCGAGAGGTGCAGGTACGCTCTTAAGCTCAGGCATTTCATCACTGATTATTGTATCTGGAGAACAAATGCCTTTCAGTACCACATTGAGAGGAACGTCTTGGTCGCAAAGTTCGTGGGACGTATCTCTAGAGGGCGATGTCGCAAGGGTATTGCTTTTTGGTTTTTCTGATGGCTGACTGGATCGTACAAAGCTCTGGTCCTTGACGCTCAGGGGAATTCCGCAGGCAGAGCCAGACAGTTTGTTGAGCTTCAGCTCGCTAATGGTTATGCTTTGGCGAACAGACGAGGCAGTTTGCGACATGAGTGGAGGGTTTAGTCGTAAATCTTCTACACTCATGCTAGAGAACTTAGAGAAGCCCGCAAGCCCTTGTTTATTGACTATGCTTGCAATTCCTAATTGTGCACCAGAAGACGTGGGAGTGTCGTCGACAGAGCCAGGTTCTGGCCCAAACAGTGACGGTCTCTTGATAATGTCCTTAGAAATAGCCTGTGTATCTGCTGCGGCCAGAGCTGAGTTGGGTTCTGGAGACTCTTGGGCATCATTGTTATGGCTCGGCGATTGGGTCGAAGAAGCTACTGTTCTAATGGGCTTCAGCTGGCCGCTGTCATTAGAATCTAACCGTGAATTTTCGGCATTAATAGCGTACAGCAAAGCAACGGCTATACTGTGCTGTCTCTCAGCCAGATTGGGGGCCTTGAAGAGACCCATATGCTCAACCTTTTTCTTTAGAATCTTGACAACACCCAGAGTTGACATCCTGAAGGGACTAGAGCAGAACTTGAACATGTGAGCGATCTTCCGGAAGAGGAGGGATCCAGAGTAATTGCCCGCAACAGCCATTTTCCCCTTGAAACAAAGCTCACCAACCCCGTCTCTTTCCAATGAAAACTCACACCTCTCCTTGCAGTCCATCACCACGCTGGAAATACCTGGCATGGATCTGCCCAGCAAACCTTCGTAGGACGGCAGGTCATGATAGTATGTGTAGCATCCCAGCCCCAGAAACTCTGAGACCCCATAGACAGTTGAAAAGATACCCCCAGTGCCCACCCGAAAGAACTCAATGACCTTGTGCTGTAGCGGGCCGCCGATTGAAATGAAGTGAGTCGTATTGCCTCCAAAGGCTTGAGCATTGATAAACCTTAGAGTTGAGGGGAGCTTTAACGTGCTCACCTGTGACTGGTAAAAAAGCGTCTTCAGGGATACCATTAGGGATTGCGATAGGCGACCATTTGCTTTCAATATTGGAGATAAAAACGCGTTGGCAAGGCGATGATGCTTGGCGATAATCCTTTCCGTGGTCTTGTAATATGGTGTTAACCGATGATTTCTAAACGAAGAGAATGTGTCCAGTATCCTTTTGCAATCATCATTAGAGACTCGTTCGGGGACCACGCGGGAGGCCTTTATGAGCGCCTTTTGCGAGTGAGCAAACACCTTCTGGATCGCAAGCGCATGGGGGTCGTCGCTACTGGTTTGCGGCTTAGTATAATCCGCAGCAGCCAAGTCAACGTTTAGATTGACAGTGAGAGGCCCGAAAGGACCAGAGGTCAGCTGATCAACTCCAACCTGATCCAGGAACATCGACTCCTGACAGATGCTGTCCATCTTATCTGCACGTCGCTCGAGATCCTTCTCTATGCGGTCGACTTCCTTATTTCCCAGTTCAGTCAGATATGTCAGCCCCGCCTTGTAGATTCGTTGATATATCTGGCATGTTCCCACAAATAGCGTGCATTGACTGTCTCTCAGATCAAGCATAAATTGTCTGTCGATTCCGGATGAATAGTATATTTGGTAGCCTCTAATGTATGCGAGATGCTCAAGAACCCTCTCAAAGGGCATGGAGAGAGGAAGATGGGAGAGAAAGGAGGGCTGGTGGTGGACAAACCCGGATGATTTGATTGACGGACTTCCTGGCAGGATAACATCGGCTGTAAAGGCTCTCGTCCCGGATCCTCTGCCAACAAAGATATTGGTCAAATGCTTTGCTGAGTTTCCTGGGCTTTGCTTACTTGCTAGGTTTTGTGAGCCAGTCCTAGACTGCCCCTTTTTGTCCCGTTCGTGAGATGAAGAAGGTTGGTGCTTGTTTGCTTGAATAATGTCTGATGTTTCGGAAGCATCTGCAAAGGGGTTAATGTATGGATCACATGGGGAGCGCATATGCCCAGGAAGGTAGCCCAGTGCAAGTGATGTCATGGCCGAAATAAACGCACCATAGGTGACCCCTAGTCCGACAATAGGCGGGGAAGGAGAACTAGACTTCTTATTAGATTTATACAGTATGCTGCAGATATCAGTGGCGCCGGCGCGCACGTCGTTCTGAGCAGTGTATTTAATGTGCTTCGTCTTCTGCATCAGGACATCTAGCGATATGATGTTCAGAGGCGTCTCGTCTTCTAGAAGATGCTTAAGTCCTGCCTGAGCTCCATTTAAGTTAGGGGTGTGCGCGGGGTCGTCGCTCTCGGGCTTATCGGAACAAGTTACCGCTGAGCTCTGCACTACAGCTGGTTCAGAATCTAGCAAACAATTTTCAATAGAGTTTGCATCCGATATGTGTGCACGCAGATACGATGAGATATCTATAAGATTCTTGTCGACAGTGTGTTCTAGGGTTCGTCGGTCGTGTTTGGTCGACGTTTGATTTAAGATGGCTGGAAAGGGTGCCATGCAAGCACTGAGCTTTCCGTTAGCAAAGCACGTAAAGACCCGTCCGTCACGTAAGTAGTAGGACCCAAGCCTATCCTCAAGGTGTGCCTGTGTCGAGACCTTACTGTTGCGAATTTCGTTTAGATATGATATACCGTCAATAGATAAGATATTAGAACTGGGGCTGGCAGGCGGATCCTCCAACTTGTCAACAACAGCAGAGGCCTCTTGGCAAGGGAGGGGAGAATTCCCTGTCCGCATCCCTTGTAACGGAGATGCTAGTGCGTGCGCGGAGGGAGATCCATCCGCAGAATTGAAAAACTCATCGTAGATCATCTGGTCTATGACGGACGTTGTGAGGAGTTCTTGTTCCAAGGTACCAAACACCATGGACGCAGCGTTGATCAAATTAGGGCTATCGGGAAGCGTATCCAACGATAATACAAGGCGGAGGTTGTCGCAGCGATGGGCAACGCCAAGAACCCGACTCACATACTGCTTCTGAGTTATGATGAGCTTCATTCCCGAGTGGAGGATGATGTATGCAAGCTTCTCATGGTTGCTCGTGGTTGGAACGGGAACAGTGACGGCGCCACGCGCCATAATGGCAAGATCTGAGATGAGCCAAAGGGGAGAGTTGGCTGCCATGAGCCCAACCATGTCTCCGCTCCTAATCCCCAGATACTGAAAGGCGGCAGTGACATGGTTGACCATGCGCTCTGCCTTAGCATAGGAAAGGTTGGTAAAGGGGGAAGGCGCGCTGACAGCCTGTGTGCTCTCTTGACAAGTGTTGTCCCTGGGCCTTTCAGGAAGTGTTGTTGCTAGTCCATTACGAAAAAACATAAATGGGAGGTCAGAAAAGCGCGAGCACGCATCCCTGAACATCTCTATGAGGGATTGCTGCATTTTGGGTAAATAGCCTGCAGAGACGTGTGCATGCGATGCAGAGAGTAGATTGGCTGATTGTGTGGCAAGATACTTTCTATTGCTGTTTGGAGTATATGATACAGTTAACATAAACAATTGCTCTATTTTTGATTTACTGATGTGACTGTTTATCTACTTGCTGGCACTATCAAGGATGGACGCCGCAGCCTCTTGTTCTGCAACCTGTGCCACTTGAAGTGCAGTCTTGCCGGCGTTGTTCCGTAGGTCTTGCTCAGAGAGCAGGAGGCGGACGCAGGAGATGTTGTTCTTTGATGCAGCCCACATAAGAGCACACCATCCATTCCAGTCTCGAAGCGTGGTCTCATGCTCCGACAGTAACTTCACCCCCATAATATAGTCCATTTCGGCTGCACGCATAAGGGCTGTCAGTCCCTCCTTTGTCTGGATCCCGGCCTCTCGCTCTACAAGGAGAGAAGCGCAGTCGATATTCCTATTGTTGATGGCCATCATTAAGGCCGTGCCACAACTTTGGGAAACGAACCCTGGCAGCAAGCATCCTGCTTGGTCTAGATATTGGGCCACCAGATCAGGCCTATTTTGCTCGGCAGCCTCCATAAGCTGTGTTTTGTGCTCTACAACGCAGCTTGGTCTGCGAGGTGAGAGAGTTAAAGAGGCGCCGTGGGTCTTAGCATACGTTAAGACTGCCTTACGGTAAACGGTGTTCCCTGTCCGCGAGAGGTAGTCCAGGATATTGGTCCCATCCGATGCCAAAACCATCCAAGTCTCATCTATGAGCAGATCGAAGACCCTACGGTTAGCAGTTTTAGCAGCAACCATCAGAGGGGTTAGTCCGTCCGCTGTGTGCCCTTTCCCTTCATGCGGAAGCAGAATCTTGACCATATTAACATCTTCCGCTCTCATAGCCTTGATTATAGCCATCTCTCCTCGCTCGTCATGTTGCTTGCATTCATGTGGAGCTAGTAGTTCAACTGCGTCTGCGTTGCTTTCCAGAACAGCGTACATAAGCGCAGTACGTCCGTGAATATCAGACCTTCGTGCCTGAAAAAGAAGGGTATTGATTGCGGTCGTAAATCCAGTGATTGCTGCTAACATAAGCGCAGTCTTCCCGGACTCGGAAGAAGAAGGCTCACAGCTAGCAGCTGCGTCAGCGAGCTCAGCTAGGAAAGTTTCCTCCCTTTTGTGGACAGCCCACATGAGGACTGTTTCGCCTCCTGTCTCGGGGATCTTAGCATTCGTTTCCTCGAGCGCCAGTATGCGTACACATTCGGCGCGATTATGACTGATGGCATACATAAGTGCACAATGGTTATCAGAACTGAAAACCCCTGTTTCTTGTGCTCCTGATTGGGAACCTGCTACTATCAAATAAGAAACAACGTTAGCACGGCCCGCCATGGCTGCATACATGAGTGCGGTCATTCCCTTCTCGTCCCGCAACTGGAGCTCGTGTGAAGCTAGAAGCTTGACGGCCTCCAGATGACCTCGCTCAGCAGCGAGCATAAGAGCAGTTCTACCATGCTTATTCTGAGATCTAGCGAAGCCAATGTGCAAGGAGACGGCACTTGTATCATTGAGCGCGGCGGCCTGCATCAGATCAGTGTCTCCATCAGTATACTCGTAAGGCTGGACTGGTGCAGCCAAGTGCGCTGTTGTTTTAAGATGGACCAGGCTTGATATCTTCTCTAGATGCTCACGCTTTTTGGTATCGTGCTCCAGACAACCTGACACTATTCTTATTAGCTGGCCGGAGAATCCTCTTTCAGATAGTAGCTTTGGTAGGTTGATAGCACCATCTGTTGTATACATCGAGCTCATAGCGGGCTTCATTGTCATGATCTTCAAGACCAAGGTTCCGATGTTCCACACAAGTCTTTCATCAAGGGAAGAACACGATATATGATTTGCTACCGGGGAGGGTACGTGGAACGGAAGTGAAAAATTATATTGCTCATGGTTGAGTAGAAGGTCCGACAAAGAATGGATTTGATAATCCATGTACTCACAAACAAGAACAGAAAGGGGTTTCCCCGGGTTCTCCCGTTCTAGGAGAAGGACGTTATCAGGTGTGAAGAAAAGGGGCTCGTTCAAAGCACCCAATTTGCGGAGAGAATCAATGGCCGTCACAATTCCAGCTAAGATCTCCCAGACCTCAGATTCGGAGAAGCTTGATCCCGTTGATCTGCGGCGAGATATTTCATCCGCTAGACTTCGGCCATGCTGCACCTCCTGGTAAATGAAGCCCTCCCGACCGTACGATACTACGCTTCCGTGCAGAGCGAGACAACTGCCCGGCAGTTTAGGCAAACGAGCGCCTATGTCTGCAAGCCTTTCAAGGTTCATGACCAAACGTCCGCGGGCCTCTAATGAAAGCTCAGCTACATCGTACTCCAGTATGTTAACGGGGCTTCCTGTCTTCAGTGAGACCGCAGAGTAGAGTCTACGGGTAATGACCTCTGGACCGTGGATCTGTACTCCCTGTAATTCACTACTAAGCTGAACGTTAGTATACTTTTCCGCGATGACACCCAGGTGCATTTTAAAATTGAAACGATAACGGTGTGCAGTGTTGACATACCACCGGTAGCTTTGCCGTACCGTTAGACCGGCGGGGCTTGCTGAGGCTCGATTGTCCTCCTTGGCTCGGAGCGGCCACCGTCATCGGGACTGTCTTTGGCATGAATCACCAACAGTGCTCCAAAAACAATGCTCCAGATCCACGGAACAAATAGCCACATGAGAAAGAACTGGATTGCAGCAATGATAAGTAGGTTACAGCGGTTTCTGTGGGCAGAACTCAGACATGCTGAAAGTGCTGTCCCTAGCCCCGAGACTATTATGTTGCAGATGAGAAGCAGCACGGCGACGCAGATGGTGGTCCTTGGGGTGTGTCCTTGGAAGATGTATGTCCAGAGGGGAATCTGCTCATCGTCGAGGGACTTGGCGGGGGCTCCCTCGGCAGGCGGGTGTTGCGTAGGTTGCGCGTCAGGCATTTTTATTCTCCATGGTACAAAGCTTCGAGGGATGCGAATTGTCTGAAGGCGGGTTTATCTACCTTAGTAATCTTTAGTTCTTTGTAAAAATAAATGACGGGGTCAAGGGACGAAGCGAAGAAGGCCTCTGGGCCTCCCTGATTACCAGAGAGGCAGATACACCGGGGAGAGAGGGAGAAGGAGTGTGTATAGACATCCTGTTTGTGTGGATCAATGACGTGGATGCACTTCGTCTATTTGAAAGTTTTATTCCAACGCTACCAGTGGCCAGCTCTTCTCTGATATTGCTTCTCCCAATGGATATATCTATATGTTGTGATAATACCGCCATAATCTTTGCGTCCTGTATGGCTGAGACGAACTCCTTTGTCAGCAGCCGACTTTCCCTTGCAGCCAGAAGCGATATTGATTTAATATCACGACGATCCAGTGCAAATGCCAATGCACAATCGCCATCTAAGTTTAGACGCCCGGCTTCATCACATAAAAGCGCTGCGCTTGTGGACTGAGAGTGCTTTGTTGCCCACATGAGAGCAGTATTTCCACTGCGATCAGACATTCCTTTCTGCGTCGAATAGTAGAGGCTTGCAAGGGGCAGGTTTCCCATTCCCGCGGCAACCATGAGGGGCGTCAGTCCGTTCTTATCGCAAATAGTCGTACTGACGCCTGCTGTTTGCTGCACCAGTATTCTGCATATGTCCTCACGCTGTGTGCAAGTGGCGATGAGCAACGGGCTTGGAAAGTCAAATGCCCAGATCCCGCTGCTCCATTTTCCGACAAACGATATGGAGTGCTCAAGAGGAGCCAGCATAGCAACCATGTTAACAATTCCCTTTTCGATGGCAATGATCAGTGCTGTCCTGCCCGTGGGATCTGTGGCTCCGGCCTCGTGAAGAAGCTCCTCTGCCAATGCTTGGTCGTTATTCATCACAGCCTTGTGCAATTCTGTTACTCCACTTTCGGACCTTATCGCCGGTTTTATCAGTGACGCGATTTCGGAAAGTCCCAGCTCTGTTGCCAGTTTCCAAGGCAGAGTCTCTCCAACAGTTATGCTAGCCTCTATCCGGAGCAACTTAATTACGTCTATATCTCCCAGCTTTATGGCGAGTGTTAGAGCGGAATACATTCCACGGTAGACAGCTTGGCAGAAACAGATGTTTTCCTTGACCAGCTCCAAGTCTTTGTTCACAACAGCAGCCATCAAGGGCGTGAAGCCTCTACGTGATATTCTTTCCAACTCTTCCTTGCAGCATAGTAAAGCTGCTGCAGCTCTATATTCGTCTTTATCCAGAGCATAGTCTGTTGCTACCAGGCCTGCTAAATCCTGCAATCCGCCCTCTGTGTCCATTAGCAAGTTAATCGCATCTATGTTTCCTGCTGCTGCAGCCAGCATTAGGGCCGTTTGGCCTTGAGCATTTCTTCTGCGCGCAAGGTGCATGCACATTCGCATACCTTCCAGGTTGCCATTGATGGCCTCGACGTGCAGCTGTGTGTGTCCGTCTTCGTCTTCGAACGCTGGGTGAAGGACGTATTGCTTGAGTAGGATAGTGGCCTCTTCTAATTGCTCAGCTGCCTTTATAAATCTTGACGGGTTAGGGTGTCTATGAATGAGCTGTCTGATAAGCTCGGTGTTTTTGTCCGCACTTACTTTGGAGGGACGAAGGAGTGCTTTGAAAAGCGCTAAGTCACCGTCCCAGTCGCTAGCCATAGATGGCTCTAGAAGTGCTAAGCTCAGGAGTCCATTTGAATAACAGGGAAACTCATGCCGCAAAGTTAGGGTAGCCCCCTCGAGAAAATCGTTGTCCAAAGCAATGTCGGTTGCTAGTTCTCCTGCAGAACTGACAAGGCAAGACTCGAGCGGAGCAAGGACTGCAACAATGTGCTTGTATTTATATTTCATAGCATACATCAGTGCGGTCCAGCCTGTATAATCCTGTTGACGGGCCTCTAAAAGGAATTTAATCGCTCCACTTATATCGCCTGAGATGGTGGCAATCATTAGATTAGTATATCCACAGGAAAGAAGAGCCTTTGTCTCAAATGGAGAGATAAGCCGGAACGTCTCAAGGTGGCCTTCTTTCAAAGCAAGCATCGAGGCGCAACATCCATACTTTTCAGTATTCTCAGTGCTTACAATCCCCCCTTCTAGTGTCAGCAAATCTTGGTCAATATCATTGAGTCCAAAGCTTGCCGCCAGCATCAGTGCAGTGTGACCATCATTGTTCTTCACTCCGTGGCAATGTAAAACCGCGAGAAGGTCGGCTCTTTTCCGAGTCATGCTACCATTTTGTGCACAGAATCGTATATATGTATGCAGTGGAGTCTCTCCCTTGGAGTCAACGTCGTACGTCGGTCGCAAGATCATGCAAAGATCGGGGCTCTGCACCTTGTACGCCAAATACCATGCAGTCACCCCATCTTCTGTGATGAGATCCCGCTCCATCAGCAGAAGCTTGACACAGTCTTCGTCCCCAGTATTGACCGCATACATTAGGGCAGTCCACCCCTTGCTGTCGCGAGCGTTAGCTTGGTTGATATAAAGCCATACCAACCCGGGGCGTTTTTCGGCGGCAGCAATCATCAACTGCGTCATATCAGGGGGATACTTCTCTGCATTGGGAACAGCCAACTCATATTCAGCAATAGCCTCTGCAATATTGAGGGACCCACTTAGGACAGCAAAATCAATTGCACTGAGACAACGGTTTCCTGTGGTGACTGCGAGTCCAGCCTCTAGTGATGCTAGTAGCACCGCACACTCCAGACTTCCGTGCATCGATGCGTGCATCAAGGCCGTGAATCCATCATTATCCACCAGGCCTACTTGTCCTAGGTGGCAGAACACCATAAAAGGATCGCCGTTCAATGCCCCGATCATCAGGTTAGTCCTTCCACACTTGTCCGGCGGTGATGTAACTACGTGCTCAGGGAGCAGAAGGTGCTTTGCCAGCTCAAGATTTCCCATGTGGAACGCTATCTCAGCAGCAGAAATGCCTGGAGCAAGGAGTCGGGACGGGATATCCTTGGAACTGCTTGGCGTTAACTTCTCTGCAGGAGCCCCAGAGAGAACGCTTTTTTCATACTCTAACAGCAGCAGAGCCATCTCCTCTCGTCCATGAAGGCAGCTCTGATGAAGCGCCGTGTGTCCATTATGGTCTCTTTCTCCGGCCTCGTAGTTTCTGAGGAGGCAAACAATTTCTTTGTGTTTGAGTGCAGCTGCAAGCATAAGGGCGGTATAATCGTCATTATTTTTCTTTCTGGCCAGGGAGAGGAACAACCTAGTGCCCACTGTGTCGCCTCCCATGACAGCGCGGTGCAGCTGAGTGTTTCCATCAGAATCCACGACGGGGCTCTGCTCTAGGACGGTGAGAGCATCCATAAAGCCACTGTCTCGAGCCAGCTGCCACGGGGTGATACCAGAAGAAATGCAAATATCTTTTTCTGTCGAGAGAAGCTTAACACAGGTAAGGCTTTTGGAGGCTATTGCATACGCCAAGGCAGTGTTGCCAAGTGTGTCTACCCGTCCAGCTTGCCCTAAGTTTAGGTAGACACCAATAATGTCGTTATTACGCACGCTCTCAACTAGCGTGTCAGGAGCCTTGGGGATATCTCCGCTGTACGATAACAGTAGACGAATGATAGAGTTCGGATAGGTGCGTGATATTCCAATAGATACTGGCAGTTCTCCGGCTGCATTTTTGACAGCTCCCTCTTGTGGAGCGAGTATCCTTATAATTTGTGCTAGTACGAACTCCTCAAAGGCAGCATATGAGCAAGAGGAGTCAGTCCCAGGCTTCGGGGTTTGAAACGTCGATCTCATCATTGCATAATGGAGCGCAGTATTTCCTGTAATCGAATGTACCTCTCCACACTCAAACGGGGCCAGAATTCTTACTACAGCAAGAGAAAGCCTCTTAGCCGCCATCATCAAGGCCGTGTTGCCGGTCTCATTGGTGCTTTTAGCAAACACTGCACCCAGTTCCTGTACCACAGCGAGATTATCCGTTTCAACAGCTCTGAAGAAGTCAGCCTGGGTAGATGATATGGAACATATGCTCTGCGTGTGTGGGTTCTCGTCCATGGAAGAAAACTCAGCCACAAGCCTATCTTGAAATGTGCTAAGGGACTGGTTATTAGTATACATTAGTAAGCACTGAATTAAGCTTGCTATACGCGAGCTGCATGACAGTCTACTACTGAGGTCAGAGGCTGCCAATTCAGCGCTCAGACATGGATATTCTCCAGCGTACGATCTATAAATCGCTGCACCAAGTCCACGGACAGCAGGCACGACGGAGGATAAATTGTGGTCCTCCTCTGGCACCAAGAGGAGTTCAATGTCTCCAAGAAATGGGATTTCCCCTGCCCTGTAGAAGACATTACTGCATTGAATCGTGGATAAATAAAGCCCAGCCGATGACAAACGCTCAATGGCTAGCAGAATAGAAAACGCCACGTTGGCTACATCCAAGTCTGAGATCAAATTCTTTAGGACACCGCCCGAATGACATATGTTTTCGAGCGTGAGATGGTCACTTTCCAGTGCATAGAGTCTGATCACGTCTCCTTGAAACACGATCTTTCGTAACTTTAAAACATCACATTCCAGCGTGTTTCGTGCTGCGTTGAGTCGATCGAGGGCGCGTCTCAGGATGGGACTGACTTGAGCTTCTTGGTGAGCTGCTGCCGCGTTTTCTTTTGGGGGCGCCAACTCTTCTGATTTGCTCATTAAATCCTGATTTTCAGTTTGTGTTCGCATTTACTCTAGACTAGTACATTGGAACTGGGAATTGGTGGATCGAGCGAACGTGGTGGCCGTCTGAATCGGGGGAATTTGTTGTGCTCTGCGTGGAGGGAGTGTCCGGTGTGGGTAGATCGCCCGATGCCCTCATAGCCGCAAGCCGTCGAAGCTGGTCTTCTACCTGGTGCATCTTGGAGTGTGATATTAGCTGTGCACCATAAAATAGGGCCCAGCAATAGGGGAAGATAAGGGGTGCGCCAAAGAACTGTAGAAGGCCTATGGAGAGTATTGTCCGTCGGTTGGCCTTGGCCGACGGGGCTATCGCCGAAAACATCGTCCCAATCCCTGGGAGCACTATGTTGCAGAATAGGATCGTCACAGCTGCGCCAATGGGAAGAACCGGGGTTGCTCCCGCTTTGACATATGAGACAAAGGACATGGGCTCGCACTCCTTGCACAGGGGCCCTTTTGTTACTGGCTTATCATGTGCAAGAGATATCGTTTCGTCGCTCAGACACACAGGAGAGCTCATTTTTGTTCTAGAGGTACTAACCAACTAATGATTTGTGAATGGCTTGTTAGTAGAGCTAGTATCTTCACAGCTCACACCCAGAAAGCATGCCAGCTTTTGCCATACTTGTCAAGTTCCTTTCAGCCCATTTAGCGCACGGTGCACGCGCTGAAAAAAATGTTCTTCGATATTCTCTTTGTAAATACAAGCACAGGGATACTTCAGTATCACCACCGAGTCAACACGTTCTTTACTGATTCCCCAATGAAGCCCCATAGTCTGTGCATGATTCTCAGGTCTATAACCCAAGCATCCATGGAAGTCTTTAAGCAAGCTCTTCTGTACATGGAGCTCAGCTCTGCCGCCATATCGATTTATGATGCCCAGCCAATTACCTGCATTGTTATTCATGAAATCTTCGACAGAGATTGCTACGGCTCCATACTCTCTGAGGCGTTTGTCAGTCTCTATAAGAACGTAATACAGAATTCGTTTACGCGGACGCAGCATATGAACCCCCCGATAGCCCAATCGCATGTCACTTCAAAATTATTAGAATATATGCAGTTAGCCCTCTCGATTGTCCTGGACAGAATTTGCTGCATGAAGTATACTGCGTCGTGCTATGTTATGATTCTTGACCACCCTTATTCTCCCGTCTTTCCGCCTGGAATGATCATGGGGAGGACTAAGCACCTTCCTCCCAGGCCAAACTTCGCTGAACTGAACTCGAAAGCAATAGAAACCAATATCAGCAACCTCATTGATCAAATTAACGAAGCGCTAGAGGTCATCTTTGCCTCGTCGGACGGTGGATCCGTAGCAGATAACCCTAACAATAAGCTCAGCTCCCGTCTTTCTACCTTCGAATTATGCTACGACATGTCCTTCCGGATTCGCGTCACTAACGTTTTCCCCGGTGCATACGTTGTGCTCATGCAGAATAAGCGAACGCGGCAATACAGTTCTCTGCACCAGGACAATGCAACAATGTCTATCATGACTCAGGAATCTGCGCTAGAGCTATCTGCGCAGGCATCAACCCTCACTGCAACCCCCTTTCACGGGAAGTCCGGCACCGCTAAGTTCGAGAAAAACAAGTTCATGGTGAGCCAGTTGACGCATGCTATCGCCCGCATCTTTGACAGCGCACATCAGATACGGCAACGGAATAGCACCTAGCAACACCCACCCGATCACACACGTCTTACTTACGGATCTTCATAGCGGGTATATTAGCATCGTAGTCCAGAGCATGGGTCAAGTTCCTGTGTCTGTTGTACATTTGTTTAAAGTTGTAGCGCCTATTTCTCGGAGATCCACGTGGGGTATGATCCGTATTTCTGCTCATCAATGCATTCCCAATTAGTGCCAACAGCAGGAATGCCCGTATCTTACGCAACGTCTTTCGTGTTTTGGTGTCAAGCTTCAAGGTGCGAAGAATTTGATCTCGCTGGACAAAGGCGTCCTGTACTTCTACGTCCTCAGTTTCATCCACAAACTCGTCAAGGCTTCGTCTTTCTTCTCTGGCGCCTATAGCTGCGCTCAATCGCTCAGTGACATGTCTTGATCTGCTTATGGACCCACGTCTCGAACGTGGAAATAGGGGGTCCTGGTCTGAGAGAACTGATGTTTCTCTCCGCGTATCGGTGTAGTCAGAGTATTGGGCATCAATGCTTCCTCTTATCTGCATATCCAATGATAGCCTGTTCATGGAGTCTATCGAGGCCCTGGTAGCAGAGCTCCGGCGCTCAAGTATCGAATTAAGGCGATGTTTGCGTTGATCCGGCGTCAAGGCCCGCATTCTATCTGCGACACTTGACGATTGAGACACCGAAGTGCTTTCTGTCATCCTATTTGCGAGGTTTTTTTGTGCAATGAGCATTCCGTTGATATTCTTTGTTTTGGAGTCCAGCGACGAGATTCTCACGGGGTAAAGACTACTCTCACCAGCTTGTCCCAGTGGTGATGAGCTCTGCTCAATGATGGATAGACGCATACTCTCAGGGGGTTCATGTGGTACACCCTTGGTTCCGGGAGACGGCAGTGGAGGCGTCAGGGCCGCCTTAGCTACTCGAGAGGCTGCAGGAGACGAACCAGGGGTACTGCTGAGACTGAAGGTCGAGGGAAGAAGTAGTTCCTGTGCTGCTGTGTGTGCCACTCGCATTTCTAGTGAGTGTCGTGGCTGAGAGATAACATTATTGTTCACCATTTCCTCGAGTAGCGATGTATTTTTCTTTCGTGATATTTTTGTGTTAGTATTCGTGCCTGAAGTACTGAAAATATTCAAGGTGGGGATTCGCACACCCTTCTTTTGTTGTTGAGATAAGGACGCCGTGGTTCCTATAGGGGTCTTTGGATTGGCTTTGGCTAGTACAGTGATTGGTTGCTGACTCACGATGCTGGCAGTAGACTCTTCAGAATCTATGTTCTTATTAGGCACTGGAGACATGGGTATTTGCTGATGGGGCCGCGTAAGTGAGGCTTTCCGTTGATGCGCCCCCGCTTCTTTTGGGACTTTTTGTTGTTTGGTGGTAGGCCGCTTTTTAGATGTCTTTGCAGTCCGCTTTGTCCTTTCTCCCTCTCGATGAACCTGAGTATTTTTCCCTTGCTGTTGCTTGACCGAGGGTCGCTTTTGAATGGAGCTGATGGTACGCTTAACAAGACTATCTGCGCTTTTTGATTGTTGTGTCAGCTGCCTACCTTGGGTTAACGACTCCATGCTTGATGGAGTAGGAGTCAAGAGAAGGGTATCCATGGACTTTGATGAAACTATTTGGAAGCCTTCTGTGCTGCTATCGCTATTGTCTTCAGGCTTTTCGCAAACAGGTGTATCATCATCGACGATTTTATCACTCTGGAGAGGCTCAGGTTGTACATCGTGAGATTGCTGAGACGAAATATTAGATTGACTCTGGTATTCTGTAACATGTGATGGAGGACCAGGCTGGACTGAATAGTATTTTTCTGCTGCTGTCTTAATATGTTGGGCAGCATAGTTAAATGCCAAGAGCTCGGGATCTAAGTTATCTGCTGCACTGGATCTTAATTGGAAGGCATCATCTAGAGGGTTTCCACTGCACCCGGCAATAGTGGAAAGGAGCATCTGAGACGCGCCCATTTGAGAGTCAGGCTCATCCGTGGCATACTTGGCTGGACTAGACTTTCTCTTGGGCGATTCAAAGGCTCTTGCTAGTGAATCTGCAAACGCCTCTGTCCTTCCCCTTTTAGTAACGTAAGTCATGGATGCAGGGGATCTAATCCTGTTGGCATTAACGTCAAAGCATTGGGGTGTCATTTGCGAGGTAGCGCCTGCTTTAACACCTCTCTCGGCTTTGGAGGTGAAAGTATTGCTCGACGAACGGTGATACGGCTTGCTGCGTATAGGAGACAACGCCTTAGCACTCTCTGCAACTACCGCGTTCTGAAATATAGCATTCGCGTTCCCATCGTTGATGAACGAGACAACATCGTGGTTAGTTATATTATTAACAATGTGGTCCAGCTGGTCGAGCCGACGCACCGGATTGCACACCAGTGCACGATCCTCGCTGGCCATTTCTTGTGCAGCGTAATAATCGCAGTATTCTCCGTGCTGAGACAGGTCGCGCCGAACCTCCTCTTTAGCCTCGACCAGGTGCCCAATGAGGGACCTGTTTATTTCTACGTGGTCAAGCACGGCCTTCTGTGCCATATTTTGGTGTAGATTGATCAGCTGCTTGTTTGAAGACGCAGCTGAACGTAGCGGAACACGAGAGGCGTATGTATTATAAAGCTGAACGGAAGTGCGGGAAGGAGAACCCTCGGAGCTTTGCTTTGTGTTGTAATCATAGAGTCTGGACTGGTGCCTGATTTTGTAAGGCAATGCTGTCTGGATGTTTCGTGCTGCCGCATTAGGAGACCAGACAATCGCTCCACCGATTTCTTCAGGCGGAAAGATCCGCTGGAACGCATCGATACACGGCTCGGAACGCCCGACCCGCTGGACTATACTGGCAGATGCACGCTGCAACGCCTTAGGAGTGAGGGCCCCGTTGTCGAGGCATTGCTTTGTGCGCTCTAGCTGCTTGTGAGCAACAGTTAATGCTGCAAGGGTTTTCTCGGCCGTGCTCTTGGAGTTCACCGTGATGTTGTGGGACGTGTGGATCAGTTGGTTGGAGCGGTTCAACAGGCCTTTTGTGGCGATAACCACCTCATTGATGGCCTGATTCCTCTCACCGATAGCTGACTGGTGCCTGTTCCCCCACGCCTTGGCGGAAGAATAGGACCCCAGTTTCATTAGAAAAATAAATGGAACCCACCGTTAAGAAATGCACCTCTTGCACTTGCGAACCCGTCTCTGCGCCTGCGCATGAGCAACAGAAGCTTTTGGAAAACACATCTGCACCCTCAGCCTCTGCTACATTTAAGGCAGTTTCCAAGCGCCTTGTTAGAAACGTAGGCAGAGCCATCTCCACCTACAAACTTATTGAACAGGGCGATCGTGTTGCACTGGCCCTCTCGGGAGGAAAGGACAGCTGGACACTTCTCCACGTCCTCCTTGATATAGCAAAACGCTCCCCAGTTAAGTTCACTGTTATCCCTGTGACGGTGGAGACAGGATATCCAGGGTTTGAAGCCAATGTCGCAAAGCTCACGAAGTACATTGAGGAGAACCTCGGCATAAAGCACGTGGTCATAAAGGAGACCTTCCCGGAGATAATCGACGGGAACTTACGCCAAGGAACAAGCAACTGCTCGTTCTGCGCCCGCTTACGAAGAGGAACCCTCTACACGCATTGCCAAAAACTGGGGATTAATAAGCTCGCCCTAGGTCACCATAGGGAGGACGTTAACGAGTCACTTTTGATGTCTCTTTTCTTCAACGGAAAACTCTGGACGCAAGGCCCGATAATTCATAACTCAGAGAAGAACGTTACGCTAATTCGCCCCATGGTATTCTGCGCAGAAGAGGACACTATTGCATATGCGCGCCATAGTACGTTTCCAATAGTTACATGCAACTGTCCCCACGAGGGAAACAAAGAACATCGGCGGTACAAGATCAAGCAGACGATTCTTACCATGCGCCAGTGGATTCCAGATATCCAGCGCAGCATCTTGACGGGGGCCACAGAGCTATTCCAATTCATGCAATATACAGACAAGGGCAAGGAGCGAAATAACAGAGCAGAGGACGATGGTGAGCTAATGTAAACTGCAAGCATGCGCTCTGTCGGTGAGTAAAGGAGTAACAGGGGCTATCTCCTTTGTATCAATCTGATAAAGGGTCAGTTTCTTAGTTATGGTTTCCTTAGTTGCAGTCAGAGGACGCGATAGAAGCTTCTCGTAGTTTAGTTGTGCAGGAGTGAAGGGGTGCAGACGAGGTGCAGTGCACTGGGCGTATCCTCGGTAGACGCGGCCCACATCTCTGTCTATGATGGCTTCTTTGTAGAATCTGCGGCAGGCTTTCCGATTAGAGACCGTCTTATCCCCAGCAACCGCTCGTTGTCGAGGGCCCCTATCATGTTTATCTGGTGGAGGATTTGGTGGAAGCTTTTCTAAGGTATTAGTGATACGTTTATCAGAATCGTGCATGAGACCTCGTACTAGAGCCCCATTGGCATCACCGTCGTGCTCAGCAAAAACGTTTGTTGGTGCCTCTTGCAAAGATACTGGGTCTAGATTCTGACACCCGTGTGGATCTTCAAATAATTGTTTGCAACCATCACTGACAGGAATATTCAGCGTGGCCTCGTCATCCTTTGCTTCCCTTGTGACTTCGTCGCCAGTCTGTAGCACCGTTACGGGCTCAACAAGATGATTGTGAACTGTCGGTCTATCAGTACTAGTAAGACATCCATGGTCATCTAGAATTACTTGGGAACTACCAGTATCTATCCTCGAAGCAGTTCTAGCAGAAACGGGGGGTCTGGCTGGTTCCTTGGAACGGGTACAGGATGGAGCGCAAGAAAGTGGACGGGATATGCCAAAGCTCGCGCAGCGCTGCCTGTTAAGCCCCTCCTTGAGAAGTTTGGTCAGGTGCGAATCGTAGGCTGTGGTATTTAATGCCGCACTTTTAGCAGCATGATTGCGTTGCGGAGGAGCCCGAAGTTTCGGGGTGTAGGCCTGGAGGTACGCGATGTAGTCCAGCATCATGTTAGAGTGCGGACAAGAAGGCAGTGCAGTCTCGCTCCTGCGAAGATTAGGTAACGGGGTTGTTAATAGTCTATTTGGAGTGACATCCAGAGCTTGCTTCGATATGCCGATCATTGGATTATGCGTTGGTGTGCTTATCACAACCTCTGTAAGATTCTGCGCTAGTGACAAATGCGGCCCTTCATGTTGAGCTTCTTCAAAACGGTCAGTCGGGAGCGATTCTTCCAAAGGAGAAGAAGATGGGGTGTAGAAAAACGCTTTGACAGCCTTAAGGTTTCTGTCGGCTTCAATTGTGGCATCCTGTGGGCTGGTAATCTCATTAGTTAGCTCTCTGAAATCAGGGGGTTCAAATCCGTCAGGGGCGCTGGAATCTGTGTCGGGGTGAAGTCCTCGTACCTTATGTATTACAGTATCCCCATCCGAGTACTTAATTCGTTTGTACAGCTCCATGTTCAGGCCTCGCTTCACCCTATCGATTCCATATATTCGTCTGATCTCGGCATCCTTTCGGAGATCGTTAAACAACTTTGTAACGCAATTTTTCTGATCAGGAGTCACTAGACGCTGCGCATATGGAGATAATGCAGAGTCATGAGAGGTGTTGTGAAAGATCTGCTTTATGTCTTTCACGTCCTCTTCTGTGAGCGCATTAGTGCGCGCAGAAACGGCGTTGCACATTGTAGAAATTTGGTTCTCCTTGGTGGGGATCTTCATCGGCGCGTATACACTCCGCACGATTCGTGATGAAGCATGTGGCGTTTGGCACTCAATGCGAGTATCAACCGGTGAAGTACCACTCAGATCCTCAGGAAAAATTCGAATATCACTCGGGACGTATGGAGAAGGGATATCCTTCACACTTCGAATGATGTTCTCTCTCTCAATGGTCATTGGAGTGTTGTATAGTAGCCTTAGATGTGCAGGAGAATGCAGTGGCAGCATTCCAAAAGCAGGCGCAGTACGTGGCCTAAAAGAAAGTAGATCAGGGCGCAGAGGCTCAGTGCGAGACACATAAGCAGAGGCAGACCTCAGCTTGTAACAGCGTAGCTTAGGAAGATCCGAGCTTCGCCTTGATACAGTGGACGAAGCGGCCTTATTACGTAACCGTTGCAACTCTGTCTTTGTACCAGATGCCGATGCTTTTATGAATGCTCGCAGCTGTGGCGGATAGCGGGATATACCCAAATTGATTGGAGGTGGCGGTTTTGAAGGCACAACGGCCCCACAAGCATCTGTTTGAGAAGCTACATGTTGGAACTCACTAGGCATAGGGACACGGAGAACTGAAGGTGCTGGTAAATCTGTAGGCATCGGCTGCGCAGCATTGTGAAAGGGAATCGGTTCAATGGCCACTAGTGAATGAACAATAAGACCAGCAAGTTTAGTTAGGTCAGGCATCCAATAGTAATTTTGTGCTCCTCGCTCCTGAAGCCTGGACGCCTTTGAACCTACCTGCAGCTGTGTCTGGGAACAAAGGGCAGGAGGGCTAGATAGAGTAAACCGCTTTGGAATGCGGCCTCGGAATGAGGGGTTGGGCCGTATGTGAGTAAAGCTAGACTGTAGAAAAGCTCTAGGCTGGTGCATCTTTTCCTCCTGAGAAGGGCTGGAAAGGCCATGCTGCGAGGTAAGCAACTTAGATGGCGGAATACTGGGTTTTATGGCAAGAGGCGGAGACACGCACACGTATGACGTCCTCGAGCTTTTCTGGTCAATGTGCATAGGTGGTGGGGTAGCAGTTGGCACTCGGGAAACTACAGGCGAGATGGGAGCATCGTAGGAGGGCCGTGCATCGATAGGTCGATCTGTGAAATGGTAAGATGTGTCTGACGATGTATCTGTTGGTAGATCCGTTGTCAATAGCGGGAGTGAGATCGATGACAGATGAACAGATTCAGAGTTCTCGCGAGACTGTGAAGCCGTATCCTCAGAAGTATAGTACTGCAGTGGGTGGATAACAAAAGAATCATTTCCAGACTCTGGAAGTAGCCTCCTTTCGAAGGAAAGGATATTTCCACAAATAGTCTCACTCTGCGTTGGATTAGATTGAGAAAACGCATCTTCAAGGTCCTTCACCTGGGGAGACAAGTGAGACCCGCACTTATCTGACGAAGTATATTGTGGCATATTGGCACAGGGGCTTCCCGCTTGCGAATTATTCTCCTCGCAACAACTGGGAGAGGCAGTGCCAGGAAGCATAGATGCATGTTCCACTTTAGTTGGCTGCTTAAAGGATTGAGACTTCTTGCCCTCAGCAGTCACGAAAGGTTCATGAGAAAACTCTGCTTCCGTGCCCTGGCCAGGGTCTGGCCAAGAATTAGCTGTGTCAGTATGCATTTCTTCTTGTGACTCGAGTACGTCATGCATATTCTGCGAGCCCAAGCTGCCAGCTATGACCAACGGCTGCTTAAGTTGTAACGCAAAAGCGCCTTCTTGTTCCACGCCAGTAGTTGCATGGAGCATGCTCCTCATAGATCTCTCTGTTCTTTTGACAAGGTTAACATTCTTCAGGGTGTAAAGAGCATTCTTGTGGGCCTCTCGATTACGAGCCTCCTTGTGATGAAAACGGGAACTCTTTGGTTGCGGAGTTATGGTTGAGACTTCTTGCTTCGAGCCATCTGTCGACTTTTCGCAAATCTCGGGAGGCTTATTGGCATGTGTCAAAATGGGTGGGGGATGTCCCAAAGTCGCCTGACGAACCGGCTCAGCCACAGAAAGCATGCCCCCTCTCCGCTTTTCCCTCCACTGACTAACGGAGTGTAAAACATTGTACTTGGTTGTGCTGTAGCCCTCATTACAGTACATCACGCGAGGTAACGTGACTGTCCGCCGAGAGTGGTTAGAGATCAAAACGCGGGGCTTCCTTGTGTCCATGTTCTTGTCATCCGAATAGATGTGTTCATTGAGGACTATTTGGGAGGGCATGACATAGCGTTTCTGGCCACTGGTTCGGAGCCCAAGAAGATCTATGGAGTCATCGCCCTTAACAGGCCGCAACCTTAGAAGCTGCTCTCTTTCTGGCTCAGTATGGACGACGATGCCTGTGTCTCTAGCGGAAAAGCTTCTATTGGGTCGCTCTGAAAGTGGCCTCTTGCGTTCTGCCCTTCTGATAATCATGGACGCCGTGTATGGGCATAGCAATGGCTCAGACGGCCTCCCTGAAAAGCTAGATGATTCACAAAGGGCCGCTTTAGACAGAGAAGAGACAGGGCGGTCTGGATTTGTTTTTGTTCTGGGCAGACTTACTGTCCGATGCACATGCTATCGGCCTCTACATGTCTCAATGACAGAGTTTAGAGACCTACAAAAGAGTCTTCTAGACGGTGGTGAGGGGAAGAAACTCTTGCAAATGCAACCCACAAGTGGCCGTGAAAGCAGAGAGGCACCCTCATTATAATCCCATCACAAGCGCGGAGTTAGCGCATCACCCCTGTGCCCAGCTGACAGCAGATAGCGCGCACAAACCCTGCCTAAAAACAGTAACAGTTTATTCACGATACAGCCCAACATCATTGGGCATCCTCCGGAATGTTTCCGTCATGAGGGCGCCTGAACATCAGAATATTTGGTTCTGGCTTATGGTAATCATAGTGCACCCAGCCTTGCGACATCTGAATGCCTAGGCCTCGCCACTCCTGCTCCGACAACAAGTGGTCAAAGTTATATTTTTTCACCATCTCTTCTGGCATGATAACGTGTCGGTACTCGTATACGTCGTCGTAGTACTTGCGCGAGTAATAAAAACCGTTGTGAGCCGTACCTGACATTTGATTTTTGACCTTCAGAATTTCTGTGGAGAAACTAGTGGAACAAGGCTGTATATGCGCTCAAGGAAGGCGATTTCTTGTCATAGAGGCATGCTATGGCTCGTTTCCACTGAGAAGTCTCCTCGATAAAGGCTGCATTCTGACCCTCATCTAACCCACTATTTTCACTAGCCTCTTCGCTTTCTTCGCTTTCCTGATTAGACTTTTTGACTGCTAGTAGCTCATCTATTTTACTGATGAGTCTGTCTGCGCGTTCCTTGTACTCTGCAAGATATTGTCCTGTGGGGAGGTTCTTAGATCCGTGATCAGAGTATCTCATGTGGGCCAGAATTAGGATTGCTTTTCTGATGCTTGCTACCAGCTCCCGTGAAGGTCTAACTGCTGATTGCGGTAGATCCACGATTGCGTCCACGATAAGCATTATCTTCTTATTAACTCCTGCCCTACTCAGCTCTGTTGTAAAGGAGTCGCTGAGTCTATCATTGCTCTTAAAAAGGGAACATATGTATGTGAAGACGGTGGCGTACGGTTGGAGAACAAACGGCTCCTCTTCCGGAATTGAAAGTAAGATAGACAAGGCATCACAGAAGAGGTTCATCTTAATTATGTTTTTGTAATTCTCATACAGGACAGCAAGGTAGGCGATGATGTCTCCTGCTCTTCTCATCCGCTCGGTGTCACTCATGATTCTGGTCAGCGAGATAACGAACGGCTTAAGAAACAAGTCTGATGCCAGCAGGGCGATGCAGCATCTTTGAGGATCGGATGGAGACAGGGAAGAGAAAAGTATGCTGGGCTGCAGGATGGCTGTGTACGAAAAGAGGCTCCGCAGCTGCTCGATTGTTTGAAGTGTGAAAGGTGTCTGAATCGCGAATGTCAAAATCACATAGATGTCATGGTAGCTTGTGAACTCTCTCTGCTTGCGGACGTTTAGGATTTTTGTGAGCAAGTCGACGGGGTTCTTGGATATTTCGGCGCAGGTAGGAGCCTTTGTCTGATTGGTCAGTTCGAAGAAATTCCCGTTATAGAAATCGCTCAGCTGTGCAGTGTCCTTTGGAAGCGCTACCCTGGGCAGAGAAAAGAGGTACTGCTCCAAAGCCGTTTTGATCTCAGGGGATATGTTGCTGAGCCAGGAAATAGGGAAGCGGGGGGCATAGCCTGCCATTACCGACTGCTTCGTCAGTTTGCGCTTCTTCTTTGGCGCAGATTCCTCGTTGGTAGGGTCTGCGGTGTTCTGCTCAAGGAAGGACTGTTTGCCGCGTGGCTCTAAAAATAAGGTGCCGTTCACGTCGTAGCCACTCACCAATATGGTTTTCTGCCAGAGGGGCGCGCCATCATGAACGTAGCCGGCGGGAAGCTCAGCGGGTGGAAAGTAAAGGGCCTGCATGCTGTAAAATACTAATGCCCAGTATAATTTTATGCAATCTGAAAAGAAGGCAGGGACAGATGAGTTGGCACGCAGGAGAGGCTTTGGAGCGGCGCGAGTCGCACAAGCTACGCGAGCCCAGGACCGCCGAAGAGGGAGAAGACATCGAAGAAACCATTGTGGAGGCGACGCGGGTAGCGCAGGCACTCGAGGCCTTGTCTCAGCGGACGGACTATATCGTGTCCCTCGTGAGCCCGGACAAGGCTTCGGAAGAATTCAGACTAAAGATATTCACATTCATCTCTAAAGTAATAGAGGCTGTACTGCCGAATACATTGATTGTGCCTTACGGCAGCTTCATCTCCAAGATCTATCTTCCAAGCTCTGACTTGGATATCTGCTGCTTCAACCATGGTCTTGACGAGATACCCCTTCTGCAGAAGATTCTGGAAGCGCTTACGGTTTTCAGTGATCCGAGCCTTCGACCGACCGGAGTCCGGGTCCCTCCCGCAGTGTCCCAACTCATCAATTCACGTATACCGACGGAGGAGCGGTTGGAACTAGAGAATATTGAGTTCATCATGGCAAAGGTGTCCTTGATTAAGTGCACCGTTTGTGGATTGGGAGTGGACATCTCGGCGGCCCAGCCCGGCTCACTGGTTACGTCTCTACTAATAGAGAAGCTTTCTCAGTCCATCGGGCGCAATAACCTTCTTAAGCGCTCTTTTCTCCTCATCCAGTCCTGGTGTTTATATGAGGCGAGAATCGTCGGTGGACACTCACAGATGCTTAGCTCTTACGCACTCCGCGTTATGGTGATCAACATCTTACTAAATTGCAGAGATATCTATACGCCTTTCCAGGCGCTATATGTCTTTCTTGCATATTATTCTAGTTTTGACTACGATAGGGACATTGTCCATCCTTCTGGGCCTCTTCCAAAGCCTCCAGCCCATGAGTCTCTTACGGCGGCTCAGCTCAGTGGAAGTATGGAGGTGTTAGAGAGCCACATCTCGCCGTCGTATCTAAATCATCTGCGGTTTCTCAGAGACCTGTGCAGTGGGACAATATACAAGCCCGAGGTTCAGAATGTTTACGAAATAGTTAAGACGTACTTTGAGAAGCTCAGAGAAGCTCAGGAAAAGCCACTAGAGAGACTTGGAGACCCGCATGAGACGGATGAAACCCGCTCTACGCCGATTGATGATAGAAACACCGTGTCTGCTCAAGCAGATGTGCCGTCTTCTGTAGATGGTACAAAGGATCACGCAGTGGGTAGTGATTTTGTCAGTGTGGACTTGGATGATCGGAGACATCAAGGCACAGGTGAGAGGGCTTTTCCTAAGCGGCAGTGTAAGCATACAACCGGGCTAGTATTCTCTAGTGTGCCGACCAGCACCGAGAGCGCCACATCCATGGCCAGTTCAAATGCTGATGCGCTGCCTCACCAAGAAAAGGTATTCACAGATGATGCAGATGGTGTTGAGGCCGCATCACTGTCCCAGCGTCTGGGCCTTAAGCACCATGCAGTGGGCGGTGATCAGAATGCAGTAAGTCCCTCTGTCTCTCCTTCCCTTTCTGGTCGCCAGCCTGCACTAGAGAGCAAGCCATTTTCTAATGCACCTAGACCAAACACCAAAACAGAGACGGTCTCCTACGATCCGGTCTCACTAAAAGGGCTGACCAACATGTCTCGCTCTATCCTTTCTTACTTTAAGGACCAGGGAGCATTTAATGAACCGAATCTCAACGATCATGACATCCTGCTCCTTTTTAAGCGGTATTTTTCTATGGGCACACTCCCTAACGTGCTATCGGACTCTCGAGCGTTTCTCCCTTCCTACATCTCAATAGTGGATCCCCTTCAGGTGATTAATAACTTGGGGCGCTCTGTCTCTGAGCCTAACTTCATGAGAATCACTCGGTCCTTTCAGACTGCACACATAGTTCTTTCCGATATAGTTCAAATGTGTACCACAGGAAACATGACCATAACGGAAGCATTAGCGGAATACGACTGCTTTTTCATCTCTACTCTTTCTATCTTTGGAGACATGAGTATAGAGAAGCTGACTGGTGGCGTATCTGACCTGTCTATCAACGTAGACGTGCTGGAGGCAGGGTGCCACCTTGTCGGGGCAACAGTATTGGGGTTCCCGATCGATGCACGGTCCTCACTGGTCGGATGCCTCCAGATTGGCTCTTGCCAGCCCACACCCGGTACTAAGTAGTAAACTAGGTAGTAAATCAAAAAAGGACATGGCAAAGGGAACCAGGATTCGATCCATTCCCATCTCCAATCAGCTGTCTGCGTTCATAGTCTTCTTTCTGAAGCTTCAGCTAATGAATTGGATGTCGACCCTGTTTGTCGTAATCTTTCCCTTTATCTTTTACATTATGCTGTATGCTCTAAAAGAACTTCTCTATTGGCTCACAGAGGGGGCCCCCTTGCGCATAGGGTTGATAGAAATAGCAATGACCCTTTTTGCCACCCCAGTGTCCCAGCCGCTGAAGACAAATGCGAGTCTTCCGTACCTCATCGACCAACAGAAGTACCACTTAACTAACGGACTTAGTATCGGCCACTCATTTAGCGCAACGTCCACGCCAGTCACCGGGCTCACGTTTGGCTCTATAGGAAACTGCCACGGCACAACCACTGTCCTCAACGTTCTTCCCATTATCCAACTCATTCCTATTCCAGGCATTAAGATCTCTGCAGATTCCTTGGGGCTCAAAACATGTAAGGATGGAACGCAGACAAACTACACGGGGAGTATTCACAATCTATCCATTAACAGCCAGCCCATCATCGATTCTGCCATTTTCACAGTTATGACAGAGACCTTCTATCTCCAGCCAGAGGAGCAGTTTTCTCTAAATCCTGAGTTCTATACCGTCAGAAACAATCAGCTCAATTTCTCAATAATGGGTCCACTAGAGATCCACAATCTCGACAGATGCAACTTCAGCATATATACACGCGATTGCCCGCTATTAGAGACCAACCAGGCTATTGTGGGAGGTTCTACAAATGTTACCGAGGACACGTATCTCAAGTCAACCACTGACATGGTGTATAGAGCATGGTACCAGCTCCGCTATGCCTCTGGGACTCCAGAGCAAGGAGCTCCCGGCCTCCCCGAGGGTCTTCCGGTGGGGAAGCCCATCCCACAGTTTAAGGTCATCGACTATGTTCTCATCCCAGACGTCAGGTGGATCACAGACGTTCTCATGGAGCAAGGGAGCTATCTGGTCTTGCTCTTCATAGGGCACATCGTCATCCCATTAATCACTGTTCTTCTTGTTACGCAGGCATGCACAGGTTTCACGAGTTTAATCTATTCATCTGGCCTCCATCCTGTCGTGTATTATTTAACGTTCTTTATCTATTACTACTTAGTGTCTCTTGCAATGTCAGTTATAAATGTCTTCGCTAGCATGGCATTCTCGATGGATAGTGTTAACAAGTTGGGGGGCCTTCTCGTCATAATAACATTTACCTATCCAATCTTTTCCATCCCACTAGCATTTGCATTTGCAATGGCCTTTAAATCCGTGTTCTCTGCTGCAATCATATCCTGGTTCAGTGTAATTTTCGTTCCCCAGATGATTTTGCTTTTATCTAAGGTATTGCCGTTCAGAATCAATATATTGGCCTGGTTCCTGCCATTTTCCTCCCTATCTTACATAACATCAAGCATCACCATTGAGTCCGGGGCGATAAACGGCATCCTTGTCTTTTGTGCAATCCAGTGCGCGATCTATGGACCGGTAATGCTATTCTTGGAGATCTACCTCACTGCACGTGGTATAGCGAAAAGAAAGGGGCTTCTGAAGTCTCAGCAGCTTGAGCAAGCCGAGCTGACGATAGCAGAAGATGACCAGGAGAACGTTGCCGTGAGTGTCTCCAACCTGAGCAAGACATTCAAGGCTAGGTCAGGGTATGTTCATGCTGTGAAGAACCTTTCCTTCCAGGTGCGGACGGGGGAGATTTTCTCCCTACTGGGACACAATGGCTGTGGGAAGTCGACTACTGTGAACATGATTGCAGGGGCGATTCCTCTTACGTCTGGGTCCATTAAGCTCAATGGGTATTTGTGTTTTGCGCCTCAATACGATGTGCTACCGAACGATACCAGGGTCGATCATGTGATGACCATGTTTGGACGAATGAGGGGGCTGAGCAAAAAAGAGTGTGAGAAGGAGATGGACGAGCTGCTCACCACTCTTAATTTGAGACAAGTCAAACACAAGACCATAAAGCAATGTTCGGGTGGATCGCAGAGACGGATATCCTTTGCGTGTGCATGCATTGGCACTAAGCCTCTTGATGTTGTCCTTTGCGATGAGGTGACCACTGGTCTGAGTCGCACAGATGCCATGGGTGTCTGGAACGTGCTTCTTGGGCTCCAGAAAAGAAATATCAGCGTTATCCTTATTTCCCACGATCTTGACGAGGCAGAGATGCTCTCCACCAATGTCTTATTCATGTCTGGTGGTCGCGGCATCAAGCAGGGGAATCCTACGGAGCTATGCATGAGCACAGAGTACCAAATATGCAAGATCAAGTCTTCTCACCCAATTTCAGAGCTGGAGCCACTTGTAGCAGATGGACGCATCACGTGTGTGCACGAGGCCAACGACCTCATCTACCAAATAAAACTTGACATCATGACACCCGAGGAGGTGCTTGATGTAGCCCTCAAGTACGAAGACTGTTTTGTTGATAATGTGGGTCTTGAGGATGTCTTCTTTTCTATTGAGTCATATTTACACAAAGAGCAAAGCGAAAGATAAGATAACGCGTTCTCTAGGTAAATTTGATCTTAATTTATTTCTAGAGTGGCGCGCGGTCTTTCATGTCAAGGAGGTATCCAGCGCGCAAGTATCCTACTCAGGCCGGCGCAGGTGGGACCACTATGGCTACTTCCGCACCTGCTCCCGTGATGGCTGTGCCAATGATTCCAGCGGTTCAGAGCCAGGCTCCTCCGCAGCCTGTCTACTCCGGCCAACTGCACCCTCCCGTGGGTGCTCCGTCACAGCAGGTGTCTGCAGTTCCACTTATAGGTGTTCCAACGTCTCAGCAGCAGACATTTACACAGCCAAGTATTTCTGCTACTCTACCGCAACCCCCTGCAGGCATAGCTTTACCGCAGGCTGCACCTCCGCAACAGGCCATCAATTACTCTGAAATAGCAGGCTCGTCTATTGCCTATCCGAGCGTGAATCCGGCTGCTCTGTTCGCCCCCACAGATCACTCTCAACCTTTCGCCAGCAGCCACATAGTTACCACTCCCCACTATGTAAAGCTAACACACACTGCACTGCCCCCGAGTAGCCAGGACCTCTCCAATTATGCCCTTCCCGTTGGAATGGTGATTGAACCGCTAGGGCCTGCAGATTCGCCCCCTCCCCTCATTGACTTTGCGGCAGAGTTCAACATCCAGCCTCCCCGATGCCAAAACTGCCAGGCATTCATCAATTGCTACAATACCTTTACCCCAGATAGGGTTTCGAGCATTTGCTGTCTCTGTGGACATTCAACACACCTTGACCATGCCTATCGATCATCCATTGACTTTTCTAACCCAAACTCAATAGGATCCAATCGCGTTGAACTGACCCATGAGGCTTATGAAGTCAAGGCCACTAAAAACTACGCAGCCAGGGCCAACCAGACACTGACATTTCGAACGTATGTGTTTCTCATTGATGTCAGCCCCCAGGCCATATCTTCTGGTCTTACTTCTGTGGCTTGTGAGGCCTGCGCTGAATTTATAAAGCTGGCTATAACAGACAGCACCGAAAATGACAGGCGAATCATGCTTGGGATTATTCTCTTCAACACCCACCTGCACTACATCATCGTCAAGGACGCTGCACGATACGAGCTTTACACTGTCCCAATGATAGACGAAAGGTTCATTCCGGCGCCACGGGATATCATCGTATCTGCAAAGGCACGAGGAAATGCTCTCCTTAATGCTCTGCAGCAAGTCGTTTCTGTGTTCTCCCAGGCAAATACAGTCTGCCCGCCGACATCGAATCAGAAGGAGACGGGGACGACTCGCGACGTCTGCTTTGGTGCGGCTTTGGATGCAGCTTACATTTGCATCTCCACTATTGGTGGGAAGATCCTATACTTCTTATCATCTCTTCCTTCTTGCGGGATGGGCTCGCTGCACGCCAGCGTCCACAAGCGTAACGGCAACCTCCTGTTTTCGTCGACAGGATCGCACTCTAAGGCATTTGAATCGGGCGATATAATAAAACAGCTTCTGACCCCTGATGCAAAAGATAGCGAGTTTTACATAGATTTGGCCGTCAGATCGACCATAAACTTTGTCTCGATTGATGCCTTTCTGTGCCCACCCGCTTATGTTAATTTAGGTACGTGCTCGAGCACGACATCTTCGGTGGCAATGGGAGGCTTTCTAGATCCTGCCACGCTAGCAGAGTTGTCCAGATGCACTTCTGGGAGATATAACTACTATCCTGATTTTAATGGTAGTAGAGACCGAGTGCGACTGTATTCTGATATCCTGGATGTGTATCAGCGCTACTCTGCTTTAGAAGCGTGTAGTCGCATTCGTTCCAGCAAGGAAATTGATGTTGCCTACACATATGGAAACATCTACCAAAGGCAGGAGGGGATCACACAGCTGGCGCAGTACGATGAGCAGAGTGGCTATGGGTGCGAGATTGTCTATCGAGTGAAAGAGATCCATGCAAAGACCCTGTACATCCAGATGTCGTTTCTCTACACTGACGAGGCAGGACTACGGCACATTCGCTGCGTTACCAAACCCTTGCCAATCGCGTCCAATGCCGGTAGCGTCTCTACTGCCAGGGGCAGCTCTGTTGTTCTCTATAATTCGGTGGACATCAATGCTCAGGTAGCACTACTAGCCAAGAAGCTGGCGTGTGTTATGCGTACTAACTCAGAAGTGACGTCTAGTAGCAACAGCACAGTTATGTCCGTCGGAACAGAAAGCACTAAGTACGAGAACGTTTCTGGAAGCTTGTCTAGCAACCAGCCGTACCATGGGATCATTGCTGGTCTGTTTGCAGACCTTGTAGTCTGTCTTCACAACTACCGGTCACTCCTAAATCTACAACTAGACCCTCTGCTGAAGTTCATTCCAGAGAAGCTGTCCCTATTGCCGCTTTTTGTCTACGCTATGTTACGAACTCATATGATGCGTCCCGTTAACTCGAAGAGCGCCCGTCTGGAGGAGCGGGTCTTGTCGATGATGCGCATAGAGCGCGGTAACGTGGCGGCGACTCTGAACGTGCTATACCCCAACATGTATTACATCCACCTTGATGAAGCGACAGGGCAGTGGGTGGCCTCAAAGACGCGCTTGTCTGCAGAGTATATGGTTCCTGGAGGAATCTATTTCATCGAGGACGTGCACGCCTTGTATATATTTTTCCACCATTCCATCTCGCCCAGTACAGTCAGCCTGTTCTGCAAACCTAACAGCCAGGGGGCTATCAACATGGCCGAGCCCCTAGAGCTTCTCCCATTGATAGACCAGGAGGACATAGACTCAAATCTGTCTTCCCAGAACCCACTTGACCTCGTGTCCAAATTGGCAGCACTTCTGCGCGAGCAGCGAAACAGCTATCTCCCCATATTCCCAATTACCGCGGAGACCAGGTTGGTCTCTGCCGTCATGAATTGCCTGATTGAAACGCGACAGGGGAGCCAGGGCTATGCAGACTTTGTCCGGATGCTTGGAAATGCCCTAGGCGCCAAGGCGGTTCGCTGATGGCACGGAGTGAATAGCAGCCTGTAGGTCATTGCAGACAACTTTAAATTGAATTCTTGTTGGAAAACAGAAGGAGCGCTGATGAACTCTCCAGTTTCTGACAAGGTCTTCTTTGACATCACCATCGGCGGCAAGCCTCTCGGCAGGATTACCATGGGGCTCTTCGGCTCAATCGTCCCGAAGACCGCGGAGAACTTCAAGAAGCTCTGCACCGGCGAGATGGGTTTCGGCTACAAGGGCTCTACGTTCCACCGCGTCATCCCCAAGTTCATGATCCAGGGTGGGGACTTCACGAACCATAACGGCACTGGCGGCAAGTCCATCTATGGCGCCAAGTTTCCTGACGAGAACTTCGAGATCAAGCACTTCGTCGGGTGCCTCTCCATGGCGAATGCTGGGCCGAACACCAACGGCTCTCAGTTCTTCCTCACCGTGGCCGACACTGCTTGGCTCGACGGCAAGCACGTTGTCTTCGGGCGTGTCCTTGACGGGATGGACGTCGTCAAGGCAATCGAGACTACGAAGACCGGGGCCAACGACAAGCCGGTTGAGAAGGTTGTCATCGCCGACTGTGGCGTGCTCCAGTAAGCCAAAGTAAATGCGCTAAAAAAGCCACCGAGACTCCAGCTCCTGCCTCCAGGCGCAATGGAGCTCCGGTACATAAACTCCCTATTTTTTCGCCGGTTCGGGTCCCACGCTGTGACGATCACGTCTGTGAGCCCTGCTAACGAGCTTGGGATTCTCTTCGCTGGCATGTCCAACGGGTGCCTTGTTGCGTGGGATATGCGCTACGAGCCATCGCCCCTTGCACGTGTCGTGGTCTACAATGCCCACAAGGGAGCCATCAAGGCCCTTTGCTGGCAGCCATATTATCGCCTGCTCTTTAGTGGAGGCGTCGACGGGCTGGTAAAGGTCTGGGATCCCAGCTTCACAGACTTCCTTGACGTCAGTGGAATGATGGCAGATCATTCTGCACTCGCACAGATCTTCTCCAGCGAAAAGTCAAACCCCATTATAGAGCGCTACAAATATACCGTTCAGCCGCTGATCACAGAAGAGGAAACAGTCTCACCGAGCACTGGTTCCATAAAACTGACCCGTCTAGTTCAGTCGCTCGGTGACTTCACTCGACCAATTATCAAGATTTCATACATCGCCCACCACATCGCGGTCCTATCGATGGACGGCTATATAGTAGTCTATTACCCCGATCCTCGACGCGATCTTACTATATTGAGGTATCCTTTGTTCATCAAAGTAGCAAGCATATTTCTCGGACATCAGCAGCTCGATCGCGTGAAGAACTTTTCCACCTTGCAACTAGGATATAGTCTTCAGGAGCCGATTCACAAAGACAGCGTGCTAGAGCGCTATAATTTTCCTGTTAGTGACTACGCATACAAGCGAGCCATGTCTATTAAGTTGCAGCCTGCCAGCTCCTCTGCCCCTTTGACGTCAGGCGCACCACCACAGGCCTCGCTGCCTCAGAAGGAACCCGCTCGGTTATTATCTGCATCTTTTGAGACACATGACACACTGAATCTTCGGGACATAGTTGAGTGTGGTCAGTTGGACAATGGACGTTCGCTTTCAGTGACGAAAAGGGGCACGAACATAGACGTTAACGCACCCCTTGACTACAGTGTTAACCCTCTGCTGACTGAGCCAGTAATTCCGCTTTCTTTGGCAGTGGACACTGATAACACCACGTTTTACGTGGGCGATTCTAACGGCACTGTTCACAGTCTCTCGGTACTTGATGGCAAGGTGTTCTACAAAAGCCAAATTAAGTACGTTTCTAATAATTCCATACTGGATTGCTGCTTTGTCCCCCACGAATCATCCCTCATTGCGACAGGAGCAGATGGAACAGTACGGGGACTCATTGCAATGACTGGAAAGAATTATTTCGGGCGTGCCGGCCCCAAGGGAGTGGTCTTTACCAGGGTTCTGCATTGTCCTAAGCGAAAGCTCGTTGAATACGAGGACCTAATGTCATCACGGCCGGAATCGGCGCAGTTTGTCAAGCAGATTCGAGCTAGGATGCGACAGTCAGGACCGTCCTTGAGTACGATTCATGAAACAGACGAGCTCCTGATAGATGTGATGACGCAGACCTTGGAGGAGCAACAGCTTAGAACTATGCTGCAGAAGAATCGAAATCAAGAGATGCGCGAGCAACCAATCGCAGAAACAGACTTAACGGCGCTGTTCACAGGGAGTTCTTCCAAGAAGGAGATAACAGCTAAAGAAGCCTATCACTATGAATCGCATGCAGCCAGATCTATGAAGATAGATGAGGGTGCCAACTCAGATCTAAAAAAGAAAGATGACAACATTATACTGATGGACGCCAGCGGTCTTCTTCTTATTGTGGAGTCAACAACCAATATAACTCTCTTTGAAGCGATGTACCCCGAAATAGGCCCTGTCCCAGCAGCCTTAATGGCTAAGGCTACAGAACTAGGAGTATTTCTTACCACACCAGTGGTTACTCAACCACGACGGTCCTTGAACTACCAATTCTATGCTATTGCTAAGATGAATCTCAGTCTCCAAGAAGAGTATTGGATTCTTAGAGGCCGGTTTGCCAAAACAATGGCGAAGATGGACCAAAGGCATAAGTTAGAAAGCTTTATGACCGAATCGGCCATCAAGAAAGGCCCAGCTAGAGCATCCTCAGAAAGCAGACCCACCAATTCTCTACCAAGAGCTCAGCGGCGAGCAAAAAGCAAGAGCTCCATCGAATCCATGGATGAGAAGGTCAGCGCAACGAAGGTGAGCATTCTTAACTGTTACGAAGACATGCAGCTTATAGATATGTTCCTATTAAAGTTGCCACCGGACTTGAATCCCCGGGGAGAGGTCGTTATTGGAATTGTGAGGCCCGTGTGCATAGACTTCTTTAAGCCAGTTTATAAGCATGCGGGACAGTCGCGCGGTATGGGTCATTCCAAGCCAATCCAGCTACTGTCGCTTCTGCCAGCTCCACCCCTACCCTTCCTCGATCCTACAGATGAAACTAAAAACAGCGCAGAAATGCCTATTACCGACAAAAAGATTAACTCTTTGCTCGAGGGTCGAAGCCAAGAATTTTTATCCACCACGGATGGTAATCCAATCTTGCAGCGATCGGGCGCTGCTTGCGCAGACAGTAAGTCCGCACAAGGTATGCGCCTCTCCAATGAAAGGACGACAATGGAGGATATAGCTAACACACAAACAGAGTCAGTAAGCATTACAGCACAGAGCTACTACAAGAATCATGCCATTCAAGAGTTGAGCAACGTGAGCGAATCTAAAAATGTAGACGTCCTATCAAGCATCGACGAGCCCGTTTCAGAAGACTATGCACAGGCTCAGCTCCAGCAGAACCGTTTAAGATACCGCAATAACAGCATCAGATCCAGAAAGATCAGCAACACAGAAACAGATTTTGTGAGTGCTATTATTAATGGTGACATCAGTGTTTCCCACAGTGGAGCTGAGACCATCAGAGGCGCATACAGCGTTCAAGACATTGTCAAGACCCAGTTGGATAGTATTGCCAGCATCTCGACAAAGCGCGCATTATCTCCTAACGACCCTCATAGCCGAATGACAGCATTTGCAGAGATGAGACATAGCATCCTAAAGAGCTTGACCGCAAGTAGAACACAGAGCCCAGGGCAGACTATTTCCTCAACAGTAGTCGCGTCGAATAAGCCTGCTCAAAAGAATCAAGAGAGAGATGATCTGACGCTGCAAGAACTGCAGGTAAGTAGTGCTACAGGCGCAGAGTCAGGTGGATCGCAACTGAATACTTGTCAGTTGACCCTGGGATCATCCCGTTTAAGCAACCTCATCCTCAGCAAGCGCATTACTGACTCTCAGTTTAATAGGATCAATCAGCCAGAGGCTCAAGCAAAGCAGTTTGCACCGTACCTGCCGCCAGAGGTCGATATTGTCCATCATATTGTAAGCCATCATACAGACGCTAGTGGCCGTCTGCCGCTGATTTCTCGCTCTGGGGCACGAAACGCTGCAAAGAAGAAGCTTATGCCTCCGTTTTACGTTCTATCGTGCTCATGCGATAATGACGTCTATACTTGGGACGCGCGCATCATGAGCCGCCCGTACCATCACTACACCTTTTCCTTCGATGTGCTGAAGTACGCAAGGATCCTCAACCTATCTCAAATCACAGGGATTGTGTTGGACGCTGCCTCCATCCTTTTCCATAAGTACCTTGTAGACGGAGCCACCATGGCGACAAAGTCTGCATCCGTTGGTATATGCAGTGACCCTATACTTAACAGATCTGGCGATAAGCAGATTAGAAAGCTCCTTCTTTCAAGCAGTCGATTGTACAATGTAGAGGGTAGCGATTCAGATGAGCGAATGATCGAGTTAAAAGAATCAAATAGGTTCTGCCAGCGTGCTCTTGAAATAGGAGCCAGTGATCAGGAAGGTCATGGAGCAGGGCTGTCTTCCAAATTAAAGGATATCTCAGACCGTGTAAAGCAAGAAAAACTCAAAAAGGAAGCCGAAACACGCCAAGAAGAACTATTTACGCGGCTTTCTAATGGCCTTTCGGCAAATGGAAAGGGGTTCCAACTGTCCACCGCACAAAAAGGAGCCAACGGGGTTCGCTCGAGCAATTACACAAACTACCATGTGGATGATGCAGATATTAGGGTTCGTCTACTGAAGTTGGGAAAGTCAGGATTACTCGACAAAGAAGCAGTGAAGTCACTTATTAATCAAGTACCCACAGAGACGAAGATCTACACGCAGAAGACCAAAGACATGTCATTTTTAAATTTTGATCGCTTCTACGTTCTCCACCCGGATGTACTAAACATGATATCTGGAGCTCCCGAAGACAATGCAGCCGCAGAAGATAGCCACTTGGGCATATCTCCATATTATGTTGGAAAATTCAGCAAGGACAGTATCTATAACATCATTAGTCAAAGCGATGTGATGCCCACAGAGCTCCTCTGTGATATCAGTAACAGCATCACAGTCGACAAACACGCTGACTCGCAATTGGCGGAAGCAGTTAACAAATCCGGCCTCAGCCTTGACACGATCCTCTCTGAAGACCGTACTCAGAGTCAGACCCAATTTAACAGGCAGGTGTACTTTGAAGTAAAGAAGCTTTCAGAGCTCCCTTCGGCCTTTCGCTTCTTGGCTGTTGAGCCGTGCAATTTCCTGATGATTGGACATGAAGACGGATCGCTCACTGCTATGGTCACGACTATAAAGCAATCCTTTCAGGGTACACCCAGAAAAAACCAGCTAGCCAAGGAGGCAGCATCTGATAGCACCATTTTGAAGAGGGGTAATATACCTGCTACCAATAAAGCAGTTTCCCGGCAGACGACCTTCTTTAGAGTATTAGCAGGTCACAGCGAGTGCGTCTCTTGCATGTGCTATATATTGACAGATCAGTGCTGTTATGTGTGTAGTGCAAGCATTGATGGGTCTATTTTGTGTCTGATACACCCTCTCGTGGGAGATTTCAGGCTCCAGTACAGCGTCTGGTCTAAGTTTGTTTCGGATCTAGACAACGAAGCATTACAAGGGTCGAAGGATGGCGCTGAGGAGGCCCAGGACCTTCTATCTGAAGCTCGAAGAAGCCCTGAGATCATCGAGTTTTTACAAGGGTCGGGCTCGTTTCTTATTGCTGGAACTAGTTTCGGAAATGTATATTTCATTACGTTTCCCCTGCAGTCACCGTTACGCACGGCTCTATTCTTCCAGACAAAACCTTTCATGCAGGCATATATTAACAGCGAAGGCGTTACCACGCCAGCGTCTACCCCTTCGGCTAGTATTAAGTTTCTGGATTATTGTTGTGATACGCTGACGATTGTACTTGAAAGCGGCCACATTTTACAGTTCGATCAAGTGTCTCTCTACTACAAACACTGGCTCTATTTCTCTAACACTGGAAAGCTGGCTATGGATCCATCCACTACTTCTCACTACCTCTCACGGCTCACATATGATAGGTCTTCTCATGCGCTTGTTCTATCGACGGGCTCATCTCCACTCTGCAATCCCCGGGATGCGATAAAGGCGCCCCCTAACAGTCCCTACTTTTCAAGCTGCTTCGCCGCATTTCTCCAGCATTTTCCCTTCAAGATAATGCCTCAGAGAGTTTTCTCTGCGTATACTCAGACAACCAGAAAACCGGTGTCCGCGGACGAGGTACGTGAACTACGCCGTCGAGAGGTTGTAGACGAGTCTGAGGATAATAAGATTGTTGCCACATACGTCGTTTTCCCAATTGTGCTAGATACACTGGGAATAGGTGGGGGCTGCACTTTAAGCGCCTGTGACTCCCTGACTGACGTCGCGACAGAATCGACGGCTACCAACTCTAAGACCTACACATCAGTAAGAGAGGTAATACATGCATATGATCCATCCCACGACTTAACATACAAAAATCAGTCATCCGTTGGAAAGGTATTTTATAGTAACGGGAAGATACTGGAGCGGCCGGTTAACAAGGCTCTGGACCAGGGGCAGAAGTACTATGACGAAAAGCTAAGGAAGTGGAGGTATATCCTTCCCGAAGATCGGAGCCCTGAGGAGCAGCCTCGTAGAAAGCCACCCTCTGTTTTATCAAGGCAATCAGAAGAGCGTGCTGTCAGCAGGAGTAAGTCGACTACGCCCATGCGTTATATTAATGCCTCCACTGCCGCCGTCAAAGTGAGCACCATTGTGCAACGCAGTGTGTCTCTCGGGACGTCTTCCAGGAACAAATCGTGCAACAGAACGTCACAGATTACCTTGGGTACGAAGCCTTCAGAACTCAGTGCACCACAAAACCAGAAGACTAAGGATACAGGGAGCCAGTCACGTGGTAACATCGTGTCGGAAGCGCTTGAGCCATCCGCCAGAAGGGTGGAGAAGCCAGATGGGGTGAGCGAGTCTGTTAGCAGAAGCATAATTTGCATCGGTTATGCTTCAGGACTTGTCCGGGTTTACGGCAGTACAGGCCGGATTCTAGACGAGTTTTCATATGATAATCCTGTGTCTTCTCTCAGAGCTATTCGAGATGATGATGTCGGAAGGCAACTACTTCTTTCGATGGAAGCTGAGATGCGTATAGCCGCAGCCTCCACGATCTGGATGGGATTTTCAGACGGGCGCCTTACGATGGAAAAGTGCAGTGCTCTACTGGACTATTCCATTCCCTAGCGTTCACAGATTATACTGGGATCTAAAGTGAACGTAAGACATACATTGTGGTCAAGAGCCTCAGTGAAAAAATGCCCTTTCCTGGTCTATTCCGTAATAGCAATTATCCCGGAGAATACGCCCATCTAGCGCAGGATGCGGAGGCTGTTCTCAACGACAAAGCATATGATTCCTTCAACCTCGTCTCGCAGCACAATTTAACCCCTCACACTTCTTTGACTACTATGCTCACGACTTCCCACAGAGGCCCGCCGAAAATCACTGAATCTCTCAGCATCGCTAGGCCACGTGGCTCTTTCCGAGGGTCTGTTGATTCTCAGGGAACATTAAGTGGGTCCTACACGACGTCCATTTTGCCTGGGCCCCGGTACCGTAACGCCGCGCGTCTACGCCTATTAGGTGATGTGCACTCCTTCAGTGCAGAGAAGTCAAAGAAGGTCATGGCAACCGGCCGTGCCGAGCTCCACGTCGAAGGAGGAGACTACTCGCTCTCCGGTCTCTATAGCCTCCCAGGACACATCATAGCGGGCTCATACTTACAGGGATTTGGAGACAGGATAGCTGTGGGGTGTGAGATTGTGCGGCCTCCGCAAACGGATCCCTCTGTCAAGCCGGGTACCTCACCTATTGCCATGGCGGCAGGGGGAATCCGTTACACTAATATCAGCCGTGAGCGTAGTTCCGATCCAGGGATAATAGCCACGGCCCAGGTGAACACGGAGAAGACCGCGAATGCTTCCCTGCTTGCCCAGCTCTCTGGAGAGCTTGCTGTCGCAGCTTCTGTCAACGCGGACTTCTGTGGCTTCAGGTCTCCAGAACAAAAAGATGTCACAAAAGATCGCTCGGCCCTGTCAGGCCTTCTCAATGGCTTGAAGAAGACGCGTCTATCTGCATCATGTGGATTTACTAAACTGTTAAAAAGCTCGCAGGTTACGGTGAACTGCAACACGTACGGAGAGGTGTGCTGCGACGTGCGGCATGCAATGCAGGATGGCACGGTTGCGGAGGTCATCGGGAGTCTCGACATTTTCTCAGGCCGCACGACCGTTGGGGTGGGCCTTGTGTTGTCAGAGCAGGCGCTCCCTCGCTTTATTCACAAGGCGGTTCGGAAGGCCAACTCTTCGAGCAATCACAAGTAAAGCCAAAATTCCAAAAACATGGCAGAGCTTTTCGAACGGACCGCCCATTACCGCGACGACAAGAACTACGATCGTACTATCGAAGGGCGTCGCATCTTTGATGAAGAGCGGCGTAAGCGAATCTTCAACCCTTCACTTCGCACCATGGGGGTGGACGTCGACGCCTTGGACCTGCAAACCGCAGAGCGACGTGCGCGCGAGGCTGCGGAGCTTATGGAGCAAATAGATGCCGAAGAGCGTCTTCTCGCTGCCAATCGGTTCCTCACCCAGCGGGAGCGTGAGTTTCATCGCATGAGGCTGCTTCGCGACCGTCAAATTGCAGAGTTCAACTTTGAGAACATCCGCCCAGAATACAGCAGGGAGTATGACATTCACCGCAAGGACGTTCTCAAAGTGGACAATCCCATACGGCAGGACACAGTAGCACTGGAGCCCAGCACCATGCTTCTCAACACCGACGGGACTGCTAAGATGGTTACGCGAACTATTCCAGACAGTAAGCTAGGCGTTTCCTCGGGACAAGTGTTCGACGGAGAAGATCTCGAAAGAGCAGAGCGTGAACAGCTGATGCGCGACGAGATGCGCGCAGCACTAGAGCAGCAAATCTATCAGGCTAGAGCAAAGCGTGAGGCTGAAAAGCTGCAGGATCTTGAAGACCAGCTTCGAGAGCTGAAGATTTGTGATTACCTGAGCCAGGTTGAGCGCGACTTCCACGCCACCAGACGCCAAGAAAGGATCAATCTGAAACATGACCAGATGCGCCAGGCAGAGCTGGATGCCTACAAAAGAGCGGAGGAGAAGCGTCGGGACGATTGCGAGACCTTGCAGCACCATGCAAACTTTGGTAGCTCCAAGCTCATGATGGAGATACCTTCTGCTGGTGTTCCCATGGAGTACAAGGGCTGGAGCGACGAGGATCGCGAGGAGCACATGCGACAGCTCGCTCAACAATGTTTGGATGATAAGAAGAAGCGCAGGGCCGAGCTGGAAGAGAAGATTCTTTGGGAGACTAAGCAATTGAACGTCAACAGAGACCTGACGCTGCGCGATAACGAGCTCAAGAAGGAGAAGAGGCGCATTGCTTACGAGCAAAGGGCACAGCTGGAGTACCTGTCTGAGGAAGAAAAAGCTCGAGAAATAGCAAGGATCCAGGAGCTGGGTAGAAACGAGATCACTGATGACTTCTTCAAGCACTTTCAAAAAACCTCCAGGTGAAGTAAACACGTTTGACAGCGCATGAAGGAGCCTGCGCTTCTTCTTCATTGTCGGAGGGCAGATCTAGAAGAGAGGTACAAACTGCTCGGGCTCCTGTACATCTGTATTGAGGAGGACTATGGGAAGTTCTGGGGAAAGGAGAGAGCGTACAAATTCACGCACAGCACTATTCTCCACGAATGCATGGATAGAAACATTGCAACCACGTATGTCGCCGAGTCTTACAACGGGCTCCTCGCTTTTGCTGTCACGACCGCGGCGGAGATCCTTTACCTTGTTGTCCTCCCACAGTTCCGAGACAAGGGCATTGGCCGGCGCCTGTTGAGCTTCGTTGAGGGCACAATGCTCCTGACCACGCATCGCCTAGAGGCCCGGATAAACAAGCTCAACCGAAGCGGGCTGGAGCTATTTTTATCAAACGGGTGGAAGATGGTCACTTATAAGGAGACAGATGAAGAAGTCACGCTAGCCCTTGAGCGACGTCACTTCTGATTCATTTGCTGATTTGGACGGAATAAATTTATGATGGGCTCCTTGGGGGCTGCTGAGCACTACGAGAAAGCCTGTACTGCCTACTCGCAGCGCGTTAACGACATTGTCCAGCTACTGAAGCGTCTGGATACCCTTCATAGTGATGGTTCCGCGGCATTTGATTCTAATAACCGCGATAGATACTTGACCTTCTATCGTGCGCAGGACTCCTTACTAGAAGCTATGATTACAGACATATCGCCGATTGAAGGCGTCCCCACCTATCTTAAGCGCTTGCTCAAGAGCCTTGCAGAGTTGGTGGGGGCTCTCCGACTTCTAAACGGCTGCTGCGTCAGAGATCTAGAAGGCATTTTCGCGTGGATCGATGAACATAGCTTTGAGAAGGCGCAAGAACAGAGGGACTTCTTCAAGATGCAAGCTGAGGCTGCAGGGAGAAAGCTCGAAGAGGCCACTGCTCTCAACACCTCTCTCACAAAGGAGATGGAACAGCTTGTGTGTCGCTATGAGGCGCAGGCTCGACAGAAAGAGAATCAGGCGAGCAAGATGCTTGACGAGTACAAGAAGCTGTTCAGAGACATCGCAGGCAAAGCTTCAAGGTACGTAAAATCTGAGGAGCATGCTCTGCTGGGCCAAGAGGCAGTCTCAGATCATGAACTTCTTTCGACACAGATACAGATAGGCAGTAGAGCAATTGACACTTTGGATCCTGGACTGCCGATAAATGATGAACTACTTGAATTCACGAGTCACACCGCTTCCAACTTGGTTGATCTTCTATTACGTTTAGTAGAGGCAGAAGGCAGACGTCACCCCTTGTCGGAGTCGGCAGAAGCTGAGATGATCAAGTACAGCGGTCCGGAGTCAGTAAGACTTGATGCCCTGGAAGCGCAGCAAGCTGCATTGTACAGACAGATCAATAGGCAAGATGAACGATTGGAAAGGTTTGATGCACAGAACCATCCCGTTCCCATGTCGATGCTCGACGAGTTGGCTAGGGATGCTTCAGAGCTAAAGGGAAAGTCAGCTGAGCAGACACAACACATCGCTGAACTATTGGGTATTCAGTATGAGTCGATTATACCAGTTGGTTACAGTCGCGAGCGCCCTCAATCTTCTCACAATAATCCCTCAGACTGTCTAAAGGAAATAGTGGACTCTCTTATGTTTTCAACAGCGTGCATATGTAACTTGCATGCAGTGGTTGGCTATGGGATTGATTCATATGCGATTATAGACACAGTAAAGGCGGAGTCCGATAGGAAGCGAAGAGTGTCCAGAAAAAGGAAAAGGATGGCAGGGACTGTCAGTGCAAGAGACATGATATCTTCTGCGCTTGATGCCTCTGATCTTGGAGCTAAGAGCAATGTTGCAACAACACAAGAGGTTCCGTTGGGCGACTTGACGCCTAGTGGACAGCGAACATATACGGTTCGGGCGCAGCTAATGCAACTGTGAAATTCTTTGATGCATGGATGAGTGGGGACCAGGTATGTAGTTGACTGACGCTTTGCAAGTAGTCATAGAATATGCTCCAGTGCACGCGCAACGTAATATTTAATCAGCGAGATTATCGCATACGCTTGCCTGGCCATAAAGGCGAGCATGTGCTTGTCGGCTCGCCACGCAATCAGAAATTCGAGCTTGCCATGCTCTACGTCCACTGTCCATGAGTGTATGGAGTGTAAAGGATGAAGCGCAAGTTTGTTGTGTGTTTCACGATCATATATATGTAGAGCCTTAGAATCTACCGCTAGAAAAACAGAGACAGGGTCGTTGGGAGAGAGATATGTAGCCTCAAAGAATTCCATCCTAGTGAGATCGACGCTATCGATGAATTCTACGAAAAGTCTGTGAGTCTGCACTGTGGGATGTCCCCTGGCCTTGGCCCGAGAGAGAACCAGAACATCCCAATCTTTGGCTGTGCGCTTGCTTCGTATGCACGGATGGATGTAGCGTTCTATATTTTGTGCCACAACTCCCGGTGACAGTGGATCCTTGTCTAGTAAAAGACGCAAAGATGCAAATTCAACGACATTATCTTCTGACGGGGGTATAGGCAGACGCATGTAGTCCTCGATACCCTGGGCCACGGCAAGAAAACTATAGGGAGAGTTTTCAGTGACACTTGGGTTTGTCGTGTGCTGGGGTAGCCTCCGAAGTAAGAAGGGAGAAAGCCCGTCTGGGATATTGACTTGTTGAAGGTATAGTTCCAGAGGACGGTCGCTGGTCTGAAGAATGCGCGCGCCTGTCTCTTCTCGGAGGAATAGAGATAGGTCTTGAGTATGGTCCTCCAGCCCCATTGCTTTGCATAGTGCTTTAATGGCCTCGATCGTTGTGGCTCCCAGAGTAAGGGAGACCTCTGTTTCTGCTCCTCCCGGAGCTTGTGCTCGTAAAGTGTGGGCAAAGCGTGCAAGATCCATTGAATCAATCAACTCTTTTAAAGTTCATTGCCCCCGCTATGTTAACGACAATCCTCCGGTCATATCTACAGGTGTGTGAGTATCTTTGGGGCTGCAATGTCCGTCGTACTGCCTGGACGCAATGCTGAACCAGAGAGAGCTGCCATATGAATGTGCGTATATTGAGCTTAACAGAGTTAGGTTCGGCGCTATCGAGTTGTAACACGGTCTAGAACTACTCTATTCATAACTATGAATGCATTTCAGACAGAGCGAGGACCTATAGGTGCTATTCTCTGTGAGGATATCTGACAAATACAACTGTGATTGCTTTGGAGAAGCTGCTTATGTTAGTACTCTGGCACTTCTTCACGAAGTGCTTTGTTGACCTGCCATTAGGACGATGACTGTTCTTTGAAGCCTCTAACATGGGCCCTACGAACGTGCGTTCTTGTAGTTTCATCTCTTTATCTGGAGGCTACGTTCTCTAATGTCACGCTCTTATGGTGGCGGTAGGTCTTTGCAATCTATGGATTGAGTTACGATAAAACTTGTAATCTGTGTTTGAACTCGGAAAGCCACCGACATGTTAGAATAAGTTTAGACCATATTTACTGAATTGCTCCTTTTGCAATCAGGAGCTGCACTAGCTAAGGCTTTGCTTAACTTCTTTAGCACCTCGTAGTACAGCTGTTCAGCCCATTTGAGTTGGCACACCCTTCTGCTCAAGGTTGCAGAGGCCTACAGATTAGAATGCAGTGCTAACTGCCCCCTCAGCGTGGGCGTCTGATGGTATTTATGACACTGTATTCTATGACTCTCTAGAATTATCTGTGACACTTAGGCATATATATTTTGGTAATTCTGGCTTTTTGGCAGAGGGTTACGGAACTTAACCCTCGGGGATACCCTTTTACGGCATATTTAAGGGTTCGTTCTATCTTCCACGGACTATTGAAACGTTGATCATAAGATCAGAGGAAAGCCACTATAAGGTGTCCTCGAGCTATCAGTCACAGCATGGAATAGGTAGCCCTTAAAGGTTACCATGCAATTCAGTGCCCTTTGAAAATCAGCACTAAGGCCTACTATATCAGCGATACTTAGAAGTATAGATAAGGCGCGCACACCCATGCAGATTGTGTATGTATAGCAGCGTGCATTGTGAGTTCATAGTGAAGCTATGATATGGGGCAGAACCCCGCTTAGACGATAAAGTCATTCGCGGTGCTTTACTTGGCACATTTACTCCGGTTCTGAGAAGCGTTATGAAAACACGGAGTCAGTGATGTGAACAAAGAGCGTGCAATGAACTGGGAATCATCGAGGTTAATAGAATGGCGCGAAGCGAGTGTTATCTACCGCCCTGTTAGGCTACAGGTGTCGGTGTTCCTGGTTGTCAGTAGAGCTGCACAGATCCTACGATTCCAAGAGCTGACCCCTCCCGAGAGCATTAGCAAGCGCTTATAGTGACGCGGAGTAGAGGCTGACCAATGCAAGTCGACGCACACTGTGCGACATAGAGGGGAGCGCCAAGCCGTAGCAGTAGGACTTTTACTGCGTGGTTTGCTGGCTCGCAACGCAGGAGATAACGTGTCTGTATCGACCAGTTTATCTGTTCAAGATTGGGGACAGCTTAGACAGAGGTTGCAGACAGGAACTGGTTAGCTTGCTTGTCAGAAACTGGAGGCCTGATTTCTCCGCGTCCTACATGTGGGTTCAAAGAATGGTGGATCCGGAGACAGACACGCAAATGATAAAAAATGGCAACTCATTACAACCTCCCCGGGCGTCTGCTCCCACCTTTTGCAAGCATTTGTATGCTAGAGGAGCTTTAGTGCAGAGAATTCTGATGACGCAGGCAGCTTCTCGGTGGTTAGCATCCACGTAGAGAGTCCCGTCTCTTGAGACCTGCAGATTCAGTACGCGCTTAGGAGTTACGGGTATGGATACTCTAAGACAGACGTGTCTATGGATGCAGCTGGGTACCAGTACTTGTCCCTGCATTAACCGTTGCCATGATTGGGTTGTGCAGCGTGTCCTGTCCGCTGACCCGAGATAGCACGTTTGGACAATGCCGCTTTCTATGCGGGCCTGGAAGAATTAAGCTTTTTGAAGTGTTGCCAGTCAACCCATCGCACAATGAGAGGCTGTACCAATAGCCTAGCGAAGCATCAGAAACAAGCCGTGCACGTTCCAGACCGGAGTGCCCAGCAAGCCAGTCTGTTGCTAGCATACACCTCCTACAGGCTTCTCGGTTGCCACAATCTCCTTTCGGAATCCTGCAAAGAACCGTTTCTGGGCTTATCCCGGATGCCGGGCTTTGAGTATGACCCGCGCAGGACCAGCAGCAGGCATAAAGCGTAGAGAATACCCAGGATGCCAGCTAATTCCACAGAGTAAGGGAGGTAGGCACAAAGGACAGCGCTGTTGTCTATTTCTGAAGTGTCTGTTCCCGCTGCACAGAGGGGTCGCAGAGTCTGTATTCGGCGGAGAAAGGGGCTACGCAAGGGACGCGTCTAACGCTTGACGAAGTCATATTTCTCAACCAGAGACACATAAAAGGGTTTCCTTAGACTAGTCATCGTAGATACAACAACCAGATTCTTAGGCTTGGGTGCTTGAGATTATTAAGAAGATTCTTACCCGTATAAGTGAGCTGAGAAGGATTTTAATGTTGCTTGCAATTTTCTACTTTGTGATAAGCACTCTTACAGCAAAGTGTACTACGCAGACACAAACTTGTGAAGCTGAGAAGTGCGAAATGGTTGGTGAAACAGAAATCTGTACACGGTGTCAAACAGGAAAAGTTCCAATTGATGGAAAGTGCGTAGATGCTACTGCTAATGCAAACTGCAAAAACGCTAGCGGTGATGGTGATGCAAACCAAGTCTGCGGAAAATGCATAGGAGCTAACTTTTTCATGTATAAGGGCGGATGCTATGATAAAGAGAAGGTACCGGGAAATACTCTGTGCACAACTGTGTCACCAGATGGAGTATGCTCAGTAGCTGCGAATGAATACTTTGTTCCACCAAATGCGGATGCTACTCATGATTCAGTCGTATCATGTTCTGAGGAAACCCCAATACATCTTGCTAATAACAAGCAGTACATAGGCGTAGCGGGATGTGCTACTTGCAGTGCTCCTAAGGCTCCTGGTGAAGACAACACCCCAAAGGCTGCTACGTGTACTAAGTGTGCAGCAGGATTTCTACATACTCCATCTGAAGGACTGAGTTCATGCGAAGAAACATGCCCAGAGGGATACTTCGGGCACACAGCTACTGCTGAAAGCAAGAAGACTTGCAAATCATGCACAGGCGGATCTAGCGAAGCACCGAATGTAAAGGGTATTGGAGACTGTCTGAAGTGCATGTACAATGAGGCTAGCGGCAATACCCTTACGTGCGAAAAATGCAGTGCACAAAAGAAGCCAAGTCTAGATAAAACAAGTTGTAATGATTGTACAGGTCAAAACTGCGCTTTCTGTAGTTCTAGTGGGGGAGACTGTGAGGGATGTGACTCTGGTTTCATCTTGGATGGACAAAACTGTGTTAAGAGCGACTGCAAGACTGAGAACTGCAAGGCGTGCACCAATCCGAAGGCAGCAAACGAGGTCTGCACAGAGTGCATCTCCACTCACCATCTCACGCCGACAAGTCAATGTGTGCAGTACTGTCAAGCACTTGGAAACTACTATGCTGGCACTAATGCTGACAACAAAAAGGCATGCAAGGAGTGCACTGTGGCTAACTGCAAAACTTGCAATGATCAGGGGCAGTGTCAAACATGCAACGACGGATTCTATAAAAACGGCGACGCATGCTCTCCGTGCCACGAAAGCTGCAAGACATGCAGCGCAGGCACTGCCAGCGACTGCACCGAGTGTCCCACTGGAAAAGCACTTAAGTATGGAAACGACGGTACTAAGGGCACGTGTGGAGAAGGCTGCACAACAGGCCAAGGCAGCGGTGCCTGCAAAACGTGTGGGCTCACTATCGATGGTGCTAGCTACTGCTCTGAGTGTGATACACAAAATGAATATCCTCAAAATGGGATCTGTACTTCAACGACCGCTCGTACTGTGGCTACTTGTAAGAATAGCAACGTTGCCAATGGCATATGTAGCTCATGTACCAATGGATTTCTTCGTATGAACGGAGGCTGCTATGAGACGACCAAGTTTCCGGGAAAGAGCGTCTGCGAAGGTGCAAACGCAGACGCAGACACGTGCAAAGCACCTGTTCCAGGTTACAAAGTAGAGGCAGGAAAGCTTGTGATGTGCTCTAAGGGCTGTGACACGTGCAGCGACGCAACTACTTGTACAAAATGTGGAGATGGATACACAAAAATTGAAAACAGCCAAACATGCACAAAGTGTGATTCCAGCTGTGAAACATGTACTGGAGCAGCTACAACATGTAAGGTGTGTGCTACAGGATACTACAAGACCGCATTGGGAGAAAGTACGTGCACATCCTGCGAAAATGATAGCAACGGAGTCATCGGTGTCAAGGGCTGCTTAAACTGCGCTCCTCCATCGTCTAGTACTGGCTCCGTTCTCTGCTACCTCATGAAAGGTGAGAATACTGGTGGAAGCGTCAACAAGAGCGGCCTTTCCACTGGCGCCATCGCGGGGATCTCCGTCGCAGCCGTCGTCGTCGTGGCCGGCCTTGTGGGCTTCCTCTGCTGGTGGTTCATCTGCCGTGGAAAGGCGTAGACTTAGGTAGTAAACGCGTCACTGTATATGGCTTATTACGCTGTGCTGCTGGGGCTATCTGAGAGCGGTCCAGAGATCATGCGAGTGGGCCCGCTCCTTCCTGGCCAGTCTAAGGACGAGGGTTGAGTATGGATAACATAATGAAAGAGTCCTCTTCAGTGACACATCCAGAATCTGGGCATTCCTCGCCGCTCCATGAGGATATGCTCTGTCTGGATGTCCATGCCGATCTGCCTTGGATTCAGGTCTTCTCGCAGACTCTCTGCTCTACCAGTGGCGCCTCTCCTTGGCCTGCCGTCTGGTGGGTGAAGCTCCAGTCGCCGTCTTTTTTAGATGCTCCCGTCTGACTCGGTGATTGCTGTCGGGCCCTCCGCTGGCTGGGCCCCTCGGTGTCCGGGCAGCTGTGGCCCGGGTCAGCGCTCCCACAGTCGCGGTCGCTTGGGTCCCAGCGGGTTCGGATGATGGGTGAGGCGGGGTATGGGGCGGTGAGGCTGGAGGGGACCGGGGGGTGGTTGTATGTGCCCCTGGGTCTGATGGGCCATGTCGGGTGATCGCAGCTGTGGTGACTGGGGGCTGTCTATCTGTGACCCATCCCTCTGTGGACTCGTGAGTGCCCTCCGCCCAGGCAACCCTCAGGAGCCGTGCACGCTGGGACAGAGAGGGTGACCAAGGGAGTTAAGCAGCCCTGCCATGATGCTGAGGGTGCACAGCAGCCAGCCTGATCTGCAGGGCCTGCTCGAGCGATGGTAGTGGCAGACGACTCCCTCTGACAGCGACCCTGGTGACTGCACTGGCCTACTCTCGAAGCTGAGTGACAATGAACCAGACGGACCTGAGTGCAGGAGGACCGTCCACACACGAACAGACTGTGTAGACCCAGAGAGGACCGGAGTCTGCTCGGGACACGCTGACTGTGCCCCATACGAGAGCCCCAGGCAACCACCCGAGCACCCGAGAGGCAGCAACAGACACGGGCACCAGAGATTCCCAGCCAGACAGCTGCCATGCTCATCCACAGGGGCATCAGAGGACCAGGTGGAGTCACCCTCACAACCAGGGCCTAATAGGAAGCCAGAGGACTCACGCAGCACAGCAGAGCAGGCCCAAGGGAGGCACACTCCAGGCAGGTGAGCAGTGGCAGAGCCCTGACAGCTGCCAGCCCCCATGACACCCAGGCAGGCACCAGACTCGCTGGCCTCGACTGCATTCACGATGACCTGAGGGGGCAGCAGCCAGAGGAGTGAGGAGACCTTCGGACACCACAAGAGGCCCGGCTGTCCAGCAGGCTATGGAGCACAGGTGACCTCTGAGCACCACAAAGGCACAGGAGCCGACCATCAGAGTGATGCCCGATCACAGAGACGACCACGAGCACCCTCCACCCACTCTGAGGGGCTGTCGATCATTCCACTGCCTCTCATAGCAGACCTCCTTGAGGGCAGTGCAGTGAGTGACTCAGCTCATGCAGGAGGGTGCACGCCTCCCCTGGCATAGGATGCCGACTCTCCCCGAGGGGTCATCAGAGCCACGAGGAGGGGTCAAGGTTAGTAGACCACACCGGGAACTCCCGAGGGCACAGCAGGTGATGTTGGGTGATCCTCAGCGTGCTCCTCTCTGATGGTAGAGCATCCTGAGACCAAGGGGGCTCACCCCTGCCTACGGACGACACACAGCGCTTCACAACGAGGACCCACCAGGAGCAGCACAGCTGACCACGGGGACAGTGCAGTCACCGATGCCCCACCGTGTTAGTCTTTTGAGTCATCACACTAGAGGCATGAGAGAACCCATCCCATCCACAGGCTCATCCACACCCCTGCTGGTCCCAGGTGAACTCCCCGTCGAGGCACCGGACAGGGCATGCCAGGGGCTCAGCAGACCCGCACAGAGCAACAGCGAGTAGCAGGAGGGGCTGCGATGGCCTGCCTCGACACTCACGCACCAGCCAGACAGAGCAGCAGTACTGCCTGAGGCATGCAGGGGCCAAGGGAGGCACTCAGTCAGGGGGACACGACACGATCGTCGGTGCCTGTGTCTCGGGAGTGCAACGAGGGCTGGAGAGCAGACACAACCACCTTGGCAAACAGAGCGGGGATCACCCCAATGACCCACCGAACCCAGAGGCACATACGAACACCACCAACCTCAGCCCCCACCAGAGCCCCACCAGCCTCACCGCCCCACCCATCATCCGAACCCGCTGGGACCCAAGCGACCGCGACTGTGGGAGCGCTGACCCGGGCCACAGCTGCCCGGACACCGAGGGGCCCAGCCAGCGGAGGGCCCGACAGCAATCACCGAGTCAGACGGGAGCATCTAAAAAAGACGGCGACTGGAGCTTCACCCACCAGACGGCAGGCCAAGGAGAGGCGCCACTGGTAGAGCAGAGAGTCTGCGAGAAGACCTGAATCCAAGGCAGATCGGCATGGACATCCAGACAGAGCATATCCTCATGGAGCGGCGAGGAATGCCCAGATTCTGGATGTGTCACTGAAGAGGACTCTTTCATTATGTTATCCATACTCAACCCTCGTCCTTAGACTGGCCAGGAAGGAGCGGGCCCACTCGCATGATCTCTGGACCGCTCTCAGATAGCCCCAGCAGCACAGCGTAATAAGCCATATACAGTGACGCGTTTACTACCTAAGTCTACGCCTTTCCACGGCAGATGAACCACCAGCAGAGGAAGCCCACAAGGCCGGCCACGACGACGACGGCTGCGACGGAGATCCCCGCGATGGCGCCAGTGGAAAGGCCGCTCTTGTTGACGCTTCCACCAGTATTCTCACCTTTCATGAGGTAGCAGAGAACGGAGCCAGTACTAGACGATGGAGGAGCGCAGTTTAAGCAGCCCTTGACACCGATGACTCCGTTGCTATCATTTTCGCAGGATGTGCACGTACTTTCTCCCAATGCGGTCTTGTAGTATCCTGTAGCACACACCTTACATGTTGTAGCTGCTCCAGTACATGTTTCACAGCTGGAATCACACTTTGTGCATGTTTGGCTGTTTTCAATTTTTGTGTATCCATCTCCACATTTTGTACAAGTAGTTGCGTCGCTGCACGTGTCACAGCCCTTAGAGCACATCACAAGCTTTCCTGCCTCTACTTTGTAACCTGGAACAGGTGCTTTGCACGTGTCTGCGTCTGCGTTTGCACCTTCGCAGACGCTCTTTCCCGGAAACTTGGTCGTCTCATAGCAGCCTCCGTTCATACGAAGAAATCCATTGGTACATGAGCTACATATGCCATTGGCAACGTTGCTATTCTTACAAGTAGCCACAGTACGAGCGGTCGTTGAAGTACAGATCCCATTTTGAGGATATTCATTTTGTGTATCACACTCAGAGCAGTAGCTAGCACCATCGATAGTGAGCCCACACGTTTTGCAGGCACCGCTGCCTTGGCCTGTTGTGCAGCCTTCTCCACACGTGCCCTTAGTACCGTCGTTTCCATACTTAAGTGCTTTTCCAGTGGGACACTCGGTGCAGTCGCTGGCAGTGCCTGCGCTGCATGTCTTGCAGCTTTCGTGGCACGGAGAGCATGCGTCGCCGTTTTTATAGAATCCGTCGTTGCATGTTTGACACTGCCCCTGATCATTGCAAGTTTTGCAGTTAGCCACAGTGCACTCCTTGCATGCCTTTTTGTTGTCAGCATTAGTGCCAGCATAGTAGTTTCCAAGTGCTTGACAGTACTGCACACATTGACTTGTCGGCGTGAGATGGTGAGTGGAGATGCACTCTGTGCAGACCTCGTTTGCTGCCTTCGGATTGGTGCACGCCTTGCAGTTCTCAGTCTTGCAGTCGCTCTTAACACAGTTTTGTCCATCCAAGATGAAACCAGAGTCACATCCCTCACAGTCTCCCCCACTAGAACTACAGAAAGCGCAGTTTTGACCTGTACAATCATTACAACTTGTTTTATCTAGACTTGGCTTCTTTTGTGCACTGCATTTTTCGCACGTAAGGGTATTGCCGCTAGCCTCATTGTACATGCACTTCAGACAGTCTCCAATACCCTTTACATTCGGTGCTTCGCTAGATCCGCCTGTGCATGATTTGCAAGTCTTCTTGCTTTCAGCAGTAGCTGTGTGCCCGAAGTATCCCTCTGGGCATGTTTCTTCGCATGAACTCAGTCCTTCAGATGGAGTATGTAGAAATCCTGCTGCACACTTAGTACACGTAGCAGCCTTTGGGGTGTTGTCTTCACCAGGAGCCTTAGGAGCACTGCAAGTAGCACATCCCGCTACGCCTATGTACTGCTTGTTATTAGCAAGATGTATTGGGGTTTCCTCAGAACATGATACGACTGAATCATGAGTAGCATCCGCATTTGGTGGAACAAAGTATTCATTCGCAGCTACTGAGCATACTCCATCTGGTGACACAGTTGTGCACAGAGTATTTCCCGGTACCTTCTCTTTATCATAGCATCCGCCCTTATACATGAAAAAGTTAGCTCCTATGCATTTTCCGCAGACTTGGTTTGCATCACCATCACCGCTAGCGTTTTTGCAGTTTGCATTAGCAGTAGCATCTACGCACTTTCCATCAATTGGAACTTTTCCTGTTTGACACCGTGTACAGATTTCTGTTTCACCAACCATTTCGCACTTCTCAGCTTCACAAGTTTGTGTCTGCGTAGTACACTTTGCTGTAAGAGTGCTTATCACAAAGTAGAAAATTGCAAGCAACATTAAAATCCTTCTCAGCTCACTTATACGGGTAAGAATCTTCTTAATAATCTCAAGCACCCAAGCCTAAGAATCTGGTTGTTGTATCTACGATGACTAGTCTAAGGAAACCCTTTTATGTGTCTCTGGTTGAGAAATATGACTTCGTCAAGCGTTAGACGCGTCCCTTGCGTAGCCCCTTTCTCCGCCGAATACAGACTCTGCGACCCCTCTGTGCAGCGGGAACAGACACTTCAGAAATAGACAACAGCGCTGTCCTTTGTGCCTACCTCCCTTACTCTGTGGAATTAGCTGGCATCCTGGGTATTCTCTACGCTTTATGCCTGCTGCTGGTCCTGCGCGGGTCATACTCAAAGCCCGGCATCCGGGATAAGCCCAGAAACGGTTCTTTGCAGGATTCCGAAAGGAGATTGTGGCAACCGAGAAGCCTGTAGGAGGTGTATGCTAGCAACAGACTGGCTTGCTGGGCACTCCGGTCTGGAACGTGCACGGCTTGTTTCTGATGCTTCGCTAGGCTATTGGTACAGCCTCTCATTGTGCGATGGGTTGACTGGCAACACTTCAAAAAGCTTAATTCTTCCAGGCCCGCATAGAAAGCGGCATTGTCCAAACGTGCTATCTCGGGTCAGCGGACAGGACACGCTGCACAACCCAATCATGGCAACGGTTAATGCAGGGACAAGTACTGGTACCCAGCTGCATCCATAGACACGTCTGTCTTAGAGTATCCATACCCGTAACTCCTAAGCGCGTACTGAATCTGCAGGTCTCAAGAGACGGGACTCTCTACGTGGATGCTAACCACCGAGAAGCTGCCTGCGTCATCAGAATTCTCTGCACTAAAGCTCCTCTAGCATACAAATGCTTGCAAAAGGTGGGAGCAGACGCCCGGGGAGGTTGTAATGAGTTGCCATTTTTTATCATTTGCGTGTCTGTCTCCGGATCCACCATTCTTTGAACCCACATGTAGGACGCGGAGAAATCAGGCCTCCAGTTTCTGACAAGCAAGCTAACCAGTTCCTGTCTGCAACCTCTGTCTAAGCTGTCCCCAATCTTGAACAGATAAACTGGTCGATACAGACACGTTATCTCCTGCGTTGCGAGCCAGCAAACCACGCAGTAAAAGTCCTACTGCTACGGCTTGGCGCTCCCCTCTATGTCGCACAGTGTGCGTCGACTTGCATTGGTCAGCCTCTACTCCGCGTCACTATAAGCGCTTGCTAATGCTCTCGGGAGGGGTCAGCTCTTGGAATCGTAGGATCTGTGCAGCTCTACTGACAACCAGGAACACCGACACCTGTAGCCTAACAGGGCGGTAGATAACACTCGCTTCGCGCCATTCTATTAACCTCGATGATTCCCAGTTCATTGCACGCTCTTTGTTCACATCACTGACTCCGTGTTTTCATAACGCTTCTCAGAACCGGAGTAAATGTGCCAAGTAAAGCACCGCGAATGACTTTATCGTCTAAGCGGGGTTCTGCCCCATATCATAGCTTCACTATGAACTCACAATGCACGCTGCTATACATACACAATCTGCATGGGTGTGCGCGCCTTATCTATACTTCTAAGTATCGCTGATATAGTAGGCCTTAGTGCTGATTTTCAAAGGGCACTGAATTGCATGGTAACCTTTAAGGGCTACCTATTCCATGCTGTGACTGATAGCTCGAGGACACCTTATAGTGGCTTTCCTCTGATCTTATGATCAACGTTTCAATAGTCCGTGGAAGATAGAACGAACCCTTAAATATGCCGTAAAAGGGTATCCCCGAGGGTTAAGTTCCGTAACCCTCTGCCAAAAAGCCAGAATTACCAAAATATATATGCCTAAGTGTCACAGATAATTCTAGAGAGTCATAGAATACAGTGTCATAAATACCATCAGACGCCCACGCTGAGGGGGCAGTTAGCACTGCATTCTAATCTGTAGGCCTCTGCAACCTTGAGCAGAAGGGTGTGCCAACTCAAATGGGCTGAACAGCTGTACTACGAGGTGCTAAAGAAGTTAAGCAAAGCCTTAGCTAGTGCAGCTCCTGATTGCAAAAGGAGCAATTCAGTAAATATGGTCTAAACTTATTCTAACATGTCGGTGGCTTTCCGAGTTCAAACACAGATTACAAGTTTTATCGTAACTCAATCCATAGATTGCAAAGACCTACCGCCACCATAAGAGCGTGACATTAGAGAACGTAGCCTCCAGATAAAGAGATGAAACTACAAGAACGCACGTTCGTAGGGCCCATGTTAGAGGCTTCAAAGAACAGTCATCGTCCTAATGGCAGGTCAACAAAGCACTTCGTGAAGAAGTGCCAGAGTACTAACATAAGCAGCTTCTCCAAAGCAATCACAGTTGTATTTGTCAGATATCCTCACAGAGAATAGCACCTATAGGTCCTCGCTCTGTCTGAAATGCATTCATAGTTATGAATAGAGTAGTTCTAGACCGTGTTACAACTCGATAGCGCCGAACCTAACTCTGTTAAGCTCAATATACGCACATTCATATGGCAGCTCTCTCTGGTTCAGCATTGCGTCCAGGCAGTACGACGGACATTGCAGCCCCAAAGATACTCACACACCTGTAGATATGACCGGAGGATTGTCGTTAACATAGCGGGGGCAATGAACTTTAAAAGAGTTGATTGATTCAATGGATCTTGCACGCTTTGCCCACACTTTACGAGCACAAGCTCCGGGAGGAGCAGAAACAGAGGTCTCCCTTACTCTGGGAGCCACAACGATCGAGGCCATTAAAGCACTATGCAAAGCAATGGGGCTGGAGGACCATACTCAAGACCTATCTCTATTCCTCCGAGAAGAGACAGGCGCGCGCATTCTTCAGACCAGCGACCGTCCTCTGGAACTATACCTTCAACAAGTCAATATCCCAGACGGGCTTTCTCCCTTCTTACTTCGGAGGCTACCCCAGCACACGACAAACCCAAGTGTCACTGAAAACTCTCCCTATAGTTTTCTTGCCGTGGCCCAGGGTATCGAGGACTACATGCGTCTGCCTATACCCCCGTCAGAAGATAATGTCGTTGAATTTGCATCTTTGCGTCTTTTACTAGACAAGGATCCACTGTCACCGGGAGTTGTGGCACAAAATATAGAACGCTACATCCATCCGTGCATACGAAGCAAGCGCACAGCCAAAGATTGGGATGTTCTGGTTCTCTCTCGGGCCAAGGCCAGGGGACATCCCACAGTGCAGACTCACAGACTTTTCGTAGAATTCATCGATAGCGTCGATCTCACTAGGATGGAATTCTTTGAGGCTACATATCTCTCTCCCAACGACCCTGTCTCTGTTTTTCTAGCGGTAGATTCTAAGGCTCTACATATATATGATCGTGAAACACACAACAAACTTGCGCTTCATCCTTTACACTCCATACACTCATGGACAGTGGACGTAGAGCATGGCAAGCTCGAATTTCTGATTGCGTGGCGAGCCGACAAGCACATGCTCGCCTTTATGGCCAGGCAAGCGTATGCGATAATCTCGCTGATTAAATATTACGTTGCGCGTGCACTGGAGCATATTCTATGACTACTTGCAAAGCGTCAGTCAACTACATACCTGGTCCCCACTCATCCATGCATCAAAGAATTTCACAGTTGCATTAGCTGCGCCCGAACCGTATATGTTCGCTGTCCACTAGGCGTCAAGTCGCCCAACGGAACCTCTTGTGTTGTTGCAACATTGCTCTTAGCTCCAAGATCAGAGGCATCAAGCGCAGAAGATATCATGTCTCTTGCACTGACAGTCCCTGCCATCCTTTTCCTTTTTCTGGACACTCTTCGCTTCCTATCGGACTCCGCCTTTACTGTGTCTATAATCGCATATGAATCAATCCCATAGCCAACCACTGCATGCAAGTTACATATGCACGCTGTTGAAAACATAAGAGAGTCCACTATTTCCTTTAGACAGTCTGAGGGATTATTGTGAGAAGATTGAGGGCGCTCGCGACTGTAACCAACTGGTATAATCGACTCATACTGAATACCCAATAGTTCAGCGATGTGTTGTGTCTGCTCAGCTGACTTTCCCTTTAGCTCTGAAGCATCCCTAGCCAACTCGTCGAGCATCGACATGGGAACGGGATGGTTCTGTGCATCAAACCTTTCCAATCGTTCATCTTGCCTATTGATCTGTCTGTACAATGCAGCTTGCTGCGCTTCCAGGGCATCAAGTCTTACTGACTCCGGACCGCTGTACTTGATCATCTCAGCTTCTGCCGACTCCGACAAGGGGTGACGTCTGCCTTCTGCCTCTACTAAACGTAATAGAAGATCAACCAAGTTGGAAGCGGTGTGACTCGTGAATTCAAGTAGTTCATCATTTATCGGCAGTCCAGGATCCAAAGTGTCAATTGCTCTACTGCCTATCTGTATCTGTGTCGAAAGAAGTTCATGATCTGAGACTGCCTCTTGGCCCAGCAGAGCATGCTCCTCAGATTTTACGTACCTTGAAGCTTTGCCTGCGATGTCTCTGAACAGCTTCTTGTACTCGTCAAGCATCTTGCTCGCCTGATTCTCTTTCTGTCGAGCCTGCGCCTCATAGCGACACACAAGCTGTTCCATCTCCTTTGTGAGAGAGGTGTTGAGAGCAGTGGCCTCTTCGAGCTTTCTCCCTGCAGCCTCAGCTTGCATCTTGAAGAAGTCCCTCTGTTCTTGCGCCTTCTCAAAGCTATGTTCATCGATCCACGCGAAAATGCCTTCTAGATCTCTGACGCAGCAGCCGTTTAGAAGTCGGAGAGCCCCCACCAACTCTGCAAATGCCCACATTTACTCAGTTGCTTGGAAAACAGACTCTCAGTTTACACGACCACGGACCAAAAAATGGCATCGCATGGCAGAGTCCACCGAGCGACGCAGGAGTTTCTCGACCTGTACAGCAGTGCGAAGATACCCACAAAACAAGAGCTCGCCGCGAACCCCATCACGCCCGAAGAAGTGCTTCGGCACAGGGACGTCAATGACTGCTGGGTCAGCCACAAGGGAATAGTTTATAACCTCACGCCTTACCTTAGATATCACCCAGCCGGTATTGCGCCCATAGAGGATTACTATGGCTATGACATAACGGCAGTCACAGCGGCCGTGCACGGATTTGTCCAGGTGGAGCAAATAATTGCCCCTTTGGCCGTAGGGGTTCTGAACGGAGACCCCTGTGTACCCCCTGAGAAGAAGCTGAAGGTGGAAACGGGTGTTCTACGGAGGCGGTACTAGCTCATGCAAATGCCCCATTCGGATGGACAGGCCTTTGTCCCTCGTTATGAACCGAAGCATTGAGGTCTGACTCCTGAAGATCCCTCGTCTGTAGCATCGAGGTATGGATACCCGGTGGGCGGAGTGCCGTGCTTGTTGTAAGGTCGAGTGACCTGTCCAGCTTTTCGTGAAAGTAATTCATATCGATGTTGAGGGTCCCGACTTGCGCATTCAGCTCGCGCGACCGATCAAGAAGCTCTTGTACCGTCAGACGCTGATTGTCTGCCCCCACTTTTTCATTCGAAGATGCGCTCTGTGTTGGGATCTCTATTTCTTGCACGCTACTCGGAGTTAATTCAGACTTAAAGGCTATTTGGTCATCAATGTTCTTGATTCCGGTCGCAAATGTCTCTGGCGTGGCCAGTCCTGGCCTCTGAGAACGTGCTGATGCGGTAAACTGCGGGCTTATGCTTTTTTCCAACACGTCTGCATAGTTACGCCCTCTGTCTGATCGTGTTCTGCTCACAAGGTCTTTCTTGTGGGACTGCTGCTTCAGCTGCTCGATCTGTTGGCGGAGATCTTTAATGGTACCCTCGTAAACCTCGCGCTCAGACAAAGAATCAGCCCTTTCTGATGTGTCCCTTGCAGTATCTAACTGTCTCTTCAGAGCCTGTATCTCTGCGTTCTTCGTTAGGATGACTCGGTCTAGGGTCTTTGTCGCTGCATCTAATTCTTGTTGGAGAGAGGCGGTGGTTGCGTTGCCAAATTGCTCCCTCTGTGATAGAAGCTGCATCCGCCAGTGGTTCTCGCGCTCCTCGAGTTCCTGTCTGTGCTTGTGCGTCAGAAGAGCAATTTCGTCGCGGAGTTTCAATACTTCTGCTGATTCAGCCAGATTCTTGTGGGAAAGCTTATGCTCTGCAATTCTGAGCTGGTCCTGAAGAGCAGTGATTTCCTGGTTTGCCTCGTGAAGCCGCTCCTTGATAGCAGTAGCATGCTCGTGTGTAGCCCTTTCCTCGAGCGCTTTAAGTTGCACTTCCTTGTGTGTCGCAGTCAGAATCCCTACCAAGCTCCTCTTTTCCTCGTCCATATGCGCCAATTGATCTGAAAGCATGGCAAGCTTAGTTGTCTGTGATTGGTCTGTTGAGCGCCGTTCTTCCAAAAGAGCCTCTAGCTCGCACAATTTATGTGCTGACTGGCCAACCTCTTTGGTTTTTTCGTCCAGTAGAACCTGGAGTCTGCTCTTCTCATCTTCGTATGTAGATAACTTGGAAGTTAACTGTGCAAGAAGCACGGTTTTTTCTTCGATGGCAATCTTCAGCGATTCGATCTCCGCGTTGAGCGCTTTTTCGCTTAGTGCGCGAGCATGTTCCGTGCTACGAAGCTCTTCTTTGAGAGAGTTCGCAAAGTTTTGTAGCGACGCACATGAGTTTGTCTTTTCTTGAAGCAGTGCATCTAGCTTTGAACGTTCTTGCTTGCATGCAGATACTTCTGTTTTGAGCATGTCTGCAGCAGATGAAGCGGTATCGAGCTTGTGCTTAAGGTCCGAGACATATTCAAACGTTGGACGTGCTTTCAGCTCCGTCTCAAGCGCCCGCAGCTTTATCTCTAAGGCCTCATTTTCCTGAGAAGCTTTCTTTGCTGCTAAAGAATCAGCATTTCTGGCCTCTAGCTGCGCCGAAAGCTCTGCTTGCTTGGTGGTGGCCTCCTCCAGCTTCTTCTTGAGGGTCCCTATTTCAGATATCTTGTCGGAAAGCTCCGCAGCCATGGTTTCTCTTAGCGTGTGCAGCTGTTGCCTTAGGTTTTCCTCTGTTAGTGTTGCAGCGTTCAGAGCTGATTCCGTGTGCAGTAAATTGTCTGCATTCCCCGTAGATGATGACAGCTTCTCCATCGAACCAGAAGTCGTTAGCTGAATGATTCTCTCCTTGCACTTTGCGATCTCGTGGTCCTTCTCTTCTATCTGTTGACTGTGTTGTTGCTTCTGCGACCGCAGAGTAGCATTCAGGCTCTCTATGTTTTCTGTGAGAGCATCTTCAGCATTCGCCAATTTGACTTCCAGGTCCTTGCATGCCAACGTCAGCGTTTCAATGGTTTTTTCGTGAGCAGAGATCGTGGAATTAGCTTTTGCAAGCTCAGCCTCTGTAGCGACAAGTCTAGAGTGAATGTCAGAGGCAGAAGCGGCAGAAGCTTTTGCTGCTCCAAGCACATGCTCCAAATCAGCTAGCTTTCGTACAAGAATGTCATACTCGGCTCTTGCCACACTGAGCGATGCCTGTAGTTCGCTCTTTTCCTTCTGAAGTTCTGTCTCTCGACTTAGTGCCTCGTAGATCTTTCCTCGTAGCTCCTCGGTCTTCTTTTCCCCTTCCATATACTTATTCAGAAGTACAGTCGGGTCTAGCTTAATATCGTTGAGCACATCATACTTAGCCTGCAGAACAGCAAGCTCGACTGTCTTATCTGTCTGCCGCAGCTCGATAATTGTCTGCTCAGATCTGGCCAGCTCATGCCGAAGAGCGTCTACTTTCTGGGTAAGGGACGAAATGTCTTTGGCAGCAGACTCAGCGGAGGCTTGCATCCTATCGCGCTCTTCTAGAAGAGTCGCAATCTGTGCCTCGCGTGTAGCAATGCTCGCCTGAAGCCCTTGGATCTCGTGACGAATTTCTTGTGCTAGGGGTCCATCGGGGAGGTCGCGAAGAGACGTTGGAATGGATGCTGCACATCCTTGTGGTAAGTTTTCCGAGTTGATGGGGCAAAGAGTGCTGGCGTCCTTGCAAGAGTATTCTGTAAGCACTTCCTTGTCAACGACAGATGGAGGATTGTAGCTGAGTCTTTCCTGTGGTTCCAAAGGCTCATCGCGTTGCACTGATATGTGAGGCGGGACATTCGAAGAGGTGCCTACCACACTAGAGCTAGTTGGGTCGGTGCCTCCATACTTAGCCAGATTCTCCTGCAACTCTCTAATTTCTACATCCTTTTTCTCGATGACGGCCTTAACCAATTCGCACAACGCTGGACAGCTCGACTGAACAGAAGCGTCAATACCGGAAGCCAATGGAATAGTTTCTTCCTGTTGTGAGGATAAAATAGAGGAGACAGAAACCCCTAAGTGTGCAACCAATACTTGCAGCTCAGTGGCCTCTGCCTTATACGAGCCGAGGGCATCTGTGGCCAGACGAAGATCTTGCCTCACCGATTTCTTCTCTTGCTCGAGCTTCTGCAGCTCATCCTTGAGGCGAGCGATTTCTGCATCACGCTGAGTTATGAACTTCTCTGCGTTAGCCTTTACTTTCTTGAGTCTCCTCTCGAGCTCGTCCCGTTCCGTGTGAAGTGCGGCTTCGCTAGCTTGAACTTTTGAGAGTTCTGCCTTAGTGTTCTCAAACTCCTGCTGCGCAACTGACAAAGTCAGCGACAGCTGCTCGTTGGTGCTGCGAAGGATCTGAAGCTCATTGCTCCGCTCAGCAATTACAGACTCGTTGTGCTTGCTAACCGTCGCGCACTCGTCGAGATAGCTCCTAAGCTCTATATTCTTAGCGCTATTGATCCGTTCAGCAGTAGCGAGAAGCTCGGACAGACGATCGACCTCCTTCTCCTTTGTCTTTGCAAAGTGCGTCAGGTCGGAGATGTGGAGCTCTTTCTGGCTGATGATGTCTTTCAACATTAGGTTTTCTCTGAGTAACTCGCCATTTTCTGCTAAAGAGGTTTGAAGCTGCTGGGACAAGGCCTCAAGTTCACGCTGAAAATCCGTCTTGATGGCGTCATTGGTGGTCTTGATAGTAGACAAGACGTCATAGATGTGGGAAATCTGAACGGTGGTCCCAGGTGGGTCTTGAGGGCCTGTGCATCCAGCAGGCTCAGGATATTCAGAAGCACGTGCATCAGAGTTCCGAATTCCCATGATAATATCGTCATTGATGGTCTGCAGTTGGGAGTGGAGCTGCTCCAGCTGGTGGAACTTTTTCTCTAAAGCTGAATGCGTCGAAAGCAACTGCGCTGAGTTGGACCCGGACTGTACGTCCTCGGGTTGTTGTGATGAGGGCTGAAGTGGCTGGGCGGTTGTAGTACTATTAAACGCGCCGGTCAAAAGATCGCTCACCTTTAAGTTGATTCCAGCCGACATCGGCCTATGGATGCGAACTGACCCAGTGGTCTGTTTAGGCTCTCCTGAAACGGGCTCCGTAGCTAGCGTCTGAGACCCTGAATGGCGGTTAAAGCCCGCCGAATGAGAAGTGTCACCAGAACGTCCGACGGTTCCTGATGATGAAAACGACCTAGAGGGTCGCATAACCGAGCCAGTGCCTCCTTTAAGGACTTTGCTGTGACTTGCTGAGCGGGCGACAGATCCAAACAGTGGATAGGTACCAGAATTTGGCATTGTTTAATATTCAAAAGGAGCAGGGCCACCAGTACCTACTATTTGCTCTGCTAGTATATTGGAGACTGTCTCGTGTCCAGACAGAGTATAATCTGAAAATCAAAAATGGAGTACTTGTTTCGAGTAGCCTCCCAACAATCTGCGCCCCCAGGGAACTGTGAAGACTCGTCTGATGATGACTGTGGCTACAAAGGCATGGACCTCATTATCTCCGAGGGAAACCTCCTGCGGGTGGTGAGAAACAAGTCGACGCTTGGGCTTTGCATGGTTAAGCACCAGAAACTCTTGGACTACCTTGTTAAGGAGCACATCCTTATAGAGATCATGCAGCTAATCTTCAACCGCACGGCTACTCCGTTGAACTCTAGTCTGTGCACTGACACTAAGGAGGGATCGATAATGACTGACTCGATCATAAACCCCCAGCCTGCATCTCCTATACATGTCACGTCACATGATCTAGCCACTGACACGGCAATCCGGGGCCAGTGTTACCCCGTTACCCTGGACGACGTCTATAGAGCTATCGACTTAATACGCACAGCTGAGCGAGTCACACCAGTCCTTACCCATATTATGTCGACGCCTTCTATTCTGCGCATCCCCTTCCAAGCTGTAGCCGTTGTCTATGGTTTTTTTGCCGACCGCGTCCATCCCCTTAAGGACATCGTTGTGAACCCTGCCAGCGATGACGAGTCGAACAGTGATTGCAAGATCGAAGTCACAAAAGCCTTTGATGCGCTTTTGAACATTTGCACACTTTCAGTCGATAACCTCCCTATTTTCGTTGATGCGTTAGAGCAGCCTCTCTTTGATACTGATGAAACCAAAGATAGTGACTCGTCGCCAGTGCTTCTAATAGACGTATGGGTGCAGCTTTTGTTGTTGAATAGAGCAGGATCTTCGTTTGTGCGCCTGGTGACAAATCCAAAGGATAAACCAGCACCCCTTCTTGACAAACTCGCAGCTTTTCTTTCCCAGAGGGGTGTTTTCAGTACTTATATCGATCATCTTTTCGTGTCTACCAACACCAGCTGTGATTCTATAACTAGTATTCTTGTTCAGTCTTTAAACTCCCAAGTTCCTTGGTGCAATACTATCGTTCAAGAGTTTCCGCGCCTTTTTAGTCTTTTTCTCTTATTAACAGGAAATTCCTTGCCTGCTGACTTGCCAGCAGAGCTTTTATCAAGACTTCCCACTTTATCACCTATAACTAATCCATCTTTATGTCTTACATCATCGGTTGCCGACATGCTAGTATATATGTTGCGCACAATTATTCTTGACGCCGTCACGATTTCTCTAAATAACCCCGAGGACCCGACGCTAGAGGGTAAGACAATCATTACTTTAGAGTTCCTGAAAAATAAAGGATACACTCACGCAGATAGCTGGACTCTCTTCATTACAAGACTCTTGCCTGCACTTTGCACTGCAACAGTGAGCAAACTGGAGGAGTCCGCCGAATCGTCAAGCGGTACATTCTCAGTGGTGGCTCTATTGATGCTCAAAACAGTTGTTAGATTTATCGAACTAACCGGCTGCATAAATGATCATATCGATAGCGTTCTAATATCGAATACATACGGTTGTTCCTCGGCGACTCTTCTTTCAGTGATTTCCGCTGCGACTGAAATTAGCTCATGTAGCACTCTGCCTTCGTCTCTACGCTCACTTGGATGGGATGTCGAACCAAGTGAGTTCTTTAACAAGCTTCGCTACGGAGACGCAGGCCGGTTGTGCAGCGTGTCCATCGAGCTGATTGTACAAACAGTTGCACAGTCAGAATTGTACTCTGTATTGTGCAAGGTTATGCGTGTGTTCCCTACGACAACCGTTGTCCTTTTTCTCTGCTCCCGTCTTTTTATCGTTGCTGCCTTCTATTTGTTCAGCTCGGACTCTGAACTTATTGAACAGGCGCTTAAGCAATCTGGAATTTTTGAAGAGCTTGAGCTTGTGTCTATTGACGATGCTTCCGATTGTATAACTATAAGGCCTGTGTCTGAGATGGAAACGTTTTCAATCGATGAGCCGTTGCCCACGAAGTTTTTGCCCTATAGATTCCGATCGCCATTTATTGTACACCTTCTCGGCATCCTTAGAGCATTTATCAGGCTGGCTGCGAATGTTACGCAAAGGGAATACGACTCCGAATGGTCACGCTATCTTGAGTTCCGTGAATCGTCTAGTGTACCTCCAACACGTGTTATGACATACGCACAGCTTAGGACTCTCGCTGACAATCACACTTCTTTGCGGAGACTTTTGCTGGAACACCAGAAACTGGCTTCTGTTTCCTCTGCCTTCCTTTGGTTGGATCGCATAGGGGGAAACTGCTACTTCAAGGGTCTACTCCCCTTCTCGCGCCGACTTCTTTCTCTTGGAATCTCTACCTATGCAGGCGTCTCGCTAGAATCTCTTATGGAGTACGCTGAAAAGGAGCCTGTCTTTGCAACTTCACAGGATTGGAACGTCAACGCCAACTTTTCTCTTAAGCAAAACATAGTTCTTGGCGCCCTCAAGCAAATGCTAACTTTGCAGAGGGGATCCCAGTTTAGTTTCACTGAAACAGACCTTAACAGCATTTACAACGGAATAATGTCTACGTCGCTGGATGACGAGGAGGATAACAATGTCCATACTGGCGACGACAACCTGGATACTGGGCAGTTTGATGAAAATGTGGATGTGACTTCCTATCTAGCAAACAACGAAGCAGAGGTTCTAGGGGGACAAACAGACGTGGCACCGAGCTCTGGTGAGAGTGAGACTTTCGAATCTGCTGATGTAATAGCATTTGCGGAGTGTCTGCCAGAAGAGCTGGAGCCCCCTGTTGAACTATTGCCCCCGCTGGAGTCTGACAGTGAGGCACTGTCGGGAAGGTCTGAAATGTGTGATATCGACGATAGCTGTCCAGCTAAAGCACAATCTAGTAGCAAAGAACTGACAGATAGAAGCGATTTGGTAACTTCCACAGAGTCGCATGCTCCCTTAGTTTGCACGACAGCGCAGGAGCTTGCCCACATCCTTCACAATTCCCTGCCTAATGGCTCTACCGGGCTCATAAAAGACTCTGTATCAACTCATCAGCGTAGCACCGAGGTTAAGACTCCAGATAGCGCAACGTGCAGAGACCAAACTCCTCGCGGACAATATGAACAGCAGATCAATGTTATACATCTCACCAGTGTCGATAGCAGAGATAGATCATACAGCCCTCCACCTATTCCCAAATCGTCGTCGCCTCCAGCTGGTATTCACAACCGAGCATCTCGCGGAACATGCTCGCCAAATAAGCCTTTAGCCGCGATTAGCTCCATTGGCACAAGGCGAATAGACAAATCTCCGACCACAGAAACTGCAATTCTTACAGAGAAATCCCCGCGTGCAAAGCCTGCCACAAGGCCGTTTGCACAAAGCAGCCGCCCAGTGCGTGAGGCTATCAAGCCAAGCAATGAATATTGCGACATCCCGCCCAATGAAGGAAGGTTTATGACATTTGAAGAAGCCACTGCAGTACTTGAAAAGCAGAACAGCATTATTGGACGAAGGGCACGTGTCGATGATAGCAGTAGAGAAAATGAATTTAGGCCTCTTCCGAAAAAGATGATGGCGGCGTCGTCCTCCTACTACGCAGGACGATTTAGGGACTATCGTGGAAGAACTTAGCCTTTTGTAAATCAATAATCAGCCGCACTTTCCTCTATAACGGTTCAGCATCACGTGAATCTATTTCTCAGCCAAAGCTTTCTTCAATGCGGCATTTTCAGAAAGCAGATTGTAGATTCGTTGGTTCAGTAAATCGATTGTCTCTGTTAGGCTAAGATGATCTTCTTCAGTAGCTCGCAGCCTCCGGATCTCTTCCGAAAGCAGATGCTCGTTCAACTTTAACTCAACAAAGGACGCAGATAGCGCTCTGTCTATGTTATCGGGAGCGGATGATTGCTGCTTCAGATAATTGAACAAATCGTCCTGGAGCAACGAGACTGCCGTTTTGTAGTTGGTAAGTCTAGCTAGAAGTTGAAGCTCGTACTTATCTCTTTCAAGAAGGGAGCCTTGCAGCGAAGAAACCAACTCTGTAAGATCTTCTGACACAGGGACAGACGGAAGGGTTGGCGGAAGTGGAGCATCTAGTTCGCTGCTTGGGGTCTCCGTCTCAGTATGAGTCTGCTGAGTCTTAGAAGATGTATGCGCTGTGTCAATTGCTGCCTCCAGTAAGGAATCTAAACGCTTAAAGATAGATTCTAGAAGTCCAGTCTCTGGACAGTGGACAGTGCGTGTTTCAGCAAGGAGATCCGTAACCAGTTTAGAAGCTGCCTCACGAGTGGGCAATAATACACTTAACCCATCGTCCACTTTCTGTAGAAACGTAGATAGCTCAGAAGAACGCATCTGCTGTGAGTGTGAATGCTCTAGGACAGCACACTGAGATGGAATCGTCAGCTCAGATAGGTCTTCGTCCTGCTGGTCCACACTGCGGGCTGCGCCAACCGCCGCCTTGTACTCTTGTTGTGCTATATTAAGTATGGGGCAATCTTCTGCTGCAAGACTCTCATGCGAAAACCATGTGTTGGCCCCTTGATTGGTTTTTTCTATGTTCATGAGTGTATCTAAGGCTGACGAGCGCTCCAATGACGCTCGGTGAGCACAAGGCATGTCTTCGGATGCCTTGGGCGTGGGCAGCGGCTCGATAGCCTTATCCACAGAAAATTCTAGTCGAAAGGGCGGAAGATCAGTCCCGAAACGAAGAGTATCACCAGGGTAAACAGGGACAGAGTCGTTCTTTATCTTGATGTCATTTATGTATGTGCCGTTCCGAGAATTCAAGTCTATCACAGCGCTATTCCTAGGCCCCTCCAGAAGGATCTTAGCATGATGACCGGAGATGGACTTGGAATCCAAGGATATGTCGCAGTCAGCGGAACGACCAACCACGATTATCGGCTTGTGCAAGGCAATGTAGCCGGCAGGCCCTCGAAGAAATGCAAGCGCCTCCATGGGAACTGCTCTTCAAGCGCGCTTGTCAAAAAACAGGCAGCGTACTTTTTCAATTGCCGCCTCCACGTGCCACGTGAAGCAAAGAACTGTGCTTGATGTGGTATTCGATATACTTATCTTTGTGATTTCACGTCCCATCAATCGCCTTATGGGTTTGCATCAAGGTAACCAGCTGAGACGAATGTTGGCCATGAATGTAGATTGCAGCCCCGTCCAGCCACGCAAAGCCCTGCACCCCTCGTATTGGGCTTACCTGCCCGTTCACTCGCTCCAAGGTCAAAATGGTTCCTAAGGGCACGCTGTACACACAGATGTGTTTGTCCAAGATGCAGACCAGGATCCAGTCGCTCATTGTGTTAGCAGTAGAGAGGTTCACAAGGCCTATATACGCCTCTCCTTGAGCTAGAGGAACTGTAATTGCATCCAGATAATCATAAATAGAAATATCTCTGTCGAGAGATAGAACGTCTCTTTGAAGACAGGCCAGTATTGGGAACTTGTAAATTCTGGCTACCTTTTTGGAGCCGTGGCTGAGAAGCATTAACCCAAGAGCCAAAGGAGCCTCGTCGTCTAGTCTGCTCACAAGCTGGTACCACTTGAGTTCTTCCTCTGGAAAGCGCTTTGCAGCAAGAGATTTGTCGACCGACAGGGATGGTATAGAAAGCCCAAACATCTTTCTTTCTCCAATGAATACGATGCAATAGAAGCGCCGCCCATGCATTCCGTTCAAAATTGATATCCGCGGATTGGGGTTTCCCCCTATTGTTAGGTATGGCTGAGTGCTCCCCTTGGACTTGCCGATGTCTTGCTCCACACAAGGACTTTGCCCTGCGGGCGTCAAGGTCCGCTCATAGTCCCCACACAATTGACAGACTAGCGCTGCACAAAGCTGCTTGTAGATCACCTTGTGTACTCTATGCTGTAGCGGCTTTATTTCTTCGTACGACGCCCCTCCATCTGCCAGGTCATGATACAGTTCTATGACACAACAATCTGGAGTAATAAGCGCATAGCTACTATTTGAACCAGCGTGAACCATCCGAAGCTGCAGACCTGGGACACGCCTGACGACCACGTCCGTTAAGTCTGTCACCGATAGCAGAAGGCTATTGAGACTGCTAGACACCATTGATGTACGCCCCTCTTTGAAGGTACAGCGGCAGAGCAGGATGGTTTCAGAATGCATCATGAGTGAGCATAGAATCATACTGAGCTCGGGCACGCGCTTGCCGGCATAATCACTCTCCGTGATGTGCGTAGATGCTATTTCAAATTTCGAACAAGGAAGATGAAACGGTAGGGGAAGCCAATACTGATCGCATGTTCTGAGATTCGTTATCAGGAGATAGTAGGCTGCTGCAAACAGTGGGCCAAACTCAGACGATGGATGAGAGTAAAGCCACCGCCGCAACAAACAACTGGCAAACTCGTGTGCTTCATTAGAGGTGTGAACGGTCACCAGATAGTCGCCATAGACGTAAGTACTTGTCGAGAGTCTAGCTCTCAGATTTGCATAAAGGTCTCCGACAGAATCACGACTCTTTTGGGCGGCTTCAGTTACATCAAATGGTAGAACCGGCAAGCGCAGCCTTTTCTCTACCAGATGCTTGCCCTTGTTGTAGTAATTAACAACAGCAGGGAAAATACTACAGAACGGCCTGTCAGGGCCAGCATCCCAATAGAACTCCAACCTTCTGAAGAGATGGTACCTTGAAAAAGATATCGCCACAAGCTGATCTGCATTTCGTTCTAGATGCGGGCTGGCTCTCAGTTCATACACTGGCCCGTGATCCTTGTTACTATGTAAAAGAAAACTTTTGTACATGGGAAGAAAAGAGTGTAGCTGCTGAGGTTCTGCATTGATGGCGGGATCAACGCAATGACACGTGATGCCATCGCCATTGTAGCTAATCAAAACAGAAAGAGGAAGGTTGTGAGGATTAAAGTCGATCAAATCTAGACGAAATATAACACTTTCTGAAGTGAGGATTCCGGGCAATGTCAACGGAGCCTCAACAAACGCAGGGACATTGTGCAGAGGCTCGTTCTTCAGGGTCACCCTCTTGGCACAGAAGACCTTTTGCTGTCTATGATTCAATAGAAGCAGATTCTCTGCACACCGCACACAACCAGTGTACTCTGCGCGTGTAGTAAGATAGGCCTCAAGCAGAGTAACAAAGGATACTCCCATTGCACTCCATGTCATGTACAGCAACACACCGGGGCTCCCAACGATAAGATAGTAGTAGATAGGCCCTTTAGACTTTTGATCTTCTAACTCATGACTGCGAAACCTTTCAACCTTCAAGATGGAAAGTCGCTTGTATTTAATGAAGGCCTCCCGCCACTTGGCATCTTTGGTGCTGTCATAGTAAAGGGTGATGTTGCCCTCGCTTAGTCGCTGGATATATAGAAAAGAGCCATAGACTGCCACAAGCACGTCCCCTAATTCCTCCATATGTACGGTCATGTGTAGGCCATTTGGACTTCCTAACTCTGATCTTCGGGTGGCAAGGGTATCATGTAAGAAGTGCGGATGGATGCTCTGCACAACAAGACGTCGCTTGCCTCCCACTGAAACTGTATTACACTGGATGATGGATTGCATTGTCAAAAGAAACAGTTGCTCGGCACAGGAGGCCACGGACTGGATGCTCATAAGCTTGTCGACGCACTTGAGCCGAGACTCAAAGCAAACATCTTCCCAGTTATTTCCACAGATGAGAAGAACCAGGTCGATAATAATGGCTCCCATGTTTTCCTCTACTATCTGGGGAACAGCAGGGTCTTCTTGTTCTTGCATGGAAGGAAAATCTTGATGAGCGCGTTGGAGCAACTTGCCGTCTTTCCCATCAACAGCCCGATGTTTTAAAGTGCACAGCACACACAGATAGTTGCTGTATCCGTGGATGATAAGGGATCCTTCAGTTCGCGACCCCAAGTCTACAAGCTGATATCTTGTCGTACTTCCGTCCCAGGTAGCCCACAGAATCACGATTCGTTGTTCAATGGCCACTGCCAACACTATAAACCGACCCACCGCCAGTGCAACGTGCTGAGGCACGCTCATCTAACTTTCTCAAAAACACATAATGGAACCTCTCTGGTGCCTCGATGAAAGAACTAGGCACACAATCGGCTCCAAGAACCATAAAAAGGAGACAACTGGAGCGCGTGCGTTCGAGAAAAGAGAGAGCAAAACTATTTACTCCAACGTAGTAGCACTTTTGCGGCATAAGTTGCTTTTAGAGGCCACCATACAGTACGGCTCGTTCCACAAAGCAGTCTCAAGTTCTTCGGAATAACGTCGACACCATCCGATAGTGATCTTGAAGAAGCTTAGCGAGTCTGGGCCCTTCAATCAATGCTAAAGGGTCACTCGCTAACGGGTGTAACCCAGGAATACCCCAGGTGGCTGAGGACGCCCTAAGGCGAACGCTTCGTTGCCATTGAATAGCTCGGCTCAAAGTATGCCGCAGTGCAGAAGCTGGGTAGGGCGCCGGACGGGTCTGCAGCAGCCTCAGGAAAGATCAAGCTGCTGTCACAATTAGGACCCTTACCTGGGATTGCTTGGTCCTCAGCGACAGAGTGATCAGGTGGTTGTTTTTCCGCCTTAGAATCTGGAGCGGTACCCTTGCTGAAATCGAAGTCCAGCTTTATGGTTTTGATCTTCGTATAGATCTTCGTTCGGACCTTGAAAGACTCGTACACGTCGCGCTTCCAGGCGTCCTTATGCTTGTCGATTTCATCCTGATCAAGGGCCCTCTTCCCGGAATTGTTGTCGTTTTTCTTCTGCCTTTGAAGGCTCAGTATCATTCTGTACGTCTTCTTTAGCTGGGCGAGCCTCTTCAAATATGCTCCAACCGCATCCTGAATTAGCGAAAAGTCTGTTTCAACAATTCTTGTGTGCTCTTCGGCAGCGTTCACAGTGCCGAGGATGGACTTGTAGATGTTGTTTTCCGATGCCGCTGTTGTCTCCGTGAGCATCGGGGCTCGATGCATCTTCAGCATGAGGCTTCGAAGGCTCTTGACATATCTGCGATAGATGAACTTATACGTTTTTAGGTACTTAACGAACCACGAAAGATTTTTACTGTCGACTTTCGAGGTCTTCAAGAAGGTCGCGTAGATCTCCTCCACGGACTCCACCTGAATCATCGTTTTCTATTTATAAACTGCGAACACAACCATCTCATGTGCACAGGCAACGCCTGGCTAGCACGTAGCAGCGCTCCAGCGTTTCTCTTGGAGAATAGCTTGTCTGCAGTTTACAGGTCAAGGACTTTCAAGAAAACTTATTACACTAAAACAGGTTGGGGAAATAAACACTCTAATTAGATGTCGGCCCCGAAGCTGGACTTCTATCATCGCAAGGTCCGCATAGGGATCTCCGGCTTCGGTAGGATTGGCCGGTTCGCCCTTCGCTACGCCCTTACTTGCCCCAACGTGGAGATTGCCGCCATCAACAACAGGAACATGGAGCGTGCCTACTTCCACTACCTGTTTACCCACGATTCTGTTCACGGCCCTCCCCATGGCTTCACGTGCTCCCTCTCGTGCCCGTGCGGAGAGACAGATTGTAATTGCTCTGGAAACAACAGCGCGGACCACAACCTTATATGGTTCAATGACAAGCCCGTGTACTTGTTCACTGCCGGCGTGGCCTCGGAGATACCCTGGGAAGTGGCCAAAGTGGATGTGGTCTTGGAGTGCACGGGGGCGTACCTTACTGTAGAGTCGTGCATGCAGCATATGTCTCGACCGAATACGACCGTGAAGAAGGTCGTGATCTCCGCGCCGTCTAAGGAGAAGACCTGCCCCACCTTCGTCTACGGGGTCAATCACAAAAAGATCAACGCAGGGAACCACACAAAGTACTCCGTCATCTCTAACGCCTCGTGCACAACAAACTGTCTTGCTCCTCTAGCAAAGGTTATCCATGAAAACTTCGGAATCAAGCAGGCGCTGATGTCCACCATCCACGCGGTGACTGCGACTCAGCCCGTCACGGACTCCGTCATGAAGAAGCGCGACTGGAGGAGTGGCCGAGCGTGCTTGAGTAACATCATCCCGGCCTCCACCGGAGCAGCGTCAGCCTTGACGCTTGTTATTCCAGAGCTTGCAGGCCGCATCACGGGGACGAGCTGGCGGGTTCCTGTCCAGGACGTGTCTGTCGTGGACCTCGTTGTCGAGACGGAGAAGGACACGTCTTATGCAGAGATATGCGCGGCCGTCAAGCGGGCCTGTGAAACTCCAGACGAGCTCTGCGGCATCATGGCGTACAGAGACGACTTCTGTGTCAGTAGTGACTTTCTGACCACCACCACGATATCAAACTTCGACAGCAAGAGCGGCATAGAGCTTCACAGCAGGTTCTTTAAGCTGGTGAGCTGGTATGACAATGAGTGCGGCTATAGCGCTAAGCTTGTTGACATGGCAGCATACCTTGGGTCTTTCGTTGTGATGGACGAGTGGGCCGCGATAGAGAAGACGAAGGGCCGAGGGCGCACATCTAGTGTCCTTGGGCGCGATGTCGAGGACGTTGTCGGCTCTTCTAAGTGAATTAGTAGAAGGCTACTTTTTGAGGGCTGCCTTGATCTCGGCCTTCGAGACAGCGATGGGAGGCAAGGATTTCTTCATTTCTGCGTAGGTAGCGGCTGGCAGTCCTTCCTCAAGACCAAGCTGCTCTATGAAAGCTGACGGCTTCAGCCCTGCGCCTTCCGAAAGAGCGTCGATAAACTCTCGGCACGTCGCACGGCGAGAGGCCCACGCAGTCATTGCATCCTTGTAATCCTTCTGCAGAGTCAGCATGTCTGCGTCACTAACAATCGCATTGCTCTCGTGTATGAGGCGCAGCTTTTCGTCGTTGGCAGAGACCTGCTGGCGCAGCTCCTGAACCTCCTGTCTGAGGAGATCGGTGACAGGGGCCGCCTCGAGGTTCTTCTGGGTGATCCTGAGTGTTTCACTCTGCTGCCCAAGCTTTCCAACCTGAGCTCTAAGGTCGTTTATCTGGGCATTTATTTCCATGAGCTGCGCGTCCGAAAGAACCTCAAGCAGATTCTGGTTCCACAAGTAGAGTTTCCCTGTTTTGCCTATTTCGGTGTAGATGCACAGGTTCTGGGCCACGAGCTCGTCCAGAGCCTTTTGCACCGTTGCTTTTCCATATCTGCTCCCTGTATTGTTGATGGCAGTCTGAACGTTCTGAGGCTTATTGGAGCTCTGCATCAGCTCTTTTACAGCCGCAAGGGCCTCCTTGTACGCAGCGGCCATAAAAAGCTATTTTAATTGCATAGAGGACTATCTGCTTTTAAACGGTAAACAGGAAGCGGCTTTCTCAGGCAAGAGTAATATCAAGCCCAGCTTCGGGATCCACGGGGCATCAAGCGCATGTTCACACGGGCATGTCAGATCCCGCGAAAACTCGTTCCGGCAAAGCTTATGTTCGCGGAGGGTGTGATAACACTTTCTTATGGACACCTTTAAAACGCCAAACACCAAATTCAGATTTTATTCTAGAAATACCAATGGTCGTGCTTGTTGTTGAGACCGCGCAGGAGAGCAGGAACCCGATAATGAGCAGCGTGACGGTGGAGCTTACTGATGACAAGGAGGTTAAGGTCACGCCGAAAGACGGAGAGTCAACTTTACTAAAGGACGTGCAGCTGGTGTCTGCAAGCGATACACAGCTCGTCATCACCGGAACGGACCAGAAGAACAACACCCTGAGATATTACACGTTTAAGCATCAGGAGCTCTCGAAGCAGCCCGACTACGACAAATTCAACAGTCTACCCAAGACAGACCCCATCAAGGCGTTAGAGATGATATAATTAGGCGGCTAAGTAAATCAAGTGCTTAGGACCCTCAGTGCCGTGACTGTATCAAGGAGCTCCGGGGCAGGGTGGGAGATAGGGTCGAGTTATTCCCTCGCATACTTAGATGGATATCCAGTAGACTGGTCTAGCATGGGCCGCAGAACGCGCTGCTGATTGTACAAGCGGTACCGCGACTCGAGTGAGTTCCGATCAGTAAGCAAAACTCCGCCTGGCTTTGACAGGTCTATGCACTCGTCCATAGAGATATCCTGCCTATGCTCGTTTGCGTATCTTCTATTAGACCTTGTACGAACGGGCTTTGACAAGGAACCCCCGTCTTCGGAGATCAGGTTCATGAGTCCCGAAATGGCATTGCGTGCCAAGTGTTCTGTGTCTGTAGAAGATGAGTCCGAGGTCTCTGCATCTTGCAAAACGACTGTATCACCATTGGGTGCATAGAACACGGGTGTCTCATCCAAAAGAGATTGCAACCTCCGGGCACGTCTCTTTAGTAGAGCCTGGGACCCCAGGAACTTGCCGTAAAATTGAAGCGTTGATAGCCGCGGGCGCGCATCGGCGATTTCGCATGAGTCGGAAGATGTGTCGATATGGTGCCGGCTGTCTGTCGCAACGACCGGGTGGATGGGCTGCTGAGCTACTACGGGTGTGTCGAAGACAACCTTCTTGTCTCGAGATTGCGCCCGGACAAGCCGTTGAATAGTCTTCTGGGCATCTCGCCTGGTCGCCTTCTGGGTTCTGGCAGGTTCCCACATGTTGTGGTTGTGCTCTGTGAACGAACCCCTGCGACTACTAGCCCTGCTACTGCTTCTGCTACTAGCGCTTGTAGGTCTGCTGAGGCCACTAACGAGGTCGTACTTATCACTATTTTTAGGAACACGGCTTGTTTCTTCTCTGATCCGCCGCACAAGCTCGAATCTCCGTATGTCTTCGTCGTTGTACCACGGAGGATAAGCGATGGAGGGTTCTCGGCCAGCATCTTTGGTAGTGCTGCTTGCTCGGGAACCCCTGGAGCGGTTGCTGGAGGGCCTGCTGGTCTTTTTGCCATTGCTTTGCACTCGCACACTGGAGGGACTGTGGGATCGGGACCGCGAGCCGCTTGCTCGTCGACTGTATCGAGGCATGGGGCGATAATATTCATCTATGAGGCCGTTGAGATAGCGGGGGTTTGGCGTACCCAGCCTGCTTCCGAATGTACACCCGGCCGTGGAGCGACCGTAAGCAGACGCGTTTCCTCTGCTAAGTACATAGTTGCTAAACATACAGAAGGTTTGTGAATTTTTGAAACTAATATTCATAGAGGAACGCTTCATAGCTGGTATCGTGGACAACTATGAACAGAAGGCTGTCCTGAAAGCATCGTCCTGTGTGTGGTGATGTAAGAAGTTTGTGGGGCATCTTGGCGGCCATTCTAAAGAGAACAGCGAGAGTGGGCGCACGCAACTGTTGAGAAGTCTCAGGTGCCGGTGTAAATTTTAGCGAGGGTTCTGCAGACCCGTTGATAATGCTCTCTGGTCCACAGGAAGAAAGAAGAGCCAGTATCCAGTTACATGCGTCCTCAGGGGACACTATGCAATCATAAACACGCACGGGATAGTTAGTCACCACTTCTGGGAATGCGCTCCCCATGCTGCTCTGCAGTTGCTTGAAGGACTCCTTCCACAAATAGCCGAGGCTGTTGAAATGCGTATCAACGCCATTTACAACGATCCTCGATGAAGGAGATAGAACATTCTCCCGCGTGGGAAGCTTCTCCGTCGAGATTAGTACCGTGTTCCGAATAAGACGCGTGAAAATATCGACGGCGGGAACTATCGGGACTCTGAGACCGCGCAGGCAACTAGGAGAGGCTAACCCAGGAGCGTGGCCCACTTGTAAATCTCCGTAGATGATTACCCCACGTTCGTCCTTAGGTGCTCGCTGGTGCTTGTTGCGCATGTAACTGAGAGAGATTGCTGTGGCAGATAGGGAGGATGCACCCAAAATCATCTTCCCGAGGGACGTGATTGTAACACAGTTAGATCCTCCCGCAGGATTCTTGTTGATTATTACGGCTCCCGGGTTCTCTGCGTACTGCCTCCCCAGCGCAGCTATATCTAGGCTATTAGCAGGATACTCATAGTACGAAAAAGGCGCCGGGGTCTGGCCTGGAGCCTTGTTGAGCAGTGCGCAAGCCCCAGTGAAAAGAACAAACTTCCCCAGCGTCTTGCGCAGTCGAGCAGGTAGGTCCCCTGCCCCACCGTATCGAATTGAGCGTGCGTGCATCTTCTTCGCGGAATACGCTAGACTTTTAAAGGGGCATCCGCTTAAAAAATGCTTTCTGAGTATGGTTGGTTTGGGGCTGTGAAGACTCGCAATTACGACAAAGTCATCGAGAATGTCAAAGAGTATCATAGATCTGTCGACGAGGACGGAAACACCGCCCTGATGATCGCGTTACAGAGGAATGACCAGTACATGATGGAAATCCTGGCTCCCCACGAGTACGGGATCTCAAACCCAGAGGGAATGACCGCACTTGTGCAAGCAATACGCATGCGCAATAATGATGCTGTCCGCATTCTGGCTAGGTACGAGTCGCGTTTCAAGACTGCCGACGGGATGGCGCCGATTCACTTGGCCGTTCAGATGGAAGACAGTTCGCTGATCTCAATCCTTCTACCTTATAGTGCTGCCGAGCTTAATCTGTACAACCAGAATGCTCTTGAGTATGCTGCTGCTAACGGGAGGGCCAACGCAGCTTTTTGTCTGCTGAGCGATCCCAACATCTATGGCCCTGACGACGTCAAGTCCGCAGCCTTGACAGCAAATAATAGCGGATACCCCGACATGGCCAGGAAGCTCTATAATTGGTTAAACTCATACAATTGTGCAATGTCCATCAGTGGAAAGTCTACCACTAATGCCAGCAGTTGTTTGTCAAACTCACTGCAGCCTAGCATGGCCAGCACTGGAAGGACCGGCCTCGAGCAGTCTATACATGATGTGCCGCGCAGCCTCACAGCTTCGTCGCGCCATATGTACACGTCAGCGACGAATGCTTCTACGGCACGACCCCTTTCTGGCATGGTTTCATCGTATGGGAGCTTTTCGGAGAAGGCTGCTCCTCACAACGATAACTTGAAGCTGACCCCCACCTATTCCGTGGGGAACCTCCGTCCGTCGTCCACCTCTCGATCACCTAGCTCTGCGATGACATCCTCTGCTCGTAATACTAAGTACGCCAAGCCAGCCACTGAAAATGCATTTGAGTACCTGCAGTTTAAAAAGACCTTAGCTGAGGCAGAAACGCGCCCTGGGTCGCCAACTGGTTCTCGCTCTGCTTCGAGGACGTCGTCTCGTTCCAATTCGCGCACCTTGGGGCGCACGTCTAGCCGGAATCTGCGTCGCGGTACCGGTACTGTTCCAACCTCGTTTTCGACGGGAGTTATCTCGATGAGCATGGGAGGCACTGGAGTGGGATTGCGAGGGTCTAGCCGTAATCGCTCGAATACACCCAGTGGCCACTACTCTGTGAGAGGGCCGAACGCACTTCTGCACGAAAAGGATCCGAACTTCTGCAGTATCTTTGACTCCCGCACTTTGGTAGACCGCTCTCCGTCCATGACCTTTGGAGCCACTCTTGGTGTCCCTCCCGATCACAATTACAATTACGTTGAGCATCTACCTGATAAGCCGCAGACGCATGCTCTGTATGGTCCAATTGTTGGGTACGACCCTGAGACGGTTAACTACACCATAGCTGGAGATGTTGTTCCCAGACAGCTGATTACGGACCCCATTATAAATCAGTACTCGAGACAAGATCTGACCGACTTGATGGTGGCAGCAAAGCTGGGAAGAATACAACTAGTTAGGGAACGGGCCGTTGAACAATTCCTCAAAAGATCCAAGACAGGGCGTACAGCTCTTATTTACGCTGCTCAGCGCAACTTCACAGATATCGTCAGGATACTTATACAGTACGAGGCCGGAGCATCCGATAGCTTTGGATACACAGCGTTGATGTATGCTGCCTCCTTTGGACATCTGGAAATGATGGAGATACTTATGTCTGCCGAGGCTGGGCATCGCCGCCAGTCAGACGGGGCGACCGCCCTGATGGCAGCTGCGGCCAATGGGCATCTACAGTGCGTCCACAAGCTCGTTCCTCTTGAAGGCTGCATTCACTCCCGCAATGGAACGACCGCGCTGATGCTGGCCATTAAGTACAACCACAAGGAGTGCGCGTACTTCCTTATGAAGCACGAGCTGAAAGGGTATGATGACAGCATCAGTGCAGTTGAGCAATTCTGTACAGAGTGTGGCAGAGAAGAGTACATCACCGACCTCCGTGCACACCTGAGGATCCACTAGCCTTTCTACTAGCACATCAGGTTGTAAATGTTACTCAGATGCCCAATGGTTTACTCACACAGGGCCACTAACCTGATCCGCCGAATGCGGCAATTCCGTTGTCAGTGTTGATAAGGACGATGTCGTTGTAGGCCAAACACATTCGTTTCAACTTTACATCTGCAACGTTCTGCGGTAGAGGAATATAGCAAGGAAGGCCTCTGGGAGACCACTTAAACAGCCGGTTCTCAGCTAACCCTGGAAGATGCTTGTTGCCTGTGGTAGTGGCCACGACGGGCCGCAGATCGCCCTCAAACCTCATCTCTGCGGTCAAGAGGGAAAACTCGTCCAGCTCATTATGCAGGCTATAGTCCTGATACTCCTCCGCCAGCGCTGACGTCAAAATGTACAGATTGCTCTGGACAAAAACAAAGTCGATAATTACGTCATAAAAGACCAGAACGGTGAGGAGTTTCATCTCCAGCGGATCTACAACAATTAAGGTGGTTGGATATTCTACCCCGACGTAGGCTAGAAAGCGACAGCACGAGGAAAACTTTGCCTTTGACATGTGTCCACTCCGTGTGTTTCTCTTCAGATATGCCTCTATTCCTAGTAGCTTAGGAAGCTGGAAAGCTACCTTTCGAGAGGCATACTGGATGGAGAGGTTATTGAGGTTGGTTTTCACTAGGTAAGAGTGGGTATTAACACTCGGGAAGTCGTAAATGTGGCTCTCAAGAAGTCCTGGCTGTTTGGTGATAGGTATCCGAAGTCCACAAGCAGGGCAAACGCTGTCGTAGTGCATAGGCTTTCCAGGGTGATCCTTCTCTGGAATCTCATGAACACGCCGCACGGCCTCCTTGTTCATCTGAGCGCTGTACTGTGTGTTCAGCGGCTCTGAATCTTCTGTGATCGAAACAACTTCTTGATATATGAGATAGTCCTCTGTCTCTCCCTGTGTTGCCTCTCGGTTCTGCACAACACCTGGGTAAGAGTCTGATTGCACCGGGTCTTGTCTCGTATCGCATGTGCAGTAGTTCTGTTTGTCTTTAAAAGCATCCAGGGTACTTTTTTCCTTGATATCGGACGCTAGCTCCTTACACCTGCACTCAACAAAGATCGACTCACAATGCTCGAGTAAATCTGGAAGCCCGCTGATGATCATGCGCTCCTGTAGATTCTTAGATAAAAGGGCAGCCCGAGAGTTAACATAGACTACGGCGATGTGCACATCCTGGGCTGCTATTGCCGAGATAGCTAGGCTCAGAGTCTTAGTAACTGCAGGATTAAACTGATATGGAATGCGTACCTCGTATCGGACAATGCTGGCCTCATTCTTCGTTAAAAGCTGCACCTTATAAAGAACCGCGTTGTAAAAATCTGCAAGCAGATACGACTTTTGCCCTAAAACGCTCAAATGCATGGTATCAAAGGTCTCGCTTGGAAAGTCAACAACAGAGTGTACCTGCTCAGTGGTACCGATGATGTGCAGCTTGTCTTGACAGTAGCTACTGCTGACAAAAACGACGTACGACAGCTCTGCAGAGAAAATGGGCGGGTTCTTGGCGCCCGGAATAGCCCGAAGGAGCACCCCTTCGCTTTGCCCCGAAGATTTGCCATTGGAATCTCTGGATGCACGGGCTGCCGAGGAGGACCCATGGGTCGAGAAGCGGACAGACTTACTGGAGGCTCTATCAGGCTTTGCCCATGCAGAGAGAAAGCGAATCTCTAGCGTTTCTGACGTGCTAGCTGTGACGCAGAAGAGAGTTAAGTTGGGAGAAAATGTGGCGTACTTGATTCCAAGCTCATCGACACGTATACAGAGTTGACGGTCTGAGAGCGAGGAGTAGGGAAGGACGCGCTCAGACTCCACTCTCCCCAAATGAGGAGACACGCTACTCTCCGACCCCAGTCTGAAGAGATTGATCTCTACATCGGTGGGGAGCGCGTAATAGAGTATGTAATTTCCACAGAAGGAAAACTCAATGCATATGTCATCCTTGGAAGCCGGTATTTGGAAGGCCGCCCGAATCGGCATCTCCCGCGTTGCTTCGCGGACATATACGATGTTTTGGTGCCGGTATGCGAAAAGCTGGCCATTTGCCGACAGTGCGATGCGCCCCCGGCCATTCAGCAAGGAGAAACCGCAACTCATCCAAATATGATTTTTGAGGACTGACACCGATCTCTCAGAGGGGCGGTTTACTCCTGGGCGTTTAGCGGTTGGAAACGGCTATACGCTCGACAGAGTTGCGCTGGCTGATGGCATACGACTTGTCGGCGCCTGCGGCTGCATTCATGATTTCTTCGGCGAGGCACTCAGCAAACGGCCGGACCTTGCGGAATGCCGCCTTGCGGGCGCCAGTCGCAATGTTATAGATGCCGATATTGACGCGACGCAGGGGAGAGACGTCGACAGACTGGCGACGGACCTGGCCGCCCTTCCCAATGCGGCAGGAATCCTCACGCGGGCCCGAATTCGCGACTGCGTCGACCAAGACCTGGACGGGATTCTTGCCTGTGTAAAGGTTGATGAGCTCAAAGGCCTCCCCCACGGTCTTCATGGCCATGAGCTTCTTCCCAGAGTTGCGCCCGTGCATCATGAGGGAGTTAGTCAGACGCTCAACCACGGGGCACTTGGCCTTGCGAAAGCGCTTTGCGGACCAGCGGCCGGCGCTGTGCGGAACGAAGCTGTGGTTATCAATTGAAATATATGCCTCCAGGGACTCGTCCTGGCACTTGACGTCCGTGAGTGGCCACTTGTTGAAGAGTGCTACCTCGAGAGACATCGTGCCTGCTATTAAGATGCCAAGTAAATTCAATTTAAATTGATTGCTTTTTATTTGCAACGGGACTCAGCACGGGTCAGCGAGAACGGTCCAGTCGAGCCTCCACTGCTCAACCTCTGTGCGGCAGAGAGGACACTGGTTGTGGAGCCTTCTTTTCTGCAACTCCTGCGAGCAGGTGTAGCACGTGCACCGGTGCCCGCACGGATGGGAGCGAACTATGCAGAACTCGTCTAAGCAAATGATGCAGACACCAATCTTCTCTGTGCTGCCTCCGTACTTCCGCGCAACAAGAAACCGAAGCCCGTCATCTGCGACGAGCTTGGCGATCTCGGCGTCGTTTGTTCTTTGTGACAAGGAGGAGAGCGTGTACGCCGCTCCCAGAATAGCATACTCATAGGGAAGAAGCGACTGGACAAAGCTGAGGGAATTACTGACGATTGCGTATCCTAACGCAGACCATTTGGCATTGGACAACTTTCCGTGCTCCATTGGGTCGGCGTGCAGTTTGGAAAATGCATATGAATTTTGGCACAGAACAGCGAGCATGAGAGCGGTGCGTCCTTGGCGGTCCGCGCATCCGCGCTCATCCTTCCATAACAAATCTATATGCTGCTCTCTACCTAGTACGACAGCATACATGAGTGCAGTCATTCCGCAGCTGTCTTGCCGCCGGATGTCTTTGTGCATAGTAATGCGGTCAGGGTCGTTCCCGCTTAGCACCGCTAGCATCAGAGCTGTGAGGCCGAATGTGCACCCCTCTTCTCGCCACAATCTTTTGATTCCATCTGTATTAAGAGCGCGACACGCGTAGCAGAGGGCGCTGTGGCCGTCCTTGTCCAAAATAGATCCTTCAATGGCGACCAGGTCGTCTGGTGGAGGGACAGGGTGCAGTGCCAGGTACATGAGAGCCGTCTTGCCATTGCTGTCGAAGCTCCCTGCATACTCCTCCAAGTGCTCTAGTAGAAAAGACACAGCTCCTCGCCTGGCTGCCTCAAACCAGTGTGAGGCTTCGGCAGCCGGCATTTCTGGAAATAAATTATTGGCGTCATTTTGAGCTCTGACTGGGCCTACATCCCGGAGATTGTAGTCTAGCAGTGACTGAGCATACTATTCTGGAAGGAATCTTTAGCTAAAGTAAAATGATGAGTTTAGAAGGAGAAAAAGCCGAGGTGCAGGCTCTCCTGAAGCGGCTAGGGGAGCGCCGTACACACATTGTGAAAGCAGCAGAAAACATAGACCGGCTTCTGGCTCAGGTAAGTGCTTCAGAAAGTGATCAACGGCTGTTCACAGCACTCCAGGACGCCCATGCGTCCACTCCTGTATCTCTCTCACCCAAGGCGTTACTTCGACTTGAGGCTCTCAAAAAGAGGCTTTTTCTGGCGCAAACGCGGGAAGCAGATATACGTGAACAACTCGACCTCGTTTTTGGTGATTGCACAGAAACATTGTTGGATCTTCAACTAATCATTGATGAGACGAAAGAACTGAGGACGGAGATTGGCAAGTGAATGCTCGTCTGGTCTTCCACATAGGACTGTGTCAGAAGCTCACGCATGTCTTCACAGCTCTTCAGTCCGTCGCCTACTCTCGGTAAGTACATAATAGCGTAATGTGAGTAATATCTGGACGTTTCACAAACTTATACGCAACTGTGTACGTCTCACTTTTGATACATGAAATCGATATATTAATATACTTTACAACTCAGGGCATTTACCAAGACATTCTGTCCCGTTCCAGATAAAGCAGCATCGCCCGCTGAGCTAAGTATTCAGATCGCTATTGTAGCGCTCCCTGCATCCTTCCCTTGCAGAATGCCAGTAGCTGAGCGGGAACGTGTCTGCGAGAATAGCGAGCACCAAGGAGCAGGTGCATATGGCGTACGTGGCTGAGGCGAGTGTTGCTCTGCTACCCAACGCTCGACATGTACACTTTCGACTCGCTAAGCGATGCAGACAAAGATGCCAGCTTGGCCCGCAGTAGTTCTCCGATCCTTCTGCCCAGTGGCCTCTCCGATGAGCAACAGCCAACTGGAGAGTCGTCAATCGCTGGGACGCCCAGACCGCACAGTGGCCGCTCAAGAGGTGCAAGGGCTGCACACACCGCTGTGGATGGTGCGCTCTGTCAACGGCTCTCCACGCTGAGCTGGCCCTTAGCTGCTACTCTGTGGCCTCCGATGGGACGGGCATTATGAAGAGGTTTACTTGGAGAACCCCTGACATTGCGACGCCTATCCTGAGAAGACAATGCTATCTCACATAAGCTACTTCCACTACTCATTCCCACTGATCCAGATAACCCATCTTGCATGCTTCGGATTGCCCTCTCTTGCCAGCAGAGCAGCCACCACCCTGTGTGTCTCCTTCAGACACAGTTTCGTCTATGACGGCACCTTTTGTCTCTTCTCTGGAGAGGCATAACCGTCCCAATCCAGACACCTTGCTCTCAGCACACACCTCGTATCCAGCAGAGGCCAGGTGCTCGTCGACCATATCCCATGAGTATCAGCGCTGTGCCACTATGTTGCTTCCTGTCCTTCTTGAGGGGCGTGCTCTGACCATCTCAGTGTCTCTATGATAGGAGAGATGTGGATCCGGAGGTGGTTGTTGCTTTCTGGCACCCCTCTGCTGACCAGAAGAGTGCAAGAGCGCCCTTCGGGAGTCGGTCCCCTAATTTTCTGTTCTCTCGGGGAAGTGGTCCTTGGATAGCGCCACTCGGAGGACTCCCAAAGCGTCACTGTATGGGCGCTGCTTTACAAACACTCCTGGCTGAAGCTGGACCCGAATCCTCCTAAAGCAACTTTATAGAGTTACCTGGTGGCCCATTCCTTGACTACTATCAGCAGAGGTCTCAACCTCCCAAGGACATCTCGGGGATAGTACGTTTGGCCCACGTCAGCGCCACTTCCTGGCAGAGGCATGCGGAGGATCTGCTCCCTCTTGTGGATCCATCATTAGTATCGAGAGCACTGCGTCTGTTACCTTCGTTGGAGGTGTCGAGAGATGGTGCCCCGTATCTATCCCATTGAAGAGTTGGAGGTCCGCCAGGACAGCGAAGATGATCCCATCAGGGCTGTGATCATATACCCGTCATTATGGCAACCATAGTGTAGATAAGACAACTGTCTGGGCCCCGCAACTCCCGGCGTAGGACGCCAGGAGGCTTGGCTGGGTCAGGCTAGTGAGGGCTACCCCTGTCATAACAGGCTTAGAAAATAGGGAGCGAGTGACGTACCTGGTGTCCACCAATGCACGCATGCAGCCTGGAAGCTGTGCTCAAAGCACCGAGGCCTGCAGGGGTGTGGCATCCGAACAGGCCCGACAGTTATGACTGCTTCTGAGAACAGCCAGCATGACTGGACGAGGACATGAAAGCTCATGGAGGCCCTCACAGTCTTGATGTCTGGGAGAACACGGGGACTGACCACTCCAAGATTGTCCATCTCATGAGCTGGCTTTCGATAGCAGGCATAACAAGGAAGTGACCCCCAGTCATACACAATCTCATGCGATTCCATCGCAGCCTAGAGCATCCTTATCTGGCCTGCCAGTCCATCCATGACGGTAGCAGATGTGTCAGCATTCCAGATCATCGGCCACCGCAGCTGCACAGTCGGGGTACTGCCTATGGTATTGCTCACTGATACTTTACATGGAGCCCTGTCCCTGTGGTAGTGACAGGTGAACTTCTCTGCAGATGCAGATCTAATGATATGGTTCCTCTTGGGCATTCTACTCCTACTTCTGTCTGGTCTCTCACCTCAATGCGAGTGGCCAGCGGCTGTTACTGGGTCTTGCAGCATAACTATTACACATTTGTGTGCTAATCAAGACTACCATATAGGGTCACACAAGCCGGGAGCTCTGTCAGGCAATTATCGGACTCGATATCAAGATGGCACGGGGACAACACTCCCAGTGGTCACCGGGGACATGAATCATCATACAAGCCGCATAGTGCACCAGAAGCAGCACAACGGTGAAGAGCATGCCTGGATGTAGATGGCGCCTACAGCAAGCGGCATGCTGTCGTTGTCGGTACAACGGGCATAGTGGCTACTGGACCCACGCTTTGGTAGCCTCGATTGGAGCAATTGTACAGCGAAGGAGCAGGGCGTAGGGACATGGGCACCAACCGGTCGAGCAGCGTGTACATGTATGAGCACGGTTATAAGTCTCGCCTACACTGTTGGGTGGTGCTCTGCCTCGATGTGGACTCAGCGGGTTGGCTCTTATATCAGTGGCAGATGGCAGAACACCACGCTGGTCATGTGGTGAGAGGTCTTCATGCGGTCTTCCAACTATTCTAAGTCACGCTGGAAAGCAGCTAGCCCTCCCGCACCACGTCTCCTCTCCAAATAGGACTGAAGGCGCCCAGGGCGCTCTTCTAGGGCCTTAGTATCATGGAGCCCGTGCCAGGCAGGAGAGTTCTATGTTGCATGGCGTGAGAGTCTCTAGGGGGTGTAAACACTTGCGTGGTTGTAGCAACGCATCTCCACCAGCAAGTGTCAGGGCACATCGGTGGACAGGTGCATATTAAGTCAGGCACTCTGTGTGCGGTTATGCATCACAGCTCTTATAACGGGCCACGGGCAGCCTGAGGATCTCTGCTTTATAGCAGCGTGGATGTGGGGTGGTGCGCCCAGAGCATCGCCAGATCGATAGCTTCAGCGCGGCATCCAACAAGGTGCAGCAGGGCATCGAGCCAGGTGAGCGTTGGACCAGATCCTGAGTGGGGGCTGGGACTCCTGTGCACGGCTGGGCTGCTCCCAGATAGAATAGGGTACAGAGTGAATTAGATGAGTGCGACGCTGTAAGGTATCCACAGTCGCATAAATGCATCCGGCGGGCCCACACTGGACTCTAAGAGGCACGCTGCCGGACAAGCCGAGGAGACTCGAGGGGTGGTGGCGCCGTCTTGTTATCTCTATGCAGTGCTCCGCAGGTATGTACTCAGGAGGTATCTCTTGATGGCTGGAGAGAGGACAGAGCTGGGCGATGGTGAGCATGCCCATCATGAGCAGCTCCAGGTGCTATCCGATCACTCCTTGGAAAGGCATATGCCTCAGCTAGGTTGCATCACATCCAGGGCAGAAGAGGAAGCTGTGCACTGTCTGACCCGCCATTCAGGGCCATGTGCGGATAAAAGGCAGACCAGTGACTGATGCTCTGTACTGCCTCCTCATCCGCTGCCTAAGCAGCCAGAAGCCAGGATCGATATGCAGATAGAGGCTATGAAAAGTGGACTAATCACGGGGCTGATTGTCTGATACCAAAAAATCCGGAACGACGATGGCAGCCGCTGTCTCCCTAAGATGATGTATTATGCGCGGTATCGACCTTGGTCTCCCAGGTGAGCAGGCTGGGGACACTCTGGCTGGCCCTGACTTCTGAGGCATTAAGATCTTAAGCAGCACAGAAGGAGACAACGGTATATACAGACGGTGCGTTGTCTTCATAAAGGTGCACTCCAACTTCCAAATGCATGCAGCTGCGCTGAGACAGGCGGTTCAGCTGGCTTACATTGGCACCCTGTCAGCCATCGTGCTTGCTGCGATCAGAGGCTGCGTCTGCTCGGCAGACTGAATAGAGATTACAGCGGCTTCCATGGTTATCCACGTTGCACGATGTCCAATGGTAGAGTAGCCACCGTCTGTCTGAGGTGTTTGCTATCGATAGGAGACAGCGCTTGGTTGCACCAGAGGTGCTTTTGTTTAAGTATAGAGTCTTTATGGCTGCTTCTCCACTGGCTATAATGATAACTGTATACTTAAAAAGGTCCTGCAGAGCAATCCACCGTCTTTCAAGATGAGACATGGGCCTGCATCTAAAGCTAAAAACGGAAACTCGTGCACCAAGTGCCATAAGCCTAGTGTACTGACTGGCCTGGATCACAGTCCATTTGTCAAGAACCTGTGCACACGTTTGGATGCTCCCTGCTAGTGGCAGACGGACCTACGAGGAGGCTTGTCTTTGGTAGCATTCGCTTTATAATATTTAGCCCTTGGTGACACACCTCAACGAAGAAGGGTGTTACTTAGGTGCACAGGAAGCTATCCGTGCACAGCGATTCTCAGAGAGCCGGCTCACACAGAGAAGGTAGAGGCCACCAGCAGACCAGTGAGATAAAACTGATGCTAGAGAGGCCAGCAATTAGCCTGAATTACAGCAGGGACACCTGTATTGCCTCTTTGACCTCTATGCCTGGAGAGGTCGTAGGGTCTGCAGACAAGCTAGATGCTGCTTTTTGATTTTATGCACTTACAGCAACGTAATATTATTAAGAGTTGCTTCGTTTGGAACCGAGGGCATTCACCTTCCCTTCGTATACGGGTGAGGATCGATTGTAGAGGTATACTGCGCAGGTTGGTATCAGTCGGCATGGTTGCTGTCCACATGTGTCTCACCTACGTCCTCCCACGGCAGACGGACACCAATGACGCTTCTTGGCCACATGACGTCCTACGATGTATCTCCACCTTCGATACAGGTTGCTACACATACTGCGTAGTTTGGATTGCTCATCAGCCAAGGTGATCTGATCAGCTCTTGTCCTCTGCCCGTCTATCTCGTGCAACCATTTATTGATGGTCTTTCCAGATCAACAGGTGCTTCCATCGGTCCCACAAAAGAATGTGTTATGCAGGCGGCCACTACAGGCCAGAGCCTTGTCTACCAAGAAAAAGGGTCAATCAGTTCACTGCGTGGGGGTCCTTTGTACGTCTTATGTAATCCAGCAGGTCTTGTGCTCCCCAACATCTTCACTCACAATCCGCTGTCTGGAGCCCGCGTGCATATCGTTACTACCAAACACTTAGCAGCTTCGACTGACCACCTAGGACGTCAAATCCCTTGCGCTGCACAGTGGGTATGCTCAGCGTGAGAGATACATAGTCAGCATCAGCCTTCTCAGCTCATCGTCTGGGTAATACTACTACTGTTTCTCATCCAATCAGCTAGCGCGAGGACCCAGCTCATGACCAGCAAACCGAGACAGGCTATTCCAGGAGGTCTTCAAGCACAGCAGTACCTTGTTAACGAGTAGTCAGCAGTAACCATGACACGTACTTCCACTAAGGCATGACCTCCTTGAGCGGGGGTGTGAAGTGGGTCCCTGTCATTTTGCGATCCTACTAATCTTTTAGCCAAGAGGGATCAGAACAGCTCAGATTAGCATTGATCACTTCTGGGTCTCCATCTATCTCCGTCGTCTGGGGTGTGCTTGACCCTGTAGACTGAGAAGGGCGCTATATTGTGCTCGTGCCTGCACGTCTCCGTCAGACAAGGCTACCCTCTTGGAGACTGCGCTAAGGTAGCCACACGTCCCGAGGAACTTGCAGAGAGCATCCCAGTCCAATAGAACTCCTTACCTATCGAATGCAAGTTGTAGTTGTGGCCTCATAAGTGCAGGATTTTTTAGAATAACCGGTCAACTACATAGTTTGCCTGCTCACCCAGACCCATCTGATGGAAGATGATATCAATCTCGTCAGTTGTCTACAACGTACACCAGTCAAATCTTATAGATGGACAGGGACCACCCAGCCCACAACACTAGACATTACCAGATATCTTTTAAGACAAGGAGGAGCGACTGGTAGACCACAGCAGTCGTCTGCTCATTGGAAACCTTCCAGTAACTGACTTAGGCCAGCTTCCTACAAGATTCTTGGCGAGTTGTATCAGAAACGCATGCTTATGGGACTCCCAGCTCAAGGTGTATGGTGCTGGATCGCACTTTCCATACCAGTCTGTGTACAGCGGTGCTCTGGCCTCTAGCGGAGCTATAGAAGATCGCAGGATATGATGCCCTCAATAGGGTTTGTCTGATTCCTATAGCTATATGATAGGAGGATGCCGGCCTTCTATGCATTATGTAACGCGTGCTAAGCAACACCAGTACAAGTCCTGCAATGTGGCATGATTCGTGAGTCAAGAGGTAGGACGCTTGGGCTGATCGGCGTGTCTCCTCGGGACCAACTATAGCTCGGACCAAGGGTCATGAGCGAATGCTATTCGATTCCCTTATCAGCAGATGGGGGGATCAACTGCTCTAGTACTCACAGGAGGCTATAAAGGATGCTGGACTAATACAGTCTCCCTGGATCCCTGTTCCTTCTACTACAGACATCCACATGTAGGAAGCTCTGAGGACCTAGAGCCCTACACTAACAGGTTCAAGGTACTGCACTCCTAGGTGCTTCCATTAGTGGTGGTAGTGATAGCACCAGGATGATCCAGAGGGGAGGATAAGAGTCCTGATCCATCAGCTCAGGGGGTGGCACAGCTTGGGCAGGGTTTCCTCCTTGTCTAAATTTAGGATTGCTGGCCTACGCCCTCTGACCATCTGACACCTTATCATGTGATGTGGAACCTTAAAGTATCCACTACAAAAAGCCAGAAATAGCGCCATGCACACCCAACAAACCAGAGCGTCTCATAGGCCAATCTACACTGATTCACACATCTATGGACCTTAGCGACTGCTGCGATCTTCTCTTGGGATCTTGTAGGGGTCTATCCTTGAGTGCGGCTCCCCCACGACAGCTAGGAATCGCAGACATAATCCAAAAGGATGAGAATACTACAGAGGCGGAGAAGAGATCATCGGCGCACGGGGGTCCACAGGGGCTCGATCCGCGCAGGGGAGGCACAGGGAGCTGGCTCATCAGGGACGCAGAGACATTAGGAGAGGAACCAGCAGTGGGCCCATAACGCAGGGAGGACGCCCGGGCCGCCCTTTGATTAGCTACAGGGTAGGGGAGTAGCAGACACGCAAGACAGCATCGCTACTTATTTTTGAATTTTCTGTTTCCCTGCGTGTTGTGCAAGAATCCGTGGTGGGCGGCAAACTATATGTAGTAGATGCTTTCAGCATTAACAACTATCGCTTGTACAACGATATTATAAAAAAGGAAGATCTCTAAGTTAGTAGCATAGTAATAACCAGATGAATCTTTTTAGCTTTAAGTACCTTTACTAACAGGACTCTTACCCTATAATAAGCTGAGGGAAACTTCAATGTTGTTGATAGCCTTCTATCTTATATTATCTACATTTGCAGTAGATTGCAAGAATAGTGGAAATAGTTGTGAAGCTGGCCAATGTGATACGATTGGCGATACTGAAATCTGTATGCAATGTAATCAAGGGAAAGTACCCATCAATGGAATATGTACAGCCCATAGTGAAGAAGCAGTCACTAACGCTGGTTGTAAGAAGAACGGGGGTACTAATATAGAAGAAAGTGATAAGGTATGTGGACAATGTGGAAATGGCTACTTCCTGCACAAAGGCGGATGCTATAAGATAGGAGAGGCTCCTGGCAATCTCATCTGTGCGGATGAGGCGTCAAATCCTGGTGCACGTACTGCAGGGGTGTGTGGTGCTTGCAAGGATGGCTATTATAAGAATTCGGATGCTGTTGCAACTGCAGACTCCTGTATAGCATGTGAAGATGCCAACTGTGCCACATGTGGAGGAGCTGGTGAAAACAAATGTACAAAATGTATAGACGGATACTTTGTTGGAGCAACTGGAAATGAAGGTGGGTGCATAAAATGTGACGCTACCACAGGGCCTAATAGCTACAAAGGAGTTGCTGGATGTGCTAAATGTGAAAAGCCAAAGAACGCTGGTCCTGCAAAGTGCATTGAATGTGCTGCTGATTATTTGAAAACAGAAGCAGATGAACAAACGTCTTGCGTTAGCGAAGCCGTGTGCAGAGAAGGCAAGACGCACTTCCCCACTACTGACAGCGCTGGTGGTAACAAGAAGGTATGCGTAAGTTGTGGCACAACGAATAATGGCGGCATAGAAAACTGTGGAGAATGCACCTCTAAGGAAAGCGCTGCACGGGCAGGGACAGAGATCACCTGCACCAAATGCTCTAGCAATAATCTGAGCCCCCTGGGAGACGCGTGTCTAACAGACTGCCCTGCCGGAACGTATGCCGTTAGTGGCGACAGCGGCAGTGTCTGCAAGCCCTGTCACAACACGTGCGCCGGCTGCCAGACCGACGACAGGGAGACTTCCTGCACGGCCTGCTACCCTGGATACTCCCTTCTGTATGAGTCCAACGGAGCAACTGGGAGGTGCGTCAAGGAGTGCACTGGTGCGTTCATTACCAACTGTGCGGACGGGCAGTGCACGGCTAACGTCGGGGGTGCGAAGTACTGCACCCAGTGCAAGGACGGGTACGCCCCGATCGACGGGATCTGTACAGCGGTGGCAGCTGCCGGGAGAGACGTGAGCGTGTGCACGGCCACAGGTGGCAAGTGCACGGCATGTACAGGCAACTATGCGTTATTATCAGGTGGATGTTATAACACACAAACACTTCCTGGAAAGTCAGTATGTAAAGCCGTGGCTAATAGCAATGACGGGAAATGCAAAACATGTGCCAATGGTCAAGCACCAGATCCTGCTACTAATTTCTGCCCATTGTGTGATTCAACTTGTGCAGAATGTTCAACTAAAAATGATGCTGATGCTTGTACAAAATGTTTTCCAGGATACTATAAAACAGGAAATAAGTGTATCAAATGTACAGAAAGTAGTAATAACGGAAAAAAGATCGATGGAATACCTGATTGTTTAAGTTGTGAAGCACCGATTAATACTGGTCCTGTCATCTGCTACGTTAAAACGGATGGCACTAGCGATGATAACAGCGGCAATGGTGGAGACAGCACCAACAAGAGCGGCCTTTCCACTGGCGCCATCGCGGGGATCTCCGTCGCAGCCTTCGTCGTCGTGGCCGGCCTCGTGGGCTTCCTCTGCTGGTGGTTCATATGCAGGGGGAAGGCGTAGACTTAGGTAGTAAACGCGTCACTGTATATGGCTTATTACGCTGTGCTGCTGGGGCTATCTGAGAGCGGTCCAGAGATCATGCGAGTGGGCCCGCTCCTTCCTGGCCAGTCTAAGGACGAGGGTTGAGTATGGATAACATAATGAAAGAGTCCTCTTCAGTGACACATCCAGAATCTGGGCATTCCTCGCCGCTCCATGAGGATATGCTCTGTCTGGATGTCCATGCCGATCTGCCTTGGATTCAGGTCTTCTCGCAGACTCTCTGCTCTACCAGTGGCGCCTCTCCTTGGCCTGCCGTCTGGTGGGTGAAGCTCCAGTCGCCGTCTTTTTTAGATGCTCCCGTCTGACTCGGTGATTGCTGTCGGGCCCTCCGCTGGCTGGGCCCCTCGGTGTCCGGGCAGCTGTGGCCCGGGTCAGCGCTCCCACAGTCGCGGTCGCTTGGGTCCCAGCGGGTTCGGATGATGGGTGGGGCGGTGAGGCTGGTGGGGCTCTGGTGGGGGCTGAGGTTGGTGGTGTTCGTATGTGCCTCTGGGTTCGGTGGGTCATTGGGGTGATCCCCGCTCTGTTTGCCAAGGTGGTTGTGTCTGCTCTCCAGCCCTCGTTGCACTCCCGAGACACAGGCACCGACGATCGTGTCGTGTCCCCCTGACTGAGTGCCTCCCTTGGCCCCTGCATGCCTCAGGCAGTACTGCTGCTCTGTCTGGCTGGTGCGTGAGTGTCGAGGCAGGCCATCGCAGCCCCTCCTGCTACTCGCTGTTGCTCTGTGCGGGTCTGCTGAGCCCCTGGCATGCCCTGTCCGGTGCCTCGACGGGGAGTTCACCTGGGACCAGCAGGGGTGTGGATGAGCCTGTGGATGGGATGGGTTCTCTCATGCCTCTAGTGTGATGACTCAAAAGACTAACACGGTGGGGCATCGGTGACTGCACTGTCCCCGTGGTCAGCTGTGCTGCTCCTGGTGGGTCCTCGTTGTGAAGCGCTGTGTGTCGTCCGTAGGCAGGGGTGAGCCCCCTTGGTCTCAGGATGCTCTACCATCAGAGAGGAGCACGCTGAGGATCACCCAACATCACCTGCTGTGCCCTCGGGAGTTCCCGGTGTGGTCTACTAACCTTGACCCCTCCTCGTGGCTCTGATGACCCCTCGGGGAGAGTCGGCATCCTATGCCAGGGGAGGCGTGCACCCTCCTGCATGAGCTGAGTCACTCACTGCACTGCCCTCAAGGAGGTCTGCTATGAGAGGCAGTGGAATGATCGACAGCCCCTCAGAGTGGGTGGAGGGTGCTCGTGGTCGTCTCTGTGACCGGGCATCACTCTGATGGTCAGTCCTGTGCCTGGGTGGTGCTCAGAGGTCACCTGTGCTCCATAGCCTGCTGGACAGCCGGGCCTCTTGTGGTGTCCGAAGGTCTCCTCACTCCTCTGGCTGCTGCCCCCTCAGGTCATCGTGAATGCAGTCGAGGCCAGCGAGTCTGGTGCCTGCCTGGGTGTCATGGGGGCTGGCAGCTGTCAGGGCTCTGCCACTGCTCACCTGCCTGGAGTGTGCCTCCCTTGGGCCTGCTCTGCTGTAGTGTTTGAGTCCTCTGGCTTCCTATCAGGCCCTGATTGTGAGGGTGACCCCACCTGGTCCTCTGATGCCCCTGTGGATGAGCATGGCAGCTGTCTGGCTGGGAATCTCTGGTGCCCGTGTCTGTTGCTGCCTCTCGGGTGCTCGGGTGGTTGCCTGGGGCTCTCGTATGGGGCACAGTCAGCGTGTCCCGAGCAGACTCCGGTCCTCTCTGGGTCTACACAGTCTGTTCGTGTGTGGACGGTCCTCCTGCACTCAGGTCCGTCTGGTTCATTGTCACTCAGCTTCGAGAGTAGGCCAGTGCAGTCACCAGGGCTGCTGTCAGAGGGAGTCGTCTGCCACTACCATCGCTCGAGCAGGCCCTGCAGATCAGGCTGGCTGCTGTGCACCCTCAGCATCATGGCAGGGCTGCTTAACTCCCTTGGTCACCCTCTCTGTCCCAGCGTGCACGGCTCCTGAGGGTTGCCTGGGCGGAGGGCACTCACGAGTCCACAGAGGGATGGGTCACAGATAGACAGCCCCCAGTCACCACAGCTGCGATCACCCGACATGGCCCATCAGACCCAGGGGCACATACAACCACCCCCCGGTCCCCTCCAGCCTCACCGCCCCATACCCCGCCTCACCCATCATCCGAACCCGCTGGGACCCAAGCGACCGCGACTGTGGGAGCGCTGACCCGGGCCACAGCTGCCCGGACACCGAGGGGCCCAGCCAGCGGAGGGCCCGACAGCAATCACCGAGTCAGACGGGAGCATCTAAAAAAGACGGCGACTGGAGCTTCACCCACCAGACGGCAGGCCAAGGAGAGGCGCCACTGGTAGAGCAGAGAGTCTGCGAGAAGACCTGAATCCAAGGCAGATCGGCATGGACATCCAGACAGAGCATATCCTCATGGAGCGGCGAGGAATGCCCAGATTCTGGATGTGTCACTGAAGAGGACTCTTTCATTATGTTATCCATACTCAACCCTCGTCCTTAGACTGGCCAGGAAGGAGCGGGCCCACTCGCATGATCTCTGGACCGCTCTCAGATAGCCCCAGCAGCACAGCGTAATAAGCCATATACAGTGACGCGTTTACTACCTAAGTCTACGCCTTCCCCCTGCATATGAACCACCAGCAGAGGAAGCCCACGAGGCCGGCCACGACGACGAAGGCTGCGACGGAGATCCCCGCGATGGCGCCAGTGGAAAGGCCGCTCTTGTTGGTGCTGTCTCCACCATTGCCGCTGTTATCATCGCTAGTGCCATCCGTTTTAACGTAGCAGATGACAGGACCAGTATTAATCGGTGCTTCACAACTTAAACAATCAGGTATTCCATCGATCTTTTTTCCGTTATTACTACTTTCTGTACATTTGATACACTTATTTCCTGTTTTATAGTATCCTGGAAAACATTTTGTACAAGCATCAGCATCATTTTTAGTTGAACATTCTGCACAAGTTGAATCACACAATGGGCAGAAATTAGTAGCAGGATCTGGTGCTTGACCATTGGCACATGTTTTGCATTTCCCGTCATTGCTATTAGCCACGGCTTTACATACTGACTTTCCAGGAAGTGTTTGTGTGTTATAACATCCACCTGATAATAACGCATAGTTGCCTGTACATGCCGTGCACTTGCCACCTGTGGCCGTGCACACGCTCACGTCTCTCCCGGCAGCTGCCACCGCTGTACAGATCCCGTCGATCGGGGCGTACCCGTCCTTGCACTGGGTGCAGTACTTCGCACCCCCGACGTTAGCCGTGCACTGCCCGTCCGCACAGTTGGTAATGAACGCACCAGTGCACTCCTTGACGCACCTCCCAGTTGCTCCGTTGGACTCATACAGAAGGGAGTATCCAGGGTAGCAGGCCGTGCAGGAAGTCTCCCTGTCGTCGGTCTGGCAGCCGGCGCACGTGTTGTGACAGGGCTTGCAGACACTGCCGCTGTCGCCACTAACGGCATACGTTCCGGCAGGGCAGTCTGTTAGACACGCGTCTCCCAGGGGGCTCAGATTATTGCTAGAGCATTTGGTGCAGGTGATCTCTGTCCCTGCCCGTGCAGCGCTTTCCTTAGAGGTGCATTCTCCACAGTTTTCTATGCCGCCATTATTCGTTGTGCCACAACTTACGCATACCTTCTTGTTACCACCAGCGCTGTCAGTAGTGGGGAAGTGCGTCTTGCCTTCTCTGCACACGGCTTCGCTAACGCAAGACGTTTGTTCATCTGCTTCTGTTTTCAAATAATCAGCAGCACATTCAATGCACTTTGCAGGACCAGCGTTCTTTGGCTTTTCACATTTAGCACATCCAGCAACTCCTTTGTAGCTATTAGGCCCTGTGGTAGCGTCACATTTTATGCACCCACCTTCATTTCCAGTTGCTCCAACAAAGTATCCGTCTATACATTTTGTACATTTGTTTTCACCAGCTCCTCCACATGTGGCACAGTTGGCATCTTCACATGCTATACAGGAGTCTGCAGTTGCAACAGCATCCGAATTCTTATAATAGCCATCCTTGCAAGCACCACACACCCCTGCAGTACGTGCACCAGGATTTGACGCCTCATCCGCACAGATGAGATTGCCAGGAGCCTCTCCTATCTTATAGCATCCGCCTTTGTGCAGGAAGTAGCCATTTCCACATTGTCCACATACCTTATCACTTTCTTCTATATTAGTACCCCCGTTCTTCTTACAACCAGCGTTAGTGACTGCTTCTTCACTATGGGCTGTACATATTCCATTGATGGGTACTTTCCCTTGATTACATTGCATACAGATTTCAGTATCGCCAATCGTATCACATTGGCCAGCTTCACAACTATTTCCACTATTCTTGCAATCTACTGCAAATGTAGATAATATAAGATAGAAGGCTATCAACAACATTGAAGTTTCCCTCAGCTTATTATAGGGTAAGAGTCCTGTTAGTAAAGGTACTTAAAGCTAAAAAGATTCATCTGGTTATTACTATGCTACTAACTTAGAGATCTTCCTTTTTTATAATATCGTTGTACAAGCGATAGTTGTTAATGCTGAAAGCATCTACTACATATAGTTTGCCGCCCACCACGGATTCTTGCACAACACGCAGGGAAACAGAAAATTCAAAAATAAGTAGCGATGCTGTCTTGCGTGTCTGCTACTCCCCTACCCTGTAGCTAATCAAAGGGCGGCCCGGGCGTCCTCCCTGCGTTATGGGCCCACTGCTGGTTCCTCTCCTAATGTCTCTGCGTCCCTGATGAGCCAGCTCCCTGTGCCTCCCCTGCGCGGATCGAGCCCCTGTGGACCCCCGTGCGCCGATGATCTCTTCTCCGCCTCTGTAGTATTCTCATCCTTTTGGATTATGTCTGCGATTCCTAGCTGTCGTGGGGGAGCCGCACTCAAGGATAGACCCCTACAAGATCCCAAGAGAAGATCGCAGCAGTCGCTAAGGTCCATAGATGTGTG